ATAGGCCTCTACGTCTTCGAGCCGGAGGACGTAGAAGGTAAACGCTATCCGTACTCGGAGCTCTATATCGCGAGTACTTCGAGAGGCGTTTATACGAACGTTCTACTTAGCTAGGTACCTAGCTATCGTAGCTAGGCTTACTCTTATACTAGTACTCGCTTTAAGGTCCTCTCGAATCGTCTTATAAGGTACTCGCTAGGCTATTTATTCTTCGATCTAGTTACGCTAGTTTTCGAGTCTAAAGGACGTAGGTATAATAATAGTATACTAGACGATATATATAGTATTTTAAGGTATTTTAGTAGAAAGAATAAAGGTATTAGGACTAAAGGAAACGGAGAAAGAGTAGTAGAAGGTAGGTAAGTACTCGCTTAGCTAAGGTTGAGTAGGTTGAGAGTTTGTTAAGTCTGGCCGACCCTACCTTCAGGGCTTCGGCAACTCCAGCCGAGCCATTCGAACATCTGGCTTCACGAGCTCCAACATCAAACCACGCAACAACTCCCCACGAACCAACGACGCCCATACGAGCCCGACAACCACCTCCCAAACGTACCCCCTCAAACAGCTCGCCCACCATGCTCGGCTCCCTCTCCCAAATGCAACCGCGCCAACTGGCCGCGCAAGTCCTCAACTTCGCTCTCGTCCTCAGCACCGCCTTCATGCTCTGGAAAGGGCTCTCCGTCTTCACAAACTCCTCCTCGCCGATCGTCGTCGTCCTCTCAGGGAGCATGGAACCGGCGTTCCAACGCGGGGATTTACTGTTTCTCTGGAATCGGGGCATGGATACGCAGTTGGGCGAGGTGGTGGTGTACAATGTCCGGGGGAAGGATATTCCGATTGTGCATCGCGTTGTGAGGAGGTTTGGGGGTGGGGGGTGAGTTTCTCATTTTTATGACTAGGTCGGTTGGATGTGGGTTTGCTAACAAGGCTGTGCGAATTCAGGGACGAGCCTTTGCAGTTGCTCACCAAGGGCGACAATAACGCAGCGGACGATACGGAGCTGTACGCGCGCGAACAGAGTTTCTTGGACAGGAGCAAGGACGTCGTGGGGAGTGTGGTCGGATACGTGCCTTTTGTGGGATACGTGACGATCCTATTGAGTGAATACCCGTGGTTGAAGACGGCTATGTTGGTATTCATGGCGTTGACGGTGGTGTTACAACGAGAATGAGGAAGAAGTTCTACCACCATGTTGGATCTCTTTCTTGAGCGAGGAGTTGGGGAGTCGTACAATGGGACAGTAGACCACAGATTTCAAGCTGAGTGTGAACGCACTACTCACGCCCTTCGTCCCTCAACCGCTGCCGCACGTTCATGATCGCTTTGCCCAGACGGTTCTCTCCCCAGTCCTTTCGATTCGCTTCGGCGTTCTCTGCACCGAATCCAACGCCCCAGATCCGGTCTTTTGGAGAGGCCTATCATCTCATCAGCTTTCTTCCCTCCTCTGCTACTCTCAAAACTCATATTCACCTCAACCAACTCCCTATCCCCCGTATCCAGCAACTTCCTCAACATACCCTTATCCTCTTTCGACTTGGTAAACTTGTGATAGTTCCCTTCTTCGACAATTCGGCTTTTATCTTTTCATCCACGACACTCATCAGCACCAACAACCACCCCCAACCTCCAAAAAAGAATCGATCCAATACTCACGCTCATCCCAAAACCCCCTCTCAAACCCCCTCGCCTTCCGTCCCAACGCCTGATGTTCCGCCGGCACAGTTGTCTGCATCATTTTCTGGGCCGTCTCCTACAAAAACCCCATCCCATCAAAATCAATAAAACCAAACATTCACCCCAAAAATACCACCACCTCTACTTTATCTGATCACCTCAGATTTTGTGATAGGGTCAAGTCAAGACGTACCTCATCCCCAAACAAACGCGCCTTCTGAATCATCATCCACATCTCGGCGGTTTGGTAGGTGACTCCGTCGACGAGGAAGGCGGATTCGTACCATTGCGAGAGGAAGCCGTGGGAGTGTTCGTGTTCGCGCCAGAAGAAGAGGGGTGGGGATGGTGGGGAGGACATGTTGGGTGAGGGTGGGTTTCTGTTATGTTAATGCTGGGGAAGTTTCGAGTGTTGGGGTTGATTTGATTGTTTTTGAGAAGGATGGGTGAAGATGAAGAGAGTGAAGGTCGACGGTGGTGCTGGGTTTGCCCCGCTGAGCTTTGCGATTGCTGCTTGTGGTGCTGTGGGGGCTGCTAGGCTGTGGGAACAGTCGACTTGGTATATAAGAGAATATGATGGGAGTGATGGTGAATGAGCTCAAACAGGCTATGGAATCACATAGATAAGACCTATCACGACCAACAACCACAAACAAACTTCAAAACCCATGGATATCATCCGCTTCAAAAACCCACCCCAGGCCACAACTCCTCCATCTCAACTCCCATCAAGCATGAGCATTAAACGGCCAACTCGTCTCCAAATTCCTCGAATGGAATTTACACCACCCCTCATGCGCCTCATTCCCAACCCTCTTAATCTCCCGATGACTCGCCAGACACAACCAACAAAACTCCCACCGACACTTCCGGCACGTCATATGATCACACCCATCCACCTTCTGGATCCGCCAACCACAGCCAGGCCCGGGACACTTCTTCGACACCTCGTCCAGTATCTCCGCGGTGGCCTTCTCCTCGTCGCGGGACTTCTGCCCGGACGTGCGGTAGTCGTACTGCGCGCACGTCTCGTCGACGTGCCAGGCGCAGGCGTGGTGCAGGCATTGCCGGTATTTGCACACGATGCATTCCATGTAGTTGTTGTTGGCGCTGTTTTCTTGACCGCTGTCGCAGCCGGCGGGGTTGAGACACCACGAGAATTCGGGGAGGGAGCCCAGGAGCGTTCGCGTGAGGAGTTTCTCGTAGGCGAGGAAGGTTTCGTGGGTGGCGGCGCGGTGGACGTCGTCGTAGGAGAGGGTCTCGGGGCATTCGGGGCATTTGAGGTCTGTGCTGCCTTTGGAGGTGAATTCGCTCGAGATCCAGGCGTGCATGCAGTCGGTGCAGGTTTGGGATGAGTGTTCGCAGGTGTAGGTCGGGGGATGAGCTGGGAAGGACGAAGGCTCCTTTTCATCGCCGCAGCAGACGCATTCGCGTGGTCGGAGGAGTTCGGCGGCGATGCGGGCTCGTTCTGCTTGTTCCATTTCTTCTGCGTGGATCCGGTCTGCCTCCTCTTGACGTTCGCGTTCTTCTTCTCTCCGTCGCAGTCGTTCTAAAGCTTCCTCCTGCTGGGCTTCAAGTGCTTGCATCTCCTCCCGCCATGTCCTTTTCTGTGCTCTTATGCTGTCTTCAAAGGCCAGCTTCATCGCAACTATTTCATCAAGGTCGACGGAATCTGGTTCAGATTGCCCATTAACCGACTCGACGGCGCGAGTCTTGCCTTTCCCCACTGCCGGCTCATCGTCTGCGACAAGCCCAACACCACTGTCGACAGGACTGATGTCGTTGTGGTCGAAGTTGATGCTTTCGTCGTACGATTGAATCAGTTCCCGAATCGCCTCGCCATCGTTGTACTGACTCCAGTCGATCTCACATATAGCTTGTCTCTTCGTTTTCTGTCTTGAACGGGCTCCAGAGGCTTCCTCAAAATCGTCGTCATCTGCAAACTCCACCTGATTCTCTCGTCTATCAGCCCAGCTCCGTCGGGCACGCATAGCCTCGTTGTATGGGTTCGATTCGACCGACTCTCGTTTGTGGTTCGGGTTTGATGGGCCAGCAGCAACGGAGCCTATCCCAAGTATAGCTGAAGCAAGAATCGAATCGACACCAGTCGCGCTGAAATCGAGACCGTGGGCAGGTAGGCTCTGATGTGCACATGGTCGACCTTCATCCCACTTCGTGAAATTGTCGACGGGCTGAGGCCGCTTTGCATGCCACTTGCTGAAGACCTTGGAAAGCGTCTTTGATTCCCTCCGGTTGGAGCTTGACTCACTCTGCTGTGAGTCTTTCCTGGTAAATGTCGGAGCAAAGTCTGGTTCTATAGCATCGTATGGGATGCCCAGTAGTGCAGGAGGCTGCAACAGCACACTCGTACTGCTGCTCGTCGCATCTGGCCGCAGTGAGTAGCCACGCCTGAAGGGCTTTGGAGGTGGAAGGATCTCTGGTATTGGGAAGTCATCTGGGGTTTCCTCGGGTATGTCGAAGACGAAGCTGCTCAAGTCGTTCTTCCGTAGCTTTGCGTTGGATCGTTTGAGAGAAGTTTTGTTGGAGAGGTCGTTGTCGTGGTCTTTCGAGCCCAGCTTGAGCGTAGATTTCAGCCTTCTCATGGTAGCCATGACGCCAGGACAGTGGAAGGGCTGTTGATAGAAAGTCGCTGTGACAAACACTGGACAATGTTCGAATGGAGTGGGATATGAGTACAGGGAAGGGTGTCGACAGTGACATTGAATAGACTCTAGCGTCAAAAGGTCACAGCCGGCCGCAGGAGCAAAGGGCGAGAGGCCGTCTGGCAGAGCATAGCCGCTGTCACGCAGACGATAAGCGAAGCAGTGTGGCATTACAATTGCAGAGCCTCACAAGGCACAAAGTAATCGAGAGGGGGTAACGAGAGAAAGGATAGCGTAAAGCTTGTTGGGGGAGGTAAGGCTGCCTGGTGTGTTTCTGAATGGGCAGACGAACAAATCATGTGAAAGGCGGATGGCAGTGCCCCGCGACTCACCGCAGTACGAAGTTCCTTGTCGAGATGGTGGACCAGCTGCAGTGGTGGCCAGTCGAGCCGTCACGATGCTGTGCTCCAAGTCTGGTCCTCGAGCAATGCCGTAACCTGGGACGACTTGGCGAAGCACAAACAAGCAGTCATCTCACGACCTCAGACCAGACGGCGACAAGGAGATGGGCGACTCTCGGACGTCTGGAGGGAGTTGCATGGAGGATCGACGCCGTCGTGTAGCCTTGTGCGCTGCAGTGGTGGAGGGAGCGTGGCTGAGCTCCTCGCTGGTGCAGCTGTTGAGGCCGCCAGCGCAGCGCAGCCTCCAGCAGAACACTCCTCCCAACATCTTCCTGCCTTGGTGTTCCTGCGTCGCGGCACGTGTGCCGTAGGAGTGACACTGGCGGCCTCAGGTTCTGTCATCGCCATTGATCGCCTCGTATTGCGGTGGTGGTGTGGTGGTGAAGGATGTCGCTCATCTGCCGGCCGGCTCTTGGCCAGGATCGCCGTTGCTCCTCCTGCTGCTGGGGGAATCTATCTCTCACCATCTAGCAGCGATGATACTCACACAGTACCATGCGCAACGCCATAGTCGAGATTATTGCATTGGAGAAGAGTGTCGGCAAGATGATCGTTCACCGTCGCCGTGTTCGGCTCGGCACAAAGGGTCTTGCGCGGCGTTGCTGTGACAACAGACGCGGAGACGTCAAGTCAACATCATCTCCAACCTTGCGCCCTGGATTCCGTCAGACACGCCCGTTTGACAGCACCAAACCACTCTACCTCTGCATCTCTATCGCTTCAATACAGCATTCGCACGTCCCTATTGTACAGGCAGAACAGAACTACACCCTCCGCTTTTATCCGCCGGCGTCATGCCTGGCATGGCTGGTTCAGACGGACCCTCCGTCTCGCTTTCATGTATCACATTCCTCCACTCTCTTCGAGTTACCATATTGACAGTCTACAGTCGCGAACAATTTCTGGGGCAAGGAAGATGCTGGCGTCGGCCCCCTCCTAGATCGCATGCACAGTGCCAAAGTCACCAGCGATGAACTGAAGGGCTTCTACTCCGCCCGAGCCGCCATCGAAGAGGAATATGCGAAGAAGCTTCTTAATCTGGCTCGGAAGCCCCTTGGATCAAGCGAAGGCGGTACTTTGCGAATGTCGCTGGATGTCGTGCGCGGTGAAGTCGAATCGATGGGAAAGGCCCATCAGACAATCGCTGGCCAGATGAAGAGCGAGCTCGAGGAACCACTTCTCGCGTTCACTGGTGGAATCAAAGAGCGGAGGAAGATTATACAAAATGGAATTGAGAAGCTTCTCAAAACCAAGAACCAACAAACGGCGACTGTGAACAAGGCGCGGGATCGCTTCGAGCAGGACTGCTTGAAGATCAAAGGATACTTGGCACAAGGACACATGGTCATGGGTCAAGAGGAGCGCAAGAATAAGGCCAAGTTGGAGAAGACACAAATCCAAATGTCAAGCAACAGCAGTGAGTATGAAGCTGCAGTGAAAGTACTGGAGGAGAGCACGGGACGATGGAACAGAGAGTGGAAGGCCGCATGCGACAAGTTCCAGGACCTGGAAGAAGAGCGACTCGACTACTTCAAGAGCAGTCTGTGGAGCTTTGCAAATATTGCTTCAACTGTCTGTGTCAGCGATGATCAATCTTGCGAAAAGATGCGACTGTCGCTCGAGGACTGCGAAGTTGAAAAGGACATCAGCTCATTCATCAAGGACTACGGTACTGGTCAAGAGATCCCGGATCCTCCCAAGTACATCAACTTCTGCCGAGGTGATCTTGACGACATCATCTCGAACCACGAGTCGGATGACGATAATTACGCAGTCGCTCAATTCCAGCGAACGATGAACCCGACTTTCAGAAGCTCATCGCCTCAGCCAAGCACACTCGAGTCACACCACGATCCGGATTCCAGCCTACGCGAAGAGATGGGCATCCCCAAAGCACGAGCATCATTGCAGGGCGATGAATCTTTCACTGCTGCCGCTCGCAGTTCTCATGGAAGTGCAGCACCGGCACCACTCGCCCCCAGCCAGGCTTCAGCCCAGACAAACCCTTACGGGGATCCATATGCCGACGCACCCAAGATCCCTCACAACCCATATCCTACCGATGGCATGACACAATTCTGTAGGCCGGGTGCGCCATCGGAGAGAAGCTCGAATCCATCGCCCGTTAGACCAGGCAGCCGCGACAGCCAGGAACACAGCGACTACTCCCAACCCACTTCGTTCTCTAGCTTTGAACCAAGCAGCGGAAATGTATCGCCTACAAAGCACTACAACGGATCCAACATATCCGGCGTGTCTAGCATATCAGGCATGTCGAATGGCCCGCCTGAGGAGAAGTCGGTCCAAAAGAAGAAGAGCGGCTTCTTCCAGTCGCACAGCCCGTTCAGACGACGCAGCCAGAAGAGCAAGGATAACATCCAGCAGCCGCACTCCGGTATGCCAACTCCGACTGCTCGCAATACTTGGACGCCTGCAACGACTCGCAACGCTGAAAGTGCTGGAAACAGCCCGACCAAGGCGTTTGGAGCCGGCAACAGGTCCAGCACGTGGAACAAGCAGCCTTCTGTCAGCCCAGATCCAGATGTCGACCCTCGCGCTGACTACCAACTTGGCATTGGCAATAACGTCTTCGATGTCGCCTCGCCAGCCTCGCGAAGGAAGCCGGAGCCCCCAAAGAAGGATGAGCCAGACCTTGACCCCATTGCGCAGGCCTTGGCCGAATTGAGAGGCGTTGCGAAACAGGCGTCTGTACGTCAGTCTGCGGATCGTCACTACGGCATGTCTACGCCTGCACCAGATTCGGTTCCCACGCCCTATGCAAACAGTGGCAACAGATCAACGCCGCCACCGTCGTATAACCCTCCAGTGAGCCGCTTGGGTGCTCCTCAGCCGGCACATACAAAGCGAGACATGCAGAAAACTACGGAGCAATTCGTTGCCAAGAACCGTAATATGTTCAATACCGGCACATCCAGACCCGGTAGCAGCATGGGCAGGCAAGAGCCTCCTCGAGCCGCCTCACCTCAGCCACCTCGAGCGACTAGCCCTAGGCCTTTTGTGAATGGAGACCAGCGACAGCAGCCGTATCGCGCTACGTCGCCTAACCCATACGGCGGGCTTCCCACGACCGGCGCCGCAAGACCACGTGCACAGTCGACAAGCCCAGTAAAGCCTGCCGCAGCGTATGGCAGCTACGCCGGACGAGGGGGCTCGCCGGGATACCAAGTCCCACGCGCGACCTCCCCCAACCCGGCATACGCAAGACCTGTGGGAGGATCGGCGCCGAACAGCAGTCGCCCACCCAGCAGCCGTGGCTCTGATCATGGTGGTGGCGGAAATGCCATGGTTCTCGCACCCGCAGGCCAAGATCCATACGGTTCGCAACGGGGAGGCAGACCGCAAAGCCAGTACTACCCGAGTGACAGCTACGGCAATAACACCGTCTCGGCTCGAGTGCGCAGCCAGAGTCAGGGAACGCAGAGACAGGTGACGAAGGATGGTAGACCGATTTTGCATTACGGTAAGTCACGATCTCAAAGCCTACTAACTTAATGCACACAATACTGATATGACCTTCACAGCACGCGCAATGTACATGTACCAAGCCGCCATCCCAGAGGAACTCTCCTTCGCCAAAGGCGACATCCTCGCCGTAACACGCCACCAAGACGACGGTTGGTGGGAGGCCGAAGTCGTGGGGAAGAACAGCCCGCTGGGTCTTGTGCCTAGCAACTATCTGAAGAACTGTTAGGAGCAGATTGAGGAGCCTCGCCAGGAGAGAATGATTGAGAGGAGACCGATTGTCAGGAAAGCTAGTAGCTTGGCTTTGAGGACGGAGAGCCAGAGGAGACGATGAAGGTCGTCCACCGTGTGTTTTCAGTCCGGCGTTTTGGGGGCGGTGTCTTTTGCCCACGACGAGTGATGCGCTTACGTACATAACTCTCCTTTAGAGCTGACGCTCACCTCCACGCAGAGGAGGGGGGTCACAGCTCGATGTACCTTTATGCAAGTTACTTTGATCAGTACAGAACTACCATTCACCTTCACGTCGACGTCACCATCGCGTAGTGTGGTGGTGTACATGTACCTTCCCTGTACGGTTACATCAGATAAGATTAGATCGTCGCTGGAGGTGGGAGGTGAATGAATTTAGCTCTCGGAGGGGTCGAGGGACGTACCGTCAGCTTGAAGGGGATCTGCGGGAAGTACAGGACGCCTCTGACATCGATGGCGAGGGTTGGAGTATGGTTGTGGTTGAAGAGTGTGTGTGTGTGCGTGATAGTCAAAAGATTTTTGAGTGATGTGGAAGAATGTGCGTATCTTTTCGGCTTGTTCTGAATTGAATGTGAAAGCGATGCAGCGAACAGACTAGTCTGTCCAACACGGAGTCCACAACCACAACTATTGCGAACTCGAAATCGAGAACTTCGTATAAACCGCACGATACTGAAGACATCTCCCTCGTTATCAAAACCGAACCAAACCTCAACCAAACGAGAAGAGAGAAAAGAAACGATTCCACTTTGAAAATATGATCCCCCTCCCGCTCATCTTCCTCATCTACATCCTCGCGATGTGCGTCGTCGCGGATGGACCTTTCGACAAACATCATCACAAGGTCGTTGTAGATAAGTACGCTCGGGGGCGAACTAGTAAGATGGGAATTGAGAATTTCTGAGCTGGAGCTACGGGAGGATGGCGTTGAGGATTGAATGGGAGGGAAATGGTGGTGGGAGTTGGAGGGGGGATTAAGGGGTGTAAGGCTAAGGGCGGGTGGAGAGGATGGGGAAGGGGATGTTGAGGCGACGTTTGTGGGAGGAGGATATTGGGGCGAGAGAAGCGATGCGATCGAATAGTGTCGTGACGTCGTACCAATTTATCAATTCCCCTTATATCACCTCTACCGTCCCATCCCATCCCATTTTATCCCTCCAAAGTCATAACTCATCATCCCATCATGCAATCGTGCTTCATCGCCTTTCTCATCATCATCACCCCCACCCCCCTCCCCATCTAACAATAAGGCCAAGTACAATAATCCGTCCTCCCACCCCCGGCACTCAAATCCAAAAGCCCCAAAACATTCAAATCAAACCCGCCCCCAGCCTGGTGGAACCGGCCGGGGTATCCGCCGCCGCCGCGGCCCCATTGCTGGTTTTGGCGGAGCTGGGCGAGCGCGTGTGCTTGGGCGAGGGCTTGGGCTTGGGCGAGCTGTTGATTTTGTTGCGCTGTTTCCGCGCGGGCTTCGAGGGAGCGGGTTATGAGGGCCTGTGGGGGTGGGTTAGTTGGGGGGTTTTGGGGATGGGGAGGGGAGGGGGGCTTACGACTGTTTCGGCGTCGGGGAGGGGGATTGGTTGGGGGATTGGGCCTGCGGAGATGAGGGTTGCGGCGAGGGTGGTGAGGAGGAGGGAGAGTTGCATGGTTGGATTGGGTGTGGTTGAGTTGGTTGGTTGTTGGAGGAGGTTGTTGGGTTTGTTGTCGTTGTGGAATCTGGGCCGTTGTGGTTTGCTGAGGTTGCTCTTATTGTTGTGTTGATGTTGTTGCTGAATGATCACTTCCATCGACGTCCTACTACTCTTCTTTATACCCATTCCCATTCCTCTCGGCGGATGCCTCGGCGACCGTCTTCCTCTCATTCTCATCCTCGCCATTGCCCAAGATAGCTATCCACCCTCCCTCCGTGTACAAAAGAGTCCAATCTCAGAAAGAAGCTCGACCATTCCAAGAACACGGCGCGTGGCGGAAGCTTGCAGCAGGCTTGTCAAAGACGTCAAGACCCATGTGGTCGAAACACCAACAATGGAAACGAGCAAGGCTGCATGCCTACTTCGAGAACGAGTTTCATGAGGAATAGGTCCTTGTCTGGTCTGTGTCCTTGTGAAGGTTGTTCTCGAAGTAGGGCAGAGGTGGTGTGAGGTCGATATAAAGTTGACATGCGCAGGGTGCTGGGTTGTATCGATATAGCAACGAATGCTTGCAACCATGGCTGATCCTTCGGTATCTTCGTCCAGGAACCTTTCGGCAGATCCAAGAAGCTTCTTCTGTTCAGTCTCCAGCAGTAGTAGCAGCACGGTACTCGTGCCACTCCTTTCCCTTCCAGAACTTCTTCCCGCCCTGGAACGAGTGCTCGATTCTCTCCCGTGCTCTCTCCGCCATCCTCGCCTCGAAATCTCGTAGACTCCCAGAAGTAGCAATTGTAGCAGCAAGGTCGGCTGCATTCTGCACGGCCGTGGACGCACCGCTCCCACCCATGGGACTCATCACGTGAGCAGCATCCCCGACAATCGTAACTCTACCAGTGTCCTCGGACTCGGACAGTCCAATGTCAGGCGCGCTGGACAAGACAGGTATACAGCTCGATAACTCGGCTGGGGCGGATCTCAATACGAGATTGATCTCAGGATGCCAGGTCTCTGTCACGCGTTCGAGCAATGCCATCCTATCTGCGGCACTCTGCGGGATGGATTCTTCGCCAGAGGGGATGCAGACGCACCAGTAGATGTAGTCTTCGAAGTGGGGAAGACGGCCTCGCGAGGCTTCTCGAGCCTCAGAGGTCCAGATCATTGGCTCGACGACGACTTGCATATTCGCAGCCTCGTCTTGCACCATGTACCACGAAAGCGTGTCCGCAGAAAGCCCTTCTCGAAGGTCCCTCGTGAGCGGTGTCCGTCCCCAAATGATCCATCGTTCGAGATCAAGAAGCTGCCGCTGAGGCTGCAGTTGCCCGCGAACTTTGCTGTGGACTCCATCGGCCCCAACGAGCATTGGACCTCGCGTGGACGTCCCATCCGTGAACTGAACTTCCACATCGCCATCCTCAAGGACTTGAGAGGACTCAAACTCCTTGCCATACTCCACATCCCCCTCAATCCCCACCATCAACAACGCCCTGAGCCAAGACCTATCCACCGGCTGAGAGTCCACTCCTTCAACCCGAACAGGCAGCTCAAACCGGAATTCCTGAGCATCAACATATCTGGGCTTGAACGCATTGCTCTGCGCTGCCGTACGATCGAATAGAACCTGTAGCTCGGGCGAGAGAACACATCTTATAGCCTGCAAGGTTTCTCTCGAAAGTCGAAATCGATGACCTTGAGCTGTGAGTGCGTTTGGTCGTTTTTCGAAGATCCGGAAGGGAATAGAGTGTAGACGGAGACCTTGGGCGAGGGTGAGGCCCGAGGTTCCGGCGCCGATTATGAGGATGGGTCGCATTGGGAACGTTCTTTGTGGGGAGTGGTCATCGAGAGTGGCTCGATGAGTGGTTTGCTGAGGTTTGTGTCGATGTCGATGTTCAATAGTATGAAGGTGTCAGCTTGGAAGATCCATTTTGGGAAGGATTCGGAGACTTTTCTGGGCAAGGAAAGAGCAGCGTCTCTTGTGCGAAGTTTAGGACCAAATATATAGCTGGTTGCATCATTTGATGGAATTTTTGAGCTGAGAAAGTGTATCATTTACCTTCGACGATATTACTGCAACGCTTGTCTGTGCTCAAGTCATCACTTGGACCATTAGACTCTTGTACTGCTCTGATCGATGAGGCAGATTTTAAGGCCGAAGACTCGTGAAGAGTAACACCATGATGATCTGCGAGTGACTTCACCTCGAACAGCTAGCTACTGGGGAGACGTGATCCAACCCTTATCGCTCGCTTGTTGCAATCCTTCCAACCAGAAGTTCGCCATCAAGTTGTACCCTAGCACGTTTCAATCAGCCTCTCCTTGAACGCATACAATCTGAGCCTCGTTACTCACCAGTATCATTCGGATGAAGCCCGTCAACCAAGTCCACCCCATCAACTCCAATAGAACTCAAATCCACCAACTGGACCTTCGCCCCCTTATCCGTCCTCTGCGCAACCACATCCGGAACCGCATCATTGAACACCGGGATTCTGTCTTTCGTTCCTGCGTTGCTGGACTGGATGATTTGAGCTACGATGATGGTTGTTTCTGGAACGACGCTGAGCAGTTCGTCGAGCAAGTCGCCGAGGCGTTCTGGCGCGGTATTGTATGGCTGACGAGGCGGATCGTTATTCATATCGTTCGTGCCGGCATGAAGCAAGATGACATTCGGACACTGGGCGAGGGAAAGTGTGAGTTTTGCTGCTAAGGCGATCTCGCTGATTGTCCAGCCTGGGAATCCGTCATTTTGGTTGTTGGCCATGGTGCCGGATCTCATGAAGCCGATCTATGGAGAAGGTCAGATGCAGCGCTTTGGAAACATTGACAAAACGCACCCACCTGCCGTAAGGCTGTTGAGAAGATCTTGGCGGTACCCGTTGCCGTCGCTGGATACGACTCAGTTAGCGAAAGTGGGAAAGTAAACATCATGTGTCCCACGAGCTCAGGAAGCCCCAAGTGATCGAATCGCCCAGGGGAAGTATTCTCAGGGGAATACCAGGCGCAATCCCGTTTTCGTCACGTCACCATGTGCTGTGGCCAACCGCTCTAGCAGACGCTTCTGGGTCGTTAGCAGTGATCTCTCGCTGTAAGTGCAAATACATTGTGCATACCGAAGGCTGGAAAGACAAGGCAGAACTGTATGACAGTGAGCCAGGTTTTTCTAACGGAAGGGAACATCGTGGTCGTTGGATTAGTATCGTCCAGCTAGAGCGGCTCGAACGTCCACACTTCGTTCGCCTCTCTTATACTCTTGCAGACGATACTTGCAGGCGGTACAATCGACAAGCTAGTACACCGCGTCCATCAAGGCGGCATTGTCTCATTTGTGGAAACATACCATGTCGCCATTCTGATCAACTCACACTCTGCGTGAAGCCGCGGTTGTTCTGTACTCCATATTGCTACTTCGAGATTGTGTAGTCTTGTCGTATTCGATATTACCACAACAGGATCTTGTTGCGCGGGCTACATGTGCTTTGCCGACCTGTCGGTGGAAGGGATGCTCACATTCCGGTGACCGGTCCCTTAGAATCGGCATTTTCGTCAACAGCACACTGTTCTCAAGTCAATCTCGTATTGAGGAAGTCGTGCAGTCGATCGAAGATACTTCTGAATGCCATTTCTCGTCGAATGGCTCGAAGGGGATTCTTCGACAAAGACGCAGCTTGTTGCCTTCCTTCATTCGCTCACTGTCCTGCTCCAGCTTCGGCAAACGGCATTCTGTGCTGTGCCTCTTCAATACCAAGAGCCTATCTGCAATCGCAATCGAGCATTGCATCTTCTCAAAAGATGCGAGCTGAAGTCGCATTTCGCTCTCGGCCCGACGTCATTCACTCATCTTGGCTGACGTCGAAGCTCTATCCATAGCAACTTCAGGTCACGCAACACATTCTTCAGCCCTGCCAAGTGTGGCGCTTTGATTCTTGGCCGTCAAGCATCTCCAATGAATAGAAAGAGCCATTCCTGACTGGTCGTTGAAGGATTTCGTGGTGCCTTTGTTGCACGACATAGCCTCGTGGCATTCCGCGGCCTGAGGATATGCGAGTTCCGGGAGCTGAAGACGTCGGTAAGTGGTTGTTTGTGTATATGTCTTTGGCTTTGGTTGTTCTTGACTGCAACAAACAATCTCTTGAAGTCAAACGAGATCCTAGTATTCAAGATGGCATCAGCACTCCTACTCTCCTCTCTGCTTCTGCTCAGCTCAACGAGCGCCCAGTCAACATCAAACGACACATATACCTACCTGGATGTTACCTTCTCCGACCCAGGAGCTCGAGACTGCGGCCAAGGCACAACTGGTGAGGGCAATGCCGTAACGTTATCAGTCACTTCGCCTGGGGCACTGTTCACTTGCTTCAACGTCAATGAAACGTTCTCTCAGCCCAACATCACCTACAACACAAGAGGATACTCGTGTCTAAGTGATGAGCCGTGTGGTCTAAACTACACCATCACCGGCGCAGAGCACTTCAACGCCGCCGTCAACTACTCCCAGATCTGGTACCGACAAAACTCGTTTCCGGTAGTCCAGGACGACGATGACGATGATGCCAACCCGGAAGACAGGGTCGGCAGGTTGCGCTTCCAGACGTACAACGGACTGGACTGTTTACAGGTCGGCGGAGAGGATGACGATGGCGAGGTTGAGGCGTGGTATGCGTGGAACTGCAACAATGCCAATGGGACTTGTGGTACTGTTCCGTACGATGTGAAGAGCTTCGCTATTGTGCCGGTTGAGGAAGATGACCAGGGCGATGATGACTGCTATGTTGCAGCCGAGTATGCGAATGCTGGAGCGAGGTCGAGGGTGGGAGGAAGTCTGGTGGCTTTGTTGGTAGCCTTTGTTATTGCGGCGACGTTCTTGTAATAGATTCAGCTTGTATGTATAATGCTTGTATATCGGTCAATCTCGAATTCGGTTCATGAAGGAGTGGTTGCTTCTTCTTGAAAAGCGCATTAAGAAAACTCCAGCGCCATGCCTCTTCTTTCCATCGACCAATGCATCGAACTAGATATGTATCGATTGGCGACGCCGTGTTCATCCGCCTTGAGATCCAGCGTCCGCATAAATGTGTCGAGAGCTGGAATGTATGCGAAAGGAAGGAGCAACTCAACTCAAGGATCCTCAGTCAAAACATCCCCCGCCTCGCTGCAAGAAGTCGTGAAAACGTGACCAGGATGCAAAAGTAGCGCCGAAAAACTCAGACCCTCTTGCCATCACCACGCCATCAAGGTCAACGATCAGCTCACACAAAAATGGACGTGGAGAGGAAAAAGTCCGGCATTGAAGGCGCCGGCCGAGGTCTATTCGCAAAGAAAGACTTCCAGCCTGGCGATGTGATCCTCACGTTGGATCGACCTTAGTGAGTGCAGCTTCACTACATGTACTCTCACACGTACAACTCGAAATAACTAACAATGGACATCTCAGTGTCGCTGAGCTTGATGTCCCTCGTCTGCAAGATACCTGTGCCTGGTGCTTCCAACGTGGCGCAACAGACGACCACGAACGCTCCAAGCAAGCAGCGCTAGGGTTCTTCACAGGCGGCGGCATCGAGACCAAAGCCTGCACGGGCTGCAAGCGAGTTCGATACTGCTCTAAGACGTGCCAGAGCAAAGCTTGGAAACGAGAGCACAAGCATGAATGCAAAGTCATAGCTCCCGAGACGCGACCGGATCTTCCCCATGGCGTGCGAGCGGTCATCAAGTTGTTGGGGAGATTGAAGAATGACACTGCGGGCAAGGATGAATTGCTGCTTGATATCCTGCAGTTTTCACCTGCTGGAGGGAATGGCAATGGTGCCGCACTCGAGCAAATCAAGAACGAGAATACTCAACGCTTCGAAGACTTCTCGATGCTGGCTTATGGCGCGTGGAAGTATTCTGGCGAGCCCAACATTGGCGATATGGATTCAGAGATGATTGCCAAAGCCTTCTTCTACAATGTAAGTCTTGTATCATGCACGGTCTGCCAGAAGCATCAGCTGACGGCGTCGACGGTAGGTCATGAGCAACACCATCCAGTTGAGCAACCCGCTTGACGACATGTCACTGGGTATTGGGTTCGATCCGATACTGTGCAGTTCTAATCACTCGTGTGATCCCAATTCGGTGGTCGTGTTCAACCAGCCCAAGCTGGTTCTGCGAGCCATCAAGCCGATCAAGACAGGCGAGGAGATCTTCATGAAATATGTCGATGTCACGAATCCGGTGAGTTCTGTTCACTCTTCCAAATTCCCTGCGATATCTGGGGTCGAATAGTTCCTCTTCCACCTCTCTACCTCCTCGCACGACAACAGCGCTCACTCTTTCCCATAGTTCAGCGTCCGCCAGGCCGAGCTCAGAGACTCATATTTCTTCCGCTGTCAATGCGCCAAATGCAAGAAAGGCGCCGCCTTCGCCGAAGACAAGTTCTTAAAAGCACCAGAAGAGCTTCCAAAAGAGCTCTTCAAGATAGCAGACGACCTGCGAAAACGCCACGCCAAGCAGCTTCCGACTTTCTTTGTGCCCGCCAACGACAGCGAGGCCCAGCTCCGTATGGCTGCGATCCAAGCAGAGGTGTTTTCAGTATCCGGTTTGACCTTTGACGTCAACAAGGGCAACGACACCGCCAGCGAGGAAGAGGTCCTAGACGCCTTGAAGCTGTGTCTCAACAGTGGGCTGTGGAGCTACACTCGCCAACCAGTCCCGCATCTCCTTCGCCAGCTCCTCGTCATGTACCTTTCTCAAGGCCGCATCTACCAAGCTTGGCGAATCGGTGCTCTCCGCCACTTCCTCATCTCGCCGACCCTCTACCCAACACCCTTCTACCCAGACCGCGTCATCGACTGCTGGATGATGTCCACCGCGACCAACAGCCTCTGCAATCCTAACATCCCCAACCACAAGGAGATCTTCGACCAATGCCTCCAGAGCGGCTTCGACCTGCGTATCATCTACTTCGGCTTCCTCATCGAAACCCGCGAGCAAATCGAGCAAAGCTTCGGAAGAAGCTCACCCTTCGGCCAAGTCGTCGAAAACGTCTTCCAAAAGACCATGCAAAACACCGACATCAGCCTGTCAGAGATCAAAGACAAGGTGAAGGAGACCTGGCCGAAACTCGAAGCCGTAGCCCAAAACGTCGACGTGCTGAAGTTGTAGTCCATCTCCAACCAAAACCATAAACCCATCATCCTCATATCACATGCATTCCCCAACGCTCTCCTCTCTCAAAACGGCAACACAGCCGCCGTACTAGGACACTCCTGCCTCCACCACCGCCAGCTCTCCACGCCCAACCGATCCGTCTCCCGCCTCCAACTATAAATCGCCACCCTCTCCTTCTCCCCCCACTCGCCCCCATCCACCACCCGACAAGTCTGCCACACCGTACCATAAGCCGGGCGCTCCGCCTCCTCCAACTGCACCGTCGTATCCACAATCTCGAACCTATAACCCGGGAATTCCGAGAACTTGTCCGCGAAGAACTGCATCGTTTCCGCGGCCGTCATGTCGACGGTGTCGCCCGAGGGGGTCGTGTAGTGGTGGATGTAGTCCGGGGTTGCGTGCAGTTTCCAGGGGGTTGGGATGTCGCGGGCGTTGAGGGAGTGCACGAAGGAGATGGAGCGTTGCATGAGGAGGTTGGCGAGTTTGGTGCACGTGGGCAGGGGGTCGTGGGTTGGGGCTAGGGGGCGTGGTTTTGGTGTGGTTTTGGAGTGGGTTGTTGGGTGGTGGAGCTGGGGAGTGGGTTGGTGCATGGTGTTGGGTCTGGTCATTATTTAGGTGAGGAGAGGTTGTAGGCTTTTTAGTTCAAGGGAGAAGGACCGTATGGGTTACATGGGGTCATCTATCAAGGCAGCTTGAGGTTATATGGATGTTGACAAACAGAACGAGGATTATGCAAGCTGAAAGCTGACGTTTAGATAGAGCGCGGATCCCGAGATCTCGGGATCCTTCCGTGGAATAGAGTTTTGCCCAATTCAGCAGGTGGTCGTGGCGATCTTGAAGGTCTCGTGCGGGCACAAATAATGAAAGTGTTGTGCATGTCAGACGTGCAGGTCTTCATGGATCCCAAAGTATGGATACGATTGAGCGTTGAGGTGTAACGGAGTCAATAGGGAGCTTGTCATCTTGATGCGTTACGACTTGATCTTCCTGTTCTGGCTTTCGAAGTTTGTCTTTCAAAGAAATTCGATTTCTTTTTCGAACGAAGAGTATGCATTGAAAGGCCTAGGGAGGTCGTCTTCATAGGGTGGAGCGACGTGCACGTCTTGTAGCATAGCGACCGGTGTGGAAATATCGAGTTGTGTAGCTTGCCTCATTTCTGCAATCTTTATTGTGCATGTCCTCAGTTCAATATTCCGTATTGTTGCAATGCTGAAAAAGAGTGGTCCGTGCTGCACATTTCGAGTGAATACCAGAAGCCGCGCGGATGCCAGCAGTGAATAAGAAATGTGTAGTCCATTCACCCATTCAAAATGATCAATGAACCTGTAAAACTTATAAGCCTCTGCACCCTCTGCCTGCTTCATAAAGCATCAGACTCCCAATACTTGATGCAACAGCAGAAGTCAGTTATACGCACCTTCACCATGAATACTCGCCGCCGTTTCTACACGAATTTCCCGCCAGACGATCCTGAGACTCCTTCACCACCACTATCTCCACCGCGACGAACCCGCATCACAGGCACCAGGGCCGAGATCGAAGACCTCAGACACCGCAAGACCCGAATCACCGGCAAAGGAAGCTACGCCAAGCGCATCGACGAGCTGGCAAAGGAGCACTTGATCCAGGATTATGACAAGGCCGAGCGAGCGTTTGCAACGGGTCATTACGAGTTTTGCAAAGACCAGTGCTTCTTCATCCACGCCTCGAAGCCCTTGTCCGACACGATCAAAGCAAAGACATATATGCTTTTGGCGCGACGCGAAGTCTTAGGTGACAGTCCCGAGGAGAGGGAGTCCTATGCCAAGGAGGCGATGAAGTGCTGGGATGTGGTCATCGAGCGCAGAGGATACTGTCATACTCGTTTCCCCGCTGAGGTGGCAAGAGAGCAGAGGAAGGTCGCAAAGCGGCAGCTGGAGGTTGCACAGTCGGATCTGAATTCCCGCAGAAAGAAGAATATTGCCAGCCATTCGCGGCAAGATGAGAACCTCGACCCTGCGCTGCAAGAATTGAAAGCACGGCAAGAGTCACAGGAGCTCTAGAGCTTGAACTCGAACGTGGCCCGTTCCCACCCACCGCTCTGTGGCCCTGGTGTCTTTGCTGCGGCTTGTTCGGTAAGTGCAGTCTTCCGCTCTGGAGCACGCTCGCTACAGAGTTCGTAAACTGTGCTGAGGTTGAAAAGCAAGGTAGGGAACATCGGTGTGCGGGAGGCTAGATCTTCGAGAAGGTCGCGGGCGGAGGTGATGTGGCCAGTATAGAGCAAGGCTACGGCAGCATTCTGGGCAAACTGCTCGTCTTCGGGGTATTCCGCCATGAGAGTTCGCATGCTGCCCACCGCGACAGAGTATTCACCGTCTGCTACTTCCAATGAAGCCTCGAATCCTTTCTTCCTTGATACGTTGTTGATGTTGTTTGCTGAGATTCTGGCTCCAGAGACATCGCCAACTCGCACACGAAGCAGGGCTTTCCTATAGGCCAGCTCGTCCGCGTCCACGTCAGTCAAAGTGTCGAGATGCCGTGTCGCAGTTTCCAACTCGCCCATCTCTACCAAAGCGTCACAAACTCGTAGACCTAGATCCAGGAGCCGCTCCGTCCAAAGCGTGGCACCAGCATCATCGCCACTTTGCTGCACGTTTCGGAGATTAGCTCTCACTTCGCCGGCGAGTGCGTACAGAGCCATGATCCCTCTGCGCCCGCCGTCGGCCGCTCCGATGGACTGTAGACGAACCAAGAGCAGCCTTAGATCCCAAGGTACCAGCGGTAAGACGTCGTCGCCGGCAGCCGAGCTGCGAGCTAAGAGATCGATGAGCGGGATCGCTTCCTGGGCAGCAATATCCGGGCGCGAGATCAAGATCAGACAGGCCAAGCGGGTATAGAGAAGTTGAAAAATTTGCTCGGCAGCATCTGACGGGCTGGCCAGAAGGTCTCGCAAGGACTTCTCGGCTGCTCGTCTGAAGTGGCCGCCTTGGAGAAGTTCCGGAAGAGTGGCGTTGAGTGATGGCTGATATTCGGAATCGAGGAACGCCTTGGGGATGTCGTCAGCAAACAGCTGATGGTACGAGTCGCTATCTTGGAGGAAATGTAGGCTGGTCATAGGTTTTGATGTCGAAAGTGAGGCCGCTGGTAGTTGTGGAGTTGAAGAGGTGGTATCTCTCCCAGATGGTATCGATGGTGCCTCGTCAGGCGCTGACTGACTGTCAGGACTTTGTGTACTGGCGGCCAGAGGGCTGTGTGGGCATTTAGCTTCTGACTGAGCAGGTGAATGTCGTCGACATACTCATCGGTGGCTTCTTCCAAAGGGCCCCTGGCAGTCTGCCTTGGTGTAGGATGAGAGATATTCCTCCCATGGCGACGCACGCTACCCGGGGGCGATCGTGTAGTTTCCATGCTGCTGGCAATGAATATCACGCAGAACAGGGTACGTTTCAATTCACTTGGAAGCACCTTCACGTGCCTAGAGGGAACGATGGCTGCCACCATTCGTCCGCACCGAGGTCGCTCTTTCACCACACTAAAGACACTAGACCCCGCAATTTTACCTTAAGCGAGACCAATCAGCAGCATGCAGTGCGAATCTCGGCCTCCAGCACTGGGCTCGACAAATGTGACTCTTGCCATTGACTCAAACCTCTGCCACTCCCTCAAAACACTTCTCCGCTCTGCCATTGACCCGTCTTCGCTTCGCTCACTTCTCTGCATGAAGACGGCCACCATGTTCCAATCCACCGCGGCCAAGAAGGCCATCAAGACCCTCCCGCGCGCTCGCCGATTCTCCACCACTCCAGCACCCGCTGCTATCTCGCCCTACCGAAAACACTCGCCACAGACCCAAGCACAACAGCAACAAAAGCCAGCGCGAAGGAATGTGTCAGATACTGCCACACGATCAGCACAAGCCGCGACAGCAGCGTCGCCGCAGCGTGCTGTGCCCAGTCCAGCCTTCAACCGCGATGAGAAAATTCGAGACGTTCAGCCTCTGCAGCCGTTCAGGCAGCCAGAGATGGACCACAGTTTTGTGGGCATGACGGGAGGCGAGATATTTCATGAGATGATGCTCAGGCACGGCGTGAAGCATGTCTGTACGTACAACAATATCAACGACAAAGGCCAAATTTTGATGCAACGCTAACATTGTGCGCTAGTTGGATACCCCGGTGGTGCTATCTTGCCCGTGTTCGATGCCATATACAACAGCGACAAGTTCAATTTCATTCTTCCCAGACATGAGCAGGGTGCGGGACACATGGCAGAGGGCTACGCTCGAGCTTCTGGCAAGCCGGGTGTGGTTGTCGTCACTTCTGGCCCAGGCGCTACAAACACTATCACCCCGATGCAGGATGCTTTGATGGATGGCACTCCCATGGTTGTGTTCAGCGGGCAGGTTGTGACCTCTGCGATTGGATCTGACGCCTTCCAAGAAGCCGACACAGTTGGCATTTCAAGAGCGTGCACAAAGTGGAACGTAATGGTCAAGAACGTGGCAGAGCTGCCCAGGAGGATAAACGAGGCTTTCGAGATTGCGACTTCAGGCAGACCAGGTCCAGTTTTGGTCGATCTGCCCAAGGACGTCACAGGTGGAAAGCTCAACAGGCCTATTCCCATGGCATCAACCCTCCCAACTCACCCCTCTGCAGCCACCATGGCAGCACGTGAGCTGTCTTTGAAGCAGCTTGACGGCAGCATTCGACGATCGGCAAACTTGATCAATATCGCAAAGAAGCCTGTGATTTACGCTGGTCAGGGCGTCTTGGGTCATCCAGATGGGCCCAAGCTTCTGAAGGAGCTGTCTGAGAAATCGCAAATTCCAGTCACAACGACTTTGCAGGGACTTGGCGGATTCGATGAGCTTGACCCCAAGGCTCTCCACATGCTGGGAATGCATGGTTCGGCATACGCAAACATGGCCATGCAGGAAGCTGATTTGATCATTGCTCTTGGTGGTCGTTTCGACGATCGTATCACTGGTGCCGTTGCTCGTTTTGCGCCTCAGGCACGTTTGGCAGCTTCGGAAGGCCGTGGTGGCATCGTTCACTTCGACATCATGCCAAAGAATATTAACAAGGTCGTCCAGGCTACTGAGGCTGTTGAGGGCGACGTGACTGCTAACCTTGCTCTCCTTATGCCCCACATCGAATCGAGAACTGAGGCAGATAGGAAATCGTGGTTTGACCAGATCGCCGCCTGGAAAGAGCGATTCCCGTGGGCATATGAGAAGGAGGACGGACCAGACGGCAAAATCAAGCCCCAGACCGTCATCACCACACTCTCAGACATGACGGCTGACCGGAAAGAGGACACCATCATTGCGACTGGAGTTGGCCAACATCAAATGTGGGCAGCACAACACTTCCGATGGCGGACGCCTCGCTCGATGATCACCTCAGGCGGTCTGGGAACGATGGGTTACGGTCTCCCAGCAGCTATTGGCGCCAAGGTTGCACAACCGGATAAGCTCGTTATCGACATTGACGGAGATGCATCGTTCCTGATGACTCAAACGGAGTTGGGCACCGCCGCTGAGTTCAACATTGGCGTAAAGGTGATTGTCCTGAACAACGAAGAGCAAGGCATGGTCACGCAGTGGCAATCTCTGTTCTACAACGATCGATTCGCGCACACTCACCAAAGGAATCCGGACTTCGTGAAACTCGCAGAAGCAATGTACGTTCCCGCCAGACGGACTACGAAGCTGGCGACTCTGAAGGACGACCTCGACTGGCTGATCCGCGGCTCTGGTGACGGTCCAGCTTTCCTCGAGGTCGTGGTTGACCAGAAGGTGCCCGTCTTGCCCATGGTTCCCGGTGGCAGCGCTCTGCACGAATTTCTGGTGTACGACGAGGCAAAGGAGAAGGCGAGACGCCAAAAGACAAGAGAGCGATCTGGGCGATAATTCACACAAGAAGAAAGTCGTCTGAAGTCGTTTTTCTGGCATGGTGTTTGCGGCGTTTTGTCGATTGGAGGCGCATCTGCGGCTGCTGGGCTTGCCGCATAGTATTTCGAACCACCTTGTTTGCATAGTAACCGAAAGAGCGTTTTCTCGAGGCGGGCGGGCCGTGTCGTGTCGCTACGTGGAAAAGCGACTGGGAGCAATAAGCCGAAAAGTTCACAAACAAAGACAATGGAATGTACGATTTGATCCGAGCCCACCTACCTTTTCACCCAAGCACTGGCATGAGTGGTTGAGATTTGCCCTGGACTCACTCGCATCCTAATTACTACTAACGAGGACAGCTTGATCCACACTCTTCACACTTCACGAGGGCGTGTCGCGGCGGTAGCGAATCTGCGTGAGCAGATGTACGGACCCCATGGTTGATAGTCTTGGCCGCTCTCCCTCTCTTTGAATTGGCAAACTGAACGAGACGATCCTAGCTGGTTCTCACAGAGAGCAACTCTTGCATCTGCAGAAAGTAACCAGATTTGGTAGTAGTGATACTGTTAGTCAAGCGTACGACCACCTCTCTTCGACCCCGCTCAATGTGTGGTCATTGAAACGTCGACTTATGCTGCCGTGAGGTTGGAGAAGGCATGGTTAATAGGGACATCAAATCATGAGCTCTGTCTTCACGGGTGACATCCGGAACGCAAACATTTCTGGAAGTTGATACGAATGCTCATCAAGTATATGAGGTGATAGTACAGGTTACATACGGATGGTCTTCGTCCATCCTTCCGGTGGGGAGTATAGTGCAGTAGTCAAAGACTCAAAGGTCCCTGGTAGCAGTAGTAGTACATACACGCAGCACCTCAACAACAGTAACGTCCAAAGTCTCCCATCTTTCGGAAGCCAACGTGTCGAATCACCATCGAACACGAACCCTGTCACCCAGCGTATCGTGTGCATTACTGCTGAGAGCGGCGCGGTGGTGTTCGTTCAATGACGATCACATTCTTCTTTCTGGAGTCACTTCCGGTTCCGAAGATAGACAGTTGGCAGTGCCATGGAACCGTTGTGTGGGCACGCGGTGCTCGTGCGGCGGAGTCTGGCCAAACAGGAGGAGTGACGTTCGTCTATCCCAACAGCCAAGGCCTTCACCGTGGCGACTTGGCGGCAGCGCCCAGCTTCCTGACTCCTCGGCGCAGGAGGGTGTCGCTCGCGTGGCTTGCACGCCTGTCTTGCCTCGTGGCCGGGGTTTCAGAGTAGAGAGTCGTGAAATCATTCATCAATCATTCAAGTCGTGTTGTTGGCGGAAGCAAATGCAAGAATTCGTGGGTATGTCCTCTTTCTGCGCCAGAATCGAAACAATGCTCAAAACTCCCCCGCGCGGCGTGCGTACTTTCGACGTGTACTGCGCTTCGCGCCGGCCCCCAAAAAACGCCACGAGGAAGGTGCGCCTTCACCTCGCCAAGCCCATCCATGAGATCCTTCGGGCGCAGATCTGCATCTTGCGCTGATCACAGCTGGTAATCTCATGTGACTGCGTTATGTCCGTAAAGTCGTCGGGGACGTGGCGGTCTCAAACGATTTTGAAGAGACTGGAGTTGAATCTGCCCGACATGCGTTTCCAGCCCCGGGAAAAGGATCCTCGTCGCTTGAGGAAGAGGGAGGTGTTGGTAGATGAGGATTCTTGAGAACTGCTTTCAATCCGGGCGATGGCTGCTGCGTAGGTCGGGTAGTTCTTCTTCGCGGATGGTAAGACTTCGTGCGGGTCGCTAGATAGGTAGATGTTGATGCGGTCGTTCATGTCCTTTGCGCGTTGTGAGCGGTCGACCTCGATGCTGCAGCCGCTCGATTGGCGCGATAGAGGGCTCATGGAGGGCAGGCCGATGGCGTTGTTTATGGTGCCGCAGCTGCCTCTACGGTTTGAAATGACGGGAGTCATGCCCATTTCTGATATCGTTGGTGACGAAGAGACGGAGCTGGCGGACGAGGTGCTGCCAAAGAGGCGGTGGGTCGAGTGGTGATGGTTCCCTGCGCCGTCGCAGAATGGACAGTTCTCAAGACGATTCTCCCAGCCTTGAAGTTTCAGCTTTTCAGTGCAGTTGGCGAGATTGCTGGAGGGATCGCAGGGCCTGATGAGTTCGTACCAGCGGTGGGAGCAGGGCGCGGTGGTTACATGTAGTCCAGCGATGCACATGCCAGGCTACGTGCGAGGTGGGAGTGTAGTGGAGTGCGGACCAGAAGACAAGCAATCTTGGAGACGTCTGGAGTCTGGAGAAGCGTCGAGGGTGTTGTGGGGAATTGGAGGCGAGCAGAACAATGCGGGTCTTGTCGTGCTCGTCTCGACTTGTTGACAGCCGCACGCGAGCGGAAGGGGCGTCCTTCGTTAGGCAGCGGTGAAGAAGTCGCAACGGACACTGACGACGGAGGCGAGTCTTGTCGATAGATGTGGAGAGAGGTCTGGTGTGACGATGATGGCGATGATGATGAGGGTGGTGAAACCAGAGCTTCTTTTGTTTCACGACTTCCTGGCGGGCGTCGCGGGGTGCTGCTTGTCGTAGTTCAAGGAATCCGGGATCGCGCGATGATGCATGCCAATCGTCCAGCAGAAGTGTTTGGGTGGCCCAGTGGTGAACTCTATGGCGACGTGCAGCTTGGCTGAGTGTTGGTCTTTTGGCTGTTGGAGTGGAGGGCTGAGGTGCGGCGCGAAGTAAGCAGCGAGTGAGCGCAATGTGATGCGCTGGCGGCGGTGGATGATTGTGAGTAGTAGTAGTGAGGGAAGGAAGTCCAGAACCCGGGTGATTATTCACGGCAGGAAGGAAGACGGGGCCAGGACCCTTTTGTTGGATATCTCTCTTCGCCGTTGGTGGTGTCAAAGTGAAAGGTAGAAGAGTGAAGTCTCAACTGCCAAACGTCAACGCACGCATGCACCCCCCTCCCCCCTTTCCTCTCCCTCTCCCACCCTCCTCCGTCGTGTCAACCTTGCACGCTCATCTCGTTGCTGCCCATCCCGCCGGGCGTCGAGTCGTCCCGAGCAATGCCGGCGTGTTGGATCTGCCAGATGGCGCCGGGCCCTTGCAAGGATAACCACGAGTGGCGCCCCTCTTCCGCGACGGCTAGTCGCTAGTGCCGTGGCAGCCTGCCAAGCTGCATATCCGCCTGCAATCCTCCCTCCCATCGCCTCTAGATTCCTGCCCAGCACCGGCAGCTGACGACCAATCTATCTATCCTCTAGCGACCAACACCGCCTGCGCCAGCACGTGGGTGGGACAAAGAGACAGCCTGTTTGTCTGTCGGCCATCCCACGCGTGTCGCACCCACGCAGCACCAGCCGTGCGTCGCACGCAGATACGGATCTCAGTGTGACAGGTGTGACCGCCAAGCCCACCCCACGGCCGTCTTCACGAACGAGACCTGTCCCAGCAACCGAAAAGGCAAAAGCCTGTTTCCCGTTCCATCATTGCCTCGCTTCACAGCTTTCGGGTCCCGAGACATATCAGCGAACATATCATGCCAGCCGAACTTCTACCTGTTTCTTCCTTTGCTCCATCGCACCGATCGCAGCATACGCCGCCACACCACGTCCGAGATCTTGTGCACAATCCCCCCGAAACGACTGCCGACATGTACGCGCGGATGCCGTATCATCAAAACGTCCAGATCAGTTTTCACTTCGCCTAGGATCCTAGTTTCGACCCTCGTCGCACAGCACAACGCCGCCTGCAAACACGAAGTCCAAACTCAATAACCCATCGCACAATCGAACAAGAAGAAGAAAAGTCTTCGCCGTGCTTCATCGCACACCGCGATTGCTTGGTATAACCTACCACCTACCCATACCCACTCATCGTCAACACGTGGCCGCATCATACGACACACCCTCTCAGCCTTTCCCTCGCTCGCACAAGCAAAATACGACAAGCACCATGCAAGAACGACGGGAAAGAACAGAAAATCTTTTTTAAACTCGTACAGAATCTGGGGCGGTTGCTTGCTCCCCGACGGCAGAGCCCAAGCTAATCAAGTTGCCGCCGCCGCCGTCGTCGCGGCAGAACCGTATGTATCCACTAACCAGTAGCGTGAACACCGCGGTCCAGGCTGTTGGCTTTTGCATTATTACGAATCAAGTGATGGAATACCCTCACCGACTTTGTTTGTTGTGTCTTCTGACAAACGACCGAACGAACGTGTTTGCTACAGTTGATTGAATAGGCTGTATTGTTGTCGACCATCAATGTCCGTCACGATGGGGAGCCCGGAAGAGGATTTGATTGTGCTACAGTATGCTGTGTTGTGCTTGCATGTGAAAGTTCGAGACCGCTCTTTCGATTAATAAATGAACCCTTGTAACGCCGGACTCATCTCCGCTACGTGACTTTTGTGACCTGGTAAGTAGCTGGATGGTGACTTGATGACATTCTACTGTACCAAGGAGAACCCGTTTGGAAGACGTAACAACGAAAGGTGAGGCAGACAAGACAACAAAGGTTTCGAACCGTATCGCCTCCATTAAACATTACTCTTTCTATTCTGCCAACCAACTTTTTGACAACGACACAAGAAATGCAATCGACATGCATATATGAATGATAACCCATCTAAAGCTCAGCAAAAGCCCAAGTCATACCCCCCATCGCCACGACAAAAGCAAACATGCTGTACCCAAGAGACGCCGCACCGCCCTCGGAAGCGGGGGCGCCAGTATCCGACGGCTGGGGCGAGTTGTAAGTCGGTGTCGAGGTCCCGTTCGTACCGTTGATGTGGCCCATCCACGACGACGACGCAGAAGGCCAAGCAGTGGCAGTCTCGGTGGTGGTCGTCGGCGCACTGCTCGTGGGAGCGGGGACGACAGCGCCCGTCACGGGGGCGTCAGTCGTGGAAGAAGAAGAAGAAGTCTCAGCGGGGATGGAAGTGGTGCTGGATGGCGCGGGGGTTGGACAGAAGCCCGCGACGAAGTCTGTGATTTTCTTGCGGTCGGCTTCTTCGGGGCAGGCGGATTCGACGGCTGTGTTGAGTTGGGCGGGGAGGTCGGGCTTGGAGCAGAGGCAGTCGACGTCGATGCCGGGGCAGCCTGAGGCGGCGAGCACGGCGGGGAGGCCGTTCAGCGCGCAGTCGGGGAGGTCTGCGATGCCTGCTGGGAGGGAGGATTGGGGCATTGCGGTTGCGAGGGTGAAGGCGAGGGCGAGAGTGGAGGCCTTGAGGGAGACCATCTTGACGGTGTGCGAGAGGTGGGTTGTGTGTATGGGGTGGAAAAGACAGTGGTTTGAAGAGGGAGAAGGATGTGGAAGTACAGACTTACTTCATCTTAAGACCCTTACAACGCATTCGCCTTCACTTTCGTAAATTCCATCGTGGGAGCTGTCGAGTGCTGAAACCAGGCCTCTGACCCGTTTGCTCATCGGTTCAGCAGTCGCGACGTCACTACAAGAAGGCCCATCCAGAACACCGGGCTCCCATCAAGCTGCTAGCAGTATCTCGGGCGCCTTGACTGGAATGTGGAATCAGGTAGGAATGTGGCGGCTCGAATGGCGTGGAATGTGTCTCAGTTCCCCAGATGTGGCGCCATTGTCTGTGATGGTGCTTCCGTTTGCGGTAATCTGGGATTGACGTGGTTGTGCAGGGACGAGAGAGAGACTGGCGGTAACAAAGACGGGCTGTCGAATTCTTCTGCGGTGACGAACATGACGAATGGTGTGGTTGCAGCAGCTTGTGAGCGGTACAAGGCCTGTGCTGTCGGTAATAGCCTGCTCTGTGAATGTTAGTTGCTGGCCATTGGTCTGCCATCTACTGAAAGGCAAGCAACGAGAAGCACACTGGGCTTTGTGCATTCGGTGGACGGCTCTCGAGTCCCTCACGGAACACAGAAGGATTGACATCTGCTGAACCATCTGCAACGAAAGTATGACCTTCGGCCAGCTCCCCTTCTCGCTGCAGGGTATAGGATCCTCTCGAGGCCAACAGCTCCTCTCACCATTCGACCTAGGACCCGAAGATGAGCTATCGGCAGCCCAAAGGCGTGGGAGTCTCGTCGGCCGAGTCCAAAGCTACAGCCGCATCATGCACTCGTACACCATGCTCCAGATGCAATCGTCACCCGGAACCACCTTGCCAGGCTACCAGAAAGCTATGTACGAGTTCACCCAGCGGCAGATGAAGGGCCAGCGAAGTCCGTACAAGGCACGCAGCGAGACGAGCAGTCCGCACATCGCAGCTCAACAGGCCGTGTTGCCTTGTCATGTTGGTGCTGGCCTGGCACAGTTGTCGCTGGATGATGCCCCGCCGCCGCCTTGCAGTACGCCTGAGCAGAGTTTGCCGTCGAGGAGACAGAGAGGAGTGAAGCCGCGAAGTACGACGGAGCCGATTCCACGGGATTTCGCTGTTGGCATCAAGGGTCGCGCTGGGGTCGCGTGTGCGTGAGGAAGGTGCGATGTGAAGGGAAACGCGGTGGGCCTGGCTTTAGCGTGGCAGCATTATTGCACTTGCTTCAGACGGGACTTAACCTCTCCAACACCAACTCCAACTCTTTCACCACCAAGTCGCAACCCAAGTGCCGTCACAACGACGTACAGAGCCGCACAATCTCCGCCATGGTGGAGTTCCAGGAGATCAGACCCTAGTGAGTGCATTGTCCCGTCAAGCGGTCACCAGGACTGACATCCGTCCAGCAAGATCCCGCCCGTCTTCTGGAGGCCCAAGCCAAAGCCAGATACGCCCGACCTAATAATGAGTCTCCCTCCCGAGCTACGAAACCGCATCTACCTCGAGATCCTACCAGCGGACCAGTACTATGGCACCGCGCCGTACTGCACCAGGACGAAGCTGCCGCTGCTGCGACTATCGAAGCAGATCAGGGCCGAGACCGCCTGCATATTTTACGGCAATAATTGCTTCGGCATTCAATGTCATCTCGACAGCGAGGAGTTCGCTACTGGTATCCAGAAGTGTCGTAGCATTGTCAGAACTTGCGGTCCACGACCGTTTCTCGAATTGAGGTTCAGCGACCTTGGCCCGAACACGAAGATCTTACCACAAATCGCAAAGCTCTTGCCGTTGCTTGAATTGATGAGAGACCTGAAATTCGAACCGGACAAAGACTTCGTGCCTGGAGACCACACCAAAAGGAGGATAAGGCTCGCAGCATCGCCAGTGGGAAATCGCTCTTTCAATATGTCTTGTATTCTGCGGTCCACGATGCCCTTGGAAGAGCCATCGCATTGGGCAGGCGTGCCAGGGATGAGGGATGGACCCAGGCACAACTTGAGCAGCGGTTTGCGGAGTTCGTCAAGTTTGCCATGAAAGGTCCCAAGAAACACATACCACCCAAGCGTCCACCGAAGTGGCCAGCTACCCTTTGAGAAACTGTGGGCGAAGCGTTGTCGGATGGAGATAATGGCAGTGGCTGAATGGAGGCGAAAGTACGACGTGTTTCAGGAAGACTTGCTGGCCAGCATTTAACAACCAAGAATCTGTATCTCTGCTGTTCCCGGGTATGTAAGAAAGCCAGGTCGTCGAACATACATGGTTCGCACCATATCGGCCTGCATTTCGCTGCATCACACCGTCGCAAACTCTTTCGTCCTTGACTTTCTCTCCTCGTTTCAACACCTTCCCAAGCTCTTGACTGGCTCTACGACCCTTTCACAAGTGTTTCGACCCTTCCCATCTCTTTCCGTGCACAAGCGGCCGAGAGCAGCTGATCAATCATGATCATACCACTGCCAAGAGGCATATGTATCTCAGTCATCGCCGCCTGTCATCAACCTGCTGCCCGAATCATCAATAAACGAAAATGCCGTGTCCGCGCATCCCGTCGCAAAGACACAGCGACGTGACGTGAAGTCCGAACGCCGCCTCGCATTGCCGCAGAGCCCCGGGCCCGGATGATCAAAGATCAGCAAGGAAATGAGATCACCGAGTGGAGCCAAGCATCAACGGTGCGTCGATGTCAAGCTTCGAAACATGTGAGCTTGTCGTTGGTTGCTCTCACATCATTCCACCTCATGTGCTCTGGTCTTTTTTCCCTGCCGCTGGCGAGAGATGCCGCTGGACTCCGGCTCGCTGTCTCGGTGTACCTCGCTGGATGCATGGCAAATGTTCATACGCTCAATGGTGGATCGTAGGAGATGCGGCTCATCAATCATCAAAAGCAAAGCATGGCACGGCATGATAAACCACATGCTAGGTGCTGCAAGCGTCTCTGCTAATGCTGAGTAGCCTGATCAGTGATGCAACAAGCTTTGGAATACCCCCAAACAGAGCGATCCGGATCTGCAACCCATCTTCTCATCTCATCGCCTGTTCGATGCCGCTTGGTGAGCGACCTGCGACCTGCGACCTGCTTCGGTAAGCCCCGGTTCGGACGTGGTTTCGCCCTTGTGAGGCACCGCTACCCTCGTCATATGCATTTGCACCTGATGAGTGTGTTCCGGAAGGGTAGGGATATCGCTGCCGATGATGGGCGGGCGGGTGGGTGGATCTTGCTTTTTGGTCGACAGTCACTACTTCGTTGTTCCTTCCTTCCTTCTTGTCTACTGCGACCCTACTACTACTTCCATTTACTTTAGTTCACTCCCCCCGCGGATTCCGTCTAACCATCCATCTGATCCCTTAAGGAAGACCTTGCGCTGAGGGTTGTTATTCCTTCGAGGATACTACTTCGCGTACCTGTCTACATTTCTGTCGCCACTGGACATTGCAACTTTACTATTTCACAGTCGGCATCCTCAGTGACCTGAAGGCTACACAGCCGTTCGCCACAGCAAGAGCATCCACCATGGCGCCAGTGATATGGGGATTGGATCTGAAGGAGATGCAATGGTATAAGTTCGGGAACAGCTATATGTGGAAGAACAGAGACTACCACCTGCGTCGGACCAAGTTCATCATCTACCAATGCGCCCTGATCTTTTGCGTGGTATCTGAGTCTTTGGGCACGGCGGCCTTGTCAGGTAAGCAGTACTCCTAATAAATATAACGATGACTGGCGCGACTGACACTGAATATTCTCTTCCAGACTACGTCGACTCCCAAAAATTCGTCAAGCGCCTCGATCGCCGAATATACGTCTACAACAACGACTACATCGCCGTGGCCTCCTACAACATCTTCGCCGGCGTCTTCGTCGCCTTCATCTTCGGCGCTGCGTTCTTCTTCGATCTGTTCTGGCCGGAGCGACGCGAGAACAAGGCCGTGCGAACGGCGTGGAAAGTCTGCGGTGTGCTGGCCTGCGTCTTTTACTGCGCCGATGCGTTTGCCTTGACGATCATCACGGCGACGCAGTGCCAGTATTTCAGAGGAGACGGGTTCACCAGAGAGTATGCGGAGTCGCTGCTGAGGCAGTTCAAGAAGGATGGTGGGACGCCCCTGTGCTACAGGAATAATGGCCGTGCGATCGCCGCTGTGGTGTTTTGCTGGCCGGGATTCTTGAGCGTTATTGCGAGGTAAGCAGGAGACCTACACGCACATCGTTGACAGTCAGCTAATGCTCTCCACAGCTGCATCCTCCTCTTCATGTCCATCGACAACACCGAAAAGGGCCCCGGCCCCAAATCCGCCCACGCCCGCCAACGCGACGCCGAAGGAGGCATAACAACCGGCAGCGAAACCGAGAAAGAGAAGGAAGAAGGCGAGAGCCCCGCCCCTCTCCAACAACCACTCCCAACCCACCAGGAACCCGGCGCAGACAGGACCGTAGACGCGGCGCCGGTGGCCGCAGAGCCAACACGGTAGACGCCGCCGCCGCTACCACGGGACATCAGCCGCATATCCAACCTTCTGGAGAGGGAAGCTGTTCGTGGCGAGAGTCCGCAATCGGTACAGAGCGAGGAGACGGTGATTTCGAATTTCAGCTCGTTGGCGAGACCGAAGGGATCGATGGATTATCCTTTCAGGATCTTTTCTAGTCCGACCAAGATGCCGACGATGACAACGACGACGACGACGACGACGACGAAAGGTGGCCCGATTCCGCTGCGCAGGAAGCTGGGCGTGATGAGTTTGGCGTCGTTGACGTCGGGGGTTGCGGATACGGGTCGGCATACGAGGTGAATGAATGATATCGACATTATTGGGTATGGGATTCACGGGCCCGAACTTCTGAAAAGGGTTTTTCTTTTGGTTCGTTTCTGTTTCTTTTAGGAAGGGATGATTGGACCCTTGATACTGCATAGCGGAGGCGTTGACATGAGTGGGGGGGACACGAGATTGAATTGAGAGCCGGACAAGAGGATGGCTTGGTTTTCTGTTGTATATTACATTGAGTGGAGGAGTAATGAAACGAAACAGAGTTTTATGTGAACATTCACGCAACATGAGAACGTGCTCTAGACACTTCAGTCCCCAAGTCATTCGAAAAGCCTTCTCATCGTCACATGCCAGCTGCCACTATCTCCTCGTGCCGTTTGGTGATGGTCTGTGCGCGGAGCTAAGAGCTTGCTGTGAAGGACCTCACCTCTTGGAACTTTTGTCGAAATCCAGCATCTTCTTGTCGATTTTTCCACTTTCTGCCTCGATATGGGCAGCATCGCTACAGATCAGAATGATTTGGATGGCGAGGACATACGGCCGCGGTAAGGGAATTCTTCTTCGACGATCAGCGGCATTTCTGACTGAATCATCTCAATGATAGTGTCCTTAAGATTTTTGATGCTGCGAAGAAGGATGGGCGGGGTGTATACGGTAAGTTTTCAACACGATTCTCTCCCTGCAAATGCGCAAGCTAATACAGAGAACAGTCTCAGCGCCCATGGTCCGGTACGTCCCACCCATCCATCCCCACCAACAACCCATCCTAACACCACCCCTCCACCCCCAGCTACAGCAAGCTCCCTTTCCGCCTCCTCGCCCGGCACTCCCACGTGGACATAACCTACACGCCCATGATGCTCGCACACGAATTCGTCCGCTCCGCCACCGCCCGAAACTCCGATTTCACAACCCACCCGCTCGAGCGCACCGCAACCCCCGACGGCCGACCCCACGCCCTCATCGCGCAGTTCGCGTCCTCAGATCCGGAGGAGTTTGCCCGCGCGGCGGAGCTGGTCGCGCCGTGGGTCGATGGCGTGGATTTGAATTGTGGGTGTCCGCAGGGGTGGGCTTGTCGGGAGGGGATTGGGTGTGCGTTGATGGAGGAGGGGGAGTTGGTGGGGAGGATTGTGAGGAGGGCGAAGGAGAGGTTAAGGGGAGGGGGGTGGAGGGTGAGTGTTAGTGTTAAGTGTCGGATTCATAAGGATCTCAGGTACGTCTGGTGTTGGGGTTTCGAAAGCTGAGATCTTGTGGGGATGAGGAATGCTAATGACACGGCATGAATAGTCAGACGATCAGTTTCTTGGAGAAAGTCCAAGCAGCCGGTGTGGACTACATCACGATCCACGGCCGCCTGCGCTCGCAACGCTCCAGCACACCGCCCAATTACGAAGCCCTGGCTCTGCTCCGCCCGCACATAACCGTACCCTTCCTGGTGAACGGAGACGTCTACACCCTCTCTGGCGCCCAAAAGACCTTGAAACTCACCGGCGCCCACGGCGTCATGGCCGCCCGTGGCATCCTCGAGAATCCGGGGATGTTCACAGGCGAAGACCACGTCACTCCAGCGTTGCTGATGGAGTTCTTGGAGTGGGTGGTGCGCTGTCCAATCCCCTTCCCGCTGGTGCTGCATCATGTGACTGAGATGGTGGGGCGGATGGAGGGGACGACGAAGAAAGTCAAGAGGGAGGTTGTGGAGTGTGCGGATTTGGTGGACTTAATTGATTTCGTGGAGGGGCGGTGGGGGAGGGGATGATGGGTGTCGAAGGGGACAGATATATAGCGTGGAGATTTGGTGATCGTAGACAGTAGAGGGGCGAGACGCGGTGTGCCTCCTCTGGTGCCAAATTTTGCAAACGGTCGATTGAGGACAAAATGAAATGGCATTTGCCTTGTCGATCGAAAGGATTGTGTTCAGGGGCTGACCAGCACCGGATGGGAAGACCACAATCGATTCAAGAACGAGAACGATTGACTGGAGTCTTTATAGCAGTGGAGATCCTCTTGCATTTTGATTACTCGGTTCGATCCAGATCATTGAGAAATGAATCCCGAATTCGGAAAGAGCGGAACTGTGGAGAACATGTGAAAGCCAAGCCCTGAAGCCCCCCTGCATCTGAGGCTCAAGACCCTTCCAATTCTATATCTACCCACAATATTGAGCGTGGAGTTCTAATCCCTGGAATGCAATCCACCGTTCTGTCGTCAATGCTCGTTTCTATAATACAATCCCAATCCCCCAAACAAAGCTCTACCATCCATCTATCATCTCACAGCATTCCTCGCCCCAAGCAACCGTCCCCTCAAAAACTCCCCAAACCCCCCCTCCACACTCGCCGAAAACCGCACATAACTCGCCATGGCCGAACTGCTCGTCACGGGCGGACAATGCTCCACCACCGCCTGCACGTCCAGCTCCTGGAGCCCCTGCACCTCGAGCAGATACTGCATCCACTCCATGCCATCCAACTGGTGCAGCAACTCGAAATCCCCCGCGGAGTACCGCGCCACGCGATCCCAGCCGTTCTCCCCCGGCCGCCCCGCCACGACGCCGAGCTCCAGCCGACGCAGCGAGATGTTATTGCTCGTGGACGTGAGGTACCGCAGAGCGTTGGACCACTCGCATTTATCGAATTCCTTGCAATACGGCAGGGCGCGTTTGACGATGCGGAGGTTCTTGATGCAGCTCCGCGCGAAGGGGGTCAGGTCGGAGAGGAAGGGGATGAGGGCTTCGATGTGCGTGTCGAAGTCGAAGGTGTAGGAGGAGTAGAGCAGCTCGGCGGCTTCGGCGTGGATTTGTTTGCACGTGCCCAGGATGGAGAGGTTGTCTTCGAGGCGCGGGTTGTTGATCGCGTGGTACGTCGTGCTCATGCAGCGGGCTTGGAAGCGGTCGGCGCGCACGCTGTAGGTGCTGCGGGTGTGGGAGGGTTTGGTGGGGGGATGGAGGGATTTGTAGGCCTTGGGGTCGATGGTGCGGATGTGGATGAAGGGGTGGGAGAGGTCTGCTGTGACGGCTGCCCGCTCGGAGCCGGTTTGTTTCTTGTCGTAGTCGAAGTAGTCGATGGTGCTCGCTGTGACTTTCTGGTAGGACGGCAGCAGATCCGACGCTTTGCGTGGGAGCACAAGCAGCGCATATATCTGCAGGCGTATCTCGGTCGGCAAGCGCATGAACGGTGACGGCATTGTATCACGCTTGTGCACCGCCGGGCTCGTCGAAGGCATCCTGGGTAACGTATTGAGCGTCAAAAACCTCGGTCGTCCCTGTCTCGTGCCCGAACTGTCTCTCCTCTCGTTCTCCACCCTCTGCTTCTGCTCCCGGATCCTCTCCTGCGCGAGGTGATGTTCGGCGCAAGAAGTGTACAGCGGCCTCGTCATGCCCGTCGATACGTTTTTGATTTCCGCTTCCCCTCCTTTGCGCACCGCGGCCGGCGGCTGGTAGGAGGACTGTGATGGACCCGCCATGGTTCGCTCGCTGCTTGTTCGTCTTTTTCTCAAACCCAAACGGCTGATTGTCGCGCGCCGACAGGCTACCCGCCGATGGAGCGATAGGGCCTATCTATCGCGTGCTTTCGTCGTCTAGTCGCGCCTGATTCAGAGGATACCGCGGCCAAGCGATTGTGAGGTTCGTCGGCGCGCTTCGATTGGACGGGTTGGGCTCGGGTGGGAGCGGTGTGAGTGACGGGGAGGGTAGGATGGGCGGTCGCAGGTGGGATCGTGACGGACGGCGAGTGTCTGCGCTGGTTGAGACTCGGACGGCACGGAGTATCTGCCTTCGATAGGCGTTGTCACGATCTTATGACAAACGGCCGGGATATCGGGCAGCGAAGTGACTGGAGGTGAATGGGGTGTTGTCACTTGTTGGCCGTCCCGCTCACCTTGATGGAAAGTTCAAGAGTACAAGTCGTCGATATGCCTCGTCTCGGCTTTCGCTTTTGACAGATGGACGAGTGTAGAGGAGTGATGATATGTGAGGCAGAACCATTTGCCCATAAATGGGGTGATTCTTCCGCCAGGCCCACCCTCAACGACATCATCGAAAAGGCCAACGGTTGCTGTGTAACATAGGAAAGCCCGCCATTAGCAGAATCGTCACTGTAGACAACCTAATCTCTCAAGATGCATTCTTCGGATCATCTAGCTATGTACAAGAAAAGCACACAAACCCCGCCCATTTCGCTCGCTGCATTACATGAGATGTATGTGATGGCACGCGTTGACTATGCTGAAGCTATCGACTGCCAACAATCCTCTTTTTCCTGCGCTCGCTATGAACACCAAGCACCCGCACTCCCATTACTTCATGGATCTCACGTCTTCGGCCTGATCTCCACCCCTTCATACTCGCGACTCGCAATATAGTCCAGGGTGCGCTGGAAGTGTTTTCTCGGCGATTCCAACCCACTGGCGTTCTCGGTGGTGTTGAGGTTCGAGTGGATCAGCTCGATCAAGCCGTTCAGGTACTTCGTCGTCACGGCATCGTTCTCCTGGTCGAAGTAGTAGACGTAGCGGTTCAGGATCTCGACAAACAGCTCGACGGACACAGCGGTATCCATGCAGGCATCGGCGACTCGGAGAGCACGCTGCAAGCATTCGAGAACACGCTTGCCATCGCGATAGGGCTGGAAAGATATATTAGCATGCAGGTCAAATCCGATACACTTGTCGATGTCAACACTCACCTCCTTGGCACCTTCTTGCCTCTCCGTCTTCTCGGCAGCCCACCAAAGATGACTCGCAAGATACACCGCCCGACACTGGTCCGGCTTCTTGAGCAATTTGCTGCCGTGCAGTGCCGCCTTCGTGATGAGTGTGTCGTAGTTCTCCCTGCTGAACCTTTCTGAGCAACTGCAAAGCGCGCCAGCAATGATGCAGATCGCCTGGAACTGTGACCTTGAATCCGATATTGACTCTTCGTACACGGTGAATGCTTGTGCGAAATACTCATACGCCACGTCTTCGTTCTCGCATTGGCTAGCAACCTGACCGCATGAGACGAACAGTCGCAGAACGAGGTCTGGCACGCCAGATGACGATACTCGAGTGTACAGCGAGGAGATGGTAGTGTGGATGAATTTGTACAATGCCGAGGATTGCGCGCCGTAGTCGTCGTTCGAGAGATGTTCCCTTCGCTTGAAAGATCGTGCGAGCTTGAGGGATGCCGTTATTATCGCTGGTGTCGTGTACTTTGTCCTCTCGCTGCCCTCCTGGAAAGCTGCCTTCGCCGCTTGCAGAAGCTTGAACTGTGTCACGTTGTCTGTTCCGTGGATGAGATGGACTATCCGTGCAAGCCAGCCCTGTTCTTCCACGGTCTCATCAGTCTCTACTGCTCCTCGCCTCGCAGGACCGCCCGCATATCCTGATGGCGGCTGCATGCCCTCTTTGATCAGAACCGAGAGAATCGATAGCACACCCTCCAGATTCGCTGGTGTTGTGATCTTCGTCTCGTTTCGTAGCAGATTCCGGGCGACCTCACCAGCGACTGCTCTTCGCGTAGGGTATGGTTGGGCGTGGAAGAGAGGTAAAAAGTTCGGCAGTGCAAGCGCCGTGAAGAGGGAGTAGTATGTCTTGACAGGTCCAAGCAACAAGCTCAGGATGCTTGATTGCGATTGCTGGGAGTGCAGGTCGGCGGAGTTGTTAAAGCGTGCGACTTCCTTCGTAGCGTAATGTAAGACCTGGTCCGCGTAGTCCAGGCGTTCGGGATATATGTTCAGTGCAAGGTTCACCAAAGACACCAGCAGGGCGGTGATGTCCTGTATGGGTAACCTCTGCATGCTCACAAGATGTATGACTTGCTCGTAGAAGATCTCAAACAGCTTTACATCCACCGGAATGCCCTTGTGTTTCAACGAGTCTCCGTTCGGTTGTGATGGTGGAGGTGCCGCGGATTCCTCCTTCGCAGGCGATTCTGATGATGCTCCCTCTGTGACGGTCTCCTCGGTCGCCGCTGACTCGCCATTGGGAGGCTCGCCATTCTCGGTTGGTTTCGCAGAATCCTCTTCAGCAGCAGCTTTTGATACTTTCAATCTCTCCATCAACGCAGCCACCGAATCCTCTTCCTCTTTCTGCCTCTCTTCCGGACTCTTGCTATCCGCCTCTCGTGCAGCGAACGCGGACAGCCGGTCCATGAGGCCAATGACAATCGCTTTGATATTCACATGAGGGTTCAGCCGTGCCGTCGCTGCCAGTAGTTGGTCCAAGGTGTGGAGGTGGAATTCATCAGGGAAGACCTGCGTGATCACCTCCAGTAAGTACTCCTGCGCCAAGACATCCCGACACTGCACGACTTGCTCGAGCAGCGGTTGTAGTATGATATTCTTGTAGCTCTCCAGATCCACCAGCTGGCTCAATCGTACCAGGTTGCTGCCTACCAACAACTGCAACTCCTGGCGCTCTTTCGTCCGTTGTTCCCGCTCGCGCGAATGTCCCTGGTGTTGTAGTCGCACCCAGAGCTTGTTCATCTCAACAAAGTTGGTCAGAATAAAGCTGATGCTGTCCTGCAGATTCCCCTCCGGTCCGTCTCCATTCCCTGTAGGCAGCGAATCTCTCGCCTGGCCGCTCAGGTAGTATCGCAAGAAGAGTCCTCGCACGGGATGTTGCACCCCGCGGCTCATCTCCATCATGTCTTTCATTATCTCTTTAACCGGCGCATCCTCAATGCCCATGTAGACTGTGCCCACGGTGATCATCAGGTATAATCTTGGCACAATGTTTCCCGCATACTGGACCAGCTCGTAGAGGTCGGCGAGGTGGTTCGTTGGGTGGGAGTCGCGCAGGTAGACGGAGAGGTGTCGCAGCGCATCGAAGACGGACATGTAGAGCTCGTAGTACTGTTTGGGTCCTAGACTGCTCGTTCGCAGCTCTGACACCAATGTTGAGCTGTCTGGCGGTCAGTCGGGTATCCTATTGCCTCGCCAGGTAAGTAATAAGGAATCTCACCTGCACTTCAGCGCATCCATCAGCTTTCCAGGCGATTCGAGGCATCGGCGCATGAGGACAGTCTGCTGGCGAACGACCCCCAAGGCATCCTCCAACAGCCGCGCCTGGTCCTCGACCGGCGGCGGCGATGAGGGTGCGTCGTCCAGCATGATGAGTGTTGTACAGGAGAGCGCAGATTATCGGCGGATCGTTGAATCGTGGTGGTCATGTGCTCGCATGGCAGGCGTGTGGAGGGTGTTGGCAATACGCGAGACCAATGCTGGCAAGCTGGCTGGCTGGCTTGCGTTGCGCGGGATGGATGGAGCTGCGCTTGACATGCTTTCGCGCCTGAGGTATCCATGCATGGAACCCTTTCCCATGTGAGAGACTAGCGAAAGACTGTTCGATGTGATTAGGATTTCATGTCATTCGTTTGCACACTCTATCTGCTGCTGTGATTCCAGCTTCTATCAAATGCCACACTCGGATCCCATCACACATTAGCAAGACCCTCTATCGCTGCACTAGCAGAGCGGTCACAAACTCCATCCCAATGCATCTCTCTCATTAACAACATTTTGACAATCGCTTCCCACCCGTCGCTAAAATGCCAACAGTAAAGCCATTAAATCCACACACATCATCAAAATTATTCAGCGTCTCTGCATGGTTTCCTTCCAGCCATTCTGTCGTTGCTTCCAGAAGAGTGATCAGCATTCTCAATAGTAGTTTGTTGCGTTCCAGCCCTCCGCAGCGTAACCGGTGTACCCAGTTGGTGCAGCACGGCCAGCAAGATACGCTCCGGTACCTGACGGCGCAGCTCGCCCAGCGAGGTAAGCTCCAGTACCCGTTGCGCCATACCAGCGCTTTGCAAGAGTCGAACCAGTCGGGATGGCAGCGTACATCAAGCCCGTTCCTGCACTGATAGGGCCATGGACCTCAGTCACAGTCTGATTCCACTGAGAAACCGAAGTAAACGCGCTCTTGAGTGAAGACGAGGTCGTGGACGACGTAACTGCAGCAGCATACGGGGCCACTGGCAAGGTATTGTACACTGTCGACGTTTGCGTCGCTGTGGTCGTGGCAGGTGTTGCTGCCGAGTCGAGGGTCGGCAGTGGCGGAGAGCCAGCCGAATGTGAGTATGCAGGCTGCTCGGCGTTCCCAATCGTAACGGTCCAGCTTTGCGTGGTCGTGATGGACTGCGTTGGGGCTGCTTGCGCGCTCGGCGTTGCTGTGACAGTGATGGCCGGTTGGATAATCGTGGATGGCGTTGATGATTCAACAACTGTGGAATAGACGGTCGCTGCGGCGGATTCACTCGAAGGGCCGCCAACATCTACGACCTGGTATGTTGGTACAGGGTTCGGTCGTGGTAACGCTGTCGCGCTGAGTGCCAGGTATGTGATTGCAATCAGGGCTGAGGAGCGAGAGAAAGGCATCGTGAGTGTGAGCTCAATTTCCAGGATATGTGTTGTGCTCTGTTGTCGTTGAGCTTCGTATTGTGAAGAATTCTTTCCCAGACTTGGCTTCAAGTGTCAAGGTCAAGGAGGATAGTGTGGGTGTTGCGCAAGAGATGCAGGATTGTGTGCAGGGCAGAAGCTCCTACCCGGCGCCATACCTATATCTATGACTTTCGTGGCCATTTTTTGCGTTGAAAGTGGCTGGGCGACGAAAAATGCTGTGAAATCAGTAGTCTGGTCAATTGCGTGTCGCGAGGTTGGGAGGAGGCAGGAGGAATGCGCTAGGCCTCTTCGTGATTGGCTCGGCAGTCTCGGCGGCAACCGACGGCCCGCTCTCGGCAGCGTGAAACGCGCTTGCCCAGCCAGGCCAGCCGACTTCACCTCCATTTTCACGCTCACATATATACAGAACGCTCCCGTTTGATGTCAACCGTGGACCCTCTGACGATACATAGCCTCGGGAGGCCGTCATTATTACAATGGAAGAAGCGATTCGAAACAGCATGGCCGGACGATGGACCTCGAACGCCGTCCACCAACGTCCGCATTTCACTGGAAATCTACACGCTGTATCAATATTGAGGGCCTCCCTGCTACTTCCATTGCACTATTGACAGGAACGCACTACTACAATATCTGGTAACGGAGTCGCATGTCTTGTGTTCCAAGCTGAGCTTTGTCGGAACGGTACATGCAGAGCAAACGAGGCAGTGCAACTAGGAAGTCCGTCAAAGTAGATAAACGTAAGCGACTGCCCCTATCCTTTTATTTCTCCTGTGAAAACAGAACATATATCCTACATCACACTCCAGATAAATTCTTTATACACGGCATCGTTACCGTCGATGTCAAGAATCAGCACTTGCCTGCAACGAGAAGACGTCGCATGCGCGGAACGGAGCATGTGTGGGACTACTACTGTAAGACTCATGAAGATGTACATTCACGAGTTGATTTTCTTCGGATGCGGTGACTTGCTCGCTGAAAATATTCACCTGCTCAATATTCACCTGCTCGAGTTCGAGGTCAATGGTCCGTGCGCTCTCGCCTACAAAAAGCCCGTCTCTGCAAGTCCTCGACTTCTTCCTGATCACCACAAAACACACCACATCTGCGACCCCGACATCCACGGCCATGGCTTCAAAGTCTACACTTCGCGCCGATGCCCCCGAGTTCAGCATGATGTTGTGCGGAAAGCATGTTTCCCCACCGAACATCCTTGAGCATTCTGGCTTTCGCCTCGAGTTGCGGAAAGAGCGGTACTTCCGTCCACTTCTGCCGGGTGAGAAGCACGGCGACCGTCTCTGCGACTACTACGGCTTTCCAGAACTGCTTCAGGAGCGCAAGCAAATCAGTCCCGAGGTCAAGGTAAGCCACCGAGTCTTTTTTCTACATCGAAAGCAGCATCTAACACGGAACAGACACCGAAGAAGCCTTTCCCGCTATTCAAGCTCCCTGCTGAGCTGCGGGTCAAGGTGTACGAGTATGCGGTGACCTCTGACGAGGCGATCGAGTTCTGTCCCGAGCCATACTTCTACAGTGGCCTCGGACCAAAGCACCGTCGAAAGGGTGACTGGTGGGATGACTTCGATCATGCCAAGGCCTATCACAAGCAAGCTATGAAGCGGGCCGCCGGTTGTGCCGCCCTACTCCGAGTCAACAAGCAGCTGTGCTCCGAAGCCACGCCTGTGTTCTACGGAGAGAACGAGTTCCGTTTCTCCAACGTCACTGGCTGGATTGGACTCGACCTATTCCTCTACAAGATCGGTCTCGAAAAGTGCAGCATGCTCCGCAAGGTCACTGTCTGCCAGCCACCCACAGTGCCTTCGCGTTCCAACATCTTTGAAACAAGGACGAGACTTCGACGACGGCTCGCCCTTCCACCGCCTCCCCGACGCCAATAGGCCTGGCTTCCTCTACGACACACGTTGGTTCGACGAGGAGATCAGTATCGATCCTCTGCTCATCCTGCAGAAGGCGGGAAAGCTCCAGCACCTGCGCCTCATCTCACCAGCGAACACCCACATCACGTTTGACTACAACCCGTTCGATCTCACGTGCTTCAACGACTTGAAGGTGACCGTGGTGTCGCTCCGCAGTGAGAAGCTCATGCCGACGATGGGCAGTGACATCACGCTTCCTTGGAGTCACAAGGATGCTGAGGCAGCCAAGAACATGGCAGAGCAGCATCTCGAGGAGACGGGCGAGAAGTGGGAGTACTTTGACAAGGTCATTGACGAGTACGGCCTTTACTAGGGTTTGATGTAGTCGACGAAGGGTTTCAAGGCGGATTTCGAAGCGGGTTCAAGGCGGGTTCAGGTTGGAGAGCTTTGCGTTTGCTTTGTTGCTTTCTTTTCATTTGGGTTATACACCAGGTGGTCCTTCGAAAGACTTCCCACTCTGCAGAGCAGCGCACACGGCGCATTTTGAACTGCAGAAGTAATTGTATGCAATGTGCCCACTGGGCGCTTCACAATAGGATCACAGTACTTCGCAGTCTCATCAAACTTCATTTATCTTCTCGACTCGCCAGCGGCTTGACAGGCTCGGTGTGTTCTGCTAATAAGTCCACGTTTATCATGTGCATTAGGCATCCGGCAATGACCGCAGGCTCTCATTTGTTCACTCACAGTCACAACATACCTCATGTGTGGTACTCCGAAGGAGCACTAATGCCAACTGCTTACAGCCTCACGAGCAGGCTAAGCCTGAATCGATCAATAGGTGATATTAAGATCATTCGCACTATAGACATAAAGACAATGCTTCCTCCTCGAAGCAGATACTTCTGCGATCACTCACTGATCTTCATCTACTACATCCCCAACACAATGTCCGCCACCAAGCTCGAATCCGTCTTCTCCCTCGCCCGCCTCAAAGCCTCACGCCACGAGAAACTCCACCCTCCCGCAGAAACTACGCCCTCCTTCAAAGGCAAAACCGTACTAATCACAGGAGCCAACACCGGCGTCGACTTCGAAGCCGCCCTGAAGTTTGCCAAACTAGGCGCCTCGCAAGTCATTCTAGGCTCCCGATCTCTGCAAAAAGGGGAAGACGCCGCGGCGAAGATCAAGACTTTAGTGCCGAATTGCGGTACGATTGTTGTATGGACGCTGGATATGCTGGACTACGAGTCTATCAAGGAGTTCGCACGCAGAGCCGAAGAGGAGATTGAGCGTTTAGACATTGCCATTCTCAATGCAGGAGTCGTCAAGGCCAAGCACGAAGCCAGCCGGTACGGCTGGGAACAAACACTCCAGGTCAACGTCATCTCGACCGCATATCTCGCTCTTCTACTCCTTCCGACCTTACGAGCCAGTCGAACGACAACGTCCAGACCTGTCCTCATACCCATTAGCTCAGACGTCCACGAAACCGTCCTCGCACTCGACCCTGCCGCTACGAGTGATCCCCAAGGCATCCTGGAGTTCTATAGCCGGGCATCCACTTTCGATTCCGTCCGCCAGTACGCCGTGTCGAAACTGTTTCTGGAGTACTGTATTTGCGCACTTGCAGCGTTGACGAAACCCAAGGACCCGGACGTTCTCGTCATCAGTACGGCCCCGGGTGCGACGGCTTCCGGGCTTGCGCACGAGCAGCCTGCCGTTCTTCGGGCTGCGTTTACGCTGTATACTGCTGTCTTTCAGAGGAAGACGGAGGAGGGCGCTCGTTCGTACGTTAGTGCCGCGGCGCTTGGGCCGGAGGCACATGGAAGGTTTTGGCAAAGTGACGAGTTGAGGGAGTAAGTTTTCTGTGGTCAAAGAGGGACTTCAATTTACCGAATCAAACTGACTTTATCGTAGGCCGGCCGTCATGCTCAGAGGAGCTCAGAACGAGGCAGTGCAAGCCAGGGTCTGGCAGGAAGTCCTTCAGAGCCTTGAGAAGCAAGCTGGGTACGTACTGCCGACAAAATGAATCTCGCTCATAGTGCATGATTGGCTTTCTCAGAGTTGTACTTGGGTTGTTGCGTTTAGAAAGCCTATACGTACAAGATTCTCACAACTCCTCGTGGCGTGCACTGTAGTCACTATCAACTTTCCGACCAAAGTCCTCTGCACACCCAAAGGAAGAAGCGAGGTTTGGATCACCTCCTTGGTATCTGATAGAATTGTCAGCAAGACATCGTCAAAGTACACCTGTAGACTAACTGACCGAGCAACTAAGGGGTAAGCACAGATCTTCCTCGAAAACGTTTCGGCCACCCCATCCAAAAACCCAGGAGCCTCGCCATGTTCGACCCAACGCTCGAGTGCATGTAAAGCGTTCACCGGAAATGCTCCAGGCCCTCCCATACAGTGCTCGACCCCTGGGGCTTCGAAGTATCTGAAGTAGTCTTTGGTGCGAGGCTCTTGCAGGAGTACAGTTTTGTAGTAGTCGCTCGTGCCGTTGACTGGCAGCAACTGGTCCGCCATGCCATGCCTAGCATGAGGAGTTAGCACATATTACACCCTCAGATATTTCGGTCTCAGACGATTGTACACACCAGACGATCAATTTCGCCCCAGCGTTCTTGAAATCCAAGAGATCCGCATCCTTCGTATCCAGAATCGAACTTTACCAGCTTCGGGACTTACGTAGAAGTGCGAGAAACTCTTCGTAGCCTACGGAGGTCAAAGGGTCAAAATCAGGATCCGCAGCCAGCCAATACTTCAACCACAGGATGCTGAGCGCGAAAGGGACCTGCGCACAATGGTCGTCGTTTTCATCACACCGCGTTTGAGCCATATGGATGGGGTTCTCGCCGAACGGCCGAGTGCTCGCCAATGGCGTTCCGTGAGACCAGGCTGCCATCAAAGGAAGTCCGTCGGACGAAGGCCCAGAGAAACGCTCATTAGCAATCTGAGCCGCCGCACGCGAGACTTTGCGACGACCGTCACAGCAACTCCGACCAACTGCCCACGTTGCATCAAATCGACAGAGTCCCGGCGCAGAAATCACGCCGTCTTTGACGCCATCGAGTTCATCACACGCCTCAATACTGGCCTCAACGATGGCTACGAGCTCGCAGGGCGGTGGTCGATAGTCGATTTCCCGCATAGAAACATGGCTCCAGTAGATACTGAGTATCACCTCCGACCAGCCTATTGCAGGAGCCGCAGCGAGAATCCCATCATAGTGGGTTGGATATCTTTGCGCCAGCATGAGACCCTGACGACCTCCGCCAGAGCAGCCATTCCAGTAAGAATATCTGGGTGCAGTACCGTAGTAGCTACGCACCACAGCCTTGCCAATCGCGGCCATGTCGTCAAGTGAAACACTGGCGAAGTTCTGCAACTATTGCCAATTGACGTTTCCCGGAGAGGCTAAAGCCCACGCATCGCCCTCCCAAGGAGGTTGAGCTGTGATGGAATGACCAGCATCAGTATTGGCGCCGACGTAGCCGGCTGCCACGGCTAGAGCGAGGCTGCCAGGCCATCCTGCGAGGAAACCGCCGCCGCTCATGCCCATGAACTTGCCATTCCATCCGTCGAGGGGTAGCCAGACGTTCACGTTGATCTTGTCCTTGGTGCCGGGATGAGTGTATGTAACGGTGACGTTGCAGAAGTCGATGGCGGCGTTGGTGTCGTTCAACATGCTGTACATGGCCTTGAAGGCTGAGCTGTCTCCGGTGTGACTTCTGACTTCCTCTGCTTGCAGTTTCAAGACCTGGAGACCTTTATGTGTGGGGTATGGAAGGGCTTTAGGAAGGCAAGCTGCTTGCAAGCAAGTGGCAATCGTCGCCCATGAGAGCCAGGCTGAGACTGTCAAAGGTAAATGCATGGCATTCTGCGATGGCGAGGTTTGTCGACAAGGCGTAAGAAGTGGTTTGATTCATGCAAATGTCAGCGTGACTGAGCCATCGACGGACCACGATAAAGGTGTTCAAGGCCATTGTACTCAGGATGCAGGATCATTGCGGTACTACAAGCAGAGCTGTTGTCACTCCAGCCCTAGAAAGCTCCTCGTCTGACAGCCGTCCACGAAGACCCCGTGTTTCCCCTTTCGGACTGTAAGCACTCTGCATTAGCGTCTTCCTCCAGAGCGCATGCCTATAAGGATGTAAGCTGCTGGCATTAGCTCTCGTTAACTGGAAATCGCACCTTTGACAAGTCACCAACCGTCTCGATTTCATTCCAGAAGGAAATCTAACTCACGCAGCGGTGATGGACCGCAGCCTGTTCAGCTCTTCGCTCATGCTCGAAGCTGGGGAGGATTGGTCGGGCTTGCCAGACGCAAAAGAGCGACGGAAATTGCAGAATCGTCTTAATGTGCGGGCTCATCGTATGTATCGTGTCCATCATGATTATGAGCTTGTGTTCATGTCGGTGATTTGTTTAGGGTTACGAAAGGCGCAAATGGCGGCACTCCAATGCTCGGGAACGCTGGAGCTTTGTGCTATCATTCGGCAACTGCACGACCAGCATGTGGATTTTAGAGGAAGGTCCGCCCCTGACATGAATGGGCCACAGCTGCGCCTGGAGCACCAACTCAGCCTGATCCACTACAATGTCATCCGCGCATGTGCTACGAATGCAACCCTCTTATTCCCCTCCTCGCCTTGGTCGGTCTCCGGGCTGAAGTGCTCCTGGTTCGTCCAGCAGGTACCGCTATTTCCCAGTTCAGCGATTGGGTCAATCCCAAACGGCATTCCACCATGCCTGCAGCCCACGCATCTACAACTCACCACACAACACGAGCAGTGGATTGATACCCTGCCGTGCCCTCGACTGAGAGATAACGTCATCCGCTGGAAGGGCACGCTGCATGGATTGCTGAGCGATCTCGCTGGCGGCGTCTGCAGTAGCACGCAGCCTGGTGGTGATGTCCGAGGGTTGATAGCGTGGACTGATCCATGGTCAGTGAGCGGGTGGGAGGTGAGCGAAGGCTTTGTAGAGAAATGGGGTTTCTTGTTGGCCGGATGCTGTGAGTTGTTCGAGGCGACCAACCGGTGGAGGACGTTTCGGGGTGAAGACAGCCTGGACTTTGCAAATAATAGATGTACGGTGTCCAGATCACTTGCTGTGTAAGAAGTCATCCACTGATTTCTCTTCACGTTGCAGATCCGCATGCACTGCCCAATGCGTGTGTGTTTCAGATCCTTCCGCTTGCCATTGGACGCACTGACGAAGTCACAGGACGACAGGCATCATTAAAGTTTCAGGGGTAACAAGTGCATGTTCATAAGTTGTTGAAGTAGTAGTTGAACATTCAAGTCTTCTACAGGCCTCGAGCGACTTGAGCGAAAGTGCTCATGAGTATCATCCAGCTTGGAGGAAAGTTCGACTTGATCTCATCGTCTTCCTTGTACCACAAGCCGACTACGCAGAAACTGTGAGCGTTGAACTACAGACGTGTACAATGGTATCGCCATCAGGAACTCCAGTAGCTGGACCGTCCATTCGCACCAGTACTGGAAGTGCGAGCCGTTCCATCACCCATCACCAAAACAACCAAACTCAAAAGCTCCCGGACACCAACATTGAAAACTCATCGAAGTCATCGCACCATGACACTCCTCCTTCAGGTCCCCGTAAACCCTTCAACCGCTCCTGGCGCTTCTGGGCCATCATCCTCTCCCTCTCTATCATGGCTCTATGCGGCACCGTCGAAGCCACGATCATAATCAACGCCCTGCCGACAATCGTCGCAGACCTCGGCGGCGGGAGTGCGTACCTTTGGATCCCAAATGCCTTTCTTTTGGCCTCGGTTGCGGTGCTGCCGCTATACTCTCAACTGAGCGATATCTTCGGTCGACGATATCTGCTCCTCGGAGCTGTGTCCTTGTTCATCCTTGGGTCTGGACTGTGTGGTGCTGCCAGCTCGATGGGAATGCTCATTGCTGCGAGGGCGGTTGCTGGCTTGGGTAGTGGTGGAATTGAGATGTTGGTTGAGACAGTGGTGACTGATCTCGTTCCGCTGCGAGAGAGATCTAAGTATGAGTCGCTTGTCTTGACGGGCAGCTTGGTTGGGTGCACGATCGGTCCGTTCTTGGGAGGTGTCATTGTGGTCAAACTTGGCTGGCGATGGATCTTCTATTTGAACGTCATACTTGGAGGAGGTGAGTCTCGTCAATGATGCATTTCGAGACATGGATGCTGATCCTTCCAGCCTCGCTACTTATGCTCTTCGTCTTCCTCAAGGTCAAGCATCGACGCAACCAGACTCTCATTTCTCGCCTAAAGCGCATCGACATCGGCGGCAATGCCATCTTCATCGGTTCTGTGGTGGCTGTGCTACTTGCTCTGACCTGGGGAGGCCCCGTGTATCGATGGGACAGCTTCCGAATCGTCCTGCCTCTCGTGCTTGGCTTACTCGGACTCTTCGTCTTCACTGCATTCGAGTGGACTCCCAAGCTGGCGCCAGAGCCTTCCTTCCCACGAGCTTTGCTGTCGAATCGAACGTCCGCTGCGGCTCTTATGCAGTCCTTCATTCTGTCGATCCTGACATTCTGGTCTTTCTAGCACGTTGCTCAATATCAAGTGTCGTCACACCACTGACACCCGTACAGCTTCTTACCAGTCTACTTCCAAGGTATTCTCGGAAAATCACCCCTCGGCTCTGGCATAGCCATCGTGCCCATCTCGGCCTGCGTCGTGCCCTTCTGCATCGTCGGCGGCGTTGCACTCTCCAAATTTGGACGTTACAAGCCCATCCACTTCATCTCATGGGCGATCCTCATCGTCGGTCTCGGGCTGTGTAGTCTCCTTGACCGCAATTCGAGCACCGCCGCATGGGCTTGCTTTGAGATCGTATGCTCTGCTGGAATCGGCTTGGTCACTCCAACGCTTCTGCCTGCAGTTCAGGCACCACTAGAAGAGCGATATGTCGCGACGTCAACGGGATTGTGGAGTGTCACTCGTGGGTTCGGATCGATTTGGGGCGTGACAATCCCCAGCGTCATCTTCACAAACGAGGTCCGTCGATACTCAGATTCTATCAACGACGTCAGCATCGCCGAACGTCTTGCAAATGGCCAGGCCTACGAGTTGGCCACGAAGGCTTTCTTGGACAGTATCGCGGACGAGACCGTTCGCGACCAAGTCATCAGTGTCTTTACACGGGCGATTAAGACAGTTTGGTATGTTGGTATTGCAGTCGCAGGCTTGGGCCTGTTGGTGGTGTTCGTGCAAAGGGAGGTAAAGCTACGACAGGAGATGCCCGAGACGGAGTTTGGGATGGACGATGGTAGACCTGCATCTAGGACTGCGGCGACTGATGAGATCCCGCTCGAGGACCTGACAGCTCGGCGATATGAGTGAGCAGGCAACTATGAAAGAAAGACATGTACCGCGAGATGCCACCTGAGGCTTTCAATACCGCTGCGTAGCCAGAAATGTTCGTCGAAAAAAGAATTCACATGGCCTTCCCAGATTCCCCTGGCACCTGGATCCGCACCGCAGTCCGCATTGCTGACACTAATGTCCAGCTTTACACCTTCATATCACGAGCGTGACTCCTCTTCGCGGCCGAGCCAGCCATCTTGAAGTCGATGCAAGACTGGTACGTCTGCTTGGCCTCTGGAGCGTCCCAGTGCATCTACCAAAACGTCAGCGACATCATTCTCTCAGTACCATCGAGGGCAGACGAACCTGAATGACACAAGCCCCACCCTCCGCACACTTGCTCCCCAAGTCCTCCGGCATCTTCACCGTAAAATTCTGCCACTCGGCCCTCATCGGCTCGCTCGTAAGTGCATACTGATCCCAATGCGTCAAATTGGCCGAAATGACACTATTGCTCGCCGTGTCCACGACCGAGACATTCGCGTACCCAGAATGCGGCGCGACGATCTGGAAGTACATGTCGACCTCCTGGCCGGGCGTGTACTCGTGGACGTTGGCCGTGTTGTCGGCGTACTTGAGGCCTTTGCACATCCAGAGGTTGCACTCGGCGGCTTTGAAGTCGGATTGGGTCGCGGTGAGTTGTTCGAGGCCCTGGATGTTGTTGTTGATGTCGCTGTTGAGGTTGTTGTAGGCTTGTTCGCCGCAGGCGGACTTGTAGGCGTCGCTGGGGTGGCGGGCGATGGGGGATTGGAAGTAGCCGTGGGCGGAGGCGAGGCTGATGATGCTGGCAAGGGCAGCGGAGGTGAAAGCGGTCTTCATGATGGGTGGTTGGTGGTGGAAAAGGTTGGGCCGGGTTTGAATGAATGTGAGAGCACCTGTGCTCTGATGAAAAGAATGTAGAAAGGAGAGGATTGCTCACAGAGCAGATCTGAACTCAAGAAAGTAGGCAGAACGTGGAAGACTCGTAGAGGGAAAAAAGCCATCGACGACAAAAGCCGCCTTCTTATATGGCCGATTAGCATGCTGACAGACCGCTCACCCAACTTGGCATTCAATCAAGCTCATATTGACCGGTTTCGCCTTAACATGGGCGGCAGACCATGTGGTAGACGGAGAAACTCTTGCTCGTACACAGCTATAGATGAAGCGCCGAGTTTGGTCTTGAGAATTGGGTGACCCAGAAAGTGTGCGGTCGGTGTCGTCTATCTGCCGGTAGTGCAGCGTTCGTGTGTTGCAGTCCGCGTCAATCTGAAACGGATTGCAAGCGAGAGAACCGGCTTGGCGAATGTCGATGGAATGATCATTGAACTTCACCGAGGAGATCGTGTCTGCGCAAAATGGTCACAGACTCCTTTATGCGTGGTAGACAGCCCGTGCTATTTCGCTGGACTACCCGGCAGCTCTTGAGGTTCTGGTGAAGATTGTCCTGCGTCGAGTTTCGTTGCGACTTCGAATGTCTCCGATCCCTCAATCTCTACCCTCCTTGCCGTGTCTTGTAGTTCCACTGGTGCAACCTTATCTCCTTCGGGCGTGGTCAGACGATGTTGCTGCAGAGAACGTCTCCTTCGGCGGAAGTAGAAGAATATCGCCGTAAGAACAAGCCCGATGCCTGCTAACACACCAACCACGATTCCCGCCTTTGCACCTCCACTCAAATCACTGTCATCACCGTCTTGCTGAGTTCGTGCATCACCGTACAATGGACTCCAGTGACCCTCCCAACTGTCTCTGAATGCTTCGTCATCCATGTCAGCCCCTGTCAATCCCACCCCCTCTTCCAAATCCACGATATCAGCGTCGATTCCTCCAGGACCGGGCGCCTGGGCCATCCATGTTGAGTTACTGCTGAAATCCTCGGCCACGAAAGCAGCTTGCAGAAACGCTCGGCCAAAGTTGTAGAACTCGTAGTCGCTTCGTTCTAAGACGCGGATGGGAAAGTAGGGCACAGCAGTTTCAAGACCAGATGCACGTGGCTCAAGCGTGAGGTTGAGAAGCCTGAATGGGACTTTGATAGTGACGCTTGAAGGTTCGTTCGAGCTAACGCCAGTGAAAGAGAAGCCAAGGTAGGCGGCAGAGGTTTTAATCTGGGCGCAGGAGGGGTCGCTTGTGTTCCAGAAGTAATAGCCTGTCGATTGGTTCAAACGTCACGGGCAATTTGGATGCTATCGCTGTAGCGGCGGCTTCAGGTAGGCCAATGTAGGCGGCTGAGGAGTCCAGTATCACAGGGACCGGCTGAGACGAGCTGGTCCCTTCTCCAGCCAACAGCCCTGTCTTGTTGCTGAACGTAAACGGCGACCCTCCGGTCTCGACTGCAATGCTGATGTCTTGCAGCCGGAAACTGTTAGGATCGAAGGTGTTGTAAGAATTCAGTGAGCCACGTATAGCTGATATCAAAGGGCCAGCAATGCGGGATCTGTCGTAGCCACCCAAGACTAACGAACCTCGTTGGCCCATGCTGACAGATCCTAGGTGCATTCCATAGGACATAGAGCTGATCTGATTCGAATTGTATATGGATCTCGTGAAATCGCACCCTACCTCGGGGCAAAGCGAGTCAGAGCCTGATCCACCTTTGAAGAAGAATCCGATCTCAGCGCCTGGTACATCGCCGGTGGGATATTTCATGTGCGTGTTCGTCGCATCTGTCATCGGTATGACGGTCACGTTTGATGCACGTTGAGTTACACTGTTTACCATGACTGTCGAGACGGTGCCAGATACGTAGAAGTCATCTCTGTTGGCCCAGTGGACTGTGTTTGTGAAGTTACTGGGGTAATCCGTCACTCCACCGATGCCGCAATATTCGTTGGTGCCTTGAATCGCACATAGCTCAGCAGTCGGTATGTATGTGTAACCCAGATTGTCCGCAGGTAAAAGATTGATAGTGCGAATCTCTCTCGTCCTGTTGAGCTGAATGCCGAGGGTAATAGCTTGCCAAGGACCAACCGGACCAAAAAGTGAGATGTGTTCCAGCTCATCTCTACATATGCAAGTCCAGGCTGTGACAGCAGCCAAACTACCAGGAGCCTCCAGAGGAATCCGGTGGCGGCCATGCCTTGGTCCAGGAGCTGTAAGTTCTGCAGTGACACAGGTGTTAGGTGGGAGAAGCAGAGAAATTGCGTTGAGGAGGATAGATAGACCGGACGCCCACCTGGGAGCTGAGAATACCGCACCTGCTACCTTGTGCTATCTGTTGAGACCACGCTCAGCTGGTTATGCAGTCAGCCACAGCCGAAGCTTGGCAAAGGACACCATTCGAGGAGAATCAATGAGTATTTTGTGTCGGTACGCCAAGTCGTGCAAGTCAAAGCTTGCATTGTTCTGTCGAGCTTTTTCGGGCATGCCGGCATGTAACACGACAGTGGCACAGCAGGTGACCTTTAGCAGATAAGCTGATGTTGCAACAGACTTACCTGTGTGTCAATTTGCAGCTCGAGATTAGTGGATGAGCCCCATTCCATGGAATTATGACAATGCTGGGCGTCAAACTGAGATCGATGGCGCCATGTCGCAGCATGGCCGCAAGCAATTGTACCTTGAGGGGCATGTGGTCCGTCAAAATGACTGGGAGGACTCGCACCTTTGCGTTGACTCATGAGAGTCATGCTACTCGCGCCCATCAGCCAGTAGAAGTCCTGTTCTTTCAGAGCTTGACTTCGCCTCGAAGTCCAGGTCCGGGACAAGCGTGCTTGTGCATGTGGCGTTCGTCCAGAGATCCCCAATTGCGACATGCAGATGCGGTCTCCTGGTTCTCTAGCATACTGCAAGGCTGCGATGAATCTCTGTCTTGTAAAACTCGGCTTTGTCGAACCCATATTTTCTAGCCCCAAGCCCGTGGAGAGGGTGCTGGTTGTCTAAGAATGCGAAAGTGACGGGTTTTGCTGCGCCTAGTGCTGAATGCGACGCATGTCTGCATGTCAGTAACTGCAGTTCGGTGAGCCTGTCATGGGAGTGTCCATCATCTTGGCCGTCCGCCGCGATCCGTTATTTTCATGAGCCAGAAAGGACGGCCGTCTCATGGCAGAAACCCGCTCAAGGAGGGCTTGATTGCGGAAAAGGTACCGGAAACGGCAAACGAGCGAGATGTCCCTTCTTCAATCATCAAGACCCTGTGAGAGCATGGCCTCTCGCGGAGTCGCCCGGAGGGACTTTGCAGGCTGTCAGATAGACGACTTTACTGGCCTGTACCCGGCGTTTCACTGCGGCCGCGATAGTCAAACGGTATGGGAGAGCCAGTTCAGGTAGGTCGGCGATTATATTGGAAATTGGAATGCTAAACGATTGTGGAAGGAGGACAAGAAGGAGGACAAGAAGAGGAGGACGTGTCGTGGGAGATGCAGCGGACTTAAGCTCGTTGCTCTTGAACCTTGGGATCCACCATGTGGGCGGGTCCAGCCGACGACCGAAACGGCGAGCAAGCCGCATCCTTCTGCCTCACACACTCTCTCCCTTTTCCATCTCCCTCAACATCGGTTCTGAAGGTTGGTGCAACATCACATTCTTTGTCTCCAAGAGCGCCTCAAACCGAAGATCACCCCGCCACCTGTCTCAGCGCCTCCATTCCGCGCCTGACAAAACTCTTCCCGAATCTCGGAGGTCTAGGTCTGGAAGCGTGCTGAGTGCCGAAGTTATCAGAAATTAATCATCCAGAAGCAAGATCGCCGGGCCTCGTCGCGTGCACGCCAAGGTGAACCATCAACATGCCTTGCAGGCCGGATCTTTTCTGTGGCTCGATACGGCCAATCGAGTGGCCGCCTGGAGCACTCTAGTCGCAACAAGACCAGACGCGCCATTTTCTTGGGAATTCAGCCCAGTGACCAAATTGCCGTGCAGAAGCTTTGCTTAGATAAAGGGCACTTCTATCAGCCTGCTACTTCCGTTGATGATGTTTGGTCAGAGGCGCAGTAAGTGCTGCTGGTTCAGGCGCTTTACTCATTTTTTCTTCTTTAACTGATTGTCACTCCTTCCAATCTTGTTCTGCGATCCTCAGATCTCCCGTCGTCAACATGCATTTCCAACCCTCGCTGCTGCTTCCATTGGTCGCAGTCGCAACTGCGGCTCGACCGATGCTTTGGTGGCCGAATACCTTGGCTGAAGAACAGTATGGAACCATTGAACCAGAAAGCGCTTTGCCCAATGTCAGCACGGTCGTCGGGTTGCCAGACTTCCAATTCCTGGCGGAAGGACACATGAACTTGTCGTCGTACACTTACTACCACAGTGGAGCTGCTGGCGAATGGTAAGAACATCATGGCTAGAATCAGTGTTCCTGTGTATCACTAACGATCATTGTATAGGTCCTACCGAAACAACTTGGAGACCTTCCAGCGTGCGCGTCTACGGCCGAGAGTCATGAAAATGGTCGGGTCCCTTTCTCACAGTCTTGCGCTCACTTGCTGACATTGACCAGGTTGATGATATCGAGTCCTCGTTGCCAACGCAAATACTCGGATACAATTTTTCTCTACCGCTCTTCATTTCTCCTTGCGCCCGCGCTGGCTACGCCAACGAGACGGGCGAGCTTGGTCTTGTTCGAGGTGCTGCCGCAGGAAACGTACTGTACATGGTCACCGACTTCTCGTCGAGAACCAAAGAGGAAATCTCCGCTGCCAAAGCCGAGGGCCAGATCTTGTTCCAACAGCTCTACATCGATCCTCATAACGACACGGCAACCCTTGAACAAATCAGAGAAGCTGAGACCCTTGGCTTCAAGGCACTCATCCTGACCGTCGACTCTGCTGCTGACGGTAACCGCCACCGTGCCCTGCGCTTTGGCGTAGGCTCAGCCGACAGCAGCTACTCTTCGATCACTTGGGAGAAGTAAGTCTTCGGAGAGACTGGTCTGCACATCTCTAGCTAACTTGGTGATAGATACAATTGGATGCGCGAGCAGACCTCCCTTCCCATCGTGCCCAAGGGAATCCAGACCGTGGAAGACGCCGTCATCGCGGTCCGGAATGGCGCCCCTGCAATTTTCCTCTCCAACCACGGCGCTCGGCAACTCGACGGTTCACCCAACGGATTCGAAGTCGCCCTGGAGATCCACGAGCAGGCCCCATGGGTATTCGACAGCTTGGAAGTCTATGCCGACGGCGGTGTACGATACGGCGCCGATGTCGTCAAGCTCCTTGCCCTGGGTGTCAAGGCTGTCGGTGTCGGCAGGCCCTTCATGTTCAGCAATATCTACGGAGAGGCCGGTGTAGAGCGAGCAATCGAGATCATCAGACGAGAAATCGCCATCGATGCTGCCAATGCGGGCATCGCCGACCTGAAGCAGATCAACTCGAGTGTCCTTGCCTTGAATCGGTATCCCTTCTGGGGCCAAGGCTCGTGAGACGACGAGTGAGGAGAGGAGATGATGTGACGTTGGGTAGACTTCTTCTTGGATGTTGATTCATCTTCAATGTACATATTCTATTCAGATCCTGAAAAAGGATCATTCGAGCGGTCAGCTCAATATGTAGACCGACAACATTTCGTACTCGTTCTCGTGCAGAGAGTCATTCATTCGAAGCACGTGAGACGTACGTCCGTGCGCAGTATGACGTCTTGACTTTGGATCGCGTTTGGCGCGTGGGTTAATTTGAGGGGCAAAGCGCTGAATCCTGGATCGGCCCACGTTCAACCTTGGCCTACCTCCCAAGAACAACTGGGGGAGATTGAGGCTGTACTCGCCCTCGTACTTTCTTCTGGACCACTCTGTTTACTTTTCCTTCGACTCTTCCTCGGACTCGATTTGAACTTGACTTCTCGCATTTTGGACACTTCCATAACGTTATTGCCCTCACCAGTGATCTAACCAAACGACCAAGCACTACCTTCTACCACCACCATGTCCGGCTCGGAAGAGGGCGCCGCTGTGCCTGCGGGTCAGAAGAGCTCGTGGGGTGGTTTCATCAAGCAACTCGCCTGTGGGTAACTACTAGCTACGTCGACAAGGCGACTCTAATACCAGAAACCAGCATTCAATGGCGACCTCTCCACCATGACAGCGCCAGCCTGGATCCTCTCCACGCAATCCCTCACCGAATTCTCCTCCTACTGGGCCGAAATGCCCCGCCTCCTCGTCGCGCCCGCGCAAGAGAAAGACCCCCAAAAGCGCGCAATGCTGGTGCTGAAATGGTTCCTGAGCACGCTGAAGCAGCAGTACGCCAGCCGCAACGAGAAGCTCGGCAGCGAGAAGAAGCCGCTGAACCCGTTCCTGGGCGAGCTGTTCCTGGGCCGCTGGGACGACGAGGCGGGCGAGACGCAGCTCGTCAGCGAGCAGGTGTCGCACCACCCGCCCGTCACGGCGTACAGTATCTGGAACAAGAAGCACGGGGTGCGACTCCAGGGCTACAACGCGCAGAAGGCGAGCTTTGGACGCACGATCAATGTGCGTCAGGTCGGGCATGCGATTCTGCACATCGATGAGTTTGATGAGGACCATTTGATCACGCTGCCGAGTCTGCATATTGAGGGGCTCATCACGGGGGCGCCATACGTGGAGCTCAACAAGTCCAGCTATATCGTGTCGTCTTCGGGGTATACGTCGAGGATAGACTACACGGGTGCGGGATGGGTGTCCGGGAAGAAGAATACGTTGGCAGCGACCCTCTTCCCGCACGGCAAGGAGAAGAGCAAGAGCGACGTCCTGTACAAGGCAGAGGGCAGCTGGACGGACCATTTCACCATCAAAGATGCCAAGGGCGGCACGGTCGAGACGTACAACGCAAAGAAAGAGCCCAAAACCGAGCTCAAAGTCGCCGACATCGAACAGCAAGACCCCCTGGAGTCCCGGCGCGCGTGGAAGAAAGTCGCAGACGCGATCCTGAAAGCCGACATGAACACGACGTCGGCGGAGAAGAGCAAGATCGAGGAGCACCAGCGGTCGTTGCGGAAGAAGGAGCAGAAGGACGGCCGGGACTGGGAGAGGGTTTTCTTCGCCAAGGTGGAGAAGCTGCCGATTTTGGAGAAGTTGATTCGCGAGGTGCCGCATGGGAGTTCGGAGCAGGATCAGACGGGGGGGATTTGGGTGTTTGATCAGGAGAAGGCGAAGAATGCGAAGCCGCCGTTTAGTCCGTTGAGCGAGGAGTTGAAGGATGGGTGGTAGACTATGGTTGGAAGTGTGTGGTCTAATGATGTGACGGCCGAAGATTGAAGCGATTGAAGGGAGGGAGGGAGGGGATTACATGAGCGGCATTGTACGTTAGAGAAAGAAGGCGACGACGTTGAAGATGCGAGCGAAGGGAAGCATGATACCATACGCACATTTGAGTCGGCGTATGTGAGGGTTTTACTGCTATCATTCAATAACCTCGAGCAATGACATTGTTCATTTCTTGGCCTCAAGCTGCAGATTAACTGTCATAACCAGCCAAACGACATTTCTGACCTTGACATGCAGACATCATATCATCGCACTCAAAGTAACCCCAAAGCCCCAACAAACGCAGCAAGACCCAACCCCTCCGCACCCATAGCAACACGATTCGCTGGATTCCCCGACTGCGTCGCCGGCGCCGACGTCCCAGAAGCCGTGCCGCTGGACGTAGAGTCGGAAGCCGGTGTCGTCGAGGTCGATCCGCTGGCTGAGGTGGAAGTGGTGATCAAGACGTCCGAGGTGAGACTCCCGGACATGCTGGAGGTGTCTGTTCCGGCGAAGACGGTGTAGGTGCAGGGTGTTTCGAGGAGCGTGTCGGTTTGGATGGTGAATTGGGGTTCGCCTTGTTGGGTTATGGTGACGCAGCTGCCGCCGGAGGGGGTTTCGACGACGACGGTGGTGGCGGTGGTGGGTGTGGAGGAGAAGGTGTTGTTGCCGTTGATGGTGTTGGTTACGCTGGAGATGGGGATTATTGGGAGGGAGCTTGTGATGGCGGTGGGGATGGTGTTGGTGTCGATTACTGTGGTGGTTGCGGGGGATGTGGTTGTTGCGGAGCTGAGGTTGGGGACGTCGTCGGTTGGGCGGGAGGAGACTTCGATGGGGTTGGTTTGGGTTGAGGAGTCGGTGACCTCGATTGTTGTTGTTGTTTGGGCTTGGGCGAGGGTGGCTAGGGCGGCGATGGTGGCGAGGAGTTGGCGCGTCATGTTGGCGTGTGGGTTGTTTGATGATATTCTCTGATGTCCAGGAAGTAGGTTGATATATCTGCCTTTTCAACCTTCGGAGCAGCTGATCTTAAGTATTCCCAGCTGCACGTATTCTCCCTCCCGTGAAGGCCGTCGTCTCGTGATGAACGAATGAGAGTTAAGTCTTAAAATCCCTTTCTCGCTATGCTGCCTCAATGCGGCTGCCTTGCGGGCTGTGTACACGAGAAAGCTGCGAGGATCGGAGACAAAATACGAAAAGACCACCAGTGTCTGCGAGTTTGACTGGGCGGGGCAGGTAGCCAACCTACCTGGCTGCGTTGCCTCTGCAGATCTGCCAAGGGATTGCGGATGCACGAGAGTGAGCCATTGGGTTGGACGTGGGCGGATGGCGGTTTCATAGTGCGTGGCCTACGTGCCAGATACGGCAGGTGAACGATCTGGTGCTATGTTGTTGCAGCCTTGAGACGTTAGCCGGTACGATGTACTTACAAGAGCCCTACTTGTCTCCCCGTATTCTGGGACTGGTTGTGATGCCTGAGAGCGTGAGGCAAACAGAATGTATTCTGTGCTCTCAGAATGCCGAAGTTCGGAGTCCTGTACAGCAAGCCATCGCTTGACTCGTCGGCTGATTCTGCCTCACGTGTTGATGTCTAGAAGATTGGCCATGCTATGCACTCAATGTCGTGGTGGGTTGTATGGCTCGCAGCGATAAGAGGTGGTCATAGTGTTGCGGTGGCTGGATGTCGTCAATCTGGCCGTTGACAGGCATCACCACGTGGCCGCCAATCGATTTTTCTGGCCATGACAACAACGGTGCCAACGTTGTCAATCTTTGGATGCAGTGGAGGTGGGGATGAAGTAACAGGAACACTTGTATGTATATGAGCATACAGGCATCGGATAGAGCGTGTCGGGTAGAGCGGAGCACCCGTCCGTCTGTGACGGCTTGGAGATTGTAAAAGCCCGCAGCTAGCCGTTTATCGAGCACGACGGTCACCGACCACGGGATTGACCTCAACCACTCTCTTGCGGCGGCCCCCAATTTGCAACCCTCTCGCCTTTCTCTCCTCCTCCTCCGACGCACACAGAACTGCTGCATTGTTTGGAAGATCAGAGTCCAGCATGCTCACCCGCCTCTGATCCCGAGTCCCACCAAGTCCATCTACCGCCGTTTTCGTTCCCGAGTCCCACCTCACTGCGACACCACCACCAACAGCATGTCTGTCTCTTCGGCGGCCCTCAGGCTGCGCGCACAATGGCTCGCCACTCGTCGGCCTCTGTCCTCAAAATGCCTCATCTTCAGTCCACAGGCACGCTCGCCAGCAATCGCACGCATCGCCTCGATTCAGTCGCGAGCTACCCACACCAACGTCCGAAACTTTTACTCCAGCTCCACGAGCGACACCACCTCCGCCGAGCCCAAGCAGGACATTCCCAATGCTTCCCTCTTCGCTCCTCTCGATACCTTCCCTCGCCGTCACATCGGCCCAACCGCCACCACGGCCGAAGAGATGCTGCAGGCTCTCGACCCGCCAGCCAGCAGCTTGGATGAGTTTGTGAAGCAGGTGCTGCCTCCTTCGATTCTGTCGAGCAGAGACCTTAAAGTTGAAGGTCCAATGCCCGAGTCTGGCTCAGTGGCTACAAGCGAGGGCGGATACTCAGAGAGCCAGCTTATCAACCGATTGAGAGAGATTGCCAGCGAGAACAAGGTCTACAAGAGCTATATCGGCTGCGGTTATGCTGGTACGAGAGTGCCCGAAGTCATCAAGCGTAATATTCTGGAGAACCCAGCATGGTATACCAGCTACACACCATACCAGCCAGAGATCAGCCAAGGTCGCTTGGAGTCGCTGCTGAACTTTCAGACCATGGTCACCGATCTGACCGGAATGGCCATTGCCAATGCTTCGCTTCTGGATGAGCCTACGGCCGCAGCAGAGGCCATGACACTTTCCCTCAACTCGTTGCCTAAGGCTCGCCAGAAGCGTGCTAAGAAAGTCTATCTCGTCTCACATCTGTGCCACCCTCAGACTATTGCCGTGTTGGAAAGCCGTGCTCAGGGCTTTGGAATCACCATCCAAGTCGGTGACGTCCTAGCAGACAACAGCAAGCTGGTAGACGATGTTGGTGAAGATCTCATCGGTGTACTTGGACAATACCCAGACACTCTCGGTGGAGTCGCAGACTACAGGAACTTGGCAGACAAAGTACACAACCTGCAAGGCACATTTGCTGTGGGAACGGACCTGCTTGCATTGACCCTGCTCACTCCACCAGGCGAGTTCGGTGCTGATGTAGCTTTTGGCAACGCACAGCGCTTTGGTGTGCCATTTGGCTTTGGAGGCCCTCACGCAGCCTTCTTTGCTGTTGGCGAAAAGCACAAGCGTAAGATCCCAGGCCGTCTCATTGGTCTCTCGAAGGATCGACTAGGTGACAACGCCGCTCGTCTGGCTCTGCAAACCCGTGAGCAGCATATCCGACGAGAGAAGGCCACGAGCAATGTCTGCACTGCCCAGGCGCTTCTTGCCAACATGAGTGCCATGTACGCCATCTACCACGGTCCAACTGGTCTTAAGCGCATCGCCGAGAAAGTGGCCAAAATGACCCAGGTCCTGGCCAAAGGCCTTCAAGACAGTGGCCTCGAGGTCAAGCAGCCTGTTGCATTCGACACTGTTGTCGTGAAGAAACACGACGCACCTGGCTTCGCTAGCAAGACGGTTCAGAACTTCTTGACCAACTTCCGCGTGATCGACGACAGCCACATCGGCATTACCATCGATGAGACTGTCGGGAAGAAGCAGATTGAGGAGATCTTCCGTGCCTTCACTACAGAGCAAGTCGACGTCGACAAGCTTGCTGAAGGCGTTGAGGCGCTGAGCAGTCTTCCTGAGTCGCTCAAGCGTACTTCTGGGTACCTCGACCATCCCGTCTTCAACTCATACCACTCCGAGACCGAGATCCTTCGCTACATGCATCATCTGCAGTCCAAGGACCTTTCACTCGTGCACTCCATGATTCCGCTCGGATCATGCACAATGAAGCTGAACGCCACCACGGAGATGCTTCCTGTCACCTGGCCCGAGTTCTCCAATATCCACCCATTTGCACCCCGGGAGCAGACTCTCGGCTATATGCAGATGATCAAAGAGCTGGAGGAGGATCTGGCAGAGATTACTGGCTTCCACTCTGTATCTTTGCAGCCCAACTCTGGCGCCCAGGGAGAATTCACTGGTCTTCGTGTTATTCGCAAATACTTTGAGCAACAACCAGGCACGAAGCGTGACATTTGTCTCATTCCGGTATCTGCCCACGGCACTAACCCAGCGTCCGCTGCAATGGCAGGTATGCGGGTGGTCACGATCAAGTGCGAGAACAGCACTGGAAATCTGGACATGCAGGATCTGGAAGCCAAGTGCAAGAAGTACCAGGATGAGCTCGGTGCCATTATGATCACATACCCTTCGACGTTCGGTGTCTTCGAGCCGAATGTCAAGGAGGCTTGTGATCTTGTCCACAAGTATGGTGGTCAAGTCTACATGGATGGTGCCAACATGAACGCTCAGATCGGTCTTTGCTCGCCTGGCTCCATCGGCGCTGATGTCTGCCATCTCAACTTGCACAAGACCTTCTGTATTCCCCATGGTGGCGGTGGCCCAGGTGTAGGACCGATTGGTGTTGCTGAGCATCTCACACCATTCTTACCTGGCCACCCACTTGTCGCAAACGTCGGCGGCGAAAAGGCAATTGCGCCAGTCTCTGGTGCGCCATGGGGCTCTGCTAGCATTTTGCCAATCAGCTGGGCATATATCAAGATGATGGGAGCTCGTGGCCTCACTCACGCCACCAAGATCACGCTGCTCAACGCAAACTACATTCAGTCCCGTCTGAAGCCGTACTATCCCATCCTTTACACCAACGAGAATGGCAGATGTGCCCACGAGTTCATCCTGGACGTACGCAAGTTCAAGGAGACTGCAGGCATTGAGGCTATCGACATTGCCAAGCGTCTGCAAGATTACGGTTTCCATGCTCCTACAATGTCCTGGCCTGTGGCAAACACTTTGATGATTGAGCCTACCGAGTCGGAGTCGAAGAATGAGCTGGATCGCTTCTGCGACGCCTTGATCTCCATTCGAGAGGAGATTGCTGAGGTCGAAGAGGGCAAGCAGCCTAAGGAGGGCAACGTCCTCAAGATGTCCCCTCACAGTATGAAGGATCTCATCTTGTCCGAATGGAAACGTCCTTACGACCGCCAAAAGGCTGCATACCCACTGGACTGGCTGAAGGAGAAGAAGTTCTGGCCTCCAGTCACTCGGTTGGACGATGCGTATGGTGATATGAATCTATTCTGCAGGTCAGTCACATCTTCCTTCAACTTGAAAAATTCACGTTCAATGCTAACATTTTCTAGCTGCGCTCCAGTCGAAACAGTCGAGGGCCTCACAGGCGTCGAGGCACCAGCACCGACATAGACAAACACCCTCTCACAGTCAATGCGGCAGAACACTCAACTACAGTTCCACCGCGACCCCGAGAAGGGATCATCAACAAGATGCATGCGAGAAAAAGAAGCATGTGTTTCAACACACCACCTTTTTGATTGACAGCGTTCAAGCGAAGGCGTTTTCTCTCTCTCTTTATCAAAAGGAGACCAAGGAAATACCAATGGGGTTTAACATACTCTTGTGTGGGGGAAGGCGATACTTCAACGTTACGGGAATGAAATGGAATGAACACAGTGGGGATAGAATCACGGATATAGAAGGGATGCGACGAATCGATGCGTGAATGGAAACCAGGTCTGCAAAGACTGGAAGCTTTTCCCGGTCAACCACGAGTCTTGCACGTTGTTCGCCCCCGCGGAGTTCACGTGCGTGCCTTGTTAGTTTCACTAGCGTCTGCAAGCGCGACCCCACATTCCTGCCTCTCTCGGCTAAATGCGGGGAACAGAGTTGGCCGACGTCACCCTGAATCCCTCGTGGCTGTGGCGGTCTTGGATGTTTGTGATCTTCCAGGCGAATGCATGCACCAGACGGACCGAATGTTCCAGCTGAGTTTTATGACATGGTCATTTAGGTGGGTGTGACTTTGACCTCATGATCTCGCTGTTTCCCACCACCTGACGTTTCTTTGTTGACTTTGTGTTGTGTTTGTGTTTGCTGGGAAGTGAGCTGAGCTGGTGGTACCGAGTGAGCTTCCGAAGACCTTTTGGAGCTGGTTGTCAGGAACGAAAGTCTGTTTGGTGGGGATTGAGTTGGAACGTGGTGTGGTGAACCTGGTGAGTGGGATTCGATTTTATATGTGAGGTTTTTGGAGGAGATGGTGGACAACAGGGTGGGAATGAGGATTGAGGATTGAGGAAGAAGAAGGACTTCGGCATCTACACAACTACCCTCTCACATGATTGGGTCCAATATCAAAACATGGCTGACCAAAATGTTCAGCAAACATGCTCCTCACAGCCTTAGCGCTCACAGCGCTACCCATCCCCATCCTGGCCACAATCTACCCAACGCGCTTTAACGGCACCACATGGGATGACACGACCTGGACCCTCACGACCACTGCCCTCGACGCGCACCACTACCAATCCCGCGCCTCCCTCGCCAACGGCTACCTGGGCATCAACCTCGCGGCCGTCGGGCCCTTTTTCGACGTCGACGTGCCCGTAAACGGGGACAACATCCAGGGCTGGCCGCTGTTTGACAGAAGACAGAGTTTCGCGACGATCAGCGGGTTTTGGGACTCGCAGCCGACGACGAATGGGACGAATTTCGAGTGGTTGAATCAGTATGGTGGGGAGAGTGTCATTAGTGGGGTGCCGCATTGGGGCGGGTTGGTGCTGCGGGTTGGGGATTCGGTGCTCGATGCGAGTGTGGATGGGGATGAGATTGCGGATTTCAGTTCGAGTCTGGATGTGAGGCGGGGTGTGATGTTTTGGAATTATACGTGGACGCCGGAGGGGTTCGAGGGGGGGATTGATGTGCGGTATACGCTGTTTGTGCATAAGTTGCTTGTGAACACGGCCGTTGTGAGGGTGGAGTTGACGGCGCGGGAGACGGATGTCAATGTCACGGTGGTGGATCTGCTGGAGGGGGATTGTGCTGTGCGGACGGAGTTTGCGGGGAAAGGGTACTATGATGCGTGGGCAATGATTTGGAGTGCGGTGAGACCTGCTGGGTTGGGGAATGTCACGGCTTATATTGCGTCGGCGTTGGTCGGGGATGAAAGTTGTGATACTGCGAGTCGGGTGCAGGTCCAAGAGGATGAGCTTCCGGGAGGGAGTGGCAATGCTTCCACGATTGCGCAGGCTGTGACGGTCGCTCTGACTGCGGGACGGACGTCGACGGTCACGAAGTATGTCGGCGGTGCTTCGAGCGATGCGTTCGAGATGCCGCATTCGACGGCTTTGAACGCCTCCTGGACCGGAGCGAATGCTGGATTCGAGGCGCTATTCCGGTCGCACGTGGACGAGTGGAGGACTGTGATGCCGGCGGACAGTGTCGACAGTTTCAGGGATGTGAATGGCTCTTTGCCGTTCGATGAGAATGTCCAGGAACTGCAGATCACGGCCATCACGAATCCTTTCCAGCTGCTGCAGAACACTATCAGCGAGAACGCCTTTATCGCTGCTGGTAATAACACGAGACTGCAGACCAACAGTATCAGCGTGTGCGGTTTGGGTGGATCCTGCTACGCCGGTCTCGTCTTCTGGGATACCGAAGTCTGGATGCAGCCCGGCCTCGTCGTGGCCTTCCCAGAAGCCGCGAAGCAAATCGCCCAATATCGGGTCAAGCTCTACCCTCAAGCCCAAGCGAACATCGACACGGCGTACCAGTCCAGCCAGAACGAAACGGGCAAGTTCTCTGATGCAGCAGCCGCATACCCCTGGACGAGCGGGAGGTTTGGAAACTGCACTGGAACGGGACCATGTTTCGATTACCAGTATCATCTGAATGGCGATATTGGTCTGGAGTTTTACAACTACTGGACTGTTACTGGCGATACGGAGTTTTTCCAGGGCGAGTTGTTCCCGATCTATGAGTCGATTGCGAACCTGTACGCTGAGCTGGTGGACTTCAACGAGACGACGGGATTGTACGAGCTGTACAACGGGACGGACCCAGATGAATACGCTAATTTCCAGAACAACGTCGGGTTCACCATGGTCCTCATGTCCAGCCATCTGAACAGCACCAATGACCTGCGAGAACGCTTCGGCATGGAGGCCAACGCCACCTGGACGAACATCTCCTCGCACATCACGATTCCCGTGAACAACGACGCGAACATCATCCTCGAATACGCCACGCAGAATGGTAGCATCACCGTCAAGCAGGCGGATATAGTGCTCATCGACGACTTTCTGCAATTCCCGAACCCTTACACGCTGAGCAATCTGGACTACTACGCCAGCGCGCAGTCTCCTGATGGGCCGGCGATGACGTACGGGGTGTTCAGTATTATTGCGAATCGGGAGAGTCCCTCGGGATGCTCGTCGTATACGTACGATCTGTATGGCTCGCAGCCGTATACGAGGGGTCCGTGGTTCCAGTTCAGCGAGCAGCTGATTGATGACTGGTCTGTCAACGGTGGCACACATCCTGCGTTTCCCTTTTTGACGGGAGTTGGGGGTGCGAATCGTGTCGCGGTGTTTGGGTATCTTGGTCTGCGTCTCAACCCGGATACTCTCGACATCGACCCCTCGCTACCGCCTCAGATCCCGCAATTGGAGTTCCGTACGATTTACTGGAACGGATGGCCCATCAAGGCGTACTCAAACCAAACGCACACGACGCTGAGGAGACTGGGAACGCCCCTCTCGACTGCGAACAGCACCTTCGCGAACACTTCGATCCCCGTCACAATCTCCCTAACAGGCACCGAAGTCCTCGACCTCCCCATCAACACCACCCTCACAATCCCCAACCGCCAAATCGGCACCATCAAAACCACCCCGGGCAACCTCGCCCAATGCCGCCCCATCACCTCCCCAGACCCCTACGAACCGGGCCAATTCCCCCTCTCCGCCATCGACGGCGCCATCTCCACCAAATGGCAACCCACGCAATCCAACCGCACCGCCTCCATAACCGTCTCCCTCCCGCAACCCTTCGTCCCCATAACCCGCATAACCTTCGACTGGGCCCAAGCGCCCCCCACGTCCTACCGCGTCGCCTTCCACAACCTCTCCGACACCTCATCCGTCCCGCCTCTGAACGTCACGAGCTCGGCGAACGTCACCGTTAGTGACCCCTTCGATGAGGCGGATCAGTTTATTATCCGGCCGTATAGTTCTAACACGACGAATGTGACGCTCGAAGGGGTGGTGTGGAGTGCGCGGTATGCGACGTTGGAGATTGAGGGGAATTGGGCGACGGTGGGGACGGAGAATGAGCGGAATGGGACCGGAGCGACGGTCGCGGAGTGGGGGATTGTGGCGAGGGATGGGGAGGATGTGGTGCGGAGGAAGGGGGTGGGGGTTTGGGAGGGGTGAAGTCAGTAATATGAGTAAAGGTTTTTTTTTTGGAGTATATGAGTGATATGAGAAGCTTCGTGAGAGGCGATGACGAAGATCTTAAAGTCGAGGGGTGTCTTTCCTGTTTCACATTCCAATCGTCTCAGCCTTGTTCGACACGAGTAGAGGTGACACCGTTCTTCCTTACTGGCGTCGAACGATATATCCGATCTTGGGGAAATGCAGCCTGATGCCATCTTTGATCTCGATCACGACTTCGTCGATCGTCGTGCCGACCAGCTTGCCAGCTTGCGGGAAACTCCCAGGGGTCGAACTATCACAGATATGTCAGCTGAACAACCCACCACACAGGTCGCCGAGCACGAAAAGGGAAGACTCACTCAAAACTCTCCACATTAACACTGGCCCCCTTCTCAATCCCATACGCATCCCCCGCCTCCACCTCCACCGGCCCCTTGGCCGTATACTCACTCCCCAAAATCCTCTTCTTCACCGTACTCGCATCCAAAACCTCCGGCGCCGCCTCAGGCAAACTCTCCACCAACTTCCACACCTTCGGAAACTGCTCCCTGCCCGCGCCCTCCTTCTCGCCAATGCCCAGATTCTTCAACGCCCACCGCAGCGTCCACACGACATGGATATCCGCGAGCGAGATCTCGGACCCGCCGATGAAAGGCCCCGCCGAACCCGCGAGGAACTCCTCCTCGACCTGTCGCAGTCGGGAGCGGAATTGCGCCACGGCGCTGGGACGCAGGGTTTTGAGATCGGGTCGCGTCAGGAAGGGGAATATCGCCTCCCGGTCTTTCACGAAGCCCTCTGTGAGCATCTCGGAGGGAATCATCGCCAGCGCCTCCGAGAAGACCGTGTCGCCCCAGACGGCGTAGGCGTGGTCGGCGGGTGAGCGCTTGATGGGTTTGACGGCGAGCTCGGAGAGAATCTTCTGAATAATGTGGGCGCTGTCAACGTAGACGTCCTTGCCGATGGCGAGGAGGGGGATGCGCCGATAGGCGATTCCGAGGGCTTGGAGGTCCGGGCGGGGGAGGACGATGGGTTGGTCGGACTTTTGGAAGGGGGTTTGGGTGGCGGCGAGGAGGAGTTTGGTTTTTTGACCGTAGGGGGAGAAGTCTGTTTTGGTTAGCTAGCTGGTGGGAGGGGAGGGAGGAGGGGTGGGATTGTTACCGTAATCGAAATGAATTACTGGAGCCATGTTATTGTATCTCTCAGCTGTTCTCAATTTCTTGTTGGCTGTTCTCTATGGTTTGCCGTGTATATTGCTTGGCTCTCGGGTCTCGTGTAACGAAGCGGCAGTTGCTATATGCGTTGCCGGTCGCCGTCCAACAACCATTTTATAGCTTCCCATCTTGGAGCTTCATAAAGTTTAAGGTGCCCGCCTTTGGTATGATGCAATCTCTGGGAGAGCTCGTGCTATTTGGAAGTGACACGCGCGAAGTGAGGTCTGGCCCTTTCTTCCCACTTGTCCGTCCTGGTTGTCCGTAAATGGTTAAGGGAATTGGGTGACTCGACGGCGTCTTTGCGAAAGAGAGATCGAAAGACGGATGAGTCGCGCCCTACGAGTGAGAGTCTCGTCTTTGGCGCCTTGTCTTTACGCTTTTGGTATAAGGAAATCTCCCACGTGAGTGGAAGGGATGAACAAACCGTGTTGCAGTGACTGTGCTTCTGTCATTGAGACCGAATACCACCGGGATGCAAAGACGTCATCGTTCTTGTTCAAGATCCTCCACTATGTGTTGTACTGAGATGGATTATCCACGAAATGGAGTCTCGATTTAAGAGGATAGGACGGGTTGCTCTGGCGGCTTTACGAGACAATTTGTTCGTCTTGTGAATGGGTAGGGCCCGGGCAAAAGGGTCGACGTGGACTGCCAAAAGCTCACCAAATACCGTGGCCGATGCCGGAGTACAGCGATCCTTTCGGCGCAACAGAAGGCGGCGTTAAGACTCAGATGCAGCCGACGCCCATGAATCTGAGCCAAATTCCTCTTTTGGCGAGGTGCTCGAGCGTTTCATCACCGAAGACTTGAGCGAAATAGGCCTGAAGCGTGGAAATCATGCCCTCCATCCTGTCATCTCGTAAGGATTGGCGAAAGAAGCCAGGCGTACGAGAACAGATCAAGCTGTCAGACCACTGATGATACTAGGTAAGTGCGTCCGCCCTCCTAAAACGAGGAGGCCGCCAGGACAATCGTGGCACATATCGTCAGTCTCGTTTGCTGTTTCGGCCGGTCTCTAAAATGCCTTTGACCGACTATCCCGAGTGGTTCCTGGGCAAGCTTCTTTCTGGGCGTAGAGGAAACGACCACGATCTGTTCTGCAAAGCACCGGCATTCAAAGAATTCTCCGAGCCGAACATCACTGTCGAAGCGCCAGAGATTGGTCCTTCAGAATCCAAGCTTGGGAAGGAACACGGAGCGTGGGGCTCAGGTCGCATTCCAGAGATCAAGTGGACTTTGTCACCGAGCATGGATGCCGCGACAGTCAAGGAGTATCTTCTCGTCTTCGAAGATCCAGATGCTCCACTAGGTCACTCCAATCCTCACGGTATCTACGCCGAAGTGCCAGCAACCCGATCGAAGATCGAGCATGCGGATCTCGAGCTTGTCCGCAAAGAAGGCGAGAAGAACATCATCAAAGGCGGCTTCACCGTTGGCAAGAACAGAAGGAACATCGTGTACATTCCTGCAAGGCCGCCTCTCGGACATGGTAGCCATCGCTACTTTTTCCAAGTCGTCGCTCTCAAGGAGCCTTTGAATCTGAAGAAGGATCGCGAGCCGCCGGCGATTCCAGAGCTCAAGACGCTTGTTGAAGGCAAAGTCGCTGGTTGGGGTCAGTGGATTGGGACTTTCGAGAGTACCTGGGATCGGCATAAGTGAGGAGTAAAAATCCGAATACCTCTGTGGGATGCAGAGGGTCATTAGCAGGTGGTAACGAGTGTCATGGTGGACGTTGCGAGATGCGTAGTGTTGCTCAGTGTTGGCGAATGACTCCCCTGACAATCAACGAGTCTCTAACTCGGCATCGAACATCGGCTTCACGCTTCCATTTCGGAAGCACTGTCAGCAGTCAGCACGTGTCCATCCCGATATCAGGAGACGAGTCCGAAGCGACCGGCCCTGCCGCCAATCTTCCAATACCGTTGCACTGCACACTTGGATGTGGCTGCGTTCTGGAACCCATTGTCTGGTGACATGATGACTCCTCATCGTTGCAAGCGAATGTAAGAAAATTGTCAAGCACTTTGCTTGATGATGGAAAGCAAGCACGAGGTGATTTCATCAATCTTGGCATCGTCTTTCAGTAGCTTCTGCTTTAGGAAGTTCCTTTCTGCGTGACGAGAGGATGGAGGCATGCATATTGGGCGTTCCGGGCACGGAAAATGTGGCGTTTGGCGGGATGCAAGCGGAGGACATGGTTGCATTGCGGTGACAGTCGACCAGCATGGATGATTACACAGCGGCGAGTACTCTGTTTACTGCCAGTGTGTTCATTCCAGAAGGTAGAATCAAGTGCGAGATACCGACAGGAAAAGGGTGCAAGAGCGACGATGAGGAAGAAAGATGTTATTCTGATTCACCCCACCAACAATCTCCAAACTCTGTTCTCCACTTTTTCTCACTAGCGCCAACAAAGCTCGCACTTCAGCCATCTTCTGCACCTCCATCTCACTCGACAACTGCTCTATCAGGCGAGGCCATGCGTGCTGCTGCAGGGCACCCGACAAAAGCCTTCTACCAAGCTCGACGAGATCATGTTGATGACGCCAGCTCATCGCTCAAGTCCGGCTCTTCACAATGGCGGAAGCTTCGAGTAATACAACGCGTGCTGTCTGTTGCACCAGCACAGGAACAGGAAATATCTCGTCGTACGACAGACACGGAAACCCAGCGAGGGACGAATGACAAACACCGCTATTTTGTCAGCTGTTGTGTTCGCCGAACGCGTGCTGCTATTCTCTCTTCTCGGAAACAATGCTGCTGGGAACGATGACTAGAACCACCTTGCTTCTGTGATGCACAGAGATGATGGTGATAAGAAACAGCCTTGTATTTTGAAGAAGAAACTCCAGCAGAAATACAATACAGAGTAGCTCCCTTATCCGGCAAGTACCCATGGGCTCTCTGCTTGGCAGCCAGCAGGTGTAGTCATACGCATGCAGACCATGGATAGCCACGAGGAGCTCGCACAACAGTCTAGAAACGGCCCGGCGCATTCTCAAAAGACGCAAAGAACTCGGGACGAACAGAACCTTGGACGAATGTGGCTGAGTTCTCGTCAAGGTTGCTCGAAAGCTGCAGCATGCCGTGAACTCACCATGCAACATCGTTAGTAAACTTAGACTTCCATCACCGACTCCGGGTCCTGACACCGCAGCGTGGTGCCCTTTGGTAAGGCTGGCGCCATGGAGTCGGAGCAGCGGCGCTCCCATTGCTGACAAAAAGGTACCTGTTGTGGGCGCCGCTTCACGTTGCACGCGTCTGACTACCTTCCCAAAAAGTATCCGCCCACATTCCGTGTTCGAGGAGCTTGAAGATATAGAGCGACGTGCTGACCCAGCTTTAGTTTTGTCAACACAGAATCTTTCAAATCTTTCTGCACTGCTATTGCAAAGCAAGATCTCTCTCGCATCACACCATACTCTGCCACTGCAAGACGTCACACTTGTTACAATGGCTTGCGTCGAGAGTACATTTCAACCCACCCTCCACGACGCCATGGCCCTTCGTCGAGGCTCCATCCAACGCATGAGCAACATCCCCTCAACATCAATCCTACGAACACAAGAAGAAGCCAAGCTCATCAACTTCCGCATCTACGAATCCCAACCCAGCTCACCAAAGATGCCCTCAAAGCAACACCATCGTTCCTCTTTCGTCAAGCGGTGCTCTCAACTCGCCACCGGTCGCCGTACCTCCATCACCTCAACATCTCCCACAACACCACAACAAGCGCCAAACCTCGTTCAATGGGTCCAACGACTCCCCTCAACCCCCTCGGGCTACGAAGACTTCCTAGAATCCGCGCTGGAAGAAGCTGTCGGCCAGCTCGTCTACGGGCCTAATGCCGCCGCCGAGGAGTTCGAATTGGGATACAATTACGATACTCTCGAAGATGCTGCGCCGGAGGCCTGGGTGAGGGTGCAGGCGCAGAGGATCGAGGCGCAGGGGAAGCAGTGGATTGCTGCGTCGATCCAGTCGAAAGGGACGGAGGGCGTGAGGCCGGAGGTCTATGCGTATGGGAGGTGGGTTTTGGTTAAGACGAGGAGGCATTGAATGACAGGCAAGGTTGTGTGAAGTTTCTAGGTGGTTTGTGGGTAATGATCTGGATTATGTCTTCAGCGAGCGAGGCGTTCAAAAAGGAGTAGCACGAAACAATATACCACGGGAGCGAATCATTCGAGTACTTACGGCAAGGAAGATACGACACTTTGTTAAATTTTAGATCACAGACAATCGAGCGCCGATTTACCATCAAAGGCGTGTACAGTACACCTCTGACTGTGCCTCCTTTCAAAACATATTAACAACAACTCAGCACTTTCAACTATTCTCCACCCTTTTCAGGTATTCTCCCATCCGCCCCTCCACCGTAACACCATTCCACGTCCCTTCACCAAAATCAGGCGGTCCAATCTGCTCCAAAGCAAAACTCGCAGCGACACTAGCCTTCCTGGCAGCTAGGACAGCATCACCCCTGTTCTGCTGATACTCGACAGCAAAAGCTCCCAAGAAAGTATTGCCACCGCCGGTAGCATCTACCACACGACCGGCTTCGGCCGGGGAGAAGAATGGAGCGACCCAGGTCGTTTTGACACGGAAGTCTGGCGACTGGTTTCGTTCCAGCACAACGGCGCCGTGCTCGCCACAGCGAACGATACAGATCCTTGGGTTCGAGTGTTCAGTGGCGAAGAACCTAGTCGCACAGGCTTCGATAAGACCTTTGTCAAAGCTTTCATGCTTCTTCAACGATCGCTCACAGAGTCCCAGAAGTTCCACATGGTTCGGTGAAAAGACGTCAACAAGTCTCGCGGCGTCGATATACGCATCGAGGAAGTTCGCGGTGCAAGATAGTGGGGCGGGCTCCCAAACCAAGAGGGGTTGAACTGTGATGCCATGCTCGAGTCGGCGCTGAGAGAGTTCTGAGAGTTGTGTTGAGAGGACGTCAGGGCTGGACAGGAGGTGAAAGGTAGAGGACTGAAGGAAGCGTAGTGGAAGGTCGATGGGCCGTGGTTGTAGAGGTGTTGTGAGATATGAGTAGGATTTGTCTGTGGAAAGACTCTCATCAGTCACAATTACCCCTGTGTTGGGCATAGGATGCCTTACGTTCGAACTTCCAATCATGATACTCGAGCCTTCCTCTCGTTGACATTGTAGTGGGTAACCTTTTGATAGTGTAGTCTATTCCCCACGGCCGGAAATGCTTCTCGACTTTGTCGTATGGAAAGTCGTGGCCCGCCAGAACGAAACTTGCTATTCTCCGGCTCTGGCTGTCCTCCACTGCGAGCCGTGCCCCAAGGGTGCTGTATGCCCCTGAGCCGCCGATGACATTGTGTTGAGTCGTGCTGTCTGGGAGGTGGAGCTCGTCCAGGACCAGCATGCCCAGACTGACGAACAGAGGGGTTACTTCGTCCTTCTCGCTCATCCGGGGTGACTGCATTGTTGAAGGATTCTGCTGTTCTTTGAAGCACTCTGCTGTTCTTTGAAGCACTATACGAGGAGAAAGGAATAGAGTCAGTCATACCTTGAACTCACCCTTTCAAAGTGGGCTGAGATCTACTGCCCACGTGCTCGCATATACTTCCACAGAGAAGAATCGTCTCTGTTCATCACCGCCAGATGATAGCTATCAGGCTCGCCTTTTGATCATTGCATTCATCGCGGAGTCAAGGAAACTTCAAAGTCAACTTGTCAACTGAAACATCAACAAGGTTGACACGCAGCGGCGGCCGGGCCTCGCCACCGGAACGCGACGAGCAAGACATCCGTTAGTCGCCGGACTCGCCGCCCTATAACCGGATCATTGGGACGGACTGTAACACGAACAAAGCTGTACGAGATGCAGAAGCCTGTTTCGGACATGCGGTCTGGTATTTGCCTAGGTCGTACATACACCTTGCCAGCGTCATCCTTCTTGACCGCTCGAAGCGGCGGTTCTACCCAAGGCATGGTCTCCTCTCTCAAGACCTGTCTCTTGGAACTTTGCACCTTCGCGAGGAGACCCCCTCGACAACATCCAAGGTCTCCAAATCGAATCCTACTCGCCTTCTTGTGTGTTCGAGATGTTAGCTCGAGTAGGATGAGGTCTTGATTCTGTGCCAAACCCGATGGCTTCTTGACGTCCGTGACTGCCGCCTCTTCCAAGCTCTAGTGGACGAACATTGTTCCTGGAGTAGCGTCTTCTCGTTCTGTATGGAAGACATCGAGCAAAAGACGGGTTGAGGGCGCCTGTCACAGGACGACAGCAACGAGCAGTCGAAGTTGACTGTCCGGCCACAAGACCCTATGTAGCGGGATAATCGCACTTGGCATGCTGTCAGGAGCGGCTGAAAATCGCTTTTGATAAGCGAAATCAGTGACATCGGCAGTCCGCGGCGGCTGCAGTAAGGGTTAGAAAGCCACATCCCCCTTCCAGCTCATCTCGGCCGCCGTGCACCCGTCCACTTCATCTTAATCCATTCGGAGGGCACAGAGCGATGCGCCCGTCTCAAGTAGGAAGACGGTGGGGTCCAATCCGCCCAGACAGGCTTTTGCGTATTCGACCACGAGCGGAAGGACTGTCCTGAGCGGTAGAACTTGAACATGAGTGGGACACCTGCCAAGATGCCGACTACCAAGAAGAGTTTGAATAGAATCATCAGTGTCGAGGATTCGGTGCTGTCTTCGTCGTAACCAATGGGGTCTGAGTATCGCAAGATAGCGTGCTCCTTGTCGAGAGCAGCCACGCGGTAATGTGTGAAGGGCCTCTCGCTTGAGGGCAGGCTTGGCAGGTCGAACGCCCCCTCAAAGCCCGCCTTCGGGATGATGTCGATATTCTCCCATCTCTGCGATCGAAGATCCTCGGTCTGAGCTCCGACAGCAATTTCTGAAGATGCCTCATCGCGCGACGCCTCGAGCGCCCAGTATGCGACCTCAGTAGCACCATTCCAGCTGACAAAAAGCGAGGCGTCCTCGATCTTGGCCTGAGGCGGGCTCTTAGGATTGCCTCGCCAGGTGAAGGTCTTTGTTGTGCGGTAAGACTTGAAGCGCTCGAACCAGTAGAACCATGAGGCTCCAAGGTGCGTTTCGCATAACATCTCCCCCGCTTGGTCGTACTCAGAGTACGCAGCTGCAGAGCCCCAGCCGACGAAAGTGTGCTCGCTGTCCGGCAGAACCTGTACCGAGCCTTGGGAAGACGCCAGAATGCCTTGTAAGGACTCCATTGATTGCACCAGTTCTGCGGTTCGGTTGGGGATATCGAGCTTGATGAACATGGCTCGGCTGGCTGCGGCATCAGAATGCAGTGGTCCTGCTTTCTGGTTGTCAAAGAGCGTCAGAATGCCTTCTTCCTCTGAAACCCATCGCGCATCGTGCTGCCATCTGAAGTCGGTCGCTCGTCCTTCGGATAGGTCCTCGAATTGATTGTCCCGGCCTCCCAGAATCCATAGAATCTCACCAGCTGGACTGATGCACGTCACATGGTGGAAGTGTCTGGACGAGATGAGGTAGTTTCCTTGCGAGTCCTTGTCGATACTGTTCAAGTGATAGAAGTCGAATGGAATGCTCTCCCAGTAGCCCCCAAACGGATTCGTCATGTATGTTTCCATGGGGTTAAAGTTCGCAGCTGCCGACCATTGAAAGAGCAATTCGCCGGTCTCGAGATCGATTTCCTGGAAGAGATTGTCAACAATCCATCCATTGGCCCCTCGACCTCTGCCCATTCCTCTTAGGTCTGCGGTAGTAGTGTTGTAGATTGACAGCAGCGCGGTTCCGCTTTCGGTGATTTTGAATTCGTGAAGGTCTCCAAATAGATCCTTCCCCATCGCCGAAACCATGCGCACGACCTGATACGTGGAATCGATCTGAGACAAGTTAGAAGTCCGGCTTTTCAGGGACGTGGAGCTTGATTTTACCATGAAGTAGACACCTTTACCTGACGTTGCGGCCTTCTCGCCACTCCATAGCGTCAAGTAGTCCTCGCCCTTGTACCGTTGGACCTTGAGATTTGCGGTGGCGCCAAAGTCGTCCGACATCCAAACCAACTCGCCCTTCGCATCCAGCATCATCGGGCCAGGCCTTTCAACTGAAGGGCCATTGGGCGTCATGAGCAGGTAGCCATTATCGCACCGGTCGTCCCATCGTACTCGTCTCGCTTGCGGTCCAAGGAGGTCAAATGATATGTATTGTTGCGTAGGATATAGGCCGTAGACTCCCAGGTCGAAAAATGTCGAGCCAAGACTTGGGAAGACGAAGGCGAGTATCGGCAAGAAACATTGATGGACCAGGAACAAGGAGAGAAGAACAGCGAGCACGACCAAAATCAATTTGATCGCGCTTCGCACGTGCTTAATCCAGGCCATGCTGGGAAAGAGAGACAAGCGTAGGGGGACTGCTGCCACCGTGCCTCATGGCACACAGCGGCGAGGTAAAGAGAGCATGGGGACTTGCGTAGTGTTGTAGGAGAATATTAAAACAAAGAAACATGAGAGAGACTTGCATCAAGCGGCAGATTCAGATAACCGGGGGTTGGAGCAACCCACGCGACATGGCGCCGCGCACGTTGCCACGATGCGGCGACAAGGGCGCTCGCGGCTTCCCGCTCTCACCAAGCAAAGAGCTCGGTGGGGATGTCTGCCGTGCCAAGCCGATCCGCGAGTGCCCAAATGTGAGCAAACTTCCATGAAGCAGGGAGTGCGATATCAACGTGGCGCAGCGATTCGAGCAAAAACGGCATTGCGAATTCGTCCAAGTATAGTCGCGGAAACTTCGCATCATCTCAGGAGGATTGTGCGCGGCTGCGGTGGAGTCGGACCATCAGCACTCAATTCCAACCTTTCGGTGATTGCGTAGCGCCAAGGTGAAGACATGCGTCTGTTTCAAAGCTGTCTCCCCAATCCAAGCAATCTCGGCCAGGTCAGAAGAAATCACCGCAAGTAGATTCGCCACTGAAGCTAGGTTGGAGACCGCTACTTTTGCCCGGTGACGTCGGCGCAGGGCGCAGAGCGTTCCTGGCAGGAACAATTCAGCGCAGCGTGTGGTGTGAATCTGGGGGACGAATACCAAGTCTGGCATGTACAGCGCTCTCGATGCTTTGCTCGTAAGCGCGGCCGTGTTCCCGGAAAGATAGAGATGCGTCTTAGCGATGGCAACATCGAAACCACGACTTCCTTCACGCGGCTGTGAGTGGAGGAGAAAGAAGAGCGCATTGGCCTAGGGCAAGCCACCGCGAACCGACGCCGGCTTGGCAGTGCCACTGTTGACGAGTCGCGAGTCGTGAGGATGGCGGTGATAAGGCACAGCACGACATGCTGCGGCTCTCCTCGTCGTGTCTTGTCGTATGGTCGGGTGCGTGAACGACGCCCGCGGTTCTTTCTATGCGAGGTCGTCGGCGACGGCGGGAATCAGAGACCGGTTTGACCGGTACTCACGAGCGGGTACGAGGGCCAAGCCAGGAAAGGGAGCAGACGAGACAGGAGGGCGGCGGCGGCGTCATTCCTTTGTTTGATACAAAACGACATCGGTCTCGAGCCGTCTGCATAGAGGAATCAAGCAAAGAAAAGGCAGCCGGAATGGAGTGCAAGGGAGACTTTGAGAATATATGGACGTTTGGCTGCCTGGCTCTTTGCTGTACGCTCGCACTCCCGCTCCCAGATGGGCTGCGCAATTCTCGGTGCTCCGGGTCCCGAAAGCACACATCGCCCAGGATCCTATGGCGAGCCATCGAATCAAGGCGCTGGATGAAGGACAAGTGAAGTCGAAATAAGGCTCGTGTCTGTGAGACGCTGTCCGCGGGATGCGTCGTTGTTCATTTTGGATGGCGGTGGTCGAAAATGGCAATCTTTCAGATGAGGTCCAACCTCATTGGGCGTCTGTACGGAGCACAGCATGCCTGAGGCACGCCATTTGACGCCATGAACAGCGGCAAGGCTGAGATCACGAGTATCCACTGGGCGGGCTGGCACAACGAGAGAGAATCTAGTTTTGTGTCAAAGTTGCACGTGAATTGCATACATTCGTCAACTGCGGCAAAGTAACATCACACGCTGTTCGACCGAGACGACACCGCAGCCTTCACCACAAACTTCGAGTGCAGAGCCTCTTGCAGATCGCAGAACGCAGCAACATTCGCTCCGTTCACATCCAGACCACCATCATCATCAGCAAGGATCGCAATGATCCAGTCCAGAATCTGACCCAGATACCAAGTTCCCAACCCAGAAGGCTCCTCAAGCTGGAGCTGCTGCATTGCTTCTGCCAACGGACTCGACGACTCCTCCGTAAGCAAGCTCAATCTTGGTCCGTGGATGAAGTATGGCACAGACTTCCACACGTCTTTGACAAGATCTGCCGCTTGGGCTTTGAGGGCATCTTGACGGTTCTGCCGTCTCTGGCACGATCGCAGCAGTTTGGTGACCATCAGTCGGGCGCACCTCCATTGATTGTAGAAGAGTGCGACATCCAGCGTGCCGAACTTCTCAAACGCATATGTGGTCTTGCGGTTCGGACCCATGACACCGTGGCCTGGAGGCGGTTGAGCCATAGTGTGTTGCTGAGGTTCCCAGTCCTCTGGCAATGAATCACGCCACGCCATGAGCCGCTCATCCAGCTGCTGGAGCTGTTCCTCGACCATTCCGATCGCAGGGTCACTCTCCTCATTCAACGTCCTTGCAAGTCTGCGGTCGAGGCGCATACTGCAAGCAATCAGCCCATCCAGCTGCAAGGCCGGGTTGCAAGTCTCTGAGTCAGTCGTCATATATGCCAGCAGAGCCAAATCGACGTTCTGGTCGAAACAGCCTCTCATCGCTCGATGCAGGGAGTTGCTCCTGGTTGCGTGTAGCAACGATCTCCCCACATCAGACTCAAAGTTCTGCGCTCCTCGAAGCCTCACCAGGCCCGTGGCTGCATTTTGGTGAACGTGCGAAAGTGGAGTCCTCATCCGCCTGGTCTTGATATACTCGGCAAAATCCAGCAATAACACGGCCAGCAGCGTCTCATCCGTCAGGCACTCAATCGGATCACTGATGGCTGTGCGCATTGCTGATGATGCTTTGACGACGCTTTCTGCATGCCAGATGGAGTCGACTGATCGACAGTAATGGGAGGCCATTGAGCGGCCTGCTGCAAACTCCATTGCCAACGCAAGGAGCGAGTCTGGCCGCGCCGTGCTGTACAGTGGAAGGAGGTAATCGAAGTGACCGCGGCTGGTGAGTCGGTTCCTCCCATTCATGAGATAGCTGTTGAAGAAGAACGTGACGCTGACCATTCCTGGATCCGGAGAGACGCTTTTGCCGATTGTCACGGTCGGACCTGCACACTTCTCTGGCGTTGCAGCCTTGCCTTTCCTTCTCGCGCGTTTTGCAGACTTTTCTGCCTGGTCGATGAACAAGAAGCCATTCGTATCTCGGTAACCCTGGACATGTCAGCGCAGTGCAGGCAAAACCAGTCTCGTCTTTGTCTGTCTCACAGGACACTCCTTCCCTCTCGACGTGCACTTCTTGCATTGCGGCTTCGTCTCATCGCACCGAGTATGCTTCCTCCGACAAGCATGACATGCCAGACTGAAATGCCTATTCACCATGCTGCTGCCTGCTAAGCAAAGAGGAAGAGCCTGACTTCATCCGCTCCATTGCAAGAGCACTTTCCATGCCTTTTGAGCCCTCAATCCTGAATCGTGCCCATACCGGTGTGGTCACGAAATCAATCCTCGCCGCAGTGTTGGAATACCGACGCAGTGGGACGAGCTGAAAGAAACGTTGAAGTCATGTAACACAGCTGAAGCAATGTCCTACCTGCTGATTCATGTATGCCTTTGTGCAGAGAGGTCTAACCCATAGGGGCAATTCATGAGTAGGTTCAGTGTTCGGCAGGATGTATACGGTTTGGTTTTGTGATCCGAGACCGAGCAACCTCTGGAAGCAGGTAAATAGGCGATTTTCTTCTCGAAGCTGAAAACCGTGGATCGTCGTCCCTCAGATCTCGTTGCAAGAGCACAGAAGGGCTTTTGCAAGAGCACACGAGGGCTGTACAAAGATCTGCGATGGAAGGATGCTGATCCTGAAGGAATCTTCGGCATCGCAGGCCAATCTGTATGCGCCGGGCGGCATGCCGAACTGCCTTACGGACTTATTTAACCGCATGAGCCTTTACATGGTGCGAATCCTTCACTCTCGTTCTCTGGCATCGAGCATGGGGTGTACTATAGCTTCCTAGATCCTTCGACTTACCTATCATAGCGAGGCTTAAACTCCCAACCCTACGCGGAACTCTCAGACTGTTCTTTCAAGACCCTTCATACTTCGCCGTCAAGAAGTCAAAGTCGCCACCTTCCTCGGCTTGGTTCACGGACGACTCGTACAAGCCACGATAGCCACGCTTCTTGCCAGCGATTCGGTTGCCTTGGACTGGCTGGCCTTTCTCCTTTAGAGACGCCTTTCTAGCCTCGATCCGTCGTAATATTTCTTCGTCTGACAGGTCGACTTCCAACACTCTCCTCTTTAGGCTACAGCGAATAACATCGCCGTCTCTTAAAATACCAAATGGGGAGTCAACAATGGCAGATTCCGGACTGATGTGAAGGACGATAGTGCCACCGGCGGTACCAGACATGCTGTAGTCAACGGTCAGTCACGGGGAATCATGGTAGCACGAAAGAGTAAATGCCAGCATACCGCCCATCAGATAGCCGAAGCATATCTTTGACGCCCTTCAGCTTACGAGGGATAGGAATCACGCCAGCTTCAGGCATTCCCGGATTACCAATGAGCCCGATTCCTTTCAGTACAAGGACTGAGTCCTTAGTCACGGCCAAGTCTTCCCTATCAATCCTTTGAGCAAGGTCTGCGGTGTTCTCGAAAACGACCGCTTTCCCTTCGTATTCCAATAGACTGCGGTCTTTGGATGCGGAAGCTTTCAGAATCGCGCCATTCGGGGCTAGATTGCCATGCAGAACCACCAGAGCAGAGCTGGGGTAGATTGGATTGGAGAGCGGTCGTATTAGTTGAGTCGAATAAGGGAATGGCTTGAATGGAGTTGCGTCGAGCGTTTCCCCTAAAGTCTTCCCTGTGATGGTCATGGCTTCCAGGTGAAGCAGGGGCCTCAGGGTGTGCATCAGCGCTGTCATTCCACCAGCGTTGTGAAAGTCGTTCATGTAGTTGTCCCCACTCGGCTTCAGGTCGACCAGTAAGGGAGTCTTCGTACCAACTTCGTCAAATGTCGACAGCGTTATAGATCCCGCAGCAGCTGGATGTCTGTTGATAATGGCCATTAGGTGGACCACAGCATTAGTCGAGCCGCCAATGGCTTGCAGCACGGTGATAGCGTTGAGGAAAGACTCCTTCGATAACACTTTCTGCGGTCTCCGTTCGTCTAAGTTGCCAATCACCGAGACAGCTATGGCTCCAGTCTGCTCGGCAACTCGAAGCCTTGCTGAAGATACTGCCGGAGCACTGGCGCCGTTGAAAGGCATCAGGCCCAATGCTGCCGTGACACAAGCCATTGTCGAAGCAGTGCCCATAACGCCACAAGTACCCACTGTCGGCGCTAGTTCGTCGTTGATTCCAGCAATGTCTTCCATATCCAATTCTCCAGCACGGTAAGCAGCCCAGTTGTTCCTGCAATCAGTACAAGCCCCAAGTCTCTCTCCTTTGAACGATCCAGGCATCATAGGACCAGTCGCCAAAGATATCACAGGCTTGTTCGCAGAGATGCTGCCCATGAGCTGTGCAGGAATGGTCTTGTCGCAGCCACCGATCATGACACACGCATCAAGCGGTTGGGCCTTGATCATCTCCTCGGTATCCATTGACATCAAGTTCCTAAGAAACATGCTTGTAGGTGATGCAAAGGATTCATGGAGACTTATTGTTGGAAAGTCTATTGCAAGTCCGCCATTCAACTGGATCCCGCGTTTCACAGCTTCGATCAGCTGCGGGACATTGGCATGGCAAGGATTGAAACCGCTGCCACTGTTGATGATGCCAACTATGGGCCGCGAAAGAGCATCTTCGCCATACCCGGCCGCCTTGATGAAGACCTTTCGGAGAAAGAGGGAGAAGTGAGTGTCGCCATAACTCGTAAGACCGCTTCGCAGGCCACCGCCTTGGATTGCATTGTCTAGGTCATAGTCTTTCAAGTCTTCTGGAAGTCCATTCGAGGCTTGTTCAGACATCTCGTATAAGGCCTAGATGATGTTGTTGTGATCTGCCAGTCAGAGGTCTACAATTGGTAAGGGCAGCTCCTCGTCGCCGACTCTCGGCCTCGCGCAATGCCCGCCGAGGTGGAGATGTTTCCACCTGAGGAGGTGCATTTCCGCCGAAACATCGACAAATACCTTGTCGGTGTACTACTGGGTGAATTCGTGATCAACGTCGATGTATGCCTGGCTACAGACTGAAGAAGACGGCTAGGAGGTAAAGAAAGGAAATGAGCACCCAGCCACCGCCATTTCTTCTTCCGAGCGAGCCCGTTGGTAACCCTTACTTCCGTCTCATTTCTGCGACTTCTCGACTCTGCACATCATTTCTATAGGACTGTCTGTGTAGTCCCATCAATCGATGTTGAAGGCTAGATATTGGCTTCAAAAAAGGCAGCAAAAATTGTTCATGTTCAGCAACTTCGGCTCCTGCCCCTGCCTGCGAGCTCGGCGGCGATGACGATGACAAGAGAGCATCACGACACCTGCCATCAAAAGCAGCTTGGCTCATCAACACCGCCCAATGCTGAATAACTGCAACAGATAGCAGAGTTGTATGAATTGAAACGATGCTCTGGATGGCCGCGATGCTACGTTATCGGAGCTGTGGAGTAGGTGCAACTTGAACGAGACGCAACTATGCAACGTTCTCCTCAAAATACTACTTCAACTATCTACGAAATCATCCTTTGAATTGAGCTCAAAAGGCCAAGACTTAGGGACCAAAGAATCACTCTCCATAACGGAAGACCGAGGATTTTGCAAGATGCCACACGCCACTAGGAACCTGAAAGAAGAGTTCGAGAGGGATGGCTTTGTCGTCGTGCCATCCGGGCTCAGCGAGGAACAACTCGAAGAACTCCGTACAGCAAGCAAAAATGTTGCCCAGCTGGCGAGAGATGGCAAGTGGCCTCACATTCGCACTCTGCCACGCCAATTCCCACCGTGGGCAAACGACCCATCTCAGGGCATCTGGGGTGTCCAACAGCTTATGAATCCAGATTTGCCGGGCCATGAACTGTTCACGAAGAGCTACTTTAACAACAGCACTATTGCTACAGTTCAAGAGCTCCTAGGAGGCTGCAATGAGGACGAGCTGGTTATGGAACTGTATAATCTACTGGTGAGGCCAGACGACGATTTCGAACTTCGTTGGCATCGAGACGACGTAAGATGAGACACAGTATCTTACTCGCCATATGCTCACGAAGCACTGAACAGATACCACCCACGGCCACTCCGGACGAGGAGATGGCACGCTTGAGCAAGCCTGCGTTTCATGCTCAATGGAACTTCTCGCTTTACAACGATGCGTCTCTCATCGTAGTACCACAGTCGCACAAACGACCACTGACAGATATCGAACGTGAGGCTGATGCCCTGGAGCCTAACATGCCAGAACAACTCTATGTTCAGTTAAAGCCTGGAGATATGGTCTTCTATAACAATAACATTTTACATCGTGGAGCCTACAAGCACGACATCGAACGCATGACCTTGCACGGCAGTATCGGCCACATTGAAGGTGGCTCTCTGCGTGCTCGAAACGTCTTACAACATGGTCGGGGTTGGATCGAAGGAGTAGATCTGTCGAGAGTGACGAAGCCAGAGCGAGCGAAGGGAATGCGTGATCGACTGCTCGCGCTGGGTGCGGAGCACAAGAATACTGGATACTCCCAAGATGACTGAATCCATCAAGACAGCTCGTTTGCTGACCTAGTCGAAATTAAACGACGTTACTACTGCTACCGCTATCACTCCTTGTCTTCTCGCCTATCATGCTGCTCCACGTCTGCTTGCGTCTTTTCGACAAGAAAACCCAAAGAGCAAGGCCGAGGATGGCAACGACTGCAATCGTTACGCCGGCACCTATACCGCCAGCTGCAGCATTCGAAAGAGCAGATCCAGAACTCTCTGTTGCGGTGACTTGTTCTGCAGTTCCATTCGACGTCTCCGCAAGGCAGAAATCCGCATTTGCACCACACCTCTTGCACCATCCGCTCACACTGGTGATCGCTCGATCTCGAAGCGATGACATGAACGCGCCATACGCCATTGCCTCGTCTTCTTGGCCGAAGAGTGGATATGCAGTGAGCTCCTCATCACTACCCGTGCCATTACGAAAGAGATACCTAATCCTCAAGTCATCCTCGGGGTTCGTTGGGAAAGACGCATTGTCGGCTTCGGAGAACACTTCGAATGCCATGGTTGAAGCGTAATCTGGCAAACCCATGAAGTCTGTGGAGACAGAAGCTAGGTCTACCAGGCCGAAGAAGGCGAGGAAAGTGTCGTAGCTGCCAGTCATGAGGCTGAACTTCGTGGCGGCCTCATCTTGAACGACCGCTTCGAGTTGGCGGAGGATGCCACCGGCAAGCGACATCCCTCCTATGACTCTGTCCAGATTCGAAGCGTTGAAGTTCATGTCTGCAGAGCAAGGATCAGCAAGTTATCAAGTGGACACGGCTAAGATGCAATGTACTCCATTCCCACTCATCAGCAAGATACCTGGCCTCAGCCAGATCTTCTGACACGATTTGTTCGGACACCGAAGCATTCTGGACGTAAGCCGTGTTGAGCAAGTCGAAGACATTGTACGCTTGAGCATACGAAACATTCTCCAGCCCCAAGATATCGCCGAGCAAAGGTACAAACTGGTCGTAGAAGCCCTGACTGCTGTTGAGCGTCTGTTGGTACTGGTCGGACACCTTGTACTCCTTAGAGTCATTCGTCCAAGCCGGACACTCATCGTCGCCTTTCAACCAGATTGTGTCAGGGGCATTTTCCGCCTCGCCTTGGATATGGATACACTGATAGCCATTGAGAGGGCTCTCGATGGAAGTTCCGTTGGCCAGCTCTTCCGTCGCCAGATCTTCGTCCAGACTACCGAGTGGAGGGTAGAGACCTTGCGCGAAGTTCTGAGCTGTTTGGAATAGAACCTTCAACCATCAACACTGTTATTTGAACCTTGATTCTGAGGTGGTCATACAGACTGATCAGGAGCACTGAACCACAGCTGACTATGGTCTACATCTGGCGGCGAGATCCCAGCGATTTGGTCTGATGCACGGGCAGCAACGTAGCGGTTGCGATAGTACGTTCCACTGTTGAAGCACTGCACAGCCCCCAAGTTGGTCATTTGGTAGTTCTTATAGAACTTCGATGTTCCTATCGTTTGGTCAACACCAGCATTGCTTCAGAAACATTGTGCTTACGATCTCCATGTCGACTGAAGACGAGAACGCTGTGCACAGTTCTTCCAAAGGCTGGGACAGCTGCTACAACTGTCAGAAGAATGATTGATTTGAACATGGCTAGCTGGAACACGGTCACGAACGCTGAAGAAGCAATGAACTGGGAAAAACTTTTTCTAAGAAAGAGAAGGCCGTATCTTTCAATGCCCGCCAACGACTGACAATGGACCTGACCATCCTCTGGACTTCTACAGGGCTCTACATGAAAGCTCGAGGCTTTTCCGACATCTCCACCACTTAGCTCTGGCCAAGAGAAGAGTTCATCTTGGCAATGAAGGAACTTGCTGTCGTGTCTGTCTCAGGCCGTTCTTCAACGAGACGATTTCCTGTGGAGCAGAAACCGATAAACAGAGTTCCTCGCTTGAGATGCGACTCATGACTGTTTCTTAGGATATCCAAGAAAGTGATGATCAGACTCAACGAGGTTCGAGCAAAAGAATCCAAGGCTGTTCAGCCAAGATCGAAGACTTGGAAGCTCGCTTGATATCGCCGAATTTGGTAGTCAGCACCGAGCAAGACATTGATAGAGGCCGATACAACAGCTTAGTCGAGTTGTAGAAGTGTGCACATCTCCGTCGGACTACTCTAATGTGGAGTCCAAGGCTTAGTGACCGGTGATTCTTGGCTTCCAGAGATATTTGTGAGGTCTGAATGTTGGCTTACCCCTGAAAGCTTTAGCAGTGTAAGTGAATGTCCAACTTGTCAACTCAGGAGGATCTATGGTTTTCAAGAAGAGACATTGCTTGTAGTCCTGCGATGGATGTGGTCTCGTCAATTTGGCCATGCTATCAACGCTTCAATCCCATCCATCCGCCTCCCGTATCAACCTTGCAGCGAGATGGCTAACAGCATAGACATCTGCCTGTGGATGACAATTCGGCGGCTTCGGAAATACGCTTGCATCCACAACCCTCAGCCCCTTCAAACCTTTCACTCGGAAGTCTTGATCCAACACCTTCCCCAGCGCAACAGTCCCCATCGGATGATGGTAACTCTGTGCACCACCTCGAATCGCCTGCATGAGCCCCTCGTCGCTGGTCACATTCGACCCTGGATATATCTCCTTCACGATGAGTGGCTTCAACCAGTCTGATGCTAGGACTCGACGGAGCGCTTTGTAACCCCAGAGGATGACGGCACGGTCGCCGGTGGTGCCGAAGTAGGCGGTGTCGATGAGTGGAAAGTCCCAGAAATTTGACGATTTGAGGCGAATTGTGCCTGCTGCTTCAGGCTGGACGAGGGCGACCCAGATTGTTATGACTTTTGTAGTTGGGACTGAGGTGTTGGCGATGAGAGCGACATTGGCGTACTGCATTTGAAGGTTGCCTCGATCGGCGGGTAGCGAGCGATGGAAGTCTCCTGCAGGACCTTTTGGCAGGGCTGAATTCGGGACACGGACCAGGGAGAACGAGGATGCTGGAACGTTGGCTAATGGACCGGCTGCATTTTGTTTGAAGGACCGTATGATGCTTTTCAGGTAAGTTGAATTTTCCCATTGCGACAGGGTGTAGACAGGGTCCCGGACCTGGATCTCGATCGAAGCGTAGTTGTGGTCCTGTAGGTTGGCTCCAATGTGATCATTCGCCAGAATGATAGGAATTTTGTGTTGTTGAAGATGCGATCGTGGTCCTACTCCGGAGAGCATGAGGAGCTTAGGCGAAGCAATCGCGCCAGCTGAGACGATGATCTCGCGTGCTTTGATAGTCTGCGTTCTGTTTCCGTTGTTCGTGTCGGCGTATGTGATTGACTGGGCACGTTTGCCTGCGAAGTTGATCTTGTTGACGTATGCCCCATGGATCATACGAACGTTGCGACGATTGGCCATGCGGTAGCCGAAAGCTGTGTGAGCGGTCTCGCGGGTGCGCTTCTGCGGGATGATGGACTCTACGCTATAGCTGACACCGACACCAGCCCCTGAATTGAAATCCACTTCAGGCAGACGGAGTGTGTCTTTCAGAGCGTAGTTCCAGTACGGATCGAAACCGTCCAGTGTCTGTGCGTGCGTGAGTGACACGGGTCCGTTTCCATATGCCTCGATATCGAGTACTTGGCTGAAATTCGACATGCGTCGATTCGGCTCCAGCCTAGTCGTTGCCTTGAAGTTGTTGATCAAGCTGTCCCAAGCCAGACCGGGAATGCCAGAAATCTCGGCCCACTCGTCGAATACAGACTTGGATCCTCGATTGTAATTCATGTAATTGACCGACGTGCCTCCGCCCCAAACCTTCCCTTGAGCCAGATGTGGAGTCGCCTCATTCAATTGCTTCTGAGGAATGGTGTAGTAGTCCCAGATCCTGGGCGAGAACTCGTTGACGCCAGCGAAGCCGGGAATTGTGATATTGTCGTTCTGCGAGGCATCCAGTCCGGCTTCGAGTAATATGACGGAGACCTTTGGGATCTGTGAAAGCTGTTCAGCCAGGACGAAGCCGGCAGGACCACCGCCAACGATCACATAGTCGAAGATAGAGTTGAGAGAAAGACCGGCAGGAGGTGAAGTGTACATAAAGTTGAGTCGAAGCCAAAGGGGTGTATTGCAGATTGCTGAATTCGGTAAGGTCCTTCTTTGTGAGAAAGTGAGCACTGCTGCCTTATATGCGGCTTCACAAGTGTGAACGTTTCTTTAAGGACACTTCCTGATGGGTTCCTGTAGCTCTTGGCACAGCAACGCAGGTTGTCCAAGGAGTTTGTCCTATAGGTGCTTAGAGTGGGAGTGTAAGTAGATGACTGCTAATGCAATATATTAGTAGAGCTGAGTGCCGGCGTAGGATTGCCTTGAGGTGATAGATCTAGCGGCGTGGTGGTGTCGATACCGTGAAATCGTGACGGTAGGCTCGGGAACGTGGGCGTCGCAAGGAAGGAGAGATCAGACATTGGGAGGACAAGTCGGGACCAATCTCGTAGTGGCTGCCGCGGTGCTCAGGCGTCCAGTCTGTGGAAAGAGCTATCCTTTGATAGTCTTGGTGAACGGACACCGCGCACTCAATCACAGGGTTCTCCGTATAAAGAAAGGCAGTGCTCCGGACTAGCACGAAAGATGTCGTCTCCAAGTAGTGTCAAACAATAGACCGAAAGCACTCGATGACTGCAGAACTTTTGTCACGAGCCGTGATGTATATCCCGGAGCTGGACCGCGATGATTTGTACGTGCTCGATTCTCTAGAAGTCACAGTAAGTTTCGACACCAATAAAGAAAGCCGACGCATGCATGCAAAAGTTTCCAATCCTCAACTTCTCCCATGCCTTAAAGACCAGGAATGTCCAGATAATCAGAGATGCCATTCGTAAGATTCCTCAAAGCGGACGCTCCACCCACAAGGTCGACGAAGGTGGCAGCATACGAGTCTTGCACGACATCTAGGACGTCTTTAGCCTCTGCTGTATGTATTCGATGTAACAACTCACCTATTCCTTCGGCAGCCCTATCAGGGTTGACAGCAAATAGTTCGACAACGTACTCTCCGAGAGTGGCGAAAGTGATGGGAACAGCCGAAGGTCTCCAGCCTAGATCAAATGGCAGCTTTTGTTTCTCGAAGAGGCTTCGAACATAGCTGATCGGGGCACTGTTGACCAGGGGGCTGCTGAGGATTTGGACGTAGAGACCGGTTTCTCCAGAGCTGAAAAGGAACTGTCGTGGGCCGTACCTTGTTCATGTAAGCAACTGAACAATGGTCCAATGGAGGTGGGCATCTTTACTTACGTGCACTCAGGGTTGTTAGTCTCGCAGTACTGGACTCGGGCATATCTGGCTTTAGACGCGGTTGGAGTAGTGGTTCTTGTCAAGCCCTTGAAGTACGACAGCGTGCCAGTCCAAACGCGTTGGTTGAAATCGTACCAGTTGCCGAAGTAATGATCCTGGCGAGAGATGCTGACATCGTGTTCAATTGGAAAGTTGTGCTGTTTTCTTTTAGCGTCGTTGATGTGTGGCAGCGTCTAACCGTCTTACCCTGTCCAAGTTGTTCAGATCAAACGACCCTCCGGCTGGGTTTGGAGAAGAGAGAAGCCCAGCAGCACCAACGACGGCCATGAAGTCAGGGCCAATGTTGATACCCTGTGCTCCCCCAACGATCAATTGTGGAACAGTGATGTTCTTGCCGTTGCGATTGAGGAAGCTGCCTGAAATCAGTCGAAACCCCTGATGCGGGACGCAGTCTACTCACCCATGATTCGCTAAGCTGTTGAGTCCTGTGGAAAGTAGTAGTTAGTATGGGCTGTGAAGCTCTATCCGGATATCCAATCCGATCGCGCACCTGGGCATGGAGAGCGGACTACGATGTGTTAGCCCTTGTCTTCTCGCAGTACACGATCTGGACGATACCGTCGTTCTTCCCAGGGGGCCTATAGTCTCTGAAACGAGGATCGGTCGGCAATGCTGGAACCGCTTGAGCTAGTAAGGCGGGAATATCGAGCTGAGCGTAGGCAAGTCCTGCGGTTGCTAACAGAAGGCTGACGGTCGACTTCATGATGGCTGTAGTTGGTCTCGTAGACGACCTTGCTCACAGTCTCCGGGAAGAGTAGCAGGCCAGACAAGGAAAGTAGGAGGCTCGGGCCCTGTAGTCATGACTGACATATTCATTGCTTCTGAGAGGCTACTTGCACGAAGGTTTGCGCGATGAGCATGAGGCGTCGTTCATGGCGTTGCTCTGATAGCCTCATGCACATAGCAGCCTCAAATCTGGGGATCAAATGCAGGACATCGAGGGTTTGCAACGCGATCGTTGGCCAAGCTTTGGATCGACCGCGTGAGGTACTGGAGGAGTTAAGGTTATTTGAAGCAAAAAGCAGAAGCTGGGATAACAGCAGTATGCCGAGGCCTTCTCCAAGCCCTTGCCGTGACAGTTCATGCCTTTATGGGCTTCATTTGTCACACATTTCCGCGGCCATGTTTCTTTTGCAGATTTGCTTGTCTTGTCCTCTGGACCTAGCGCCGCTGATGTCGAGGCGACTGCGTTGGCATCTTAGCCGCACCGGCCTGCAGCCCGCCCTCCTTCCAGATTGGGAGAAAGCCGAAACAGATGAGCCAGTAGCCGTGTAGTCGTTAGTAATAGAAGACTTCTCGAAGTGAGAATGATCGTAATGTTGTCCTGCTCAGAGTTGAGAGCGTGACCAACGAGAGCCTTGCTTCGCCTTCATTGCGCTACAACTTCGAAAAGTTGCCATGCCTGCCACTGCCGCTGCTGAATCTCTGCGCTCCAGCTGCACCTTCGGCCTTCAATGCGTTGCGACCTGCAGCGAATTCGAACCTGAGAGCGTCTTCCATCGACTTGGCATCATAGCAAGCATGATAACAGGATTCTCTGTCCGAGTTCATGCAGATTTGGGGGAACTCAAGTAGCTGTTTTGCTATCGTCAGTGCTTCCTCAAGAGCCTTGCCTTTCGGGACGACTCTGTTAGCCAATCCCATAGCTAAAGCTTCCTGTGATCCAACGGGACGTCCAGTAAGTATCATGTCGAGTGCTCTTCCAAGTCCAACGATGGCCCGTAGACGGATTGTACCACCGTCTATTAGAGGTACCTATTGCCAAATCAGCGGCAGTACTCGACACTATGGGAGAGGATCTCATACACCCCATCGCCGGCAGAACACGCCGAAAACAGCATCCTCCTCGACGACACGCATGTCACCGAGCAAACTGAGTTCGAGACCTCCAGCAACAGCGTACCCAGAGACAGCACATATTAGAGGTTTCTTCACTTGCAACCGTGAGGGACCCATAGGCCCCTGAGATCTTTCTGCTGAGAAACTTTGATCGTCTGGAGCAGTGGATATGTTGGGACCAGATTTGCCCACGGTATGGAGATCGTAACCAGCGCAGAAGGTGCCATTGGCGCCGTTGAGTACTGCAACCTGAACAATTGTCAGCTCCGACATTGTGAACAATGGCAATGGCGTCCCGAGTGCCACAATACCTTTTGCTCAGGATCATCTTCGAAAGCCAGCACGGCAGCATATAGCTTCTTCGCGGTTTCAGCGTCCACTGCGTTTCGCCGTTTGTGGCGGTTGATGGTGATGACTGTGATCCCGACGGTAGGCTTGGTCACCTTTACCGATTCTTCTGATGAATCCATCACGACCGGCGTGTCCTTGTTCTATTGCTGGTGTAGCGGTTGTTGCCCCTCAAGTCGGAGGTCAGTATGTTAGAGCTCGGATAGCTACATGCCTTTCGTATTCGGCAGCAGTCAGTGAGCAAGCAAGCAAAATGTACTCTTGAAGCGAATATTTTCCGTGAAACAGCATTCACGCAGGAATTTCTACGAACTACTGCCACTTAACTCCCTTGTGATGATGTTATAACGAATTGCTGATTCTCATGTCGAACATGACGAAGAGATGGAGACGCGCAGCAAGAAGTGAGGGCCCGGTGATGACGCGCCAAGACTTAGGAGCGGAAATGACACGGCTGATCTCTCGCCGAGCCTCATTCTTGAACTCGAATCCATCTTCTACTTCTTACTGACATCCTACCACCCACTCGTCAGCAGGCTCAAGCCCTCGGAACTTGAACGACTGGCTCCGTGGTATCCGCCATGCTGGGTCTACAAACGCGTACCCGGGAGACAACCGGAAGGTCAGACGCGACTCTTTGAGCGGCACGCTGACTGTACTGTCTTCCATTGCCAGGTAGGATGGCCGTCGGGGCCGACCTTCCTTACGCATGACCAATAGGCGACGCTTGATGAGGTGGGCGACAATGTGCAACCCATCCCTCCACCTTACTCATTCCTGGCTGGTTTGCGAAATCTGATGAGGCTGCTGCACGATTGCTCAGCTTGGAAATCCTTCTATGTTCGGGACTTCGCGAGCTACACTGTATACAGCATTACTTTTACCTGGCAAAGTGCCCAGTGCGTGGCATAGAGATATGAGTGGCACGTCCCTCTCACTTGTACAAGAGAAGGAAGATCTCTCATTAATGTCTGGTCGTCACCAAAATGGCTAACTCCATAGCTCTGGCATTTGCATGCCTCGCCATCGCAGGGGTCTTCTTCAGATTTACCGCAATCAGGAAAAATGCTAAGATTGCAGAGAGCACCGGCTTCAAGGTCTTCTATTCTCCGTGAGTCTGAAAGCGCGGTCAGTGCTCGCAGCTGTGCTGATCAAATACAGGGTGTACATGAATGAGACATGGTGGCTGTTTTTACACAAATTCATCGTTCCATTCTTGGAGCTGCTGCCATCTCCGCTCACAAGACCATGGCTCAAGTATAAATAGGCCACCATGTCAAAGAGGAATACCCAGCTGATCACCACGCAGAACAGCCCAACGATGGAGGCTTTGGCATTACTCCTATGAGCCGTTCGAAGAGGCAGGAAGCGACACCATCGTGATGGCCACTCCATCCGTGAACATGATCACAACTTGCGATCCTGTGGTAATAAACCAGATCGTCTCTCAGCCAAGGAAAGTTCAGCAAGATCCCAAAATCATGAAGCTGTTGGCGATTTGGGGCGACAACATCACATCTACGGATGGAGAAGAATGGAAACACCATCGAAGAGTCGTCAATGCAGGATTCACCCCTGCTATACATGCCATGGTATGGGAAGAGGCATCTGAGCAGGCTCAGACATTGATTGACCATTGGGCAACGCTGGGCTCCGTCGTTCCCGTCGTAAAGATCTGGATGTCGAAACTTGCGCTTCATGTTGTGTCGGCCACCTTCTTCCATAAGAAGCTGACGTGGAAAGAGGTGGATCATGTGCCCACGGGACATCAAATGGGGTTTGAGCAGGCTCTGAATACTGTCATTCGGCATTTACAGCCCATAGCCTTGCTGAAAGCTCGTTTGAAGTGGCTTCCGTTCAAGACTACGCAAGAGGCCTACACTGCGTTTAGTGAATGGACAGCGTATATGAAGGAGCTGCGCCAGATCGTTCTTGATAGACTCGATGAGACGGCGAAGAAGCCTAACAAGAGCTTGCTTGGTGAGTGTCCCGATCAACGGCCCAGGTAAATCTCATGCTGATGGTTGTGCAGAAAGCATCGTAGTTGCCGGGGCGACGGGCGAAGCGAAAGATGCACTTCCAGAAGACCACGCTCTTGGCAACCTGTTCCTCACAGCCTTGGCCGGCCACGAAACTACTGCCAACACAATGGCGTTCACGATCCTGTTACTCGCTGTATACCCGGAGTGGCAGAGGCGAGTGCAGGAGCAGCTCGATCAGCAATTTGATGGGCGAGAACGGCTGCAGTGGAGCTTCGATCAGGACTATCAAGCTCTTCAGAAAGGGCCAGTATGGGCGGTACTCAAGGAGTCCATGCGGTTGTACAACGTCGTACAGCACCTCTATCGGAAGACCGTGGCGCCGACGACGCTCCTAGATTCACAGGGCGTGGCGCATGAAGTACCAGCTGGTACACTCTGTCAATTCAATCTCGGCGCTATCTGGAGAAACCCAAACCGGTGGACTTCTCGCACTGCAACAGACAAGCGAAGGGAAAAGATGCGCAACTGTCCAGCACTGGATTTCGACCCCGAGAGATGGCTCAGCAATTCAGACCTCGTCAATGATCAAGACCTGCATGTGCCGCGATTCTTTCCCTTCGGTCAAGGACCACGACAGTGCCCTGGAGAACGCTTCGCCATGGTTGAGATGACCTCCGTCTTCGCAACAGTCTACAAGAACTACTCGGTGGAGCTGGTCGTTTCTCAGGAGAAGCTCAAAGCATGTGGCGGTGATAAGGAGGCCGCTTGGGAAAGTGCGAGAGAGGGCGCTATCAGGACACTGAGTGAGGATATTGTGTCCAACATCAATCTGGAGCTGTGGAAGGAGTTGCCGATTCAAATTGTCAAGAGACATGGCTGACGGCGATGCTAGTGTCTTGACTTGAGTGCAAGTAGAGATTGATTGTCGTGGAGTGATTTGCGAAACTTGCATCCCATGCAGCTTCTCACCGGTCTTGTTGTACATATACCCAGTTTGTGAAAGCCTCGGCGTGGGAGGAGGAGCTGCTGCCTGGCAAACTCAGCTCCAAATTGTATGCAGCTGTGTCGATTCAAGCACTCTCCAAGCCAAAGTGCATCGCAGTCTTGTCAACGAAACGATCACTCATCGACGACATCATCAACATGGCATCAGAAGGACCATCAAAGGATCCACATGACAAGGGCTGCGTACTCTTCACCATCCCAGTCGAGCTCCAACTCTCCATCTGCGAGCTTGTCGTGATCGAGCATCAGCCAATGCTCTTGAACTGTCCATGCAACAGCTCGTATCGTGGCCGACAACATGAGCTTGAAGAAATCGAAGAGGCCTGGGAAGGCGGCACCATGCGTCCACCGGCGCAGCCTGCCATCACGCAGACTTGTCGCGCCCTGCGAGAGCTGGCCCTCCCAATCTTTTACAAAGAGAATGTTTTCCGCTCCTGCTACTGTCGTCGAAACCGAAACATCGACGCACCGATCAAATGGCTGCGAATGATCGGTCCAGAAAATCGGAAGCTGCTACGCCATCTATATTTCTACGACCGCAATCAGGGCTACGATAGATACACGCCAAAAGACCTGGCTAAGCTACGCGAGAGCGAGATCTTTTCAGAGATGGGTGGGAAACTCGAGACCTTGTCTTCGAAGTACTGCTCTGCCCATCTGGTCACGTTCGGAGAGTGGACCAGGAAGGAAGGAGAAGTGCCGCTGGCGAACGAGGAGGGAGTGCCCAGACTGCGGGCGCCCGGCGAGATGTGAGGTGAAGTGCGTGCAGACAGTATTTGTACCTCGGGATCCTGAGCAGAAGAGTGGCTTTTCGGCATCGAGGCGTCAATGGAGGAGAATAGGGCTTCAACGGTCAGAAGCTTGGAGATTGCGTGGCTGCCGAGGTCTGTTTTGTTGACATATGAATGCAAAGTACACCGCTGTACATCGTCCCAGCCAACTGTCCTCATGACAAGCAGAAAATAATGAGGCACAGTGGCAGAGAAATCAGTGCACTGCAACGTTCTCTCTCTTGTACGAACGAGAGCGAACCAACTCCCAACTAGCCAAAGACGGTTCATGCTGCACAAACTCGCGGGTGAATGAAACGTCTGGCAGGCGAGACCAATCGAGAGGGGTCACTGCCCTTGGAGCGCGAATAGGAGTGGCTGAAGCGAGTAGACTTCCACGGAAGCTTCAGTCCATCGGCTGGTCTTGTTCCTGCAGAAGCGGCAACGCGTGGTGGAGAGCGCCACCAGCTCCTCCTCCTCCGCAACCCAAACCAGACGAGTTTCTCCAGGATTTTGCTACCAAACACCACCTCACATGCATCTATCCGCCGACGACCACACGTAGCCATTGCTAATTTCTTGCATTCGAAGCTGGCTTGCTCGTCCTCCTCTACAGCGCAGTCGCAGCGATGAGCGCCCAGCTCAATCGGCCTTCGCGGCTGATCCTCTACATCGCGGCTGTCACGAGCGTGATCTTGCTCTTCCGATTCTGTCAGTCACTATGGGTGAGAGTACCACTCCCGCGAATGATACTGATACGATTGTAGTGAGGGTCACCGTCCCAGAGCCACCGCCAGGCTCACTCGGATCTCCCGGAAAGCCTCCAAAGCCAGTGGCTCCTGGCATCGATTTGAGGATATTACCCCTGGGCGACTCAATCACTTTTGGAGACGGTGGGAGTGATGGAAATGCGTATCGACTTGAGCTGCGCAAGGCTCTGGCCATCGGTGGTATGTGCGGAAATTCTTCGGTCGCACCCAGGAAGCCTTGTCTCGGAATGGAGTCTTGTGTCACACGAGGCTATTCGTGACCAGGTTCTAACTCATTTCATGCTAACGTCATCTACAGGCAGCAATGTCGACTATATTGGCTCACAGACTTCTGGCCAGAATAACGAGGACAACCAGCACGAAGGATGGGGAGGCGCGAGGATCAGTGGCGTACTGGAGCGAGTCCTGGCCCAGGGAACCTTGAAGCAGAAACCCAACGTCATCTTGCTCATGGCAGGAACCAACGATTTAAAAGAACAGGCTTCGTACGCAGAGCCCGTTGACAGCGCGCCGAATCGCTTGGGCGTGTTGATTGATGCTGTCCTCTGCGAATGCCCTGACGCATTGCTTCTGGTGGCGAAGATTACCGGACAGAGGCCATTGTTCGCAAATCTACGAGTGGGCAACTTCAATGCCGCCATCGAGAGCGTTATTGCAGACCGAGCAGGGAAGGGTGCAAAGATCAAGATGGTGGACCAGTCTGCCATAGCGGCTTTGGAGTTGGCAGATGACCTGCATCCAAATGATGGTATGTCTGAATTTTGCAGAAATGCCACCCTCACTGACTAACAATCTACTAGCCGGCTACCGGAAGATGGCCCAGAACTGGCTCGCAGGCCTCCAAGGAGCCCCTCTCGAGTGGTACTCTCAACCAGCCGACGTGGGCGCCCAGCCACCCAAAACCTGCCAACAGGACGACACTCACTGGACAGAATCGATGAAGACCGCACCACCAGCACCACCGCCTCCGCCCCCGCCAGCAGCACCCCCACTAGGAGCAGCACCCCCACTAGGAGCAGTAGCACCTGCGGGAGCAGCAGTACCAGCAGGAGGAGCACCACCGGCGGCAGCAGCGCCACCGCCACCACCACCCCCACCGCCCGCAGGAAAGCCACCGGCGAGGCGAAGGCGATAGAAACCACAACAGCAAAAAACAATGAAGCATTAGCATTTCTGCATTCCTCACCACCCTACTCCTTCGCCTTCCTGCCCATCCCCTTCCCCGATCTCTCCACCGCGACCGCGTACAACTCCGGATGATCCAACGGCACATCCCTCCTGATCGTAATCTTCCGAAACACCCACTTCCCCTCCCACACCTCAACGTCCATCAACCACAACCCCCGCGCCGTCACGCTCTCCAACGCCCCGCCCTCCTCCCTCCGATCTATACAATGGTACGCATCGATCTGACACTTGACGTGCGCCTTGGTGAACCCCTCCCCTTCAAACGTCACGAGCATGTTGCCCAGCATATGCCGCGTGGCCGTGAAGCCCGCGCTGTGCGGGTAGACGGCCTCCCAGAGTTGGTCTGGGGTTACCTCCGCCGCGGGGATGTGCGACATGTGGTGGGAGGCGTCGAAGGGGATGGGTTCGTTGGGAATGAAGAGGTCTTGGAGGGCGGAGCGGTCGAGCTCGTCTTGGGCGTAGGCGAGGCGGTGGAGGGTTTCTTGGATTGAGGCTTTGGCGAGGAGGGATTCCATGGTTTGTAGCAGTAAAGCTTGGTGGTGGGAGAGTTGGGTGGTTGGTCGGTGTGGGAAGGTGGGCTTGAGGGGAGATGTTCGAGGAGAGATGCGTTAGATGGGTGTTTGTGTCTTTTTATACATAGCTTGTTGGTGTATGTGCGAATGTAGCAGTTGCTGGATCGGGCTGCCCTAATTATTACTCTGCTGTGTTTTCGTTCGTGCGAGGTGGTCGGGCAAGCTGACTAGAGAGTTGACAATAATACCCTACTTGGTGTGATGGAGAGTCGGATATTTGTCCTGCTTTCAACATGTGTCTGACCACAGCACCGGTTACTCGGCCGAAGAAGTAAGTCGAACTTCCAGTGGAGCCCGATCTAGCTCGCAAACCACTACCGTATCTGCTAGTTTGCCGTCATACGTAGGAATGAAATGTCTCCGGATGACGATTCCTTTCCATTACTGCCGACCGTCATCAGATAGAGTATTATTTGGGGATTGTTCTCGAGCACAAGAAGCCCTCAGTCAACATGTATGTGAAGCAAGGTAAGCTCACTTCACAAAAGCTGACCATAATGACAAACGACTCAACCCTCAAACCTCCTCAAACAAAACCGGCAATTTATGCCCCGGCCTCACAGTAACCCACCCATGAAGATCCATATCCAACCTCTCTCCCTCGGGCCACCTCACCCGAAACCTCGCAATCCACGCCGCAAGCAAACACAAAAACTCCGCCTTGGCGAAATCTTTCCCGATACAGCTCCTGGGACCGTGCAAGAAAGTCAGGAACGCGAAGTTGTTCTTACTGCCTCCCGAGTTCGCTGTGCCGTCTGCCATCCAGCGGTCGGGGTTGAATTCTTGGGCGTCGGGACCCCAGAGCGTGGGGGATGTGTTCATCGCCCAGGGGGAGAGGAAGATTCTTGTGCCCTTTGGGATGAATTGGCCCTGGATGGTGGTGTCGACGAGGGCGTCGCGGACGGTTGTGGGGACGGAGGGGATGAAGCGGAGGATTTCGTTGCAGACGGCGTTGAGGTAGGGTAGAGACTCGATCTGTTGGGCGGTGATTGTGGAGTTGTGGTCTTTGATCGAGGGGAGTGAGGATCGAAGTTCTTCACGTAGCCGGTCTTGGATCTTGGGGAAGTTGCAGAGCTGGTAGATCGCCCATGTCAAGGCCGATGCGGTCGTCTCGTGGCCCGCGGCGAGGAATGTCATCATTTGGTCTACGACTTCTGCGTCGCTGAACTGGCCGGACTTCATGGCGATGGACATGATGTCGATTTGAGAGGCGGCGTCCTTCTCTAGGAGCCCCCGCTTCTCTTGCACTCGTTTCGTGAGAAAGCTTCGAATCGAGTCCGCTATGGTCTTGCCGTAGCTTAACGGTGGCAGCCGCAAGTACCACATGAGCTCCAGTGGTGCCCATATGCCGACAAATGTCCATCGGAAGTTTGGTGGCTCGTTGTCGAAGATGAGTCGATAGTTTTGGACAATCTTTCCGTCTGGATTGGATGTTGCGTTGAAGTCGTAACCAAGACCTGATTGACCGATGATGTCTAGAGTCGTTCGACTTGCCCACTCGTACGCTTTCTGAGGCTCTGGACCGGATTCTGAAGAAGACTTGGATGCTTTGGCGATCTCCTCTGTGGACTCTCTAGCCTTGTTCCAGAACAGGGGGTAGAGCTCCTTGATATGTCGGAATGAGAAGGCTGGCAGAAGCGCTTTTCGTTGCTCCTAAAATCCATCATCAGCATGCCCTCACCACAATATACTGAAGATGAGGCTCACCTTATGCTCCGCCCCCTCGGCCACCAAAATCCCATTCCCAAGCAACTGCCGAAACAAAAACGTCGGCTGCGAAGGCTTATGAAACTCATAAGTCTTCTGCACAAGAACCTCCTTCATCGCCTCAGGAGAAGTCAACAACAAACGCTCCTGGTTGAACAACACCCTCAAGCGCATCATGCCGCCGTTCGGCACCGTGGTCATCCATTTTCGGTACGCGGGTCCGTTGCGGTTTTCTAGAATTTCTGAGGCGTGTGCCCAGGGGAACTTCGCACCCTGGTGAAGGGGTTAGCCGGTTGTCTGGGTAAAAGCGATGCTTGGTATTGCTGACCTTTGGCTCAGGCAGGTGGCGGAATGGGCTGAAGTAGAAAGGATAGACGAAGACCAGGAAGATGGCATAGCTGAACGGGATCAAAAACCCGATCAACGCAGCGTAGGGGAAAGCACTTCGAGCAGCTATGTACGCAGCCGCTATCGAGAACGCCGTCAAGTATAGGAAGTTCGCCATTGTCTGCTGATCTCAAGAGACGATGGCATCTGTCCTCCTCGAAGCACGCACCGTATCTCCCTTAAGAACTGTCCTCCCGTCCCAAACACGGTCCCACAACTCCGTACAACAACAGCGTCACCATGCTTCCCCTACCGTCTACCGTCCCACACAACCTTGACACCTGAGCAAGCACATCCGCAAGGCTGTCATCCGCATCCTGGCTGCAAGAGTCGAGACGGCGACCACGAAAGCGAACACGAACGGGAGAGGCGCTTGGCGGAAGCCGTGGAGTCCGTCTGTACGAGTTGGCGAATTGGGCTGCGTGTTCACATGGAAGGCGGCAGGACTGTTGTGTCGTCTTTTTGCGGCACGTCTCTATACAGAAATGTCTCGCCTTGGATCTTGATGGTGGAGTCGTTGGAATGTTCGCATTCGGGGTAGTGTTGATCCGCCAGGCACGCTTTACGGACGCAAGGAGGTGTGTTGTGTTGTTCGATTGGTCAATTTCACTTATCTCCGCTTTTCACGTGCTGGATGCAGAGAAGGAAGGCGCGAATCACGGCGTTTTTAAGCCTGAGATTAGATGAGTTGTTGATGAGCGAAAGAGGGAACCTCTGCGCTGAATGTAATATGTCTTTTGCGGTGATGGCATCAATACTTCTTTGAGACAGCTGTCATGTACAAGCCCAAAGAATCCTGTTTCCCTTCGGCGATGAGGACAACCCTCATCAAGCCCTCAATCGCAACCTCACGCAACGACTCCAATGCGATCGATATCCGGCGCATACGTCGTACTCCCACTCAACCCACTGATCTTGACCGTATTAGCAGATCCAGTATTGAACCCACTCAACCGAACCAAAAACCCTTTCGTAACGTCCTTATCCCAATTGTACCCGGTCAAGGGGAACAACACGCTCTGTCCCGGGCCGCCGTTCACGCTGATACTCGCCCCTCTCACATTGGGACCGCCATCCGACAGGTATCCAACCTCGCCGTTGATGTAGTCGAAGCGGACGTCTTGCGTGGATTGAGATGTGCGGATGTTGGTGAGGGTTAGGCTGCCGCCGGAGTTGCTGATGTATCCGACTTTGGAGGAACCGGAGCAGCCGGAGCAAGATTGGATGTTGGCGCCGCCGGCGAGGGTGCCGGATTCGGCTTCGATGTAGGTGAGTTTTGGGGCGGTGATTTGGAGGGCTTTGACGTTGCTTAGCCGGAGAGGAAGGGAACCGTGTGCATTAACTTGGGCGGAGTAGGATTTGACGTTGGCAGTTGTGCGGCCGGTCCAGAGGTTCTTCACGGTTGCGGTATCAATGCCTAGACTGCTGAAGTTGAGGGCGAGGTTGCGATTCGTGTTGGACTGGTCGAGGAGAAGAACGACCTGGTCACCATTTGCAAGTGGCCCAGCGTATATGTCTCGATCATTGGTGAAGCGTTGGACGAGCTTCACTGGTGCACCAAGAGAGTCTTGGTTGATTGCAATAATATCTTTGTTCGACAAGATGGCTGCAGTGGCATCAGACATGGTCGGCACCGCCGTGGACACCATCAATGCACTCTTGAACAGGGCCCAGATGGCGAAGTGGCTGGCTTGCTCTGCGTTCGACATGCCAGGGTTGCCGACTTCGAGGAGGTCCTACAAAGGTGTGAGTGCGGTGGTACGGAGGGTGAATGCTGCCTACTCACCAGATCCGCAAAGTGACCAGGACCATTAAGCCCATTGAGATTGACATGAATGTCCTGATTCATAATCCTCATCACATTAGCCCACCCAGTGGCGATATCATCCGACACCCTGAACGAGTTCGCCACAGGAGGCGTCCACGAAGCCGGACCTTGCAGACCAGTCGGACTGCTGTATGGAGTGCCCTTCACATTTTACGTCAGTTCAAACACCCCAGCGCCCTCAAAGTGCAAACCCAACTCACCCACTGACAAACCAACATCCCCTTAATCCCCACATCCAGCTGCGCTTTGCTCCAATTTCCAAACCTCGCCGGGAAATCCGTCCGAGGATCCTTGGGGGCATTCTGATCAGGCGTGATGTAGCAATTGTCGACCTTCATATACGCCACATTCCATCCCGCCAGTTGGAGCACATCGTCTCTCTCATGCCCCAAACTCCCCTGCCTCGTGGCCGGACTTTTCGTATCGCAGGAATAAACCCCCTGGTCCGTATACATACTCCACTCGAATCCCAGACTCCGTGCGAGTTGGCTCAAAGGGGCGATTCCATCGGGAAAAACGCTCGCATCATAGGTGATGGAGCCGTTGGATTGTCGCTCGTAGCCTTGCCAGCCGCAGTCGACCTGCAATATAGTCATCAGTACTTGTCTTCCATTCTCATTGGTGCAAGAGGCAGTACTTGGAAGTATTTGTAGCCCAGGTCTTTGAAACCTTTGGAGGCGAAAGAGCGGATTGTGTTCTGCACGTAGGATTGGTTGGGGGAGCAGCCGACGTCGTTATAGGTGTTGAAGCCCATTACGGGTGTGCGGCCGAAGCCATTGTCGAGGGCGAGAGCAGGTACTGCCGTCAATACGGCTGCCGCCCAATATGTGGATAGCATCGTATGAGTCCAGAGCGTTGACTGTGATCTTGATGGAGAAGTACTTCGATCCAGATCCGAAGATTGATATAAGTATCTGCCATGACGGATAATATCGAGGAGAATCTCCGTAGTCTGCCAAATACTCACGCAGTCCTAGTCCTAGTTTTAGCTGGTCATCGTATTGATGGTGAAAATGTGGATAGTGCGGAGAAAGGTGGAGAGACTCTGGGGTGTCCCAGAAGAGCAAGACGAGCTTCATTGGTGGGAAAATCATCGTTCTGGAAGTCGAGTGCCGCGATCATCAGGGAATGCTGTGCAGCTTATGTCGTCGTCAGGTCGTGGAGCACATTGAAAAATAGGAGAAACACGTTCTTGTCGGATACACTCCACGAAGGAGGTCGAGGAACCCGAAAATGCTTCCGCTCAATTTACAGTTTCGCTCGCTAAACTATCACAATGCTTTTGTTGGCCGTTCCTTTTGTACACACTCAGACACCGTTCGTCAACGCCTCGCTCTGGACGAACGTATCCATTCGGTCCTTCTTGACGTCTCGGCTCATAGCCTTGGCCTTGAGGGCGGCTCGGATCTCGTCCACCGACCTGTTCTCCCATGCTCGGAACTCCATGTTGCTCAGTGGCCACAAAGGCTTCGATCCACGCTCGCGCATCCAGTCCTCATTGTTAAGGGGGGCAGGCATGCTCGTCAGTGCATCAATGTCGTTTGCAAGCTCGTGACAGTAGGAGTCGAGGGGCAGGTCATTAACGTCTTGTCCGAAGGGATTCTCAAGCTCGCGACCAATCTGAGCCAGACCGAGGATGATGTAGCCTGCAAGTATCGTCGCTGGAATTGCCACCCATTGCAGATACTTAACGAGCTGGAATGGAAGCACCATCACGTAGGCCCAAGTGATCTGGGAGATGGAGATTGAGTAGGCGACCGGAAGTGGAGTATTGACAACGCGCTCAACGTTGGTCAGTGTGTCCGTCATGGTGGCGAGCAAACCCATGGCCTGCACCTGGTGGACACTGATTGCGAGGGTCTTGTTCTGGAAGACGTTCTCAATGTAGGCAGACAGGTAGGTGAGGACTTCCAAGGGCGTATTTCCGAGATTCTCCTTTGACTTCTTGAGCAGCTTGCGAGGGTTCGACTCTGCCATGGGAATGCCCAGATACTGTCCAGCGGATTTGAATGAAGAGACTTTCCGCTCACGCAGTGCGGTCTGGTCGGCTTCTCCAGCCAGAGTTCGCAGATTGAAGAGCAGTGGTGCAAGGTCAGGGTACTCAGTCGATGGCTCGAATCGCAAACGGTGCTTGAGAGACACGGCAAACGCGTTGATCAGTTGAAGTGCAGAAAGTTTGGCAAGAAGATCTGCCTTGCCAAGCTCCTCGGATTCCTCGTGTCGCTCTTGTGCGTGGACCCAAATGAGTCGCGAGAGATTTCGTGCCGTCAGCATGAGAATCGCCCAGTATCGTCGTCCCTCGGAGAACCTCTCGTATGCAGTCGTCGACCGGAAGGAAAGCGCCAGACCGACGACGAAACCTGCAAGTGTGATCAGTTTCACCCCCGAACACGCAACTCTCCCTCAAAACTCACCAGTAACAGTAAGCAGCACCGAATTGACCTCCAGACTGGTCACCAGCATTGAAATACACACAATGAGGGTGGCCCACCCGCCAACGAAGCTCAGCGGCACAATCATCTTCGGCAGGACGCTACCGTGCATCCGAAGAAACTGCGGCCATTTCGAGTGGCGGTTGATGTCTCGCGGTCCTCGGAAGTAGTCTTCGAGATCCACGCTGTGGTGAGTCGAGTGGTGGAACATTGGCGTAGGGACGAAGTCTTCGTGCTGGCCTTGTGCTGAAGATGAGGTGCCTTTGGAGGAGCCGTGGATGCTGTTGGCGGCGACGCCGGTGGTGGATTTCTCGGCCGTGGCCATGTCGATGGCGGAAGTGGTGCCGTTTGTGTTGGCGGCCATGATGGGCGGTGGTGGTGATGTCGATTAAAGTATTAGGGTGTCAAAAGAAAGGCCGGGTGAGATGCTGGAGTGAAGTGAAGGTGAGGTTGCTGGAGTGAAAGCGACCAACCAACCTGATGATGCAGGATGCGTGTGGAAGTGATGTCGGACAATGAAACGACAGTCGATGGTCTGGCCTCACCGGCGGGTTCGCTCAACAGATGCTCGCGCGACCGACGGGGCATGCTGCGACTATATAGCTGCAGCAGACGGTTAGTCAAAGAAAAGAAGGGCCCCTGGCGCTGTTTCAAGCGCGTGTGTGAGGAATGATGCCAAGTTCGTGATGAGGACGACACTTCCAATCGTAGACTTTTTGTGGCACGCTAGAGGCTCGCGCCGTCCGCGGCTAACCTTAATGAGCGCCTTTGCCGCTGAGCCGCCACGTTTCCCCGGCAAGATTGGTCGCCTCCTGCAGGAGACATGAACCACGACAGTCTCTCCTCCAAATCATCGCCTCTCACCACATGTCTGCATGCTTTCCGCCCTTGGCTCTGCGCTGTACGGCAGTGTTTGACAACGAGCACTGCAGTAACTGGGGGCCGGCGTATGCAGTCCAACGCAGGTCAGCAATCTTCCCTGCCAATAATCTCGTTGCCAGCCGGCCCGTCAGCGCTGTGTTGCATGCTCGACCAATGCTCGAACCCGTGCCAACCAACGATCTGTCAGCGTCGCTCGTAAAGGCGAAAAGCATCTCCTTCACCAATTTCTCACTGCTTGCACCAACAAACAACTTGCCGCTGCTTTCCATCTGGACTTCTCGACTGGCCTCGCGTTGTTCGGGAACCAGAATGTCAAACAGTTCTTGTCGTTCTGGAGTCGTGCTTGGCGGACAGAAGCATCGCGAAACGCTGCTATAGGGGTTCCGGACACCGAAACGGCTAAAGGCTCGGCATGACAAGACTTCAACATGCATGTGTAACTCACTCGCCGCAGTTTCACTTCTTCTTGTTGCGTGCAAAGTCGATCAATGGAGCTATGCCATGCTTATGGATCGATGGCCGACTGGATGACCGCGATGGCTGAGACGACGAACCGTCGCTGGATACCGCACCCGAGTCTGGACGATGGCTGGCGGGCGGAACTTCAATGTCGCTGGCCGGCGGTGGGATGTTGTCCTCTGCTCTGTGCTTGTCTTTGCCCTCCTGCTTGGCTCTCTCCATATCTTGGTCGAAGAAAGGAAGCACTAGAGATGACTTCGATGCCACTGTGCTACGACGCTGAAGAAATCGCGACATCCGGCCTGTATCCTCGTGTGATTGTCCTTGCTCCAGCGGTGGTGTAAGACTTCGCTCGATTTGATCTTCAAGGAGTGCTTGCTGGAATTCGGCGGTGCGGTAGTATCTACTCTCGTCGGTTCCCTCCTCATTCAACAAAGGGTCCAGTTGATGTCGCTCGCTTGAGTTGCGAGGCTGTGCATGTTTGTGGTGCAGGCGTGCAAAGAAGTCCGTATCGCCTGCTTCTGTCTTGCTGAGCCGGCGATGAAGGAAGCTGAACATTTTGTGTAAGATGGAGTGCAGACAGACTTCGAAGTGATGTTGTTGGGTCTGTATTCCGGCCAGGAGATGGAAGGGTGAGCAATACGGCAACTTCAGACTGCGCCTACCTTTTGTAAGACATCTTCCTCCTAGTCCCACGTCCCACGCACACACACACGGATAGGTCGGTTCACGTGGTCGCCACGCCATACGGAATTGTGAAGTTGGTGTACGAGAAAACTTCGGTAGTCGTCATCTGGATCCGCTCGCTGACGAATGAGCTTGAAAATATCACGTTGGCTTCGCCTGTTACGCAAGCAAACAACAGAACATCAGGCGTGAAGAGTTCGTCGGAATTGCTATGTTTGGTCTATCCGAGTGGATTCTATCCTTTCTGCAGGGAAGTCGGAGATTTGGGGGTCGACTTGCTTTCTCAAATAATGAATTGCTTGCCTTGCTAGTCTGTTAGTCGCTGGTCCTGCTACTTCGTACGAATGGACTATACTTGATAACTCACGTCAGCGCCAGCGTACTAGTGAACTGTCATCACACCCCAGTACTCAGAAATGTGAAGCTGTTTATTACGTTGGCAGGGCAGCTCATGCTGATCCCCTTGATTGTTTCGAAATCGCAACATTGAGCTTATTGACACCACACATCAGCACGTCCAACCCAAGGCAAAGAGGCCGCTTGAATCGTATTCGACCATTCGTTCCTTCGCTGCTTTTTATGGTTGTTGAATACGATCATCGGGTCACGGCGGTTGTACTCGGTGGTTCGCCGACGACATTATCGACATTTCCAAAGGCCAAACCGCGAAGGTCAAGACCAGACTTGCACTTCCAGCAGGCGGCATTATCATAGCGGCCTGGCTGGGAAGCCGACTCTTGTACATGCCTTAGGTCGACTATCGACTCAATTGACGGGTTCGTGCAGCGGTGGGAGCATCCGACAGGGCAGTTTATCCAATGATTAGTCGGAGGTGCCAGTGCAGCGGCTCTGTCCCCGCGGATACTCTAGGATGTGCCATCACGGCCAAAAGGCAACGTCCATCCCAGACCATTGAAGCTGCATACGGCCAGGGAGACATGCTTCAATTCCCAATTTCCAGTGATCAGAACGAGCCGGGACAAGGATGAAGGTACAGGGTAGGGGAAAGACTGCCCGCGCCTCAAAAGCATACGAATCGCTCATGAGTGGTGATATATGCCATGGAGGAAATGTTGCTGCCTCCGTCAAAAGAGCATGTGAAGACGAGCATGTGGTCGTTCTCGTCGTCGCTCGTTCGAGGAGGTGCGAGAAACCAAACGACGCAGAGAAATGTCGAGTGGCGGTGCAGGCGCCACAATTCGAGCGCGGGGTCTTTGATGACGTACCTTCACGCGCGACTTGTGCGTTGGGCAGGTGAATTCGAGAGCGTGCCAGGCCTTGGAAGGAAGCACAATCACCGCAATCTCTTCCTTTAAAACCTTCCAACTTCCTCCCCAATTCTCCTTCATCACACAAACACCCACTCTACCACACCACGAACCTCCATCCACACCAACATCAACATCAATTCCACTCACACCACACGACTCCACCATGTCTGGCACCACGGTCCACGTCAAGGGCATTAGCTCCCAAACCAGCGAGAAGGAGGTCCGCGATTTCTTCAGCTTCTGGTAAGAATTGCCACCGTCCACCACAAGCTTCACATGAGCCTATGCTGACATTCCTCCAGCGGCAAGATCCAATCCCTCTCCGTCACCCCCGAGTCAAGCGACTCTGGCGCCACACAGTCAGCTGCAGTGACTTTCGAGAAGGAGACCGCAGCTAAGACCGCTCTTCTGCTCGACAACACCCAGCTCGGCCCAGCCCAGGTCCATGTCTCCTCCGCCCAGAACCTCGACCAGATCGCCGGCGGCAAGACTGCTGGCTCCGCCGATGAGCCAAGCAAGGAGGACATTGCTCAAGAGGACAAGCCGCGTGCCCGTGTGGCCGCAGAGATGTTGGCACATGGCTACGTCCTGAGCGACCAGGCCATCCAGCGTGCTCTCGCCCTCGACCAGCAGCACGGCATCAGCTCCCGCTTCCAGACCGCCCTCACCCAGTTCGACCAGAAGTTCAAGGTCACCGAGCGTGCCCAGCAGGCCGACAAGAGCTACGGTGTCTCTGCACGCGCCGATGCAGGCTGGAGAGGTCTCAACTCATACTTCGAGAAGGCTCTCGGCACCCCGACTGGCCAGAGAGTGCGTGCGTTCTACGAGCAGGGTCAGAAGCAGGTCTTGGATGTCCACAACGAGGCGAAGCACCTTGCGGCTCTCAGACAGGGCAAGGATGGCAAGCCAGAGCCAGTGTCAGGCAGCAGCGACCGCACGCAGTGCAAGTGCCAGGCTGATGCTGGTGTGTGCCAGTGTGCTCCAGGCCAGTGTGCATGCTCAAGCTGCTCCAAGAACCCGGAGTCGAAGGTTCCTGTCTCTGCCGAGGCCGCTGAGCTCGAGAAGGTCCAGGTTGACGGCAAGGAGAAGACCAAGTGCAACTGCGGCGGCGCCGACTCGAAGTGTGCTTGCGCTCCAGGCGAGTGCGCTTGTTCCAGCTGCCCAAAGGCTTCCTAGATGCGTGAAGAATGATCCGGCGTTGGGGGGATGCGATCAAAATGGGGTTATGCTTTGATGACTGAACTGTACTAGTAGTGAGCATTCGATTCGAAAAGGAGAGGCGTGGATGCCGAGAGAACAGCACTGATGCGTTATGAGATACGAAGACAGTTGAAAGAATGAAGTTCGACTTGCAGCGATGAACTTGCATAACTTGCTCACCCAAAAGTGCACCATGATGGGCACTTGCCAAGACCTTGACTTCGACATCACTTCCTGCAATCCACAGACCATTTTGTATTGACCTTACACGAGACTGCTAGAAAAGCCAATTGTCGCTCTGCAGAAGTCCTGTGGTTCAAATCGTCAAGCCCCATGAAATTACTGAACCTCCCTCGTCCTCACCCAGCCCGCTGCCAATATATGTACCTCTTGTATCATACCACCCAAACCTCCCTCTTTGTCTTCCCAACGCCACACCTCGCCTTCGCATTCTGCTCCGCTTCTCTCAAAATGCTGCCTAATCTCGAGTAGCACCTTGTCAGCTGAAAGGCTTTTCACCATCGTTCGGAACCTGGAACGAATTCTGCAGCCTAGTCCAGGCGGTCTCGTGGGCTGAGCTATACGAAGAAATTGTCGAACGAAGGGAAGTCTTCTTTGGTTTTTTTCTTTCCCGTCATCGGAGAGAATTGCGTCTGAAAAGATTGCGAGATTCAGGATTGGGTTTTGGATTCCTTTAGCTCTTCTGCTGCTTGATCTTGTTGAGATCCTCATACATATATACATGCTCTCCCAACAACAGCCTTTCTTCGAAGACGCGACAGTCAAAATGGCAGAACAGATTTTCGTGCCGAGTGATCTGTGGTAAGTACTCACCACTCTCAAGGCCGTCCCTCGTAGCTTACCATCCTCCTCTACAGCCCCGTCTACGCAGTCCGTCCCCCTCCTCCCCAAACCCACCCGTCAACCACCACCCTCCTAACCCACCCCACCCACAGCCCTTCTTCTCCGCCCTCGGCTGCATCTCCGCCATAGTCTTCACCTCCTTCGGCGCCGCCTACGGCACCGCCAAATCCTCCCTCGGCACCTTCTCCGCCGGCATAATCCACCCATCCCTCGGCGTCCGCGCCCTCCTCCCCACCGTCTTCAGCGGCATCCTCGCCATCTATGGCCTTGTCACCGCCGTGCTGCTCGCCAACCACATCCAGCTCGACCTCCCGCTGTACACGGCGCTGGTCAATCTGGGCAGCGGGTTGTCCGTGGGGCTCTGTGGGCTTGCGGCCGGGTTTGCGATTGGGATTGTTGGGGATGTGGGGATTAGGGGCACGGCGATGCAGCCGAAGTTGTTTGTTACTATGGTTTTGATACTGATCTTTGCGGAGGTGCTGGGTAGGTTTTGATGGGGTGCTGTTGCTGGCCTGTGATTGTGATGGGTGCTGACTGGGACTGTGCAGGGTTGTATGGACTTATTGTGGCGCTGATCACGGATACGAGGGCCAATTTGGTGAGTAATAAGGTATGTTATGCGCGGCTGTAGGGGGTGCGAACGCCATTGGTATGGGGAGGTCGGGCAGTGTGGTTGGAAGGACGTCGTCAACAGGGAGGCCACGCATCGTTGAGATCTCGTTAAGAGCCGGCTCTTGAAAGCAGGTACAGAATCCAGATAGCTCTGCTGTACAAGGGACTGAGTCCAAGTCTTGAGCTCGTCCTTATTTCGGAGAAGCATCTGATCGCCCCTAGTCTTTACACCCAGCTATTCAACACAAAATCAGTCTCTCGCTCCTCTGCGATAGACTTGTGTGGCGATCCTTCGCAGCAAGGCACATATTCGCCACATGCGCAAAGAGAGCGGAGAACGTATCCATCCCAGCTCCACCAACTCCTCCATGCCATGGATTTTTTGTAAATGCTCTCATCCCTCCCCAAAAACGCCGCGCTATGCCATCAAATCATTTGGGGGTATATCGCCTCTGCGTTCAACTCGATGGTGGCGGCGGCGGCGGTGGTTGCTGCTGCTGCTTCCCAGCCTCTTGGCTCGCTTGCTGACTCTGATGCCTCAGTCTCTGCGCCTACAAATCCAGAAGAAAGTCTTCGTCAGCCAAAACATACCCTCTTGTTATTCGACATCGGCTTCAATCTCTGTAGAGCTTCGGCTTCCACCCTTCTCGAAGCTCTTGCTCTCGTACCATCCGCTCTTCCGCTTCACGTACCTCCAGCTCTATTCTTTCCCGTGCTCTTAGCACTTTGCTCTGCAGGTAAAAGGAGCCGCCGCGTTTGGGGTCGTTCAGGTCGAATAGCCGCTTGAATTGGTCGTGGATCTTGGCGATGTCTGCTTGGCCGGATTTGGGAGGAGAGACGTTGAGGATGCGGCAGGCTTCGTCGAGGGTGAGGCCGGAGGAGGAGAGGGTATTTGCCGCTGTTGAGCTGTTGCCCATTTGCTGTGCATATTTCTGGAGTAGGACGTCAGTCGCTTTGCCGTTTGCTGCCACTGTCAGTAGAGCGTTACCTGTGATGCCGAAGCCTGTTTATATCTGCGAAGAGCGTCAGTACTTGGGTTCAACTTCTTTGCGCCTCGATGGACCTACGCTTCTGCGAAGGCTCTCCCAAACACCCGTGCGCCGGTCAACTGTGTTTTCATTAGTGAAGCCCGTAGTCAGAGCCTCGTGAGTACGTACAACGACCTGGCTGATAATACGATGCGCCATGCTGCGCTGTGCAATGAACGGAAGAGTTGATGAAAGTCGAGAGATACTCGAAAGATCGATCTCGGGAGTCGGAGATTCACTCGCGGCCCCGTGCGCAGAACCGGGCCGAGCCTAGCGTAGAAACTCAAGTCGCTCCTTCTTCCTCCGAGTTCGAACTTCGACAACGACTCCGAATGGACTTGATGCCCTTGGACGAAATAATTACTGGTCAAGAAATGACAGTGGGCTAGCTTGACCTATCCCAGGCGAGATGATGAATCCACAATAGATGGCATGGAATCCAGGAGTGCCCGCCTCTGGAGGTTCACAACCTAATTGCCTAACGAATACTCTTGGATTAAGATGCTACATGCTGTCATTATACGCTGATACTATGATAAGCGACAGTAGTCTGGTGACTAATGCGATAGAGGCCATGGAGGGCTGAATCTCTTGTCCTGCGCGGCCTCAAACAACCACACATTCGGTCCCTCGCCTCCGATCCTTGCTGCTATACCTGCCATAATCGATCAATGTCAGCAAGTGTTTCAAAGGTTGCACGGAAGACGTACTTGGGAATTGCTGCCTCATGCCGGCCGGCACGGTGGCCACACCGTTGTTTCCGGTAGGACTCGGTGTTCTCGATGCATTTCCCTTCATGTATGCGCTCGACTCTTCCGAGATCGAAGGCTCCCAGTTCGCCCAGCTATCAAATGTTCCGGCAGGAAACTGTCCGCTCAAGCTCTCTGCGCTCCGCATCGGTGATTGGGGTGGGAATGAAGCAGCTTCGTGCTCTGTCGTGCATCCATCGTCTGGACTTCGGCAGCAACGAGGGCAGAAGCCTCTAAGCAGTACTCTGTAGGTCTGCACTGAGCTGCACAGGATTGCGAGGTGGACTTCTACCTGTACCCAGATCGCGGCGTTGACGATCTGGTAGTACACGTCGCGGCTCAGATACATTGACCAGATGTAGTAGGTCTTGATGCAGGATGCTGTCGTCTTCGTAAGTGGTTGCCTCATAATCTGCAGATGTGTGGTGCTTACCGGCTACAGGCAGAATTCCCAACCCGAGTAAGACGGCCACGCCCCATTTCTGTCGCTTTGGCAATTGAAGTCCCCGCAGGATGAAGAACGGCGCCACATAGACCGCCGTCGACGTAACCGCCGACATCACGTCCGCTGCATTCCAAAACGCTTGTGCGGTGACAGGTTTGATCCTGATGTTCGAAGCATCTCCTTGCGAAGCGTCACCCCATTGAGACGGTACGATGTAAGACAGCGACATCACCGTCGTCGTCATCAGGGCTTGTCCAATGATTATGGCCATTAAGGTGTACACAGTCCAGCGCATAGGTTTTCGGTCGTCGATTCGAAGGTATAGCATTAAGAAAGAGAATTTGACGAATAGCGTGGTTGCGGCGTAGACCAAGGAGATCGCGAAAGTCAGCTACGAAGTCGTCAGTTACGTGGCCAGTACGCGGTTCTAGAGCTCGCAGCTGACATTGTACAGAAGTGTTTGGTTGGCTGGCCGTGTCTGTATATCGGCGACTGCAGGCACACAAATATCAGTTGGAGGCAGTCATTGAGGGATGAACACTCATACAATGCGTCCCGTATCCATGGTAGGCATCTGCGCAGAGTAAGTATCTGATCCAAACTCAGCCTTGGTGCACTGACCTGTGACGAAGATCGATGAGAGGCCGAGCGCAAAGACCTAGAGATAATGAGATTGTCTTCATTTCGCGCAGGAAGCGGTCGTTATCCATACAGTGCCAACAAGCATGAGACCTGCCGGTATATCAGACACACACAATACATTTCTTGTCCAAGGCTTGACGTACCATCTTCAGCAAACACCTTCCGCAGGACGAACAGCCTCGAATACAGCCTAAAGCTGATGCCAAAGACCGTCACCACCATGAAGAGAACAGACAGCACGATCAGCAGAACCTGCTTGCTGTCGCTACAGCTCTCCGGCGCCTGCGAGGCCGCCATGGGAAACGAGCGAGCACAGTACAAAGGGGAGAAACGAGCGAGGTGAGGAAAACTGTTCAGGTTCAACACAACACAACATGGGAAGCAACGGATTGTCCACGTGAACACTTGCATAGGTGCATATGTCAAAACACGACAAGTATGCATAGGAGTCGACGCTCAAGCGTACCCACTCTGGGACTGCCCGTCAAACAGCGAGGCTATACGACATGGCAAGTCAGTCTTCGAGCCATCGCCGCAAGACTCTCCTTGCTCGTAGCTTGGGCAACGGATCATACTCGACAGGGGTTCCTTATAATATCTGAGGCAATGGGGCTCTCCTGTTCGCGGTGCTGGAAGCCGGCTTTAAACCCTATGTGTGTCTGAAGGCTCGGTTTGTCCAACGAGTCGTTGCGGCGTTTCGCAATGAATCGAAAGCCAGACGCCACTTTGTGGTTGGTCTGCCGGCCGTCAGATCGGTTCACAGCCGTTGCAGATGCGGCTTCGAACTTTCTGGCCACGGAGGCTGACGAGGCGAGTGCAGGCATGGGAATTACTTTCTGTCCACAAGGATACTCAACGATATTGGATATCACATTGAGTCCGCCACTCATCTTGGCGTGGTGTGTTCTGAAGCGGCGACTAAGATGCTTTGATGCTCAGAGGCTCGCTGTGAGCAAATCCAGATTGATGACCAGGAACTGTGATTGGGTTTCGTCTGTATCTGCGTCCAGGCCTGCTACGGTTTGGCCGACTGTCGAACGGTTCCACAGAACCTGCATCATGTCAGCTCCATGACTCGACAAAAGCAACCGCTGTGCTCCTCACGATCACTGTGGCAAAACTCAGTAGTGTCGAGAAGCATCGACATTCGACACTTGAGAACTACCCAATGGCATTATTGAAGGTCAAATTCGGTCTCAACGACCGTCGTCGACAAGTACGAGCCCTGGAGATACCATCTGGACCACAAGTGAGAATTTGCGACAAAGGGATGACTCGACTGTCTTCTTAGCCCTTAACTGGTGACAGTATATCCTGGCGGTGATGCGATCACTCGGGCCGTTCGGCCGTCTCGGTAGTTACCCAAACATCGGGAGTGCAGTTGCATTGCAGCCGCATGCGCCATCGAGCCATTCCAACCACAGCCTGACTCGTACATGCAGCTGGGATCTTCAAGCCGGCACCGGTGCTGTCGAGGTACGTCGCCGGCCGGCACGAACTTTGGTGCCATGCCCTTCTGCCATATCCAAAGCAGCTCATCTCGTATATAGTATTGCTCAAGGGGATCTCCATGGGAGCCATGGGAGCCATTCCAGTGTGATTGGCGAGACCACGATGACTCTGATCGAGCTGGTAGAGGCCAAGTTGCCGTCCCCCAAGACTCCAGAGCCCTTCAAGTATCTCCAGCATACCTGTAGAATCGTGAATGTGGTCTTCAGCTGTGACCAGGCATGGTGATTTCAATCTTGCATACCCAGTCTCCAAACATATTCACTGGATCCGTAGCAGTTGCTGATACTCCTGAGGGTACCGGGCCTTCTGGATCTACATATGCCTCTTGCGTAGTCCCGCGGGCGAAAACCTTACGAGCCTTCTCTTGGGATCGAGATGATATCACCAGGCTGAAGCCGCCATAATCCAGCTTTGCCAGCTTTCCCTTTCCCAGCTTCGCAGGCTTCGCCGGCTCAAACGCGAGTGAAAAACGAATCCTAGAGCGCATGCCTTCGATCAATACGGACGCTTTCCCAGTGTTCGTTTGTGCGGTTGTCAGGAGCGGACACAGTACTCTACTGGCGTGATTCCAGAGTTCTTGCGGGTACGCCTCGAGGATACAAAATCCTTCGCCACTTGAGGTTGTGTTGACGAGCCAGAACTTGGGTGCGTCAGGCCGTCTGACGAGTCGAGCAGCCGTCACCGCATCTCTGAACTCAGCATTAAAGATGGGACGATACCTCAGAAGTGTTATGCGTCGACTCCAGGGCTTATCTTCTTTGCTACCATCGTAAAGCACCAAGCGGTCAGGAGACGTAAGTTTGATCCAGAAGTCATCTCTGCCTGTAAATTGTCTGGGATCACTCGTACTCGTCGGGAATTCTTCATCTCTTTTGCATAACCTCAAGGCGACAACGCCACCAAAGTCGTCCTCATATCGACAGTTCAGAATGACGAACACTCCCTCTTGACCTTCAAAAAACAGAATGGATTCAAACGTAACTCAACGATTTCTCAAATGAAACTCCTCATCAAGATGGCCAGGAGTCCATCGGACCATCATTATGCAGTGGGAGAAGTCGCGTGGAGATTTTGCAAATAGCAAGTCCAACTCATCATCATCATGCGGTCGAGGGTTGAGAGAGCTCCAGGCAAATATACTATGATCCGTCGACGTCTTGATGATCTCTTCTTGGAGCCTGATGAAAGCCCTTTCTCCCTCTCCGTACAGCAACGGCATGTTCACTCCAAAGATGCCGAGTAGAGAGTAGGCCCGGTCCTCCAGCCTTGTCGTTGCACGATGTGCGGCCCAAGACATCTTCCTAGCCACAACGACGCCAGAAAGTTTCTTTCTATCCACCAAGACGGATGGATCAATCTTGGTGATGTGCCAGAGCGTACGCAGCAGCGTATCTCTTCGTCCAAGTTCTTGCCACACGCCATTGTAAAAGATGACCTTAGTAGGAGCAATTAGCTCTTGTAACGTCCAACCGCGGGTAAACCATCGACTACGTGCGAGCGCGTCATGGCCATGAGCATTTGCCTTGACTATCATTCGCGATGTGCCGGATTCTGGGCGATTTGCATCGCTGACATCGCCGCAGTCGTCAACGTCTTCCAAGTACGCATAGCATATCTCGGCGTCGCAGTACCATCGCCACATCGAATTGATCGACTCCGTGAGTTCAGCGCTGCTCTCTTTGTTGATGCAGCACGTATCAATCCACACCCGGTCGATGCCATCCTTCAAAGCTTGTCGACAGGTATTGACGACTTTCTGATAGCCTTTCTTTTTACTTGCCTTGCCGCTGAAGACTTCTTGAAAAGTGACTTCACCTTCGCCCCAGGTGTGCGATAGGATGGCATACTTGACGTCTTGTGATCCAGTGACGCTATCTAATGCCAGCGAGTGCGCATTCAGAAGCCACATGTTCTCGTCGCCGTGGATTTGTCCGGGGAGTGATAAACAAGGATGTGAACTGTCGATTCGACGTCAGGATTTGCAGTTCTCTTTTCAGCCCCATTCACATGATCTTGTGCATTAGACGAACTGCCGAGGCCGTAGGTCCGATTGGAAGCTTTACCAGTCGAGACATCTTCACACCTTCCCAGCAACCTTATAAAACTTCCAAGCCTTCTGAATCTTCGTAATCGCCTTGGTAAACCTCTCCTTCGCCCTAAGACTCTGCTCATCGATCCCCCACTGTCTCTTGATCTCCTCAATCCAATCCTTGATCTTCACAACACCCTCTCCCACCCACATCTCGTCATCCCCAAGCTCCTCCCACTTCTGCCGGTCGAAAGGCGGGATGTAGATGTGAGAGTGGTTCTTGCTGCAGACTTTGGGATCGAGGGTTCCGTTTTGGAGTTTGGCGTAGCAGTTGGGTTCGAGCTGGACGTCGAGGCAGTCTTTGCACGAGTAAATGTTATCGACATAGGTCCATTCAACGCCGCAGTGGCCGTCGCAGTGGCTTCCGAGGACACCGGCGAGTGGGTCTCCCTCTTCCTTCGCGTCTGGCGGCTTGGAATCATCTTCAGTCGTTTCGCCACTTGCTTGTTCGACCTCCGGTTCATCAGAGTGCTGCTCGTCTTTGGTTTCAACAGGGTTGGGGCCTTCGTTGCTGTCACCGTCGTCTCTCTCGGCGCCTGCAACGGCCTGGTCTGCTTCAGCGTCAGGCTTCTGAAAGCCGTCGACAGCCTTCCCATTGGATTGATCACTCTTCTTGTCGACTTCCTCATCGGCCCCATTTTCGCCATCGTCACCCTGACTATCTTCGTCATCACCTGCACTGGGTTTCTTAGGCGTAAAGCTACGCCATGCCGCGACAGCATTGGCATCATCATCCATGGCCTGCAGCACCACTGCGACACGATACAAGCCGTCTTTCAGGCTGTCCATCGTCTGTTCAGCGGACAGCTGAAGACCAGTCTTCAAAATCTCCCGAACGATACCCTTCGCCCTCTGTTCATCACCAGCAAGATGATGCAGCCGAGCAAGACTTATCCGAACGTCGTCGTATGACCCACGCACATAGTCTGGGTCCCCATGCGTCAACTTTTCGAGACGAGTCGCATATTGTTCAGCAGCTGGACTCAAGGGCGTGGTAAGACCAGCTTGTTTCGCTGAATCGAGGAGAGCCACGGCGAATTGGGGTGCCGTCGATGAACGAGCCCAAGAAATCATGTAGTCCTCATCTGAGCCGTCTGGAAGCTCCATGTTCATAATCTCTTCCCACATGTCCAACGCTGCTTCCTGTTCTTCGCGACTTTCGTGCGACCACATCGACGCTGCCAGCCAGTGTCGCAGGTGTAGGTAAGTCCCGAATTTCGTCTTATCTGAACGCAATTTGTCCACGGCCAAGCGATACTTCTCGACGACTGTGCTTAGCTGGTCAGAATTGTACGCTGCTTCGAAGACCCGGTCATGTAGTTGATCAAGACCAGCGTAGAAGTGAAACAAGGCAGATAGCCAGTCTCCAGCTTCTGGATCCGGGCGTTGCTCCAGGCTTGCAAGCAGGTCCATTGTTTCGCGGTGCTTAGATTGTCTATTGAGGGCCAGCGTCATGAGTAGAACAGCTTTCTTCGCGAACGTCTCGAACGTCTCCTTGGCCATTCCTTCGGCCAGCAACTTCTTGTACGTTAGCTCAGCAGCAGCGAAGTCCTTCATCTGAATGTTCCAGACGCCGATTGAGTGCAGCATGGAATCCCAGTACTCTTCTTTGAAATCATCATCTGTACTGATGAGAGCCTGGTTGTCTTCAATGAGCTTCTCGAGGGTCTTCACTGCTTCTTCGTGCTGATCATTTTCTGCAAGAGCCTGCGCCAACCCATTACTTACCCTCCAATCATTAGGACTGGCTTCCAGGGCGGCTTTGAATCTCGTAACAGATTCTTTGAAGCAGTTGATTTCGAAGTATGTTGCGGCGAGGCAATGATGCCATTTGCCCTCTTCGCCGCCAGGTATCACTGTCCTTGCCCACTCTTCAATCAACCGGGTCTCTTTCGCAGTGGCGTCAATCTCTTCTGGCTCTTCATCGCGAAGCTGTGACGTTTGTCAGTGTGACCTGTACTCTGATTGGAAAGAGTGAGTGTACGAACGTGACTCAGGTACCCCTGAAGGAAAGAAAATGCCCCAAACCACATTCCTGTGTTTTGAGCATACCAGTGCTGTGCTAGTCGCTTGGCCACGTTCTCCAGAATCTTCACGGGCGGCCCATCTTCAGCTGTGGTAGCGACAACCCATTGACGCTCAGAAGGCATATCAGAAAGACCCTTTTGAACAACAGGATCCTTTAGCCAGTCGTATACCGCTCGCGAGCAGAACGTTTTGTATACCCAGAACAAACGCATCATGATCCGATCTTCGTTCCACCACACATCGATCAAGGAATCTTCGCGCAGGATGCGGACGAGCTTGCGACCGATGTCCTGCTTGGTTGGCGTGTCCACTTCTTCGATTTCCACACGAGCAAGGTGATCCGCGAACCACTCCCATGCGTATGGGTGTAAATCCTCGTAGAGCTCTTCTTCAAAGTGATCGCAGGCTGCGACCAAACATGCTTGTGCGACCCTGACGTGGTTCTCGCCGTCTCCAAGTAATCGAATGCGAGCGGCTTGGTCCCCTATCTTTGACTCGAAGAACCCGTCAAACGCGAACTTCTCATACATGTCATCCCCTCCAAATGTGTTGGAGAAATGGGTCTTGAGTATCCTCTTAACGAGTGCGACTTCGCCTTCTTGTAACGCTGCGTCCGGACGATGGCTTCCATTCTCTCGTGGGTTGGCAGCCTCTTCTTTCTCCCTCAAATAATCTCGAATTCCATCAGATTTGAGCGTGACGTTCTTGGACTCGGAGATGTCGAACAGCGAAAAGTACCGATCACGGATCTGTTTCTCCAGGGATATGAGTGACCGTGTATCTGCCTCAAGTTTCAATACCGCTTCATACTGATCAACTGAGAGATCAACGAAGCACACGGTTTCCCAAGTTAGCAGTTTGTTGACTTCCCGAACCTCATCTTCACGCAAGGTCTCATTAAGCTGGTCGATCTTCCGTGCAATAGCCTGCGTCCTGCTCTCTTTGGCGAGCTTCAAGATCTCCTGTACTTCTCGGGAATTTCGACTTCGACTGATTGAATCGAGCTTATAGTCCAGTGCGAAGTAGTCGCCTTGGACACCTTCACCAAGCTCGGTCTTGGCCCGCTCTTTCAATTCCGCAACTTCATCGTCGTCGTCCTTAAAGATGTCCATGTCGTCGAGACGCTCTTCAGCGTACAACATGATATCTTCCTCGTTCAAAGATGACTGCTCGCCTTGGGGAGGAGCAATTCTGATCTCTGGGATGGCACTTTCAACATCGTCTGCTAGACTATCAAGACCAGCAGGTCTGCCGGTAATGAACAAACGGATTTTGAGCATTGATCCCTCCTCAGCGGACATGATCTGACCAATGATGTCAGCCAATGGTTTCCCAGTCTCCTTTTCGCCTTCATCGAACCCGTCGAGAAGTATGAAGAATGTACCCTCCAGAGCGATATCTGTGACCAAGCGTTTCCAGAGATCGACCGTCTTCCCAAAGTCCATCTTCCTGTCGCAAGCCTTGTGTATCAGCTTGGCGTAGTCTCTTGCCAATGACGTAGAAGCCGAAGCAAGCTGGTAAATGATCGCTTTTATGGCCTTGTTGATCGGGGTTTTGTCCTGGACATCTCGCTGGAAGTAGTAGTACGCGACCCCAACTCGTGCATCATCACGATGCTTCTCCTGGAGGTGGTTGACTGCTATGCTGCAGAGATGGCTTTTCCCAAAGCCTTCATCTGCTTTGATGCTCAGGACGTTCGTGTCAGGTTCCTTTGGGTCTGACCAACGCGGAAATGAAGGATAGCGAAACTTCAAAAGCCAGTTCCCGGTTCCATCGATGTGTTTGCCCCAAAGCTCGTCCTGCTTGTCGATCCAAGGCCGTTTGGTCATGTCGATATTCAAGGCCTCTCGAATATCGTTCAGACGTTTCTTTTCCTCCTCATCTGCGGTCCGACGTTGCTCAGCCGTTTCCAAATGGCCAAGCGTTTGGTTTGTCTTTTCCTGAGCATCGGCAATCTGGTCCAACTTCTTGTCCATTCCGCGAATGTTCTTCGCGGCGTCGCTCATATCCTTGGCAATGACCGATATTTCCATATCCGTCTCAGTCGAGATCAGGGTCTCCAGCCTCGCCATGGCATCTTTCACACCATCGTCCTCGCCGAATGCCCCGATCTTGGCAGCCAGTTTCAACTTTCCTTTCCATCCATGGGTCAATCGATGTGCCAAGCCCATGATGGTCAAGAAGTGCTCCAGAACCCGATACACAGCCACTCGAAGCCGCTTGTCCAGTTTAACATCTGCTTCCGCATCGTCCAGGAATATCCTCAGCCTTTCCAGAAAGGTTGAGACCCGCTCCATAAGGGTTGTGATGTTGTTGAAGACGGCATCGTAGTCTTCAACTGCAGTAATGACAAACGTGATCGCGTTGAAGCACTGCTGTGATGGACCAAATACCATACTCGCGGCCTGAGCTGCGAATGCTCCAAACCTCTGCACACAGACCAGCGTATTCCTGAAGACCTTCTTGGCTTTGTCCTTGACGTCCGGCTTGCCATCCTTCGGCGGCTTGAGCTTGAGTAGAACATCATCCACGGTCATGACTTTTTTGTCGTTCAGATCCCATTTTGTGATCTTGCTGCATCGTATAATAATCTCCGCCCACACCTTGTCCAGGTCATCCTCGGTGGAGAAGGAGTTCATGGCATCTGGCCTGTCGACTGCCGACGCGGCCGTCTGAGGAGCCATCGAGAGTCCACGACAGATCAAACGCAAGCCGCGTGGCTGGCACGCGTCTTATACAAGGCCTCATTACATACATAGCTTATTGATCTACGCGCTCCATGCACCGTGGCGTTGGCCCCCCCAGTCTGTCGACCCTCGGCTCCTCAGCCGCACGTCGGGCGTTTGTGCAGGCGTGCAGGAGGCCTTGTTGTGCATGGACACGAGACGTACAGCCTGAGGACACCACATGCCATTTCGAAGTAAGTTGATGGCGAGAGGGTGTTTAAAGAGTGACACAAAGTTAAGCGATGCGGTACAAGACGGAGGCGTGGAAAGAAGCACCTCGCCCCGGTTCCACTTGCCGCGAGCCAAAATTAGCTCGGTGTATTAGCGATGAGAGATGAAATGGATATCGATTGAATAGAATGCCGACTGGAAAGGATTCGCGTAAGTGCACCTCAGGCACTCCCGTAGCCTAGATGTAACTGGCTCTTGTCCAGTAGACATCAGTCGCCTGCCCAGGCCAGCAGTTGTCGATGGTTCAAGCGAACATAGGTATACAAAGGATCTGTACAAGAAGCCCTGTGACCCCGTTATCCAATTTGCAAACCCCAAACGCCATTGCTCTGCTTCTTGGAAACCCAGATCGTAACACGTCTACATCTCCTCATGGAACATACTCCTGCGAGTGGTCTCAGTTGGACTGTTGTCCGTACTGCCGGTTGTCCCCAGACTGTTGTTCTGCTTCTTGTGCGCGCTCACTCCCCTGGTGCCATGGTATGATGTATCCATATCAGGACGCGGCGAGACACTGCGCAAGCTCAAGTTGCTGGGCTCAGCATTCTCGCCGAAAGGGTTAAGAGTCGACCGTCCCCCGTGCGCCTCTTGATCGTAACGGTCGTCGAGTTCTCGTTGTCTTGAGCGACTTCGTCCTCGCCCGTGCTCGATGCCTCCAACTCCGACGTCGCCGTATCCTCCCCCTCCGTATGGACCGTGGCCTGGGTCCTGTAGGCCGAGCTCCTGCTCTTCGTAGTACCCACTTGCCTCGTTGTCAACTCTTGCGTCCCACGCCTCGTCTGGGTCTAATGGTCCAAACCCTCTTCTTCCGCCAGATCGCGCTGAGCCTGCCCCATAGCCAGTACTTTCGTAAGCACCTCCTGCTGTTCGTCCGTTACGAAGAGAGTTCCACTTGTCCGTGACCCATCCCTTTATCCCTCCCGGAGCGGGCGCTGGCGCTCGGTAGGTCGGATTGTCGCCTCGTCGTTTTGCGAATGGATTGAGGTTCGGTGGCGGTAGGCCTAGCTTGCGCGCTCGATAATGTGCATAGCTGCTCTATTGATCAGTGCTTGGACCATTGGCATTCGACAGATGCTGCTCACGCGACATAACCTCCTCCGCCTAATATCGCCAGAACCACCAAGACAATCAGAAAAACACCCCAACCTGAGATGGCCATATCTCTTCTCGACTACTTCATGCAAGCGGGACGCTGCCCAGGAGCTGATCAGTCGCTCGGATTCCTCGGAGTCGTCAAGTCGTCGCGTGCTTTTGACTTGGAATGGTTCAATCGTCGTGCCAGGCTCCAACGCCTTTGTTATAAGTCGAGTCGGCGTGAGAATATGTTGTTGTATTGAATAGCGTAAGTCATCAGCAAGGCGTCTCTCGTAACCTCTCTCACGCCCTCGTCCGGCTCCGCCTTCCCAAGTCAATCAGCTCGCTTGGCAACACCTGATTGGCGGACCAAAGATATCTTTCACGACTCGACGGAAGGGGATTAAAGTGAGGACTGAACATTGAAACTTGTTGACCGTCAGGTCATCTCGCATCGTCAGCTTCGCGAGAGTGCATCGGACAAGAGTGTCCAAGAAATGTCCCTCGAGGATGGTCAGTCATTCCAGTTGCCCGTCCGCAGTTCAACCTGCCAGGGTCTCCCTCGACATTCAAGAGACGTCCTCAATCAACATATAAGTCTGGATCTTTCCCAAACTTACCTAAATCTCAGATTTTGTAACGATGGGTGCCGATGTTTCATCACCAGCTCACTCGGAGGGCAAGATCGATGGCCGCCCGGCCACTTTCTACTACAAGCGAGGCGACGGCGACGAGGAGACCGGTCTGGCATGGACTGAAGGATACAAAGTCTGTAGGTGATTCTCTGCACCTTTTTCCCATTGCCACTAGAGCAGCCAGTACCAACTGACACGCGTCTCTTTTCAGACCCCGGCTCACACTGGCGCAAGATCGCCAAGAAGGACATTCTCGTCGTCGGAGGCATGAAGAACACCCAAGACGACTACCACTTCCTGTTCGTCGAAACGAATGCTGCGGCCGAAAAAGACCCCACGGCCTCGCCAGTCTTATTCAAATCACACACATTGACCAACCCTCCTTCCTTGCTCGTCAACGATCACAGCATCCCTTCTGGCCAATCCTGCTGGGAATACCGACAGACACACAATGCCGTCCAGCCAAACTTCCACATTATCCTGTCAACTGGATCTGGTACCGGTCTGGCGAAAGCGGTGTACGATCAAGTGCTGAAGCCAATGCTCGATCACTGCGACATCGCCGAGGGCAGGGATTATGTTCTTCACACCACCACTTCGGAATCAAGTATAACAGAATTGGTTCGAGACGCGATCCTGCCGCGTGCGAACTTGGGCGTGAAACAGTCTATCATGTTGATGAGCGGCGACGGCGGCGTTGTCGACACTATCAACGTTTTGCTCTGTGCCGAGCGAAGTAAGGACTACACGAAGCCTAGCATCTCCGTTTTGCCACTTGGAACCGGAAACGCTCTGGCTCATAGCGCCGGGATCACATCAGACAATACCGTGGGCATCAAGTCTTGGATGTGTGGGGAGCCTCGTGAGCTACCCGTTTTCGTTGCTCGATTCTCGCCAGGAGCACGTTTCCTGTTCGACGAGGCTCGGCAAGAACGACCTATTCATCTTGCAGACGGCGTGCAGACTGCATATGGCGCGGTGGTGTGCTCATGGGGACTACATGCAGGTCTAGTTGCGGATAGCGACACAGTCGAGTACCGCAAGTTCGGAGTCGAACGCTTCAAGATGGCTGCAAAAGAAGCTCTTTTCCCAAGCGACGGATCTCCGCCACATGTCTATAATGGCAAGGTTACGATACAACGACCTGGGTCAGAAGGCTGGGAAGAGATTCGACAGGGACAGCACAGCTACATTCTCGCTACACTCGTCAGTCAGCTCGAAAAAGGCTTCACGATCAGCCCAGCCTCGAAGCCGCTCGATGGAAAGCTACATCTGGTGCATTTCGGACCAGTGAGCGGCAACGAAGCAATGGAGGTCATGGGAAAAGCTTACCAAGGGGGTGAGCATGTCAACGATGAAAGAGTCCGTTACGAAGAGATCGAGGGTTTAAGGATTGAATTTCACGAAGAAGATCCTCGCTGGCGACGGGTCTGCATTGATGGCAAGATCGTTCGAGTCGAGAAGGGAGGATGGGTCGAAGTTAGCATGGGACAGAAGGGAGTGGTAGATCTGGTTGCGCCATGACAGGGTGGAGATGGATTTTTTACTTCAAATACCCAACGATGCAGACGACTACGTTCGCGCCGGGCGAGAGCTATTGACCTCGTCTACGTTCTGCTCATCTCACTACGGGAGTCATCAATTTAGCCACATGATCGCCAATCATTCGAATGGAACTCAACGAGAAAAGAAGACGACAGTTCAGACTCGATCCTCCTCGTTCATCCCTGTTACTCCCGAGTCGTCTGAGCAACCTGAAGTCCCACCAAGAGCTTGGTGCCTGAGAAAAGTCGGAGGAAGAAAGACCGCACAAGTCCCATTTTGAGCGGAACAACGAGTATGGGCTCTAGTGACTCGGGCAGTTGACTGGAAGATCTCTCATCAGCACCAGGAATAGACGCTCTGCAAGACAACCCCGACTTGCTTACAGCCATTGATATCCGTGAACACAGATCCCAACACCTCATTGAACACAGCTCCAGAACCCCAGTACGAGACGAAAGACACGAAGAAGACTGCCCAATTCCCAAGATCAGCGCTTCAGATCGCACCGGAGTTATCCATACTCACACCCATCATGATCCTCACCACACTTCAAATCCGTCGAAAACCGCCCACAGTCGTCCAACCTATCCCCCAACTCATCGCACTTCGCCCCAGCGTACCGCTGCCCAATCCTCGACTCGTAGAACAACTGATCGAACTGCTTCTGCGTCCCGATGCATGACTGGGCGCCGGGGTTGACGTGCTCGGCCAGAGGTCTATTAAGACTGTCATACACGACGGGAGGCGGCAATGCCGTAACCGTCGAGATCATGAAGACGAATGCTGTGGTTGGAGTACGCATGGTGGGATACCAGTTGCTGCTGCGGGATGGGTTCTGTTGGGAAGATTCGAAACAGGGCAGTGTTGCAGAGGAGAGGTACATGTAGGTCGTGCTGGTAGGAGGACGTGGGCATTGTTTGGTGTTGTGTGAGGTTGTACGTTGTTGAGGTGGTGCTGGGAATCTGGTTGTTGGAGGTGGTACTGTGATTGCTCGTGATGTTGTGGCGGTGGAAGGTCACTGTGCTCAGGGCAAGCCAAGGCTCACTTGTGATGCTGTTTGATACTGACATGTCACTGCCAACAGTATTCAGAGCAGACTCCTGCGATCGACACCATCTGGCCCCCTGTTCCTCGTCGACAAAGGCAAGGTCCGTCTCGATATCGGGATGCTGCTAGACATCGGTGTTCCCTTCGTTCAGATCTAGTGATAGATGTCATCATCTGGATACATTGAACCATCTTGCTGAGAGAAGTGCTTCGGCGAAGGACGACCCGCAAAATACACTCGATCTTGACTTCATATCCAAATGGTGTCGCGGCGCCTTGTATGGTTGAACACTCGTCGTACGGTGCAAGTTTGGAGTGACATTCGCCAACGGGAATTAGTACTGCCAACGCTGGCATCGTGTGGAAAGTGAAAAGAAAAGATGGCCGGCAAGACCTTTGCCCTCCAGATTTCGAGATTGACAAGACCCAGGGGCAGACAAACGCATGCTCAGCTTCTTCAAGTATGCATCCTCAACCCATATTGTTTGCTCTCTCTTCCAGGCCAGATGTCCCTCTATCGTATCACACCTCCATCGGAACACTAGTATTTGAATATCAAAGCCAGGTGTAACAGATATTTGATATCCTTCCAAATCATTCCTGTGAAAACGGAACCACGGTCTCGACAAGCTCAATGATCCGGGCAATTGACTGCTCTCCGTCAAACCCCCTGATTCACTATTGATCGAGGGGAAGTACTCACACCCATTAACCTCCGGCCAAGCCCCCCAAAAAACCTCATTAACAACACCCCCCATTCCATACGAAAACGTCCTGAACTTCACCAACGCATATATCCCATCAATCAGCCATCATTCCCCATCCCTTGCTCCAAAACATCATAACTCACGACCATGAACCCCCCTACAATCCCACATATCAAACCCCAACGTATCCCGAATCTCATCATGAGCGCTATCGCATCTCCCCTGGTCAAACGGCTCGCCGATTTCGACTTTGTACCAGAGGACGGTGAAGTCGGTCGAGACGTGGCAGGATTGCGTGTTGGGGTCGATGCGAGGGATCAGGGAGGCGGCGAGGGAGGAGAGGGGGAGGATGAGGGGGATGATTCGCATGTTTGCTGGAAAGGGGTTGAGTATCGTCGGGTAGCTGCATGAAAGTGTCGGATGCGTGCGTTCGAGTCATTTATAGACGATGCCTGTGGCATTGTGTACAAGTCAGTCTGCTCTTTCCATGGTGTTGGGGTAAACTTGCTATTGCGTTCCACAACGAGCGACATTGCTGCGAAGGCGCGACTGACTTCTAGTCCGTATTGAAGGTCACTGTCAGTCTGTCCGAATCGCTTTCTTGAGCCGGAAGTAAGTTGGAGTGACGAGTAAACTCGTTCGTCGTTCGTGGTATGTTACATGCGGCCTAGGTAGCCGCCAAGGGTATCAGCAGGTCATCGCAGCTCTATGTCTATCTCGTGTCAAGTTCTCGCGTTCTTTCCCCAAATGGCAGAATGCTCGTTACGTCTTCAGGCTGAGGGTTGTCCTCCTCTGCCACGTCTGCCGCCTCGACCACGACCGCCGCCGCCTCCACCTCGACCGCGACCACCATTGGTTCCATTCTTCTCAACACGACCATCATGAATGCCTTGTGAACCTCCGTTGCTCTTGTTCCCACCGTTCGGCTGCTGGCCTCCTCTGCCTTGACGACCTTGACCTCGAGACGACTGACCTCCACGGCCTCCACCAGGAGCACTCTCCACGTGTCCCACGTTCAGACCTCGGACGCCCTTGAGGCCCATCTTGCCAACTATCTTCTTATCGATGAGTGGCGGCTCTGGGCAACCGATAGCGGAAGCGTACTGGTTTGCCTCTTGGACAAGCCCCTCGTTCGAAAGCTGAAGCTGCTTCGTGAACATCTTGTGAAATCCTAGCCAGGCTTGGTATGCTTTGGATTTCGTGGCCTCATCCAGGGCGTAGAAGGCGGGAATGACATCAAGAGTCGATGCTGCTGCCTTTGCTGAGATGTCGACGGGGTACGGCGAGATCGGCAGACGCTTGTTCACTCTTAAGAAGAAGCTCTCGCGCTCCGTGAGAAGGATGACGGCACGACCCTCGTTGCCGGCGCGCGCGGTTCGGCCAACACGGTGGACGTACTGGTCGCCGTTAGATGGAAGGCCTACTTGAAAGACGTGCGATACGTTGGGAAAGTCCATGCCGCGACCAATGACCTGAAACAAGGTCAAGATTAGCTTTCACTCTCATCAAAGAAGGGATATACGTACGTCACTGGCGAACATGACGCCGGCTGGGGCTGCTTTGAACTCGGCGGTCGTGCGTGTTCGGATGTTTTGCGAAAGCCGAGACTGCAGTTGGAAGACTTTTATGTTGTTGTTACTAGCGAGGAGGGTCGAGAAGAGTGAATGCATGAGCGCCACACCATTCGCCGTCGTGCCAAAGACGATGGCTTTGAAGTTGTCGGGCTGTGCCTCGTACTCGGTCTGCAAGACTGCCCACAGCGTATTGTAGACTTCTGCAGCCGACGACACAACAATCGAATGCTGAGGAACGCGGTCGATCGTGGGGGTCTCGTTGGGGTCGACTGTTGAGAGGTGGGTGTGGCCTTGCTTCAGCACTTTCGGAAGAACACCAGAGATCTTCTGCGGCATCGTAGCACTGAAACACATGCCCTGCCATTGAGCCTTGGCCTTCGAGGGCAGGCGGCTGAGAATCTCGTTGATAGCGACTAGGAATCCAGCTTCGAGCATCTGGTCGGCTTCGTCCAGGATGAGAGTGCGAATGGTGTCGAACTTGCCGGCCACGTATTCGTCAGAGAGGTAGTCGTTCAGGCGACCAGGCGTAGCGACGACAATCTTCGGATCACCGGACATGAACTTGTTGAGATCGCGTTCCTTTGACGTGCCGCCGTACGCAGTGTGGCACTCCAGCTTTCGTGGGAGGTTGGCAGTCACCGAGTCGCACTCTTTGGCGATCTGGAGAGCGAGCTCACGCGTTGGCGACAAGATCAAGATGGCGACTTGACCCTTTTGAAGGCCGGGCTGGGTGAGGAGCGAGTGCAGTGCTGGCAGGAGGAAGGCCAACGTCTTGCCGGTGCCGGTCTTCGCCTGGACGAGGCAGTCCGAATGGAAGTTGGGCAACTCGGTCAGCACCTTCTGCTGCACCGGGCTCATGAATCTGTCGAGTTCAGTCAGTCATGTGAAGCTGTAATCGGACGGCCTGCAGACATGTCTCTCACTCATAACCCATTCCATCGCGGACTCCACGGAGGAGGCCATCGTGGAGCTTGCCTTGCAGCGTCTCCCAGCGCTGAGCATCATTGTCGATCGCGTCGGTGCCTGCCATATTGTTGACGGGCGGTTGTTTTTCGACGCTTGGTTTGACTGACGTTGGTGTTGACAAGACGTCGACAATTTTCTATGGAATGCAGTTTCAAGGAAGGGGCGAACGGCAGGGGTCCGGCGGGAGCCAGTGGCACGGGCCCCAAAGCCTAATGTGCATTGCCCTGATTCACGTTGAAGGCTACGGCGGTATTGATACTGTATGCTCAACGAGTACATCGATCGAGCAGTTCAGACTTAAATGCAGTCAACTCACAGAAAGGACAAAAGGTAGTCAGACAGACAAAGAACACGATCGTTCAACGACTCATGATCGACCAAGCTATCGATTTTCCCTACAACTTACTGTTGCCACTCTTGACCTTCATCTTCGCCCGTCCATTGCTCAAACACACCTTCCCACCCTTGACCGAAGTCTGGAATCGAATATCCTCCCAACCCTCACTGTCCTTATTCCCAGTCCTCCAAATCTCCGTGACCGTAGTATCACCTGGCTTGACTGGCGACGCGAATCGGCACGCGTACTCTTTGATGCTCGCTGGGTCACCACCGCCCAGCTCCTTGACCAACGCGTGCGCGGTCGTGTTCCAAGAGTATAGACCGTGGATAATCACGCCCCCGAAGCCCATCTTCTTGCCTGGCTCAGGATCGATGTGGAGGGGATTGTAGTCGCCGTTGAGACGGTACAGAGCAGCCGTCTCGTCGTTTGTAAGCTGCTCGTACACAGCATCAGGCTTCTTGCCCTGTGGTGGAGGGAAGCTTTCGGTCTTTGGTCCCTTGGGTCCACCCCAGTTGCCCTGTCCAACAAAGAAGCCGGAGCCTATAGCCGTGGTGTAGACTTCACCAGTCTGTGCGTCCACGATATCGGTCTGCGTCTCAAGGACGGTACCCGGCTTTCCCTTGTCGTAGACACCAATCACCTTGCTCCTTGACTCGAACTTCCGGCCCTCGCTGGTGACGGGCAGTGGCCTATAGAAGAACATCTTGCGCTCGCCATCGAGGACGCGCTTGTTGTCGAGTTTGGGGATGCCGGGGATCTGAGGACGGCCGGCATCTTGGGCGGCGTAGAAGTCGATTACTTCCTGGGAGGTGTTCTTGAAGGGGAGGATGATGGGGTAGGTAGGGAAGACGGCGAAGTTGGGGTGGAGTTCCTGCGATCGATGTCAGTTCGATAGATCGTCTCGCCCGTCGTCGAACATCGCAGCTTACATAGAGGTAGTGCAGCTCGTCAGCAGTCGCGCCAATGCTTGCTGCGAAGAGCAAGACGTCTCTCTTGAGCCAGCCGACTTCCTTCGCTGGGCTCTCATGGCCGGCTCCTGGGTTGCTTTCTGGCATGTTGGATGATCAGGATCGTTCACTTCGACTTACTCTGATGAAGATCGATGGTCTGTTCATGTACAGAGCTCTTGCCTACGAATCGACCGTGGGTTGTCGTTGCCGTGGAGCTCCATCTTCGGCAGCGGCAATTCCTCCAAAGCTTGCCGAGGTCTTGGTGTCGATCGTGTCATCACCCAGATCAGGTCTCGAATCCGAGTCGATTGACATCGACCAGCATTAAGTATCTGGGGCGAATGCCACATACAACGTGGAGTGGCTCATGTCAAGAGGAGGGAGTCTAGGGCGGCTGCACAAGCTACGACCGTTCGCGACGGGCTCTCACGAGAATTCGTCGGAAGGGGAGCACAACAACACACACAGAAGCTTGGCTGAAGAAGAAAGAACGAGACAAATAAAAGATAAAGCAAAGACACGGTTCACCTAACCGTGATCAGGCTGATGAGGATATCAATCTATAGCCACGGAATAGATCGCAACGCTCTCCGTCCCGCCCATGGATATCAGTTTGTATGCCATCGAAAATGCAGCAGAACGCCTCTATTATCATGAGATCACTCTCTTCGAGCCCATAACACTACTCCTCTTCGCTGCTCGAACTATCTCCCTCCTCCTCTTCAAGGCCGATCAAATTTCCCCCCCCCGCGCGAGGCCACGTCCTTGCTCAGCTGCTTCGACCAAAGCGCCACGTATTTCCCCTTCTGCTCGAAAAGCTCCTCATGCGTTCCTCTCTCCACGATCTCACCGTCCTGAATGACGAGGATCAAGTCCGCGTGCTGGATCGTTGATAGTCGATGCGCGACGATGAAGGTCGTTCGGTCTGCGGTGAGTCGCTTGAAGGCCTGCTGAATCACGGCCTCTGTCTCGGCATCGATCATGCTCGTGGCTTCGTCAAGTAGCACGATCTTCGGCCGCCGCACCATTGCACGCGCGATTGCTATCCGCTGCAGCTCACCACCGGACAGCTTCACGCCTCTCTCGCCGACCTTGGCGCTGTATCCATCTGGAAAGCTCATGATCTTGTCGTGGATCGCAGCAGCTCGGCAGGCGTCCATGACCTCTTCATCCGTAGCGTCTAACCGCGCGTACTTGATATTCTCCATGATGGTGAAGTTGAAGAGCGATGGATCCTGCGGCACCATACCAAACGAATCACGCAGACTGTCGAGCGTGACTTCACGGATATCCTGGCCGTCGATTCTGACAGCGCCGCCATTGACGTCGTAGTATCGATAAAGCAGCTTCAAGGTCGTCGACTTGCCTCCGCCTGTCTCGCCAACCAGAGCAACTGTCTGGCCCGGTTTCACAGTGAAGTTGACGTCTTTGAGGGTTGGCCTTCGAGGATCGTATGCGAATTCGACATGATCGAAAGACACCTCACCCTTTGTGACCTCAAGTTCCTTTGCGTCAGGGACGTCCGTGATACTCGGCTTCGTTGTCAGTAATTGTAGCAAACGCTCCGAGTCGGTCAACATTCCCGTGATCTTGCGCACCGAGTATGAGACAAGGCTGAACGGCTCCTCAATGGAGTCCAGATACGAGACCAGCGTGACGAAGTTCCTGACGCCGACAGTGCCTTGGGATACTTGGTAAACCGCCAGGACTGTGGCAGCCACCCTTCCAAGAAACATAACCGCGTTCTGTGCTCCACCACCAAGGTCAAAGGCAAGATAGTACTTCCATTCAGCGAAGTTGAAAGCGTCGACAGCATTGCTGTACCTCGCCGATTCGTACTTGCCTCGATTGAAGTGAGATACTGTCTGCCAATTGTTGATGGCCTCGTTCTGGACTTTGGACTCCTCGCGCATAGTGGTGTTGAAGTTCCGGCGCTGCTTGATGCTCAAGCTCGTGACCTTGGCTCCGATCCAGATGTATGCGATTCCCACCGCCAACAAGATCATGGCCATGTAAATGTCGAAGAGTATCGAGACGTATACGAACGCAGCAATAAGATCGAAAAACATTGGAAGAACGTCAAAGAACATGAAGTTGACAAGGTCCTGAAGATTAGTGCCTTGCTCGATGGCTCGCATCAGTTCGCCAGAGTTCTTTTCGTTGTGGAAGTCCATGGACAAAGTCATGACATGCTGGAACGAGATCGTCGCGATGGCTTTGTACCCGTATTGCTGCACGGGTAGCTGTGCTATCTCCCTGATGAGACGTACACCAGCATGGGAGCCAAGAGCTGCATACAGAATCCAGAATCCGAGAGAAGACCACGGGACCATTCCAGTGCCAGCGAAGTTTGTGAGGTCCTCGACCAGTATACCTAGCTGCCTGGGCACAAGGATGTTGAGGATACGCTCTGCGACAATGCAGAGTCCCACAAGGGCGATGCATGCCTGTACTCGACGTTCTTTCCGCGGCAGCACCATCCGAATGAAGATACCGTATTCAGACAAATAGCTGATCCAGCTGCCAGACTGCTGCAACCGCTTCTTCTGCTGTGCCCTGAGCTCCTTGTCTCCCTCAGGATCCTCCGTATCTGAATCGTATCCCCAGTCGTAGTCATCATCGTCTGAGTCCTCCTCGTTGGAGAAGAGGCTGTCGTTTGGTGATCGAGCGGGCTTCGATGCATGGCCGTTTGGTTGTCCATTTGCTCCGTTGACATTGCCGCCTTCGCTCGTGTCTGCTGCTAACAGTGCCTCACTCTCGTCATCCAATGTGACACTCCGACGGCGATCGCCCAGCATGGAGAAGCCTGTGAAGAGGCAGAGCACGAGAAGACAAAGTGCCCTGAGAACGCACAGTATCATTCGACCTTCCGCGTATTCGTTCGTCGGTATTGTCAATCCTTGCAATGCAATGATAGGAATTTCGAGGGCCAGGGCAACGAACCACGCGCCAAGATATTGGTGCCATATTGGATTCTTGTTCTCGAGGAGTCCCAAGCTGAGACCACTGTGGGCGGTCAACAGTAGCAACAAATAGGCACTGTAATCCGGCGTCGATGAGAATTCTGGTTTTTGGAATGCTTGCGTTATGGTCGTGATGCCCTCAGCAACAACGGTTCCAGTCACGCCAAAAGCCAACGTGATCGCTGGATATCTTCGCAATCTCGTTCCAGAATGTTTTGACGGTTGCTGAAGTAGACACGATGCAGTTATCTTGGCAGCGATGAAGTAGAAGATCGTCGCTAGAGGCGTCGCCAAGTGTAGAGCCACAAGGGCTGTCGATGTTTGTGTTGTAGTCATAATCGTGCTTTGCAAGTGTTCGTCTCGTCGGTACTGTGATGTCCCGTACAGGGTGGTTTTAGTATGCCAGTGAGGCAGCAATAAATGAATGGGTGTGTAGATATAAGGCAATGTGAGACGCAAAATGATATTCGTCTTAAAGAAAAGGCTGTATCAGGCAGTGTAGTTCAGCAAGACACTACTGCTGTAAGTCATACGTACAAACTTCGGCCTAAGACAACATACGAGCAAACGACCACCCAAGCGAGGTGGCGGTGTCATAAGAGTCATGTAGATGCGAGAGTCGCCGGCCAGCAGCAGGAAAAATGTCTCTACTGGCGGCGAAGCCGTAAAGGCAGCGCGCACGACAATGGACAGGACGAGACCAACGTCTGCACCTAGAGGTCCACAACCTCAACAGATGCAGAGAGCGGTCTGACTGTCTACTTGCCGCCAGCACCGCCCTTTCAGATGGGAACTTGCGGTGACTCAAAGTGAGCAGCATCTAGGTTCGTGCCTGTGAGCTGAACGAAAGAGGGTGACGTAGATGTGGCTCTCGAGGCCGCCACGTTCTCGACCTCGCACGACATGGGTTGTTCGCCTTGGCAGCATGTTGGCTCCGTGAGACTCTGGGTGTGGGATCACGGCATGGCAGAGCCGCAGCTGTAGTCGTACATTGACAGCGGTGAAAAAGTTGTCGATGTTATGGTTGAAAAAGTGGCAGGTCTTGGCCGGGATATCGCACTGACTGTTACGCAATCCGTGCATCTTGCTGCGGAAGGATTCTCCAGTTCGGATTACGTTGCAGGAGTTCCGTCGACTTCACTTCATCATGTTGAAGAACGGTGTAAAAGGAACATCTTTCTGAAAACCATCGCAGACTTTTCGTGGTATTGTTACAGCTATACGCAGGGACTTACCCTCGTTTTCATCGACTCATTTCTCGTCTAAAAGTACACAGCAACACGCTTTTGGGCCATTCCGGCGAATCTCCATCTCGTGGAATCATGCTTCGTCAATCATCGTCGTCATCCCAGAAGCAAGCAAAAAGGAAAGCAAAAGTCAGAGCAAATCGATCGAGTGTTGCGCCGTCCTGTCTGAAAAGGCGCTGCTGAGTTTTATAGCAGCGTCGATCCAGCCTCAGCGCCGAAAATGCGGAACGCGATCTTGAAGGCAATGCGAATTTCAGTCCAATAGCGCCCATCGCTATGCATGCTCGAAAAACAGAAAGCCATTCGTGGTGGGAAGGCCAGCTCGAGTGTCGAACTGTCTATGGCCAAGCAGTCCTAAGAGGTCTGCTCCGCGGCGAAGTAATCGTCCCCGATCATGTCATGTCCCAGAGTTGGCTGTTGATAAGGTGTCAGCATGTACGTGGACTTGCACTGGAAGCCATCAGAACTTACCTCGTCAATAGTGTTCTTCAACAATGGGATCACCTCTGCGTCGTCTGCTCTGGATTGCTGGAGGCTGGTGAGGTTTTGCGAACCCCAATGCGTCGTCTTCATGGTGAACAATGCCCAAAGGTTGATGAGGCCGTGGAAATAGCTGAACACGATGCCGATTGGAACAAACTTGAGGTCCTGCGGATACTTTCGGAAATGAGGAATCATCTTCAGATTCTTGGTGAAGATGATCCAGATGGCGAGGACGACGTACGCAATGCGAGCTGTCGTCAAGGTCGCATCCTCAAGAGCAAGGTGCAGGAAGAAGAACAGGAGTCCATCAATGAGGAGCGCAGGCGTCTGGAACTGACTGATGTAGATGTAGTAGAGGCCCCAGATGTACCTCAGCGACCGCCAATACTGCTCGTTCTCCATGACAGTAAAGTTACCACGCCAGTGGGCACGGGCCCACCTCATGCACTGGCTCAGGTACTTGATGTCGCCTTCGACAGTCGTCTCGATCACTGCGCGAGAATCGAACTGCAGGACGATCTTGTGACCATTCGAGTAAACCCATCGGGTCAAACACTTATCGTCGTCGGAGTTTAGGGGCTTGCCGCGCCACGTGTCGTGTGTGAAATAGTGGTAGAACTCGTCTTTCTGGATGACATCGGTACGGTACGCAGCAGTTCGGCCGGACAGCGTCGAGATGGAGCCATCGATCGCGTTGGTCGCGCAGTTGTTCCAGACGCGGCGCTCCAAGTAGCTGATTCCCAGGAAGTTCCAGGAGCCAGGGTTCTCGTTACGACGAACTCTCTGACGGGTGCCGCCAGCGCCAACGCCCGGGTCTTCGAAGATGGCGAGCAGGTATTCCAGGTAATTGTCTGGCCAAAACACGTCGTCATCTGCGAGCACCGTGATCTTCGTCTTGATCAGAGGCATGGCCTTGAGAATCTGGTTCCGCTTATTGAGCTCGTCGACGCCAAGGACGGTGATGGTAGAGGTCGACGTGTGGATGGCCACGAGGCTCTCGACCAGAGGGACGTTGATGTTGGCCGTGACCATGAAGATCGCGGCCGGTCGGTTGCCCAAGATGCGCTGCACGCAGTGAGCAATCTCGTCTGGGGTCTTGAAAGTGGTTGGTATAATGACGGAGACGTCATCAGAGGTATAGGTTGGCTTTTCGAGGACTGGCTTGGGTTTATACGTGGCATACGCGAAGATGCTCACGACCGTGCGGAGATAGCGGAAGATGAAGAGGGCGATGAAGGCCTTGAGGCCGGACATGGCGGTGTCAGACATAGCGGAACTGATGTCTGAGACTGTCGCAGAGTGGTGGGGTGTCTATCGCAAGGTTCTGAGGTCTCTGGTTTTAGGTGAGTGCACGACGCTGTGATTGTCGTCGATGTCTCGGTTGGATCTGCTCGTGCTGATGTCTTTCTAACCTGCAGATGCGATGTTAGCTTGTGGGCAAGGTCCAAATGTCGATATGCACTGACGAGAAATCAAATCGAACCGCAGTCACGCTGGCGAATACTCGAAGAGGTGGTTGTCGGCACAAAGCTCTTGACGACAGACGCTCTATGCGCCGCCGAAAGGGCCTCGAGGTTGTCTGCAAGGTGGTTGAATGTAATTGTGATGTTGGAAGAGAGGTGCTGGTCGTGTTGAAAGGCTTTGTTAGTGGCACAAAGAGTCGTGTCGAATTCGTGGAGGAAAGAAGAAAGAAACGCGGCGTTCAATGGTGCGACACGTGGAGACAAGGCAATTGTGAAGACAGCTGATTCACTCGAGTCTCACAGGTAGCAGCACATGAATTGCATGTGGGTGAAGAGGGCGACGGGTACAAAAGGGAGAGACGAGTCGCGTGTGTCTTCAGGTCGTGTCTTTCACGCTACCATGCTCCACGAGTCTGACGGTGCCGCCTGCCTCTTCTCCAGCCAACCCTTGAGCAAGAAAACATCACAAGGAAGTCGCGTCCCGACATCATAAGCACGATCAAGAACCACCGCTCAAGAACCACCAGCCATGTGTTTCTACAGAGAGATCATATGTGCCAACTGCGGCAGCACTATCTTCATGCAGTCCACCGGCCAATGCTCCATGTTCCACGTCAACTTCGGCGGATCAAAGTGCCCTCCCACGATCACCAAGATCATCGACGGCAACTGCGGCTGCCTCGCACCTCCACCTGCTGGCTCTGCACCGCGAGGACCCCCTCGGAGTCTCCTCGATCCACCTCTCAATCCGAATCCACCACGCTTCCTGAGCTGGCACCGTTAATCCCCCCGAGGACTCATCGACGACGTCAGCAACGCGTGCTCTTTTCGCTGCCCATCGATGGGCCAATCGACTGGGACAAAAGAAGAGTTGGGATAGCCGCGAAGGGGGGTTTTAAGTTCATGTATCAGTAGACCATATCATAGATTAGCATTGCGGGCAATGTAGGCGATCGGTGCCAGGTTCGGGAAGAGAAACCGTTTCATACTTTCAATCATCAAATCCCTTCCGACCTTTCAGTCCTCGCGTTCATATTTGGCTGCATCCTCTCCTCATGAAGACACCCGTGCATTGTTCAAAGCTCATCCTGCTTTTCGTTACTCGCATGAATGTAGGACTTCTGGACTCAACTTCCAGAAGTAGAAGGCTCGTTCGGGTCGTGTAGAAAGTTTGTTGAAATCGACGCTCTTCGTTCAACACATTCAAACATCACACCAACGCGCCGACGCTGCAACCCATCTTCACCATCAAGCACACCTGTACCTCTCGTAGCCCTCGCTCACAGTATCACGAAGAAGCGCCATCAACGACTACACCTTCTGCTCTCCGACCAAAAGAAGCCGACCATACAATCAAGCTCGATGTCGATCCCTCACGATACCACCAGAGCAACGGGGATGAAGGTACATTCGCAAGTTCGATACGAGGAGAAGGAGGATTGGGCGTAACAGGTGGAGTCTCTGCTCCACGCGACAAGGCAACGGCTCACTGCAAATAGTGAGATCGATCCACATCAACCTCCAATCCTGAGAGAAACAGCATCGCACTCCAGCAAGACCAACATCGCCGACGCGCCTTCTAGGGCAACGAGAAAGACCTGAACTGGCTGCTCGGCATGAATTCAACCACGCCCCATTGCCAGATTCTACGGCCACCGACTCCTCAAAGCGCATTTTTACGTGTAGCGTCGCTCTATCTCGCTCAGTTCCCCAGATTCACATTGTCGGCTGCGCCATCCGTGCAAAGAACGCGAGGACAAAGAGATGGCAGACGCTGTGGGCAGTGGAGTTCAACACTACTCGACACCAAGGTGAAAGAGATGGACACAAAGCTATTACGAGGATTATGTTGGGATAGAGTTTCCGAACTAGAGGCTGTTTCACGGGTGTGCAGGACGAGTCTCTCCCATAATCTTGCACGGCTTGGTAGTTAAGAGAAACATATGAAGACGCCTATCTATAGAGTCTGCAAGGACTCAGGTGCGAGCAATTACGCGAGAGTCCGTTCAAGGCCGTGCTTTCCAGAGAGGTCGCAACATACCAAGCGTTCGGACAGGGGAGCAAGGAAGTTAGAGGGGACGGATTTGTGGAAACAACCCGGGACGCAGCACTGGAATACCTTGGGCTCTAAGGTCTAGAATCGACAAGAAGCCTCTTGCCTATGCTCCATCTCAGGCATTCTTCAACGCTACGTTCTGGCACTTGTCGATTGTCTTTCAGCAATTTCCTACAGCAGCCCGTGGTAGCAGCTATCTGTCCATCGATTATGTGCCAGCGGCTCAGTCCATTCTACTGCTCTTAGTGATGAGTTGAGAAGTGTTATTGCCTGATTGTCGCGCACTGAACGAGAGGATAAAGAGGGAAGGATCTTGGGATTTAGATGTGTAGACTTGACATATGAGGAAAGCATTGAAAACCTTGAAGACTTGACGTGGGTGACACCTTACTGCTGGTATCCGAAAAAGTTGCAGCTGATTAAATTGAGACTGCCCAACCTTCAATTCTCTCATTTCACTCATTCAAGCTGGTTTTTTGTAACAGTTCTCCCTCTTTGTGCTCTGTGACAACATCGTGATTGAGCCTCAGAGGTGGAACAGACCGTCTCGTGCTTCAATTTAGTCTTCATGTGCAACGACCTCTATTTCTGTTCTCGTGAATATACCATGAACTTTAGCCCAGAAATTCATGTGATTATCAAAAGTGAAGTGAATGTTAAAGCCTAGGGAAGTGGAGGATCTCGCCCCGGTCAAGTTAACGGTACGCGGACAAACTCATCTCCTTCAAGTCTAGTTTCACCACGTCGACCCCAAGGCTTCCGATGTGGACGTCGATGTGGGGTCAGACGCATGTGGGCACAGAACGTCAACCCAAGCACAACCAAGTCGTTCAAGTACTCGGCATTCAACGGCAACAAAGGAGCGACGGTCGCACGACATTCCCCTCGAATTCGACCTTGGACCTCCAACCTCACAGCCTCGTGACTCTCCACGCATGAACGACACGCATACGCAGAAACGACCGAGTCCTCACGCAGCTTGCCCTGACAGCGGGGCACTGAAACCATGGAAGTACCGACGACGAGTTCCCTCGCGGATATCTACCCAGGAGATGCGTTGAAGAGCCAGACTACGAGGTGGAACCAGCTGTTGAGCACATTCAAGGAGAGATATGGCAAGTCTCCAGAGTTCGTCTCGAGGAGTCCGGGCAGAGTCAACATTATTGGCGAGGTATGTGATCGCGTGCCTTGAAGCAAAGCATGTGATTGAGGATAAGAGATGGTCCTCAAGGCTAGAGGCTGACATGGCGTCGCAGCACATTGACTACTCCCTCTACGAGGTCATTCCAATGGCTGTCACAGCCGACGTCCTCCTCGCCGTTGCAGTCCACAAGAAGGAATCAGGACCAAGTACCATTCGTCTTACGAACGTACACCCAACGAAGTTCGAATCGCGAGAGTTCCAGATCCCGGATACTGGAGATGTCCACATCGATTCCTCGACGCTAGAGTGGACGAACTACTTCAAGTCAGGTCTGGTCGGTGCCACAGAGTTACTCCGCAAGAAGGCCAAAGACTTCAAGAGCAGCATCGGCATGGACATCCTCGCCGACGGAACTGTACCCTCGGGAGGCGGTCTTTCGAGCAGTGCAGCCTTCGTCTGTGCCAGTGCGTTGGCGGCGATGAAGGCGAATGGCATCAAGGAGGTCGACAAGAAAGAGCTCGTTGAATTAGCCATTGTCTCTGAGCGTGCCGTTGGCGTTTTCTCTGGTGGCATGGACCAATCTGCATCCGTCTTCCCGCTACAAGGCTCAGCACTCTACGTCTCGTTCGTTCCGGAACTCTCAGCAAAAAACATCGCCTTCCCGGAGCTCAAATCACCACTCACCTTCGTCATTGCACAATCATTCGTCGCGGCAGACAAGCACGTTACTGCGCCTGTATGCTACAACCTACGCGTCGTCGAAGTCACTCTGGCAGCACTGGTTATGGCGAAGATCCTTGGACTGAGCGGGTTGCCAGAGGACGCAGGCCCATTGAACCACAGCCTGAGAGGCTTCCACGACACCTACTTCCAGGAGAAGGAGGGCATCAAGGACAACCACGCGGTGTCGAAGGCTGAATTTCAAGAGCAGCTCCAAAGCCTCGTCAAGAAGGTTGACGATTACTTGCCTCAAGAGGAGGGCTACACACGAGAGCAAATTGCGGAAATCCTTGGACTGAGCGTCGCGGAGTTGGAAAAGAAGCACATGAGCAAGTTCCCTATCCGAGCGGAACGGTTTAAGCTTCGACAAAGAGCGATGCATGTCTTTGGTGAAGCCATTCGAGTACTCAAGTTCATGGACCTCCTCTACTCGCTGCCTCCTAAGACCGACAAGGAGAATACCGAACTGCTGAAGTCGCTCGGTGAGCTGCTGAACGACACACAGGAGTCATGCAGAGACATCTACGAGAACAGCTGCCCGGAGCTGGACGAGCTTTGCGACCTTGCGCGCTCAGCTGGTTCTTATGGAAGCAGGCTGACGGGTGCAGGCTGGGGAGGTTGCTCAGTGCACCTTGTGCCCGAGGATAAGGTGGAGAGCGTGAAGCAGAAGTGGATCCATGAGTACTACAAGAAGAAGTTCCCGGACATCACCGACGAGAAGTTGGCGGAGGCTATTGTTGTGTCAAAGCCAGGCAGTGGAAGCTCCGTCTTTCAGGTCAACGGACGAGAGTCGATATGAGGTGCTGGTTGAAGGATGTGTTGCATAGGGTGGCATTGGGGGAGTTGAAGCTGGCAAAGCGAGCAGGCATTGAAACATGATGACTTGAGGTTGAATTGAATCAGATACCTACCCAGCCGGTGGTCCTTTTCACAACGGCAATGCTCCGAATAGGATGATCATACTCATCATTACATTGTCGTGTCTCCCCATGCCATAGCCTGCGTGACACGTGAATGTAGCGTTGCGTGGCGTAGTCTTCTTCTCGAAGACTGGGCGCTGCAGTTGTAGAACTCGCTTCTCACAGACTCTGACAATGTCGAAGCTGATGTTGCTGGCTTTGTCGTTGTCGAAGTAGACTCGTACAGGGCGCTTTGTTCGAACAAGACTCATCTCCGAGACCACGTTCTTTGAGACCAGGTTCTTTATGACTTCGTCGGTGAAGTCTCGAGGCGATCGTCCCAGCTGCTTTCTTGACGGCTTCTTCTTGCGAAGAAAGTGCGAGCTATGCTCCTTACCTTGCCATCCATCCTTTGACGATAGCAGCAGAGGTCCAAGGCAAGACCAGTCTTTGCTGGCCTCAACACGGCATTCCCGGCGACTTCTGACGGTGAAGATTCGAAGAGATGGGTTCGAATTACTCTTCCCTGCCTGTTTTTGCAAGGAGAATGCTGATGTGGCCCATTCTTTCACCTCTCACCTGTTCTCGTACACGTTCCCACTTTTCCAGGCGCGGTCGTCCTTGAGCGCCGGTATGGATCGTTGACAGCAGGGCGAATCGGGATCGTTGCGATTATGACAATGAACGTCCGGGAAGACTATGTCCACTATGTTGTTTCTTCACTCTTTCGCAGACCGTTCTCATTCTCATGTACCTTCTCTCCTCCGCCTCTTGTATCGCCGCCGGCGCGACGCGACCTGTGTCTCGTGACGCCTTTTTGCAAAGCGAGGAGCAGGGTGTGCGAGGCGATGAGATCGAGCAAGACTTGTTGCGGCCGCCGGAAGGTGTGATCGTAGAAGGAAGAGCATGGGCTCAGTCCAGGACAGTGGGATCTGCGCTCCAAAATATTACCCTCATATGCACATTGTTGCCGCCGCCCCTGTAGACTCCAAATGATGCCTGGGTACGATGTCCTCGACTGCTTGCTTCTACTGTTCAGTCGCAGATGGTTCCCGATGGCGTTTGGCCGTTATGGCTCGGCACAATGTGTATGCTGAGTAGACCGTAGTATTTCATATGATGAGATAGGTGTTTGATGGAGTATGTGTGGATGGCTACGAGGATCGCGTTCGTGGAGGCTGTTCTCATCATGGAATGCAATTGACTTTGTCCGGTCCGAGCTTGACTTCCTGCGATGGATCCACCAGCTCGACCGTACCTCTGTACCTCTGTACCACGCCCTCGACCTCGAAACCCATCTCTCCGCGCTCCTTCGACAATAAATCCACCGTCCAACGGCATGATCGTGCGATCCAGAGCCCTGCTACCGCCCTTCCGCAGAAGCCATACAATAACCCTCCCAACAATCCGCAATGAATCCACCGCAGCCACAACACCCCAAACCTCCGCCGAAGCCCAAAGGAAAGCCCTCGTCGCCGCACGCATAGAAGCACGAGAACGAGAAGCAGCCGCAGCACTAGCCGCATCACGGGCGGACGCAGCACAGCAACATGCAGCGTTGGTCGAGCGGACGAGGAAGCTGAACAGCTACAGCGGGTCGGATCGATACATCTACATCACGGCGATTGTGTTGTTCCTGGCTACGCCGCCGGTGATATACTTTTGGTGGAGGCATCGTGCGGAGCATATGGGGCAGAAGAAGCAGGCTATGTTGGAGGAGTTGGCGGAGAGGAGGAGGGTTTTCCAGGAGAGTCGGGGGAAGTGAGCGTGGACGAGAAGAGGAATATTGATGTTGTTCATATCAATGAGGGCTCGAGGTCTTCACTCTGATCGGATACGAGGCTGCGGTATGGAGAGCAAGCAAAGGAGACTACTCAATGGTCAAGCTCTCCCAGTAGATTTCAGGCAGAGGAAACGGCAAGTCAAGAGATGCAGTGAGGCGAGTGGGTAAAAGAGCTCAGACGAGGGGATATCAATGCCACTTTGTTCGGTGGAAGGAAACTCCCAACACCGGAGCCTACGACCACGAAGAGGAAGGAAAAATGAGAGATGCTTTTGTGGCATAGACAAGAGGCGTTTGATATTCTGGCCATACTCTCGCATTGAACGTATCTTACGTTTCAACCGTTACGACCTGTGCCCGCCGATGCTCAATCCAAGTGGACCCTCAAAATGCCTCCCTCGACTCGTGGTCAACGTTGTGAACAGCCTGTCTGCCTTCTTCCATTCGAAATCAGGTCCATGGCCGCGTCTTCGCCATACCATCGTCGTCGCACTCTTGCCGCCATTCGCCACCGCGTTATCATCGCCATCGTCTCTTCATCGCCGAAACTTTCGCCAAATCTTCATCCGCATCCATCGCTGTGTCCTGCGTGGTGTCATTCTTCGCTCGTTATCCATCTGTCATCCATCGCTGTCCATTCCACCGCAACCATCGCTGTGTCCTGCGTGGTGTCGCCATTCGATCTTTATCCACCTGTCATCCATCCGTCGTATCGATCATCGATTCCACCATTTCAATGTGCAAGGATCAGACATATACTCTGTCTCTCGCGATCTCTGCCTCCTTCGACAGGATCAATAGTCGACATTGTCGAACTGGTCAAACTCCCACTCGCTGACTCTGAGCGACACGTGCGAGACCCCCGCCAGGAACAGATCGCTCTTCCGCATCCACGCCTCAAACGGGAGCGTCATCTGCAGAGTCGCACAGTAAAGGTCGCCGAGGTGCAATTCTCTGATGTTGGCGATGCTGAGCGCCCCGATCAAGTGTCTGACCCAATCGTGTGCGGTGCTGTTCCAGTATTCGTACTCGTGTGCGTCTGCCAGAAAGCCCGAGGCGGCCTCATCGCTGGTGATGTCTTCGTCGGGGGTGGCGCTGGTGTACCAGGTCGTTCTAAGGTTGATGCCCTCCTTGTTGAGCCTCGATTGCCATGGTAGGATGTACACCTTCCGGAGACGGGGTAGAGATCTGAAGCCGGTGCTCAACGTGTAGGTGATGTTGAGAGGGGTGTCTTTGTACTCGGCCAGGATCTCGCGGTACGGTTCGTAGGCGTTCTCGCCCTTGGCTCCCCTCCGCTCAAACCCTTGTTGGCCATAGTCTTCTGAGTACTGCGGCTCGTAGAGCTGGTAAAAAAAGGACGAGAAGGTGAAGACGCCCTTGGGCGCGACCGAGCGCTCCAGGAGGCTGTGGCAGACGAACACCACCTCCGTCACATAGCGCTGGAAGAAGGGGGTCGCGCAGATGCGCGCGAAGCGCGACAACGAGCCGTGGGTGGCGTACACGTACAGCCTCGTGAACTTCTTGCCCAGGACCGAGACGACGAAACTCTCCCAGATCTTGGGGAGGGCGGAGCGGAGCGCGAGGATGTCCTGCTCGTCCAGGAGGTCGGTCACCATCATCATGAGCTCGGCGGGCATCTTGGTGGTGAAGTAGTCTTTCTTGGGGGCTTTCGCCCCCGTCTTCGACCTTCCATGGTCGGCAAGAGGTCGTTGTGGTGGTGGTCGGAAGGAGAAGGTTGGGGATGGAAGGCAGAAGTTCAGGGGAAAATAGTCAAAACGCGCTAAATTTGGCCGCCGTGGCAACGAGGTGAGATTTGTCCTTCAGTTCTTACAGATAAGGCAGCTCACTCCACTCAAGAGCACAAAACTAACATAGAAGAGAATAGAAATCTCGAAGGCGCGTTTTCATTCAGTAGAGCGTATACGACGCTCCCTCTCACGGTAAAAGATCACCCAAGCGCTTCTTGCAGTGCTTCTCCTGATCCTCGCTCTCCTCGTCATCAAAAAACAACATCCAGGCCTCACGGGCCCTCACGTCAACCAACATCCCCGCGTCAAGCTCATTCGCCAGCGCCTCGCACGCCTCCCAACAGTCCGACGCAAAGAGATCCCACACGGATCGATCCGACACGAGCAGCTTGTAGATGCTGCGACGGTTCTTCTCGCCGATGGCGTAGAGCCAGGCCTTGAGTTGGGGAAGCGCGCCGGCCTTGCAGTAGGAGCCCATGAAGATGTTCCTCTTGTAGTAGAGTGGGAGGGCGTCGGCTCTGATGCTGCGGCTGGCTTGGGTGATGGCCGGTTGTTTGCGGCGGGTGATGGCGGTGGTGGTGTTCCATTCGTTGATGGGGATGTCTGGGAGGCGGCTGTTGCAGCGGCGGGTGATTTGAATTGACTCGTCTTCGGTCACGGCCAGCTCGATGATGTGGAGGTGGAGCTCGACGGGCAGGTCGAGGAAGTTCTTGGGTGGTTTGGTGGTGGTCTGTACTGCTGTTAGTCTCTGCTGCGGATAAAGGGGTTAGGGATAGACTTACGGTGTTCTGAGAGGACGTCTTGACGGCGTAGCCTTGTTTGATGAATCTAGTTTTGTGATGTCGATGTCGATGTAGTGAAAGTGAGAGTGAGTTAGATCTAAGAGCGAAGGCACGACGGCACAGGTCCATTTATGTTTCGCCCCTTTTCACTCTCACCTTCACTTGTAGCTTTACTTCTTGTTTTACTTCTTCCTTCACTGCTAACATCACTTCTAACATCACTTCTGCATTTACTTATGCCTCACTTTACTCTTCACTCTAGCCTTCACTGTGGAGTTCATTTGAGCCCTCGCCTGCTACGTGACCCTATTGTTGCCATATCAGCTTTGCGCCTGAGGCGCTAGCATGGACTCGCGACAGACGCTTCCCCTCGATGTGCCTCCCAGGAACGATACCACAACAATCTCCTTTAGTCTCTCTTCGTCCCACGGATCGATGAACAGGCAGACTCCCATAGATCCGTAGGCACATGAATTGGACGGGAGGATCGTCCTCTTTTCTTCCACGAACGAGGTCTTCCTGACTATCCTGCTATCCTCCTACTTCCCATTACTGAATATTCTGACACGCAATAGATCTTAGCATGGATTTTCGTTCCGGCAGGGACATACTTGAGCTAGAGTCAGGGACACTGCGTACGGTGTTGTGGGGGAAAGAGGGAATGGGGAAGGCTGATCACTATATTCCGGAGGTTGTTTGTTCACAGTCGAGCACTTAAACTTGAAGGTTGTTGCACAGGTAATTTAGGTCGGATGATGGGGAACTTGTGACGGATAAGTGACGATCGTGGAAGGCTGAATGATGGTTGAAATTCCCACAGCCAGGAATACTGCTCAACAGTTTGGACGAGCGAGTCGACCTCATAGCCAGACCGTAAAGACATCTCCTTCTACTCAAGAAACCGCATCCCACCCAACCTCAACCCTCCCCTCCACACACCCCCAAAACTCCTCAATCACCTTCTCCCTCCCCTCCCCGCCCCTCACAGCCATATACCGCCTCTGATCCACACTCGGCTCCCAATCCCCCTGATGCGCACCCACCATCCTACCCCCCGCCTCCTCCAAAATCACCCAACCCGCACAAACATCCCAGGCCCAACATCCCGTCTCCCAATAAACATCCAGCGCCCCGTTCGCCACACCACAGAGATTCAGCTCCGCAGACCCAAGACTGCGAATCCCGTGCACCATCGCGCCGCCGATTTCCTTGCTCCCCGCGAGTTTCCGAAACGTCTTCGTCTTGACGTCGTAATCATTCCCATCGCGGTCGGAACCCCACTCCACCGCGACGAGGCAATGGCTCAGGTCCTGCAGGGGTTCTGGATCGCGGAGGGGGAGTTTGACGCGGTCGTGGAAGGGGTCCGTGAATTGGGAGCCTTGGCCTTTGATGCCTGTGTAGAGGGCTTTGGTGAACGGGTTGTAGATGACACCGACGACGGGCTTCTTGTCGATGGCGAGGCCGAGCGAGACGCACATGTAGGGGTAGCCGTGGAAGAAGTTTGTGGTGCCGTCGATGGGGTCGACGATGAAGGTGGGCTTGGACGTGAGGGTGTCGCCGGGTTGGTACGTTTCTTCGCCCATGAATCTAAGATCCAGCGTGGTTAGCTCTCGAGCTCGTTCCGTTCAATGCCTTTGAGGTTGGGTCGTACTCGAAATCAGGGGACTTCGCCTTTAACTCCGTTGAGACCATCTTTTCGACTGCTTGATCTGTTTCTGTGACGAGATCTGCCGAGTTCTTCTTCGTGCCGTGGCCTGCTGCAGCTGGCTTTGCAGATGTGACCATATCGCCCGCCTTGTAGGCGATTTGGATTAGGCTATGGCTCGTTAGTCGTGACGGATCTTTGCAACTTGCTAAATGCGTGACTCACAAGTCGTGGACTTCCCGGAGATTTACTGCACTCATCTTGCCGGTATTGCCTGTTGTTGATCGATCAGGAGAGCCAACAGAAATTGGGACATCGGTGAGGTGAAGTCCGGAAACTTTGATGACGTAAGAATCCAAGACCACGAGCGAGATCAGTTGGACATTCGAGGATCAGTCGATGCCAGAGCTACAAAAACGATACGAAAATTCATGCACCGACATCCATTCTACTTTTACTCGACATAAGCCTCCCAATGATCCATCAAGTAACCCCAAAACAAAACAAAAAGATCCGAGAATCGAAATCTTTCACGAGAGGCCGAGGGTATCCAAGAGCGTTCAACAAACCGAGCACTTTTTTTCGCCCATCGAACACCACATAGCTCGTACTGAAATCATAGTAATCGTTTCCTCTTCCGCTCATCGGGACCGCCTTCGTCTTCTCCTTCCCGCTCTGCTGTATCAGCTGGGTTGAGTAAAGAGTGTACGTTGCTCGCCATGCTGCTTCGACGCGTTGGAGGACCAGGCGTTTCGAGTCCTTTGAATGGGAAACGCGCACCTGGTAATTGCCAGCCAGCATCGTTACTGTTCGCGTAGCTGCTGCCAAAGCTGTTCGTATTAAAGCTCGGTGGACCTGTATCGTGAGGAGGAGCTGGTGACGGTTGCCTGGATCCGGCGTTGGACACTCTGGGTAGTTCGTACTGCGCGAGCGCGTCTCGGATCTGTTGATCGCCAGGATTTGTGGGAGCTCGAGGGGAAGACGGCCAGGCAGATGATGACTGCCCAGAGGCGTATGGTGATGTACCTTGTGGGTTGTACGATTGAGGGGGCTGACCACCCTCCCAGCCCTCCAATCGAATGTCGGCAGAAGTGTGTCGACGAGGAAGATTGGAAGGCGGCGAAGTCATAGTAGCAAGCGGATGTTGCTGTTGTGGTTGAGGAGGCGGTGGTGGTGGAGCTGGGTAGTTCGGTCGAGAAGGTGAGTATGCGCCGCTGCCCGTGCCGATTGAGCCATAGCGACGAGGGGAGACTTGGAGGTAAGATGGAACAGGTGCTCGAACACCAGCAGGTCGTGGCAGACCTGGTAAGCCTTGGAAGGAAGGTCTTCGAGACTCGTCGAATGGCCTCTGCCGTGGGGACATTGGCATTGGAGGCTCCAAAGGCGCGTTGTTCGGTTGGAAGAATGAAGGCTTATGTGGGAATAGTGGCTCGCGTTGCTCTTCAACCGTTCGTAATTGATCGATGTTGCGAGCGATGTCCTGACGCATAGCATAGACGTCGCGATGGATTGGATTATCCGGGTCTGGTACCATGGCTAGTAAATGCGAAGACAATTCGTTGTTCCAGTGGTGGCACCTTGCCAGTCCATCTAGAAGTGTCTGATACTTGGCGGTCATTGCCCCGTAGGCTTCCTCTGTACGTGCCAGTCGTGAATATGCATCGTGCATGTTCCACTCGAGTATCCCCAGGCGAGTCTCGACCGGATCAGGCATAGGTTCCATGGGAGTTCCAGGAGGTTGTGGAGTCGGTAGCTTGGGTGCGCTCGAGAAAGAGTCGCGATGTATAAGAGCATGTCTGGAAGCCCTTCGCTTGATCTCTCGCAGTCCGATCAAATCTCCTCGCTTGAAGTTGCCGGCACCGTGTTTGAACTCCCATAATGGCGAGTCTGGAGACCCTGTGTGGAAAACGTCGCTCACTGCTCGTGTGTCAGGTCGATCGCAAGTACCTCATCTGTTCAAACCCACCTTTATGAAACCCATACATGTTCAATTGACGAACAAAGGAGGAGATGTTGGTATGCTTGAAATATTGCCTGCCAAATCGGTCAGTTGCAATCCACGTGGTATAGAGTTCGATGGACGCACGCTAGGACTTTCGAGAACTCGGAAGATGGCGACATAACGAAGCTTTCGTTGGAGTTGGACCATGAGATGAGGTGTTGTATGCTGGTGTCTTCTAGCATGCTGTCCTGTTGTCAGCGATTGGGGAAATACCACCGTCTCGCGAGCGAACGCACTTGTATAACTTGTGTATGAATGCAGTCTGGACGACCTTGGGTTGCTGAGCAGCCGCCGCAGCTCCCACAGGTTGATGTGTTCCTCCATTTGATGTCTGTTGATTCTCACTCTGCCCCTGTTGCTGCTGCTCTTGTGTCCTGTCGCCATTCGGGCTGCTCGTGGGCGGGCCCATAGACGAAGGCTGCGATTGACTGACGTCCATTGGATCCCCTGCCGCAGTCACGGATGCAGAGGGCAAGATAGGTATGGATTTGGGTAGGCTAGGGTTGAAGGCTCGGTGGTCGGCTGCGAACGGGTCTCTTCTGAAGGGCTCGCCGACGGATGCCATTGAACCAGATCAAACGCTCTGTGGAAGCGCAGAGCGAGTATCTGCTGCGTACGTGGCCGCGATAAAGAGGGCCAAGATGGCAGCACGACTCGCGAGCAGCTCTTTTCAATGCGGATCCAGCTCTTGTGGGACCGTTCGCGTGTGCCCTGGTTTAGCTCTCGAACCCGGCCCAGCAGGAGATCAAGCCATCTCCAGGCTCCCCCGATATGCTACGCTTCGGCCCAGATGCCCGATTCCGTAAAGAAAAGCAGATGGAGTTGGACGACAGAGAGCGGTGTTGAGGTGCGGTCGCAAAGGACAAAGGGTTGTATAGGAGCGTTGCGAGATAGTCTAGGGATTCGCCGTCTGGAGGTGCTTTGTGGGGTTCCGGGAGAAGGGTACTATACGGTCCTATCCTCGTCGCAACCGGGTTGGGTCGACGTAGCCGGTGTGCGGGATACCAATGCTGGAAAGAACGATGTGTGCTTGAAAGTGAGGCGTGCTTGGCCGGACGGGCGTGCGAGGGGAGGTGTGGAAGAGGAGAGGAGAGGAGATGGTGTTGGTGTTGGAGCTCTCGAGTCCTTTCCCATCCCACACCCTTGGCGAGGTCTCCAGAAAGCAGTGATCGGCGGTCGCGTAAAGGGGCTAGGTATTCTCGACGACGGCCACCTTTTGTCCCTGCGCGTGTCGAAGCACTCCTCCGGAGTCATTCACCCAGAGCTCCACCGCAATAATAAAATAGCAGCAATAGCAGCATCCGAGTCTGGCTCGCTATACCGGACGTGCATTGCCAGACCAGCAGCGTGAGCAGCGTCCTCCGCAGCCGGACCACTCACCACACGACCCAGCCTGTCGGAACGTGGCTGCGTCTGTGTCCTACCCAAGGCGCAACGGGGAACAAGCCCTCATGCAACTCGGTGTCATGTCCAGATGAACCGCCATATCTGCGACTGATATTGTTCGGTACCAGCACTCTGGGTGTGAGACAGCCCTCTTACACAACACGTGGTCCGCCTCCGAATCGCTTCACCGCAACTGGAAAATGCAGATTGCCTGGGACCTGTCGATGGGACACTTGATGCGCGACGCTGTGCTCGCATAGACAACGCCAGGCACATCTGATATCCACTGCACCTCTTACCCGACATCTCCAACATTTACGCCATGGCCGAAATCCCCCGGATCATGGCGGGTGTCACCAACAAGCAAGACCGTTTGGCCATGTATGCCTCTCTTCCTCATCATTTTGTAGGTATGCAATGCTGATGACGAACCTGTAGGTTGGAGGCTCTCGTCGATGATCTCACTGTCGAAGAACGACGTGCAGTTTCAACCTTTCTCTGCCGAAAGAACGACCCGCTGCACATCTTGCCGATCGAGGTCGTCATCCAAATCACCACATACTTGCGATTCGAGGATGTCTGGAGATATCAATCGGTCTCGAGGCAGTGGCGGTTCATCCTATCCACCGACGAAGTGTTGAAATCGGCGGTCGCGAGATGGTATACCCACAGCGCAGAGGACAGCGCACGAAGCTCAGGCACAACGCCCCCAAGAGCAAAGGCGATTCACATCCAGGCCCTGCGAACCGGCTTACCTTTCACTACAAGAATTATCGAGGCACCTTATAAGGGAGACCGCGGTGTGGATGTCGTCACATCGCAAGTCGATCAATCATTCGCATTGAAAGGCCACAGGATTGCATACGCAAACCAGCCTTTTTATGACAGCCCGTACGTCACTGTTCACGATTTGATCTCCGGAGAGAAGTCACATCACCGAACGACTGCAAGAGAGCATGTTTGCTGTATTACCTTAACCTCGACCCTCATCGCCTACTTGAACTTCCAGGGAAAGCTTTATGCTCAGAGTCTATCTGATACGTCCCTCGACCCAACACAACTACGATTGCCGTCATCATCCTACTCTGCGTTCACCGCAGATGGGGACTTTTGCGCCATAGCTTTCGAAGCCTCGCACGAGCAGTACACCGTCGCCTTGTACGATCACCGTCAACAGCATTTGAAAGAGCTGGTCTTCCCCTGCCCGCAGCTCCATGGTCGCGAGGACCACGAGGTCGCGTTCCCAGTCGCGATGCTACTCAATGCGAAAGAGGAAACCATCGACATGTTTTGCGTTCGCATGCTAGCAGTGGACGAAGCTCCTCGACTGCACGACGTCTATTTCGAGCACAGACGCTACTCCTTCGCCGGAGACGAATTGCACGCATCACACTACCACAGAACAGCCATCGGACCTATGAAGCGTCAGCACCACCTCCCGTGCGCCGACATGCATCCAACGGGAGACGAAGGAGTCTACCTCTTCCGCGCATCCATCATGTACGCCCACACCAAGGACTTCCAGCACAGTCTTCCCTTCAACATCGTCCTCTGTTTCGACCGTCGCAAAGGCCAGCTCGAAGAACGATACTTCACCGGCGAGATCCTCGTGCCACGAACTGTCGAAAAAGGCTACGACCCCGATGAGCCCATTGACTTCATCCTCTGGAAAGACACGCACATCCGCGCCCACCCGGGCCATCTCGAATTCAGCACGGAGAACGCAGACGTCCAGGCCTCACTATCCCTCGACGAAGATCGGTAGCACTATCCCAGCATCATCTCGCACCCCATTACACGATGTACTAACATATGCCACTCCCAGGTACGAGACGCTCGAAGCCAACTACGACCCTCGCAACCGGCGCTTCTTACTGCCAACATCGACCAACTCCTCCCCACGCGACCACAACCTCTTCATCAACGACACGTTCCTCGTCCTCGTCACGGAGGAATTTTTCAAAGGCACACGTGACATCTACGTCTATTGCTTCGACCCTGGACTCGAGTGCGAAGGCTTCGTCGACGCTGGCGTACGGTGATCGAACGTTGGAGCTCCGGCGGTCTCGTTGTCACGCAGCACGTTCAGAAGGCATACGCGACATCTACGTCTATTGCTTCGATCCTTAACTCGAATGCGAAGGCTTCGTCGACGCCGGCGGTGTTTTCCTCTTGGCTTTACAGCCGTCGTAGCGCAAGCAAGCAGATCTTGCGTCGCAGAGAATGGTAGGTCCACCTACTACCGATGATGCTTATTCTCTGACAAGGGGTGTCGAAATCGATCAAGATGAATGTAAGGAATCCAATCAACGCGAAAGGTTTCTTGACGTTTTTATTTCCTTTTTGGAATTCTCTTTCTTTCTCTATCATCAAATCGAGCTCCCAGTCGGTGCCCTTCTAAACAAGGACCATATATAAATTTGTGGTATCATGACTTTTTCTCCCTCTCTTCATATTTTAATCCCATAGGGCAACGAAGACACCCTCCCATCACCCATTCATCACCAAGTATCCACGCGGCTCTCATCCAACTCCTCTACTCAGCGCAACATACCTCCTTCAAAGCCCGCCCACCCCTCACGAAGCCTTTTCCCCCTTCCCCTCCCCCTCCAAATCCACAACCTTGGTACAAATCCACGTACTCGCATACATATTCACGCGATCCGTACACGTCCCGGGCGGCACTCTCGCCGCAACCCTCTTGGGGCTAAACCCACACTCCTCGAACGTCTTCATATACCAAGGGTTCAAGCCGCTGCTCCTGATCAACACTCTGCCGCCGAGTTTCATCGCGCGGTTGACGGCTTTGCATTGCGCGGGGGCTTCGGGGCCGGAGGGCGTGAACCAGTCCATGCTGTCCATCAGGACCGCGATGGTGAGGGACGAGGGCTGCATGTGTGCGAAGACTTCGCTGAGTTCGTCGGTGTGGATGCGGAGGTTGTCGAGGGCGCCCGGGGTGGAGAGTTTGGTGTGCGATTTGGGCTGGAGGTAGGTTGGGTGGCAGCGGGGGGTGTAGTGGCCTAGAGGTGATGTGTTAGTGTGCTGGTCTCGTTCTCGGAGTGTGGAAGGTTGATATGCTTACCCAAAAGACACACGAGGTAGTAATGGTTATCCTCACTCAACAGCGTCTCGTTCGCCACTGGATCCAGCGTCTGCACGCCGTAGTTCCAAATCGCCTGTCCACTCTTCGTGGCACCGACATTACCAGGCTCACCAGTGCCGCTCTTCTCGTCCACGCTCGCAGGGTCGGTCTTACCACTCAACTGGAGCTTGAAGTCCTCTTCAATCATAGCCCTCTGCTCCCCTGGAACACCGAGAGCCTTCCACAAGAACCTCTCCGATCCAACGACGAAGTAGGCGAGGAGCTGAGAAAGGAGCACGCGACGAACACGCTTCGTCCAGATCTCGCGCTGCTCGGCCAGAGTCTCAACTGAGCACAGTCGGCGCATGTCGTTTCGTACGCCGAGCATGCTGCCGAGCCATGCAACGAGTCTGATCGCATGGCGGCTGCCACCGGTGTAGTAAAGACCGTTACCGCGTGGGCTGAAAGTCGATGGGCCAACATGGAGCCAGTAGTCGAAAGCGTGCGATGAAAGATGGGGAGAGAGCTTGTTGAGGAGCAAGTTGTGGAAGTCCTCATGCTTGCCCTCACCAAAGAGCTTCCAAGTATCCTCGTACGACAGACCGCGGAATGCCGCAACCTTGAGTTCGAGCAGGTGGTTCTGAGCTGGGTTCAAGTCGACCGCGTGGATACGCTTTGGACGTTCGGTGGCGTAGCTGAGGATGTTGTCGCCAGCAGAAGTGATAGCGAGAATGACATCTTCGGAAGTAATCTTCAACAGCCGCGAATCCATGCGAGAGTCTTCCCATGTGAAAGCGTAGATGTACTCGTCGTTGAACTGGCGGTGCTTCTGCAGGGTATCGTCGTAGTAGACCCTCGTCTTGTTGTTCTGGTAGTACGCAGCTGGGAGAGGCAGGCTCGCGGAAAGGTTCACCACAGCACTCTCATATGCCTTGCTCCTTCGCTCGGCGCTGGAACTCCTGCGAGCCCGTCGTGGAGTTAGGTTCTGAGCGTGAATATCCAAGGCTTTGATGAATGGGCTCTCCGTAACTTCAGCATCCACCGTAGCCAGCTGGCGCATTGGGTTGATCGTCGTCCTGGTGCATCCAACAAAAATGTAGTATGGAATGCGGAAACCCATGAGGTGGCATCTTCGGTTGGTGCTGATGATGGTACCGAACTTGTACTCGATGTAGTCACGACGGGCGCCTTCGAGGTTGACTCGGTCCAACTCGAACCAGGTTCTCCAGAAAACACGGCTGATCCACATGCAATGCCTGTCAATGCTGCCTCCAGTGTAGTTACGACCAGCGAATTCGATCTTGTTCTGAACGTAGAAATCGACCACACCGACGATACCATTTGGCGCCAGGAGATTGGCTACGCTGTCAATGGCCGGGTGGAACTCAGGAATCATGCTCAGGCTGTAGGACATGGTCAAGACATCCGCACCAACACTGTCACGTGTGTCCTCTTCGTAGGCCGCGCGACCGATGCTGAAGTCCCGCTTGTCGTCCTCAACACCAGCCTCGTAATCCGCCAGACGGAACGTCCTAGCATCCTCACAGATGACGTGGATGTTTTTCCAACCCAGACGCTCGAATCTCTTGCGGGCGATCTCGCACAACGAAGTGCTCAGATCGACGAGGTAGACGGCATGGAAGAAGTTGGGCACATCGATCTGCTGACCCATCTGCTCAATGTTCCAGCCAGTTCCGCCTCCAATGTCCACCCAGATGGGCTTGTTGGGGATCTGGCCCGTCTCACGGCGGTGCTTGACCTGAGCAGCTACCAGAGCCAGCATGTCTTCTCTTCCTTGAAGCAGCCTCGTGCGGGTGGCATCGTAGATGTTGGCCTGGGACTTGTAGAAGCTCTCGAGGGCGTCCTGCTGGTTGCCGGTATTGTCGCCGGTGTGCGGCTTGAAGAAGCAGGAGTAGGCGAACTGGAAGAACTGGTAGAAACCAGTGCCGGCTTTCTTGAGGGCGCTGAGTTCGGTGAAGAACATCAAGAACCACGCGAGCAGGAAGATGACGCCGCCGATGGTGGCCAGGCTCAACTGGCTCGTGGGGTTGGCCAGCATGTCGCTGAAGGTCGACGAGAGGGATGCCATGGTTGGCGAAGGGGAGGAGAGAGCTCGCGTGAGAGCGGTCTCGTAGAGCACACGATGGAGGAGAAAGACAGCAGGGAGGCAGAGGAGGGATCAGGCTACGGAAGAGACAGGAAGAGGAATACTTGGGGGAGGGAGGGTAGCTTTTACCTTTTTGCCAGGCGGTATGCATCTAACACATGCAGCGAGGAAAGATCCGCGCTGCTCGCTGGCTAGTAGCTGTAGCCTGCTGCTGCCGCCGTGAGGTGATCCAAGAGCCGCCGTCTCCGCCGGCCAAACGAACAAGTGTCCCTGTGTGCAGGAGACTAGTTCAGCCGAAGAAGCAGCAGACGCTGCGAATAGAGGGAAGCACGCCGCAACATTGATTCGAATTGATTGAAAGGCGCACCGAACCCCACGGCAGCATTGAGGCCAGATCGTCACAGCAATGCGTGCCCCGCCGCCCAAGCACAGGGCCCTGGTCGCTGCACGTCAATAATGCGGTTGGGGCAGTCGACCCACGAGCCATTGGCGACGCCTCTGCCCCCAATCACGCCCGCCAGAGACAACGCATGCCACCATCCCAAGCTCCCGACACGCTCTCGTGCAATCGTCGACGACAGCGCGATTCTCGCGTGCATCCACCACACCCGCAAGCGCACAGCGAAAAAGACTGGGGAAATTATTTCTCGCCCAAGCTGTTGCGTCGCCGTCCCTGCAGATGCGCTGAGCTTCCGCCAATGAGCGGCGGCGAGATTGCTGCGTGGGCGACTTCACTTGCTGCTGATGCTTCTCTACGCCCATCCTCTCCGAGATACAGCCTTGACGCTGACCAAGTACCGGCACGAGGAGAAGGTTGCGCAACGCCAACTTCGGGTGCTGCAGGGTGGGTGCGAATGGGCTGGTGATGCTGCTAGTGGGAGTCGATCGAGGTTGAGACCGCCGAGGATCGGATGAGATTTGAGACGAAGACGGGAGAGTGCTTTTCTCTTGTACCAAGGCGCTCCCTCTTGGGAAGATGCGCTTCGATTTGGAGAAGCCCTCGTTTCAAGACTCACCGCAAGCAGCATGTGCGGCGGTCTGGCCTTTGCAAGGGTAAAGTAGGTTGAGATCTGGCAATGCTAATCTTGTCAGGCCTCGCCCAACGCACGCGACAGCGAGCATTGATCACGCGAGACTCGTCGATAAGGCTCGCAAGTCGGCAGCGAATCCATATGCCAGAGGGCGAGAAGGGAAGAGAGAGACCGAAAAGAAAAAAGAGAACTCGACGGTAACTCACCAGTGAACAACATCACGCCAGGAAATGCACCATCGCTGGATTCTCATTGCCAGTTACCGCTTAGACGTCAGCAAGAATATGGACGAATGAGAGACGTGTCGTTCGGAATCATAGAAGAAATATACACTCGATGCCACAGATGCTACGCTCGTGGGCTGCGATATGACCGATTGACCTCTAGATCAGCCGGATCACACAGGAGCTGCCCACTCGGCGCACACATGGGATGTCACATCTCATATCCATACCCCCCTGGAACATCTTTGCGTCCGCTGCTGCTTCCGCTCCATACAGAGTCGAGAAGTAAGCACACCGGCGGTAGGTGTCCCGACGGCCGGAATCGTCAGCGGGTCGCAGCAGCAGCCCGTGCACATCGGGAATCTCCTGCGTGGCCCCAAACATATGAACTGCCGACGCGAGATATAGTTCAGACCCTTCCAGGTTCGCGGAGTCCCTGGAAGCATCCCAAACTACAGACAGAGTCATCTTGTTCGTCTCGCCGTCGGGTCCCAGGAAAGAGAAGATACGACTTTCGAACGCGGACGGCATGCTCCAATCCCGGGTGACCGTGACCTTGAATAGGTCGCATTTTAGAAGCAACGACGCATTCCTCACCTCGCTCATCTCGTCTTCTGACGCAAGCTCCAGTGCGACGTCTAGCACCTCCCAACGGTACTCCAGTGCCATGACCTGCGACGGCATCGATACAGTCCCCACGATCGATGCCCATGACCAGCTTGGCGCTATGTATGTCTCTACGCAGCGCGAAGGATGATCAACATCATGCACGAAGGTACTCGTACTCCATAGCAACGCCTTCTCGAGGTCGTTTCTCCACATGCCTGCCACATATTGCGTTCTGACGAAAGGAGAGAAGACCTTGGCGATACCAGCTAGGGCGACGAGTTTGTCCTTCGACTGCGTGAGCGAGCACCGGGAGTATGACTCGATGATACGGCCCCACGTTCGATAGACCTCCCGGCGGCCGGAGATGTCTTTCGCGTGCTCAATCGTTTTGAGATGTTCCACAAAGTTGGCCGAGATGCCATGTGTTTCTGGCATCCGCCAGAAAATGCCTCCGGGAGAAGACTCGGCAGCTGCCATTTCGGCACACTCCCAGGTGACTTGGTTTCTTCCGAACTGCAGGGTGCGTTGAGCCAGCAGTCGTTCCTGAAACACCCAACCCCGCAAGTTCAGTGGCGCGTTGCCGACTTCTGCATCCCAAAGCGAGTCATTCGTGAGGTGGTAGCGCTTGTCCATAAGGTCGATAGTAGTCGATATGGTAGGTTCGTGGAGTACCAAAGGATTGCGCTCAACAAACAGGCTACATGTTCCATCACTCGCGGCGGCGGCGGAGATGTTCAGGAGGGCCTTCGAATAAACCTTATCCATTTGAAGCGACTCTTTTCGCCAGTCACTTTCATCGTCGGCATCTTGTCTAATGCAAAGCGCGTCGATCCACAGGAGATATATTCCAAGGCGTGCGCAAACAGTTGCGGCATCTCTGAACACGCGAGGCATACTTGAAATAGGGAAGCCATTTGACATAGCCTTGTGCGTGTGTGTGGTCAGGAGAAAGGTTGGCATGTTCTGCCATCGATAGCTGAGGGTCAGATATGCACCAATGCAGACGTTCTCTGCCGTCTCAAGAACGCAAGCTCGCTGACGAGCGTGATCGAATCTTATCAGCCTCGATGGATACCACGACTGCTGCGGGTCAACTTTGCACTTGGGGTGTGAAGTCATGCATGTCTCGATCCACCCGGCAATCATATCCCAGGTCTCATCTGATGAAGTGTTACGATGCAACGGCGTCATCGGTGTCCCATCAAGTACTGCTGGGGATCAGTCGGTCGTAGGTCCACCTATCAGTCCACTTACCATGGGATTGGCTGTCTACAGGCGAGACGTTGAACATGGCAAAAGGGCGCGAAGATATCGACCTTGGGATGTTGTTGCCATGAATGAAGAATTTGTAGTCGTGCCGGCTGGTCCTGACGAAAGAATGCACGGCACAAGGCGACGTCTTGGAGTCAGCCTGGCTGAGTTGGCGATGCTGTACATCGGAGAACAAGTTGCAGAACGCAAAGCATAGTGGACATCCTGCGTCGGCGGCCTCCTTCAATCGTGCAAAGGTAGCGTGATGAGGCTGCTCTTCCGTGATATCGGGAAAGTCGCGGAATGCTCCAGAGCAGACTTGACAAAGCATCTTGTGCTTGTTTTTTGGATTTGGACCGCTGGAGTTGACATCACGTCGTTTTAGAGGTCTGTGGAGCCAGACTCCCCAGTTGTGCGGCTGTGCGGTTGTGCGGCTCCGCCACACGAGCTGCACGATTGTGATCGTGTCATTCATCGTCGCCGACGTAGCGGAGGAAGTCGAGCCTGCCGATTACTTGGATGTATCTCAAGATATGGTCTATGAAGACCGTCTCTTGAGAACAGGTGTAGTCGAGTTCAATTTGCAATTCCTTTGCAAACTCGTCGCCAAACGCGAGGCAAGTATATATACGATCTCTCTGGTGGATGCACCACTTGCAAGGACGCATTCGCTCTAGAACATGGACATGAGTCTCTGTATTCTGCCTGCCAGAGGCATATTCCCAGTAAACTCAATTCGATGGAAAAGCCTCTTGCCTTGAGGGTGGTGATCGTAAAGGCCCCAGGAGGAAAAGTGGATAGCAGTGACCAAATTACGGAATGAGGTCTCCAGCTCACCGCACTTGACCGTGGCAGATTCTCTGCCAATCCTGACCTCCTGCCATACTGAAAGACGCTTAAAGTAGTCTCGCTCAAGGAGGTGTGTGAATGCCCAGAGTTCTGCTTCCTTTACGAGCGAATCCAGACTGGCTCACCGTTTGCTTCCGCAGCAGCAACTTGGCCGGTACCTACATTGACCTCAACAGTACGCCCGACCGTCTCGATCCAGTCAATCGCTCGTTCGCTATCATCCGCAGAAGTTCCCACCCAAACGATCACGCTTGAAGCCTTGGAGTAGATCTTGGTGAGCATCGACACCTGCCGGCCCTTCTCCAGGAAATCGGCCTGATTGATATATAGGAGACGGACTGGTGATGCTCTTCAAGTCAATCATGATGTGAAAGTGTGGGAAGATGGAAATATTTCTGTCGTCGAATCTGTGGAATTGAACGCTCGCTCTGTCCAGCCCATGCATGTGTTGATAGTACAGAATGTATCGCGTACACAACTCCAATCCAATGCTTTACTTTTTGGAAGCATCGTATCGGGCCTTGCCAAAGTCCCAAGGCACGTACCTGTATCGAATGTCAGCCTACACTCTTCATCTCTCGTGTAGTACTGTTGACTCACCTGTACTTGATCATACTCTGGATCTGCCTCCTCATGGTCAAAAACACCAGAATCAACCAATACACCACCAGCACCGGCCAGAACACCGGCAGGTTGAAGATCTCGCTCCAGCTGCACAGAAACGCCAGCCCGATCGCCCTCGTAGCCGAGTGCCAGAACTTGAACTCAGGCAGTCTCCGCACAAACGGCTTGAACTCTTGATCGTTCTTCGTCGGCAGCGCCGAGTCTTGTCCTGCAGGCACGCCATCTTCCATGTCCGTATCTTGCTCGAGCGAGGGGTCGAATTTGGGAGAGATGAAGGCGAGGAAGAGGTTGAGGAGGTAGATGCCTAGCGCGTAGGCGACTGTACATGTGTTAGCTCTTTCTCCGTCTCTATCGTTTTGTGGTTATCTCTTCCATACCGATGTACCATCCTTGCGCGAACACTATGCGTAGGCCGAACAGGAGGAACAGGGCGCCGGTGCCTGCCCAGCGGTAGGCGATGAAGGGAGTGGACTTGTCGAGGTAGGTTTGGTACAGCTTTTGCATCGTCAGTCTACTCCATCTCATTGCACTCATTTGCGCATATTCTCCATGTTCTCACCATCTGCAGCCGACTGGTATGGGCAGACACTGCCGCAAAGGGCGTGTCCGGTTCGGGAGCGTCCATTCAGGCGTCAATTGGCGGTCCCGTCAAATTCTTGAGGATTGCGCAGAGTATGGAGGTGATGTGGGTGGTTTGCGCAATGCGGTGAGGTCGAATGATGGCGGTTGTCGAGATGGCGAAATCGCTTCTCGCGTTTCTCAATCTCAACGTGTCGCCCTGAGAAAGCTGCGCACTGCCACAGAAAGCCCGTGCTGATTAAGGTTTCAGCCTCCTGCAGCTCCCTTCACGTGTCGGGAGCGCGAGGCCGCGGCTCGGCCAAAGCTTTCTCCGCAAGTTGGCTTGTGAAAGACGACCTCATGTCTGGCTCATATCGAGTTATAGTAACGACGGCTGTACTTCTGATCATTTCTAAAGCAACTGCCTGCCGCGGGGACTGAAAATCCCAGCTTGCACGACTTACGCGGCCAGCGACCGTCCTCTCGTTCGCATACCTTTGCACGCGCCGAATGAGATCTCTTTTGTGCATTCTGCTAGACTATGGATGTACTATTGAACCTCTAATCCTCGTGAACTTTCAAAGACGAACGAAATCGTGTGACCCTGGATACTGATTTTCTACTGGCCAATAGCGGCCAGTTGAACTGTCATGAACGCCTGAACCGCACTGCCCACTGTCGTCAGGAACGCGCTCCATGCTGTAGGAACCTTCAGGTACAAAGGGATAGCCACCAAGGAGCTAACCAGTGCGACAATGGTTGGCACCATCCATGTCCACATCGGCGAAGTCACTTTACTCCAGAGAGCGGAACCTGCAATCAACAACGAGAACCATTGCATGATGCTGCCTTGGAGCAGCAACCAGAAATCGGCGTCTCGGGCTGTGCCAGGCTCTGGGCTAGAATATTTGTATGCGAGCGCAAAGGTGGCACTGTTGCACGTCATGGCGAAGACGGTGAGCCAGAGGGTCCAGTAAAAACGGTTGCCCTGCGTCAGTGGATTAGCACCTCTGTGTTATAAGACTATTCAACTTCGTACCTTCTTCTGATCCAGTATCTTGGAGAAAGACTTCTCGGGAATTACGTCCACAATCTCATCCCTAAACCCTGTCAATGCTGTCTCTTTCGCTAATATAGACTGGCGTACCAAGGCTTTACCCTGTTTTCATTGCTCCATCTTCTATGCATGCCGTCAGACAACTCTTTCAGTATATTCCATTTCCGTCTACAAAGCTTGAACGTTGGGGTATCGATCAAGTCAACTGCAGCAGCTTTGACAAAGGATTGCGACATTTGGTGCATCGCGTCCTCCATGGACCCCAGATTCTGCTCGAACACGGTTGGGTATTGAAAGCCACCGGAAGAGTCGGGCTCAACGAGCTGCAAGATCTTTTGAGAGCTCTTAGTATACAGTAGTAACATCTTCTTGTCGGTAAGATATGTCTTCGAGAATTCCTCCTTGCCATCTTTGATGGCACCAAACTGTTGATATACTTGCTCGATTTGGTTGCATGACTGTTGAGCCTTCAATTGCTCCGCTGAATCGCCTCCAGTAGCGGGCGTTCTTATAATCAATTCGTGACAGACAAGTGCCATGTCAAGAAATATGTATTCGACTTTTGCTAATGCCTCGGCGAAAGTAATTAGGCGATCGTCCTGCAGAGGTTGCTCGGTGAATCTCGCGCTAATGACATATTTAGGAGGAGCCGCTGATTTGATGTTACAATTCTATAATCTCAGTACGACTCGTTGAAGACTTGCCAGGCAGGCCAGGTTGGTTGTACGCGACTTGTGACGCTTGAGTCCTTCTCCGGGCTTGGTCGTTTCGTAACAGATCGTGTGCCGTACTACTTGTTGCCATCGTTCGATCTAGCTAGGTGCAGATAAAAGTTGCAAGGAGTGCAAATGCCGCTTCAGTTAGGAATTGGAAACGGCGGACACTCAAGCTATAAATTAATAGACAGTCGCACACAGTTCCAGGCTCAGCAGAGAGGCCACCAATCATAGCCTTAAGTACAGATGTTTCTTTGAGGCACAGGAGGCTGTGCTGGGTCGCACCAACAGTCCCAGGCTCAGCAGAGAGGCCACCAATCATAGCCTTAAGTACAGATGTTTCTTTGAGGCACAGGAGGCTGGGCTGTGTCGCGACATCATTTAGAGAAAAGATCGATAGACCGGCGGAGCATCAATTGGCTCACAACTAGAGTTATCAGTATGCTGGCGCTCACTTGAGAGGTATGTCTCAGGGCTCACGAAAGAAGTGCACCCTCTTATTAGCAGCCTTGGCTAAGAGAAGGTGGATCGTGGCGCTTATAGAAGTCTAAGCCTTACTATGGCGTTGCGAGTTTCCGTCGCTTCCCTCTACCCATCTGCGGGATTTTTGGTCCACTTCTAGGAAGGCATTTGGCGCCCTTGGCTGGCATAGTGTTAACGAGGGGCGGGGCCGTAGCGATCGAATTGTGCAGGCGATTGGAGTAGGAGACGCAGCCTCTGAACAGGGGCGTATTCGTGTTGACGAGGGTTGGAGACGGAATAGAGAGTGGTCAAGTCGAGAAGGATGTCGCTGTCATCTCGATAGTCGTGGCTTCTCTCGTGAGCTAGCCTACATACTCTACTATATTCTCGCAATTCCTACTACACGTAAAACCCAAAAAACTACAAAGTCGAACACGAAACAGCAAAAAAGGAAATCGTTGTCTTATTTGGCTACCTAGCCCGCCCAAAAAGCAAAACAAGAAGAACTAATACACCGCTGTACTAGTTCGAAGACAGAAATTATATTTTTCATGTCTTACTTTTTCGCCGTTTGGTCGTTTGGTCGTTTCGTTCGGTTCGTGCCACTTCGGTCGTCTGGCCTGCCACTTCGATCGTCTGGCATTTCGTTCGTTCGGTCGGTCGGTCGTGTGTTGTCGTGATTCGAACCCTCCTCCCTTTCCTTCCTCCCCTCCAAATCCTCCCTGTCCCGTCCTCCGTCCTCCGCCCAACCCGCTACACCACCAACGCCGAATCTGATTCGACGAGGGGTAAAGCTTTGGGACACATATATGCCTAAGAATTGGTTGTGCTGAAGTTGCGGCGAAATCTGTCTTTAGCGTGCGCGCTAGGCTGGAGGGGGAAGGAGCGGGTTTGCGGTACCGTTTTTGAGATTTCGTACGGCTGGCGTCGTATGCATAGGGTTTGCAGTGCGGTGTGGATAGGTACGGAATTGCATTTATGTTCCTGCTCGTGTTTAATGTTCCTTCTCAGCCTCCACGAGCTAACACGTCTGTGACGTGCAGGCACTTACTAATTAGCGAGCACCGCCTCATTCATCCACGATCGAAACCATGAATTCAGATTACCGGGCGTGGATAGGGCTGAGGATTATGAAAAAGGTAGGTCTACAGCGAAAGCTAAACATCCTGTAAGTTAGCGCTTCAGGGCACTTGTGCATGAACTGCGTACAACGTACTTTGCTTCAGATCCGGACGTCTATTTGTCTCGTAATAAGAATCCTTGACTGTGGTGTTAGTAGAGAAACGTTCTGGTGGGCCCTACGAGGATGCTAACAGCTCGTTTTGATTGGCGTTGTGGATATGTCAGCGGTAGGGAGACGGGGCGATCGAGGTCGTGTGGTGAAGCGCCTTCATGTGGATGTTTTTCGACAGTCGCGGTATAAATGAGTCGAATGCCACCGGCATGTGGCCTTGTCTCCTCGCAGTAGCAAGCAACTCTTCCAGATAGCCGCAGACAACGATACATCCCTCGCCACATCCAGCATCGTCACCATGCCGTCGTCCCCAATCCTCGCGCTCTCCATCTTGTCACTCGCGACACTAGGCCTCAGCTACCCATCCCCCTTCCCTCGCGCCTGCACCAACACAAGCTTCGTCCTCACCAACCCCCTCTTCGGAGAATGGGGACAAGGCAAATACGCGCAAATCGTCAACGGCGGGAATGTAGGCCAGGCCGGCGCCTTCGTCTCATACTTCACAACCAACGTCTCCAGCGCCGCCCAAGTCTACGCCATCGAAGCCACCACCGGCCGCTGGTTCTTCACGGACCCCCAGGGAGACAAGTACTTCGCCTGGTCCGACGAATTCGAATAGCCGTCGGTCAACTTCGATCTCCTAGAGGACATCCCCGGGAAGGATTCGCGGGGTGTGACAGTATTCTGCGATGTTCCGAAGGCGAATGGGGAGACTTTCGCTTGTCGTGGGAATAATGATACTACGTTTGGACAGTTTGATGTGACGTATGGGAATCAGGGGGAGCCGATTTCGCTGGTCGAGGGGAATGCGACGGGGCCTTATCCGAGGCCCAATCCGAATCAAGAGGAGTTTGCGTATGAGGGCGGGGTGAGGATTGAGGTGCAGGGGCTTGGGTGTAGTGAGTGATTGTCGATGATGAGACTTGGTAGGGGCCAAGGGTCAATGAGTGGCCGAGGTGGTCGATTCGAAGTTGTGATACGGTCTGAAGAAATAGCCTGTAGTGAACATTCGTTGAAGAGCGGGCAAAGAGTTCGATTTCGAACGGTCTTCTCGATAATAGTTTCTTGGAATATGGTGCCATCAAGACGATGCTGTCCTAAAGAATTCGGTTAGCAAGCCTCACGATGCCGCGATCATCTCTTCGAAAAGCCCCATGACTTTGCCAGTGAATAGAAAGACTACTTGATAAGAACATGAGATAGACTCAGTCCTCACAGTTCGCATTGAAATCGCAACGAAAATGTGAGTGCAAAGAAGAAGTGAATGGACTTCCATCCTCAAGCTTGGCGTGTGACGTCTCAACCCAAGAAGGGAGGAGCATCGCGCACGAGCCATCTCCGACTGCCGAAGCTCCTCCTCAATGGCTAGCTAGCAGCCACCTACTTCCCTCCAACTTCTCACCTTGATCCTGCTGGCTTAGATCACTTTACAGCGACAACAAGATGCTGGCATCACGAGTACGACCAGCTGCCACGCAGTTTGGCAAATTCATCGTCCCTCTACGAGCACAATACTCCAGCGCAGCACCGCAGAGCTATGAGCACATCAAAGTATCGACGCCTCGACCGGGCGTTGGGTTGGGTATGCCAGGATCCCACAACGTTGAAACGTGGGAACGATATACTGATTACACACAGTCGAACTAAACCGCCCCAAAGCCCTCAACGCCCTCTTCACCCCGCTCATCCTCGAACTCAACACCGCCATGAAAGCCTTCGACCACGACCCCTCCATCGGCGCCCTAGTCCTCACCGGCTCGCACAAAGCCTTCGCCGCCGGCGCCGACATCAAAGAGATGAGCACCAAAGACTTCGCGGATGCGTACGGGGCGGATTTCATAGAATCCTGGTCGGAGCTGCCCAACACGATCAAGAAGCCCGTCATCAGCGCTGTCAACGGTCATGCTCTGGGAGGTGGGTGCGAGTTGGCGATGATGTGCGATGTGTTGTACTGCAGTGAGAAGGCGAACTTTGGACAGCCGGAGATTAAGCTGGGGGTTATTCCTGGCGCGGGTGGGAGTCAGAGGTTGACGAGGGCGATTGGGAAGAGTCGGGCGATGGAGCTGATTTTGACGGGGAAGAATTTCAGTGGACGGGAGGCGTTTGATTGGGGTCTTGCGGCGAGGGTGTTTGAGACGCCGGAGCAGTGCGTTGATGGCGCGCTGGATACGGCTGAGCAGATCGCTAGCTACTCGAGGATTGCTGTGAAGGCGGGCAAAGAGGTGGTTAATAAGAGCCAGGATCTCGGGATAAGAGAAGGTGTGGAGTTTGAGAGGAGGCTGTTCCACGGCCTCTTTGGGAGTGAGGACCAGAAGATTGGCATGCAGGCGTTTGCCGAGAAGAAGAAGGCGGAGTGGAAGCACAGGTAAGGAAAGACACCATATCAAGTGCTATAATTGTACATATACTCCCATGCCCCTGTCGTCATGTCTTACTACAAGCAATTGCCCCATCTCTTACACACTCTCGGCGTGACCATCTCACTTCTTCATCGCGATCCCAAGATGATCAGCAGAGCCCGTCTGCTGGTTGGTAGTCTGGCTCACAGCATCGACACCAGTACCCCCAACGGTAGGTCCAGTCCTCTTATTGCCTATCCTCACAAACGTCAGCAAACCCACCACCATCCCAATAGAAGCTCTCCTCAAAATCAACATACCGCCCGCCATCTCCGTCAGACTCTTATTCGCCGCATCCGCCTTCTTCTGTCCGCTCGACTGCGTCTGTTCCGTGATGACGTTGCCGACGGTGCTGGAGGCGTCTTGCAGACCGCCTGATGAAACATTCAGTGTCAGCATCGAAACATGTTTCCCAGATGCAGATGACTAGAAGGATGTTGCTTGATCGAGGGCGCGCTCGTGGTTGGATGACGACGGGACTGGATCTGGATCTGGACTCACCACCCTGCCCCTGCCACGCATTCTTCATGGAATCCATCAGGTTGACCCAAAAGCTCTTCTCCCAGATCGTACTCATGATGTCGTTAGCTCTAACCGACACTCGACAAACACTCCTCTCAGTCGAGGATGAGGATTCGAAGCAACTACTCACAGGATTGATGTTTCAAAGTACCAAGGTCTTTGCTTCCTGCACTCCTCAGAAACTCTGGTTGTCAGGAGGTACACTCACTCGAGCGGACGCGTGCCCGTCGTGGTTGGTTTAAAGCTCCTCACACGACATCGGACGTGAGCTGGCGACGTCATTGCACATCATGAAGTGGTGGGAGAAGTTGGCAGGGTTGGCAAGTGGGGAAGAAGAAGGGGGGATCTTCATGTGGATGCACAGGATGTGCAGACGTGAAGACGAGGATCTAAATAGAATACCGTCAAATCGTCCTACTTCTATATACATGCACGCGTGTTAGGGAACAACAGACGTCGTCGTTATTCAGGCTCTTTCGTCACCAGGCTGCGCTTCAGGCAGGCTTCGCGCTCAGCATTCGTTCGGCATCTCGATGAGACAATCGAAGTCAAATAAGAATACAACACGATACAATCAATATACCTTCTAAGCATACCAACCAACCATCTCACAAACGCAACCAATACCCATCCCATCAAATCCACCGTTCCTCCCATCTCGCATTCTACGGCTTTCTTCCCCCAAGCAGCTCCTTACATAAGGGCTCGCGATCCTTTACCGTTATACACGTACACGTAAAACAACAACAAGAACCAAAACACAACACAATCCAGCAGCGCGGTACTACCTTCTTCGAGCATCAAGCTTGTATAGATGATGAAGAATTCCCCAAAGCGAACTTCGCACCTAAGTAGTTATCGTTCCGACTGACTCAAAAAAGCTACTAAACCGCAATCCACCAATGCTCAGCACTTCAGCCGCGGTCCTCACTCAAGAGGGGCATAGTCGAGCTGAAAATGCAAGCCAAGTCTGTAGTACGCCTTACATTGCTCGCACATTTTCTCGTTTGCAGTTTAAGCTGCTAAGCACAGGTCAGCGTCGCGCCGCGCAGGAATGCAGGGCTGAAGTGATCGTCGCTATAGTTTGAATGTTTCCTCCCACATTCGTTGAACACATTTCTCTATAGTCTACTCGTTTGACATTGAACGTCTTGCCAGCCAAAAAATGCCCTCCAAACCTATTGAATTCAAGACGATTGACCGCACTACTTTGCGGGGACACCTCTACACCCCCTCCTCCAGCCACAATGCCACCGGCAAACCCCTCCCCTGCCTCGTAATGGCGCACGGCTGGTCCTGCGTCCAAGAAATGGAACTCCCCAGCATCGCCGAACACCTCACCTCCACGCTCCCCCTCGCGGTGCTAACCTACGACCACCGCAATTTCGGCGCTTCAGATTCCCGCGCAGGCGATCCGAGGAGGGAGATTGTGCCGGCGGAACAGGTGAACGATTTGAACGATGCGGTGACGTTTGTGGGCGGGTTGGAGGGGATTGATGCGGAGAGGGTGGGCGTTTGGGGGTATTCGTATGCTGGGGGGCATGCAATTTGTGCGGGGGCGGCGGATCCGAGGGTGAGGGTTGTTGTGGCTACGGCGTGAGTTTCCGAGTATGTGATGGGGATTAAGGATGCTGATCTGTGGATAGGCCGGTGGTCAGTGGTTGGGGACAAGCGCAGAGGGTGATTCCTCCAGGCTCAAGAGAGGCGGTTTGGGGGGCGTTCGCGGCGGGTACGTGAATTCCATGATTGGGACGTCTCACGGTGGGTGTGGTCGAGAATACTAATTGTTTGCCAGATCGCAAAGCAAGAGTCGACGGCGCCGAACCAGCACGCATACCAGTTGTCTCTGAAGATCCTGCTGCACCCTGTACGATGCCATCGCGAAGCGCACACGCGTGGTTTTCGAAGTGGGAGGGAAAGAGTTCCTGGGTAAACGATCTCACAGTTCGAACGTATGGGCTGGCCTGAGTGATCGATATGCGATTCACTGCTGACAATCCCTTGTAGGTCCTGGATGGGAGCGTATATGGAGCCTGCTGGCGTCATTCAATACATCAGTCCACGATCTCTGTTGATGCTGGTAGCCGAGACGGATTGCGAAGCGCCGGTCGAGCTCGCTATCGATGCGTTTGAGAAGGCGAAGCAACCGAAACAGCTTGAGATCCTTCCAAGATGTGGGCATTTCGACATATTCGACGGCCCGGTGTTTGAGAGGTTATTGAAAGTGACCGTGGAATTCTTGCAAGAGCGACTATTGTCGTGAAGATGTGAGGCTGGATGAGTCGAGTCTGGGAGACGTTAATAGTGCTGCGAAATGACGACCTTACCAGCTTGAACAGAGCAGCGAAACAACATATCAAATCTTTGCCATTTCTGTTTGCGCCGACCGGTACAGTGGGTAGTCGCCGGAGAAAGCCTGCAATGTACATGTCCCTAGAAGCCCACTCCTTGAGTGTTTCTGGGTGCTTTTCAATCCTTTTTGATGCCCCTCAACTTATTTTCGTCCTCCTCATGACGGCTTCTTTCCTTGCCTCTCTGCCTCCAACTCCCTCTCGGCATTCTGATAGTACTTGGCCGTATCCACACCATGCTGGTTATGGTTGACGAAGTTGAACCACGGCATGACGTGGATGAACACGCCACTGTATCTGCTCTGCCTCGATGCCGCTCCTTGCATATACTCAGTCAATCTCGTCTTGCCATAAAGCGGCTCGCCTCTCTTGACACGGTCGGTCATCTCGCGCATGTCCATTTCGATCTCTCGTCGGTTCTCGGTGAAGCCGTAAAATCGGTTGACGGATCGCGAGTAGAAGTAGAGGAAGCCGGCGGAAACTGAGAGGGCTCCAGAAAGGCGCATAATCGAAGCGAAGCCGCCCTTGCCAACCTCGCTGGGGGAGATTTTCTCCCACCAGAGCATCAGGGCGGGTCCGGCAGCGGCGAGGGCGGTGCCAGCGAGGTAGTCGCTTGTGCGCGCATACTTGACGACGCGGGTGAAGTGAGGATCGGAATCGATTAGCTAGTTCACGTTAGTGAGAGGTATATAGCTTCGAGCGAGGAGTTGGCTGTACTGGGTAGTCGGAGTTGAGTCTCTTCGCAGGCACCGGGGGCAGACCAGTCCGGCCCAATTCAGGACCTTCACTGATGGAGACATTCTCGGGCGGTCGCTGGGTCTGTGTTTGGGACATGGTGGGCGGTGTGGTGTGTCCCAATGGCTGCGAGATGCGAACAAGCAGGTGAAGTGAGTAAAGGGCGTCGGCGATTGGACCGCAGCTGGCTGGTCATGTGAAGACGAGTTTTGGGCTTTAGTTAGATTTAGGCGACCGTTGCCAGAAGTTTGATTGAAACAATTGACGCGCGACAGACTTAGAGCTGTCGTCGATCAAGTCGGGGAAGTCGAAGAGGAAGAGGAAACATGGCCCGGCCGAGCATCAGCGACATCACCGGTGACCACGAGATCGCCCAAATCGCCCGCGACACATGGCTCACTGCCACGCCCGCCTCCGTTTTGCCAGCAACGGTCTCGAAGCTCTGGAAGCTGCTTGAGGACGACCACTTTTCAGACTTCTCCCTGCTACTACTGGAACAACTGCAGGCGCTGGAGCGATATCTTTGGCCTGGCTATACACAGGATGCGTCGAACCAGCACGTTTTACTACTGGCCTTGCTGGTCAATGTCAAGAGACGAGAACGACTTCCAACATGGCCAATCTTTACCAGCACTCCAGACGAGTTCTCGGATTTCTTCAGGAGGATAGTGCACTTGAGCATCGACCAGAGTCTCTTGACGAGTCTACGGACACATCTGCTCGTCTTTATAGTCGGCGCATATCAGAGTCTTGACCATGGGATCGTACGAAAAGAATGCGCGCCTCTGGTTTCGATCGGCATATGGCACAACATCCATACCGACGCTGTTAGGGAGAAGCATTTAGCGAAGAGCACGCAATTACAGAAAGCATGGAGGGCGGCCGGAAAGAAGTTCGACAATGCAGATGCTGCTGGACAGGCAAGATTACGGTTCGAGAGGAGTTGGTTGCATACCCTCTTGTCGCAATTCTTGGACAAGTTGTACGAGACAAGTACCAAGGCAGATACAAAGTCCGAGAACATGCTCTTCTGCGAGCGCTTTCTGGAATTGCTGTCCGATCTGCAGAGCCAGTTGCCAACAAGACGCTACGTCAACACCCTCCTGCAGGACATGAATACCCTGCCCGCCATTGCCCTTTCGCCGATGCATCAAGACGAGCGAAGTATACGGGAGATGTACGGTCTGCTCTCACATTACACTCTCTTCCCCTTGGACGATCAGACTGGACGCCAACTGAGCAGACAAGAATACGAAGAGACTCAGAACGCTGATATTGGAAAGCTTCAAAAAGTTGCCATGAAGCTTCAATCAGAAAAGCTCAAGATTCTGTACCTTACCAACTTTGGTGCACTCTCTCAACGGCAAGAACTGGAAGGACACATCGAAGGCTTGACTGACGCTGAGTTGCTTGAGCTGTGTCAGGAGCTAGGCTTAAGGACATCCGAATATCCTGAAAAGACTCTTCTCGTGCGGGACCGTGCGTTTTTGACCGAGTGCCTAGTGTCTACCGTGGAAAGGAAGACGTACTATACTGAACAGCTGAGACCGCTACGAGTACTCCCTACCGAGGAAGTTCTCTACGATCAATCGATGCTAGCGACGGACGAGCAAGACCAGTCCCGGCCACTTGCGATTCCCAAGCTGAACCTTCAGTATCTTACCGTTGGTGACTTCCTATGGCGATCATTCGTGTTGTACCGACATGAAGCGTTCTACGAGATCAGAAAACACCTCGAGGATACTATCAAGCGCTTGCAACCCAGGCGCGGTGGTGGCATCACCAGGTTTGATGGCTTCTCACGAATGGCCATTCCTATTGCCAAGCCTGCCATCATCGAAACCCAGCCACCGCGTGTTGGTGAGACTGCTCCAGCTGAAGTCAAGGTCGAGATCATCCTGGATGTCAGCCGTCTGCAACCAGGCTTGAGGAGGGAATGGGAGAGTCTACGGCAAGACGACACCGTCTTCCTTCTGGCTTTGCATCCTGAAGATACGGCAATGAAGCTCACCAACGGCAATGGCTATCACTCCCCTGCAGAAAAACTTGGTCTGAAAGCAGTACGAACCGCTGATGTTATCAGCGTTCTTGACGAGAACGGCAGAGTCCTGAGACATAATCACGAGGTGCAAGATCACATCGATGGCATGGCCCGACCGAAGCAAAGACGCCTGTTACTGAGACTAGATGCTGCGGCATACCAAGCCGATAAGGAGCGTGCAGATGCCAACAAGGGTGACATATACGACAGCATCAACCTTGTTGTGCGGAGACGTTCGCGTGAGAACAACTTCCGACCCGTTTTGGAGAGCATCAAGCAGCTGGCCCTTTCAGACACTCCAATACCTGCATGGCTGCAAGAGGTATTCCTCGGTTTTGGTGATCCATCATCAGCCTCATACAAACGTTTGTCGAACAAGCTGAAGAGCGTTGACTATCGCGACACGTTCTTGGACTGGCAGCATCTGATAGAAGCATTACCTGGCAAGACCCTCGAACCCGACCCGAAGTTCGACTCCATCTTCCCGCCGCCATATGTGCTAGAGGCGACAAGCTCACAACCCGCGCCTCCACCACCAAAGAGCGGCAAAAAACGGAGAAGAGACCAGCCTGATGGCCCTGATCCTGTCCCTACAGCGGAGACGTTCCGAGTGTCGACGTATAATCCACCAAACATGGGTCCTTATCCGACCGATGCTCCAAAGCTCAATGGCGTTCGCTTCACACCAACACAGGTTGAGGCAGTAACATCTGGTACACAGCCAGGTTTGACCCTAATCGTTGGGCCACCTGGAACCGGCAAGACAGATGTCGCTACCCAGATCATCAACAATGTTTACCACGACTTCCCACAGCAGCGGACGCTATTGATCGCTCACTCGAATCAAGCACTCAATCAGCTCTTCCAAAAGATTGTCGCCCTCGACATCGACGAGAGACATCTCTTACGACTTGGTCATGGAGAGGAAGAGTTGACTACAGAGGCGAGCTTCAGCAAAGCTGGCCGTGTCGAGTCATTCCTCGAGCGAGGAGGTTACTATCTGGTTGAAGTGCAGAGGCTCGCAGGCAGTATCGGCGCTCCTGGTGCGCACGGCAGCAGTTGCGAGACGGCAGAGTACTTTGACCAAGTTTACGTCCAGCCCAGATGGATGCGCTTCTGGGAGACGGCAAAATCGGAAGAGATTAGTCTGGATGATCTTGTCACAGCCTTCCCATTCCATGCATTCTTCGCCAACACACCAGGACCGCTCTTCCCCGAGAACGCCTCAAAAGAGCAGATCATCGACGTCGTTCAAGGATGTGAACGGCACATGCGGCGAATCTTCGATGAGCTTGCGGATATTCGACCATTTGAAATTCTTCGTGCTCAGAAGGACAAGTCAAACTACCTACTCGTCAAGGAAGCTCGTATCATCGCCATGACGTCGACTCACGCAGCCATCCGAAGACAAGAGATCGCAGCGCTTGGGTTTCACTACGACAACGTCGTGATGGAAGAAGCGGCACAGATCACAGAAGTGGAGAACTTCATTCCCTTCGTGCTCCAGAAGCCGAGAGTAGAAGACGGCAAAGCGCCTGAGAATCCTCTTCAACGGATCGTCCTCGTGGGAGACCACTTGCAGAACTCACCCGTCATTCAAAACAACGCCCTCAAGACCTACGCAAATCTCGAACAATCCCTCTTTCAACGCCTCATCCGCCTGGGTGTTCCTCACATCCTCCTCGACGCTCAAGGCCGAAGCCGACCAAGTCTGGCAAATCTCTACAAATGGCGCTATCCCACTCTGCAAAACCTACCCATCACTACGACATCACCAGAATTCGTCGCCGCCAACGCCGGCTTCCGCTACGACTATCAGTTCGTCGAAGTGCCAGACTACAAAGGCCAAGGCGAAAGCGAGCCCAGTCCGCACTTCCTGCAGAATCTCGGCGAGGCAGAGTACGCCGTGGCGCTATATCAGTACATGCGTTTGCTAGGCTACCCAGCTGAGAGGATCACTATACTGACAGCGTACGCCGGTCAGAGGGCACTGATCAAAGACGTGCTGAATCACAGGTGCAAGAACAATCGTCTGTTTGGTCTACCCGGCTGGGTGGGAACGATCGACAAGTACCAAGGAGAACAAAACGACTATGTCATCCTCTCCCTCGTCAGGACAAAATCCCCAGGCTACCTTCGCGACCTCCGTCGATTGACTGTCGCCCTCAGCCGCGCGCGTCTCGGACTCTACGTCCTCGGCCGAAAGGAAGTCTTCGAGTCCTCGCTGGAATTGCGAGAGGCGTTTGCTCCTCTCTTCGAACGCGGAACGAAGCTCGAAGTCGTCATGAACGAGATGTATCCTACAGAGCGAACGATCGACGAGGAGGTCAAGAAGAAGGACATCGCGCAGATGGATGGCGTGGAGCATCTTGGGCAGTATGTTTTTGAAATGACGAAAGCCAAAGTCGAGGCTCTGAAGCAGAGTGGTGGTTTTCTGCCTCCAGCGGCGCAGAGTTCGAAGGGACGAATGGAGGAAGACGAGGAGGGTGAGGATGATGAGGATGGGGCCGAGGTGGTGGGTGGAGAAATCGATGGGGAAGACGAGATGGAGGATGAAGTGTAGTAGTAAAGAATTGTAGAGAAAACGATACCCAGATCCTCTGAGTGATTCCCAAAAAGTCTTGACTGTACAATTACAGACTCTATCCCTTCCAGCTCCCATTTCTTTCCAAATCTCTTGCTTCTATTTCGACTCGCCTCCCTTGGGACTCAACTCCTCCACAATATTATTCGCATCCTTCCACGCAAAACTCACATACTTGGTATGACTCCCCCTCGCCACCAACTCATCGCTCGCATTCGTAAACTTGATGCTCGTGTATGCGAGCGTCTTGCCAACTATAAAATCAACACCAACACATTAGCATCCATCATACACAAGCCCCCCAACCCACACCCAACCCACACCCAACCCCCACCCAACCAATCCACGCCCAAAAACTAAAAAGGACGAAACTCACACTTATCACAAACGACCTCCGCCCTGATCGTATCCCCGACCTTCCCCCCGGAATTCAAATACGTCACGTTCAAATCCGTGGACACGCCCGTGGCGAAGAGGCCGCGCGACGCGACGGCCAGCGAGCCGCCCAGGTCGACCATGGAGGCGATGGTGCCGCCGTGCAGGATCGCGAGGCGGTTCGTGTGTTCTTTGCGGATGTCGAGTTCGAAGTTGACGGTGCCTGGGCGGGCGGAGGTTATGCGGAGCTGGAATTGTCAGCCTTCTGTCGTTTGTTTTCTCAGACAGACAGTTGTTGTCGTTGTTCGAGTTTGTGGGTTAAGAGGTGGGGAGGGGGGACGTACGCCGTCGAGTAATCTATACCATCACCGAACACAACTTGTCAATAAATGAACAAAACACGCTCCTTCCTCCTCCGTCCCACAAATATATCCTCTCAGACAGTATTGAATCTCAACAGACATACCTCGGTTCCAACCCCGAATTCGCCCTAAAGGACTCCCAAACGGACCTCACGAATGGCAAACAACGCTGAGACATTTTCGTTTGTACACCTCCTCAGAAATCCTCTAAATTCTTGAAATGCAAAACTTTAGGATGGAGGAAGTGAGGTGAGGTGAAGTCCAAGGCGCAAAGCCGGGAGGATCCACTTTTTACGCACGGATCATTATCGATCCGAACAGTCCTGCTTCGGGAAAGGAAGGCACGACACTGGGGAAGGAAGGCACGAGATTCATTACACGAACCATGTCGTTTGTCTCAAGTAATGAAGAAAAAGGCCACCTATAGTTCCACACCAAAATGAACAACGACCAGTGATCCCAAGAACAAGAAGTTTCAATTCGTGTTTTATATACACCACGGCGGAAAGACATTCCACTACGAACCACCCTCCTCATCCAAGTCTCAAGAAGTAGCAAGCAGCAGTAGTAATACCAACTCATCGTCATCCCCAGCCTCTTCGGTTCTTCTCGTCACCTCTCCACAATCCATCACATCCCCAGGCCGGAGTCCAAGCTTCCGGGAGTGAGTCGAATCGAACCGAATCGTCCTTCTTCCTCCTCCCTTCAGCCCGGCAGCGTCAAGCGACACCCTCCCACCCTCCAGAACAGTATTTGAAGAAGATAAAAAAGAAGCGAACAGCAGGATAAGAACAAGTCTTCGCATAAACACATCGCAGGGCATCGGCAGAATGCAAACTAGGTAGCAGGACCCTATTTGCGTCGCGCGACAACCGATCAACACAGCAGATAGAAGAATCGGCCGCGATCTAGTTGCCCCCTGGATTCCTGTCCTCGAAACGCCCTCTTGCCCCATTTTGATCGCAGCAGAAAAAACACCCACACACACATCCCCATTTTACTCTTGAGAGAGAAAAAAGCACTTTTTGTAACACAAGAGTAGGCAGAAGCAGAATCCACGCTCTTCACGTGCATGACGCAATGCACAATGCAATGAAAAAGCTCTATCCCATTTGTTGAACGACCCGTTGATGCAGCAAAAAGATTAGAAGTCGTTTTGTGGTACTAGTGAAACACGGGGCTCCGAAGAAGTCGAGGAGTTCTTGTTGCCAGGTCCGAGAGTAATGATATACAGCCGTAGAAGAATCGCAAACTCTGGGGGTATCTCATGCGTTAGACTCGTCCTTCTCTGCCGCCAGCGGTGACTTTGACCGGTTCCGCGCAGCTGGCGGCGAGGCTGCTTCGGAGGGGGTTTCGTCGGGTTGTTCGCCAGATGGGTCGAGCGCTGCCAGTGCACTAGAACAAAGATGTTAGTGATGCTGACTTTGTTTGCTTGTCTCGTGTCAGTTTGCTTACCTGAATGCGTTCTGCTGCGTAGGCTCGTCCTTCTTGCCATCAACCGGTGGTGTGTTGGTTCTGGTCGTGTTGCCAGATCCTGATGGGCCAAGATTGCCAGCACCACGTCTGCTGCCAGCACGTGGACCCAGCGAAGATGGACCAAGACCGCCACCTGGGCCGAGACTGCCGGTGGTGCGAGCTGCACCACGTTGCTGCAGTCTACGCAGGTCGTCCATACCGACAGTGGTCTTGTTGTAGTCGACTGGTGGCGGCATGCCACCAGAGAAGTTGCGTGCGTCGCCGCGACCGGCAGGCATACGCCCACCACCCGGACCACCACGCGAGGTGCGCTGTCGCTCCGCCTCTTGCTTAGCCGCCGCTGCTTCAGCTTCGGCGTGAATCTGCTGGATAGTCTTGGGACCCTTGGCATCGTCCTTGCCTCTCCAGCCAGCTTTCCGCAGATCGAGCAAGTCCATGATCATGAATCTCGGTCTGCTGGGAAGTGCGTCGCTCTTGAGGATGACGTCGTCGATGCGCTGGAAGTAGGTGTCGATGAGACCCTTGCCCTGTGGATCCTCCTCCATGGTTGCACCGACAGCCTTGAGCAGAGTGGTCAAGTTCTCGATGGCAGCTTCGTCTGGGTCGCCTTCGAAGTTGAGCAAACGCAGGACACACTCGTGCATGATGCGGAGCGTCAGCATGCGAAGCTTGTAGAGCTGACCGATGAATTGGATCAGACCCAGGCCACGACGCTTGGCAGCAGCAGCCACGTAGTACTCATCTGAGAGCAATGCTGCTTCTTGAGTCTCGCCCTCGGGCTTGTCTGGCAGATTGGCTTGCCATCCACGCTCGAACTCTTCCTGACAGCGGTTGAGTAGGTACTTGCGGAAAAGAGCACCGCCAACAACTGGATTGCCCGCCTTATCCTTAATCGTCTCGTCGCGGATCTCCGTGCTCATGGTGGTGAGCATCTTGTGGCAGAACTTGGCGTACATGCCGGCCCAGTGAGCTTCGTCGCAAGCCTTCTCGAAGGTGAGCTGGATGACTTGTCGCAAGGTGCGACCGTCGGTCTCGTTCTTGGACTGCGCGGCGATTTCGAGGATCTGGTCGGAGATCTTGTCGAACTTCTCTGGCGTCATCTTGTTGAGCGCGGCCTTGACCTTGCGCTGCACCAAGTCAGGCGCCATGTTGCCGGATGGATCTGGACCGCCGGCGTTCATGGGCTGGCCGATGCTGGTTGGTTTCCAACCACTCTGCGACTTCTCGAGCGGCGTGATCTCCATGTGTGCGGTGAGAGGCATCTTGTTGGCCATGTCTGCTTCTTCACGCTTGCTTGGTGCGCGGCCGTCACGCTTGCTGCCACCCTTGCCACCACGCGAACTTGGTTGTCGTGGTGAACCAGGTCCGCCCATGCCGCCCATCATCAATCCGCTGTTTGTACGGGACATGCCGGCGCCGGGGGCACCCATGCCGAGATTGCTTGGCGCACGAGTCATGCCTGAGGCACCGCCTCGCGATGGCATACCACCGCCCATTTGCGAGGCCATGAAGCGCTCCTGTGAGGTTGTGCCAGGAGGCAAGGTGCGCGGGCCCATCGGACCACCAAAGTTGCCCATCGAGCCACCGAAGTTGCCCATGGCAGGGCCACCTCCAGCACGGGAGTTCTGTCGAGGTCCCATACCAGATGGAGTGCGTGCTGAGCCGGGCGGACGAGCAGAGCCGGGCTCGTCGCTGGGGCCAAGAGTCTCCTTGACCTTCTGGTCCCAGTCAACAGAGGGTTTCTCCTTAAAGACCTTCTGGAACTGCAGCAAAAAGTCCTTGTCGTAGGCTTTGCCCTTGCGAGAACCGCTTTGATTGAGAGCTGGGTTCGGTGACTTGAAGCCCTCGGGGTACTTGACATCGTCTTGGATCTCAAGCACGCGAGCAGACTTGAGTGCCTGCATACCTGGCGTTGGCTCTGCACGCTCGACTGGCTTGTTGGTCTCGAGCTTGAGATGAGCGGGCTTCGGCTTCTGAGCACCACGAGATGCTGCGGGAGCAGACGTCTCTGCATCGGTGTTGGACTCGGCGGGCGTGTCTTCTGATGTAGGCGTCTCGGTGCCGCTGGCTGGAGCAGATGCACCAGGGCCCAATGTCGGCTTCTTGAGGGATGCGAAGAGACTCTTGGACTCCTCATCGGGTTCCGCCTTGCTCTTCTCTGCTGCTTCGGCCTCCCGCTCACGCTCACGTGCTGCCTCGCGCTCCTCAGCTTCACGCTCCTGTCGCTTGAGCTCTTCGTCTGCATTTGCAGCACGTTCGGCCTCCTTTGCTTTAGCGGCTTCCTTCTCCTTGGCCCGCTTCTCCTGGAAAGCCTTCTCGCGCTCTTCCTCTTCTTTCTCTCTGGCCTCCATCTCGGCGATCTCGCGTTCGAGTTCCTCGTCCTCTTTCCGCTTCTTCTCGGCTTCATCGTCTTCGACGGCCTTCTTCGCCGCGGCGGCGGCATCCTCTTCGCCCTGCTTGTCAGCGGCAGCCTTTGCAGCTGCTTGCTCTGCTTCTGCAGCGGCCTTCTTGACCTCTGCTTCCTGCTCTGCGCTCTCCTTCGCCTTGTCGCCCGCTTCCGCCTTCTCCTTCGCCTCTGCCTCCTTCCGCTTGCTCTCTTCCGCTTGCTTTCTTACCTGTTCTGCAAATGCATTCTTCGTCTCCTCTGATGACTTGGTAGTCTTGCTCTCGGTGCGGTTGTGCTGGGTGCTTGGCGCACGAGGAGGTGGAGTCGGCGCGTTTGGCGTAGAAACGATGACAGGAGTTTGCGGCTGGGCTTGCGAGGTGGGTGCCGGGGAAGACTTGTTGAAGTTGATAGCGTTACCCTGAGCGTCAGTAATCTTGATCGCATTGCTCTTCCGTGCAGGCTTCACAAAGCTACTTGAAGCAGCCGATGGTGCTTGCTGGTTGCTGAGTGGGGTCTGCGAAGGAGCTGGGGCGTTCTGCGCGGGGGTCTGAGGGTGACCCAGACTCGAGGGTGGGCGTTCGGATGCCTGTGAGGATGAGCGTACCATGCCAGCAGGCGTGCCTGGTGGATGGAAAGGAGCTTGCATGCCAGGGCCAGGTGGGCCTTGGAACGGGCTTGGGTATTGAGGACGTGGGCTCGGTGGCGGCTGTGCGCCATAGCCTGGGTAGTAGTATGGCTGGTAGTACCCAGCGCTGGGGTCGAAGTTGGGCATGCCGTACATTCCCTGCTGCAGTCGCACACCGGTCAGAACATCATCCGAGTTATCAATACCAAATTTCAACGCTGGGGACGGTCTGCTGCACAAAATCGGCGGGTCGTCGTCGAGTGAGCTGTCCTTCCTGTCGCTCGAGGAGCTGACATGTCGAAGAGAAGAGCTTGTCGATTCAGATCGCGATTTTGACAAGAGCCCAGAAGAGAAGGGGTGATTTACATTGTGCGTGGGGTTCAGGTGCTGTGGGAATCCCGGGTAGTGCATCTGATTGCCGCCCATGTGTTGCATGTGCGGCTGTGCGTTGCCTGGAACAGGACTTGCACGAGCTCCTCGCTGGAAGGGTGAGCCAGGTGGACCGCCTTGTTGCTGGAACTGAGACGGCATGTTGGGCCGACCTTGCGAACCGGGCATGGGGCGATAGCCAGGTCCTGGTGAGCCCATGAATTGCGGCTGCGCATTCGGATAGCCTCGACCTCGACCTGCGCCTTGTTGGCCGAAAGGAGGACGAGCCATGTTGACGCCAGGGTTGCTGAGTTCGGATTGCATAGATTGAGAGGAAGGTCGGCGTTCGTGCATCGGCAGAGCTCCCATGTTCGGCTGTTGGGGAACTTGGCCGCGCATCTTTGGGTGTGGTCAGCAAAAATTCAAAATGCACCAAATGTGCAAATGTGGGGCGTGCGGCACAAATCACTTACGATGTCGTTGTCAGCGGGGAGAGAACCAAAGGCCAAGCCGTTGTTCTGTCCACTGATTGAAGGCGGGCGGCCTCCACTCGCAGGTGGCTGTGGAATGGGTGATGGTGAATGTGCAGGCGATGTCACGCGCGGGTCTCCAGCTGGAGCCGGCAGTGAGGCGTTCTGTGACTGAAATGGTGCATTGCCCTGGGGCTCTGCGCCTGAGGTGCTCATTGAGCCGAAGCTGATGGCCGGTCTGCTGCCGCCATTCTGCACAGGGCCGCCATTTGGATAGTTTCCAGAGGTGCCCGAAGCGCTGATGACGACGGACGATTTCCGGTCGTGGCCGTTCATGTTATTCGCTGGCTGCGCCGAGCCACCGTTCAGTTGGTTGGATGCGGATTTTGCATGTTGGGCCTGCGCCCCGGTCGTTGGTGAAGCCGTCTTGAAAGCTGGAGCCGAGCTCACAGGACGCTGTGCCGGCAGCGCTCCTGACTGCGACGAAGGCGTGCTGGGATTGCTGGCGAGCGAGGGTGTGGCGGCGCTGGCAGAGACTGCGCTGGTCATTCGCGAGGTGTGCGACGGTCGGTCGTGTGAGGAGGCGAGACGCGCCTTAGGGACGGATTATTACTGCCGGGGGAGCGGCGAGAGGAGAGTGGTGAAATAGGGCGGCGGAAGAGACCGTCGCGGCGGGCGAGTTTCTGCGGAGGGCAAGAAACTGGCGTCGAGGGGTGGGTGTGGCGGGTGGTGGTGCTGTCTCGGAACTTGACAGACACTCGCGATGTCCTCGAGTGATGGGACTGGGAGAGAGGAGGAGCGCTGGATTTTCAGAGTCCCCAAGATTATTGCATGGGTGTCGTCCGTGCACACTAGGCCGGATCAAGCTGCGACGCTCCCCTCGAGTACGGGTGGCAGAAGACTCAGACGCATATAATGATCGCGCGAATATTCATCTATTGGCCTGTCTAATCACATGCTACACGTCCGCATCTTCACCCGTTTACATCGACATCAGTCCGGCTGGGAAGCGGCGTCCACGCTGTTTGCACACAATCGCTGCAACACTGACCACGACACGGATCCTTGCTTCACGAACACAATGCTATTTGCAGGCCACCTCGCTGCGCAAGGGCTGATGAGGAGACTGTCTGCCTTGAACGTCGTAGTAGTACAGCAGCCTCATTATCTTGCTGCTGCGACTTCTTTGTGGCCGAGGCGACAATCGTAAAGCCCACGCTTTTCGCCCTCCTCCATCCCACTCACTCACTTACAATCCATATCTCCGGGTGGCCGAGTGAGATCACCAATCCTTCCAGGCAACCCGATGCGGAGGCACATGTGTCATATTCGAGAGTGAGATACCTCTTTCAGCACAATGACTGGCCGCGGTTTGGAGACAGCTATGACTTTCTGGAGGACGCTCAAACGGTGCTATCAGTATCATTTTCTCCTTCCAAACGCGTCGAGAGGAGTTCACGCACATGCAGATGGGCCATGACTCAAAACTCTGACACGCAGTAGGAGCGGGATGCTGCAGCCCTTGGTGCGTCTATGACGGACTGCTTCGTTGGCTATTGGACACCTGCAACACCATGCGCCACTTCTTGCTGCTGCGCAAAAACATTGCCACGCCCACGCAACTCCTTTTCCAGTCTCTCCTGCGACAAAACACAGTCCGCAGCACTCGTCTTTACGCAAAGATTGGATGCCCCCGACTCCCTTGTCCGCCACGCCAAGCCTCGCTCTCACCGGAAGGCAAGCAGAATGGCAAACTTCGTTGGCCGATTCCGCCCGCCCACGCCTGCCAACACAGCTACCGACGGTACCATTCTCTTGGTGCACTTCCGCCAAACGCTGCCCAGCGACGGCGACATGCCCCCTTTTTCGGTCTACATGCGCAATGCAGGAGAGCAGACGGAAGCCAGCCTCTCACAGCATCAGCCCTCACAACCTGACGACCAAATTCTGAGACCGGTATCTCATCGATCGCCTGCCGAGTGGCTTCGGCCCGCGGGCTTGCCGTTCCCCAGGGATCCAGGGATGCGCTAGAAGAAAGCTTCGCTGCTCGACCATGGTTAGACACGTGCCCTGCTGCTCGTGATGTTGGCCATGCGTTGTGTGGTTGGATGTTCGAGACAATGCGTTGCGCGCAGGTCCAGATCGTGCCTTGGTTCGATGTTCGGAGTATTTCCTCGTACTCGCACTCCTTTCAACGTCAACGTTGTGCGACTTGCAGTGGTCGGGCGTCGGTAAGGATCATTGACATGACAGGCGAACTTCGGCTCAGCTGTCATGATGCTGGCCATGAAACTGGGCATGAAAAATTTGTGCCTGACTTTCCTAGGTGTCAAGTTTCAGGCTGGTCGAGGCGGGCGGATGATCGCAGACTTCACCTCCCCAGAAATGCATCGCCTTTATCAGCAGGTCATTCGTGCTCACGTTTGATGCATCTGCTGCTCATAGTAGAGGTCACATGCAGGTACTCCAAAAAGCACGTGGACGCGAGGTAAGCAACAAAAGTGAGGCTGCGACCGCCAACACTGAATCAAATGTCCGACTGTAGTCGCAAATGACTCGTCATGTACGGAGTAGAGGCCGTATAGCTCTATGAGGGAGTGGAAGCTTGTCGTGGACGGCACAAGTAGATCTGATCCTCAATTCGAGCTTGACAGTGTCCTAGCATTGACAGTCCGTCCCGATCTTCGTTCTTGTTGGAAGCGGCAGGCTGGCATCGTCCCGGAAGATGGTGCTTCATCCTAGGTGGCAGCACCTATCCAGAGTGTGGATGCAATCAGCATGGCACGCAGGCGAAGAAGAGGAAGAAGGAGGCACCACTCCAAGACGCAGAGAATCTTTCAGCTTACACCACTTGCACCACTTGCACGGCTTGTCTCGACGCTTGCCGAACAACGACAGTGACCCAGGAAATCCCATCCCATTTGGCTGGATTGGCAGGCTCAGTTCCCCTCGGCCTAGACAGAACAGCGGTCGAGAGTATGCCTAACAAACGCTCAAGGTTGCTGCTTCCACCTAAGGTCTTGAGTCTCTTGGTCGAACCACGCAGAGCCGGATGTCGTGTTGCTTGATTTGTTGGTGGAGATTTGAACGTCTTTAGAAAACTCCCTTTGACGTCGAGTTTCGAACGATTCGGTTTGGCACGTCATCGTCACGACCAGGAAGAAGGCTCGTCAACATCTAGCCGAATCACTCAGAACGAAACGAAACGAAACGTTCAGCACGATGCCTTGAAGACCTTGCGTTTCCGGTTCTTGTGATTGAGAAACCAGAACCTATTCCAAGTATCGACTTCATCCTCCCTGGAACTTCTTCGAGCGTCCAGAAAGGCAATCGATGGCTGAGCGCAAGAGTGAGGACCCTGACACCATGTTACTCGTTGATGGAAGAAGAATCCTGAAAGGAGGAAAGTCTTATCCACGAATGCGTCCTCGTCTTTCTCTATGGTCTTCCGCTCCGGTCTGACAACAATCTCTTGCAGCTTTGTAGTCGAACCGAAGATTTCGTGTCGTTCGCATCGAACATGGACCTTTGTCGATCTCACAGAGCGTCGTCGTCGAGCAGAACCGAGTGCGAAGGACTTTGCCATGGTCGTCTCCAACAAGGCCAAGAAACCCTCGGTCAGATTGACTGCCTGCCCAACATCTCATCGGCATCGCATCTTCTCACATCCCCGCCTCTCGTCGCAGTCCTCATGCGGAAGATTGGAGTATCCTATTCAGTTAACAAAGCGTCCTCCACCGAATCCACGGGACCTACCACCTCATCAGCAACAACAATCAAGTCCTCCCAAAACCGAGAACGACACCACCACCACATCTTCCTCACCGTCTTCCAAGTACATACCCAACGCGAAAACGACGAGAAGTCATTCATTCTTCTCTCCATCGCACTCGTACCCCATACCCCATCCCTACCAACCGCAACCAGCAACCTCACCGCCAGCCTCGTGCGTCCCCACAAACCCACCAAAAAAACTTTGCCTTCCCCATCGTCATATGAATTCGAATCCTTCCCAACCCCAAAACCCTACCACTCTATCCAAACGGCCCTATTCACGTTGTTCTATGCCGATCCCTAAACCCCAAAAAGTCAAATCAAAAACCAACAACATCCCATCCGGCCCCCAAAGTCCATGCGTACAAGTAAACTTCCACCCCGACCCAAACCTAACCCCATCTCCATCTTTCCACAATTCCCACATCAGGAAGGCCATCACATAATCAACAATTCGCATGGGGTATCTCCTCCGACAAACGACATGGACAGTAATAGTGTATAGTCTCAACGATCGTGTCTCCCTCCCTCCGTCTTGGCAAGTCCTTCTCGTGCGTAAATGCGGAGAACCGTCCCGCGGAGTTATCGCACACTCCCTCTCGTGTTTCTTGGGTCGGGTCGGTTGTTTTAAACTTCGACAGCCTTGTTCCTCCCGCAAAGAAATTCATTACATTACATACCGCCATGCTGTTAGTGTTAGTATTTTCACATGTGCCAAGTCCAGTGTCTCTCATCCACTTCTAGAACATTCATACTCCCTAAAATAGTGTGTTCCGTGCCCGGCGCGTTCATCGGCGTCCGGTCCTACCTCGCCATAACTCCCCTGAACAAAGTCCGCTAGACTAGTCGCTAGGGAGGGAGGGAGACGAACGTTCCTGGTCTGCACATCCCATCCGCAGAAATCTTGAGACGTCGGACTGTGCGTTCGGTGCCTGAGGAAGCGAACAGCTCCATAGTAGTGAGAAACACAAGACGAAGTCCGCTTGATTTCGACCTTGTTCGCTGGGGGATGTTTCAGGAGGAAGGAAAGCGCGTAGGGAGATGAGGCGGTAGTAGTAGGAGGGGGAAAGAAGAGAACGTAGGGATCGCCGTCTCGTGCACGCACACAACTTCCTTGACAGAAAATAGAGGTTAAGATATACTACTAGCACACTAGCTCGTCCATCCATCCCTTCCATCCATCCAATCCATCCCCAAAAGCAGAATCCATGTCCCTGGATGATTGACCGATGAGTAAGACATCTTTTCTGATTTGCTGATTGGAGTCCGCAAAATCGGGAGGCACAAGAAAGTAAAAAGAACAAAAAGGGGTATCCAGAGTCGCGTCTCCGCGCGCACACTGCGAGAGGAAAAAGCTTTCCGAACGAAAAGCTCCCCAACGATCCTGGTTGAGGATCCGATGGGAAGTGTCGAGAAAATTATGTAGTCGGCCCGAAGGGAAGTAGAAGTTGAATTGGCCTGGAGAAAGTCTGTGCAAGTGCAACGACAAGCGTTGGAGAGGAGAACAACCGAGACAGTCATGATCGGTCGAACAAGTCTTTTCATTTTTGTAACGCCGGGCCCGAAAATGCGTAAACGTCGCGTCGCTGGTGGGTGCGGCCGCCGTCGTCTCATCAAGTTCGTCCCAAGACTGGTTCTTGGGGTCTAGATCTTTTCGATTTTGAAGCGCGTTTCTCCGTCACGGGGCATCGAGTCGTCCATTCTTGGGATGTCACCACCCCTGCTCAATACGATGGTGGCATCGACATTCCATGTGCAGAGCTCTGACTGTCTGCCACTTGCTGATGAATGTATGGCTGTTGCGCCCCTGGCACGGCCGGATAGTTCTCGTGCGCTTGATGATGACCTTGCTCTTGCCCCTGAGGTCGTGGTGGCTCTGTCACTTGATAGCCGCCTGGTAGATTCTGCGAGGGATATTGTGCCGTGTATCCTTGATACTGAGGGACTTGCGACGCGTTAAAGCTGGAGTGTTCGTACTGCTGACTGTAATTCGAAGATGGTGGAGCTGGTCGTCTATAAGGCTCTGTCTCTGCCGAATGTTGGACACCACTTGCTGGTGGTGGTCGCTGTTGCTGCTCGCTCTGCTGATAGCTGGGAGTATGAGTATCTGCGCGTGGTCAGTGGCATCCTGTCGTCATCCTTGTCCGCCCAAACTCACAAGAGAAGCCCAATCCATAAGACGATGGCTCTGTCACGCTTGTATTGCTGGGGTTCCTTTGAAGGTACGGTCGCTGATGTCCGTACGTTGAATGCTCTGAATACGATGCAGCGCGCTCAGGATATTGCTGTACCGGCTGACTGATCGAACCCAGAGTGGAATAGGAAACACTTGTTCTCAAAGGAGATCCTGCGGCTTCACTGAGTGTTCTGGCGAATCTGTCGTGCAGCGGGAGTCTAGGTGCCTGCTGGTGAGGCATGTATGTTGCTTGTGTTGCTCCAGGAAGTCCAATAGGCGGTCTCTTGGCTGGTTCGTACGTGCCTTGTTGCTGTAGAACGAATGGAGACATGCCGCTCGTAGCAGACGTCGGTGACAGATGCTCTGAGGCTGATTGCGGCGGTGTAAACGCGAATGCTCCCAGTGCTGGACTCACGCCCGACATGCTCGCGTACTGCTGGCCATACTGATCGTAATCTGGTACTCGTCGCAACGTGTCGAGCGTGAGAGGTCTGATGCCTCCATTGTCGCCGTAATGCGAGTAGCCTCCCATTCCAGGAACTGGCGCGCCCATGGGAGGGGGTTGGGCGCCAAACGGCGAATGTAGCGCTTGCGTCGTGTCGAAGTGCTCGGGCAAGGCCCTTGATCTCATCATCCGTTCTCGATCATCAGTCGTCAGTCGTTTTAGTTTCGCTCTTCTACGAACCGCATTAGCCTCAAGTGCCGCAACGTGGAAGCATCCAACCTACCGGTTCTGGAACCAGACCTGAACTTGTCGTGCGCTGAGGCCAGGTATCTCCCGTGCCAGTCGCTCCCGGTGAGCAGCGTCCGGGTGCGCCTGACGAGCGAACTCACTCATCAGGAAACGGGTTTGATTGTGTGTAAGTCTAAGACAAGTTAGCGCTGCTGCTCAACTGGCGTCCGCTGGCGGTATACAAACCTAAATCTCTTCATCTTCCTTTTCGCTGCTCGCAACTCCGCTGCAGTCATGGGCACCTTTTCGCCCTCTTCATCTGGATCTTCACCGCCAATGTCAATGACATCGTCATCGTCGTGCGGGTCCTTGGCGTGTGCACTCTCAGACCGTGGAGTCAGACGGTCTGTTGGACTCGAAGCCGTCGACACGGCGCCTGTCGTTTGCTCGGAATCTGCTGCTCGAACCGGCTGAGGACCTTGAGGGATCATTCGATCTTGGTAGCCGTGATGCGGGTCGTTGTGATTGCCTTGGTAGCCAAGTTGAGTCGACGGTCCAAGAGCGTAAGGAGAGCTCTTGTACGATCGAAGCGAGTGTCTGGCTTGATCGTACGGGTGCTCACGGTTGTCATCGTGGACGCCCGCTTGGCCATGCTGTATCGAACCTCTTGGAAGATACTGTGCTGAATGCGGCGCATATTGGCTGTAGTAGTCGTCTGCCTTGGCCGTTGCGTCCGACATACGCGGAGAATTCGGCGGAGACAGTAACACTGTGAACCGTTCGTTCACCATTTGACCTCTTTCAAACGAGTTCAGGGCGCTATTGGATGGTCAGACAGTTATAGTGATGTAGAGAGGGGAAGAGTAGACGAACCGTGGATGATGCAAGCGCCCGGGTAGATATGAAGTGTCGTCCTTAGGCGGTCGACATCCAATAACGTATCGTTTGCGTAGGCCCCTTGAACAGCACCACCGTTCGGCCAAAACGTCTAGTCTGTGAAGACCGGGGTCAAACCAGCGTGAAAAGTTCCGTCACTACTAGACAAGTCCCGGGCATCGATCGCCGTCGGAGCAAGTACCTCTGTGGTGTTGTCGATTAGAGAGGCGCTCGAAGGTCGATATGATGAATGGCCAATTAACGCTGAATGTATAGAGATCGCAACCCAGCTCCAATCAAGGGACGTGCTGGGAGGATGTCGAGGAGCGTACGGCCCGTTCGCCTTTTCCGCCAGATATGAACGCCTCGTGGATGCACAAATGTTCCGAGTCGACGGCCAGGGAGAGCAAAGGTCTGTCGCAGCGTCTGGCGTGGGTAGGCGCCGGTTTCCCACGTTGCGGTCGACCTGCCAGAAGTGAACGTCCTGCGAGCGAGGGTGGAACCAATGGTCGGCTGTTGAATCTCGAGACGACCGCGCGCAGGGTTGAAGTTCTGGGCCAAGAGCAGCGTGTTTGGCCGACCACGCAGACCTTGCAATGCCTCCACCGGACGGTCGAAGGGTGCAATGCTATCGAACGCAACACATCCAATGCCGCTGTGTCGGATTCTGGTGAAGCAAGTAGATGGCGGATTGATTGCCCTGTGATTAGATGTAAAGGATGGGCGGAACCAGCCAGCTTGTGGCACGTTCCTTAATCTTGATGTCCAGAGACGGTGTGCTGGTGCATGCAAGTATCAAGGACCCAAACCGCAGACGGTCGACGAATTGCAGGCGAGCGCGGCCTTGACAAGTCTCGGGAGGCACCGATGAGGCGGGTAGCGAACCGAACAAGTAGGCTCTACCGTAAACGAAGAAATGTCCGCCATTGTTCCCGAGAAGATCCTAGACTCGTGAAGCGATCTCGAAGGAATCGAGTGCACCAGGCGGGCAGTACCCCTCCCACAAGGCTAGACAGCAGTTTGAGTCCGACGGGGCCGTGTGGACACCCATGCCCTCAGGTACCCTGTCACAACGCACGCTCACTTCATGTGGTTGGCTGCGAGATAGCCGTTGATGCCCGGTTGTGCTAGCAGGGATGGATTGAGCTCAGGCATGGGGCCTCTGCGGGAACTAGTCGCCCGTGGACCGCCTGTGTACCTGTGGCAATCCTCCTGCAGACCGTAGCTACTGCACCTGAGAAACACAGGGCACTCTTCTCATGCTGCCGGCGTCTCTTTAGGCTGGCCTTCAACGCCGCCAGATACCCATCACGCCGCCCACGGGCCGTTGCTAGCGGATGAGGTCACGAGCGCTGCCACCAACAGTTCTGTGGTGTTCATCCTCTCTGAAGGCGTGGAGGTGCCTGCCCTCGATGCTGTTGAGCTGCCGGCTGCTGGACAGATCTGGCGCATGCTGCGTCTGCCCTAACCACGGCGTTTGCACGTCCATTATTGTCCACGATCCACCAGACGGCACCTCCTCGCCGTGGCAGTTACGCAGGCGTCGGAGCATTTATCCAGAGATCTCAAATCAGTCCAGATCGGGAGACAGCCATAACGGTCCGAGCCGGTCCATCATTGGTACTAGCATAATAGATTGGAAAGGTGAAGGCTCAAAAACAAGGCGACGACTGACGACACCGGGGGACGTTGTGCAGGCGTCCTTCACTCAGCTAAGACCGGAAATCTGCAGTTGCCGCATTGGGGGACCAGGCGTGGGTATTTGGCTGAGAGTTTGGCGGAGGTCATCCTGCAGCGAGAGGAGTGCGCGGGCACGACAAGATCCGCGAGCGTTTTGCACGTGAGCGATAGGCAGGTCAATCAAATGCTCATCATCAATCTACCACTATTGTTCTTGGGAGCAAGCGGTGACGAGGTGCAACAATCACATGATAGGGAAGACTCGAACCCTCGCTGCTGTTGCGAGGCTCCCCATCATCCTGGACTGGTTCGGCGCGGCACATGGCATTCGCGTGTAGCAGACAGGAGCACGACTTGATGGTGATGCAGCGGGCTTCGACCTCAGACGTCTACCGTTTGACATGTGCTCGCTTGGGGGCAGAGCCGCAGAAGCAGCGCTTCCAGACTCGGTCCACGCCCTCCGCGCGCGCCTGATGCAGCACCTGGGGGCTCTGGGACTGGCGATGCTTGGCGGCCTGCAATCTCGCGCTCGATGACGCTTCGAGACGGAAATTTGAGGTGTATCGGACGGGCAGGCGGTGGTTTGATGGGCGACAGGGATGCCGTCGCTTGGTCCGATGAAACATGGCCACTGGCGAGCGGCGGGCGCCTCGACGGCAGCGGCAGTCCTGCTGCAATATCGCAGCGCATCTGCCGGGCAGCGCAGTCACGGCGGTGGATGGGATGGGATGCAGTCGGCGCGGTGGGGGTGAGATGGCGTCAAAAAGGTCAGAGTTTGGCTGGTGCCATCGCGCAAGCAGCAGCGAACTCTGAATCGGCGCACAGACGGCCCCCTCCATCAATCAATCAATCAAGCTTTGGCGACTGGTTGACTGGGCGCCGGGGTCTTGCTGGCAGGCCACGACGACCACTCTAGTGACCAGATCTCTCTTATAATAACGACTGCGCTCGCGAGGGTGCTGTGCGACCTGTCGTCGTCGTTGTTCGCACCTGCTTCGCTCTGCTACTTTCGATGGCGGGCTCCTGCTCATGTGTGTAAGCGAGCCTTGTCGATCGCTCCTGCACGACACAACAACCACAAAGCCTATTGCCGCGCTAGAGCAACCGTCACAAAGAAGCGCACGTCTCTAACCGAACCTCCTCCCAGGGCGAGCGGCGGACGACGGGCTGCCCAGCACCAACACCTGCCGCCATTTGCATTCTCCGCGCATGTCGACCCGTCCCTGGCCTCAGTGACGCTGGTGATCAGGCATTGCACGCTCAGCCGCAACATGCTCGCGCCCGTGACAGCTCATCAGCATCCTGGGCCACCACATGGCCGTGACAATCACGCCGCAAAGTCACGTCTGCGACTGCCTTCCAACTCCTCGAAGCGGCAGGGATCGATCGACAACCACTTCTCCCACGCGGCGACCCTGCGTGTCAGCGTCGTCCATCATCTTGGTCTGCATCCATCATGCGCTCCTTCTTCACCGTCGTTGACAAATGTTTGAAACACCTGCACCGCGCCAGCTGCGATAGCCCTCCCAGGAAATGCGCCGTGAGTCGTCTCGACCATCATCATCCCACTCGCACTGGCTGGCTCCGCGACTTTGCCGCATCTCCCAAGCGAAGGACCTGATTAAACATTGCACCAGATGCGGGCTCTGTGGAGGTTCACGAGTCGGCTCGCGAGCCTAAATGTCCTTCACCTCTCCAATAGCGTCACCAACCTGGGTCTTGGGCTATGTGCTATCGATTTGTGCAGCCCTGAAAAAGCAAGACGCACGTTGATGCTAACCAAGCTAGCGATCTGCTGCCAAAGCTTGGGTCTGCCAGTCCTGGCCATCACGCGGTCTGCGATGGACTTCACGATCGGTGGAGACATCCACCTTTCTTCATCCTGCCGTTCTCATCACAACACGACATGTTGGTGTCGAGGATTCCCCATTCATGCGACTATCCCCTTTCGCGGCATCCCACCTTGCCTCGAAAAGAACATTGCCGTTGCTAGGTTGTCGCGGCTTCGACGCCGCCGGACCTGTCAACCCGGAATCTCGGAGTGTGGGACATATAAGCTTAAAAACGCGACCACCAACCCGGGGCCACTGGCCAAGCATCGATTTGAGTTGCGCTCGTCGACTTTGGACTGGGGCACACTATTTCGACGACCTCCTCTTCCATTTGCACTCGTCTAAACGAGGACAGCCTGACAGTATCGCGATTCGGTGAGTCAGCTGTCCATCACTCTCTTTTCCATCCATTGCCAGATCCGGTCCGTCCTCCGAGAAACTTCGCCCCAGAGCTATGCCTCTAACATCACCCTACGATCATAGGTCCTGACCACTTGACCCTCTGTCTCCCTTTGACCCAGACTTCCTGTCGCTATTGTTGTCTCTTTCCTCACTCCTTGGGGGATCGACATGTGCTAACGGCACTTCTTCACGCTTTGAACACACGGCACTTCTCAATTAGACAATCCCGTCTCGAGAAAAACTTGTTTAGCCGTCCCCTGCCTTGATCAGGGCAGACCTGATTCGGACGCACACTGTCTGTACCTCCCATCACCAACACAGTCCGTGCCTCATCATTACTTCACCGGCATACGCCTACGGAGATCCGCCCCATCATCATCAGCTGTTGGAATCATGCAAGTGATATGGAAAGGCCCGATTTGAGTTTTGTGATTAAGGGTCCTCCCTTTCTTCTTGCGTCTGCCACTTGAAGAAGACGAATAAGGCAATCGATTCGACGGACCATCAACGCACTGACTCGCATTTGACAGGTCCCAATCACACGGGCACAACGGCCGGAGCGGTAAACGCTTCGACGGATGTGTGCGCGCTATTGCACGGGCGGTCGGGCCGGGTGTCAAAGGCTTTTTTTACTTTACTACTACCACAACCACCGGTCGTACACTATGTCGTCAGCAGATTTTCACTTTCTTGTTGATGGTGACGATGATGATGACTGCAGCTGTCGAGTAAGTGCAGCGCGCATTGTGATGAACTAAACAAACCACAGCGCATATCGCACCCCAAAAACAAATATCAAAAAGCACGCCTTGTCTCCTCCTTCGCTCGCTTCGTTCCCTGTAGATCACTTCGTCTCTGCAGCGGCGTCCTCTGAAACTTTATCCTCCACAGTCTCCGGCAGATGCAGAGACTCGTTTGCTGGGGTCGTCGTGTCGTCTGCGACCGTCACAGCGACTGCAGCACCACTTTCATCACCTTCTCCTCCCCCATTCTGCTGCGAAGAAGCGCCTTCCTGATGACCCTCAGATTCAACCTGTGGCTCGAGTTCCGGCTCCTTCAGCATGTCTTCCAAATCTTTCGTGCTATCCACTTTGTCCAGCAGGCTCAGATTCTCCGCTCGCGCCTGCCGCAACGCACGCCATTTGGCGTTTTGGATCGCGTTTTCTAGACTTGCTTTCTCCCCGTCGTCCATCGCCATTTCCAGATCCAGCTTGTCCGTCACGACCTGTTCGACGAGTTTCTCGATCGTCGGCGCGGTGTATCGCGCGGGATCTTTCAGTGCGTCCAGCCCGCCTCCGCCGCTGCCTTCGTCCAGGAAGCTGAGGTCCATGGCGCCCATGGGCTTGTCCGGGATCCGGCGTGGGCGAGTGGCATCGCGGGCTCCCTTTCGTGCTTCGAGTTCCTGTTCGGTGGAGACGGGGCCGCGGACGATGGAAGGGCAGCTTTCGACTTTCCAGCGCACCCAGTTCTTGTCGCGCGCCAGGACCGTTTCGACCATGCGGCAGTATTGTCTGCCTTCGTTGGTGAGGCTTAGGTAGGAGGTGATTGTGGAGCGAGTCGTGAGGGCCCATTTGGTGTCTTCTTCGCTGAGGGTGAAGGCATAGAGCATGGATTTGTTGGTTGTGGAGAGGTCGGCGAGGCGTTTCTTCGCTTTTTCTGTTAGGGAGAGTAGGAAGTCGATGAGGATGAGGGCTTGGACAAGGATATGGCGTTGGAAGGCGAGGTCGCTTAGCTCGAGGTCGAAGAGGTCGCGGCTGGTGAGATACTTGGGATTGTAGTTGTCGGCGAGGTGGTCGTTGTCGGTGCCGTTGATACCGTTCTCTCCATGTTTGCGCTTTGTGCCGCGCTTGTCTTCTTCGACGGCTCTTGTCTGCACGACAGTGGGAGTCTTCTTAAACTTCGCAATGGTGCTGGCAAGACCTTTCTTGAAGGTGGTGAAGTTCGAGACATCAAACAGGCGTGTCGGGTCTGAGAAGTCATGTTGTAATCTCCAGAAAGTTGGATACAGTTGGCTGCTCGACAGGACTTCCTCTTCCTGTGTCTTCTTTGGTGGAGGTTTGATGGGAACGGCCTTGCTCCCTGGTTTACCAGATGCTGTCGGCTGAGGAGTCCCTTCGTCTTTCGCTGGTGTTTCGTCCGGCTTCGAGTCGACATCCATCTTCTCTCCATCGTCTGCCTCAGCGTTGGGCTCTTGCACATCAAACTTGGTCTGATTCTCCGTGTGAAATTCTCCACGCAGGTTGACTGAGCTTTTGTCGCCCAGCGGGAATGTTTGGAAAAGGAAAAAGAACACTCGTCCACAGAAGATCGCATCTTCAGCTCGACTAAGTCTTCTTAGAAGCTCATTGCACGACCGCAGAAAAATGAGGTTCTTCTTGTGGAAGTCCTTCTGCGCCAGTCTCTCCCGTCGCGAATCCAAGTAGTCGAAGACTATTCGACAACCGTCCGTAGTTTGGCTGTCCAGCAACTCCTCCAGAAGCCAGCACACCAGCTCAGGCGCGCACTTGCCGTAGTCCCCGCATAGCTGTACAATATCGAGGAAATTCCACACTTCGACAAAGGCCGGGTCGTTAATGTCAGTTGAAGTGATGAGTGAGTAGAAGAGTTCCCTCGAAGCCGTCTCGACAGACAAATATCGATACACCTGGTCGTACTTTTCTTCAAAGTCGTCGTGCAGCGCAGATACATCTCCAACCACGTCTGCGGCAGGAAGTGGAGGCTCAACTGAGGCTTCTGGCTTCACGCTTCGAGCCTTTTCCAGCACAGCCTGTAGCCTTGCCGTCACCCTCGACACGGGCTCTAGTTCGGCAGCAGAAGTCGCGGCCATGGCGATGATTTGTCGATTTGAACACAGTACGCAGCAAATGCGAACACCTTCAAGGAGATGCTTCACTCATTTCGCATGCTCGTTTGGTGCAGTATGAGATGGTCCGATATCGAGTCGAAGATCGCGCTGTCTCAGAGATGACTTCAGCGAGCGTGTAAATGTCGGACTGGTGTTGGTGATTCTCTTTGTGATTTGAAGCAAGCGTTGGTGTTTTCCAGATTCGAGGTCGACTTGCAGGTCGGTTTAAGGTTTTGCGCTAACCGTTTGCAAAGTAGCGCGTTTTCGGCGCGTCTTCCAGTCCATCTCCATACGCGCTTGGATGTTGAAGACAACAAGTACCAGACGACATTCTCATCACTCGACCAACATCATGCCATCTGCAGCATCGCCAAACCCGAGGGCGGGCTCTGCTCAACTCGATGAACTTGACAGATTACTGGACTACGATAATGCCGTCGAAGACTTCATGAGGGACATACCGATTGGCAACAACGATCAGAACAACCAGACCACGGCCGAGCAGCCAGCAGTAGACGACGATCAAGAAGTTCAGGTGAAGAAGAAGAGGAAGCCAGTACCAAAGCTTGACGAGAATCGGTAAGCATTGCATCCATCGGCCCGCAAGTTCCCGTCTAACATTAAATCGCAGTCTGCTGTCTGACCAAGGCATTCCTCGACTTCGCAAGATCACCAAGACGCGGCTGAAGTTTCGTGGAAAGGGACACGAATTTTCAGATATATCACGACTTCTCAATACATACCAACTATGGCTGGACGACCTGTACCCACGTGCGAAGTTCCGCGATGCTCTGGCAATGGTGGAGAAAGTCGGTCATAGCAAGCGAATGCAAGTCATGAGAAAGGCGTGGCTGGATGATACGAAGACAGGGAGAAGGGACAATGACCATGATGTGGAGATGTCTGGAGGTCTTGGAGATGGAGGAGAGGACGAAGGCGCACAGCCATCGGCAGAGGACCTGTTTCAACAGATGCTCCGAGACGAGCCTGACGCTCAAGATTCTGCTCGGAAAAGTCCTGAAAATGATGCACCTGACGAAGATGAGCTGGATGCGCTCCTGGGTCAAAATGAGAACTCGCCCGCGAATATGCCGCAACCCTCGCAGCAGAAGCGGTCAGGGCCATTCGATGAGGATGATTCAGACGAAGATGAGCTGGACGCGCACTTGGCCCAATCTACTGGCAAAGAGGAGCCGCCTCGATCCGAGAACCCGTCTGGCGATTCAAATGATCCTGATGAAGATGAGCTAGATACTCTCTTAGCCGAAGAAACTACGGAAACGCGAAAAGAAAGCAATTCACTTGCCCGTGGCGCTCAATCGGCGACCTCGGGGCATGAGAATGAGAACGACTTCGCTGAGGAGGAGGAGATAATGGCGAACATGGGCGGCATGTGGTGACCACGCGACCCTAGCATCGTAGACCATGAGGCACCCTCCCGGGCTTCTTCCCGTCTTCATCTGCACATTGACCGGGTACACATCTGACTGCTTCCATGGCTCTGGAATTCCACTCCACCATCCGTTGCAATATTTCATGCAGCTCAGGGCGACCTATCCCCGCCAACACACCGCCACCAGGTTATACAACCTCGTGCATGAAGTCTTCGGTCAGCTGTGTCTGCATCCAGCATTCCCCTGCTTTCGCAATTTGCAAGTGCAGTGTCAGATGGTACCTCTACCGTGGACGAGTACATCATCAGGTGGGCCTGCAGCGTGCATGATGTCCAGCAAGTTGGTGGCGTCAACATTGTTACACGACGTCGGATAAGCGCAGGACGTTGGGTACCAACAGTACCTCTGGCTCCAACCCCATCGATCCACACGCGCGCTCCAAACCTCCGAGCAATTGAAAACAATGGTCACACAAAGGATCCAATGGTCTGTCACGGTCGACGTGGCGTTGCTGCCCAACAACTCAACGTGCGCGATCCTCACCTTGCCGTCAACACCACGTGTACGATGCCCAGCGCTACCGATCTCCTTCTCTCGGGTTTCATCCATGTCTTGATACGAGATGGCTTGTTGAAGTTCCCAGCGCATGGGACTGGAAGGACACCGCGTGCTCCACCTCATGTGTTTGCTGTATCAAGAAGTCAACACCTGCCTAGCCAGTAAGACCATCAATGGAGTTGACAGTGTGGATGCTGGAAGTTGCGGCCGCAGGAACTATCCCCAGTCTCCCCAGTGCAGCATATCAGGCGCTGTTGCAGAAGCTGAATGCATCATGCAATGATCCACCAGGATCTGACTCAACGGTGTGCCTCATGACGAGACCAGAGAGGAGATGTCGGCAGATGTGCAAAGTATTGACCACAATGTGGACGATTGTGGAATGCGATGGACTGCAGAAGGACAACATTCACTTTCGTTGGTGGTGAAGGGCCCATCGAGTCTTTTGCCGATCGAAGCTCGACGCTCGTGACGCAGAAGAAGCAATAGGACTGCGAGTGTCATTGACTTGCCCTGCCAGGTACGGAATCAGACGAAGCAGCAAGGACCTGATCCATGAACGCTATCAACCAGAATCGCACCGCCCTTTGAACGACTCCGACGCCCTCGTGATTCGTTTTACTCACACATCGATAGACAATTGCTGGACTCCGCGCCATGCAGCGTATGCCAGTCCAAGCCTCTACTCAGCCGCTCCAATTCTGATCCTCTCTCTAGACGTCGCCGGTTGCAAAAACTCCGCGCTATCTCCATTCTTATACCACTTCCGCCTTCGGGGATAATTCGACTGCTTATGCAAAGAACTCGCCTGACTCCTGTCGAGCAACGCACGCGCGAGATCCGTCAAGAACTCGACATGGTTGAACTCCGCCTCTTTCGGAACCCACTTCTCAGCGCCAAACTCGGCATACATATCGACGACGAACTGCCGCGCCGGCGAGTCGCTAGGGGTGCCGTTGTACAGCGCCATGATCGCCGAGTGACTAGGGAAGGTCCTCGTCCCGTCGGCCGCGATGTCGTCGGTCTTTTGCGCCATTGCGTCAATGACGTTGTCGCAGAAAGAGTCTGCTTGGACTTTTTCCCCAAAAGCATACAGCCTGGCGAGGAACTGGTACTCGCCGTCGTCAATCGGCAGCTCGGGCGGCGAGATGGGTTTCGACGCGATCTTCCTGAAGTACAGCCAGTCGACGTACGCCGCTACAACGTCTGCATCGTCGTAAGGCAATTCGATGATCCTCGATCGTCCTTCGCGCCATTTCTTGTCGAGCGCAGTGCGGAAGAACGGCGAGTGTTCGCGGAGGATGGCCTCGTGGACGGCGCAGTCTGTGGTCGTTGGTCCTGGGCCGACGGTCAAGGTGACGATTCGGTCATCGATCATACTGAGGGGCAACAAACGGTGAGCCTTGTGTCTCGCGAGGGGGATGCAGAATCGTTTCCGTACTTCTCTCGTCTCGAAATGCGAATGCCGTCGCTGCTGCTGCTGCCCTCGTGCATTTCGTTTCTCTGATCCCTCTCTTACCGCAATGACAATACTACCCTCCCACTTCGCAAGACAACAGAAACACAGAAAGAACCCCTCCAAATGGTTTTAACTATCAATCACATGCCGCCCCGACACCGCCCGACGTACCGGCAGACTGGCCGAACACAGAAACGTTCAACCCATCAAAACCCGCCCCGGCGCAAAACTCACACATCCACATCCCTCCCGTCCCTCATCTATGGGCATGTTTCTGATTCTCAAAGAAAAATCCGGTACTGGTACTGACTGGTCCTGACAAACGGTTCAGAACCCCAAAGTATATTTAGCTATTTACAGATCTTAAACTATCCACAAGTAGGGAGGGCATTGGGAGGGAGATTCTCGGCATCTGGAGTGAAGGGGCATTGATTGGGTGTTGGTGGTTGGTATAAAGGGGAGAGGGGAGGCAGGCGGCCCGTTTTGGGGTTTGGTGGTATCCAATGAGGTTGGGGAAGTCGCAGACGCCACGGCACACGTGGAGAGAAGGTTAAATTTTTGGGAGAGATGTGTTGTTCAAGATGGGCTTTCTTCGCTGACGTGGTGAGATTTGGTTTGAGGGAATTGTGGTGCTGCTGGTGGATGGATTTGGGAGGGGGGTGTCGGATGGGGGTGGGGAGTGTCCTGTTTGGGGTGGGTTGTCAGGCTGGATTGGGATGTTTGGCAGGGATCTCTTCTGTTCTGTTCTCCAGGTAGGAATGATTCGAGAACGAGCATTCGCCGAGGCCTGCAAGTGGATATCGATAGAGTCAACGGTTCTGGATGCGATGGCTGGTGATGGACGAGACACATGAGGGGACCGAACTGGCTGCTGGGGAAGCCGAGTGGCCATGCGAACTGCGGCAATGTCTCACGCGAACCACTTCCGTGTTCGTGGATTTTGGAGCTACGTAATGGGATGTCAGGGCTTGTTTCGAGGATTGTAGCTTGGTGATGGGGGGTGGATGGTCTTCGGTATGTTACTTCATATGGCTTGCTGACCACATCGATATCATCACGCCTCTCCAATGTTGCTGGCATGCAGGCTCCTGAGCGCATGCACTGTACGCCTCCGTTCTGATGAACATCCTTCCAACTTCATCGTTGCCACTCGCGAAACCCCGGCGATATCGAAAGCCAGACGACAGCCTATCCCTTCTTGAGGAACTCTTTCTTCCTCGAGGAGAAGCAGTTGTCAGCGGACTTGACCGTGCGATCATCAAGGAGAACCTTCACCAAGTCCGCCAAAAATTCGATGTGGTTGCACTCGCTGGCCTCTGGAATCCACTTGCTCTTCCCCTTCGCCCTGTGCACTTCCACCAGAAACTTGCGGACGGGCGCCCCTGGTAGAGTACCATCGTACAGTCTCGTCGCCGTGATTCCTGAGGGATACCAACAGCTGCCGTTAGCATCCGGGTCCTCGACCCTCTTGATCATGCGGCTCATGGTCGCGTCGCAGCACTCGTCGTCTTGGATCTTTTCGGCGAGGACGTATAGTTTCGAGAGCGACGTCCATTCTTCGTCGTGGTCGTTCTTGGTCATCTCGGGCTTGGCTTCAAATCTGGCGCAGATCGTTTTCTGGTAAAGCCAGTCGGCGTAGATTGCGAACACCGGAGCTTCATCATCTGGTAGGGCGACTTCCATCGCTTTGCCTTCACTCCATCGCTTGTTTAGAACTGCCGTGAGAAAGGGCGAGCTGGCTTTGAGAATGTTCTCATGGATGTAGAATTTCTTTGGTGAGTCGGTGCCGACGGTGATGGTGACGATCGCGCTGGAGTATCTGTCGGGCATCAGCAAGGTGAGATTCCATTTCGGTAGAGTTCCATGCCGGTCTTCAGATCTTGGTGGTGTGTCCTCCGCCATGGTTTTGGTGTTGGAAGCCATGTTGGAATCTTTTGCTCAAAGCGAGAATTGGCATTTTTGAGGAATTTATTTAAAGTTGGAAGGTGCGAAAGCTCGCTAGTAGAAACCTTAATCAGCCGAAGCATGTGAAGAAGGAAGGCACGCATTGCGACGATGATACTATCTACTTATCAACAGTCCAAGATTTGCAACTACCAAAGAGTATGAGGTGGTAGAGTCGTACTTCTTTGTTCTTTCGCTACGCCAAACTTTACTCCACTCTAACACTGGCAGCAAGTCCTGACACACCGTGTTCGTCGCCTTTTGCAATGACGAATGAGGTAGCATCGCTGAAGCACTTCAAGTGCCATGATGCCATTGAAGGCTTGTTAGCTCCTCGTCTAGGCTTCTAATCCATCTCCCCAGATCTAGCGCTTCGTTGCTTGCGTTGTACGGCTTGATGCCACTCCACCTAACCACTCTCTTGTGAATTGTGATCGCTGGCATTCACGGCCTTGTCATCCTTGTTCCGTTCCCTTCTTCGTCTTCTTCAACCACTTATGAAGCTGCGAAGCAGCGCTCTGATGCGGCATGTGATCTTTGGTGAGCATGAACTGCCGCGCAAGATCGAGGAGGAATTCCGGATGATGATATTTGACGTCGACCTCCAACCAGCGAATATTTCCGTGCTGTAGGTGCATGTCCACTAGGAAAGATCGCGCAGGCGAGCCGGAGGGTGTGCCAGCGTACAGCAAGTGGACCGCTTCGTTGATAGGATACCATCGTCTTTCGTCGCTGTCCTTCTCATCACATCGAGTGGCCAGCATGCTTAGGACCGCATCGCAGAAGTCGTCGTCTTGTATCTTTTCTCCGAAGACGTAGAGACGCAGCAGGCGCACCGAGACCTCAACTCTGTGCGCATTGTCTCGATCTGATGTCGACGAGACTGATCCGCCGTAGATGTACTCCAGGTAGCTTGCGATGGTGTCTGGAAGCTCTTCTTGCATCTCAATCTCTCGTGCTTTGCCCTCCTTCCATCTACGATCGAATGCCGCGCGAAAGTACTCAGAGCGCTCCTTGATGATCTCTTCATGCACATGGAATGTCTCGGTCTTGTCGCCTGAGATGGCCTTGATGGTGACGAAGTCGCTGGTGAACCTAAAAAGATGGTGAGATCAGCATCCTGGAGAACAAGGGGCTGGAAAGATGAGCGAACCTCATTCTCTTGGCTAACGCTTGCTGTTCAGCCATGGTGGCGAGTTGGAACGTCAGTGTAGGAGTTGGAGTGGGAGGAGTTGAAGTCGGAGGAAGGAGCAGGAGAAGATCTTAAATTTGACTTTGAGTCCGTGCGTCTTCACAGGCAAAGTCACTTGCCGCAGCACTTTACTGCCTATTTGCTAGTTCCACACATTTACGTGAGACATTGTAGCTTTTGGGTAACACAATTGTCGTTGTATCGACTTCAACAAGACATGAATCTTCATGTGCATCTTCCATTTCTAGCTCACCAATCTCAGCATTGCTTTTGCGAGTGAAGCCCTTCCAACCCTCACACTTTCTTGAACCATTGCTGCCGCATATCATAGGCTGAGCGCACCTTCAACTGCGGTCGTCGCGCCGACATCTCCAGCAGAAGCTCCAGCAAAAACTCCTGCGGATACGAAAGGAAATCGCGCCCCAAAATGGCAGGAGTCGCACGCGCAGCGAGGATGCTGACCATCATCTGTCGGATGGGTGAATGCTTCGGCGTGCTTGAATAGATGAGTTGCAGCGCCTCACAAGTCGGGTAGTATCTCATGCCATTGATGGGGGTGTCCATCAGTCGTGCGATGTTGGAGATGATTTCGTCACAAAATGCATCGTCTTGGACCTTATCGCCGAAGATGTAGGCCTTCGTCAGCCACACGTATCCAGTGTGGTGGTCGTAGTTTTTTTCGTCGTCTTTTGGAGTCGTGAGTTTGGAGCAATACAGCCATTCGAGATATCCGACCACGATGGTCACTTCATCGTCGGGAAGGGTGATCTCCCGTGTCTTGCGCTCTTTCCAGTCTTTATCTAGCGCTGTGCGGAAGAAGGCGGAGTTTTGTTTGAGGAGAGATTCGTGGGCGCATAGAATGGCCTCGGAGTCGCCAACGACGAGAGTGACGGTGGCGCCAGAGAACCTACTGGGCATTAGCAGCGTGATTGCAGAAGAGGAAGGTGAGGTGATGTACTTCGCCGTGAGATCGCCGCTCTCGTCTGCATCCATAGTTGCAAGCATTTGGATGCAAGTGTGCTTGTGCGGTGGTTCACAGAAGTGGAAGATGATTCCGACAGTGCTGGAAGTTGGTCAGCGTTTGCAGTCGTGGTCCGTGCTTTGCTGAGGCAGAGTTATAGGAAGGTGCGTAGTGCAGCTGAACAGGGTCTCAAAACGCTTCGGTCGAGGTGAGCATCTTCCTACAGGTGGCGGCGTTCCCGTTCTGCGATTGCTCGCTCCTGGTGAGAGCACTCTGGTCGACAACACCGGGGGGTGATAAAACGAATTACTGACGAAGAGCAGGATCGACGTACCTCAAAGATGTTACGTCGCTTCCTTTTCTGACCTGAGCAATGTAGAACCTCCTCAATCGAGCCATGATCCAAGCCTCAGCCAAACAGTTGATTCACCGTCATCCATCCTGTCGCTAGCAAGCCTGTTCTTCCTTGCAAGACACCCCCGTCATTTTACCTGTGCCCTCACTCGCTCTTCATCACAAGGCATGCCTGCAGCAAACCTCCATCACTTCTTCTCCTTCAACCACTTCCCAACCCTCCGCCCCACAGGCCCATGCGGCCCCGGCGCCGACCTAACCCTACACATCTCCCCAACAAGCTCCACCATAAACTCGACCGGCGCCCCCTCAACAGAAGCCCAATCCTTCGACATGCGCTGCGCATACATCTCAATCACGAACCGCCTCATAGGAGATCCAGCCGGCGTCCCTTCATAGACGATCCTGATAGCCTCCACAGTCGGATAACTAAACTCCCCCATGACATCCCTACTGTCCATACCGGCGACCATGTTGGCCATGACCGCGTTGCAGAAGGCATCGTCGAGGACTTTCTCGCCGAAGCAGTACAGCCGCGCTAGGAGGTGGAAGTCGGTTCGGCCTTCGATCGTGCGGTCGACGGTTAGGGATTTGGCGTAGAGGTATTCGATGTAGGCGGCCACGACATCGTCGTGATCTGTGGGGAGTTCGATTTCGCGAGTCTGTCCTTCTTCCACTTTTTCTCGAGGGCGGCTTTGAAGAATTCTGAGTTGTCTTGTAAGAGCGTCTCATGGACGGTGATGGCCTCTCCGGTGCTGCCGACTTTGAGGGTGACGATGTTGCTAGTGAAGCTGAGGCATAGTCAGTCGTTGGGTTCGCTTCCATGGTCGTGCTTCTCACCGTCGCTTCTTCGCCGCACGATGGTTATCTGCCATCCTGAATGTTGTTTGTTTTACATGCACTTGTTGTGGTTCGAGGCTGAACGAGAGGACCTGCAGGGGCAAGCGCACGGGGCGCAACCTTATTTTAGCGTGGGATGTTACTTTCACATGCTGTGGTGCGGTTTGCTGCGTTTCGCCTTCCACTTGTACATGACTCTTGACCATTGAGGTACGACGTGGAAGACTTTCTGGGTTGAATGTCTCGATTGCGATCTATGCTCAATGAGTCCATTTCTGAAGCGACGCGCAGACTCACCAGAATCCACATCGCCATGCTATGCATTCCAGTATAATACACTCCTCCTCTAGCCACACCTTCTTGCCCGCTTCTACTTCCACAGCTTGCTCAAACTCATCTCCTTATCGTCGTGCTTGTTCAGCACCTTCGCTGTGGCCAGATCAAAGTCTTCCTGCGTAACGTGTACTCTCCTCTCTCTCAACGCGTACATACCAGCCTCCGTGCACACACCCTTCAGCTCAGCACCTGAGCAGCCGTTCATCTTCTCGGCGATCTTGGTCAAGTTGATGCCTCTCGTCAGGTTCATGCTTCGGGAATGGATGCGAAGAATGTCGGCTCGTGCTTCGGTGGTTGGCGGCGGGAATTCGATCTTGCGGTCGATACGTCCGGGTCGAAGAAGCGCAGGGTCGAGGATGTCGAGACGGTTGGTGGCCATGATGACCTTGATGTTCTTGGTGGGCTCGAAGCCGTCCAGCTGGTTCAGCAACTCCAGCATAGTTCGCTGAACCTCAGAGTCACCACCTGAAGATCCCTCCACACGCGAAGATCCGATCGAATCAATCTCGTCCATGAAGATGATTGAAGGCGCGTGCTCTCGTGCCATGACGAACAGCTCTCTGACCATGCGCGAACCCTCACCAATGTACTTCTGCACCAACTCCGATCCAGAAACGCGAATAAACTTGCAGTCCGTGTGATGCGCCACAGCTCTTGCTAGAAGTGTCTTGCCAGTTCCTGGAGGTCCGTAAAGCAAGACACCCTTGGGTTGTGCGATACCGAGAGATTCGAAAAGTTCGGGGTGTTTCAGGCCCAGCTCGATGACTTCCTTGATCTGCTTGATCTGCTCGTCGAGACCACCAATCATGTCGTATGTGCTGTCGGGAACCTTTTCCACCATCATCAGGGAGACGAGGGGATCGACCGAGGATGGGAGGAGCGAGGAGAGCTTGTAGGAGTCGGAGAGGAGGGTGACACGTTTGCCAGCTGTGAGTTTGGAGATATCGATGTTATCGGCCACGTCCACCACTGCATTTCATCGTCAGTATATCATTCAGACCACGCACAGTGTCTTGATGTTCTCACCATATTTGCCCTCTGGATGCACCTTCACCAAGACCTTCTTCGTGCTCATGACCTTGACCACCTCACCAACATAGCTTCCCGGCTGTTGCAGCAGACCCAGCTCTTCCCTCAGTAACCGCACCCTGCTGTTGTATTCGTTTCGCTGTGCTTCCAGACGTCGCAGTACGGCCTGGCCCTGGATGATCTCGAGCTTCATGCTCTCAATCTTGTTGTGGAAGAAGGTATCCAACGCCATGGTGGCAGCTGTTTGCGGTGTTCGAAGAAGCTGGACGGGACGATTTCTGGCGAGGGTGAGCAGCAAACTTGGATGTCGCTAGAACGTCGATGCTGGTGAGTTTAGCGGTTGGTGGAGGTGGTGATGTTGATGGGTGTTGTTTGACACGTGAAGCTCAAGCAGGCGCTCAGCGATGGCGTCGGCGTTGGATGCAGCTCGCCGCGGCTGTGCCAAGACTACTTTGCGGAAGGATCCGGCCAGTCAGTGAGTGTCTGGGACAGATGACCAGAGCATCCGACGACAGCTCGTTCAGCACCCATCCTATCAACCACCTCGCTACTTGTTACTACTGATTGCCTCCAGCTAGACACCGTAGCGTACTCCTAGTCAACTCACACTTTTTTTCCGCCTGCATCCACTTTGTTGACCACACCTCACGTCTGTATGAATCCAGCCCCAGCAGCAGGCGCAGCGTGAAACGGCCCACGCCAGCGACGTCAACGCCCGCCCGTATCTTGCTTGATCCTCCCCAGTGCACTGCTACGTGAGAACCTGCTTGCTTGGCACGTGGTGATCTGATGCATCCTCAGACGCTGTGCTCTCGATATATGTCGAGCACCTCCTTGGCCTGCAGACGCCCCCAAAGTCAATCGCCTTGACTGTCGTCGCCCAGAGGCTAGCATCGCCGTGTGTGCTTCTTACTTGAAGCTTGGACGCCGCCGCCGCCGCCGTAATCATGGCCGACGACAACACCTCCACCCACAACAACAACAACAACCAACTCGACCGGGTGTCGACCCGCGACTACGCCCAGACCTCCACCACCCAGCCCTCCACGCGACGCACTTCCACCTCCTCCGCCGGCATGAGCTTTCCCAATCGCCCATCCGAGCAACAGAGCTCAATGCAGGCCAGCCAATCCAGCTTGCAATCAGAGGGCACTACCCGCCGGAGTAGACCTCGTCTGGACTATGGTATGCCTATGCTAACAGCCTCACACCGCTCCCACCCAGCATTGACGCAAGTGTAGGTACCGTGCAGGGTTCCTCCGCTACAGGTGGAGGCCGCCAGCAAAGCGTCCTTTCTCCACACTCATCAACCCACACTCAGACGCCGAGACGACCAACTAATGCACGTAAACCCTCGACTGCAGCACCGCACCGTGGCGAGGTCTTCTCAGTAGACGATGATGCGAGCGAAGTCGACGAAGATTTGCGATCTACGCGCAGAGACACGAAACAACCGGATAGGCCGCTGCGACGACGAGAGAGCACTCTGAGGAGAAGAGGAACTGCTGCGCCGCCAACATTACCCAGGGTTGAGAGCGAGGAGCAAGAGGAGGAGGAGGAGGCTCAAACGACAGGCAACGATGCTGCCAAATCCATCCGACCTCAAACGCCTGGCGAGAATGGCGATCCAAGCTCAGAGGACACCTTGCAGGGAGATGAAGAGGAGGAAACGCCGAATGACGATGACGACGATGACGATGACCTGAGCGACGCTGAGAGCTTCACCTTGAAAGATAGACAAGAAGCCATCAATGAGACCCACCCATTCGGCATCAGGATATGGAAACCCGCGCTATACAAGAAAAGCAGATCGGTACAACGAACTGCAGAGGGAGACATTCACAGCGCGCCTGGAGGTAATGTCAGTCGATGGCTGTGGGTCTTCAATGGACTTTGGACACTCCTCTTCGGCTGGTGGATGGCCTTGCTCACCTGCGTGGGTGGTATCGTCTGTCTGATATTCGCCCTTTTCCAGGAAGCTGGATCTGGATGCCACGAATATGGAAGAGTGTTGATCAATCTTGCTCATTACCTTTTCTATCCGTTTGGAAAGTACGTCAGGTTGGAACGCGACGAGGCCTATCTACATGAAGATGAGGGCGAGGGCAGAGACATAAGCGAGTACGAGCGCTGGCAGGCCGGCGATCTTGAAGAAGGCCGCCTCTTCTTTGGACCTACGGACATCAACCGTTCTATCCTTGGCCGACGACGAGATGAAGTCCCAGACCTGGAAGAAAACGAAACCGACGCACTCTTGGGACGAGGCAGACAAAGCTCGGTTGCGCAGCGTGCCCGGGTGAAGACTAAGAAGCGACTGTTCGGTCGCGGCAAGTGGAATGTCGGCCGTGTCATCTTTTTCATGTCCTTCTACTTCCTGATAACGCCGTGCCTGTTTCTCGTCAGCGGCATCTGCTGGTTCCTCGTCTTCACGATCCCCATGGGCAAAGTGACATTGCTTCTATTCTACCACCTACGCCGCCACCCACTCGCCATGAGCTTCCACACTGACAGCCATTACCACCGCGTCCCATCTCAGCCTAGAGGCAGCAGCGACAGTGTCGTTCTTCTTTGCACATACAGAGCGGTCGGGCTCAAGTACTGGAAATACACCATCGATGGCACCAACATCTTCCTCATCAACCTACTGGGACTGGTCGTCTTCGCCATCTTCGACTACTTCGTCTTGTACGAGGCCCTTGGCATCCGAGTTTGGGTCACCTCACCCGGCTTTGTCTTTGTGGTCGCACTGGCCTCGATCATACCACTCGCATACTTTATTGGCCAAGCTGTTGCATCCATCTCGGCGCAGTCCTCAATGGGAGTTGGTGCAACCATCAACGCCTTCTTCAGCACCATCGTCGAAGTTTTCCTGTACTGCGTGGCGCTCAATGAAGGCAAATCCCAGCTCGTCGAAGGCAGCATTGTTGGGTCCATCTTCGCGGGTATTCTCTTCTTACCAGGCCTTTCGATGTGCTTTGGTGCCATCAAACGAAAGACGCAACGCTTCAACGTCAAGTCAGCTGGCGTGACGTCGACCATGCTCTTGTTCGCTGTCATTGCCGCGTTTGGACCGACGCTGTTCTACCAGTTCAATGGCACACACATTCTCAATTGCCGCCAATGCGTATCCCTGGACAAGGATGGAGAAGAGAGGGATTGCAGGCGATGCTATTTTGCGCAAGTCCCCGAGATCAACGACAAGTTCTTCCTGCAAGCGGTTCGACCATACATCTACTTCTGCGCGGTCTGCCTCTTCCTCTCGTACGTGGTGGGCCTTCTATTCACGCTCCGTACTCACGCAGCAGTCATCTGGAACAACGAGCCTGAATCCGAGAAAGAGCGAAAGGACAAACCCGAACATCATCACACCACATTGCCGTACACAGCTGGTTTGGTATCAACCGACAACCCCTTTGCGGCAACGGGAAACAAGACCACAGCTCAACTTGGCACGCTTCCACGAGAAGACATCAAGTCGAGTATCATGTACAAACGCATCCTGAATCAGAGCTTGAAGCAAGCCGGCTTCTTGCAGACTTCAACTGCCAGAAAGGACAACACGGACGACGCTGCGCATAAGAGCGACGGTGTGCCTCCACATATTGTCCCACCCAAGAGCGTCGGCGGAGACACTACAGCTGCAATGGGCGGCCGAGTTCAAGGCCTGAGTGCGGAAGACAATCGCGCGCTTGTGCAGCAAGTCGCCGAGATCGCGGCGACCGCGGCTACAGTGGCAGCGCGAGATGCTACCAAAGCCCCTCGCCGCGCGAGTGTCATGGCTACTACAGCAGGAACGCCCGCTGCATCGAGACACCATTCGTTCAAAGATCCTAGGGATCTGAAAGACGGAAATCAACACCACGATCGAGATCTCCCACCGGACTCGGCCGCGGCCGCACAGGCTCCCACACAAAATGAAGAGCAAGCCGGCGGTCACGATGCGCCAAACTGGTCCCGTACGAAGTCTGCCGTCATCCTTCTGACTGCAACCGTAGCCTATGCCATTATCGCCGAAATCCTAGTGGACACTGTTGACTCCGTCCTCTCTTCGATCGATATCCCTGAGAAGTTCCTCGGCATCACCCTTTTCTCGCTGGTCCCAAACACAACCGAATTCCTCAACGCCATCAGCTTCGCCATGAACGGAAATGTCGCACTCTCCATGGAGATCGGCTCCTCCTACGCTCTGCAGGTCATCTTGCTCCAGGTTCCCTGCCTCATCCTCTTCTCAGCCATCTACCAGAACTTCATCTCCACAGATGACATCGTGAGCCACACCTTCTCGCTCATCTTCCCACAGTGGGATATGGTGTGCGTGATCCTGAGTGTGTTCTTGATGGGCTGGGTCGTGGGTGAAGGTAAGAGCAATTACTTCAAGGGAAGCATTTTGATCTTCACGTACCTGGTGGTGGTCATTGGGTTCTGGTTTACGGGATACGTGAGCGACGACGTAAGTACCCAAAGTATCACAATGTCGAACTCATTTCAAAACTAACGAAAAGCGCAGATGATGGGCATCAATCGCTTCGACACACTCGCGCTCGGTGATGGAGTGCAGAGTTTCCGCACGATTGGACACAGCAAGAGCGGACGGGCTTTCCCTTGATTGACGCGGATGCGACTTTTCGGGTTCTACGGACAGCGACCGAGAACAAGATACATACAGCACGTCTTACATGAGCTTCTTCTTCTTTCAACAGCATGGCGCCGGAGCTTTCTTCGAGGGTTGCATTGTGTGCGATAGGATGCGTCTTTTAGGATCGATCCTTTTTAGTTCTGTTGATTCGAGATATCCGGTTCGCTTTTTGGGGAGGGGAGGTATAGCATTAAATACGAAATGGGAATGATGATAGCAGTCGATGTCTCGTGGTCTCTTTTTCTTTTGTTCCGTCATTCACTTTTCGGCGAAGCATGTGAAAATTGCGCACTGACTAGCAGGCGGTCGGAGCTGCGGGTTTTAAGTTTAGGCGTCCTCGCTTGGCGACACGCGACATCTTTGCGACATCGAACACAGTCGCTGTTTGGTGCGCAAACACTGTTGCGACAAAGCAGTCATGACTTTCGAGGACCTTTGCGTAAGACGCCCTTCCTTTCTACTACTGCTCTCATCGTCGACTAACAACGTGCTCCAGCCGGCTTTCCGAGCCTACAACGCCCTCAACCGCCTCCCCCAGAACGCGCCTCCATTCCCCTTCGCGAGCAATGGCTACCCCATCGTCCAACCCGGCGAGCGATACTGTCGCCACCCGACAGGCACCGCAGGCGTCCTCTGCGGGAGAGTGACACATCGAGCGTCGGACCTGCACAGGCATCTCGCGCAGTTCCACCAAGTCGACCCCACGCTGCGACCTGCTGCGAGGAAGGGAAGGACGAGGACGGCGAAGGAAGTGCGGGAGGATGCGGAGTTTTTCAGGGAGATTATGAGGGCTGAGGTTTATGATGATACGGAGTTGACGTATGAGGAGGTGAGGAGGAGGGTGAGGGAGAGGAGGGATCGGGCGAAGGCGAGGAGGGAGGTGAAGAAGGGGAGAAGGGTGGCGGGGCAGAGGGGCTTCGGGGAAGGTGGAGCTGGTGAGGAGCGGGCGAGGGTTGTGGCCGAGGGGGATGTTCTGTTCACGCAGGTGGCGCTTGGGGATGATGAGGGGACACCGATCGATGGTAATCCTGGGGTCGAGGTTGGAAACGGGAAATTTGAAGAGGAGAGGAGAGTGCAGGAGATTGTGAAGAGGAGGAATAGGAGGAATAAGAAGCCGCTTCCTTCCAACTTCGGCGGTGGCGTCGATGAGGAAGGGGAAGAAGACGAGGTCATGATTGTGCGGGTGGTGGAGCGCCATCGTAGTGGCGAGCCGGTCCTTGATGCGACTCACGCCTTTGGTGAAGAGACTACGAGATTGGAAGCGGAGCAAGACGAGGAGTGCCATGGTGATGGTGAGCGGATACCCGATGCGAGCCTCGTCGTCGATGTTGAGGAGGTGGAGAGCGAGGAGGGGCTTCTGGAACAGCATGTGGAGCGTGTGGATCACGAGACAGCAGTCCGTACGAAGGGTGCGGTTAGCGGTGCTGGCATGGAGCTCAAGGAAGAAGTACAGCAGAAGACACCGGAGCGTCAGGACGAGGAAGACTGGGGTCTGGCTGCAGCGGCAAAGTTCCTCGACTCGTTTGACGGATACTCCGGACTGAGTGATTTCACGCAGAAGCCAGTGGAAAGGAACGACTCGGCGCTTTCTCAACCATACGAAGACTATAATCGTCTGGATCCGGACGTCGGCATGCCAGACATGTCTATCAAGAAGCAGTCTCCAGAGACTCCCGCGGTACAGGCCATTGCCATGAGTCCAACTCCACCGAACGTTGAAGACGGGATGGTGTATAGGAGCCCGTACTTCTCGAAGAGCACGCACATCTCTCCCGAGCCAAAGCCAAAGGACATCGCCAAAAAGACACCTTTCGATTGGAGCCCTTACATCTCAAAGAAACTCATTGTTTCTGAACCGAAGCACGAAGGCGAAGACGTTCAAGAACAAGACTGTATCGACAGCGACGACGATGTGGATAGCAGCGCGGAGAAAGACCAAGAGATCTTGGAGCTGGAGCTTGCGAAAAGCGAGTATGTTCTCGAGTTGGCTCCTCTGAAGCGAAAGGAGGCTGAGGCCGAGTTGGGTCTGTTGGAGGTGGAGCAGAGGCTGATGGAGGCGAGGGTGAAGAGGAGTAGAAAGTACTAGAGAGCGAGTATAGAGACACAACAATGCTTATCACCGTTCATGAGGAGGGTAATAGGGCCTTGGATCGAATCGTAGGAAAATGACGGATATCCCCAGCGTTCTCGCAGGGACCATGCTCCGGATGATAGTGCGAGCGATCGGGTTCCACTGCATGCACCTGAGAGATGCCATGCCAAGGCGCGGTGTGCAAACGGGAAGATGTGATGGGTGGGCTGTCTCGTTTGCCTTGATCCCCTCCTTCCGTTTGCAGTCCTGCACCTCCTTCGCGATCCCATCTCCAACCCACTTGCTTGCTCGCACAGTGCCACACCCCTCTTGAATGCGTCGTCATCCCTCCCATTGCAGAGATCGATCATGAAGCTCGAGGATATCTCGGTAACGCATCGTCAACTGCTGGTCGTCCCACGGTACACAGAACTAATGTCAATAGGCGGCCTACGTGGCCTACATGCATCTGAGTCGGCTACCTAAGAACGCCCCTGAGTTCGAGTACGATAAGAACGGATACCCGGTGCTCCATTTTGGGGAACGATACTGTCGCGCAATCCATCCCGTCTCGGGGGTCATATGTGGACAGGTACTGAGAATGAAATGGACTCTGCAAAACCACTTGGAGAACGTACATGACATACCCCAGGGGCTCAGGCCACCTGCGACGACCATGCTGAAGCTCGAGTACAAGAAAGCTGCCAGTAAGTAACAGAAATCCCCGTTGCTTTGAGTTGGTCAAAGGGACCGGTGGATACGATGGCCTGTCCAAAATACTGATGCGCGTTAGGATTTTATGAGGAACTCATGAAATATGAGACGTACGCCAACAAGAGAGTCGGAGTCGCGAAGAACCCATCACTCAATGGCTTACCATTCGATGAAGGCTCGCCTGATGAGGATGACGATGAGCCTCTCAAGACCAGTCGACGTCGACCTGCGATCAAGCAAGAATCCGACCATGCCGACATCTCGGTGGACTTGTCTGAGGAGACACAGATAGACGGCAATGACAATATCGCCCTTACCAGCAACAAACGTCATTCTCTCCAACCCAACGAGATGGACACAAGGCATGAGAGCAGGACCGATGACATGAACTCTGTTCTCGGCCGCGGAGACATAGACAGATCTGTCGCTCGAGGACACATCCCAAATGGTGGTCAGAATAGTGAGGATGAAGAGGAATTGCGGCTGGAGCTTACCAAGGCTGAAGCAGAAGAGGAGTTGCAGAGAGTCATTCTGCGGAAGATCGAGCTGAAGAGGAAGCTGGTGTCGTTCCGTAAGCGGCGGACGGGCAGATGAGGGATGATCATCCCTAGGACTGCGAGGGTTTCTGTGGTCGCGGAGGGTGAATAGGAAGCATAGCCCTGGGACGATAATCGGGGATGCAGGAAGGGATGATTTGATGCCCGGCTTGCTTATAGCAGGACCTGCTTCAGATTGCACCCTCAATACTATCTGATCGGGTCCCAAGAATGGTAATGTCTTCAATCAAAGTCTCACCTCCCCAGCAACACATGCTATGAGGGTTGACATGAGCTCTCAAAGCTTCAATGATGTCGAAAATTCAGACGCGGCGCCCTTGTGAATTGGCGTTAAGTATTCTTCACTCTTGCCAAGCTTCACATGATAGTCTTGCGCTTCACCTCGATTGGCCCGAGCTTCTTCTCGAGTCTTAAACACCGCGCTTCCGCCTGTGCTTCATTCGAAATTGTTCAAGTAGCCACACTCATAACTACATCTTCAGCGTCACCACAACCCTGCGACATGGCCGACGAGCGTCCTGCAAAGCGCAGACGGTACGCATCGCCTCGCCTCTCCCCGTCTGAAGTGCGATTCTAACTTATTCCTTAGCTTCACAAGCGACATCGTCACCATCATAGTCGGCACTGACAACGTCGAGACCTTCACGACCCATACTGAAGTCCTCAAGAAGCACTCGCCGTTCTTCAAGGCCGCGCTCGACAAGAAGTGGCAGGAAGGCCAGTCTCTGCAGATCGAGCTTGCCGAGGACGAAGTCGAAGTTGTCGAGGCATACCTGGGCTGGCTCTACGATGGGAAGATTGATCCGCCAACATCACCACGCAAAGCCAAAGCCGATACGACATTCCCTTTCATGGCCCGGCTATATGTCTTCGGTGAGAAGATTCAAGACACCGCCTTCTGCAATAGCGTCATGGACGCAATCACGAGCATCCTGGATGCACCAGAGTGGGAAATCCTAATGCCCGCATTCGAATCGGTGAAGATCCTGTATGACGGAACAGCTGAAGATTCTCCAGCGCGGAAGTTTTTCGCCTCGTACTACCAACAAAACCTGGGCTTGGCTGCCGATGCCCCTGCGTCGGAATTGCATCCAGAATTCGCCAGAGACTTGTTATCCTTGTACTCTCTGCAAGAGCCCACTGTGGACTACACGCCTGTGTTCCCACAGAGGGAGAAGTGGTACAAGACAGGCTGAAGCCTGAAGGACATAGACTTTCGCGAGAGCCACAAGGCAGACGACGTGCTGGAGAAGCGGGCAGGTGGCCAGAGGTAGAAGGCGACCTTTGGACGGACCAGACAGGTCGGTCATCCCAGAAGAGTCAAGATTGGTGTATATTCATTCAAGGCAAGAGCATGAAGACAACCATCGCTTCCAACGAGACAGGCTCCTCCTAACAGAGCTTCTCCAGCGAGTTCAGAAGGTCAGATCAAAAGGAAGATTTTGGGTCCTCGAAGGACCTTGCCGTTCTTTGGTATTACAATAAGACAGCATTAGAAGACATCCAGAATCATGAATCAGGTACAGCATCCCGCCTCATCGTCCCGTCCATCTCAAGAGCCGGTCACTCGAGTGTTTGTCTTCCAATGCTCATGCAGTAAAAGCCTTCGCGCTCTTCTTCCCAGGAAGACCCTCGTAATCGAACGTATAGTGAACATGAGTTGCTTTATTCGCGGAAGGAGACTTGATACAAAGGGGACTGACCAGTACGTCAGACTCGGACTCGGCATGCACGAGGCAAGTTGGTAGCGTGCAGCGCTTTGGCTACAACACGCTTCATCGTCCGCCTCTCAACACAAGAGAAGTTCTCCAGGAGAAAGTACACCGAAGGGCAAAGAGCATTGCGCAGACCAGTCGGCAATAGACCTCGGCCAAACATCCTTTCCGTACGCATACATAGCTATCCAAGCAGCAAAACCGAAACAAGGTATCAAAACAAAGGCATCAAACATCATGACTATCCTGACAAATCCCTCATCCCTAGTAAATCATCCTTCTCGCATCACATTATGAAGTCCCAGCTTCTACATATCTTTCTCTAGGCAGTGAAAGCCTTTGCGCTCCGCTTGCCGGGAAGACCTGGGTCGTCGAAGGGGTTCATCTGGGTAAGAATCAGCACACATCCTCTCAACAAGGAAGTATTCCTCAAAGCACCACTTACCGGATCATCATCAGTAGGATCAGCACCGATACCGTTCAAAAAGTTCCTGAGACCTGAAATGAGATCACGCTTGCCTGGAAGGCCTGGGTCGTCGAAGGGGTTCATCTGAGTTTCTGTCAGTGTATGAAAGGGAGGGAGAGAGAACGGGTGTTACTGACTGGGTCATCATCAGTAGGATCCGCACCGATCCTGTTCAGGAAATCGCGAATCTTGTCGACGAACCCGCGCTTGACTTTCTCGTCCTGGCCGTCGAGGAGGTCGCCGACGATGGGGAGGTCACCGACGACGGGCAGGTTCTTGAGATCGCCCACGACGGGGAGATTCTTCAGGTCTCCGATCACGGGGAGGCCGATGTCGACGAGAGCATCGCGCTTGGTCTTCTCGCTGGCGGCGTCGTCCTTCACGATATCGCCGACGACGGGGAGGTCGCCTACAACGGGAAGCTTGGCCAGGATGTCGTCGATGTTGCCAACGACGGGGATCTTCTCGAGGATCGCGTCGAGCTGCTCAAGCAGATCGCCGAGGACGGGAAGGTCTTCGACGACGGGGATGTCATCGACGAGGGCGTCTCGCTTCTTCTTGTCGTCGTCGCCGAACAATAATTCTTTGCCGAGGGCGGCTCCAATGCGGAGGCCCAGGGTGAACTGCCTCTTCTCGAGCGGCTCCTCGCCCTCAGCGACATCCCGCTTGTCAAAATCCGGGATATTCAACGCATCGGCATCGCGCTTATCGAGCAAATTGATAGCCTTCCACGCCGCGAACCCGAGACGAGCGCCCAAGACAAAAGGAATAATCTGCTCCCCACGCTTGTCGATGCTGTTGATTTCGGCAACATCGCGCTTGCCAGGAAGGCGCTCGTCGTCAAAAGGATTGAGGGGGCTGTCGTCGTTCGGGTTGATCTTGGAGAAGTCCCAAAAGGCGTCGGCGTCACGCTTGTCGAACAAGTTGAAGACCTTCCAAACCGCGGACCCCACACGAGCGCCGGCGACGAAAGGGAGGATCTGTGTCGCACGCTTGCCGACGATTTGAGGCTGGCCGAATTCGTCCTCGCCGGGAGGTGGGCAGCTCAGGTCTGGGCTGTCGAGGCAGCGGAGGCTGAAGCCTGGGTCGAGGGGGCTCTGTATTCATCGTTAGAGTCTGGTCGTGAGGGGTATAGAAGGGGTTGAGCTTACGTTGACAGGAGCTGGCGCTGGAGCAGCGATGGAGCTCGAGGCGCAGAACGCCAGGATGGCGGTGGCGGTAGAGGCGCGCATGGTTGAGAGTGGACTTCTTGGGGTGTGTGCTTGTCAGAAGTGCTCGGCCGGTGTCCAGAGTGAGAACGATGGAGGCATTATATGCTCTCTGCGTTTTGCGGGGCCAAGAGACAGGCCGGGGAATTCAGACATTCATAGTCGATGGCATCAGAATGGAGATAGGGCGTCAATCGCCTGAGGTCGCTCCTGGTTTTGCTGAATGTTTCAGCAGAAAGCTTTGGCGCGGTCGCCAAGTTAGGCCGTATGTGTAACGGTGCCTTGGTCATTGTACTAAACCCACGCACGTGGCGAGGCATGCACGATGGGTCATTGATCTCACTGGTCCAATCTGGGGTTTGTGTTAAGACGGTGTATTCCCCTACAGTTGCTTGGCAGCCTTGCTTGACTCTCCGGAGCATGTATCATGATGACAAAGAACCTCGTGTCGTTCCCAAGCCATCCAGACTCTTCTCTTGGGTGTTCTATGCATCTTGGCCACATACCACGAGGTACAGATGCTTAGCCCATGTTCTTCGTTTGCGATTCAACGAAGCTTGGCATGCCATTCCTCAAGGTTGTTGTGGGCTTGATCGAGTTGCTTGGTATTTCTGAAGGGATTCCTTTTCTGGCAGTCGACGCAGGTACACCGCCCAGCTAATCGTTAGGTCAACTCCACTCTCGCTCTTGGGTTGACTGGTTCATCTCGGAGAGTTGTGTTTAGATTTTCCGCGGGTCCCGACACGTGACTGCTTCAATTCGCCGGACGACTTCGTGAGAGTCAAACGAGTGCGAGGCTTGAACATCATCCACTGCTTTCAGTCATCGATAGCGGGTGATCGAACGACAAGGAAAGTTATACAGAATCTCGATACACACCAAAGGTCATCCATTGAAACGCCTATAGCTCTATCATCTACCCATGTCAGCATACTCCCCCGATACGTACATTTTGTTATAGCCATGACCCATTCGAAAACACCCAGAGTCCGTGATGCCGTTATGTCATGACTAAAACTCGTCAACGCCGCCCAGAACGCCTCGCTGAAATGTCATCCCAGGACATGCCTCCTTCCCTATAAACCTTTTCCTTTGGTGCCGACGCCAGAGGAAGCTCGTGAAAGGACGTACGTGGAAACCTTGCTCAGCCGTGATAAACGCGAGAAGCGAATGGAGTCCTCTCGTCCTCGGTGCTGTACCCACTGTCAGGGTCGTGAATCTTGATGTTGACCACTGCTGACGGCCGATGTTCTCTGTGCTCATCCGGAATGAAGCGACAAGGAGCAATCGGACGAACACGATGCTGTGGACCGTCCTTGACTCTGTTGACGAAGAACGCCTGGATCGTGCCGATAATGGCGACGGCAGCTGACGCCCACCAGGCCAATGCAGTGAATTCTATCTGGATGCCGAGCCCGTACAAGAAGCCAGCGACAGGAGAAGCGACGGTTCGACATCCAGCACCGGTCGATGCGGCCAGACCGTTGATCTTTCCGAGGCAGTTGGGAGCCGGTGCGGCTTCTTTCAGCAGAATGAGCAGAACCGGATATGCCAAGATGGAGAAAAAATTCCGGATCGTTAGGCATGCGTAGATACCTGGGTAGAGCAAGTCGGTGGGAAGCAGCGCCAAATACGGCACGATGAAGTAGGCAAGTGGATGTCCGACTGCGGTTATGATGAAGACTCTCCAAACTCCAAGCCAGCTGGCCATAATTGGAAAGATCACAGCTTGGACAAACAACGCAATGATGCCGTTCACTGACATGATGATACCGACTTGCTGAACGCTTAAGCCGAGACCACCTGCCAGTGAGCTCGAGCTTGTGGCAAAGATGCTGACAAGATCGCCTCCAGCAGGCACACGTTCGTCTTGGAAGAAGATTGGGAGCAAGTGATCTTTGGAAACGTTAGCTACCAGTTCTGTGCCCAGACATCGCTCATTTCGAACACATACCATATGTCATCGAGTGATAAGTAAAAATCCCCAAAGCAATGTTGAGCATGATGACTCGCCATGTGAAGACCTTGTCAGAGCCGCTGGAGATGCTCGGTGGTCTGCTGGTACCGTCTGGTCGCACATCCCATTCCTCCTCGATGGCTTCTTCAACATTGTTGAATGTACCATAACTCTCCTGTTCAAGGTTGGCAGCTGATGTCGTGGTACCTGCTTGAGCTGGCATCAAAGGCGTCTTGGCGTGGGATTCTTCAAGGTCTTGTGCTGTGCTCCACGGCTGCATGTCTGGGTGAGTCTCCTCAAGACAAAAGTAACCAGCAAGAATGGAAACAAGCATGAGAGCAGTAGCAATCAAGTTGGGAAGCAGATATGGGAACTTGTCGAACAGGCCGCCTTTGGGAAAGACATGTGGAAAGTTCGTCGCAGGAGAGGCAAAGTACCCACCAATGCTTGGACCCAAGATGGTGCCAATCGACCATACGAAAGGCATAATCGCGTATGCCTTGGGTTCATGCTTGGGATTCTTGACGAGTTCACCGACCATGGCTTGTCGAGCACAGGTATGTTAGCCTTCATCTTGCAGGTCCAGACCACTACCACTCCAACTTACTTTGAATCACGCCAATGTTTCCATTGAGGGCGCCACCTAGGCATCGGCCAAACAGGGCCATCCAGAAGTTCATGCTGAAGCCTACTATAAGCAGAGAGGCAACAGTACCGAAACATCCCATCAACAAGACGGGCTTTCTCCCTAGCCTGTCGGAAAGACCTCCCCAGAACCTATACATCGAACGTCAATCGTACTTTCGTGAAGCGGAAGAGGGTGGCGTGACAATCTCACATTCCGGTACAGGCCTCGGCCAAGGAGAAGGCCGAGATGAGCAGGCCCGCGTAGAAGGAGGCATTGCTCTTGTCGCCGATTTGGAAATGAAGCACGAGTTGCCAGGCATATGGAAAGATGGATGTCAGAGCAATCGGCTCCGCGACTCGTACAAGTGCTGTCGTCGAGACTCATATTAGCACGTGATCTCAATGTCCGGACGCCACGCGTAGAAAGCTTATCTCTGTCGCGGGGTGGGAGAGTGTGCAAACTCACCGAGGAGGAAAAGCTGAACGGCAGGAAACTTGGAGGGATCTCGAGGAGTTGTTCTTGTCTGTGTCAATGCCATAGTCCTGTGAAATCGGCTCCGCTCTTACGGCTGCCCCGTCCACCCAGCAAGAGAACTAGAAGAAGCCCGAATCGACGCAAGTGCAGAATCCCCACGCCCGTTGGACGTTCCTTCCCTCTCTGTGTCGCAATGTCTGTCGGTGTTGTGAGTAGGTGCAATGGGAAGGACTGGTAAAGCTCGAGCGAAAGGAAGGTGGAAGTGAAGGCGAAGGAAGATCAGGCGGCGAGAGAGATTTTATGAACAGCAGTTCTGGTTCTAGCGTATGTGGAGAAGAAGCAGCAGGTGCGATTCTGTGTGATTGGGCGCCGCAGGTCACCAGTCTCACCGTTGCCAAGATCGACATGGTGAGTTTGTCTCTTCATCATCACCGTCTCAGTTTTGTTTGCTTCGTCGTCGCTTCGTCCTGGCTCTGCTGTCTACTCTGGCCCCGGGTTTTCTCCCACACTTTTAATGGGTCTCGTCTGCTTTTACTTCTCGCAAATCTGAGACTAGGAACGAGCCGCTGCATTAAGCCGCCGCTAGCGCCTCAACACAGTCTATCATTGGTGGGAGCTGACCCCGGCCGATGATCCTTGATCGGACGCCCACATCTTGCTCTGGTGTGAAAGTCCACCAAAACAATGCATTTCCAACTGCCGGATAGCTGATGATGCGGGACTCATGACCTTCTCGACCTTCTCAAATCTTCATTGCCCTCGACAAGAACATGCGGTGAATGCGCTGGGCCACGCTTACGAGCTCCAAGTCGAGGGCAGGAGCTACTTGCAAGCGTATACCGTCTCGAGAGCAGGAGATCAACCTGTGCACAGCTTCTAGCGGGGAAAGTCGATCACTTCCTGCTATTCCCTCCAGATGGGTGGACAGCCAAGGCATGCATACCGTGGTGGGAGGGCCATGACTTTGCCACGTCGCAGGAGACTTCGCTACCCAAGATCGAGGACGAGACGAAGCAACACCGTTGACCGACAGCATCAGGACGCGAATCGGAGCAGTGATCATGCGAAGTTTTGACGTGGTCTCGACTACTATGGACACATGAATGGAAAGCTGTGCTCTTCCAAAGAAGCTCACAATCCCAGACCGGATATGCGAAGGTGCAAGCATCCAGCACCTGATCTATGCTCAAACAATCCTGCTTCAGACCATTCTGATGGAGAACGAAATGATCCGGAAGCCTTCTTTCCGCAGATCGTTGTCCTTCATTTCACCAAGCGCAGACTCGGCTTTCAGCTGCGTACCAGTCCTCTGAGCAACCTCGCCGACTAACTTCTCAAAGGACTCGGGATTGTGCCGATACATCTAAAGAAACCAACGCGCGTCAGCCAACTCCCAAGTGCCCTCTCGATCGACGAGCAGAAGGCGTGCCACTCACCTCTCCCGAATTGGTCGTCCAATGAGGATAGCTATCGGCAAGATCCGTCGCCGCCTGCCATCCAAAGACCAAAGAATTCCTCTTCGGCTTCAACAACCTCACAGCCCTCACCACAGCCTCAACCTGCCCCTCCCAATTCCACAAATGAAAAACGCCGACGCATGAACCAAATCAAAAGCCCCCTCCTTCAACCCACCCCCCTGCCCGTCGAGAAAGTCCCCAAACACAAACTCCGCCTTCAACGACTCCCGATCTCGAAACAGCTCATACCCGAAATCGACAAACTCGCGTCGCAAGTCGAAGGCAGTCATCTTGTCCGACGGCGCGCCTTCGAAGACGAGGCTCCGGATGTCTTGGGCGAAGCAGCAGCCTAGGTCGAGGAACGTCTCCTTGCCGGTCTTCATGCGCGTGATGACCTCGTTCGCGAGCGGATGGTCTTTGATTTGCATTTCGAGGAACATGAAGCCGCCTATGCAAGGGTAGTTGAAGAGTTGCCAGGCTTTCTCGCGCTACAACAATCAATCGATCATCAGCATCAGCACCAGTCCCACAGTCGACGGCGGTTGTTCCGAGAGAACGGGAACATACAATCTCCTTGACATGCCTCACAATCTCCTCATCACTCTGAATCCCCACATACTCCCTAAACAGCTCCTTCACCCGCTCTTGCAACTCAGGCTCCTCACGATAATACTTGGGCAATACTTCTTTGCCAGACATCTTCATCCAAAGGACCAACCAAGAAAAAGACTTCAATTTCTCAATCCACAAAGCATCTACACGCAGCCGCTTATATACACGAAGAGAAAAGGCAAGCGTGATGCACACCTACCGTTTCAACCCTCTCTGTGTGTGAGGAACAGGGAGGAGCCCTACCTCTGCCCTACTACCGGAAGTGTAGCCCATTATTGAGTCGCGTCGTGTCGAGTTTACCGCAAGACTTGCCAGTTTTCCGCTTGCTTGCCTGCTTTGCTGCCCTGGTGATGATGTGGACAGAGGACGTGTAAGCTTAGTGGGACGAGCTACTACTCGATACATGTATGAATCTGTCGACGCGGCTGGAATGGGGCACCTTATCGTTTGGGAAAAGATATCTCGGACATCGTGAGATGAGGTAGGTAGTTCAAAGTGCTGTTGTTCTTCATTGCTGGTATCTCTTTGGTATTTTGAATTCGCTGTTAATAAATCGCTTTCGCTGACACGCTTGCTCACAAAAACATAAACTCACAAAGTCTTCCTACACACAATAGGCATATACACACTACACATCACCCCATCATCTTACAATACTCTTCCTGGGCTGCGCCTCCGGCATCTCACTATTCCTCCTCTCGCCCATAATCCTCCTCATCTCCTTGCAAGCCTTCAGATAATGCTCCCTGACTCCCGGTGTGGGCTTCCACGGATTCGGCGCTTTGTCCCAGCCATGCGGCACGCCTTCGACCATGGTGTAGTTGACATGCTTGCCGACCTCCTCGGACGCCAGGCGCTCGTAGAACTCTCGGCCTTCGTCGAGCAGCATGTCCCATTCGCAGGTGTGCATGATGATTTCTTCGGGGATGGCGTTGCGGAGGAGGGAGGTGGGGGCGACGCCCGGGGAAAGGTAGGGTGAGTCTAGAGCGACGTCTTTGGGTGGGTGGAGATATGAGTCGTCGAAGAGGTCGGTGAAGAGGGCGGGAAGTTCTTGGTCGGCTCGTACGCATGTTGCGCGGCGTTCTTCGCGGGTTCGAGTGTAGTCTAACGAGGGATACCAGGAGACCAGGCATTTGATCTGGATTTGGGGTATGGTAACGCTCCGCTCAATGGCTGTGGCCGCGGCCTTCCCACGACTGCTCGGTGTTTGGGGCGGAGGACCGTTGGGGTCTATAAGTTGATCGTTCTCTTGACTTTGAGGCACAGCAGTCGTAGCGGTGGACGCAGCCGTCAAATGCGAAGCAGAAGATCCAGGAGGTGGGTCATGCACAGTGACATCCCCATGATCTACGGCTTCGTTACCCGACTCCAAGTCTGAATCGTCCCTAGCAAAACCAGTCTGTTGATCGTACAAGCGCATCGGAACCGAAAAGGTCATGTTTCCTCCTGATGAGAATCCTGAAATGGCAATCTTGTTTCGGTCGATACCCAGCTCTTCGGCATGCTTCCAAATCCAAATTACAGCGTCCACGCCATCTTCCACAGCGGTTGGGAAGGGGTATTCTGGAGCCAATCTGTAGTCGACCGATACTACAACAGCGTTGTTCTCTGCGACCACAGTGCCACACCATCTGGCATCATCGTGAGGCGACCCCAGTGTAAAACCTCCTCCGTGGAAGTTGATCACCACAGGATATCCGCCCCACCGACGCATAGTCCGACTTCGTCTACGCAGACCGTCGCCAATCGAACTGATGCTCATCCTCATCTTGCTCCTATCCCGCTCCTCTTCACCACCAGACTCCTCCCCTTCATCGGTTCGACTTGTCCATAACCTCTTCTGCGTTTCATAATCGGATGGTACGTAAAAGTAAAGCGTGATCTGTCCAGGTTTCCCAGAGACATGCGTATCGATGACGCGGTAGAAGTTGGGATGTGGTGGTCGCGGAGGGGCAAGCTTATGGAAGAACATGCCCAGGCTCATGAGCACCCGCCAGAAGGTGGCTTGCATGTGCAGCACCCATCTTGGACGACCGGTCTTGTTCTGGTATTGGCGGTCTTTGCGGAGGTTGAAGGTCGGGATCGATGGCAGCAGGAAGGACCTGCGCCTGTTCTCCTGCGGCTCTTCTGGCATGTTGTGGTGAGGAGTCGTGGCGACAGTTCAGGGCAAACAGGAGGTTCGTGGGTGGAGTTTCAACACAAGGACTGGTTCCCTGGTTCCATGTCCGTCTGTTTCGGGGGCGGCGGAAGTTCCGGAGATGAGTTGCAGGTGGTGAGGTGATAAGGGGTCCTGTGCGATTCTTGGTAAGACACGGCCGAGATTGTGTAATGCAGATGGCAAGCGTCTAGTACATGTACTCTTCCCTCCACTCCACGTGCTCGTGTCCGGGTATCGAGCTTGCGCACACCAGCACCAAGATGAGCCACCTCACCATTGGATCGCCGCCTCTCCTGCAGGGTGATGTCAAGACCACATCTCGTGTAGACGGACCGAAGCGCGCTTAGCGAGGGGAACTGACGACTCAATTCCGACCTCTCTTTCCGCGAACACATGAATGAAGTGGCAGACACCGCGATGGTATTGTACCTCGTTGATGGCTTACAGACTAGCCCCACAATTGAATGGAGATTCCTGCAGCCGGGACGACGACCGAAAGATTGTATCGCTCTGCTGAGGCCAACCAGAAGCACGGTATTCTTCTCTGTCTGTAACGGGACCCAAGTATCGAGTCTTCAAGCCGCAGGACCTTTGAAAGATTCAGACCTTACGGCAGTTCTAGCTGCTGTGGTTGCAAGAGATGCGGGAGGAGGCTTACAGATCGCAGAGTTGCATACAGTCAATGGGTATACTTCCACTGCCGACTGATGAGGCGAGTTCTTGCTGGACAGGTCGACGCTGGATTCAAGACGCCAGTCAGAATTTTCGGTCCAGGCATCGCAGAGGAAGTTCGAGGGACCAAGATTGTTGTGCATTGAGACTGCGCGGGTGATGTGAAGTTCCCTCTCTGTTTGGGGACTCAGAAATTCACAAGGGATAACATATACGTCCACTGAAGCCAAGCGAGAAAGAAAGAACCGCGAAACCGATACAATACTCGATCTTTCGGCCAAGATCTGTATTCTCCCCCATTTACACCACCGGTTTCGGGCGGAGCGCGCTCCAACAACAAACCACAGATGAGCCGCAGCTAAAAGACCGTTTTCCCAAAGCGTATCAAATAAGATAAAGTAAGCAGACCCCATCTCTTCCTTCCCAATCTCTGTAATCATTCCAAGATCAAACTCAAACATAAATCCAATCTATTTAAACGAAAGTCTTCACCCATCTTCCCTCACCGTATTCCAAAAGAACCCTATCCATTCACTTTGCTTTTGCTTCGAACAAGATGCACACCCCAATTCTCTCCCCCTTCCTCCTCGTAACCGCCGTCCTTGCCATACCCGCACCCTTGCCAACCGCCGAAGATCCACCCCCCTGCGCCGAAAACACCACAACTTCTTGCTGCGTGACCTCCGGCGGCTGCGATTCACTGAATATCCTAGGTGGCAGTTGTTTGCTCGACGGAGTTTCACTCCTTTCAAGTAAGTTCGATCCCTGCCTTAAGCAATATTTCTCGATCAAGCTTGCTCGTCTTTGTACTCACGTCTATCAAAGTTCTGAATAACAACTGTCCCGCGGGCAATACCTTCTGTTGCCAGAATACTCAGAGCGGGGAGATTAACATCAATTTGGGGTGTACTCCTGGTATGTCTTAATCTTTTTCTTGTCCGTTGCGAGGTAGAGATCTGGAAGTTGACGTGATCATCTCGATGTAGTTCACTCGTAACATGCAGACATTGCAAAAGCTGAAAAGTCGCCGTCTAATGGGAGGGGAATTGTCTTATATGAGACGGATCTCAGGTAACCATTAGCTGAACATTCACTTAGAACCCTAACTGGAAGCACGGTATTATTCTCTGCCTGCCTTCCTACGTCTACAAATGGGTCCAAGGGATCGAGTCTCAAGCTGCAGGGCCATTGCGCATGGCGACTATAAAAGAGTAAGACCTGCAATAGGGCATGTGCATACGGCGACTACTTTCTCTGCCACTGGACTTGCCTTCCGAATAGCAGGATTCGTCTGTCAAGGCCAGCGCGACGAAACGTTTCTGTAGTCTACTCTTGCCTTTCCTGCGACGACGAGGCGTTAGCAGGTGATGTTACTTTTGCCTCCATCTCTTCTAACATCCACCAAAGCATGGCATCTTTCATATCTGACAGCTCACATCGCATTCCTAACCCAGCAGCCAGCATCTCAGGATCACGAAGAAATCAGCCTTGGATGCTTGCACCAATATCGGAAGATGGCGAGCCGTACTCACCCACAAATAGGGGCAAAGCTCCCAGAGTCACATTCGTTGACCTTCCCATTCGCCGACGAAGGAACGGCACCGACGGCGACGACGGTCAAGTCGAGGGAGAATACGACGCCAAATACAGGCCTACTCAGTATGTCTGGTATCTCTGGGACCCCGTTTGTGCCTTTACCCTGCACCTCTTCGGCCGCTCGACTGCAGCTTCGCGAATCGATCGAAGCGCGAAGATGACGGGAAAGAACGTGCTCATCACTGGTTGTGGCGGAGACGGTATACTCGGCATGGAGATGGCGAAGGCGATGGCGGAGGCCGGTGCCACTGTCTGGCTTGCGTGCCCTACCGAAGAGGAGGGCCAACTTGCGAAGAAGGAGATCATGGACTACCTCTCACCGACGAATCAGCTGGAGAAAGCTTTCGTGGACAAGCCGTCAACTGGAAATCTGTTGCAGGATCTCAGACGCGATTCCACTGCCGAAGCGCTCAAGCACCCCAAGTCGAAGATCAATCCCATGGTCCTCGACCTCACAAGTGACGAGAGCATTCGCAAGTTCTGCGATGAGGATGTGCCATGCTACATTGATGTGGTCGTTCACCATGCAAACATCACGGCACATCGCCGACAGGACAGGTTCGGCAGCATGTAAGTAAAAGCACCCACCTTATCGAATCCGGTAGTGATGTATGGTTCTGACTCGCTTTAGGTATCTCACCAACGTGCTTGGCCCATTCACACTCAGTTGTCGCCTTGAGAAGATGCTCTCACCAGGTGCTCGTGTGATCTTTGCTAACTCTTTCATCCACTACTTTGGGAGTCTTGCCGAAGGAAGAACTCAAATACAGAACCTTGGCGAAGATAGCTGTCCGACGTGGCTCCTCATCAAAATCGTCCTATGGTCCTGGTGGTGGAACCCACTGGCCGACACGGCAAGAGCCATCTTCTGGCTACCCCTCAAAACCACACTGTTCACTCTATCTCGTCTCCTCCCCGGCCCAGCGAACGGCATCGGACGCCTCGAGAACTTCCGCGCCTACGCGACCATGAAGCAAATGCAACTCGCCATGGTCACGCTCCTCGCCGAGCGCTGGAACGACAACCCCATCAACGACATGTTCGCTCCCGAATACGCACCACCCCCGCGAAAACCAATTCACATGCAAGCACCCCTCACCATCCGCAACAAGAAATTCCTCGTCCACGCCTACAACACCGGCGTGCCGAAAGAGTGGTTTCTCAAGAATATGCGCGAACGACCGACGCCATTCTTCTACGAGCCGGCTTAGTGGATTCTGACGCAGTGGGCGAGAGTCTTTGGTCGTGATACTGAGAACACCATCGCCACGGGCTTTTGGCTTGCCTCGACCCAGGATCTGGGAGAGATCGCTGGTGCCAGGAATGGGCATTATTGGGATCCGAAACAGTCGAGGGTTTCGCCGATGCATACGAATTATGTGGATGATCAGATGCTGAGGGGATTGTGGCGGGATTGGGAGAATCAGAGTGGGATTAAGTGGAAGAGGGAGTCGCCTGTGGAGGTTATGGAGCAGATTAGGCCGGACGTTATGGAGAGGTACCGGAAGGGTTTGCCATAAGGATCGAGTATGGTAAAGATGCCATGAGGATGGATTCTGTCGTTTCTGCTTGCTGGCTGATCGTTTGAAAGATTTTTTAGATGACCACGTATCGTGCAAATGCAAGGCCCTCCCTTGATTGAGAGACATTCCCTTTCCGTCAACTCCGCAGCGGTAAGTCAACTTCTGGCCAGCTATAGCTGCAGATACACTTTTACCTAATCGTGTCACTCTCAGCCTCATCTGCAGCTAGGTAGCTTGGAGCTCATCCCTCCGCCCTCTTGACTTGATTCGCTCTCGCCGCTGCGGGTGTCCCCTAATCAAGGTATTGCGACAGATTATGTCGTCAATTGCTGATAGCGGTATAAAAGCAACATACACTCCAATATATCGAATCAATCGAGAACACATCGTTTGATTAACAGGAGACAGGTAGAACACGAGTGAGAAAGAAAGAACACAGACTCGCCCAAATGCCGTCCTCAACTCAATGGCAAACCCTCAACGGCGCCACCGCCCCTTCAGATGATTCCTCCTTCACCATAACAGCGCCCACAGACACCGACAGCAAGTCCAGCCATCCACCCCCAGCCCTCACACTAAACTAACCCTCGACCACAGTCTGGCGCCGCAGCGACACAGACGACGTCTTCACCGCCCCAATCCTCTACCGCACCCTCCCCTCCCAAAAATTCAAATCCCTCACCGTCACCATCTTCGCCCCCTGGAAAACCCAATACGACCAAGGCGGCCTGATTCTCGCCTTTCCCAACCCCTCCAACCCCACCCCTCCCGAAAACACTAAAGGCCTCAAATGGCTCAAAGCCGGCATCGAATTCTTCTCCAACGCCTGCGTCCTCGGCGTCGTCGGCACGGACCGCTACAGCGACTGGAGCATCTCGCCCATGAAGGCCGAGTTTCACCAGAAGGCGACGTTCAGGGTCGTGAGGGAGGGGGAGGGCTTGTGGGTTTATGCGAAGCAGGAGGGTGGGGAGGGGGAGTTGGGGCCGGTGAGGGAGGTTAAGTGGGCGTCTATGGAGGGGCGGTTGGAGGGGGAGGTGAGTTTGATGTTTTGAGGCGCCCCTTAGTGAGGAGTGGTGTTTTGCTGACTGCTTTGTTCTTTTGTAGGTTTGGGTGGGCGTTTATGCGGCGAAGCCGAAGAAGGACGAGGGGATTGGTGGGGAGGAAAATGGGGAGAAGGGGCTCGAGGTTACGTTTTCGGATTTGGAGTTGGAGGTGGAGGAATAAGGTAGGGTTTACGTGATAGGGGTTTTGATGACGCTGATAAGACATAAGATGATGGAGCTTTTGGTAGATGTAGACTTGTACTGTTTGAGCCAGGGGCTCCAACAGTGAAAATGCACGTAGAGAAAACAGAGTATGAAAAAGCCAGATATGGGGACGAGAGACACCACGCAGACCCGCATAACGCAATCCAAAGACTTGAAAGAGCGGCGTGAGAGGGACATCTCGAAGGAACCCCAAGCCTCTTCAGCAAAGAATGACCCAACTGCCCATCGCTCTAGCAAGTCGCAATAACAGATTTGACATTCGCATAACAATTGTTATCCGGCACGAGGAAACCCTGTCCATCAGGACAATCCGGCACGTTGAAAAAGTAAGTCTTGCACTACGCCACGGAATCTCGTTAGTCAACAAAGACCACAAAGCAATCCTCACTTCCAAGCAAAAGGAGGAGGAAATCGAAAACTCACCCCCTGGCCCTGCGCAGTCGTCCCCACAGTCGCCCCAGGCGCATTGAAACACCCCGTCTGGCCGCCGGGGATGTACGTCATGACGCCGTCGGTCGAATAGCCTTTGCTGGCATCGTAGTCGACCAGCGCGCTTTGGCAGGCGCGTTCGGTGTGGAAGGTGATTTCGGCGAGGGTGGAGCCGGCTTCGATGGGTGTGAAGGCCCCTTGGCGCTTGGAGGGTTGGGAGGGGAGGGCGGCGGCGGCGGTGAGGCTTAGGAGGGTGGTGAGCATTTTTGGAGGAGGGTGGTGAGCATTTTTGGAGGAGGGGAGGGTTGGGTTGGGTTGGGTTGGGTTGGTGGAGGAGATGTAGAAAGATGCTTGTGCTGGAATGGGGCCAGGATATGGTTTACTGTGTGTGATGAGGTAGGGAGAGACTTGTAGCAGTGTCGGCAAGGCTGGATATGTACTTGGACGGGGAATGGCGCAGTCGGCCAAAGCTTGGGTATCGCTTTCTAGGTCGTTATGTTTGGATTTGTTTGTTGGATGCTCAGCTGACTTGGTGTAAAGGAAGGACGAACATCAATCATGTTTTGAGAACATGTGAGATCGTAAGCCGAGTGAGGCAAAGGGTGAGGGAAAAAGCAGTAGAAAGAGCGAGGGAAAGAATGGCAGGCAGGAAGTCGCTCTCGTCGAAACTACACTCGCATGCTCATTACCATAACACGAAACAGTTCAAGTTAGTCGTTCGTTCACTACGCTTCTTTCCCAAACAGGAAAACTCCAAACATGTGACGCGAGCATCCGTGCGTCCCGCAAAGCCCCAAAATAGTCTTAAGCGAGTCTTATAAACTTCGTAGCGAAAGGGAACAAGCCCCAGCGACTCTTATAGCTGTACTTGGTCAACCTCGCTTGATTCATGAAAAGAAATAGGATTGTTTTGTGGTGGTCATTACGACGGTGTTGACGAAAGTGTTGGGTAGAGTGAACATTATTACCGTAAAACCTCAAGTCCCCTGCAGCACTCTAGTCTAACTCCAATTCCCCTCCAACTCAAGCCTCTCCCCCCTCCTCTGCCTCTCCTCAATCTCATCAATACTCCACTTCTCCACTCGATGCCCTGCGGGAATATTCCCATTCACAAACCCCTTCCCCTCTCCCTCGCTCAAACTCCCCGCCGCCCTCGCGAAATTCTCCCGCGCATACACCTCCGGATCCAACCCCCAAATCCACCGTGGCGTCTTGAACGCAATCTTGCTGGGGTCCTGGCTGACGGACGAGAGGTCTGTCTTGTGCAGGCGCTCGGCGTTGACGAAGCCGAGGAGTTGGCAGCAGGAGACGCGGTCGGCGCGGAGGAGGTTGTGGGTGCGGACGGCGAGGGGGAGGGCGTCTTTGTTGGATTGGGAGAGGCATTCGGCGATGGTGATGCTGTCTTCGATGGCTTGCGTGGCGCCGTTGCCGGAGGTGGGGAGAAAAGGGTGAGCGGCGTCGCCGAGTTGGAGGACGCGGGCGCCGGGGGAGTGCCAGGTCCATTGCGGGTCGCGGGGGTTCAGGGGCCAGGCGATGATGGTTTCTGGTGGTGTCAGTCTGATCAGTGTCTTGATGGATTCGGGCCAGCCGGGGAGGCGATCGATGACGTTTAGCATCTCGTCGCTGGAGACGGTGTCGTGCCATGATTCTTTCCTGACTTGGCCTTCTGGCTCGCGGAACGCCAGTCCAAAGCAGAGCCTGCCGTTCTTGCCGTGCTTGTCGACGTAGCTTTGAATGACACAATGCGTGTCAGGGCCCATCCAGACTTGTTGGAAGGGGTACCGTCCGTCTCTCAGCCCAAACGTCTCGTTGACGAGCGGGTCCGCCGTGGCAATCTCGAGAGGGAACGCACCACGAAAGACAGTGCGTCCAGTGGGTTTCGCCTTTTCCGCAGGTCCAGGAATCAGAGCTTGAGACTTTGAATTCAACCCATCAGCAGCAATGACCAGATCCGCCTCGAACTTCTCCCCTTTATCCGTAACAACACCACCGACCTTCCGCTCAACGTCTTCATAGTACTCCACAACCCGCATGCCAAACCTGACCTTTATCCCAAACCGCTCCAGCTGGTGATACAGCATGGCATGAAACTGCGGACGCTGCTGAGTTTGAATTGGAGGCTTAGCGGCATGTTTGTGCCTGTCAGAGCCAGGAGTTCCAGCGGCGAAGGAGAACGGCTCTCCGATGTCCTCGCCTGTCCACTTGCGGTAGCGCATCCAGAGGTTGTGGGCGGTGACATCGTCGTACTCTCGTTGCATGTTGGGGTAGTGGTCTAGGAAGTGGAGGCCGCTTGCGCCGATGGTGAACATGTCGCCTGGTGATGAAGTCAGCATCTAATTGAAGGTTCAAACTCGTCTCTTAACGCACCACCAGCACTTGCTCTTGGTGACCTTTCGAAGACGCGGACGGCATGGCCCTTGCGATAGCATTCGAGTGCTGCAGTCAACCCGCCAACGCCTCCACCAATTATCAAGACGTTGATACCTGTCGACGCGGCACGGTTGACTTCGTCGTCGAACAAGCCAGCATGACCATTCGACAGCTTCACACCGTCAATGTCTTCTGAGAATTGAGCCATGATGAGGAAGAGCAGCAACCTTTGATCAAAAGAAGGGTTAAATTATTCTCCCTATGGGTATTCCCTTGTCACCTTTTCGCCTTTGCGCCGTCAGCATCCTCAGACGATAATGCCTACGCCTTTATACAATTTGCTATTTCACACATCGGAGGCAGCAACCACCGACATTGACTGTCAGCATGGTTCTCCATCATGTTGGTGAGGCCACGACAAGGACCACGTCGGCTGTTTCAAAGACCGATCTGTCGTGACAGCGGGTGGTCGTACACCATATTTGGTACATGGTCACTCCACCACGCAATCACGGGCCTCGAAGCGACTCTTGGCCTTGGTGCCTGCATGCCATGTGTTTGATATTCCACTCAAACTGGAAGTTCACTCGCATTACCATGCGGGTGGAACAGCCTTGAGCTTCCGTAGGCTGCTGGAGCCGTCATTGCAAACTTGATACGTGAGGAAAATTCGCCTTCTTTGTTTGCGTGCCATGTTTGACCTCTGCGGGCACGACCACCCTGCGCTGTGGGGATGCCGGTGACCGAGTGTCACGGTCTCTCCCCACACCCGAAGCCGGTACCTCGTGTGGCTTGAAGCGATGCGCATCGCGGCTGTTTTGTTGCAAGCTCGGAGCCGCATAAACTGTAACTTGCGAGCTGGGCCATCGGAGACATTCCTTCGGCACCGAGCCCTCTGCTCCCGAACAAAACATTCACTTCAGCCTCGTGACTTTCCCGTGACTTTGCGAAAACCGGTGCCGTTTGTCTGCTGACTTGCAGCCTGAGACATGCCCATCACTGCTGGCAAAGCTCAGACGCTAGTCTATCGAATTCCACCCAGTCGATCGCCTCCAAGTCGAAACTAAGCACTGCATCGTTCGGATCCTCGACACTGGTCCGTCCAAATGAGGTTGGGGTTGGCATTTGACTCATGGTTTCCATGCCAGGTAAAAGAGCGGTGTGAGGGCGAGAGCCATAGCCGCTGCTGAAACCGTTCAAAGGCTTGAAGCCTGGTGGTGACATGATGGTACTGTTGTCTTGATGAAGGATGTTCGGCTTCTGATCGTTCTCTACAATCCCAGGATGATCTTGCTGACGCTTGGCTGCATTTAGCAGGGAATGAATACCGTCCAGTAGCAGGCTCTTCCTTGGACCAAGCTCCAACGTAGGAATGATGATCTGAAATGCTTTTTGGATCAAGGTCCATGCTCGCGAGATCCCATGGCCGGATTGGCGTAAGCGAGTCTGCCGCAGCAAGGTCACCAGAGCATACCACTGAAAGTGGGCCTGCCAGTGCCATCTCCACTGCTGAACCATCGGTTCGCACCATAGATCGACCTGCAGCTGGAGGAGGTCCATGCTCAGCAAGAAAGCGTTTTCTGAGAATCCATCCGCATCCTCCCATTCCCTGTCCAGATCTACAATCGGTATGCGAGCAATTAAGCGAAGCTTAGTGGCAAAAGTTCTTGCCGTGTTGATGGCCATGTATTGCAGGGGTACAGTTGGATCACATGGCTCAATGATTTCTTCATTATATCTTTGCTCGATTCTTTGCATGATCTCAAGCTTCTCGTTGGTGGCCATTGAAGCATCCTGCAGTCTGTGCCAAGTTCCCTGTGGACCAGTGAGACTCTGCAGTCGACGGGCGACCGTCACACTCAGGATGCGTGATTGCAGGTAGATGGACTCTGTCGGTCCTCTACGTGATTCTGGGAGGCGGGCCATGCTCGGGAAAAGGTCGGAGTCGTTGAAGTTGGAGGGAGGTGCAGCTTCGTAGTCGTTACCCATGAGATCGCCATCTTGGCCAACCAGTTCAGCCATACGACCGTCGAAATAGACAATGCCCCACCAAAGACGTCGACGAAGCTCTGTCTCGAATGGAGAGAGATTGAATGAAGTGCCATCACGAGGCAGGCCTATTGTGCCAGCGATGCGAATGGCTAACCCGAACAGACTCCAGACTGTTTGGATCTCGCCGAGACTCCTAAGCGCAGCCAGATACAGAATGAGGGCCTGAAGAACCATCGTGTCGGTAGTCGTAATGAAGCCAGCATCCGATAGGGACATCTCAGTAATCTCTCTATATCTCTGGATAAGCGCAGCACGTGAATCTTGTAGCGACTCCACGCATTGCTCGTCTGTCAGAGAGATGGTACTGATGAAGAAGATGGCCGACGTCAGGGCTCTTTCATTCCGAGGAATGTTAGGCCTGCCGATCTGTCCGAGCAGAATCTGCTGGACAGTGGGAGCGTGCGATATTTTCATCACCGGGTCGATGTTGGCGAGGAATGTTTGCCACAAGAAGATGATGTGGCTCGCCTGGAAGTGCGTTGCATCTGATGGCGACTGAGAGTTCGAGTGGCTGTGGCCATTTCCAAAGATGAAGCTGCGTCCCCCTGATGGCTCGTCCCCACGGGCAATGTCTTCGTAGATGGCATGCCCCGACCGTGAGCCTGGTGTGTTGGACTTCTGAGGAGAGTTGGCTGCCGCCCCTGGGCTACCATTGCCGACTTGGCCATCGGTAGAGATGGCGGTCCAGAGATGGTTGTTTACATAGCGGTAACCCGAGCCATCCGAGACCAGGCGCGCGGTGCTGGTGCCCGCGCTATGGGTCGACTCTGGTGAGGGAAACTCATTGTTGCTGTTGTTGATGGCGCCCGAGAGTGTCGACGTGGGCCGGACCGCATGGGGATCCGATGGCAGACCTCCTATCCCAGGGCCCGAGACGGGTTCCTGCGTTGCGTGTTGGTGGGCGGTGTTGCGTCGTTGTCTCTTGCCGTGGCGTCCGGGGGGCGGAAAGTGGCAGTCAAGGCCTGACTTGGTACACGCCGCACACGGGTAGACTCGATCACATTTCACCTTTCGCTTCTGGCAGATCGCACATGACGGCGTGTGGTTGTCGCGCTTCTGGGGTGTCGTCTCCATGGCGCTCGCGCTGCTGACGCTTCATCGCGAGGTTAAGCCATGACGGTGGCGGGGGAGTCCTCACCGCTCTTTCTTGTTAAACAGCGGTGTGAAACTATCAAGACGTCTGTTCCCTGGCGTCCGCGATCTTGTTGCGAGTTTGCAATAGGTTCGGTACCGACAGTGACGGCGAGCAGGCGAGAGTGTGCGCAAAGACGTTGCTTTTGAGAGATCCGGAGCTTGCGAGCAGCTGTGCGTTGGGCTGCGTGAAAGAGCCAATGAGCTCGGCAGCTGCAGCCGCCGGCCCGCGACCGAATCCTCGAGACTCGACGGCGAGGGCGTTGACTCGTCAGGACACCACTTACGCTTCATATCAAGGCCGCCGCTACATGGCTAGCACTGGAGGAGGGATGCAACTCTACTGGGGTGGAGGGCCTGGAGCTGTGATGTGACGCGACCTGCTGCCAGGACAGCCAATAGACCTGGATTGCAGGACAAAGAGCTCGGCATCCGCGTAGAGAGAAAGCCATACGAAGGCCTACAAGAGGCAGGCGTGATGCGATGCCAGGCTCTGAGTGCCCGCCAAGCCATGTCGTTGGAAATGCGTCGTGAAGATCATCTTCGAGGCACTTTCGCAACCGGTCGGCACCTGCAGGACGGCGACAGCGTTCGGAGGATAGGCCAGAGAAGGAAAGATGTCGGTAGAGGGTGGACGTCTGGATGCAAAGAAGAAGTGAAGTCGAAAAGTGAGAGTACATAGAAGAAGTACGCTTGTTGGTGCACGTCCCCTGACCGTTGCAATAAGTGCGACGCCAGTAACGGCGGCAATCGTTTCCAGCCACCGGCATGTTCTGTATTACCATCTCGGCAAAAAGCAGAAACATTGAAGCATACTGTACCCTAGAAGAACAGAAGAAACGTCATCATTGCTTCGTCGAAAGGAGACCCAGGCCTCGTACCGTCCACCGAGACTGTTAACACGAATTGCAGTAACACCTTCGTCCAAGTCATAGCGCACCGCCTGACCTTGATCCTCCGCTAAGATCGGCACCTGGTCGCGAGGCTTCCCACTCTCGCAAGCCCTTTTCGATAGCAAGCACAAAGCTCTCTGCTCGGGGAATGTCGTCGTCCCTGTAACCCAGACGCCTTGTTCGCCAGCCAAACCAGCTCTCGGCTCTGGAACCCTCTGGTGCATCTACCAACCCGACAGCAACGTCTTTGAGGAACTCTCGGCCGTCGGCGTCATAGAACACAATCGCACCGCATCTTGAGCAGAAGTATCGGTAACACCCCGGCGAAGACTCGTACTTCCGCAGCGTGCCAAAGTCTCCAGACCAGGGAATCTTGCCTTCTTTGTCTTGTGTGATTTGGAAAGCCGGGATGAATGCCCACGTTGTGATCTCAACTCCAGCGGCCAGACGGCAGGAGTTGCACGAACAGAGGCCAGCCAGGAACTTTGTGCGATTGTCTCGCATGTAGAACGTTTCGCTTTCTGGTGGAAGCTGCTCGTTCGAGATGTCGAGAGGCGGCGACTCAGGCCAGTATTTCTCGGCAAGAGCTGATCTTGCGCTGGGACGGGTCACATAGAACTCGACGCCTCCACATCTGCATGTGCAGTGGAGTTTGTCGCTGGGAGATGCCTCGACTTCCGACCTCGACGTTGAGGTCCAGCCTGGCGGCACTTGCTCGTGCTTTCCATAGTGAGCAGGCCATCGCTCGAGCTTCTTGCCATTGATTTCGGTGAGGAAATCTGCGAACCCGCCGTCCAGCGTATCCTGCAAATGTTCGTGGCCCTGCCAGTCCACGATGTCTTCAATGCGCTCCAGAGTCCCTGTAGCCACATCCCACGTCACAGTGCTGTTTGGATCGTCGCCATCTTCCAAGCAGCGGGCAAGCATCTGACAACCGCAGGTCGTGCAGAAGTACTGGGTGATTCGCTTCGTGAAGACGTAGGCAGTCATCTTGTCTAGCACAGATTGAGCTGGCTGGTAGTATTCGGGGCAGAAGACGACAGTAAGACATTGGGCCCCAGTCATGCGTCTACATGAAGTGCAATGGCACATGTAGCCTTTCAGCGGCAAGTCACTCGTAGACAGGGTGACCTCATGGTTGGGCGCACCGCAGAGGCACGAGGCTTTGAGAATGGTCTTTTCAGCGGCTGAGTCGGCCAGCTTGGACTGCGACTTGACAACAGAGGGGGGTGGCATAGTGAGAGGTGAGGGACACTGTCGCCGCTGCGCAGCGTTACGAGATGGTACTTATCTGCATTGGCTTGTACATCGCGAATGCGCCCTGCGTGCAAAGCTGCTCTTGCGGCTCGGCGTTGGTGACTCCATGGTGAAGTGATGAGCTGATCAGCCATGTCTGTCGTCGATGTACATGCCACCAGCAAGTGAGGTCGGATTGAAGGCAGCGAAATGCATGCAGGTCAGACTCGACTTCAATGTGTGCCCATCCGTTGCCGGCCTCACCTTAATGGCAGAGCACGTGACAGACAATGGCCGACTTTATCGAGCGACGATTGGCTGCAGTAGCGACTGACGTGCGTCCGTGCTTGCGACTTGCATTTCTCCTCGACGACTTCGACTTCCTCCCTCGCGCACCTCATTTCTCGTCACTCTTTACCGGGCGGCTTCCGTGTGCTTTCGACGGCGTTTGGGCGCATCTGCAACAGCATCGAGTCGTGCCTTGCACGATCTTAACAACAACGTCACTCTCACCCGCCTCCATTCACCCCCCAGAGACGCACCTTGACCAGAAAAAGCGATTCACCATGGGCGACTCGTACCGCCCACCTCCTCCACGCGACCGTGGCGGTGGCGGCTACAACGACAACAATGGTTACACCTTCCGTGGCGCCGCCGACACCTACCGCCCCCCGCAACACCGCCCACAAGAGCGCTTCTCCTTCAACCCACCATCAGGCCCCGCGGCCCCTCATTTCCCTGCTCAGCAGCCACCACCACGTGCCCAGCGGCCCAACCGATTCGGCGCGAATAAGAATCGCGACCGCGGCAGAGGCGGACGTCAGCAAGGCGGTGCACCATATCGCCGCATACCAAAGCCGGCCCACGCACGCGAACTCTTGAGCCGAAAAGACCGCGAGACCACCCCAGAGCAGCTCGTCGGCATGAACACCGACGGCCAGCACCGCTATGTGGAGAAGACGTCAGACAGTGAAGATGAAGACGATACCAGCGACAGCGATGACACCAGCGAAGAAGACGGAGAACACGGCCAAGCACGCAAGCGTGTCAAGGTCGATGATGAGGCAGAACCTGCACGTCCGAAGTGGTCCAACCCTGACCCTTACAGCGTCTTACCACCTACCGATCTGGGCCTCCAGCCGAAGAAGGACATTGTCCAAACCATTCGCAAGGCCAAGGTGGATGCGTCGAGCCACAGCGATGCCACCAACGCCATCAAAGAGAACGTTGACTTCATATCTTTTGACTTCGGTGACGAAGTGGACAAAGATGAAGACATGGACAAGGAAGATGGTGCAGCGAGCGCATCCGGCAAGCCGTGGAAGCCCACCGATCGCGAGGTCGCAGAGAAGCTTACTGGATCGAAGAAAGATGGAAAGAAGCGCAAGCGCGTCGAGGAGCAGTCGGACCGTTGTGGAGACATTGTCGACGAATGGGTGGCGGATCCAAACAGCACCACCTCACTTCCTTGGCACAAGACTGACGAGAACTTCACATCCAGCACTGGCTTGCAGTAAGTACATGTTCAACGCTCCCGTTACGTGGTCAAAGACTAACTGATTTTGAAGTAGGCTGCATCTCGAAATCATCGACTTTTACCAGTACGTCCGCCCGCTTCAATACGAAGAAGACGTGCGCAGAGACATCATCGACCGCATCGAGTATGCCGTGCGCGACTGGGATCGAGCCTACCAGCATGACGTGAGGATCAAGTCGTTTGGCTCATTCGCCTCTGGTCTGTACCTCCCCACCGCTGACATGGACTTGGTTGCCGTTTCTCGATCCTACATGGACGGTGGACCGCCAGCCTTTTGTCGGTCGGGCGGTGACATGCACCGTCTGAGCAGATACCTCGTGGACCAAGGTATTGCGAAGAGCGGTACTGTGACTGTGGTCACGAGAGCCAAAGTGCCAATCATCAAATTCATTGACGACAGAACTAGCATCAAGGTCGACATCTCCTTCGAGAACGACTCCGGCCTCCGTGCCATCGACACCTTCTTGAGATGGAAGGAGCAGTATCCCGAGATGCCGTTCCTCGTGGTAATCATCAAGCAATTTCTCGCGATGCGTGGCCTCAACGAAGTCTTCGGCGGTGGCCTTGGCGGTTTCACGATCATCTGTTTGGTAGTGAGTATGCTGCAATTGATGCCAGCCAACCAACGCCAGTCTGAGGACATGGCTTCACAGTATGGCATGCTGTTGAGAGATTTTTTCGATCTCTATGGCAACAAGTTCAACCTGGAGCATACGGGTATCAAGATGAATCCTCCTGGATTGTTCAACAAGAAGGACCGACGTGCTATCCAGGCCAAGATCAACGTAATGGGCTTGACCATCATCGATCCCAACAGGCCCGACAACGACATTTCCGGTGGCTCTCGAAGGGTCCGGGATGTCTTTCAATACTTCCGAGAAGCACTTCACGCCATTCAGGAGCAAATGACCAAGATTCGCCTTGGCAAGGCAGAGACTTCCAGCATACTGGGCTGCATTCTGGCCGGCAATTACACGTCCTTCGGTGAGTCAAACGGCTGCGCACGCATACAGAATCATGGCTAACATTTTCTCCTATCCGCAGAGGAACAGCGTGACATCCTGGATCGCGTTCACCGTACCTATTCTACAATCAACCGGCCATCCCCTCCTCCACGCCCGAATCCGACCATGTATCCAGCAGCGCCGCCCACTCAACACGGATGGGTTACATACGCACAGCAGGTGCCTCCACCATCGCGTGAGGGACACTACTACGCACTTTCCAATGCTCACGGCTACCAACAACCACCAGTACCATATCATCCACCGCAGGCCCAACAGCATCTTCCGCTTCCAGCCCGACCACTTCAGCTGGCACCAGGCTTGCAACCAGGGCATGTCCTTCCACCGTATGCACCCCTTTACCCTACCAGCAATGCTCTGGGTTTCCCTCCCCCAACACTGCAACCATCCCTCCCGCACCCCCATGTCCTCCCACTACCCCTGCGCTCATACCAAATGAAACCCCACCTGTTTTGAAGCGTTTTTATCATGGCAATAAGAGGACGGCTCTCACCCTGAACGAGGGCTAACGCAATTCAAAGAAAGCAGTCGAAGAAGGCGAAAAAGAACAAGAAGGGCAAGAACCTTCTGAAGTGAGTTCATTCCGCTCGACAATCGACGACGCCGCCACCGGCTGACCTCGATCCAGCAGTACGCACGAGGAACCGACGAAGAAATCGAAAGCACAAAAGAAGAAGGAACGGAGGGAGAGGAAGAAGCTTGGGAACGCCACGCTAGGAGATTCTCAAGCACCACAGGTGAAGAAGAAGAAAGACAAGAAAAAGAAACCCGACACTGAAACAGAAAGAAAGGCGATGGCAAAGGAAGAGAGGGATAAGCGGGCGAAGAAGCGCCACGACACCCTCTAACACGATGTGCCATGATTGACGACGCGAGCGAACCGATGGGATGAGACCAATGACCGGTAACGTGGGCTTCTTCAGTCTGCTTTTTTCTGCTTGCATGCAGATGATACCCTTGTACGATTAGATAACCTGCTTTTCTTTTAGGACGACGGTGCCGCGCAGTCTCGGCGACATGCCTTGGTGTGTCCGCTGCTCTTGTGGCAGCTGGCCTGGCTCTCTGCCTCGCCTCTTGGACGGCGCCGTTGGTCCATTGTCACTAGCTTATGTTTTTGCTTTCCCCTACTTTTCATCCTCACATGCACTCACACACAGACTCGAGCCGAACGGAAACGAACGACCAGGATACACTGACAAACCAGCTACCGACACACTCAGCGCCCGAGCGTTGACGGAAGGGAAACTTGGGGGCTCTTACGACTGGACTCGATCTCGCCTCATGAGACGAGCATCAAGATCTATGAGATCTTTGTGGGGAATGCCTGAAATCTCACACTTCTGGTGTGATGATTGAACAAACAGATCTGATTCTAGATCTTTGAAAACACGGTGCTGAGTGAGGGATCTTCTGCTTTTGCGGATGTTCCTTGCGTTTGAGGTGCCTTTGCGGCTTTTGGTCGTTCTTTTCTCATCGAGTGGGTCGCGCTGGCGGACGCTCGGAGAGGAAGATCGAGGAGGAGGAGGAGGAGGAGGAGGCTGGAGGTAAGTCGGGCCTTCATGTCGTTGGCGAAGAGGCCTGATGTGGTCCCCAGGCGTACACTCCAACAACAGTGAGTGGCACTGGCCTCGTAGATAATGTCGGCGGCTTTCCGAACATCCTACGGCGATGAGCTGTTGGTGAACATCTTACCGGATCAGGCACAAGGTAAGGCTGGACATGTGAACCTACTGCGTGTGAATGCCGCATCTATCACCTCACCCTGATGACGGAACACAATACATGTACTATCGCAATCGTACACCAACCGAGTCCAGCCCCACCGCTCATTGCGGAGATAGTTGCGGGTCATCTACTTTTGAACCATCGCTTCCCACGGCCACGCTAAACATCGCTTGGGCTTAGATAAAAACTCTCCCCCCATCTTGACGACATGTCTCCTTCCGCTTCCGGCCATCGTTCCTGGATGCGATCTACGCGCGCTGATAAGTGTCATCACGACTCATGAGATCGGCCAATGCCACTCTGCCCTGGCTGGGCAGTTGGGTAGTCTCCTCTTTGGCTCTTGTGGTCACCTTCCGTTCCTGTTGATCTGCTTGAGGTAGCGCGTTTCTTGTCGAGATGTGTGAATGGCTTAAAGCAAACAAGCCTCCCCTTGGTGGAGCTTGGTGTGTCTTGTCTTTCAACGGTTTGAAAAGGACGAGATGAAGGAGTTTACTTGTTGGTTGGTCGTGGCGTCGCTTTTGTTGCTGGCGGATGCAGTGCCGACGGAGAGCACACGGCATGTTTTGCATGAGAAGAGGTCTACAACGCCTCGCCGCTGGCAACGGGGCGAGAGGGTGCATCCTGATGCGATTCTGCCGGTGAAGATTGGGTTGACGCAGAGGAATTTGGAGGATGGGTATGGGTTGCTTATGCAAGTCAGTCATCCGGCGTCGGAGAGGTATGGGAGGCATTGGAGTGCGGAAGAGGTGCATGATTTTTTTGCTCCTGCTGAGGAGGTGAGTTGTATGTGCTTGAAGCAAGGGGAAGGGGACTGATACTTTGCAGGCTGCTGAAGATGTCAAGGCCTGGTTGATGAGTTCTGGTATCGATCCCTCTGGCATTTTGCACTACGAGAACAAGGGCTGGCTCGCGTTGAACGTATCTGCTGCCAAAGCGGAGCAGATGTTCAAGACGGAGTACTTCGAGTACGAGAAGAAAGGCAGCCAAAGCGAAAGCGTCAAGGTTGGCTGTGACGACTACCATCTCCCCGAGCACATCGCCAAGCACATCGACTACATCACGCCAGGGATTGCACTCTCATCGAACATGATCAAGTCGCGAGTCAAGAGGGATTGGCCACATCATCGAGGGCCCGACTTTCGACCCCCTGGGCCTCACAAGTGGCAGCCTCCTCATCAGCCATGGCATTTGCCACCTGGTGCTGGCGATTTGCCTTCGGAACTACAGGGCTGTTCTGCGAATGTGACGCCGACGTGTTTGAGGGCGCTCTATGGCATTCCCGAGGTAAGTAGTCAAGTCTAACATACTGTCTCCTGGTCCAATCTAACACTCAAACCCACAGGCCACGAAAAGCGACAACGTCAACAGCCTAGGCCTCTACGAGAGCGGCGACACCTACTCCCAGGAAGACCTCAATCTCTTCTTCCAACACTACGCCTCAAACGTCCCACAAGGCACACATCCAATTCTGAACTCAGTCGACGGCGGCCAAGCCCCCGTGGCCCCTGGCAGCGAATACAACACCGGCGAGTCAGACATCGACATGGACATCGCTTTCTCTCTGGTCTATCCTCAGACCGTCACGCTGTACCAAGTCGACGACCAGAACAATGGCCTTGTGGATGGCTTTAATAACTTCCTCGATGCATTGGATGGGTCGTATTGCTCGTACACCGCTTATGGAATCACTGGAAACACTTCACCTTATGATAGTGTGTATCCCGACCCTGCACCAGGAGGGTATAAGGGACCGGTTATGTGTGGGACGTACAAACCAACACGGGTTATAAGTGTCAGCTATGGCGAAGCCGAGTATGATTTCCCTTGGAACTACACTAGACGGCAGTGCAATGAGTATATGAAGCTTGGACTGCAGGTGAGTATTTCCGTTCATGACATGCACTTGAGACAGGTGGGCTAAGAATCCTCAGGGCGTCACCATCATGTACGCCTCTGGCGACTACGGCGTCGGTAGCTTCCCAGGAGACGACAGTGATTCTGGATGCCTCGGAGACGCCCAGAACGTCTTCAACCCTCAATACCCGACATGCCCATATGTGCTGTCAGTCGGGGCTACGAGACTCTACCCGAACCAGACCGTGAGAGATAGGGAGTCCGCCATGCAAGCCTACGAGATCTCATCCACCTTCAACAGTGCAGGAGGTAAAGTCCACCAACAACAATCTGCTCCGCTCCGCTAACCCCATCACCAGGCTTCTCAAACTACTTCCCCGTCCCCTCCTACCAAAAATCCGCCATATCGACCTACTTCTCCGCCCACGACCCCGGTCTCCCCTCCTACACCTCCGGCCCTCAAGGACAGAACATCGGCGCCAACGGCGGCGTGTACAACCGTGCCGGCCGCGGTCTGCCAGACGTGTCCGCGAACGGAGCACGCTTCGTGGCGTACAACAACTTGACGCTGGGGCATTGGTTTGGCACGTCTCTGGCGTCGCCGGAGTGGGCGAGTGTGATTACGCTGATCAACCAGGAGCGGACGGCGGCTGGGAAGGGGAGCGTGGGGTTTGTTAATCCGACGTTGTGAGTACGGCCTACAGTGATTTGATTGAGAATGGTGCTGACATGGTTGCTGCTAGATATGAGAATACATGGGCTTTGAACGATGTCGTCAATGGATCTAATCCTAATTGTGGGAGTACCGGGTTCCAGGCTGTGCCTGGTTGGGATCCGGTTACTGGTATGTCACGATGCTGGAGATTTTTTGTGCTTTGATATGGTACTGATTGATATGTTGTAGGACTGGGGACGCCGAGTTATCCGAAGTTGTTGCAGGTGTTTTCGCGACTGCCGTGAGGGTCTTTGGGGTGAAGGTAAGGCTGAGACTCTATGGCTCATTGACGCTTTACTATCTTCCCCGTCGCTAGGCGACTAACGAGGCTATGACAAGGACTGGGGTCACTTAACAAAGAGGACTTGTGCGACGGACGTCGAAGCTTTGTTGGAAGCCGGTCCTTCATGAGAATGAAGATCATTGTACGTTGCTCAAAGAGACCTTTGTCACTAGACCAAAGACAAGGTTTGTGAGTTGTTTGAAAGAAGGCCATTGTCGAGTTCTTTCTTCACTCCGTCTTTGCACCACCCCTCAACATAAGTACACGCAAGTCCCCGAAAGAAATACCGCATTATACCTTCCGAGTCCTACTCAAAACGCACGTCCAACCGCTCAAACTCAACAACCTCTCGGACCCAACAAACAAACCAACCCACACCAACCCAACCCACCATGCGTTTCACCGCCCTCACCACCGCCGCCCTCCTAGCATCCAGTGCCCTGGCGGCACCCACCCCCTCCCCACAACCCTCTCTCGCCCCGAACACCGCAACCTGCGCCCTCACCTACAAAATCTACTCAGGCGCCTACACCGTCAATATCGGCCGTCCTTTCCACAACGGCGCCGGCTGCGACTACGTCAAAGCCGCGCTCAAATCCAAGGTCGAGCTCGCGACGAATTTCAAGTGCAAGGATGATGGCTCCGGCCAGACTGTGCTGTCGTGGAAGACGAATATGAAGCAGACCAAGGCGAACGAGGGACTGCAGAAGGCGTATCCGATGATTGATTTTGTGGGGGGGAAGGTTTGTGATCCGTATTTGCCTTAGAGGGAGTACAGGTGAGTGCTTCTTTTCCTTTGGCGATGGCGGTTTTTGGTTTCCCATTTGCGTGTTGGCGTTGATAGCGAGCGATATTTCCAGCCTTGTTGAGAGAACAAGGCGATCCTGAAATAGCTTTCCAATCTCGAGGATTTTCTCCGAACTGTCGTTTCAACTTTCTCCCGTGTCCACATTGTTGTAATTAGTCCATAGTTCATGAAGTCCAGCCGATAGGGGTCCTCGTCATCTGGCTCGTCTGAATCGATGGGCTCATTCCTGTCGAGATCAAGTTCCTTATCTCCTGGTGGCTTCGGCTCTTGAAGTAGGCCAGCATCGCCGTCCTTGTAATCTTGCAGTAGCTACAGTGTCGCTTTTCTAGATACTCTCAAACAACCCCTCTAAGCCCTCCAACTCCTCATCCTCCCCCTTCACCCCAAATCTCACCGCATGCTTACAATACTCCTCCCCATACTCACTCTCCAAAACCCCACACATCCCCCTCACAACTTCACTCCTCTGCACCCTCTTCAAATCCTTCGGGCAATTCGCATCATGCCTACAATTCGCGTCCCAAAAGTAGAACCCCCTCATCAGTTTCCGATTCTCCTCCCCAATCACCTTCAACCAATCGACCACAATCTCCGTGTCGGTTTCGTAGCAGTACCCGGCTTGGAAGCGGTTGTACTTGTAGAAGATCGGTAGGGCGTCGGCGCGGATTGAGCGGCATACGCGGGTCAGGGAGGGTTGCCAGGGGGGTTCCTTTTCGCCGGCTTCCCAGGACGCTTGGTCGGTGTAGTACTCGTCGGTCCAACCGCCGTAGCTGCTGTCGCAGGGGCAGTTTAGGTGGAGAGGTTCCGGCGAGATTACGGTGGACTCCCAGATGAGGAGTTGCAGTTCTGGTGGGAGAGAGAGGAGTCTTGAAGGCTGGTTTGGTCGATTGGGCTGCTGTGGTTCTTGTTCAGATGTAGTTATGGATCCGGGACTCCGCTCCTCCTCGTGGGGAGCTTGTGGGGGTGGAGATGTTGTCATTGCTTCTTCTTCTGGCTTGTTATTTTCGAAGGGCAGTTCGACGGCGCTGTCGTATCTCTCGAGTGTGTCGTCCATAGTTCTTGATTTTTTAGCTGTGGTAATGTTGCAGGAAGAAGGAGCCTTATAGAGTTGTAGCCACAAGGTGGGTCACTTGACCGGTCCAGGCAGTAAGCTCGAGGCAGCCCGCGATACAAGCTGCAGTGTGGCTCAGTAGATGACTTATTATTATCAATGACTAGAAACAGCCTGACTCGAAAAGGAGAATTCGCTGCAATATTCTTTCAAGACTTGTGATATGTTGTAGAAGAGAGGAGGGAGGATGACTCTCGAGACATTCACCTCATCAACGGCCGTGCGAGGCTCGTGCGGAGAACCCTGCGTCTCGGGAGGATTGCCGGGCATCTGGGCCCTCGCGGTTGGTGTGAACCAACATCGCCAGGTCACATGCCAGCTTCGAACGTCAAAGTCCAGATTCTTGACTTTGCCACTGTCTGCAGACAGACGATACTACTGAGGCGAACGAATGACTGGTCTTGGGTATCTAATTGTTAAACACATGAAACACTAGCGAGTGTCGTGGACGGGCGTCCTCCTGCCGTCAAGAGCTCTCTCTTCGAGCATCAGCCTTGCACAGGCCCATCGTACTGGCGCTATCACAGCTCGTCATATCATCCTTCGACGAAGTCGTCTCAATCGTTTCAATCGTATCTGCAGTTTCGATCGTATCAGTACGAATATGGCCAATCTCCTTGCCCAGCCAGTTCTGCAGAGCCTGGGTTGCTTGGGGTGGTATTGTCAGAGTCTCCCGACTTGCGGGTGGTGGTAACATCGAGCTCTGTCGCTTTGGCACGGAAAGATCGCGCGTGCTGGCATTGCCCAATTCGTAGACTTCGGGGGTTGCTTGTGCTGCTTTCTCTACGTCGTCGATGGGGACTTGGTGTCCCAGCTTGTTGAAGTCAACAGCATCGGGACGACTCTCGACGGATGGCCCGATGAACTCACTTCGAGTGCCGAAGTAGCTTTCCCCAATAGCCAGGCTGGGGAACATGCGAGTGAGAAGCCCCTTGAGTGTGGGAATACACTACGTTCGTCAGCGAGGCAACCCCGAATTCATCAGAAGGTTACTTACCGAGCAAATGATTCCCACATTGACCTCCATACTACTCCAGATAGCCGCCATCGGATTGTCCCAGCTGACATCTGTCGACTTGGAAATAACGTAGAGCGACTGCAAGCGAAGGATCGAAATCACACATGTGATGCCACCCAAGCCAAACACAACCATGAGAAGGTACTTTTGCTTTTTGGGGATGCGGAGGGTGTTGAGGATTGGTAAGGGGAGGATCGTGGTGCCAATGTCAGTGATTATGTTGAAGGCAGCGTTGGCAAACCTCGTGAGCGTCAGTGCCTTGTTACAGTCTCATCGCAATGTATCTGGGAAACTCACCACACGGCAAGGCGATCGAGACAAGTTCCCTTTACGCTCATATCCCAAAATGAATTGATTGGAGTGCACGCAAACACTGCACTAAAGAACGCCCAAGCTGTCCAGGCCGTTAGGAAGGCCATCAGAGCGTAGCATGCTCTGCGATAGAAGCCAGCCTCTGGTAGGATCCGAAGATACTGGAACAAGATAGACATCTTGACAGCCCAAAGGCTACTGTAGTAAAGGAAAACGCTCGCCCAGAACCCTGTAGGAGTCGAATCAGTACAGTTGTTGAGAGAGATTCATCGACAACTCAGGCTTCGCCGACCGGCAGCAACTTACAGCGTAGAGACATGACCTTGTCATTGTCATTGAGCGAAGAGTAATGTCGACCGACTCCGTATTGCACCTGCTCGCACATCGTGACCGTTACAAGGATCGAAAGAATCTACACCGTGTGTCAGCCTGCCTCAGCTACTGTCTGCTTGACATGTAAATGCTTACCACTCCAACGACTATAAAGACATCGTCAATGCCGGCATTGTGTACAAGCAGCTTGCGAGTGTACAGTCTTGCCACGGTCAAAACGACACCGATTACAGTGAAGGTGACAACGACAGCCACAACCGCGGCGCCTGAAGTGTGGCCGCCAGACACCATGGCGAATTCGACCTATACAACAGATACGTCGAACCCCGATGTGGCTGCGTGTTCAGCACCCCCTCAACTTTTATTGTGGAGTGGTTTGTCGCTGTCCCTGCCTGAGGCTCGGAACGCAGTGATGCCGTATGTACGTATGACGGATGCTCGAACAGTGTGTGGCTGGGGAACGCAGGCGGGTTGTGTCTTCCAGAGATCCGGGACGTCAAAGCCTGGTGCCGGACCAGACGTGCATGCAGCAACGAAAGGTAGAAAGTCGAACGAATGGAGAAATCGCAACGAGACGAAACCAGCACTCCTCGTCGCTGGAATATATGCTATTTCCCTAGCACGCTCCCTGTGATGGCACAATGGCCACATCTCTTTTGTCTTTGGCACTATCCTCAGCATCACAACTGCTCGTCCCAATGCTTGCAAAGAACCATGTCTTTTGGGTTTCTGGAGACCGATCGACAAGCCGTTGAACAAGGTCCTGGAGGCACTATTCCTTGATCGTGTGCTGTGATGTTGTGAACGATGCTGTGATGACCGTTCGGACATGCTAGGCCGGAGGTCCTTGCTCCAGAGTGATCGACATTGATCCAAATGGCGTCAGTCCAGAAGGGAACAGATCTTCAGGGCCGGGTCTAACGTTGATGCCGCATCCCCACAACACTATGCAAAAAGCCGTTCGTGGGACGTTGCTGGCGTTGCTATGAAACAATAGTTATCAACTTCACGTGAGGTTTCATGTTGCAAAGAAGTGTGAAGTTTGCCAAGGTCGTTGAATTTCTTGGGCACTGTTGAACGGCCATAACGGTGGACAGCGGAGGAAAGGTTGTCAAGACCGCCGTCGAGCTCACTACAATGTTGACATCTTGGTTAAAAGTCAGCAAATAGGACACTGTTCCCTGTTGCAGAAGCCGGCGTCTGCAAGGGTAGACAAAAACAAAGATGCCGTCGGGACCATTTATCTACCCGTGGCTTGGACAGCTTCACGCTGCAGCGGCAGCAACGCCCACACTGATCAACCTTGCATGCAGTCCGGGGAACGAACTAGAGCAAAGTGTGATATGGCTTCGTAGTACCGAGCCGCCAATGCTGGGACGCTGATCAGGTGCCTCTGGTGCGCTGCTCACGCGGCGTTGAAGAAGAGGGAGGTTTTCCTGTGATGGCTATGTCTGGTGAAACACTGGACGAGAGTTCGACAGGCCGCCGTTTCCTGGCCTCTCGTGGAAGCCCAAGACCACAATCCGGGTTCTCTGCGTGCTTTTCGTGGAGCTGCAATAATGGTCTGGAGGACAAACAGGACTTGGTGTCACTCATAGCATGTCATTTGAACCAAAGCTGATGCCACTACAGGTCTAGAGCATCGACTCCGCGTACTCGGGATCGAGACTGAGGATTATCGAACGCCACCGTGATGAGCACCGCCGGCGATTTGCTCCTCAAAGACGACTTTGTAGTAGCTTTTGTGACAAAGGATGTGCCGACTTTCCCCAGGTGATACCGGGAGCGTAGAAGGTTAAACGGGAAGTTTTGCGGACCAAAAGTGATGCCTCAGCCATTGACAGGCATGAAACGTCCTAAACTCGGCCGTTGAGAATTCTGGGCAGCAGGAATCCAGCCATCGGCTAATGTCACCAAGGTATACTGGCTTCGTGATGGATTGTGTTTCTGTTGGGCGCTGGTGTGGAATGGCGAGCGGCTGGCGGAAAGTATGAGAGGTGAGGTGGTGAGGAATATGGACCAGGATTGTGAAAAGCGTGGGAAAGGGGTTGGAGGGAGCGCTCGGGCCAGCACAACAACAACAGTCAGGTGATCGGATTACTACGCATTAGGTATACCGTCGCAGTCAGGTCAGCATTTTCCTTCGACTTCAATTCCTGGGCAACTTCGATGCCACAACATCACCCACGATACTGCTTTTCCCGGGACAGCGACCGTGACATCTAGGAGTAAAGGATCATGCAGGCACCAAATCTTCCATCGCCGCCACTCGTAGACACAACCTAGAATGGCGAAAACAGGCTCCTGCGAATCCAGCCTTCACGATCGACCTCAACGAGAAGCCTCTTTGATCATCTGCGACTTTGTCTTCAGTCATGTCATGCCCCAGACTCGAGGACCACAGTGCGCCGCAGACTGCAACTCAGCGGCAGTGAGACAGAGACAGCCCTACCTGCCGTCTCACACCATGGTCCAAGAATGATTATACTCTTTCGCCTGCTTCGTCAGCCATCCTGCGAGAGCTGCATGAGCTGTATTCGCGCCCCAACTTCCTCATAGGACTTTGGGTGTAGCTCTTCAGGCCATTGGGTTCACCAGTGACTTCCAGACTCGACAGTCGCTACCGCGCAATGTCAGCGTCGCAGCCATGCCCTTGCATTCTACATCCACACTCAGGAACAGGCAGCATACACGAATCCTCGAACGAATCCTCACACATCCATCGTCACTCACCTCGCCAATGAGTTGGCTGTACCTTGTGCCTCCCGCGCTCCTTGTTCAATGGATTGAATCATTCTTCGCCTGCTCCTCCATCCATGCGCCCATGTGTTACTTCAATCAGGCCGCTACCTTCAACTAGATCATCCATCTAAGCCATGAGGCGGCTGAGGTGAGATGTCTTGACATGATCGCTAACACATTCTACGATCCTTCAGAATGCGCTGTACGCGGAGCAGACGCGATCCACGGAGCTCACCACTCTGAACTCTGACCACCGGAAAAGAATATAAAGCAAGAGATGCCAGCATGGCTGACACGTGGTTGTCTCTTCAGACAAGGGTGCCTTGCCTGGATGACATTGGCCACTTGATATTTATTTACCTCTCAGACACTTTTCTTGGTGCATCAGAACAGCCCCAATGTATTCCTCTGATCTTTTCACATTGCTCCTCAGTGCATCGCTGGCCACAGCATTGCCTGCCCCTGCTGCTGCTCCCAACCAGAACCAGTTTCCTATCAACGATGGCTTCCCCAATCCGAACAATGACCAACTGCAGAAAATCTTCCGGGGAGCTCATGGGACGTTGCCAAACACACCTATCCCCAAGTTCCATGCAGACACATTCAAGAGCCTGCAGCTCATTGCAACAAATGAGCTAGCCGAGGTTTCCTTATATCAAATATGCCTATTGTGAGCTTGATGCTTTGTGCCCTACATTCTAGTTTATACTGACTTGGGGTATAGGAAACTCAAGAATGGCACATTTGGTCCGGAGAACTTCGTCAACGAGGAGCATCGTCAATTCGTGATCGCTACTTTCGATGCCTTCTATCAACAAGAAGAGGTACACACCCTCATCGGACAAGGTGGCCTACAGGCCAATGGACAGCCAGAAGTCCAGCCATCTCAGTATCAGCTCAAGACCGACACATACCAAGATTGTCTTACAACGGCGAACATACTCGGAGACAATGTCCTAGGCACCTCGCAAGGTGTGATCAATCAAGCCATCGCCGCAGGGGACAGTGGTCTGGCTGCCCAACTGGATTCACTCATCGCCCAAGAAGGTCAACAAAGCGGCTTCCTTCGCAGCGAGATGCTTGTAAATGGCAAGCACAGCCGAATCCCTGGAGCCATGCCAGCCTATACGGCGTCCACGCGCGAGTTCCTCTTTGCGCTGCTGGAACAGAACTTCATCAAGCCAGGAACTGACAAGAACAACATCAATCTCCCTGTCTACTTCCCCTTGTCTGTCCAGAACAAGAACATCGACCCTGTCGATCAAACCCTCAACTACCAAGTCAACCTCAACCCCAAGACCGGCAATAACTACAAGTTCATCTCGAAAGTCAACTGGGACTCAAAAGATCTCTACCTCGCCTATATCTCCGGGCAGAACAAGCCATTCTTCGAGCCAATCAAGAACGTAAAGATGAATTCGAAGCGACTGATCTTGACGTTCGATGCCGACTTCCCTGCAGACACCAACATCATCAACGGTTTTGCTGTCGGGGCTCTTACATCGGGTAACAACTCGACGACGGCACAGGAGGTGACGTCGAACACTGTTGCCGGTCCAGCGACCATTGAGCTGACGAACTAACGTGCTGGACACCATGAGGGGAGTGAGTAAACGCTTGGAAGAAAGACAATGGGTTGAATGAATTGGCCAGTGATGACTGTCGTTAACGAAGAATACGATCCTGTCCCGCTCATATGTAAATAGAATACAAAAGTATCATTCTCCAAATTTGTGCTGTCTCCAAGTGCTCTTCTTGAGTGGGCACGTGAACGGTGATGGCCTGAGGATGAGGTTGGGAGCACGGACCACGACCGTTGACGCTGCCCTGATCAGCTCTATCTTCCACCTTCCTCCTTCTCATCATCACATAGTCTAATCATTATTGATGGGCTGGACACCCTGCGACAAATGTGAAACTGAGGTTACAGACTTCAGCAACACTCACGCACATGGCGTCCACCGCCTTTGCACGGATCTCATCGCGTTTCCGAGCTCCGCGTCCGCGGACCACCTGAGAATCCTGTGTTCCGCTTCACGCAAGGCTCCTTCAGCTCCACCAACAGCCATGCTTGTGTCATTGAGGCGGTATCGTGTCACGACAGCTGGAGGACTCGAAAGCGCGAAAGGTCACGATGACCGACCGCCCAGACGGCAGCGTGCCTCTGCCAAGCTGATTTTGCAGAAAGCAGTTAACTCCTGTCACTTCTGTCCTCGTAACGGCAGTTGGTCTTCACAGCATAGCCAGCGCACAGGTCGTACTCTATATAAGTATCCAACGCGAGACGAGCGAGCATCGCACACGAGAAGCAAGCCTGAAGAAAAGACCGGACCATTTCGACCGTGGCTATGCAAAGGAGATCCCACGGTTCCTACGGCGTAAGAAACTCCCGAAGGACGTGCAATTGCTTGGCCTGAGGCGCAAGCAGTTCCTGATACCGCTTGGCGTTCGACTTCACTGATGCCTACGGTCGCACCTAATTTACACCACAGGTGCGCACTTCGGTCCACCGCCGTAGCTCGTTTTTCATTCCCCATGTCGTCAGGCGCTTCCTTTCGAGCCAGTCGGTGATACGATTGCGACTGGAAAGCCTGTCGACTATACGAGTAGGAAGCGCGGATGTCAGCGGATTCGCTCGCAACTCTCGCTCACAGCGCTTTTGCTGCACAGCCCGCGCCAGCTGAACCAACTGAGACAGACCATTTTGTCGTACTACGCATCAGGCATCCGTATGGATCTTTTGTAGGATGACTGTTCCGTCAGATCAGATGTCGTGTCAGCGCCGGGAACCTTGTTCTGCCGTGATGCATAAGACGTGAGGTCATGCCTGACGTTGCGTTCGTGGTTGGTATTATTATTGCAGCCCCATCCTGTTCACTCACGAGTCTCTTCGAACGTTTCGACTGTTTCGTCTAACATCGAGTCAACATGCCGTCGTCTGTTACTGCGAGCGTTGCTTACCTGGCCCTCTCCATCTTCGCATCAAGCTCTACCGCATATCCCTTCACTCAACAACCGGCGAACGTCGATCAGACACCTCAATATGTCATCTCCGCAACATCTGGTCCCGAAGGTCCTGGATGCAACAACGATATCATCGACTCCATGATCTGGAAGGACAAGTTTGTCTCGAACGGATGTGTGGCCCTCGATGCCCCCGCGTACTGTTTGAGTTGGAACTCGACCTTTGCCAGTGAAGAAGTACAGGTCTTTGAGAATCACGGCTGTCGAAGTGGTGGTCACCCACACGTGTGGAAGTCCGAGGCCGATGGAAAGGTCGTTCTGCAGTCCGCAGCGCCGATTTACAGCTTTCTTGTGGGGTCCCCCAAGGAAAAGACGGCTACGTCGAAATCCAACGCCTATCGATGAGAGTAGTGCACCTGGATGCAACAAGCACAAATTTAAAAGCGTGAGCAGTCAAGACGCTTTTCGCCAACGACAACGGACATTGTACAGGACAATGTCAACGGACTAGAGCAGACCATCCGACGAGCAGCATCCCCAAAGGCGGCCGCCTCAATCGTATCCGCCCCTCAAATTCAACATCAGAGAGAAAATCTCCCTGCTCTGAAGAGTGTTGAGATGGACAGAAGTCACGGCGCTCCAGTCGAGAGAAGCCATCCCACGCCTGAGTCGTCCGGCCGAAGTAGGGGCGACAGAAACAGCTGCACTCCTCGGCACGTCCCAATTACTCTTCGAACTTCATCCGGTCAAGCCTCTCCTAGATGTACTGGAACTTGGCATCACGACTCATGAACATTCGAAGATGCTAACATCTTGTGGGTGGATATTCTGACTTGGCTGAATATTTGAGATCTTGGGAGGATGTGGAGCGTTGGAGCGTGTAGCGGTGGCTTCGCGGCAGTATCATGACTTGCATTTTTGGTCTCTTACCACGGAAGAAAAACATAGCAATTCGATTGTATCAATGATATACAAACCCAAGAAATGGAACAAAGCATCCCAAAAAGTACCTCACACCTCGCTCATATGCCTCTATCCAAAAACACACTTCGACGCTAGAATCGTCGCTCGCGTGCCTGCCGTTGCGACGAGATCCACCCGGCACGTGCGTTCGCCCACTAACAAACTCAATCCTCCCTTCTCTAACACGCCATGTGCTTCGCTTAAGCACCCAACTCATGACCTGCATCGTCGACACATCCACTTGCCGAGGGCGTCCCGGCAGCGAGACTGCTTTCGACCAGTCGTCCGTTGCTCTTTTGGTGCGCGGTATGTATGGGGGACGAGGTGCAATTCCAGAACGAGGTGCCGTGCTGCCCGGCATGGTGCCATATTGGGGTTTGTTGCGGGTATGTATGTAGGCGAACTGCTGTGTTTGGGCAGTGGAACGAAATTTTTGGGCTGGGCTCGAACGAGAGAGGAGTTCTCTAATCGTGGTGAGAGGGGTCTCTTTTCTTTCGTCTTGCTATTTTACTGCACATTGCCCTTTCGACCCCTGCTAGACATCTCCATCGCTTCCCTGTCTTTCTCTGCATTCGTCTCCTAGTAGAGCTGGGGTGGTACGGGACCCGCGGTGGACCTTCTGGAGTGCTTTTCGTTCGAGAGAGACTCCTGGACCTCACAGCTTCCTCGACTTCCTCTCCCTGGACCGATCCTGCTGTCTCTACTCCAAGGCGTGGGCCTACGAAGGCTCGTCGAGAGCTACGCCGTGGATGCAAACTTCCTCTCTACCTAGACGTTCTAACCCCTCGAAATCGACTGCAAGATGACCGTCGGAAGAACAGCGACCCTCGCGGTCAACATCACCTTCTTCATCCTCTCCTGGCTCTCCGTAGGCCTGCGCATCCTAGTCAGAGCCGGCATGCTGCGAGCCTTTGGATCCGATGACTGGACGATGTTGGCAACACAGGTCTTCTTCACGGGATACTTGATCGCACAACTCGGAGGAGTGATATACGGCACTGGCGAGCACCTTTCAGATCTGATACCTTGGCGGGCGGAGAGGGCACTTGCGGTATGTCAGCCCTATACAATCATGATCTCGAACAAGCTACTGACGAACATCTCGCCAGTTCTGGTACTTCTGCGAAATCTTCTACACCCTCTCGACCTGCCTTCTCAAAATCTCCGTCGGGCTCTTTCTCCTGCGCGTCGCTGGCCAAAAATTGCACATCTGGATCATCCGGCTGGTCATGCTCTTCGCCGCGGTCTTCGGCGGGGCTTTCTTCTTCGTCATCGTCTTCCAATGCTGGCCGATAAGCAATTGGTGGGATCTCGACCCGAGCCATAAGAACTGCATCAACCCGGACATTGTCATTGGGTTGACGTATGGGATTTCGGCGCTGAATGTTGTCGCGGACTGGACGCTTGGGTTGCTTCCTATCTTCATCGTTAGGGGTCTGCAGATGTCCACGAGGCAGAAGCGTCTCGTGGCTATCATCCTATCGTTTGCGGCGATAGGGTCGACGGCGACGATTGTACGATTACCATACATTGGATCCCTTTCCGAGAGTTTCGATGGTTGGAATGGAGATTTCCTCTGTAAGTTCTTCCTCACCAGCAACCACACCTCACAAGACTAACCCAACATCCCCATAGACAACACCGTCGGCGTAGCAATCTGGACCACTGTCGAAGTCGGCGTGGGCATAACAGCCGGCTGCCTCGCAACCCTCCGCCCCCTAATCCGCATGGCCTTCGACCGCCTCGGCGTCGGCAGCAGCAGCAACCGCAAATACCGCCCCTCCGGCGGCCAACCGCACTCACGAAGCCGCATGACCCCTTCCCATCGCCTCGACGAGTTCGCGCCCGGACACGGCCATACAATCACGACGATCACGGGGAATCGCGGCGAGACAGTGGGCAAGACCAGCAGGAGTCGGAGTAGCAGCCAGGAACAGCTGGCGAGTCCGAGCGGGAAGATCATGAAGCAGTTTGTGGTGGAGTACGACGATGATGGGTTTGGAGAGGAGGCGGTCACGGCTTTGCCGAAGCGGTGATGCTTGTAAGAATATATTGACTGACGTGAACAGAAAGTTTTCAATGTTGCTCTCGAGTTTGAGTTGCTCGTCCATGCTGCCCACATCAGTCATCGCTCCTCGTCAACAGCTTCAATGCCCGAGAGCACTCACCCACCCCGTCTACTTCTTACTCGGCCCCGCCCCCGGCCACGGCGTCGTCTCATGACAGACCGTACTCGTAGTCGTATTGACATTCTCCCAAAACGTCGGAATCGGCGCCGCACACGCCGCAATCTACGCAGCACCACATCAGCAACGCACCCCTTTCCATCCGTCCTCGACTAACTCACCGGACAACCAAGCCCATCCTCAGGCGGCGACGTCGAAGTCGCCAAGTACCTGCAACCAGCACAGTCCAAACTCGTCGTTTCGGCCGTCTTGGTAACGGTCGTGACGCATTGCGGCGTGCAGGGTGTTGAATAGGGCACCGTGAGCGTGCTGGTGCAGTATGTGACGGCTGGCTGAGGCACGTTCGCTGGCCATGGTGTTGTTGCTTGAGCTAGAGAGGCACCAAGCACGGCGAGGAGAGTAGACGAGAGCATTTTGTAGACTGATCGAGAGTGCAGAGTGAGAAAGGTGAGGACGTGAAGTCCAGATATACTACAATTGAGACCAAGCCAAGCAAGTCCATTGGTAGCGCTGACTTTCCCAAGACCAATACGAATGGATGCAAGCAAGGAGCTACTGGTTAGTACTACTGTGATTCCTATACCGGGCGGGATAGAGACTGCCAAGCCCATATACTAGGTTAGACGCCCAGTTACATGCCGGGGCTTTCTTTGAGAGCGTCTGCTTGGCCCGGAGATCTGTCGACGAAAGCTGAGCTAGTTTCAGAGTATTTTCGTGTTTCGGGCACACCTCTGGTTCGTGTGACGAGGAGTCTGATGTGGTGTGAGACCACATAAGGGCAGTCCAGTGAGATGCAGGAGATACAGTATGCTTGGTTGGTTCATGCGTGATATGATATTTTACACTTGGTCTATGGAGCCGTCTCGAAGCTATGCAGAAATGCCATGATGCGTGCACCGACGTAGGACGTCTATGCATAGAAGTTGACAGTGTCCTGAAGCACATCGTTAGCTGGTCCCGTTTGGTCAAATCGAGATTTGATCTCACCTTCTTCTTCGCCTGCACCTCCGAAATGGCGTCCACGTAGTGCTCGTGACTGATCTTGCTCTGCCCACTCCTCAGCGCAATCATACCCGCCTCGACACACACAGCCTTTAGCTGCGCACCACCGAACTCATCAGTACTTCTCGCCAACTCAGGCCAGTTGACACCCTCGTCCACGGTCATCTTTCTGCTGTGAATTCGTAGAATCTGTGCTCTTGCTTCCTCATTGGGGAGAGGGAACTCAATCTTCCTGTCCAATCGTCCTGATCGCAGAAGAGCCGGATCGAGCACATCGACTCTGTTCGTAGCAGCAAGCACCTTGATTCGCTCGTCTGATGCAAAACCGTCAAGCTGGTTGAGAAGCTCCAGCATGGTTCGCTGCACTTCTCTGTCTCCGCTCTTGTCGCTGTCGAAACGCTTTGTACCAACGGCATCCAGCTCGTCGATGAAGATGATTGAAGGCGCTTTCTCTTTCGCCAGAGCGAAGCAGTCACGGACGAGCTTGGCACCGTCACCGATGAACATCTGTACGAGTTGAGGACCGGCGAGTTTGAGGAAGGTAGCTTCGGTTTGTGCGGCGCAGGCTCGGGCAAGGAGTGTTTTTCCGGTTCCTGGAGGACCGTACATCAGAGCGCCTGGACATGACGTTAGCGTGATAGATCAGTAAAGTGAGCGTAGCTTCTTACCCTTGGGTGCCTTGATGCCAATCTTCTTGAATCGCTCGGCCTCCTTCATCGGCCACACGACCGCCTCGACCAGCTCCTCAATCTGCTTGTCCAGACCACCGACATCCGTATACTTCTCCGTTGGCTTCTCGTCAACCTCCATTGCCTTGACTCGGCTATCATACTCGGCTGGCAGAGTGTCGAGAATGAGATATGAATCCTTGTTGACACCAATAAGGTCACCAGGCTTCAGCTTCTCATGGTCGACAAGACCGATCAGCGGTAGGAAGATGGTCTGCCGGGTGGACGTCTTGATAACGGCCGATTTGCCCACACGCGTCGCATCGAGATCGATATTAGCTCCCTCCTCAGCAGCTTCGGCGGTAACGTCCAGATCTAATATCTCGACGACATTGCCGACGAGGTATGGTAGTTGTCTGTATCACTCATCAGCTTCCCGCCACAGCGGTCACCGCTCGTTCTATTCCGTACCTGTTGTTATCAATCTTGTCCACATTATCCTTGATCTTCTCGATCATGCTCTGCTTCTCGTGCGTCAACCGCTGGAACTCGCTCTTCATGATGCGTGTGTCGTTCTCGATTAACCGCCGCCGAGCTACGATGTCGCGTGTGGATGAGTTGAGGACCTCCATGTCGATGAGCTCTTCCTCTTCTTCCTTCTTCTTATCCTCAGCATCTGCGTCGTTCATCTCAGCATCGCCATTCTGGTCCGACTTCTTGCCATCCTTGTCGCCGTCGTTGTTCTCCTCCTTCTTTCCATCGCGCTCCAGGTCATCGAGATCCTCGAGCGTCGACATGTTGGGTGATAGGTGGTGAGATTAGAGGCTGGCCAGGTCTTCGAGGTACGCTCTTGTCGACTGTCGGCGGGATGTGATGGATGAGTTGGTGGATGTCGGCGATGCAGGTGTTTGTGTCGGAGATGGAGAGCAGGCGGACGTTGTTACGCAGCAAGAGCTCCAAAGCAGTGCATCGAGGAAGGTTAGCCGAGCACTCCCGCCTTCGCCGCCTGTCTCCTTTCCTTCACTCACATCTTCTTCACATGCCATCAAGCACATTGTTTCATCGCCTGTCATCTCGAGAGCTTAATGCGGCACGTATCTTCGCACCCTACATCAAAACCTTCGTGATGTTCATGCGGTCGGCTGCGTCCTATAACCCTGATATTCAACCCTCTAGGACTTCTATAGACAAGTTTGTTCTAAGGTGCTACGTCGCATTCGCTGATGTCATCTAATCTCAAAGTCTTCTCTCGCCACACTGAGCACATCTCTGACATGTTCAGCACCGACTGTGGATCCATCACTATCCTCCGCCAACAACCTGGCCATCTTCACGATGTTCTTGATCTGCCGTCCATTCAACTGCTCTGAGGCGAACTTCGAGATATCGGATTCTGAAACATCCGATCCATGTAGAAAGTTCCTCCAGATATCTTCGCGGGAGGTCTGGTCGAGTGGCTTGAAGGTCAACGTAAGGTGTATTCGCGAGTAGAATGCGTCGTCGAAATTGACGGCTCGATTGGTGGTGAAAATGAGGATCCCGCGGTAGTATTCCAGGATACGAAGAAAGGCTTCGAAGATAAGGTCAGTCATGCGTCTTGACAGTGCAACGGGCGGATAGGCACAACTTACCAGCGACCCGCTTATTCCTCTCACGGGCACCTGGAGTATCCTGCGACGCCCTCTTCTCCAGGAACGCATCCGCCTCGTCCAGCAACAACACGGCTTCCCACGAAGCTGCAAGCCTGAGGACCTGCGAAAACGACTGCTCGATATTTGCGGCGTTGTCTCCAAGCTCACTAGCGCTGATAGCATAGAGTGGTAGCCGCAGGTGATCTGAGATGGACTCCGCTGTCAGCGTCTTGCCAGTGCCTGGCGGACCTGCCAACAACATTATCAGACCTTGTCCCTTGCCACGAACAACATCATCCATCGACTTCTTGAGGCCCTTCTGCTGTCTCACAAGAGCTTCGAGAAGCCGCTTGCGTGCTGGCGGGATCACGAGGGAGTCGAATGCTTTGTCGTTCCAATCGATTGGGAGAATGTTGTCGACCTCAAACTCCGCCCAAGACTTGGATCCTAAAAGATATCCCCGGACTACGGATCTGCAAAATGCTTCAGGCCGAATGCCAAGGAGGTCTGCCGTCCACGAGTGAGCCTTCAACAAGGGCTGCTCGACGATAGTGGACGAGGGCCGGCGTAGCTTCGCCTCTCTGTTACCCAGGACAGGATGGCCATTGAGATTGTCCAGCAAGGCTACAGCATGTTGACTGGTCCGCGACTTCGCGACGTTCGTCTCCGCATCTCTCGACAACAAAAATTCCAGCTTGTGCGGTATCGTGAACACTCTGGGACTGTATCGACTAGCCTGCTGCGAGTGCACCTTCGGCTCGATCATCACCCTCTCCTCGACAAAATTTTCGACCTGCTCAAAGTCATAATCGCCACTGATGTGCAGAGCCACACGCCCATCGTACTGCCTGTAGACCGGCGCCTGCCTCAGCAACTCCACAGCAGCCTCACCTCTCTTCGACAAAGCATCCAGCGTATCAAACGCCCCTTCGCAGAACTGCAACGGTTTAACAGCCAACCCGGCAATCTTCGTACTCCCAGCAAAAGACGGAATGAAACTCGACGTCTTCTGCCACCCACACCTCTCCCCATCAAAATCCAAATGCAAAATCCCCACCGACAGCGCAGGCGGTTGCTCCGCCCAGAGATACTTGTACCCTTCGACCAGAAAGCAATGCTTCACCCCATTCACCTCCCCCAACACAGGACATCCCGGCGGAAACAACGTCCACAGCAGCCGGAAGGTGATATTCCCATTCCGAGTGAGATTCCTCGCATCCCTTAACGCCTCCTCAAACTCCTCCCTCAAAATCTCCATCAGCGCCTCGACTTCCTCCCTCTCCCTTCCTTTCTCCACCGCATCCTTCGCCGCAAGTAACCCCGCCCACTGATGGAAAAACGGATGAAACGGCGAATCGAAAGACAAATCCTCCGCATCGAGATTCTCGCCAGGATAATTCCCCAAGACGTCCCGGATCAACTGTTTGAGCGACGGACTCTGGATGCTGATGGAAGAGAGGTAGAGTTTGAAGTCGTTTGTTTTGTCTTCGCTGCGTTTTCCTTGGTAGCGGGTGATTATGGCATAGCCGGGTTGTTCGACGGGTCGTTGGAGGTAGGAGGGGCATTCGTCTTGCCAGGTTGTGCCGCCGCGGTCGTTGGGGATGCCGTAGAGGGGTTTGACGAGAGAAGACTGCTCATTGGGCGTGACACCGTTCACTTTAGCAGTCATTGTTTGTGAAGATTAAGGACATGTTCTTGGGTCAGATCTGGAAAATGCATATGTGTAGTGGTAGATAGATGATGTACTCATGTGCTGTCGATCTATATGCGATCTGCGGGACGAGGGGAGGGGTACCTTTGGAGTTTGGAGAAAGTCCCCTTCTCCCGGGTGGCTGGTTGCATCCTGCTGCACCGTCTCGGGGTCTTTCTTTTTACTTATTGTTTAGCTAAGAAGATAGTTTGAAGTTGGCTTGTGATTCAAAATATAGTATCAGGTATTCGTATCTTCTCTTGGATCGATGGCAGAATTGTGCTCGATACCAGCTCTTTGGAGTGATGAACTTCTTGTTAAGCCGTACCATGACACCGGAAGGGAGGCTTGAACTATGATTTACATTGATCAATATTTGAAGATAGTCGAATTCGAATCTAAACTCGACTCATATCAGAAAACCGCCCCCGTAGCCTCACAACCTACTCCCCTCCGCCCTCACCCCCTTCTTATACTCCTCATCCAAAACCATCCCCTTCCTCCCCTCCCCTCTCCAATCATCCGTCCAAACATGATCCACCTTCGCCCTCTGCTCCGGCCACCTCCACCGCCTCCTCATCTCCACCCCAAGCGCATCCCGATCCCGCCCTTGCATGACATCCACGATCCTCTCCCCGATTGTCGGCAGAAACTTATATGCATGTCCAGAGCCACCTGTCGCTACGAAGAGCCCTTTGTATTTTGGGTGGTAGGTGATCAGCCAGTCGCCCGTCGGAGTGTCGGTATACCAGCAGATCCGCGTGTATGTGAAGGGCCTGTCGCCGAGGGAGGGGATCGCCCTGCGGAGGAAGTCGCGGCAGACTGCGGCGCCTTCGGCGGGGATTTCCATGTTGGGGTCGTCGAGTTTGGTGCGTGGTAGGGAGACTGTTATCTTTTCGGACGGGTTCTCTGGGTTGGGGATTGTGACTGGGTTGGCGTAGCCGTAGCCGTGTCGGGCGACTTTGAGGACGCGGTTTCGTGGTGGGATTATGAACATCCCGTCGTGTTCGCAGAGGAGGACGGGCTGGTCTGGGGCGGCGAGACGGTCTTCTTCTTCCTTGGTTATGTCGATGTAGGTGAGGACTTGGCCGGTTGCGCTAGCGATGCCTCGCAGGTCGATGAGTTTAGGTGTCCAGGCGCCGGTGGCGAGAACTGTGAGCTCGGCTGTGATGTGTTCACCGTTGACGAGCTCGACGCCTTCTACGTTGGAGCTGTTGAAAAGAAGTCGTTTCACTTCTGCGGTTCGGAATTGGACTCGGCCTAACGCTTCGATCTTCTTCCTCATATATTTGATGCCATCTTCAGCGTGGGCCCATCCAGACGTCCAGTTCACCATGCCTTTGTCGCCAATGTAGCCTCCTTTGGCACCAGTCGCTTGCTTGGCGCCTTCTCGGTCCTGGAAGAGAGTCACATCTGCTCCGTCCTCCTTCCTCCCTACTTTCAATCCCAACTGCTCCGTGATGTTCTTCACAACTTCGTTCAAGAACCTGGTGGCATCATCGGATCCGGGCTTGTTCTCAGTGACTAGTGCAAGGCCACTCTGAGAGTATCGACCCTCCTCTCCCCATTCGCCTCTCCAGTAAGGCATTGTTTCAGCCATGAACTGAGCATACGGTAAGCTCGCATAGTCGGCTCTGATGATCCGCGAGGAATCGATTGATGAGCCATCTGGAGCGGGGAAGGGCACTCTTTCAAGGACAGTGATCTTGGTATTCTTGTACTCTGGTCTCAATGCCAGACCGTACGCTGTTCCCAGGCCAAAAACTCCAGATCCAACGATGAGAACAGATGATGGTACAGACATGGTGATTGCTGCGCCGACGCCAGATGGCAGCAGAATTCCAGAGTATAAGACACAGATGAAGCAAGAGAATTTAACCTACAGGGTCACTATATGTGATAGATTAGGGCGTACGCAATGCGATCGTGCCATGGAGCTATGCAAAGATATTCAAGTGGGTGCAGTCAAAGGTGCCGCGAGTTCAGCCGAAGCCAAGCGCGTCTCGTCAACGCCGTTGTCGGGTGCTTCAACCTCACTTGGAGCTTCATCTTGCAGCTATCCCTCCATCACCTCCATCCTCCACGGCTTGCGACGGACGAAGAAGACGCTGATCAATGCAGCGCAGTGCTGGTCTACGCCATGTAGCCACCAGTTCGCCGCAGTCCTGGACTACTCGCCAGATCTGCACGCCCTTCCAACTCCGTCGACACGCGACCCGATCTCGACCTGAGCAACCAAAGTTCCCAGGACCATCACCGCAATGGCTGGCAGAACAGGCAGCGAAACAGGCAGAGAAGCGGAAGAAGAGATACACTACCGGCGCCCTCGTCTTTGCCACAGCCCTGGGCCTGTATAGCGTTCAGCTGTACAATGCAGCCACCAGACCCTGCACGAACCCGGCCGTGAGGGACTTGGCTGCCCAGAAAGATGTCTCCGGCCAATATGACAACACTGCCGACGGCTTCGACAACGAGGTGGGCATCTCAGAGACGCTCATGCGCATCAACAACACGCGCAAGGAGCTCGCTCGAAAATGCACGGGCCATGTCCTAGAAGTTAGCTGTGGAACGGGGAGAAACTTGGGATACTTCGACATTGGCAAAAAGGGCAATGTCGACAGCCTGACGTTTGTGGACCTCAGCCCGCAGATGATTGAGGTCTGCAAAAAGAAGTGGGATGTTCTATTTGGCAAAAAGCAGCACAAGCTGAAGCCCGGGCTCGTGGTGCGATTCCTGCCAGGCTCAGCAGTCGGCCAGATGCCACTAGCACCGACTGATCCTCCCCGCAAGTACGATACCATCATCCAGACCATGGGAATCTGCAGCACGCCAACACCCGTCGAGCTCTTGACCAATATGTTCCAATACCTGGATGTGGACAACCCAGAAGCTAGGGTGTATCTCTTGGAGCACGGCCGAAGCTATCTGGATTGGATGAACAATATCCTGGATACGTCTGCTGAGAAGCACGCTGAAAGACATGGGTGTTGGTTTAATCGCGACATTGGCGCTATTGTTGAAGATGCGGCCAAGCAAACTGGTATGGAAGTGGTCCGTGAGCGGCGGTATCATTTTGGCACAACTTGGGTCTTCGAGCTCAAGCCAGGTCCAGACGCTGGCAAGAAAACCTCGTCGCCCGTCAAGAAGGTTGGCGAGCAGGCCCAAGAGAAGTCGCGCGGCTGGTTTGGGTGGAATGGCTGAAAAGCTGGTTGACCTACGCAAGGCCTTCCCCCAGACCAGAGCAACAGGCTCTAAAGTGTGTTGGTCGTTTCGATGAGCAGGTACGTCCATGTCGTCTCATCTCTCTCAACGCAAAGATGATATCAAAAATCCAAAATATGTTTCAAGACGGGGCGGAGAGACTTGCTCTCAGTGAATGATAAGATTTTCTTACTGATCTCGCAATTTCTTTGACTTTCTTTTGTGAAAGATACTGGCAAGCAGTCGAGCTGATACATGCGCAGGCAGCATATCCATCTAAGATGGACTGGGCGGCGGCAGTCCGTGCGTACAGGCCTTTGAAGCAGCCCGAGGACTTGAAGACACCACGCTCCTGAACGAGGATTACACCGCTTAGTACTACGACACCGATGAAGGTGAATGTTCGTATGTCGCCCGGGCAACCTCGCCGTCACTGTGCATAAGGCGCAAGTGAATGGACAATAAGCTTCGCCCGCCTATTGTTCTAGGCCGCGTTTGCTCCATGCAAGTAGACAGACTGTCGCCGACAATAGCAACATCCTCTATTGAGCCATCAAGACTATTCTTTACATCACATAACTACTCCTAACTTCCCTCTGCATGGTGGTAGTCCAACAACAATCGAGCCCGGAAGACAACCTCATCGTCGTGGAGTCTCGGCACCTTCGAGATGGCTTTCACGGTCGTGCTCACGGCACTCGCCCTCTCCGTGGCCTCCCTCATCTGCTCAGTATACTTCCTCCAGCATGTAGGAGAGACTGCTGCCAGCCCTATCTTAATCGCCTGGGTCACGCTCTCTGCGGCGATCTCGTACGTCCTGCTGTGCTTCACCATCATCACCTACATTCGCCAGCGCTTGCCCCAGCAACCACGCAAAGACGTCGAGAGCCCACACTACCGCATCTCGCGCCGTTCCATCGACACAGACACGGATGATACAATCACGCCAGAGGAAGTGAACGCAGTCAATCAGCACCATAGTGCTAGCACTTTCTACTACTGCAATTCGAGCTTCGCGGCAATTCATCTCAACTCAGGTAAGTCTGTTATCTATCCTACATCGTTGCTCGAGGCTAACTTCTTCAAGCACTCTCCACACCACGCACACCACAGACTGTCATCCGCCATCCGCAGCGCCACAGCTCATTGCTACCCCCTGCCCCCGTGACTCACCCATTCCCATCCCCTCAGCTGTCGACGAAGCTGTGCAAGGTCTCGAAGCTCAATCTATCGTCCATGCGGGCGGTCGTGGTGAATGTGCCGTCCAGCACGTCTAGGAAGGGGAGGAAGGAGGGTGCGAGGAAGGAGAGTCTTGACAAGATTCGGAGGGCGACGTCGAGGCGAATCGGGACCGTGCCGGCAGCAGTAGGGGAGGCGAAAGCCTGAGGGCGATGAGGCCAGGATGCGAAGAAGGCGACATGTACCACCATCCATCCACATCGCATCGCATTACTACCACAGTCGCCCTTCGAGCATAAGAGCCAGGCCCTCCTTGAACCTCTCCTCAACCGTTCTCGCACATCACCAGCCGTCCCGTCACCCTGCACTCCGCCAACCACACCAACAGCAAGCGTCGCCCTCCTGCCGTGCAACCATGCCAGCTCAGCAACAACACATCACCATGTACCCCGAATTCGAAGACACCTTCGCAACCACCAATCAGAACTGGAACGGACCCTACTGGCTCGAGAACGCCATTAAACAGGACCATCTCTTGGCCGCATCGTCATGTGACGATGCAGCTGAAGGGGTGAGTTTTTTTTATCACAATGGCTAACCTCAGGCCGCTGGTAGAGTCGTCACCCTGCACAGCATTGCGGCAACGACGTGGTGGCACGGCAGCCGAGCGTTCAGGCTTATCGCACGATCGTTTGCACTGCCATCGACTCTATCCCGCCAGGGCGACAAGCTGCGAAGGTCTTGCAGTGTGGAATCTGCTTCTCTGATAAACTCTTCGATCGCAAGTACGAGCTGGAGCGCCACATGCGGACTCACGAGGACGGCGCATTCCCGTGCACCGTTGCTGGCTGTGAGCGCCAGGGGGAGAAGGCGTTCAGGCGTGCGGAGCATCTGAGGAATCACCTTCGCAAGGTGCATGGGCTCTGAATGGTGGAAGTCAGAGACACCGCGAGTTGGTGAACAGTTTTGGAAAGGCGAGCTTGTTGTGGTTGATGCATTGTTTCTCTTTACACGTACATCGCTTCCTAATGCTACAAACGGAACTATGCTATCCTTTTTGTCAACCAATGCACTGCCTACCCGACAGAAAGCCAACCCAACCCACCCATGCCAAACCCAACGCCAACGCTCCCAAATCCACCATCGCATCTAAACCTTCACCCAAAGATTCATAACCCCCTTCAAATACTCCACAATCTCCTCCCCACCCAACTTACTCTCCCCATACAACCGATCCACAAACGTAATCGGCACCTCCGCCACACTAAACCCCATACCCTTGGCCCTAACCATCATCTCCATCTGGAACGAATACCCCTTACTCTCCGTCCGATTGATCACCTCCTGCAACACCGCGTTCTTATACAACCGAAAACTCCCCGTGAGATCACTCACCCCGGGCCTCAACACCGTATCCGCGAAGAGGTTCGCGCCGCGCGAGACGAGCTTCCTCTTCAAGTCCCAGCCGTACACGCCGCCGGCGCCCGCGTACCGCGTCCCCGTCACGATGTCGTAGTTCGCCTCTTTCTGCTTCGCGATCATCTGCGGGAGGAATTTCGGGTGGTGTGAGAAATCCGCGTCCATGATGATGACGAAGTTGCCGGACGCGAACTGCAGGCCGTGCACGTAGGCCGTTCCGAGCCCGAGTTTGCCGGACCGGGTGTAGAGTTTTACTTTGGAGGACCCGTAGGCTTTGATTAGTTGGTGGGCGATTTCTTGCGTGCCGTCGGGGGAGCCGTCGTCGACGATGATGACTTCGTAGTCGAGTTTGCTGTGAGAGGGGGTGGGTCAGAGGGGAGAGGATGGGGGGGTTGGATGGGGGCGTACTGCTCGGTGAAGGTCTGGTTGATCAGCCAGATCATGATGGGGAGGTTGCGCCTTTCATTGTAGCTGGATATAGAGGGTCAGAGCTGTCCTTGGTATGGCTGTCGCATTGCGGGCACTCACGTCGGCAGCAGGACCGAGTACTTGTTCTTTTGGGTCGACATTTTGATCGCGTCGAGGCGTGATTGACTGTGTAAATCGGTATGAAGCTGGAACGGCTAAAGGAGTGACGGTAGTTGGTGAAGTCAATGGCAGCTCGTGAAGGGTCCAGGGGGTTGAAAGTCGAAGTGAGGTCGAGACGCTGAGGCCACTTGGAGCTTCAAAGTCTTGGCATTCAAGATCAGATGCTTGTAACACGAGAGGAGACGCATATGAAGGACGGATGTAAAGAAAGACGAAGAGCTGTGTGTCTTGGTCTTCTCGACCACACGTTTCAAGCCAACTATAAAAACATCGCGTACCGCCTAGCAGTAGCCATCCGCATCAAAGAGTCTGTCCCAGTCTCTTGCCGACGATGCTGCTGAGTATTCGACGACGCCGTTCGAGACACCCACACTAACACACTACTACTTCAAAATTCCCCATTTTCTCGCTCGCGGCAGAGGCGCCACATTTTGCTCGCCCGTCCGTGAGTCGCATGCATGAAAAATCCATTCCAATCTCTCATCCCGTGAAGCGCCTTGACGTTTAAGCAAAACCAGTGAGAAGAGTCCAGAGTAAGTATCATAGTACAGTCGAGACCAGCAATCCGTTGGATGCTGTCCCTTCAATGTCAATGTTGGGAGTCGTGTGCCACCGTCTAGTGACCGTAGTTGGCGCCCCATCCACCGCGAGAAGCACCGTATCCGCCGTAGGTCTGGTTGAAGCCTCCGTAGCCGCTGTAGGCGCTCTGCTGGCCTCCCATGCCGCTCTGGCCCTGACCGTGGCTGCCGAGTCCTCCAAGTCCGCCATACTGACTGTTCTGGCCTGGGAAACCGGGGTAGCCTCCAAACGCAGAGTGCTGGCCTTGCTGTTGTGGTGGCGGCAGACCAGACTGCGAGGTGCCCGCGGCGCTGTTGGCAGCCGAGCCTGGGCGTCCTGGCTGTCCTAAAGCTGGCGATGGGCCACTCTTGGACTCGTTGAATGGTTTCAACGCATCTTCTGGGCCGGCCGTCATGTTCTGCTGTCCATGTTGGCCATGCTGTCCATAACCGCCTTGACCAAATCCGGATGTGGAGCGTGCGAATGAATCATTCACACTGCCGAAGCCACTGCTCTGCTGGTGCGATCCCGACTGCGCAGAGCCGCGTCCGTACTCGTCAAGTCCGCCAAGTCCAGATCCCATGCCGCTAGCGCTGCGCATCGAAGCCTGCTGATTCTGGCTGAAGGCATTGGCATTGGCTGGCGACGAAGAGTGCTGCTCGTACGAAGACTGCGATCCCATGCCGTATCCGTGAGGTGCACCACCATACATGTTTCCCTTGTTGCTGGGGAATCCTCCGCCATAGCCGACTGGCTGGTGACTGTAGCCAAATTGGTTCTGGTATGCCTGTTGGTAGGGGCTGTTGTAGAATGGGTGGCCGTACGGAAAACCAGCTCCGCCATAGCTGCCTTGCTGGTGGCCTTGGGCCTGATGCATCGAATGCTGCGATTGTTGGGCGGCGTTTGGCGCAGACGGTTGCTGTCCGCCCATGAGAGGATTGGGAGTGTTGTGGCCGGAACCCACCGCTTCGCCGAAGCGCGATGGGGCCTGCTGTGCCTGTAATTGATACTGGTTAGAATAGTTCTGTTTGTGGTTGTGTGATTGGGGGCTGGGGGCAACATGTCTCTGCACAGGGGGAAAAAAGTTGGCGGGCATTTCGGGGATACGAGGCTCTTGAGGAGACGTCGCGGAGCCAGCAAGAAAAGTTGTGTTGCGGCCAATTGCTGCTTCTCTCTCCCGCCGCGCCAATTCATCGTCTGGATCGGCGGCTTTGAGAGGAGTTGACAGGTTTTGGCGCGAGTTCATTGCTTTGCTATCCGTCCGACGTGCCATGTGCTGGACCTGAATCTTTTCCGAAAGCTGCTGAATCTGGTGATCCAGTCTGGCTAACACCTCTTTCTGCGACGTCTCGGCCTTCGTGTGTAACAAAATCTGAAGTCTGTGAATGTCGGTACTAACCTGTTGTGCTGTCTGGGAGGCAAACGCCGACTCGGTGGGCGCGGCGGCTGCTCCAAATCCGCTTGTGGAACGCTGAGGGACCACGTTCGTCTCGTGCTGCGCTTGGGCTTGTCCCACGGCATTCCTAGTATCCTGCGGTCCATAAGAGCCACCGTAGTACTGGTTGTAGGCGTTGCGAGGCTGGTCGCTCGTGTAGTACGAGGAGTAGTCGCTTGGTGCCGACGACAGACCACCAAAGCCGGATTGTGACTGCGGCTGTTGCTGTTGATGGTGTGCGCTGTACTGGTCGAAATGGTTTTGCTGGGCCTGGCTGCCGAATGGATCGTACGGCTTCTGCTGAGCTCCTGAATCTTGCTGTTGGTGCATGCCTGGCTGGCCATATCGGCCGTATTGGTTGTAGGCCTGGTTCATTTGGTGCTCCTGAGGAATGCCCTGCGTCAAAGATGGGTCTTGCATCTGCTGCTGGTTTTGGACAGACGCCGGTGGCAAGCCTGGAGCTTGCTTAGGAGTGGGAAGATTCTCGTGTGCGGCCTGCAGGCTCTGGAGTCCGGGTGCCTGAGGGACCGCAGCCTCTCGTGGAGCTGGAGGTAACGAGGTGCGAGGTTGCGATGGTGGCGAGTGCTGCGGTGGAAGTCGCGTCTCTGCCTCCTCTCTATCGTCATCTACGTCCAGACCTGGCTCACCGTTGATGCCCATGCTTCCAAACTGCACCGCAGCTCTGTCCACGGCGTTATGTCCTGGCATCACCACCGCCTCTTGTTGTTCTTGGACTCTACGCTGGAAGCTTGCGGTTCTGCCGCCGGTTCCGGCGAGTCGAGATGCGCTCGTGGCGAACCCACCCATTGATGGACGTCCGATGGGTGCTTGGTGCGATGGGAGAGGGGTGAGGTTGCGAGGATCGATCGAGCCAGTGGTGCTCGCAACAGTCTGTGTTGCGGGTGGGTGCGATTCGTCGGGAAGATGCTCGACGTTCTCTTCAGTCAATGGGTCCTTCGATGGTGTTAGCGTCAAATCTGAGCCTTCCGAGGTCAAAGGTCGCTCTACAGGTGCTGTGTCTGGTTGCGGCACGGCTGGCGGCTCTGGCTCGTGGATGGCGGGAGCTGGCACAGGCTCGGGCTTCGATGGCAGCTCTGCTGAGACTTCCGCTGGCGCTGGAGTTGGTGCTGCTTCTTCGGAAACGAGGGTCTCGGCAGGCGCTTGCTGCTTCGTGAGTATCTGCTTCGTGGGCACTTGAGCCGGGGCAGGCTTGGGCTTGGCGAACATGCTAGCCCAGCTCTTCTTCGGACCAGTCTCTGGTATCAGACTGCTCTTCGCGGCCTCGGCAGCGGTAGTTGGCGTAGAGTCGGCGGTGGCTGCAGTGTCCCATGCACTCTGGCTGGCCTCCGCGGTGTCCTTGCTCGCTTCTGGTGCTGGAGTGTCCCATCCGCCGTCGGCAGTCGTAGTCGTGGCCGGAGTGTCCCACGCGGTGGAGTCACCGGTAGGCACAGAGTCGCCCCAACCTTCTTTGGTAGTGCCATTCGTAGTGGTCGCGTGACCTCCTCTGCCGCCGCGATGGCCACCTCTACCACGCTCAGAGCCACGGCCGCGTCCGCCGCGGGTGCTCTCGAAGCCACCTCTGCCGCGACCACCACGGGCGCCGAATGCTGGCTTGTCGGTAGCGCCTGCAGCGGCAGGCTCGTCCTTGACCTTGGAGCGAGCGCGGTCCTTGGGCTTCTTGACCTCGGCGAATTGTGAGACAGCACCTTGGGTGATCTTGTCGACAGTAGACGGCAAATCTCCATCAGCCTCTTCCAATGCGAAAACAAGGTCGGTGTCGGTCCAGTCGGGGAACATGTCCTTGAGCATGCTCAGCTCGGATAGGTATTTCTTCTTCATCTCGCCAATCTCGCCCTGCTCATCAAGTGACTCGGCGACGGTGGTCGCATCATTCGAGGTGCCATTGACCTTTCTGCCGCCGCGGGGACCGCCACGGCCAATACCGCCTCTGCCACCTCTCGTCGAGCTCCTGCCCCTCGCGGGTGCAGTTCTGGCGTCGGTTTCCGACATTGTGTGTGTGGTGTGAATGTGTGATGTGCGGCTCGCACGGTGAAGAGAAGCAGTGCCGGCCAGGTGAGGCGTTCAGCACGGCGGGGGTGCGCGGTGGTGGTGGGTGGTGAAAGCTGGCGCTGCTGCAGACGGAAGGAGGTTTGTTTCAAGGCGGCTTCAGGGAGCCTTGGCACCGAGTGCGAAGAGCGCGGGCGGCCGGTCGAGCAGCGTCGCGGGCGATGAGGGCGGAGCGTGGAGCAGTCAATGTCAAGGGCACGCCGGCGAGAGCAGGTGGTGGAGGGTGGAGGGTCAGGCAGGTGGTGATTGCTTGCGGTCAAAGTATGCAGCAGGCGTGCAAAGCCGTTGTCAGGAAGGAACGACGCGATCGCAGCTTTAGCGAGCGGCAAGACCCGCGCTTAGGTAAGGCATGAGCCGCATCTCAGGCATGTGACGCGAACGTCCATCTCTGCGCATTGAGACTGGTCGACGTACAATACGAAGTCTATGGCCTTTCGTTCACCACAGCTCAGTTGCTAGCTGAGATGCTTGCACGCGATCCAATACCATGTTCGCTCGCCACACCCAGTCGAGGATGAAAGTCTCAAATGTCTTGGGCTGGAAGTCTTTCGTTGACAAGCTGCACCCTCAATTGCCCCTTACCACCAAGGAATCGCAACGGCTGCTCACGGCGCTGACGAGTTCCTTTCGGAAGCATCTTGACGATGCCCATCCACTCCCCTCTGCTGAAGATGAGCGAAAAGCAGGACCTGATATGGGAGTGGCCAAGCCACAAACTCGCACCTGGCACTCATCTGCAAGCCATGCCGACAAACATCTGGCTTCAGTCTTGACCAGTCCGCTACTCGTTAAAGGAGGCAAACGACTGGACCACGCTTTTGCCAAAGCGGAACTGGCACGAAACCCGTCAAAGGACCCCATTGAACTTCTGGAGGAATATCAACAGCAGCACGCCGCGAGTGTTGCCATTGCCGCATTGTGTTTGGAGACTATCAAGGCCAGGCTGAACGTACTGGCACCAGACAAGCAGACGGAGTTTATCCAGGATCTCCAACCTGGTCGACGTGTTTTTCTGTGGCTGCTGAACAGCGGATTGGACGATTCTAGCTCCTATGTCGACGACGTTGCCTTTATGTGCCTCATGGTCCACTTTCTCATCAAAGAGGGCCGCGAACACAATATCTGGGAATGGATCAAGATTGATGCACAACTCGCAGGCACTGTGCCCATGACTACCGCGGCCCGGTCTCGAGACAAGCCTATGCTACATGCCTATCGTTGGCGAGGACGCCTTCTGCGTGCGCTGATGAAAGAGAAGCTTGGAACCGAATCTGGTCGGCGTCACGAACTGACGAAAGTACATGAAGCTTTCGACGCATTCTTCAAGGCGTGCGAAATCAAGACGGCAGCACCGCGGCACCACCATCTGTACTGGATTCCTTTAGGCCCGGCCTATGTCGATTTGTCAAAAGAAATGACTTTCGACTCATACAAGATCCGGTCCGACATAGATCCCAATCGGCTTGACAAATTGATTTCTTACATACCTTTAACGTTTCAGGGCTCATCTCCCATCTACGCTAAGATGGCGGCTGCTCAACTACATTTGGTACATCCGCGCCAGTCATCAGCGGATCCCGCTTACGGTGTTCTGCACGACTTGTTTGGGGATATTCGGACTGTTGATCGGTCGACACTCATAGACCAATTTGTCGCTCCAAGAACACCGGGTCAGGCTCGATATTGGACGATATTTGTAGCACGTACAATTAGCACGTTGCAAGCGCAAGGGCGGATAGAAGATGCCTCGTGGCTACAATCAGCGGTGAGACGCCGCTGCCCCGACATAGCTCGTGAATTGACGAGCTACTTGACGGAATTCAAATCAGACAATCAAACCGCGAGGGACTACGAGGAGCAGGAGCAGGAGCGCGAGCAACCACGGATTCGGTATCCAACTTTTGCGTGAAAGCATAGCGTCATCTGGGGCATGTCACCAATACTAGCAATTTCAAAGAAGTCCAATTCTTCCTTCAATTGGGAAGCAAGCACTACTGACAGTGGTTGTATGGGCCAATCTTCTTGCAACGAAGGTGCGCCATTCGCAATATGGAGCTGTGGTACCACTCGAACATGGCCGGGATCTTCTTATCGAAGGCCTCTGTGGCCCCATCCCCATGGGCCAAGTTGAGGTACATCCTTCTCCTACGCTTGAGAGCCAGATAGTATCGGGGAGTTACATGCTTTAGGGTAAGTATCAGAGCAAATAATAGACTTGGTTGGGGTCATTCTTCGAATGGCTTTCGTCAGATTCATCAGCTACGTATGCTTTCTCGCATGTCGGATATCTTGCTAACACCACTTTCATCAGAGCTCGTCCGGGTTCCGTGCCGGGTTTCCTTGCTCTTTCCAACGCCAGGACTCCTTACGAAGATGCTCAGTCTGACTCCATCTACCGACCAAATTATCCTCCAATTGCTCACGACTCTTCTGGCCAGACATCGTAGCCGAATGTGTCCTTCATGTTGACGAAGCGGGTATGACGACCCTTGGCGACCTGGTTGACAGCCTCGAAATCCTCATCGGTGAGCTCGATGGTCTTGAAGTTGCTCTCGATTCGGGATGGAGTCGAGCTCTTCGGCAGCACGACATAGCCTCGTCGCAGACCCCAGGCAATCAGGACCTGTGCCAGCGTGTTGCCTCCCTTCTCCGCAATCTTGTTCAGCGTCTCGTTGGTGCTGACCTTCTCGCCGGTGTTTGGAACCTGGTTCTGCGAGCCGAGCGGCGAGTATGCTTCTGGCAGGATATCTTTCTCGAAGCAGAACTTGACGAGCTCCTCGTTGGGCAGGAATGGGTGGATTTCGATCTGGTTGACTGCTGGCTTGACCTTGGCCCAGCTGAGCAAGTCCTTCAGGCCTGCGATTGTCCAGTTGGAGACACCGATTGCCTTGGCCTTGCCAGCCTCGTACAGCTCCTCCGCAGCTCTCCAGGTCGGTTGCTGGTTCTTGGTGAGCTCCTCCTTGATAATGTACTGGCCCTTCTCGTTCAGCTTGGGCATGTTCTTCTCGTCCTTCTCGGCGGCGATTGGCCAGTGGATCAGGAAGAGATCAACATAGTCGACCTTGAGCCTCTCGAGCGAGTTCTGCAGCGACCACTTGACCTCCTCGGGCTCGTGAAGGTGGTTCCACACCTTGGTGCAGATAAAGATGTCGCTGCGCTTCACGCTCGTGTTCTCGTTGAGGAAGTCCCGCACGGCATCGCCAACCTCGTCCTCGTTCTGGTAAAACCACGCGCAATCCAGGTGTCTGTATCCGACCTTCAACGCAGTGGTCACGGCCTTGTACGTCTCGCCCTTGGCACCCTCGTTGGCGAATGTGCCAAATCCGACCGCTGGAATGGTCACGCCGTTGTTCAACTTGAAAGTCTTGCCGCTCGACATTTTTGCTGGTGGTATGCTCTCTGCTCGAAGTACGGGAAAGAAAGACGATGGACAGAAAGATGAATTTTCAATACGGTCGCCCCTCAACTTGCTTACCTCTCGCTCTGATAACCTGTCCTCTCCCACTCAGACTTTTCTCGCGCCGCCCTCAACCACCACGACGACCGCGGGGCAACGAACGCGTTGAAACCCAGCGACGTCATCGCCCTGGATGAGCAGCTCTATCGGTTCCGACGTTGGCCGCGCCTACGAGACAATTGTGGGCGCCTTTTGTGGGTATGCAGCGAAAAATCATCACCAAAAATCCCTAACGATAGGATTAGGTTGCGTCATGCCGAAGAATGGTGCCAAGCGTCCAGCAGTGCACCAGCGGCTGCTTCTCGGTCAGCTCGGCCAGGCGGTCGGCAGCTAGCAGCAGCTAAGGCCGCACCAAGGCTGTTCGAAGCTCACTGGTCGCTTCCAACGACATCCTGCAGATCCACCCATTTCCAGTCTGCTCGCCCAGCATTTGCACATGAAGACGATTTCCGTGCCGCTGATTGGGTCCCCCCTCGGCTGTGCCTGTGGCGCCGGAGCAAAGCTTGTGGCTTCCCGCGCCCTCGTGGCGGCATGTGAAGGGACTTTCTAACTTTTGCTCGTGAGCCACGCAGCCTGTCTCTGATGGGCCTGTCTCTGCTAGCGATTACTTCGAACAGTCGCGCTCGCCGAGTACCCACAACTACCCGCGTCAAGACTCAGGCTCTTATCTAAGTTATCTCGGGACACGAGAATAGATGCTGGAGACCATGACATCGTTGCCGCAAGATGGTGGGGTCGCTGAAAGCACACACCGCAGCCAGCGTCGCAAAGGACTGGATGGATACGTGTTGTTGGGGAGATGATGTCTGACAAGCTCCGAACTGAAATCTCTCGCTGCTATTGCGGGTTCCGCGATGCGGGAAGGCGAGGGTTGAAGTGGTCGTCCTCGTCGTGAGGGTGGATTGCGATATAAGCAAGCGTAAGGACCCTTGGTTGTGGGTAGTTCCCAGAACCATCTTTCTGCTCCCTCCCCTCGATTTTCTGGTGCCATTTTATCATTTCCCAGCGGGTCTGAAGCTTCTTGCAACCTTTTCTATCACAGCATCTGCTGCCTCCTACACCTCATCTCCCCCATACCGGACAGCTACAGTACAACACCGCAATCATGCCTGGATTCGACGACAAGGACTTCGGCGCTGAGGCTGCTCCAGCACACTTGAAAGCAGAGACCGGCACCCTCGCTCAGTCTCCAAGCAACGGCGAGGACGGCGTTGGCGCCTATGGCAGAGGCCAGAGCTCAACCTTCGGCGCTGTCGAAGTTCCAGCATCCAGATCTAGCATCGCTGATGCCTCGCCATACATGCACCAGCTCTCCCTTTCTCCCTCGATGAAGGACCGACGAGGCTCCAGGAACTCTTTCGGTGCCGCTCTCCCCATTCCACGATCGAAGCGTCAATCCCGCCTTTCCTCAGTTACCCACGCCGATGGCCGACCACAACGTCCGGGCATGCCGCCCATTCAGCCCACGAGAGAGATCCTGGCTGGCCAGGTACAGGACATGTCCAAGCAGAAGGTGTCTGCTGCCAAGGACATGGCGTTCGTCTTCGATATTGACGGTGTGCTTGTCCACGGTGACAGACTGATTCCAGAGGGCCAGCGGACTCTGGAGATCCTGAACGGTGATAACGAGCTTGGTATCAAGATCCCACACATCTTCCTCACGAACGGCTCTGGTAAGCCAGAGGAGGCTCGCGTTGCACAGCTCTCGAAGATCCTACACCAGCCAATCAGCACGGAACAATTCATCCAATCCCACACCCCCATGAGTGCTCTGGCAGAATACTACGAGCGAGTCCTCGTCGTTGGTGGTGAGGGCTACCGCTGCCGCGAGGTCGCCGAGAAGTACGGCTTCAAGGACATCGTTGTGCCCAACGACATCGTTGCATGGGACCCCACCATCGCTCCATACCGCGTCTTCACCGACGAAGAGCGCGCCACCTCCAACCCCCGCGACTTCTCCAAGATCAACATCGACGCCATCATGGTCTTCTCCGATTCCCGCGACTACGCCACCGACATGCAAATCATCATGGACCTGCTCCAGTCCGAGAACGGCCGTCTCCACACCCGCGCCAAGGACCCCATCTCGCAGCGTATCCCCATCTACTTCTCCCAGGGCGACTTGCTCTGCCCGACTGAGCACCCATACCCACGTATGTCGCAGGGTACCTTCCGTATCGGCCTCGAGGCCATGTACAAGGCCCTCACCGGCGAGGACCTCGAGCGTGTGGTGTACGGCAAGCCTGAATTGGCCACGTACAAGTACGCCGACGAGGTGATTGCCAGCTGGATGGAGACGATCCACAACGAAGAGAAGCTGCCCAAGAACATCTACATGGTCGGTGATAATCCAGCTTCGGATATCATCGGTGGTGTAAGTATAATGTCCAACCTCTCAAAAACATCTCACCTTACTAATATACTATCTGCAGAACATGTACGGCTGGAACACCTGCCTCGTCCGCACCGGTGTCTTCCAAGGCGGCGACAACGACGAGAACAACCCCGCCAACTTCGGCGTTTTCACCAACGTGCTCGAGGCCGTCAAGACGGCCATCCAGAAGGAGCTCGGCAAGGAGTTCCGCTTCGAGTGGAGCGACGAGAAGGTCAACCCTCTTCTGCAGAGCGAGGCCAGCTCAGCTGCGATTGAGTGATGCGATTGACGAAATGTGTTTTCGGTGTTGGTGGGGTTGGCATGGGATGCATAGCGATGAGAAAAGCGTAACGGCTGCTAGAAGGGTCGCTGGCTGGGAGGCGTTTTTTGGTTGTCCGCTGGACGAGTTTCTTTACGATTGATCCTGTTCGGTAGCGTTGGATATCACATATGATGGCTGATCCACGGATCACTGCCCTTTTCGCGCTCATCATCGCCGCTCTCGTGCTATGGCTTTCCAAATCGTCTATCTCGGCAGTCCTGACAATCCTGTGCAACAACTCATGTCGTGCTCCCCGAGAAGAAATCGGTTCGGAAGTAATCCTGCACCTCATCATGCTGTGCTGGGAAGTCGCCATACCTACCTCCCCACCCAACCTCACCGTGTATCTGGACCCAGCTCCAGCTCCACATCGCCCAAGAACCACGTCGCGGGGAGAGAAGAGACAGACCTCCCCCAGCCGTGCTCACCCTCCTCACAACACATCAAAAGATGCCCAACGAGCAGATCATCGACTGCCGAGTCGGTACTCCCCATCTCACCCGTTGCTGCTCTGCCCGAAACGCACCCACGACAGGCAGGAGAGCGGCATCTCATTCGGCGAGCTGCAGATTAGGCTCGAGCTGTCGAGTCGCCTAAAGGGTGCAGATCTTTGGACGAACGCCGCAGCCACCAGACGCCAACGCCTTTGCCGTCGCTCCAGTCTCTTGCGTGCGGAGGTGGTGGGAAGCTATGGCTGGCTGCTGGCTTGCATATATGGACTTGCGTGTCCCCGAGTAGTGAGGTAGTGGCAGCAGAAGGTGGTGTACTTTCTTATCATCCCCGGGAAGACTTGTTCGATATACCGCTATTTCCAGACCTTCGCGATTCACTACCTGAAACGATTGGCCGTTGCAGCTATATCGGACAAGAGTAACGAATCAACCCGCCCAGCACTGGCCATTGCAAGACCCAGAGCGGGGAGGGCAGACCGCAATGGCGACGTCGCGCAGGAGCAGCAATAGCACGCAGGACACGACCTTCACCAACTTCAGCACGCCGCACCGCACGCAGAGCCTGAAGAGCATGTTCACGCGCCGGAGACCCAGCACCGCGCCCGTGGAGGATGGGGAGGAGGTGTTGCCGTATCGGTGAGTAGAGACAGACAGACTTTCGGCACTGCTGGGGCCACGACCAGGGTGTCGCGTGGAGAGAGAGGGAAAGTTGCAGGGGTTGACGAGTGTCTCTGTGTCCAGCCCGGTCAAGGCGAAGTTCGTCCAACTGCACGTCACCAGCGACGATATCAATGTCTCGCCGCCGACGCGACGCCAGAGGATCGATGACTTCCGCAAACCTGCCATCCCCGAGCGCACGACGTCGCTGCATCGCAAGACGGATACTTGGCCCGCGAGTATCAGGGAGCAGAGAAGAGCTGGGGGTTATAATTTTGATGGGACGCCGACGCTGGTGCGGACACCGTGGGAGTGGGAGAGGGGACGGCCGAACTCGCAGTGGTCGAGAGGCTCGGATCGGTTGAGCAATCTGCCCAAGAAGATTTTCGCGCAGTTGCCCAGGGAGATATATCAGTGTATCGTCGAGCATGTGGAGGGCGTGCATACCGTGGGGCAGACGGTGGATGTTCCTGCTCTCCGCCATGATTTACGGTCTTTGTGTCTGGTGGATAAGAGGTGGCATCGTGTCGCGAGGGATCATTTGTATCGAGAGCTATGGTTGCCGAGCAATAAAGCCCCTACGAAGAGGACGTTCTCGCGGCAGCAGAAGCCTAGTCGACTGCGATTGTTGCTGAATACCCTGCGGACGGCTCCTGGCCTGGCGTTTCTGGTGCACAGCATTCGAGTGACGTTCGAGCTGGCGAATGAGTTGGAGGCGGACGTGCAGTCTACTTTCAAGAAGGCGTCAACATTGGACGTGCTGCAGGAGATTATAAATGGTTGTTATAACCTCGAGCAATTCAGTGGATATGTGTTGCCGGCGACGACGACCACGAGGGACGTTTTTGATGCGTTGTCGACACGAACGCGGATGAAGTCGCATGTCTGGAAGCTGGACTCGAATCATGAGTTGCCTAGTCTGCTGGATTTCATTCACTGCCATGCGAATTGGATGAGGCTGGAAACGTTGGTTCTTTCGGCGGACCCTGGAGTGGATCTTGGACAAGTAGCAGTGTCTGCGGTGCTGCATCGACTCCCGGCGTTGAAGCATCTGATGCTGTCTGGCTTGCATCAATCCGACGTCAATAACACGACGATTCTGACTTTGCCGGCTCTCAAATCTTTAAGGTTCTCGAATCTAGCAGGTCTGACCGATCAGGGCATCGAACAGCTCGCATACTCACGATTGGCTTCTTCTTTGGAAAAGCTCAGTCTCGTTGGTCTGGAGCTTGGATCGCTTCAGACAGTACAGACTGTGTTGGCTCATCTCACCCGCCTCAAAAGCTTCGCTCTCGTCCAAGACGCTTCTCCCGAGAGCAGCACAGGCGTGAGACCATCCAGCAGACCAGGCCAACTCTCCTCTCCCAGCCTCCGCTACCTCCATTGGGATTGTCTCCTCCCAGGCTCTGCCATAACTCACCTCGCCGACGCCATATCCACCAACAAATTCCCGCATCTCCGCAAGATCAAAATCCCCTGCGACTACGACGGCGCGATCCAAGCCCTCTGCCGCCCCATCCCCCGCGAACAACTCACCAAAGCCGACATCCAGTACCTCTCCGAACACACGACGCACAAGTACGAGCGAGACCTGCGAGTTTCGCAGATCCAGGCGCAGCTGAGGGTCCGCGAGAGTCGGCAGCAGCCCAGCTTTAATGTAGTCGTGCAGGATGAGAGCATGGAGATTTGCTCGACGCATGTAATTGGGAGCTATCTGGGTGATATGGCTTCGAAGATTGAGTACTGTCTGGCGGCGGACGCTGGGGATCGCGCGTTGATTGAGTTGGAGGATGTGGCGAGACGGAAGGGGAACTGGAGATTGGAGACGAAGGTTGATACAGGGATTTTGTTTTGAGGTCTGATGATTGACGATTTGGTTGCTGACGAGAGGCCATGTTGAACGAATGAGTGGTATGCGTGAGCTGGATGATGGATGGATCGCGAGCTATGCTCAAGACAGCTTGATTTACACTCTACCGAATTGCTTGAACGAGCTAAAGTGGCCAAATCCTTTGGCGTGTCGCGATACTTCTCTATAAGCTCGTCGTCGTGCGGCGTAGAAGGCTGGTCTGACAAAAACACTTTCTATTCGAAGACTTCACTATGGCCGACAAGCTCTCGGACGGTATCCACACCTTTCAAGCTGGAGACAACACCCTCAGCTACCACATCACCCCGTCCAAGAAACCCAATGCGCCGCTCTGGGTAACCCAATCCATCCACTGGGGTCCCGGACGACAAGTCTACGTGAACACCCTCGCACCCATCCTATCCAAACACTACACCGTGCTAGACTTCTCGCCCCGAGGAAACGACGAATCGTCCCGACCGAAAAACGCCTCTGGCATCGATGACCCCTCCGCCATGAGTGTCACGCACGTCACAGACGACCTCGAATCCCTCCGAAAATACCTGAGCCTCGAAGCATTCCCCATCCTCGCCGGCCACAGTCTCGCTGGCGTCAGTATCCTCCTCTACGCATCCCTCTACCCCACGCGCGTAGAGACACTCGTCCCCATCGCCGCAGGTATCTTCGCAGGCTACGACGGCACCGCCGTCTGGAACCACTTCCGCGACATTCGGTCCTCCCAACCTCAATGGAAATCCTCCTACGAGCGCTGGGCCACCGCGAAAACCAACCCACCCCAAACCGACGAGGACTTCGGCCAGTTCCTCATGGACGTCTTACCCTCTTACCTCGCGGACCCCGAGAAATCCTACGCCGCCACCGTCGCCGGCTTCGAGGGCTCGAAGATGCGGCTGTGGTGTCAGCGGTCGTATTTCGGTACTATGGCTGGGGATCAAGGGTTGCAAGGACTGTATGATTTGCTCAAGGATGTGCGGGCGAAGAGGGTGCTGTTTGTGCATGGCGAGGAGGATATGGCGTGTCCTGTTGAGGCGGCGAGGGTTGCGGAGGGGAGGCTGAGGGATGGGGCGGATGGGGTGGAGGTTTTGTTTGAGGGGTTGGGGGGTGTGGGGCATTTTCCTTGGGTGGAGGATGGGCGGGAGTTTGAGAGGGTGGTTTTTGGGGGGTTGGGGGATGAGTGAATGAAGGAGTGAGTGAGTGAGTGAGAACGTGGGTGGTATAGATGTTTGGTTATGGATTTGGTGCCTCAGGCATGGAGAATGGAAGCTTACTGAGCATAATCTGTTGCACCTCACCTTGCTCTCAGTCGTCCTTTCACGCATTTCCACCAAGGCTCGTTGCAGTAGAGCCAGCTCATGACCATGCTGTGATATTCACCTCGTCTTTGGGAAGACTTAAAGTCGAATCATTGTTCCATATCAACTACAAGTAGCGACTCGTAAGCTCTTCTGGCAAGTCCTTTCCATCTCCCCATCTCCCTTTCCCTGCTTCATCACGTCCTCTCCCCTCCACCACAACAACTCTCCAGAAACAAGCCACCCACCATGGCACGAGGCTTCAACAAACGAACGAAACCCTCTTCCTCTGCCGCATCGCCCACAGAAATCCCACCACCCTTCACCAAAGCCCCCTTAACGCTCGCACCCCTCCTGGACCGCCTCGACCCAGCCCAAATCCACCTCATCCACATCGACCGACACCCACCCGCCCACAAACGCTCCATCTTCCTCATCCCAGTGGGCCTCAACGCTCTGATCGCCGCCCTCCTCCTCTGGCGCCTCGCCCACGCCCTCCCCAAATACTTCACCCTCCTGCAAACCCTCCTCGGCTACACAACAACCCTAACCGTCGACCCCGACCGCACAACCCGGCGCCAACAACTCACAATCCTGCTCAAGCGCACGCTCATGTTCCTCGGCGACTTCCTCCTCTTCCGCTTCATCGGGCCCTGGCCGTTGACGTTCTTCCTCGAACAGCCCGCGAATCCGTGCACGTGGCGCTGGAACCTCGGGTTTCGGCAAGAGGAGATTATCGTCAGGGTGAGCCGACATTGGGGCGTGGAGGAGTTGTTGGGAGGGGGCAAGAAGGGGGAGGAGAGTCCGTTCTTCAAGACGAGGGTTCTGACAGCCATCGAGCCGAGTTTCATGCGCAAGACGGGGTATTTAATGATGGACAAGAGCTGGGACCTGGAGTTCGAGGTGATGCAAGACGCGCACGAACTGGTTAAGCGCGGGGATCTGCGGATCGGGGAGATCGACAAACTCGTGCTCGCGCATCAAGATGGACAGGGGTGGTTGTGCTGGCGGTGGGAGACGGACGACGAGGTTGTGGAGGGGCGGAGGAGGAAGGTTGTGCAGTTCAAGGAGGCGTTGACGGGGATGGGCAAGGAGAGTTTGTTTTGGAAGTGGACGGAGATTGTGGAGGAGGAGAGGGATGTTGATGGGGGGTTTACGAGGGACAGGCAGGAGAGGGTTGCGAGGAGGGTGGGCGAGGAGTTTGAGAGGGAAGGGGTGGATTTTGAGGAGGTTGTGGGGAGGATTGGGGGGTTGGGGGAGGTGCCTACGAAGTAGTTTTGCGCTCGTCCTTCTGAATGTGGTTGGAGTACGACCGGCGTTTCTTCAAGCCGATCGTCGACGGAGGCCTCTGGAAACAACGGCGGAGTCTCGAGAAGCAGGCTAAAACGAACGAATCCAGCTGGTTAGCATCCACTCCGCCTCTTTGGATTGGATATTTATGGTCTAGACGACTTCGTGCGCAGGCAGCAAGGCGAAGACTCAGTCTCCAGCGCTAGGTACAGCAAGGTTGCTACGCTCCCTTGCCGGCATTCACGAGCTCTATCGGGCAGAAATTACAGGCCTCGTAGATTCCTGGAGCGACCGACCACCCGATCAACCACTCACGGCAATACGCACAGCTAACCTGATGAGGGAGACACTAGCCGTGGGATGGAGATTGGGCTAGCGAAGGAGAGCAAGAGCAATGCTCACCCAAAGATTGAGACTGGGGAATAATGAGTCCTCCCTATGAAGATGGCAGAGAAGGACCTTAACGCTATACCTCTTAGGTGGGTTACCGACACCTTCTGATAGCGAGCACATCAGATCTCAACCCACAAATCACATACAAGTCCATCCTATCTAAACAACCCCGGCTGCACCCCCCTCAACTCAGCCATCTCCTCCCTCCAAACCCTCAACGCCTCCGCACTCGGATCCAACCCCCCACCACTTTCCCCCAACACCACCTCCCCCTCCCCCTCCCCATACCGATACGGCTTCCCATCCGCCCAACACTCCGTCTCCCTCCCCTCCGGCACGACCCCCTCCAAAACAAACTCCCTCAAAATCCTCTCCGTACACGCCGACGTATCCCGACTACTATGCCCATAGCCATGATGCACGACCAACCTTGCATTCTCGCCCATCTCCGCCAGCAACCGCCGTCCATTGCGCAGCGGCGTCGCGGGATCGTACGTCTCCGCGACGAGGAGCACCGGGTGCGCGAGGGTATGGTTCAGATCTCCGCGGTAGGCGCCGACGGCGGCGCCGAAGGTCGAGGTGTAGTGTCGACAGGGGAAGACGTTGTAGAAGCGGGAATCGCCTGCGATCCAGCTTTGCGCGGTCATGTTTTTCCAGAGGGAGGTCCACCAGCGGAGGCCGTCGGGGTCGGTTTGGGCGTCTTTGGGGGTGAAAGGGGGGAGTGGCGCGTCGTGGGAGTCGGCGCAGATGACGAGGGCGGTGAGTTCGTCCGTGTGGGGTTTTCGGCGTGTGGCGGGGCAGGGGAGGGTTGGGTCGTATTCCCATTCGGCGCGGTCGAGCATGCGGGCCATGAGGGTGGTGTTTTGCTTTTCGAACTCGGACAGGGCGAGCGCGAGGCTGGGCCAGGTGAGGGCGGAGTACATGGCGCCGTAGAGGGCGCTGACGAGGGTCGAGTAGGTTATGAGGGAGGGGCCGCTGTGGGTTGTGTAGGCTGGGAGGGGGTTGGCGATTAGGGAGTCTAGGAGGGTAAAGATTCGGTTCTGTAGGTCTTCGAGGGTGACGTTCTTGCTGGATGGGTTTAGTGGCTTTGCGAGGGCGCAGTGCTCTGGTCCTGCGGCGATACATTCGGATAGGAACCCATCGTGCCACGCATCGGTGCCGTTGTCAAGGGCAGTCCAGCCAAACCCTCCGAGCAACCTGTGGTCCCGAACATACTCAGTCCCATCGAGGATGATCCTCCCAACGCTGTTCGGGAACATATTGGCGTACGTCTGTCCAATCCCAGTCCCATAGCTGACCAAATAGCCCGTCAGCTCAGGTTCTCCCAAAGCAATGCGGATCTGCTCAAGGTCACGAGCAACAAACGCCGTTCCAAGGAAACGGGGTAGATCACCATGGATTTCCTTGCAGGCGGCGAATGTAGCATTGTTGATGGCATCAGCGACTCTCAGCTGCGCGAGAGGCGAAGTCGATTCGTCGTGAGCTTGGTTGCTGAGGAGTGAGTATCGATCGCGATCCGCGTCGGCAGGGAAGCAGGCCATACTCGGCAGCGAGGCGTTGACACCTATGATCGATCTGATCAGCACTCAATCTGCTAGACCAGACACAAATCAACAAAAACTCACCTCTCGGATCCCACCCAAGCACATCAAACACACCCCCACTAAACCTCTCTGTAACACCCTCCGCCCCCCTCCACAGATAACTCGTCCCACTCCCGCCAGGACCCCCAGGATTCAACACGATCGTCCTCTCACTTTTCCTCCCCCTGCCACCACCATCTTCGTTCACTTTAGCAAGCCCCGAAACCTGAAACTTATTCACCGCCAACCTCACAATCCGCCCATCGGAAGCATTCGTATAATCCAACGGCACATCAAGATACCCACATAAATAGATGCCCCGTCCCTGATACTCATCATGCTCGGACGCAGAGTTCGTCGTGGCATTCCCCCAACTCCAATGCCCAGGATCAGGATCAAACTTCGCTGCCCAGGTCTTCTCAGGATTTGGATCTTCCAGCGCAGGCGGCAAAGTCTCGCTAGTACATGGCAGGAATTGGAAGGGGTCGTTGGGTTTGGGGAATTTACCGTAGGGTGGTGGTGATGGGGAGAGGGGAGAAGATGGTGTGGCGTTTCCGAATCTCCAAATGATCAAGGCGGTTACGCCGATGATGAGCAACATTGGGGCATATGGCGATGGTCTTTTACCTGGAGGTGCAGGCGAACGCTGCACTGAGAGGTCTGGTTTCCCCATTTTGAAGATGCGCGGGTATATATAAGAGAAATAGAGATGTGAGGTCGAGAGAGCAAACATGAAATGCAGTCGGAAGCTCCCGAGCAAACGACGTCGGTTGCATCGTAACACCCTCACGAGCCGCTCTCAGAGCAATCATTAGTTGAAATAAAGGTACATCGCGTGTGAAACATCAGATAATGTAAGAGTATGCACGTTTTGGTTCCATTCTGATCGTCTTAGAGTACATAATCGCTCATACAACGCCAGCCGCCTAATGCCACAAAACGATCCAGCAGCTGCCTCCCTCTGTGGTGGAAGACCAGCCCAAAGCCAGTAATCGTAGCATCCTAGCAGCCGACGAGCGTATTGGGTATTGCAACCATGCCATAATCAAACAGTGAAAAACAACCTTCTGATGCTTTGTAACGAGAATCGTCCGTAATGCTTTTGTTCTTCTCCACACTTGTACATCGTCCAGTCTTGAGCCACCTCGGGTAACTCCATCCATCTTCATGTGTCACAGCGTATCCGATTAGGTGTAACGTGGGATGGTAGTTCCTGAAAGCAACTGATGCGATCAAAAGCGGTCGCCGCGAGTACGGAACGTATAGCTGCCGTAGAAGCGGTTGCCGTCCGCGCCGGTCGAGTGACGGCGAATGAATCTAAGTTGGAAATGTTTAGCGGTCGTCGAACTTTAAGAAGGATTCATGTTCACCAGTAAGGCCTGGCATCGTAGCCACCACGTTCATACCGTCCGTCTCGTCTGGGGCTTGGAGGGCGGCCGTATGGCTCGCGTCCGTGGCCGTTCACGTAAGGGTCGGCCTCGTATCCGGCACCACCGCCACCGCGAGCTGGTGGTGGAGCGCGGCCGTAGCGGTCGTCAGCATAGCCGCCGCCACGTGGTGGGTAGTCGTCGACAGGTGGGCCGCGGGCACCGCGTGGAGGGCCGTAACGATCGTCGCGGGGGTCATCGTAGTAGCCGCGTGGTGGCGGGGTGCGGCGGCGGTAGTCGTCACGACGTGGGCTGTAGCCACGAGGAGGGCCGCGACGGTCGTAGTAGTCGTCGACTGGTGGTGGACCGTAACCACCTCGGCCACCACGGAAGCCTGGGGAGCGGGAGCGGTAACGCTCGCGTGGGCGTGGAATGTCGGTCTGCGGGTCAGAGATGCAGCGGACAGTGGAGCCCTTAAACTCGTGGTTGTCGAGCTTCTCGACGGCAGTAGCCAGATCCGCGGCAGTCTCGTACTCGACGAAGCTGCAAGAGGTTAGCAAGATGCAGAGGTGATGGGATTATGGACATACCCCTTGCCGGTGCCGCTCGCGTCACGCTCGCGGTTGACTTCGCTATAGACAACGTCCAAGCCAGACTGGCGGGCGAAGTCCTTGAGGTCCTGTTCCAAAGTGTAAGTCAAGCGATCCAGAAAGAGTTAATGTCAGTGCCAAGACAGGAAGCCGAGTCATGGGCGGACAACCAGACGGACGTCACCCCAAGGGGACGTGTTGGTTGGCGACGCATGGCAGACGGCATGGGTAATTGGTAATGGCATGACTGAACCGAGGGGTGGAGAGAAAAGGGTGTCGCTTACCTGCCAGCTGGTCTCGAATGGGAGGCCGGTGATGGTCATCCGGTGGACAGTACGGCGAGGGCGTGGAGCCATACGAGGCTGGTGCTCGAAGCCCTCACGTGGACGGGTGCTGCCACGCGCGAACTGGACGACCAAGCGCTCACCCATGAACTCAGAGCCATCTAGCCATCGATAGATGTCAGCAGTCGAGTACATAACATCGGAAAGGAGGGGGCCACGCAAAGCCAGTGACGCCCGAAGGCAACGGCAGGCAAAGCAGCGGCGAGGGTGAGGAGTAGGGTTGACATACGGAATGCTACAGGCTGAGTTAGCAGGTCCAGCATTATGATAATCGACAGCGCACGGGGTCGATGCGCTGCGGTAGTGGGGTGGGGTGGAGCTTACCTGGGACGACATCACGGGCGTCCATGGCGTCCTTGTACTCGATGAAACCGAAGCCATTCATGAGCTTGATCTCGGTAATCTCGCCGGTGCCATGGGTGTTGAAGTGGTTCTCAACATCGGCCTTGGTAGCTGTAGCAAATCCGGTCAGCGATGCCAGGTCTCAGGACGCGGCGCATGGAGCCCAAGAGCGCGGAAACTCCAGATCCCACTGGACCGGCGGGACAGCAATGGCAAGGGAGCAGCGGTGGCATGGCATGTCATGGCAGTAGAGCAGGCAAGCGGGCAGGGTATCAGCAGCGACATGGCCGGTCCTCCGTCATCCTTCTGGAGTATGCACGTCCAACCAGAACCGGCCTCCGATGTGCTGCGTTATCCATCGACCATCCACTGGAGAGATTGCGTACCGTTTCTAGGGAGGTTGCCCAGGTAGAGTCGTGTGTTGGACACACCGGCACCGTCTGCGGACATGGCTGCAGTGGACGCCGTGGGAGGGTGATTGGGTGAGGGTATGGGAAGAGGTGAGGCGAGGTAGGTGAGCAGCGCCGAGGGAATGCGACGACGACGGGCGTGCGCGTGCGGCCAGCCAGACAGAACAGCGGCGGCCTGGAGGAGGAGAGATCAAGGACAAGAGTGAGGCTGCGAGTGAGGCGGTCGCTGCAGCAGTGCGCCTGGGCGGATGGTGGTGCTGTCGATGATGATGACCAGGTGCAGTGCAGTGAGTGGGTGGTGGAGGTGGTGGTGTCGCCCGCTGGCAGCGCGAAGAATGGCAAGGCGAAGGTCGCGCCCGGGGCGGCAGCGGCCGGCTTGGCGATCCTCGATCACGTGCATTCTGCTGTACTTCGATTGCTTACCTCTCGAGCGAGTGGTGACGGCATGCGCATGGGCAGATTCGGCTTTGCGATCCCGAGTCATTTCCTTAGACCTCGGTGGACACCCGCACTCAATGGCTGGCACTGTGATGATCTCGCGAGCAGTATAGGATTGACAGCGTTCGCCTCGTTATTCCTCTGGCCTGCATCACCGCCTGCAATGGCCGTCCCTACCAGCATCCTCTCGTCTGCCGCTAGGCGGCGGCTTGTGCAACTGCCCGAGCTGTCGAGATGCGCTGTCCGGCCTGCAGCGGCAACGAGCATTGCGTCGAGGTGTCTCGTGCGAGGCTACCGACCGGCTGCCATCACCGCAGGACAGAGGCGCCCCATATCGAACACCACACGGAGAAGATTTGCCAGCGTAGAAGACGATGACTACCTCAATCCCCTCAAAGCCGAGCGAGAAGCGGATGAGGTGGATGTATGTATCGTGGGTGGCGGCCCAGCGGGATTGAGTGCTGCTATCAAACTAAAGCAGCTTGCAAACGATGCTGGAAACGAGGACTTTCGAGTGCTGCTACTGGAGAAGGCTGGTGAGATAGGGGATCACATCGTCTCGGGCAATGTGTTGGAACCCAGTGCACTGGACGAATTGCTACCGGATTGGAGGGCAGAAGATAACCCAAATCGATTCGAAGACTTCACGCCTGCAACGACAGATCGCATGCGGTTCCTCACAAAGACGAGCTCGATACCCATGCCGAAGCCTCCCCAGATGAACAACCATGGAAACGTTATTATAAGCTTGAATGAGCTCTCCAAGTGGCTAGGCGAAAGAGCAGAGGAAGTGGGCGTTGAGATATACCCGGGATTTGCCGCGTCTGAAGTGCTATATACCAAGGAAGGAGCAGTCCGTGGTGTGGCAACAAACGATCTGGGCATTGGCAGAGATGGCAAGCCTAAAGATTCGTTTGAGCGCGGAATGGAATTCCATGCTCGATGTACACTTCTCGCAGAGGGCTGTCACGGCAGCTTGACAAAGCAGATCATCAAGAAATACGACCTGCGGCGAGACAGCCAACCACAAACATACGGTCTGGGCATCAAAGAAGTCTGGGAGATTGATCCTGCCAAGTTTGAGAAGGGTCTTGTTGCACACTCAATGGGTTACCCACTGCCCACGAATACCTACGGTGGCGGCTGGATGTACCACTTTGGCGAGAACATGGTCTCCATTGGTCTGGTAGTAGGTCTCGACTACCCCAACCCATGGCTGGCACCGTACGGCGAGTTCCAAAAGATGAAGCACCATCCATTCTACAAGAACTACCTCGAAGGCGGCAAATGCATATCATACGCAGCGCGAACACTAAACGAAGGCGGCTTCCAAAGCATACCCAAATGTGCCTTCCCCGGCGGCGCTCTAATCGGCGACACGGCCGGCTTCCTGAATGTTCCAAAGATCAAAGGCACGCACACCGCAATGCGCTCTGGCATGCTCGCAGCTGAAGCAGCCTACGAATGCCTAGACGGCAGCAAAGACACCGAAGGCGCCGTCTTCCTGTTCGACTACGAAGACAAGCTCCGCAAAAGCAGCATCTGGACCGAACTCAAACAAGTCCGCAACATGCGGCCCAGCTTCTCCACTCCCCTCGGTCTATACGGTGGTGTCCTCTACTCCGGCCTCGAAGCCTACATCCTCCGCGGCATGGCCCCTTGGACCCTCAAACACCATGGCGGCGATCACGCAGCGACGAAGACCGCCGACCAGTGCCAGAAAATCGAATACCCCAAACCCGACGGCAAGATCTCCTTCGAAATCCTCACCTCCGTCTCACGAACGGGCACCAACCACGAAGAGGACCAGCCCTGCCACTTGCAAGTCGCCGACTGGGACAAGCACGCCGAGATGGAGTACCCCAAGTACAAAGGCGTCGAGAACCGTTTCTGTCCCGCGGGAGTGTACGAGTACGTGGAGGATGAGAGCAAGGATCTCGGCGTGAGGTTTCAAATCAACTCGCAGAACTGTGTGCACTGCAAGACTTGCGATATCAAGGTGCCGGATCAGGATATCAATTGGCAGACGCCGCAGGGTGGGGAGGGGCCGAAGTATGTCATGACTTGAGAGGTGAAGACATTTGTTCTTTCCGGGCGCAAAGAGGTGGGATTTTGGGTGGAAAAGATGGATATCTCTCCTCGCGAGGAAGTAAGAAAGATCTGTACATAACGCTCCAAAGCATCGACTATCAATTCCAGAAACCACCAACAATGCTCAATTCCCCAAACTCCCACCCCTAACCTAACCCATCACCCCCTCTTCCTACTCATCCACTCCATCGTCTCCCCACCCGTCCACGCCTCACAATACCCCAACAGCGTCTCCAACGTCACATTCCACCTCCAACTCCCCGCCATCTCCCTGAACCCCCACCCGGTATACTCCCTCATCCTGCGCGCCTCCCCACCGTCCTCCCCCTCCCCTTCAAGAAACACCCACGCCCCATACGCCAGCGTCAGCGGCGCGAAGATCCTCAGGGCGTTCCAGGGCGGTCCTGGGCCCGTGCTGGAGCGCAGGGCGTAGGGGATGCACTGCGTTATGAAGTTTGCGGAGGTTATGAGGGTGGTGCGGACGCGGTGGGCGGGAAAGTGGGTGTGGAGGGATGGGATTAGGGGGTGGAGTTTTAGGAGGTTTAGGCAGAGGATTATGAGGTTCATGTGGTGCCGGTTCGAGAGGATGTAGATTCTTATGGAGGTGAAGGTGAGGGGTGGGAGGGGGCAGTTTGTGGTGTCTGCTTCGCCTTCTGATGATGGTGATGGTGGTGAGGTGAAAGAGTGCGAGGAGATGAGGTCTTCGATCTGCGGTGCTTGGGCGAAGGCCCAGAGGCTGCGGGCGAGGTCGATGGTTTGGGTTAGGAGGTCGTGGTCAGGGGTTTCTTGTAGGCGGAGTTGGCGGTGGAGGGCTGAGAGCCGTGGAAGCTGGATCGTTTGGTCCATGATGGAGTCGAACAGGGCGTTTGTGTGGGTGTCGGATGTGGATATGGCGCGGGCTGCTGCGAGTCGTAGGGGGGTCGTCGAGGGAGGAGATTGTGCCTGAGATGGCGGATTCGAGGGCCTGGTCAGAGTCAGGTCACTTCTACTGGGCATTTCGTCGTCTGGATACTCACCTATTCTGAATGGATGGATCGTGACAACCGTTGCTCAAGCAGACCCCATCGACCAGACGTCCAACGCTGCTTGAGGATCTGACACAGAGCCAATTCGTGAAGTTTGTAGTTGTAGCTGTCAATGCCTCCCATATACTGTCACTCGTCAGTCAAGGCGCCATTTCCATGCATGGGGGATATGCCTACCTCAGACATCGTCATAGCATACATCGAAACCAGCATCTCATCAGTCGCATCTGTCGACGACTGCGCTAACGCAAACCTCAACGCCCTCATAGCCTCAGCACCAGACTTCTTGGCCAAGTTGAGAGCATTCTCATCCTGCTTCATGAACGCCCGATGACAGTCGACGGTATACTTCGCCGCTGCGTCGAGTACGACGTCTTTCCCTATCCAAGCCGGCATTGTGTGAAAAGTTTCGGTGAAGCCCGCCATGGCACTTTCGTCGTGATTCTCGAATTCCAGCATGTATGTCCATCGGGAGGCGAGACAGTCTGCTTTGCTGACTAGAGAGCGGGATGGAGATGGAGGGTGGGCGATCGTGAGGGCGCGGCATGGGAGAACAGTTCTGCGGAGCGTGAGGACGTGGAAGGCTCCTTCTCCTGACGAGGCGCGGCGCGTTGATGTGAGTTGCAAGCCTGTGGTAACTATCAGTTCTATTTTCAAGAGACTTTCGACGAGCATACCAGATAAACTCGCATCATCCTGTTCAGGAGATTCGCTCGACGGACTGTAGCTGCACGGCCGACCTCCTCTGATACACGTCTGGCAAGCAGGACGTGCAGCGTCGCACTGCAGCCTTGTCAGATTCTTGGAATGTTGCAACGATAGAGTGGCGTCAACTTCTCACCTTCACCTTCCGGAGCCGACAGATGTCGCATTTGTCCCGTCGTGGCATCGTTGTTCGCAACAACCTTGGATCAAAAAACTTCCAGTATGCTCTTCTCAACGAGATATATATCAACCAGCCCCAAATCGATCAACACCACCCAGGTGCTGCGAAGCCAGCTACCGGAAACACCGCGTAAAGAATGCACAGGCTACACCACCGCATCAGTCGGCCTCACCGGCCATCCCAATCATCCCCAGGCAGCATCCGATCAACACCACTCTCCTCAACCTCTCATCAATCCCAAACGAAAACGAACCAAACCCTCCAGCTCGAACCCAAACAAAATACACACCTCTCATAGCCACCCGCTCAACCCTTCAAAAAAGTTCAGCTCCTCAATTATTCCCCCAAGTGGCGGAGCGGTATAGTCGGTATGATACCGAGACTCAAAGCCAAGGAGTCACTCGTAGCCATTGGGAGACGTCGCCATAGACTTTTGCTTGCAATGATCTTCGGGTCCTGCGCGCCAACGAGATGTGGCGTGGAGCGGGAGCTGAATGATCGACATGCACGAGCTCTTGATCAGGTACCGCTTGCCTATGGGGATTGAGTTTGGGGTGTACGATTGAGCCACTTCAGCTCTGGATTTCAGCCTCGTTCACGCATGCGGTTCACGTGTAAGGGAGCAGGCTCGACGCCGGTTGTAGGGCTAGATGGCGTTATTTCTCTCGTTTCGCGCTGAGGATCGCGGCATGGGATGAAGGATGCCAATCTTTGCTTAGTGATGGAAGTGCTGATAATCTCATTCGTGCCATTTGACTATGCTCTGGTCGGGACAGGTCGTACATTCAAAACCCTTCGTATTCGCATCCTGCACAAGTAGCAAACATGTGGTGTATCCTTCTTCCTTGACGCATCATCAAACAAGCCAAGCCAAAACGGCAGCAACAAGAGCAGCGACATTGACATTCCCCAACCATGGCGTAGACCCCATCGTAGCATCTGCAGCAGAAGACGACGTCGCCGCAGCGCCAGTCTTCAACGGCGTGATAGTCGTTCGCAAATTCGTCCCCGTGCTGTTCAAACTCATGCTCGCCTCCTGCAAAAGTCCATTGTAGTTCGACTGCGTGACCGGGATCCAGGTGGCACAGGTCAAAGGCCCGAGAGAAGTCTTGGTTGTCTTTGTTTTGGTCTTCTTCTTCGTAGTTGTCCCAGCTGTTGTAGCAGCATCCTGGGCCAAAGTCGCTCTTGTTCGGGTAGCGCGTGCCTCGAGCCTTGCATCTTCGGATGTCGTGGTGGGTGCGCCGACGCAACAACCACTCACAGCTCCGGAGGTGGCTGCGAAAATGCCTGGGCAGGCCGATGGTTGTTGAGCGAGGGCTGGCATGCTCAGGCAGGATAGGAGGGCGACGATCTCGATGGATAGCTTCATTTTGGGAAGTGTGAGGATAGCGTATGGTGGACTTTAAATGGTGATCAATTGTCGCGTTGGTCGTGCCTGGCAGAGGAAAACAGGGACCTTCTTGTACTCTGCCTTCCAGTGCACTGACACACTTATGCTCATGGGATCGTCAACAAACAATGGTAGTCCGTCATTGCGAGCTGATTGTCACCAGCGAGTGACTTCATCGCCGACGTGCGAGAACATGTCTGATGTGGTATAACTCGATCCGCCAAGTCAACTGTTTGATTGATCCGATTGCTTGGTATGGTTTTAAGTCATTCATCAAGGAGAGAGCATGGCGTGCATCGGCCAACTGACCCAGATCGCTTGCAACCCCATCGACGTCATTGTCGTGCACGATGGTATGGACTTGGCTCCCAGTCCCATACGGCAACGCCCCTCCAGCCATTCGTTATTAAGCTGGAGGCGCCGCGTGCTCGCAACATGGCACACTAACGCTCGCACTGCCCTTGATAGAGTAATATTTGAGTTGATGTGAGAATGACCGTCAACAGCATAGCAAGCCGAATACTCGGTACGTCCGCGTGGCTAGGAGCTCCCGTCTCCATTGCTTGATACACTTTATACGCTCAACCCAAAGAGGAAACTTCTCGCAGCGCTGTCGGCCCCCACGACTTGATCGACACATCACAAGCACACAAGCAGCCACATGGTCTTGGCAGAGCGGCATGTCGAATGAACCCTTCGGTTTCGTGGTTCTCCGAGCAGATCAAAGCCAAACTCGTCAACTCTCAGTCGTCAAAAGTTCCCGCGGGATCAATATGCATACCGTCGATGCTGTCGGAGGCCACCACATTTCAAAATCTTGCATCGAACCTTGATCGAAGAATGCCTGCTTTTGTCGCTGTTGCTCATGGCATAGAACCTTAATGGCTCTGAAACCTGCTCACGAAGAGCCAAACATGCTTTGAAAACCTAAGCAAGTCTCCTGCTCAGGCGTCGATTCTCCCTCTGCCGAGCAATCTTCTTCTCTTCCCGTCTACGCTTCTTCCAGGATCGGTTCAAGTCGCCGCGGTTGTCGTAGAACCACTTGCGAAATTCGCTCTCCTCGCGCTCGCCGTCTTTGCCCTTTTCAGCTCCAGTGACTGCCTCTTCTTCGTCAGCATCTTGCATGTCTATGTCCTCATCTTGATCAACATCATCAACGTTGTCAACATCTTCAGCAGCAAAAGGAAAGCTGAAACGTTTGCCGATGGCTGCAGTATCAGGGGTTGGTGCCGCTGATCGTATACTTCGCCACTCCAAATCTTGTTTTGTGTGAGGCGTTTGAGGAGGGTTGTTCTCAATCACGACTTCATCATCGTCCGCGCCCCTGTTGAAGAAGCTGAATGATGTGTCGATCGGCGTAGGCCTCTTAGCTTTCACAGCCTCTTCAGCGTTCGGCGCTGGTCGTTTGAACAAGGCTTCCAGAGGATGGATTTCCTTGTCCACGGCGGACGCAGCTTCGACTTCTGCAGAGGGAAATGCGTCTGCGATGGGAATAGAATTGGACTGCTCCCTCTCCACCGCCGCGTTGCAAGCCAAATTCGTCTGCGCTTGTTTGAGTTGACGATCGACTTGGTCGTCATCGTCTTCGCTCATAGCAGCATCCGACGTGTCAGAGTCAGAGGAATCGTTTTGCTCCTCTGGCTGCTCAGCTTGACCGCCATCAGACTCAGCGCCAGAATCTTCGGAGGCTGGGCCAGTCTCTTCTTCTGCAATCGTCTGCTGTTTGCGCGCAGCTTCAGGCTCAGCTTCAGAATCAGATTCCAACTCATGCTCAGGTTCGGGTTCAGATTCTGGTTCGGGTTCAGCTTCTGGTTCAGGCTCAGGCGCTTCCTTCGCAGCTTTACTGCGTCTCCGCTTCTTCTGAGGTTGTTCTTCCTCGACCACATTACCGTCCTCATCTACCCAGCCCACACCTTCCTCGTATCTCGCACCCTTCCTGGAAGCAACAGTAGCTGTGCTGAGAGGCTTCGTAGTCTTAGCAAACTCCTTCACCACAACCTCTTTCTTGCCCTTCCTCTCTTTCTTATCCTTCTTGACCTTGCTCTTCTCCTTCTCCACACTCTCAACCTTGTTCGGCGGCACGACAGTCTTGAAACGCATCTTTTTGCTCTCTAGGCCTCCATCTTCCTTCTTGCTCGACGTCCTCAAGGGATTCTTCTCGTCCCAGCCTCTCTTCACCCTCCTCCCCTCCTCCAGCTCATGTCCAGGTATCACACCTTGCTCTTTCTTCCGCTTTTCCTTCTTCGCCTTCTTCCGCGCTTTCTTATCATCCACATCTTCCTCTACAGCGTCAGAGCTCTTGCGCTTCTTCTTCTCAGGCTTTGCTTCTTCGATCTTGACTTTCGCGCCCTTCAATGTACTCCCATTTAGCTTCTTCTTGAGCTTCTGCGCCTCCATCGTGGGCAGCTCGACGTATCCAAAGCCGCGCTCGGGGAAAGTCTCAACCGTATGGAATGAAATGTTCGTCGCTTGCGGCTTTAGCGACAGTGAGATGTAGCGATCCAGCAAGTCCGGGTTGAAAGGTGTGATGTGCAGCCGTGTCCTTTCAGTTGCTGCCATGTCTTTGGTAGAAGGTCATCGAGACATGTTCGCGGTGATGGGGAAATCTTCTTGGTAGTGTAGATCCTCTTTAAGGTGAGGTGCGGAAAATAAGCTTCAAGAACCCTGTCTCCCGAACGATGTCCGTGCGCATCCACGCGACGACATGTGAAGGCGCCGACCAGCTCTCGTCGTGAGAACCTACTGAACAACGATACCAGACCATGCGATAACACACCATGCCGGACCACTCCCTCCAGCTTCGCTATATCCTGCTCTTCCTCTCCTTCCTCTCCTTCTCCCTCGCAGCCTGTAAGCATCCCTCACGCTCCCTCGCATCACCCACGACCTGCTAACAACCATCCCAGCACCAACCTCCTTCTGCAAATGCACCTGCTTCAGCAACAGCACCATAATTCCCCTCGACGCAACCGATGAATCCCTCAAATCAAACACCTTCTTCACCTCGAACGCAAACACTACAACATCCGACAAATCCGCCGACAACAACGAGGATGACGACGGCGAGAAGAAGAAAGCGGCGAGGAGCTGTAACGATTGCAATAAACAGTTCTGCTTGAGTTATAACTTGCCGATATGCAAAGATGCGGAGGAAGGGGATGTGTTTACGACGTGTTTTCAGCGGGATAGTACGAAGGATGAGGTTGTTGTGCTACTGTTCATCTTCGCGACTGTTGGATTGCTGGCTTGGGCGGCTGTGAAGCCTTGGTATGAAAAGTGGAGGGAAGGCGTGCAGTTAAGGGGGACGTACGCGCCTGTGGGTAGTGGAGGTGGAGGACAGTGAAGGAGAGAGGAAAGAGAAAGACTTGAAGCAACAGTTCTTGAAGACCGCTGTCTGAAACATAGCGAGGTACCAATCGAACACTTGGTATACCTCGCTTTGGAAACATCTCGCATTGTGTTTCTTGCATCAAGTTCTGGGACCAAAACCTTCAATGGACACACCGCTGATCACGGCACATCTTCGAACGATCCCTTCGCCTCAATTGCAAGACTAATGTACAAAGAGCATTGGCAATCTCGCCGGATCGCCTTTCAGATTGAAATCAGAGATCGATGTCTTGCACCGATTACAAGAAGAAGGCCAGCACGGCGAAGAAGGCCATGCCAACTGTGGCAAGCGCGACCTGCTTGCCGCCATCTGCCTTGGATGAGATGCCACCAACCTCAGCCGTGGTGGACTGGGCGGCTGTGGAGTTTGGCGACGACGTCTGCGAAGCAGTGGCGTTCACAAAAGTCGTGATGGTGTTGGTGGAGGTCGAATGACCAGCCAACGTCGAGTTGTTCGCAGTGACGGGCGAGACAACAGCGCTGCTCAGCGAAGTAAGCGTAGTGTTCAGATGGTAGTTGGCCGTAGGCACGGTAGCATTGACATACGAGCTGGCAGAGGAGACAACGGAGGTAGTATTGCCGGTGCAAGTCGTGTCGTTGGACATACTCGCGGTGATGACCTTCGTGATGGTGGCAACTGGCTGGAATGATTGTCAGCTTGTACATCAAGAAAGGGGCGGATTCTTGCTTACCACAGAGGCAGTCACAACCGAAGTCTCGGTCGGCTCACGCTTCTCGCGATTGCCTCCAGGCAACTCATACCACGTCTCCGTCTTGGTATATGCTGGGATCGTGGTCGTTCTCGTGGTGCCATCGCCAGGGAAGGTGTAGACAGAGTATGGGAAGTCGCGGGTGAGGGTCGTGTATGGAGTGCAGCCCAGGTCTTCGCATGGGTTGCCCTCCTGACGCGCCTCGACGGGAGCAATGGGAGTCGTGGTAGCTTCAGCAGCTCTAGCTCGGGCCTGCTGTGTGGCAAAGAACAGCGACTCGGTTCTGCAGCTCTGGATGCCGTCGTAGACAGCGCAGGCAGTGTTGATGAATGTCGCCGTAGCCTCGTGAAGGTTCATGGAGATAGACTGTGCGAGCCAACCGTAGTACTCCGAGGCTGACTTGGCCGAGAGAACGGTGCTGACCAGTTGGTCTATAGTCCAGATGGCATCGTGCTCCTGTCGCATGGCCACCGCGTTGGTGATCTCCGGGGCCGCAGTGATTGGACTGAATTCCGGAACGGGAAGCGTCTGCTGGGGAGCAGCTCCTGCGGTCGTCATGGTTGCCAAGCTGGCCTCAATGGCGGACAGCGAAGACTTGGCGGCGGACAGAATGCTGGCATAGTAGGAGATAGATCCGATGGCACCGAGAGCACCTTCCTGGCGAGCGGTCAAGACCTTGGTTGGGGCTGGAGATTCGGTGATGACAAGGGTGGTGGCAGGAAGGGTCCAGGTGGTCTCGGGACTGCCGTCGACACCAGTCTTAGCGGGAAGGGTGACGGTCTTGGTGGTGAGCAGGTAGTTGAGATCGGCTGGCTGGTCGTTGAAGAAGCCACCCTCGAAGCCTGGCTCAGCTTCACGGTCGACGATGAAGGGAGAATCGGCAACAGCGGAGACCGATGGGACTATGAGTTCAATGTCAGTATTGGTTGCATTACGCTTCTGTTGCTTTGGTGCGGTATCCGGTGTTGCGCCATGTCCGGTTCCCATCACAACGGCAAGCTCAACTGGAGCGCACTTGCTGCCAATCGGCTTGTGGTAGAGGTTCGAGAAGTCTCCGCTGTTGCAAGCATAAAGAGTCGTGTTTCCGCCAAGTGCAAGAGTTCGGTGACCCTCAGGACCACATGCCGACCAGCCTGCTGTGTAGATGGTGCCGGCTTGAGGGGGAAGGTCGAACTGGAATTGGCCATTCGCAACAATGCAGCCAATGCGATTGGTGTCGTCGACGAGAGTCCCGTTGATCAGTGAGATTTGAGGGATCGCCACATGCGCTGCCGCTTTGTTCGAGACGAGGGCGACCTTCTGACCAAGACCGAAAGCGACGTCCAGAGTTGTAACGCATGTCTCTTTGGCCGCGCGCGTGGCTGAGGGCACCATACCAGGATGAACACCTGGAGGCCACGAGCTTGCTTCTGCGATGATGGAGGACAGGACCGAGGTCGGGTTCGCGACTGACGGTGGAGTTGAGGAGCCTTCAGCTGTAGTTGTGCTTGGTTGTGCTGTGTGGACGTCGCCTTGCTTCTTTGTTGTTGTGACTACCTCGAAGGAGCAGAAGCCAGGTGGAGCTGTCGAACCAGAGTATGGACACTCGATGTAGCCATTTGGGTGCCGATAGCTGCAACCGCAGCCAATGGTCTTGAAGCCGCCCGGAGTTGGCTGGTCGGTCGGCTGCGCAAGCTCCGTCTCTGTGATGACAGCTGCCGTGGAGGAAGAGCGCTGTCGACCAACCAGGTCGGCCTCGATGATGCTGGAGGGTGGAGTGGATGTGGCGGGCAAGGTGGCCGAGACCGAAGGCGGCGCCAGGGTCGAGTCGATGGGAGATGGTCCGGACATGGCGGCGCCTTTGTTGCTGGATGAGGTGTGAAGTTTACCTGAGGACGACTGCGAAATTGCTGCAGCGACCGCACTCGAGGCGGCGCCCGCAAAGGCCACGGCTGCGATGAAACGCATGGTGGCGGTGGTGTGATGAGGTTGAGATGATCAGTTGTGATGTGTGAAGAGGAGTCGCAACGAGGGTGACAATGTATCGAGGTAAACTGCGGATGTCGGTGTTCGTGCTGGTGTTGGAAGCGGTGTCGAGAAGTTTGGCTCGAGGTGGAAGATGAGCGAGTTAAATACTGGAAAGTCTTGGCGCGCCGAATGAGGAAGTTGCGGCTTCGCTTAGGTGCGGCAAGAGCAGTCCGTGTTCCGCTGTTCACCAGACTGTCCACTCTTCACCAGTTTGCTCAGCTTTGGTCTCCTGAAAAGGTTAATGGCTGGCACGTTTAGCATGGGTTTGTGCCGTTCCGTTGGCGCTCGAGTGCAAAGAAGGCCTTCAGGCTCGGTGTTCTGTGCAGCTGCGGTCCAGTGTCCTCGAGTTGTGTGCAACAGGGAGATTGAAACGCCGATGGTGAGCGGCTTCGTGTTCTGCCCGGCAGGTGTCGACTTGTGGGCAGGACTCGGTCTGCTTCAAGGAAGATTCTGATGTTCGTGTTATGGAGGTTCTCATCTGATCGAAGCGGGTGTGATCCTTCGACACGACCTGGATGTCTACCACGGCGACAGGCGCATGTGAGATGCGACTTATTCATCTGAACACCATTGATTTTACATATGCTCCTGCCGTCCTTCCTTTATTCTCGCCCTGACACTTCCATCCTCCATATAGGTCTTCATCCCTTCACAAGTACGACACTAACACTCGACTGTGACCAAAAATTGCTTTTGCCAGCCTCTTCACTCCCGATACAAATCCTCCAGATACTGTACCATCTTCCTCCTGAGGGCCAATAAATCACTCTCGGTCACAATCGGGCTCCACTTAGGATGATCGTCAGGGACTTGCACTTCAGAAGTTTGTGTTCCATCAGGAACGACGAGCGTCTTATCAGTCCCAAAAAACGGCACGCCGAGAGACTTCAATTCGACCGACATGGCAATCTCCATATCTTGCTGGGCAGCATAAATCTTACGATCGAACGCAACGAGCTCTGCACCCGAGTCCACCCCAGCTTGATCAGCAGACGCAGACGATCCAGAGAAGCTGGGGTTCAGAGACTTCAAGATTGACTGCGCCTTAGCCGCGGATAATGATCGATTGGCCTGGGTCTGCTTCAGATTCTGCCTTTCAGTATACCAGCGCATCTCGTGAGCTCTCTGCTCTTTCATCATCTGAAACAATGGTCAATGCGTTCTTGAGAACGAAGAGAAGAGGGCATTCTCAGCTTACCTTGTTGATGGTTGCGGCAAACTGGGCATTTTGTGCAGCAATCTTGGTGACGCAGCGCAAAGCATCTTGCCATGTCGTAATCGTGGATGGATCTATCATGGGCTTTGAAGAAGTCTGGGCTGGCTGCCCCAGCGGTTTCACACCGGCTTTCATGCGAGGATCGTGGGTAGCATTGCGCGAGTCTTTGGAGGTTGGTTCTTGGGTCTCACATCTTGGTATTGGAGGCGTTGGCGATAACACATGGTGAGGATCTATCGATGCGAGACTTGATGCACTCGAAGCATGCTGGGCTAGTGTGGCAAGGATAGATTGAAGATCTGGTGCGTTTCCTCCTTCATCCATGATTTTCGTGGCCCTCTTGGAGCACTTCCGCTCGCTCCTGGAAACTAGTGATACCGAGTGCACCCCAAATAGCTACACAGTGGCTGGTCGTTGGGTTCGATAAGGATAGACTGTATTTTCATTTGTTGGTTTGTTGATGGTCAAGAGGTGAGGTCGGCGTTCTTCGCGGGAAAATCGCCGCTCGGCTGGATCCAGCGATCATCATCGACCTCGAAAGTTTGAAGGAGAGACCTTCAATCTCGATGCATCGAATACAACATTCCATCGCACCCCTCCACTGGATGCTATCGACATTTCCTTGAAGAGACGTCACACAATGGCGCGATCACCCTCAGAAGCAACGCGCTTCACATCAACCGGACCTTACGCCTCCACCTTCACTGGCAATCCAGGAGCAACATCAGCTGGCACGCAAATAGACTTTGGCTCTGCGCCAGCAGGCGAAACAGCACAGCAAAAGATTGCAAGATTAAGAGCTGCCGCGGCACTAGCAAAACGAGGGAACGAAAGCTCTTTCGACAAGACTGTGCGAGTAGGGCGAAAATGGGCAGACAGGGCACACAGAGTTACGGCACTGGGTCTGGTTGGGTTTACGGTCTTGAGCGCGGCGGTTGCAACAGCTGGAATTACTGATATGCTGCTGCATAATCGAAGAAGACGGAACGAATGGCTCGCAGAGAAGCAGGCGGAGAGCGCACGGGAGCTGGCGATTGCAAAGCAAGCGTTGGACCAAGGAAGAGCATCGGAAGATCAAATGCTGTTGATCAACAGAGAAAGAGTAGCGGAGGAGGCGGCAGAGGCGAAGATGAATAAGCCTGGCATAATCAAGCGAACAACGAGTTGGATGTTCGGTGGACTTTCGCAAGAAGAGCAGAAAGGTGGGAGACTTGGTGCTGCGGCTTCTGGATCACAATCGGCAAGCGACGAGGTGAGACAAATTTCTTCGTCGTTGGCGGACGAGGGCAAGAGCGTTTTGCAAGCTGTGAGCAACAATGTGGAATCTCATCGGAGAGAAGGAGAAGCAGTGCAAGAACTCATTAATCCCGCTGGCGGTCCCCTCGATCGACGGGCTCAAGCAGTTGCAGATGCTGCTTCAAGAAGCTGGACAAGCTGGATTACTGGCCGGTAGCACGAGCTTGTACAGTCTGCTGCTGGATGTGTTTGATGGATTTGCACGGCGCTGGAGTTGAGCGAGGAAGGAAAAATGTACAGACTGCCTGTATGGAAGGGGCTACATCGAGCATGTCTTTACAACGCTCAGTCTGACTAGGTCGACACGGCTGCTGGATGAGTCGTATGCATAATAGAGCCAGCAAGGCGTCCTTTGTCAAGTTTGAGCAGCTGAAACTGTACTACAAGCATCGGATTTCATGCGGGTCCAATGCGTCTGTATCGATCGAGCAAAAGACGACCCCTTTTTCGAGATTCATTTAGCCAATGGCAGTGCAACGGACCTTACTCCGGATTGAGTTTCCTCTGCAGCACCCTTTAGCCTCCCGCATTGCTTCTTCGACAGCTTGATAAGGCGATGTCATGATACCAGCCATCGCAACGCGCTCATTTTACGTACCTGCGCGAAGTAAAATCGAATCAAAGGTGAGATCAAGGCTCAAAATGGCCAATCACCAAAAATTAACGGCAAGTCGCGTGGATTGCACATCATTGATGTCACCGCTCGTCAGTCGCGCCTGCCACCCCTTCCATTCATTGCTCTTGCTCTTGCGTGTACCCCCAAAGAGGTAGCTTGTCCATTCTCAGAATATCCCGTCAACAACTACGAACCATCAGATACCACTCATCAATCATGTCTCTCCTACGCACAATCCGCCAGCCAGCCCTCCTGCGATCGTTCGCTCCTCGCTCGTGGACGACAACATCTGCCGTCTCGGTAGCTGGCCGCCGCTTTGCCCACCAAAGCTACGGCTCCGGCGAGACCAAGAGTGATCAAGAAGCGAACCAGACCCAACGTAACGCCGAGCACCCAGGCCCAGCACCACCCAAGGCTGCCCAGCAAGGCAAGGGCCAGCAACAGCAGCAACCACAGCAATCCAGCGGCGGCGACAAGCAACAGAGCAACAACAACAGTACGTCGAAAGCACAACCTAAGATCCTAAGCGACAATCCACCGGCTCAGGGCGAAGAGACCGAGGATGTCGCCAAACACAACAGGGAGATGGCACAGCGTGCTGACAGAGCGGAGGAGAAGGTAAATAATGAAGATACGGAGAAGGATAAGGTGCCCAAGGGATATTGGTCGGGTAAGTGATACTATACAGGAGAAGGCGGTAGGCCGTTTACTAACTGTGGTGCAGGCACGGGCGGCAGGGATAGTCAGCCGTGATACAGTAGCTCGCACTGTACAGCACTCTTGAACGCGCGCACAGGCAGAGAGGAGCCGATCGATGCCTTCCGTTGATTTCATGGGAAAAGTGAAAGTGAACTCTGCAAAACCGGGGCTCGAAAAAGGGAAGATTTGTCCCATGCAGAAGTGGTGGCGTGGCGTCGTAGCTCAACAGACACGTGTGAACGACTCGAAAACATGAAGTCTCACCTCCAAGTGAAATCCTCTCACAATGACGTTCCAGGCTCACAGTGAAGTGAGCCCGAAACTGTTTCACGCTGGTGCGCCAGAAGTCTCGCAGGTTGTTTAACTCTCATCAAGCTGCTCGCATTCATCGCTCATCAGCCTCGAAAACACCCGTCAGACAACTACATCCACAAAACATCACCACCATGTCAGACGAAGTGAGAGTAGCCAAGCGGAGAAGGTGATTCATATGCACACTGTCATTCATGAACGCCAGCTAACACCTACAGGATTACCGACGCCGTCATCTCCATCGTCGTCGGCACCGAAGCCCAAGAGACGTTCACGGTCCACGAAACAGTTTTGTCGGAGCGGTCTGGCTTCTTCAAAGCTGCGATTTCCAAGCGCTGGCGTCCAGGCGGTGACGGCAAGATCTACCTCCCTGAAGATGATCCCTCTGCGGCGGGTGCCTACTTCGAGTGGCTCTACAGCTCCAAGATAGCCTCCAAGGATGACCGGCCTGAGCCTGTTACTAAAGTCGAACAAGCCGATATGCGCGCCGAATTTGAACTACTCGTGCAGATGTACGTCTTCGGCGAGAAAGTCCTCGACGACGACTTCTGCAACGCCGTTCTCAGCGCCATGCTATTGAAGATGGAGAACGACGACGCCAAGTGCATATGGTATCCTCACAGAAATGCCATCAGGATCTTGTACGAGGGGACTTCGCAGGATTGTCCTGCGCGGAAGATGATGGTGAAGCTCTACGCGGACAGCGGCTACGTGGCGTGGTTTATGGAGGACGATGTCTCGGATAGTGAGGAGTTTCTGCGGGACTTGTGCATGGAGTTACTGAACAGGAGGATGATTGCCCAGTCAATGAAGCAGTGGGAGAAGAGGCAGCAGTGGTCTAAGTGAGGTACGTAAGTGGCCTGCTCTGGACTCCTGCCAAGTCTCCAGGCTCTTGTGAAGTAGACAGCAGCTGAAACAACTTCGACCTCAAGCATGTGACACGCGTGACACAAGTGAAGGTGACGCAAAAGCGTAAGTGAAGATAACATTCACATGTCCACCGAGTGAAGTGAAAACTGCCTGGCCCTTCTTCTTTAAGATTCCACAACCTCGCGCTGCATTGCACTTGCTCATCAACGTCGCGAGAACAGTGCACATCTACGACACTACAACGAAGTCATCATCACCCATGATGGCAGCAGAGATTCGAGCTCCCAAGCGAGCAAGGTACTTTCTCAAACCACATGTAGCAGCAGTGCCAGCATCTGACTGTCTCTAGATTCTCTGGTGGGATCGTCACCATCAAAGCTGGCACGGGAGAAGGACAGCAGACCTTCAGCATCCACGAGGACGTGATCAAGGAGAACTCGCCTTTCTTTCGCGCCGCACTGGACAAGAAGTGGAAGGAAGGCCAGGCCCGTGCCGTCGAGTTGCCAGAAGACAGTCCTGAAGTGGTGGCTGCCTACGTCGACTGGTGCTACAGCAAGGAGATCATGTGCAAGAAAGCTGGGTCATCCAACGAGTACACGCGTTTAGATATACATCGCGAGCAGTGGATCTTAGCGGAACTCTACGTCTTCGGAGAGAAAGTCCAGGACGACTCCTTTTGCGACTCTGTCATGACCGCATTGACCGAGGCCTGCGAGTTGGAAGTGAACGAGCCCTTGGATGAGCAGTTCGGCTATTGCTTCCTCCCAGAGGACGGAATCGTCTCACTCATCTACGATGGTATACCACCTAACTCTCCTGCTCGTCGCTTCGTCGTGGACATGTACGTATCATACGCGACGAAGGAGTGGTTCTCACCCAGCACTCCATGGCTGAAGAACCCAGAGTTTCTGAAGGATTTGGTCGTCGCCAATCTCAAAGATTCACCACTTCAGCAGTCGGTTGAGGCAGAGGTTCGCAGCAGACGCAAGGAGTGGTTCAAGCAGAAATCAGACGACTGAAGGCCAGGGGTCGGAAGTGTGGGAAGGGATCGTGTCGAAACTCTGGAGTCTTGGGCAAAGATCATGGGATTCAAGTCTTGTTGAACGCAGATGATGGTGGACTCCAGGACAAGACAATCCTGGGCCTAACGACTCGTTCGTTGTATCCTTCACAGAGACGTGGATGCATTTGAGGGCCCGAGAGTTCCCGCCGACCGCGTCCACTTTGGGTATCGAGGTGTGGCTTGTTTCTTTTACGGGCAGGTCGATGCCAAGGCACACACCCAAAGCTCGGCCGAGTTCAAATAGTATGATGCAATTGACCATTACAAGGCCTCCAGCATTGGTTCAGACTCTTTCTTGAAGTCGGTTCGTTGTGAGAAGTCGTCGTCTCCTCTTTGTGCATCTCGGCAGTCTCCTCTTGTCGGTATCCATCAAGGCACCCAACACCCCTCACCCAACCCCCTCCACATCCCCAACGTCTCCATCCTCACCCTCGAATTAACCCTCGTCAACGCCCCCGAAGGCCTCACAGTCCTCTTCAACACCGGCATTCCAATCTCCCTCTCCGGCGTCAAAGCCATCTCATAAATCTCATTCCGAATCTCAGCCGGCAAGTCCATGAAGCGGAAAGGCCCATCGTGTTGAGCATTGGGTGCGAAGTGCTGCGGTTTGGGGAGGGAGAGGATGGCGTGGAGTTTGGAAGGCATTGTTTCGATTGGTTTGGGTGGTGAGTTTCTTGCGTTGTTGTTGTGGGAAGTGAATGTGGAAGCGTGCGGATGGGGCACGCGAGAGGTCGTGTTGTTGAAATGCAGGGGCTGGATTTAAGGTTTGAGCCCTGCAGACTAGCTGGCCAATAGCGTGCTGTCACATGCGAGTCGGTGTTGCTATTTTAGGCATGGTGTGTTGACTTTGGTCGTCACGGCGACATGGTCATGTGAGGGAATTGAGATATGGAAGGTGATGGTGATGAAGAAACTTATACTGCAACATTGTATAGAGCGACATGTCTCTAGAAGAACATTATCCCATTGCGAGACTTGGCAAGAAGTCGCAATGTGTCGATTCGAACTGAAGTATTGAACTGATGAGGACATTATCTTCTACAAAGGTATCCTTCTCTACCTGTCTATAAGAAAATCACCATGCTAATGGTCATGTATATCATCCAGAGTATACTCAAAAAACAAAGCACGTCGTGTCAGACGTTTCAAGAGTGAAATCGTTCTAGTCATTCCATCTCTAATTCCGTCCTCCCCATCCGTTGAAACGCCCGTTGTTATTATTCTGTGGTCGGTAGTGACTCCAGTCGCCGTTCTTGAACCATGAGGAGAGTTTTGCCCAGAACTGCTGGACGTTCTGAGGCTTGTTTTCGTTGTGAGGCTTGCCCTGTTGGGGCTGGTTCTTGCCTGGTTGGCTGTTGTGTGGTTGGTTGTTCTGAGGCTTGTCGTGGCCTTGCTTGCCGGGATTCGGCTTTTTGGGGTTTGGTTTGCCTTGTTCAGGCTTGCTATCGTGAGGCTTGTTGTCCTCAGGCTTGCCCTTGCCCGGTTGGTTTTTACCAGGCTTCTCATGAGTCGGCTTGCCCTTATTTGGGTTGCCACGTTGAGGCTGGCCTGGCTTCCCTTTGCCCGGCTTTCCCTTTCCTGGCTTTGGTTGGCCAGGCTGATTGTTTCCAGGCTTGTTTTGACCCGGCTGGTTGGGCTTGGGATGCGACGTAGGACCTGAGGCATGAGTAGAGGTAGTGGCGGTGTGTTTGGAGGTAGTGGTATGCTTAGGGTTGGCGGTAGTATGCTTGGAGGTAGCAGTGGTGTGCTTGGAAGTAGCAGTGGCATGCTTGGAAGTAGTGGTAGCATGTTTAGATGTGACGGTAGTATGCTTGGAGGTAGCTGGCCTAGTCCGAGTTGAGAAAGTCGTCGATCTATGAGAAGTGGGCGGCTGGTCGACGCGGGAAGACGTCGCCGAAGTTGCATGACCAGTTTGCAAAGTTGTAGCTGTGGAAGAGCTCGAAGGGTGTCCAACTGGGGCGCCTGCACCTGGGCTTGATGTGCGTGGTGGTGCAGAAGTAGAAGATGAGCCACTGGTTGGAGATGCCCCAGTGGCCGCGGCGGAAGTAGACGAGGTGCTGCCTGAGGTCGACAAAGTGGTCGAGCTTGATGAAGAAGATGCAGAGGCTGATGTCGAAGTAGAAGCTGGGTTGCCGGCAGCGGCACTGGTGCTGGAGCTAGAGGACGATGATGCAGACGCAGAGTTCGTGGCAGTGGCAGTAGAGCTGGTCGAGGATGATGATCCGGAAGTGGTACTGGTAGTAGAAGCACTTGAGCTAGACGAAGATGAAGACCCGGCCGGGGGATCAAGAGATGGAATGCTTGCCAGCGTGATGCCAGCAGCGGCAGCTCGAACTTCATTCAGAGCAGACGCAGCGCCAGCGGTACTTAAAGAGCCACTGACATCGCTGAGGAGCGTGCAGACACCATTGTTGACGCTCACAGCGACACAGTCAGAGACGTCATTGCAAGACAGCAGACAGTCCTCAATTGCGAACGTGTCTCGCTTGCTCGAGCTCGGAATGGCGGTACCAGAGAACGACTTGTCACAGTCCATGGTGTAGGCAGTGCCAGACGTGTCAGTGAGAGACCCACCACTGAGAGCCGGGCAAATTGCGGCATCACCAAGTGCTGTGGCCGAGGCAGACGGCGAAGAGGATGTAGACGAGGCAGTGTCGGTGGTCGATGTAGAAGAAGTGGCAACATCAGCGGCAGTGGACGTTGTCTGACTTGGTGCAGCAGTGGCATCCTGCGATGTGGTCGAAGAGTCCGAGGCTGTTGGCGATGCTGGACCGTCTGACGCTGTGGCAGACTCAGTCGCACTTGCTGAGCTATCTTGAGAGTTTGCTGGAACTGTTGGGGCATCGCTGGCAGCAATAGTGGATGAGCTAGTAGAGTCGCTTGCGGTGGCTGACTCTGTCGGGCTGCTGTCGTCCGTGGAAGAAGCAGATGAAGAAGTGGTCGAGCTGGTAGAGTCGCTTGCGGTGGCCGAGTCTGTTGGGGTACTGTCGTTGGCAGGAGAAGAAGTGGTCGAGCTTTCTGTAGCGCTGGCACTGGCGCTGGCAGTAGCACTGGTGCTGTCTGTTGGAGAGCTGTCATCGGTTGCAGTCTGAGATGCTGTCGAGTCGGTAGCAGAAGCCGTGTAGTCAGATGGTGTCGCCGTGGCCGTGCTATCGCTATCGCTAGCCGATGCTGACGCTGTAGAGCTCGTGGCATCGCTGCTGCTCGAGCTGGTGTTCGAACCGCTTGACTTGGGCACCTTGAGGGCACTGGTAGCCCCTGACGACGAAGAAGTATCGGTGACGGAGCTGAGCAGAGTACATTCACCCGCAGATATTGTCACAGCGACACAGGTATCGAGGCTGTCGCAAGATGCCATGCAGTCTTGGTTAGAAACAGCCCGCTTGGTGACCTTGTTGAATCGCTTCGTGACAGTCTGGAGGACATCTCCACTGAATGCAGTGTCGCACTGGATGTCGAAGTTGTTGCTCTGGGTATCAGTATAAGTTTCGCCAGCGAGAGCAGGGCACACAGGCGACGATGTGCTGGTCGCTGTGGGTGAAGTAGAGCTTGCGGTGCTGTCAGTCTCTGTAGCAGATGCAGTCGTGTTTGCTGAGGGTGCGGCCACATCTGAAGCAGCGGCGGTCGTGCTGGAAAGAGAGTTCGATGATGCAACTCCAGTGCCAATGATACTGGGCGAGGCACTGGCGTTGTTGGCTACGCTTGACTCGGTGGGCTGCGAGACCGACCCAGTTCCCAATGGAGATGTGACAGTGCCATTTGATGAGCTCGAGGCAGTTGACTGTGATGCAACATCACTTCCGAGAATCACACTCGTGGTATTCACCGCGGCAACCCCAGTGCTCAAGCTTGCGGCAGAATTGGTTTCGTTCGCTGGTGTGCTGATACCAGTGCCACCCGGAGGCGTCACAGTTGGAACATCGGTAGGCTGTGAAGTAGCGTTCGCAAACGGAATCGAAGAAGTGCCAGCCTGGCCGGTCCCAACGATTGGTGGTGTTGCTGGGTCAGTCCCAGCAGCGACAGAAGTAGAGTTTGAGATCGGGAATGGCTGAGTTGCACCAGTGCCCTGTACAGGAGTGCCAGTAGTCAAACTCGCAGCGGGAGTTGTTTGGTTAGCTGGTGCGGCGGTGCCAGTACCGACCGAAGGGGCCACGGTTGGAGCAGTGGCCGATTGTGAAGTAGCATTCGCGAAAGCAATGGACGACGTGCCGACTTGGCCAGTTCCAAGGACTGGCGATGTTTTCGGACCCGTGCCGACAACAACAGACGTAGAATTGGAAACGAGGAATGGCTGGCTCACGCCCGTGCCTTGCAGTGCTGCGGTAGATGAAGAGGCGGTACCTGCAAGAGCGGGGGCAGTGGAGTTCGCAACAGGGAAAGCAGGCCCATTTCCAGTGCCCAGCGGTGGCGAGGTCGGGTCTACAGTCGAAGAAGTTGCGGTGCCGGCGAACGAAGCAGTCGTTTGGTTCGCAATTGGGAACGCAGGGCTATCTCCCGTGCCGAGAGCGACGGTCGAGGTGTTAAGTGGAATGGTGACACTAATCGTTGCAGGCTGGTCTGGAACTGGAGTCGTCGAATTCGATGTCGAGTTGCTCACAGGTTGTGGAAGGGATCCAGTGCCTTGAGGCACATTTGTCGGAGCTGGATCCGTGCTGTTTGCTGGTATTGTGAGAGGAGCTGTGCCTTGGAGAAAGCTAGTGGTGTTGATAGCAACGGCGGATGTCGGAGCAGTACCCTGCAGGACAGGAGCAGTGCCTTGGATGATCGAAGTGGTGTTGTTGACCAGAGGAGCGGCAATAGTTGAGGTCGTCGACGTCGAGGTTTCGGTAGTGCCGGTGGTAAGAATGATCGACGAGGTCTCGGCCGTGCTGGTGGTGGTGTTTGCGAATGGAGCGACGATCGTGCTGTTGGCGAAAGGTGGTATCTCGACAGCAGTCGAAATAGTTGCAAGGAACCCTGCAGCGAAGAGGGCAGTTGAAGTAAAAGAAGGCATGATGGGCTTGAGAAGAGCGGTCGTCTTTGCCTTCGAACGAGAGGACACTTCAAGCCCAGGGCGGCTTGAAGTCGAAGCGAATGTGGACGATACAAATATCGCAGAGAAAGGACGCAAAGCGATGCTTGCAACGAAAATGCTGCTCCACGGAATACTTGCACAACACAACAACACGCAACAAGCAGGATGAGGGAGGCCAAAGCAAGATGTATACATACCTCGCTCATACTTGCTGTCTTGGCGACTGTATACAGCCAGCACGGCACGCACAGTCGCTTCATTTCCACTTGCCTGCTGAAGATGTTCTGGTGTCCTCCACGTGCTCTGTAGTGGCCGTTGCAACTGTGGTCGAAGAAGATCGAGGCGTTCTCGAAGAAGGGAGCGTGAATGTGAGACAAAAGCACTGGGCACAGGCCAAGCCAGATGGAGACTCCAGATCACGTCCAGCCTGACCCCGGAAGGTGTAGTCGAACTCCTGACGGCCCGATACGGAAAGAGCAAGACGCGCTTGAGTGAATGTGGCCGAGCGTGGCTGAAGTCAAGATGCCTTCCCGTCGCCAGCCACGGCGGCTTCCCAGGCCTTCGCCTCGGGCCTTTTCATAAGCTGCGAACCACATGCTGGTGTTGAAGTCCGTCGGACAAGACAAAATATGCTTAAATGTTTCTTGTACATGACTTGCACAAGTCAAGCGTGTTGTTGAAGCTATTATCCCAGCAGCACATCCGGAGATTGCAGCCGTTGGTATTTTTAGGACTTGCCGTGCTCTCTCCTTTCGCAGCGTGACCACAGCTACGCCCATTCTCTTCCCCAAAGTCGAGAATGTGCAACTGTTGACAACGTCTTGTCTGGACCTTTCACTCTGCTCCTTCCCATCATCGCTCGCGTTCCTCCGCCATCATGACATCTTGGCCATCGCGTCAATGTTCTTCGAGACCTTCTACGCGCCATTGACGGACGCCTCCCCGCCTCCTGGGCGAGTTGCCAGCGCCACAATGCTGAACTCGAGATTGCCCTGCGCCTCACGTTGAAACTTTCGCACCCCAAGCTCCAGCGCCTTCTCGCTCAACACATCTTCGTCTCCGTCAAGCGGGCCGTGGTCAATGGGGTTCCAGCTGCCTTCGAGCTCCCATAAATGGGCGTCTGTGCCCTTCACGAAAGTGATGAAGTGGTATCCGTTGGGCTCCGAGGCCTGAGGCGCGAGCGACTGGCCTTTGACAGCAGACGCCATGTGAGCCTTCTCGAGCTCCTCCGAGTTGTAGAGGACGTCTGCTCGGGGTGCCCGCTTGAGCGGTAAAGCCTCCTTCAGGAGTCTGTCCATAAGCGAGTTCGGGGCAATGAACTGCTTGGCTGAACCATTACCGACGGCATGGACAAGAGAGTAGAGTCCGCAAGCATGGCCGATGGTCTGCTTGAACCACATCACGGGCTCTCCCTCGCCAGACTTGTCGTATGTGATCTCTTTGGGGCCTTGATACTTCGCACGCACTCTGTGGTAGACTTCGGCTGGGGAGATGAAGATGAGAGCATGTGCTGGTCTCGGAATGAAGCTCAGCAGCTCTGGCTCGTCGATGCTGTCGGAACGGGTCAATATTGATCGTCCTCATCAGGCCTCTGTGACTGTGATCCTCACCTGTACACATCGTAGAAGCTGAGCTCTGGAGAAATACCAAGGCGTTGGATCAGGTCGGTGAAGACTTCTGGGTTGTTCTCCAATGGAATGAACGTCTTCTTGCCGCCGCTGATGTAAACGCCTGGTGTGGTGGATGCCATGCTGCCGGCTAGGTCGCTTGTTGTCACACGAGATGCCACTGACGCCTGTGGGCTGTTATATGTCGATGTCAGTGTTTCAGGTTGTGTTTGCATGCATGTTTGTAGCTGACGAAGGCAGCTGCCGCCTGCGCCCTACGGACAACTCAGGCATGTGCCAAGCTTAGGTTTGACCTCACTTCCTCTTTCAGTGAGCACAAGTATGCGGAAAGACTATTCCAAATGCTATTTGATGTCCGCGATGTTCATGTAATCGCGAAGAATGCCTGTTGGAGATGGCAGCGACATGGGTGATCAAGCCGAGGATCGTCACAGACCCCTCTCATCCCGGCTGATGGGTGGACTTCACCTGTTCCAAAACATTCCATTTCCACTAGCATCAACCTTTGAAAGTACTTCAAGTCCGAGCATCATTGTCATATATCGAAATGGCGAGCCCAGTATATACCTTGACGTCCTCGAACGCCAACCCGCCTCAAAACAAGACGATCCTCATCACCGGTGGAGCCAGGTATCTGACCTGTACATGATTACTTTTATTGCCTGTCTGATATTGTTTCAGTGGTATTGGTCTCGCAACAGCACTATATCTCCACACACCACAATGCAAGAACAACGTCATTGTCTTAGACCGAGCACCCTCGCCGCCTTCAATCGACGAGTTGACCAAATCGCCACGCTATCTTTACGTCCAGAGCGACATCTTGAACTGGGCATCCCAACGTGATGCTTTCGCCCGCGGGGCTGACAAGTTCGGCCGCATCGACGCTGTTTTTGTCAATGCTGGACTAGCAGAGATCGGGGAGCAAATATGGACAGATGTCTACGACTCTCAAGGTAAACTACAGGAACCGAACCGAGCAACCATCGACGTCGACATCCGAGCTCTGGGAGACACTTTAAAGCTAGCCATGTACCACCTCCGCAACGACTCTAAGCCCAACGAAAAGAAAGGCTCCGGCAAAGGCCAAGGCGGAAGCATCGTCATGACAGCTTCCTTAGCAGGCTACCTCGCCTCCGCCGGTGCACCGCTCTACTCAGCCGCCAAACACGGCGTCGTAGGCCACATGCGCGCCCTCAAAAACGACTGCGCCAAAGCCGGAATCGCCATCTCCGTCATCGCGCCAGGCATAACTCTCACGAATATCATTCTTGGCCGTCGCGATGGACAGAGCTTGGAGGACTGGGGCAAAGACATGGCTTCGAGAGGCGTGCCGATTAATGATGCCGAGACGATTGCGCTCACGGTTGCGAATCTTATGGGTCAGGGACTGAAGGCTAATGGGAGTGGGGTGTTGATCCAGGCGAATAAGTGTCAGGAACTTGAGGGTGGGATTGCGAAGACAAGGGGGCAGTGGATGGGGAAGGAGATGCTGGAGTTGTTCAGGGGTGGGAGGAATGCTCCTCTCTTCCCCAATAAGCTGTAATACGGCATGCTGGGCTGACCGATGAGTTCGTGACAGTCTAGTCATCTTTAAAATGGGACACACCTTGACTTTCTCGATCATCATCTAAAGGTAATACCGCCACTGCAAAATCCCACCCCCCATCCCGTTCAACAACACCCAACTCTTCAGCAAGCTCATCAAACAAACCCCGTCCGCACCAGTTAGGATCAGCACTATGATACGATTCATCCGGCCTGTATTCTTCAAAAAATTCATCATTGCGATCAGTCTCTTTCAGACCCAGACGAGGCACACGAAGCTCCACAGTCCGCAAACCATACGACCGCGACCGCTCAATCAAAGACTTCATGCCCCGCTTGACCATCCGATCCGCACCCGACATTTCGCAGAAGAAGACATTATGGAAACGCACAACCTGCAGCGAATGCTTGCGGAACTCCAAGAACTGGAGCACATACTCCGGCTCTAGACAACTAGGACCATCCCGATGATCGCGGATGTTGAGCTCTTCGACATGTGCGGGACCCTGCTTGCCCGCGGCAGACTGGCCAGCAATGTAATCTTGCAGTGCCCATAGATCTCGATCGGTACAGCCGGGGTCAGGCCCGTCGATGTCTATCGTGAGGCTTCGCAGGCCGCCCGCGAGGGCTTGTAATTCGCGCCAATGGTCTTTGTGGAAAGTGAGGGACGCAGCCGGGAGAGTGAGGTGCTGTACCAAACCCATTGCGTGTGACATTGAAGCCACCGTGCGGGCTGTCCTTCGTGATGATGCGGAGCCGATGTCGTCGATGATTGTCTCCTGATCAGAGCCCAGAGACACCCAGCGTAGGTCGCATGGTCGTTCACGCATTTGAGTGAATTTGACTGTCCTGAAGTTGCGGCTTGAAAAGGTCAGAACGCCACACAGCATCTCGAGATCAGACCATTGTGTGTACAGGTCATTGCATTCGGGATCAAGTTGATGCTTCGTGCTGTTCAGGGCATGAAATTCCATCTTCGTTTGGGGTACCGCGCAATAGCCTTCCTCGTCAGCCTTGGTCGCATAGATGAGGCTGCTCAGTTGTGGAAGATAATCTTCTTGAAGAGCCATTAACAACGGGGTGTAATTGGTTTCCCAAGACCGCGTCCCTGTTTCATGAACCTCTTCCTTAGTTGTGACTAGTGTTTGCGGGAACCCGCCGCCCAGGCGTGGCCAAGGGCGGTATTGTACCAGATCTGGGTGCTCTCCTTGGAGTTGCCATTGGAAGGCTGGCGCACTCGTACCAAGCAAGACGAGCTCCACGATGCCTTCACGCGCCTCCTTCAAGAACTCAGACTCTCCGTTGCAGAGTTTGACGACATCTGACAGGCGCGTAGGGTGTAGGTAAAGCCTGCTGCACGCATAACAGACTTTAGATGCCTTCTTGCATGTAGCGCGGAGGGCCAGGACATCCTGCAAGGTAGAATGTTGCACGATTTGATCCCACACTTCTTGTGGCACCGTGTTGATCAGTGTGGTGTTGTCTTTCTCCATCGTTCGAGTGTCTTCGCTTTGAGATATCTGAGCAGTGTACAGTAGCATATGCAGCCACGCTGGGTACAGTGTACGGCCAGAACTAATGGAATGAGGTCTGTGCGGTAGGCAACAGACCGCTCTGAAGGCTGCCTTTCTATAGCTCCAGTCTGTCCACATGTCAGTCTCGAGTCAAAATCGTCCCTGGCTTCACCGGTTCTCCTGCATTGGGGCCGGATACGTATAAAAGAGCCAGAAGGGATTAGCGCAGGACTTTCTGGGTGGTATTAAAGAACGTGTGCGTGAATCAGGCTGGCGAATACAGCTTCGCTCAGGCGTTAAGAGTGAGGAGACAATCTGTCAAAATCTCTGTATTCGACTCTGGTATCGTGGAGCTGAACAAATCCCGTGTATCGTTCGTCAACGCCAACGCTATGCAATCAGCAGTAATATGCTTTCACTCAAATGTTCGGCGACAACTGATCATACTTGACGCACATCTCCACGCTCTCGATACTCGCCTGCAAGAACTTCCTCGCTTCCAGACCGGCCCAGACCTTGACCATGGATAGATCACCAGACTGAAGCATTGATTTGCTGTTCTGGGCGCCGAGCTGTCGTAGAATCGGTAGTGCACTATTGATTATCAGCAGCTGGTCTCCAAAGATATTCTCGTCTCATAACTCACCCAGAGAACAAATCGAGGTCCGGATCCAGATTCCGGCCAATGCCTTCCAATAGCAAGATGGAAAGCACAACATTGACAAAGTCACCTTCCAACCTCACATGATGCGAGCGCACCATGTCCAGCACCTCGTTCAGGATATCACCAATCTTAATGTTGCCGAGCGCGAACGTCCGACTCTTGACACCGAGAACTAGGTGCTGCATGCGTAACGCAAAAATCTCCTTGTCGATGACGGCATCGGGTTGTCTACACCTTTCGACCATCAAATGACCAGCTTTGTAGCCGTCAAACTCGGCGACCGCTTTGAAGAGATCGAGAAAGTTGGTGCGATTGGTCTCGTTCAGTTCTGTCACCAAGCCTGTGTCGATGAAGATCAATTGAGGGCGGTAACCTTCCTTGTCAATCTGAGAAAGCGTGTCCACCCATCCGGGCTTCTCGTGTCGATGCGGACGAAGTCTCGACAGAACGTCCTCGGTGACATCGGTAGAGTCTACGACGTCAGGCTTCGGGTTTCCAATGACCTTTTTCTTCCACTCGTCCAGCTGAGCGCGAGAACGGATCGTAGCAGGCTTGTAGAAGCGAACCATGATATTCCCAGGATGCAGATCGGCGTGAATGAAGTTATCGATGAGAAGCATGTGCAAGAAGGCATCAAGACCTTCATCTGCGATCTCTTTCTGGAACACGCCGCCGCCGTTCTCAAGGAAGTGTTCCAGCGGGATACCAGTAGCAAACTCCTCAACGAGCACTTGGCGCGAGGTATATTGCGTGTACGGGTAGGGGAACCACGCTGTCGATCTGTTCCGGAAGTTTTTCCTGAACAGCGTCAAATTGGCGGCCTCGATTCGTAGATCCAGCTGCAATCTCATCATCTCGCCGAACTGCTTGACCTCGTCAGGGAATGACAGCCATTCCATCGTAGGCACAACGTTGATTAAAGCGGCGAAGAAGCCCATGATCTTCAGATCTCGTCGTACAATCCGTTCGATCTTTGGATGCAGGACTTTGATCGCCACATAGGTTGACGGTATTCTCTCAGGTGTGCTCTTCAGCAAAGGATCTACCGTCTTCAGTGCACGCTCTCTGAAGTTCAGAGGCTCTTCTTTCGCTCCCTCGCTGGCTGCCAGGTCTGGCTTCAGCTTCGCTTTGTATACTTGAGCAATCGCGCCGACACCCAGTGGTTTCTCGTGGAACTCGTCAAAGATGTCCTCAAAGGGCATCCCAAACGCTCGCTCGATTGTCCTTTTCGTGACCTTCAGTGAATGCGCCGGCGCATTGGAGTGCAAGGAGGACATGATCATGCACATCTCCTTAGGAAAAATATCCGTCCTGCTCGCCGCCCATTGTCCAAGCTTGATGAAGGCCGCACCTGCCCTCTCCATAGATGCAACCAAAAAGCCATACCACCACAGCGTCCCGCTCCTTTCGTCGTCTCTTTCATGTTGTCTCGCACCGAACCAGATCACCGGAATAGTCACAATGACAGGCACAAATATAACCACCAGATGCAGAAACCTGATCCCCGTCGCTATGGGCTCGACGATGTATGTATCCAGAAACCGCCATACACTCCGCCTGAACTTCTTGGAATGCTTCAATCTTTCTGGCACGTGCTCTGCCAACTCCTGCCGTGATATTTCGAGCATGTGTTCTTCGTGTGTCAAGCCATTGCCATTCTCTTCATCTTCCGCAATCTGGACGAATGCCGCGGGACTGAGGGCTGCGATGAGGAGGGTGCCGCCCTTGACAGGCGCTGGCGGCGCTTTAAAAGTCTGCCGTATATGCCGTAGGATCGAAAAGTTTTTCGTGCTTCGTCCGCTATGTATGCTGTATTGGATGTGTCGAAGAATCTGTGGCCGTACAGGCTGGCTGCCGAATCGCAGACATGTCCGGCCAAGGGAGAAGGCGGCTCGCATCCTTGAGCTGTCACCGTGGGTCGAGGGCTCGTATCATCATATAGGAAAGTATCGAGTGTGCACCGAGTCGGCTAGATAAACGTTGTCCTGCTCGCGGTGCGGTGAGGTTGAGGATGTTGACTTCAGATCGCCACGTTTTGTTGACTCGGCTGCTGTTATGACGTAGCCGCGCCATCACATGCAAATGAATGGACATGGGAGATTTTGGAGTGACGAGAAACGACTGGAATCTATATCATTGATTTATGAATCTACAGGGTATCACAGTGATCTTGAGATCTCAGAGTCTAAATTGTATGGCATCTAGTAAAAAGTGACGACCGCCATGTGCTTTCTTGTCCGAACGCCATCGCTACCTACCGCAATCAGAATCGATAATCAAACACCAAACTTCGGGTCCTCCTTGTCGTGGACCATCATGCCAAATTTCCAGACTTGATTGACCTCGAGCACTCTCTTGCCGTCGGCCTCCTCCCTCGCGTCCAATATCAGGAGATCGGCGTCTGCGTCTGCTTCAAGGGTGCCCTTCACCTTGTCCAGACCAAGCATCTTCGCAGGCGCAGAGGTCACAGCGGCAATAACTTCCGGCAGGGATGCATGGGTCCACGTCCAGAAGTTGCTGGCGCATTCAATCAAGCTAGCAGACGAACCGGCAATCTTGTCAGTTCCTTCGAGCGTCAAAAGCGTGCCCTTCTTGACAAAGCGGTCGCCATTCGTCCAGTCATACACTCCATCTGGCTGTCCTACTGTCTTCATGGCGTCTGTGACCAGAATGAAGCCATCTGGATGTGCGTTCCATGCAATCTTCACGGTCGTAGGGTGAAGATGGATTCCGTCGGAGATGACTCCATAGTAGGGCCGCTGCTTTTTCTCTGCTTTGCCCAACACGCCAAAGATGCCCGGGTTTCGGTGATGGAGTGGACGCATAGCATTAAACAAGTGCGTAATCATCGTGGCCCCATTCTCAATGGCCTCGCCTGCTTGCTCATATGTTGCCTCTGTGTGTCCGATGGAGAAGACTATCCCACGCTTGGTGACCTCTGAGACCAGTGAACTCACGCCGGGAATCTCTGGCGCTGCTGTGATTTTCGTGATGGGCGATCGTCCGTCTTTGGGTAGATTTTCGGCACCATAGCACGCCTCCAAGTCTTGGAAACCATTTGGAGCTTCCTGAAGTACCTCCTGGCTGTGAATGCCATTCTTTGTCGGAGAAATGAATGGGCCTTCGCAATGTGCACCTAGACTTTCAGAGCCTTCCAGTGGATTCCTGCTGCTACCACTTGGGCCCAGGTATGGCAAAGCTTTGTGATATACTTCGGGCTTTTGGCTGGGAATTGTTGGAAGGTAGCTGGTGACTCCAGTCCTGACCAGATGCCGATTCAGTCGCTTCAAGCCTTTCGCATACACGCCCATATCCTCGGGAATTGTCGAGAAGTCATATCCGAATGCGCCATTGAACTGGACATCGATGAAGCCCGGCGCAAGGATCTTGCCTTTGAGGTCGATGACTTCATCTGGTACCACGTGGTGCTCGTAAAAGACTTCCTGGCTATGCAAGATCTTGCCAGTCACCGACGAGATCCAGAGGTCTTCTTCGACGACGCGGTCACCTTTGACAAGCCGACCACCTGTCAGGCGGGTAACGCCAGTGCGAGGTCGTTCTGGAGAAACTGCAATCGGCATTTCGAGAGAGCCCGTCGGAGGACTTGACCAGCACTTTCCAGGTGAACTATCTCAGATAGCCTGTGGTGTACAATAGGAAACAAGAAAGGGTAGGATGGAGGATTGATAAAACAGCAGAACGGAACAGATGCTCAGGTTACCATTGCCATGAGCAGCATAGCTTACAGGCGTCCGGATGGCGTGGAAGGACAGTAACGTCACCGCCTGAGCTGGCATTGCTTTGTCGCAGCATCCATGAGCTGCTGTCAAACGCCGCTGGTGGTACTGGCCGGCCTATCGCGGCCTTCGCAGGACAGGACAGCTGCGAAGTGTGGAAATCCAATCGTTACATCACGCCCCGGGCGGCGAGTTCAAGGTTGAAGGTAACGTGAAAGGTGAGGTAAGGTAGGGTTGCAGAGGAAGAGAGACGATGCAGCACTCGCCCAAACATCTCGTGGGCGCCGGCCGTCGACTTTAGGCTCGGGAGCAGCCGGCCCAGCAGCCGCTGCAGCCCTAGAACATGTCCCGCCCAAGCGAGTGCAACCTCAGCTGATGAACCTAGCCGTCGAGGAAAACACCCACCTCCATCGCAACTGTCACCTCTGGATTGACTTCTCCCGATCCTTAGCCGGCCACGTTTCATTCACTCACCTTGTGCGACCCGCATCTCGGCCCGCCCCACGTAGCAAGCCGTGCCTGCGTCCGAGCGTGAGCTCCACGTCGCCTTCACTTCCTCTCAGAGGATGAGCGTGGTGTCAAGGTGACAGAGCTAGATCCACCTTCAGCGCAACCGTACTTGTGCCTGGCCGCGGCTCATATCCCGTGTCTCCAAAGGCGAGGTTAATTGGGTTGGCTGTTGGATGCATGTCATCTGCTCTCACTTGGCGCAGCCAGGATGGCGGGAAGCAATGGCACCCTCGATCCCGTTTGGGACGACATGGACAGGTTTGTACACTACCACGTTGCCATCGAAGGAGTATGGCGCTCATATGGTCTTTTGGCTAACGGCTATGGCAGGAACCTCGGCCAGCTGCTAATGGCAAGTCCGGCGTGATGTTGTATTGCTTATCCGAATCTAACACTCATGTCTTTATCAGATGGGGTTTGAGGGAACGACAGTCACACCACAGATCCGAGAACTGATCCAGAAGCACCACCTGGGCTCCATTCTGTTGACTGCAAAGAATCTCAAAAGTATGCCGTGGTCATACTTTTGTCACGTAGCGTGCTTTTTGTTTGCTGACTACTTCTAGGCGCTGAGCAGTGTACTGAACTTGTGCTTGAACTACAGAGAACAGCATACGAAGCCGGTCATCCAGTGCCACTTCTGATAGGCCTTGACCAAGAGAATGGCGGAGTCAACAGCCTGTTCGATGAAATCTACATCCGCCAGTACCCATCTGCAATGGGTCTGGCTGCGACGGGCTCCAAAGACATCGCATACGAGGTAGCAAAGGCAACTGCTGAAGAGATCGCAGCATGTGGTCTCAACTTGATGATGGGGCCTTGCCTGGATGTCCTGACGAATGCCCGAAACCAGCCTCTAGGCGTACGCACGACGGGTGATGATCCTCAAGAAGTCTCTGCATTCGGCATCGCCTTTATGAAGGGCTACAAGGAAGCTGGAGTTAGTACCATGGGCAAGCATTTTCCTTCGTACGGTAGCCTGGAATTTCTCGGATCAGCACTAGACGTTCCCACCATTACCGAGAGCCTGGAGTCGTTGAGTCTAAACGCCTTGGTACCCTTTCGAAATGCAATCCGTGAAGGTCTTGACTCAATCATGGTCGGTGGTTGTGCCATGTCTTCAGCCGGTCTGAACGTGATGCACGCATGCTTGTCCGAGCAAGTCGTCAACGACCTGCTCAGAAACGACCTCCATTTTGATGGTGTCGTCATCTCTGATTGCCTGGAGATGGAAGCCCTGAGCCACAACATTGGTGTCGGTGGTGGCACAGTCATGGCGATCAACGCTGGGTGTGACATCGTGCTGCTCTGTCGTTCATTCCAACATCAACAAGAAGCCATTTCAGGCTTCAAGCTTGGTCTCGAGAACGCCATGATTACCAAGGATAGAATCAAGCAGTCGCTACACCGAGTCCTCGACATGAAGGCAAGATGCACTTCTTGGGAGAGGGCGCTCAATCCGCCTGGCGTCAGCCTGCTGTCTAACTTGCAGCCATCACATACAACACTTTCGACCAAAGCGTACAACTCATCAATTACCGTCGTCAGAGATAAGAACCGCTTACTGCCTCTCACGAACATCATGGAACCCGAAGACGAACTACTCCTCCTTACACCGCTCGTCAAGCCTCTAGTGGCCTCTGCTGCAGCGCGAGCACTGTCAGAACAAGCGAGCAATGGTTCTCCTGAACCAGCTGTATGGGATCGCAGCGCATCCGTTATGAGTGGCGAGCGTGTTTTCCGCGAATTGGGCAGATCACTCGCTCGACAACGAAGCGGCCGCGTTCTGCACACATCTTACACAGCGAATGGTGTGAGACCTCAGCACGAGAACCTGATAAACCGGGCGAGCGCGATGATCATCGTCACCGCCGATGCAAATCGGAATTTGTATCAGCACGGCTTTACGAAGCATGTCTCGATGATATGCAATATGCAATACACGTCCAGTGGCGAGAAAAGAGAGAAGCCGCTGATAGTTGTCGCTGTCAGCTCGCCATACGATTTTGCGATGGACGCAAGTATCGGTACTTACATCTGCACATACGACTTCACGGAAACGGCTTTGATGTCCTTGGTCAAAGTACTATACGGTGACTTCACAGCAGCAGGTGCCTTACCAGGATCGATCAGCCAAAGCCAGAAACTGTCTCAGTCAAAGCAGCATTGGCTGGTGGAGTCTTTCAACGAGGAGCGCGACGCCAATGGACTCGACGTGCTCATCAAAGCCGTCGTTGATGGCAATACACCTGGTCTACACTCCGAGCTTGCCAGCGCCACGTCGAACTCGTTCTTGCTTCACAACCCTGACATCCTCGAATCACATTATGTCGTACGAAACAGCAGCACACAGGCTCTATACGGCTTCTGCGCGACTTACTTCTTCAAGACGACAGGCACTGGGGTCATGTCGGCGATCTTCGTCGACCCAAGCCGAAGGAAGCTCTCCATTGGACACTCACTGCACAACCGCGCCATACGGACTCTGATGCAGCGAGAGGGCGTGAAACGCTTTCAACTAGGCTCCAGGCTACCAAGTATATATCTGGGCATTCCAACCGGACATGGCGGTGAGCGCAAGCGCCTGCGGTCGTGGTTCGCAGCTCTGGGTTGGAACACAGCCCTCTCGCGAGCCGTCTGTAGTATGGTTGCTCGGAATCTCGCCACGTGGACGCCTCCAGATGGCATGGCCAAAAGTCTGCAAAGCGCCGGTGTCGACTTTGACTTGGTCTATGGCTGGGACTATGCTGGCCCTGTACTCGATCACATCAAGACCAACCACAGACAAGGTCTTGCCGAAGTCTACAAGATGGCGCTTGCAGATGCAAGTGCCTGCGGCATCATTCGAGCCAAGCGACCTGAGGACGGCTCTCTTGTCGGCACGGTTGTACTATACAACATGTCTTCGCAGCTCGCCGAATTCGTACCAAGCATGAAAGATCTGGGCGAGCTCGCAGGCGGTATCTCGTCGCCTGTGATCAGCCCCTCGGTCGGGGAATACTCAACGCTGCTACAAGGGCTGATCCTCTTGGGTATGCGCCAGATCAAGCAGCAGGGCTGCAATGTCTGTGTCTTGGACTATGTAAGCATCTTCCCTCTCTCCAGTCGATCGACCACACTAACGCTTCGCAGATGGATGGTGATGGCAATTTCGACGGCCTTAGTGCCATGGGTTTCAGTGTTCTGCACAATTTTGAGGAAGTCAGCTGTGACGCTGCAACGTGGACGATGGTACCTTCTTGAAGATCTCTTTGCACTGTACGAGTTTGATGACCGGTTTTGGTTGGTGATATACCCTTACAGTGATATTGCTACGATATGTATTGAATGGCTGTTGATGTTATAATCTTTTTTCCTTCAACTTCTAAAGTGTGCGAGTTGTGGAGATTGAAGTCCTTTGCATGTTGGTTCGTGATAATCGTGTTATTGTACATTAATACTGTCACGACTAGACCATTCTCCTGAAGAGATCTAGATATATCCTACAACATTGTCATTTTGTTCGAGAAACACCTTCATATCCTAACATCACCTCATCCATCCGAGTCCACCGGCCCACTGCACAAGCCCCCATCCTCAACCACCTCCAGCAGAAGCCTGCAAGCCCATCAACCTCTCCTTCTTCATAAACGGCGCAATGACCAGCGAAACGACCCCGGCCGCAGCACTCAGTGCCCAAACCCTCCCAATCGCAGACGTCACAGCTCCGGAAGCTCCTTCTCGCTGCGCAGCGTCCAAAGACTCGAAGACCGCGCTGTGGGTACCGGAGATGGCGCTGCGGATTTCTTGGTCGGTGAGATTCAGGCCGGCGAGGACGCGCGAGAGGCCGTTGAAGGCGAAAGTCTGGAAGACTTGGCCGGAGATTACGAGGGCTATGAGAGTGGAGCCCAGCTGGGATGGGGGGTTAGTATGGGGGTTGACGAGGTTTGCTTAGGGAGGATCGAACTTACCTGAGCGGTGTTCTGGAATGCCACCACGTTGGGCACGTCCTCAGGATATCCATCCAAGCCTCGCTTCATGGTAGCCACAGCATATCCAGTCTGGATCGTCAAGCCAGAGCCAATGGCGATGAGAACGGAGTAGCCGTAGATGTTGCCGGCGCCCGTGTTGATGTCTACGGTCAGCATCAGGGAGCCGCCGATGACCATAAAGACGCCCGTGGTGAGGTACAAGATCCAGTAGTATCCGATGCGAGGCAGCACTATGCCAGAGATCATGTTGACTGCAATGAGCACCAAGATGAACGGTAGCAATCGCACAGCCGCCATGATCGCCGAGTCACCATTTGTGAATTGAAAGAATATCGGGATGTAGTAGGTCGGTACGAACAGGTTCGTCGTCGCGGCTGCAGTGCCCATGTACAGAAGGATCTGCGAGCGGGAGTTCATCAAATGGCCTGGGAAGATCCTGTTCTCCTTTGTAGTGAGGAGGGCAAAGTACTGCTGAACGATGAAGATGGCAAGTACAACGCCGAAGGCGATCCAGGTGGCGATGGTCCGGCCGTCCTTCCATGGCCAGGCGTTGCCCGCGAAGGTGAGTACGATGGTGAAGGCGTTGACGAATCCCATCCAGAGTAGAGCGCCAACCCAGTCTATGGTCTTCAACTTCTGCACGACCGGTACGTTTGGTTGTTGTGAGACGGATGGCAGGTAGAATAGGTAGACTGGTGCGCAGACCACTGCGAAGACACTGCATTTGATCATCAGCATCCTATCAAGCTTGTGTTGACCAGTGAAGCTCACAGATTGATGTAGAACGACCATCTCCATGTCGCAGAGCTTATCGAGAAAGCACCTCCTATATGCTAGTCAGTTTTGCTGGTACCAATACATTCAGGAGTTGAGTCTTACCAATTACGGGTCCCAGAATACTTCCAAGGCCCCAAATAAAACCGACACCAGCAATGTATGTGCCGCGTTCTTTATTTGTCGTGCAGACAGAGAAGTAGTTCAGGTTCCCAAGCTGAATGATTGTCAGTTCTAACTCGACTAACAGCTGGCATCGAGAAACTTACGTAGATGCCGGAGCCTCCCAAGCCAGCAATCACACGTCCAACGATCAAAGCGTTCATATCGGGCGCCGCACCGCAGAGCGCTGATGCAGCTTCAAAGACAAGAAATGAGCCAATATAGAGCCACTTCATGTCGAACCTCGAGAAGCAAGAGCCCATCAGTAGCGTCATGGAGACCGATCCTAGGGGAAACCCGGTGCCGATCCACGTGAGTTGGGACACATCGTCGAATTCTTCAATGACGGCAGCCTGAATATCGGCTGCGATTGTCGTGTCGAGACCATACAGGAAAGAACTCAGATAGAGCGAGATGCAGACAAGAGCCCATTTGTAGCCGTGGACAGAGCGAGCTGGTGGTTCCTCCTCCTTCTCGTTGTGAGGGCTGGCTGTGCCTTCAGTGCTGGCCTCTTGATCATAGCGGTCCAGTGAACTTTTCTCTTGTTCCTCGAGTTGGCCAGACATGGTGATGGTTTCTCGTGTGGTGGATGTCGAGTCTGGTCGAGGGATGAGTAGTTGCTGGGTTGGGTGGAACGTCCCTTTCGGCTGGCGAGCCTCAAACATATACCCAAAGCCAAGCAACGCAGCATAAACATACCGCAATGTCCTGTTCAGGATCTGGTATGAGATTGCTAATCCCAATACATCATACCGAGCCTGTGTAACCAAGCAGTGAAATAGGCCGCTAGCGCGAGCAGCATGCCGACATCGACAGGGATGAGCACCGAGACGCTAAACCCACTGAGGCAAGTATCGATGGATCAAGGCAACATTTATCGGCCTTGTACATTCTTCTTGACGTGTTCGTTGTGTTGATTAAAGACCGAGTGTCACGGCGGTTCGATTTCGAAAATGCAAGAAGGCGTGTTGAAAGCGGCCCGAGTGAACATTGTATTGCAGCGAACGCAAGGAAACATGATGCTGAACGTCATGTACTCCACCAACACCGCAGGACTCCTTAGTACCAACTACTCTCCCAGAGCGTTATCGAATTTCTTGTTACATCCGAAACAATGGGTATTCCACAGGCGTGTCGCAAAGATTTCTATATCTTGGGCCAGAAAGATACCACAACCAAACGAATCGACGTTGGTCCAGCGAAAGGCATCGATCATCTTCGAAAGGGTGTTGCAGCTGAATATGGGGTGATTGTTCCAGATGGTGAGTGCAGGTCATCTTTGGGGCGTTCAAAATCTGTGCAACTAATGACTGCGATTTGTCAGGGGTCGCTTTTCACGACGCTGATGACAGTCTCGATACTCTGGAAGATGTCCTGGACTGCCGCGAGCCTGTAGGCATTTCGGTTGATGGCAATTTGGTCAGAGATCCTCCGGGACCGAAGGGACTTCCATTCGTCGGGAACTATTTCGAGATTTATCCAGACCATCTGGGAAACACGGCTCGACTGCACAGTCAGTTGGGGAATGTTGTCCAGACAAATATTCTTGGCCGTCGAAGCTACCAGACGAACGATCCTCGCGTCGCCTCGGTCGTCTTTGCTGAGAATGGCAATTTCACGAAAGCGCCTTCGCAACCTGGCCACCCTCTGTACGGACTGCGAGATCAGTCTTCTCTGTTCCTCTGCGATACCTCTGCAGCAGCTTTCAAGGTCTCGCACAAGTTTGTGCCGCCATCCATGTCCCCGAAAGCCGTCAAGCACTACTCGCCTGCAGTGCAGCAAAGAGTGCGAGAATCTTTTGCGGTCTTCGATGAGCTGGAGGACCAAGGCCAGGCGTTCAATGTCTACCATTACATGACCAAGATGGCGGGACAAGTCATCTGCGAGCTGGTGCTAGGCTGGGATGTCAAGCACTTCACCACCAAGAACGCCCCTGTCCACGAAATCATCTCTACGCTAGGGAAATACCTCCAGCTGAATCGCAAAGTACAGACCAAAGGCGATTGGTACCAGTGTCTCCCGTTTGGTGATCCTGCGGAGCTCGCAAAGGTGCGAAAGCATTTGTACGGTCTCGTGGAAGCGGCAGTCGAGGGTAGCAAGCGTGGCGGCAGCAAAGATCTTCCAATTCACTCTGCTGCTCTAGGTACGTATCGTCGAGCGTGTCTTCGATTAAGGCATCTCTCTAGGCACGGCCGAATATTAAGGCAACGAGGTGTGTCTGTGCTTGTCAAAAGAGATGTCTTAGTCGAATAGATTCGTGAAACCATGCGCTGACAGCATTTCAGAGGCGAGCTCCATCGTCGACTACCTGGCAAGAGCAACAGATGATAAGGGCGAGAAGCTACCGCACGAATATATTCTGAGCAACACCATCGCGCTTCTGGGTGCAGGGTTCGTGACGTCCTCGTCGTTCCTCTCTTGGCTTCTGTACGCATTGGTCAGCTATCCAGGCGAGCAGCAGAAACTTCTCCAGGAGCTCGTTGATGTCCTGCCAGAAGAAGCCTTCACACCTCACGCCGTCACTGGCGCTATCGACGTCACGTCGTTCTTGACATACGAAGCAATCCAGAAGATGACCCGTCTGGACCACTTCGCAAAGGAGACGCAGCGTCTACACTCGCCATCCTTTCAGCCTGCGCGAAACACACTCCGAGAATGCATCGTGCCTGGCGGATATCGAATTCCCGCGGATTCCATCATCACACCGGCCATGCCATCATTGCACACCAACTCAGAGTACTGGGCAGATCCTCAGCAGTTCCAGCCTGAGCGTTGGGCCTCAGATATGGAGCACGGTGAGAAGCGACACAAGAGCGCTTACGTGCCGTTCGCTGCAGGACCCAGAGGCTGTGTTGGATTCAATCTGGCTTTGCTGGAGGTGAAGATCGTTCTTGCGGCATGGGTTGCGAGATACCACACTGCCAACGCAGGCGAGGAGCCGGTCATCTACGATCCCGAGTTCCTGGTGGTTCGGCCAATGAATTTTTATGCGAGCGCCTCGAAGCGGACTTCGTGGCCAAGGCCATCTGCCGAGTTTAGCCGTGAAGGTGTGAATCAGGATGTTTAGCCAGGCGATGGTTTGATGCATGAAGATGAGCAAGTTGAGGGTAGACTGTAGGTGAAACTTGAAGCGATGCAGGGGTGATGACGATAGGTTCGCTTAGTAATCAGCTGCATGGATCTTGGCGTTATCAAAAATAGAGTTCGGCACTATCTTCTAAGCCGAGAGGTGAGAGAATGACTTGATAGCTTTATAGACGCTTCACAAACGACCAATAGATTTCAGAAGTAAGTAAGGAGAATAATGGTTCAATGCACTCACAATTGTTCCGTGACGCCGTTGATGCTTCCCCCAAGCGATGCTGCAAAACTAGCGGGCGCACGCAGCTGCGAGTCAGTACTTGGCGGGTGGCCTTAAGGCACTCGTCATGTGAATCTTAATTTTGCCGCGTCATGGGGTGTTCGAGTTACAAATGATAGGAAGATAATCTCACGAAAGCACGATGTGCTACAACATGAGGAAGAGATACGGCCGAGTTTTGAAGCAAGGGAACATGTCTGTTTCTATGGTCTAAGTTTACACCATTCGCTTGTATTCGTTGCAGTTCATCTGTCGACCTCCCTTTTCAAGTCCAAGCGTCATGCGACCGTTCAAAAGCAGCGCTAGCAAAGTGGGATTCCAGCTCAATTGCTCTGCTCGTTGCCTGCTTCGTTGTTTCCACCAGGCTCGGCAGCACCTGTGCAATCTGCATGAGCGCCATCTTGGTTTGAGTGAGGTTAAATTCACAACGCTTATATAGCAAAATCAAGTCTGCTGAGTCTTCCGGGGGAACGTTGTATCCAGAGATCAGCTCGAAGGCATGAAGGATTTTGAATATGGCAGCCAGAAAGACCAGTCCTGCCTCCATAAGATCTTTCGGGCGATCTGGATCGATAGATGCTTTAGGTATTGGAGCAGACATGTCAGTCCCTGAGGAGATGTCGGTGCGAATGCTACTACGACGTGACTCCGCAAGTGGGCCCAGTCGTTCTGAGATGTTGGTACAAGTACAGTCCACGGCCTGTAGTAGTGTCTGTAGGCCTCGATTCTTCATTGTCAGATCTGGTCTATGGCCGCCTTTCTTGTGGCGCTCGAAACATTGAGACAAGCCCTCAACGTAGGACTGCAATTTCGATAGCAGGTCGAGGCCCTTTGGAAGAGGAGCATTGTTCGTTGATGTGTGAGTCGAAGAAGTATCGCTTGCATTATCATGCGGAACAGACGTAGCTTGGGTGCTATTCCGCCATCCGTAAGCGTTAGGGTCGACGACGCCATACGACTCATCTGGCTGCCCCGTGAGCCAGCGGGCGAAAGTTGAAGGCGACAAATCAGGCATGGTTGCATTGTACTGCATGGGCATGAAGTGGTCCATATCCATGGGATCCATCATGAGTGCCCCTGAACTGGGATCCGTAGTGCTAGTTGGCACCGCAGGCAGAACCGGCCGTGCATTTGGGGCTGCTGAAAGGCCGGCAGAATCGAGCTGAGCAAGCGCAGACGCAGCGGCGAAGTCCCAATGACTGTCAAAGGTGGCCGGATTTGCCATGTCGAACGTGTCTTCCATCCTGGTAGTTGGTGGCATCGAAGAGCCGTCGAAGGCATACGGTGCCTGAGAGGAGGCTGGTCTTGGAGGGGTGTCTGCGGTCACTGAAGCTCTTGGGGTGCTGGTCGTTCTGGTGTTCTCGCCACTGTTGACTCCTGCCTCACTACCAGATGTTCCGGCATCACTGCCTGCTCCAGTATCGTTGTTGTTTCTCGGACGTCCACTTCGGATTCGAGGGAGGAAGAAGCATGGCCGGCTGGCGGAAACGCAGTTGGAGCAAGGTCCGCCTTCTGGAGGGAGTTCGCATCGAACTTTGCGGTTATGACATGCCTCACAGGCTCCACGGACAGTTGGATGTTGTCGTCGTTGGGTTGCGGAACGGCGAGAGCCTTCTTTCTGTGCCGGGCGCATGGTTGCGACTCCTGTGCTGAAGGAACGTGCGGCACAGAGCCGGCAGCAGAAGAACTCCCCTTCGCCGCAATAGCGAGCTTTTGATCTTCCTCGTTGAAAGACCTAGTTCCTTCGGGCGAATCCTTTCGCGTATCAACGAATGCAAGAGCTGAAGACCACCTCGTTGAGACGTACGTTGGTTGCTAAGTCGCTTGGGGAAAGAGCGAAGCGCAAGGCTCTAGAGCGCATAAGAAAACGTCACGACCATGCAGATTGAATCCTCCACCGGCTCCCACATGCTCGTGACGGGCGGTTCCACGGGATGCAGCGTGGGCATTCAAGAGGGCGCGAACACCTTCCAAGACGGCAGCAGGGGTACCCGGACTAGCGTGCTGCATTGTCGAGAGTCCGGTGAGCTTCGCGAATGAATAGACTCAGTTGCGTAATGCAGACAACGCCTCGGCAGCCCTGCAAGGAACATGCAGCGCCAGCGGTCAACTTCGTTATCCTGTGCAACCAAGATATGCGCGATTACACGTTCAATGTCGAACCGACCTACACACTTCGTGTCAGACTTGCTTCAGCAATCACATGAAGGCATCTCACTCAGCAAATGCAGTCGGCCTTGCCCAAGTGTACGAGCTCGCTGCCTGTTATCTGCTGTTGATCATCGAGTTGGGGAGTGGCTGCAGTAGTCGCGGTTTCGAATCCTGCGGAGATCATTGACTCGGTTGATCGACTCAGGACGTGGCGGGATAAGGATGCAAAGGCAGTCGTTGTAACGCTAAAGATTTTGCCATACCAACTAATACGAGCTAAGTCTTTTACCTCGTACGGAATAGTTCATCATTGCACCTCCAACTGTCCACCACACCATGAGCTGACCTCAGGCAGCTGCTGCGGCCTCTTTGCTGACTTCTGCGCTGACGAGCTTGCTCTCCCCTGCGATCTTATTTGCGAAGCTTTCGATCGTAATAGGACTCAGCACGTCGAACACGCTGACATTCGCCTTCAATTCTCGGAAAATCCAGTTCCTCACTTCCACAGCCTTGAGAGAGTCGACGCCGTATGAGCTCAGCGGCTGCTCCACATCAATATCGCCAGGCTCAGCTGTGATTGATGCTGCTACGCTCGCCCTCAGAGCTGTCTCGACTGTCTTGCCTGCTTCTGGAAGCGACGTTGCATTGCCAAGTTCGGCCTGCTGAAAGTTAGCATGTGGGTTTCTTTGGCTTTTCCTCAGGTGCATACCTGAACATTGAATCCTCCGTCGTCTGATGTACCCCCACCACTGGCGATCCGGTGATCGAACTTGCGGTCCATAGGCCAAAGCGTTGTGGCAGCGCCGGAACGCTCCAGATCGTCATCGATGCCAGGAATAATCTGTGCAGGGACTGGGCGCCCGTCGGCGGTGTGACCGCGCATGGCAGCGCTGAGGACGACATTGAGCTCGTGTTGGTTGATCTGGACCGCGGCCATGTGGCCATATTGAGCCAGGTAATCTTCGATCGTATAGTCAGGGGTGAAGTGTGAAGCGTCTGACACGAGCCCAACATTCAATGATGTTGTAGGCAAGCCTAGGGTCTCGTTACGATAATGGGCGAAGGCATCTTGAAAAGCTGAAGCTTGGTCAGTATTGGCGTGAGCATATACATCCGCGATTCGACTCACAGTTGCCAGTGCCGTAGTTTGCTTGACTTGTGTTGCCGATGATGCCGATAATCGACGACAAGATGATGAAGAACGACATGTCGTCAGGCAGGTACTTGTGCAAGTTCCAAGTGCCAACGACCTTTGGATCAACAACCTTTCGCCAGTTTCCGTAGGTCATGTTCTCGAATACGTTGTCCTGTCAAGAGTCAGCTGGTGTCCTTGTGCGATCCGTGATAGAGGGGCAAACTTACTCGCATCACCATGGCGGCCTGAATCACACCCTTCACTCTCCAGCCACGTTTCTGGCACTGACCAGCAAACTCCTTCATGCTTGCCGAGTCGCAGACATCGCATTTCACAGCGTCGGCTTTGCAACCCTTCTTTTCGAGCGCTGCGAGAGCCTGCTGCTGAGTCTCTGTGCTTGCACCCGAGCGAGACAGGAAGATCAAATGTCTTGCGCCATGATCAGCCATGTAGTTGGCGATGGACAGCCCAAGCGCTCCCAGTCCACCGCTGAGGACGTAAGAAGCGGTACCGTCCAGAGACAACGGTGCTGGGATTTCGGGCATAATCAAGACTTGTGCCTTATCGTCGAAGTTGACAACTGCTTTGCCAACCGCAGAGGCACGGCCGGTTTTAATGGACTCCATAGCCGCATCAAGTTCTGCAATAGAGAAGTTCGCCACATCTTGCAAGACTGGTACTGTGCTTCGCTCGATGAGCCGTGCCGCATCCACTGCCGACGATTGCTTCTCTGAGGATGTGATCTGATCAAAGTGCACACTCCTCAAGGTCCCGTTCTTGGAAAATGCGTTTGGAGCAAGGTCAGCCGCATTCAATCGGCCAGTTGTGTCGACGAAACGGCCGTTGAGGCCGAGAGTCGAGCTGATCTTGCGCAGAGCGTGACTTTTGGAGACGCTCAAGATTACATCGAAGCCTTGTTTGCCGGTGACACGGAGGCTGTCTGGCACGAAAAAAGTGCTGTCGGTTCTCAAAACAGTCTTGAAGTCGACCTTGTGATCGATGGTCAGTTTGTTTTGCTCGTCGGCCGATGAGGCTGCGCAATACACGTTGGCACCACCGTTTGCGGCGACATTTCGAACGGCTTGCCCAAAAGCTGACAACGAAGCATCAACGAGGATCGTCTCGCCGGTCTTCAGATACACCACGTCCCTCAAGACGTGGAGCGCCTCTGCGTATACTCCAGCGGAGGCAATGAAGTCCGACTGCTGCACTTCGGCCGGCACTGGCAGAACACTGTGTTGGCTGGCTCGCACAACATTCCCAATGATTTCACCGCACACGGTCAGAACTGCGTCGCCAGGTTTGCAAGATTTCACATGGAGACCTGCTTTGATGACAGTGCCCATGATTTCGTGCTTCTCCGAGCCTCTGGTCAACGTAGTAGCGGTGGTTCGGATCTCAACTTCATTGAGACCCAGAGGCTCGCTCGTGACCTCGGACTGCTCGAAGTGTGCCTTCCCATTGCTTGTAGACATCTTAAGAGCTCGATGGTCGGCTGCGAGCGTCGACAGCTTCGGCTGCGGGTGCGAGGAATGCAGATCAAGCTCTTCATTCAGACTGGAATCGTCGACCACACGAGGGATGTGGACAACTCCATCGATGATTCTGAATTCAGACTCGTTCCAGCCACTCGATTCCTTCGTCGTGTGTTGCAATGTCTGGCAGACCAGTGCTGCAGCACGAGCGGGATCCTGAACGGCAAGACCATTGAGATCGAGTTGTGGCATAGTGAGCTGCGGGTATTCCAGGCGCAGCGTTCGCAAGAGTCCCGTAGCAGGTCCAAAGTCCAGTGACTCTGCGTCGATAACATCACCCCGTGGTGTTACCCATAGTACGTATTCTGCAGTCGACACAAGCCTCTGGAAAGCGCGGAACTGGACGTCACTCCACCGCACGATCAACGGATCTTCAGCTTCCAGCAACGATACAACGAGTTTGCCCTCGAGAGAGCCGGTCTGTGCAAGGTTGGTGGTCTCCACATGGCAATCTCTCTTCTCCAGTTCGAGGGTCAACTTAGAAGCGAAGGAAGATCCTGCGTCGTTGCCCTCCAGCAATACCACGTCTTTGTCGGCAAAGGACTGGACAGCCCGCGTTGAGCCAACTGCAGCTGCGCCATGCGAATTGCTCAGAGGGTGGGTAGCGTGTAGACCACATCGATCCAGAGCGGTCAGTGTTGCGTCTTGACCCATAGCACTGGTGGCGAGGATGAGCTTTCCAGAAGCAACCGATGTATGCCGCTTGGCCGAGGCCACGAAATCATGCACAACCTCTTCCTGTGCATTCGACAGTGAAGCAACAACCAAGTCACGATCGCCCTTAACATCCTCGCTTTCTTGTTGCGCGAGAGAGATGTCGATAGGCGATTCTCCAAGTATTGCGCGGACATGGCTGGCAACAGAGTCGTCAGGAACTCGAAGCTCACAGCTGGCGAACGACGTCTCCGCAGTCTTCTGGATCAAAGCCAAGAGGTCGGGAGAGGGTCGACCGTCGCAGATGACGAGCACCTTGAGGTTGGCCTGTTTATGGCTGAGAATCTGAAGATAAGTCTCCAAAGAGACCCCAACAGTCGAGCCTTCGAGGAAATCAATGTCGGCTGCCCACTTCGTCTGAGCACATTGTGCATTCTTGAGACCGAGAGAGTCGGCATTGTCCGAGACTTGCTTGACTCTGAGGTTCTCAACGAGAATCTTGCAATCTTGTTCTTGTTCGTTGGTGACAAGGAGAGTACCGGTCTGCTCAAGACGTTCCTTGTGTGTAGTCTTTGCGGCCACCGAATACTCACTTCCTGCACCAGCAAGCTGCTGCGACGACAAGAAAAGGCGGTCCATATGGATGGGAACAGCAGAGTCCGCCATCGCGCGTCCCTGGTGGAATCCAACGAAGAGCAGGTGGAAGATGGCATCGAGAGTGGCTGGATGAATTAGGTGTTCAAACTCAAAGCCTTCTGGCATCGAAGACGCTGTATCAGGAATTCGAACTGTGCCATAGGCGTCGTTGGAAGAGGGCGCAGCAGCAGCGGAAGTCATATTGGCGAAGAGTGGCCCGTACACCATGCCGATGCTTTGCAGTTGCTCGTAGAAAGACTCAGGTTCCACCTTCTGTGTGGCTGTGGCCTTGATGTTGTCGAAGTCGGCCTTGAATCCAGCCTCGATGTTCTGCTCGCTCACGCCACCAGAATCTTGATACATGATCGAGATCATGCCGTATGAGTTCTTCAGCCAGTCTCCTTTCGACGCCCTAGAGAAGACTGCCCACTCATAGCAGTCAGGAGTCGAAGAATGTGGGCTGAATGTGAGCGATGTCTCAACACCTTCATCACCAGCAGGCACCGCCAATGCCTTCTCAAAGGCCACGTCTTGAAGTTCAAATCCGCGAAGGGACTTGTTCAGGTCTCTGATCTGGTTCGCGCCCTCAATAGCCATGATGAGCATTCCAGCACCGGGATACAGGATCGTCCCCGTGATGTTATGATCTTCGATCCATGGATTCTCTGAAACGCGTAGATAGTTGCGCCATCGAGGAGCAGACGGGATTTGCCCTTCGACAGGGACACCCAAGAGATCGGTTCGGCCGTGAACACCAAGTCGGCTTTCAACAGAGGATCTTGACTCGTGCCAGAAGCCCTTCGAGTGATTCCACGGGTACGGCGGTAGGTCTGTCAAAGCCAGCTTCTTCGACGCTTCCAGACTGTTGACTCGCGCAAGATCAATAGAATGCCCGGTCGCCCAAAGGTTGCCAGCGGCTTTCATTGCTGTGTCAATGGAGTCCTGTCCTCGTAAGACAGGAGCGGTGTATGTGAGCTTCTGAGATAGACGACTATCGACCTTGGACATAATCTGATTGAAAGGTCCCTTGAGGGCCTCGTGTGGACCAAGCTCAATGGCGGCTGACCAGGCAATCGGCGTCTTGCGTCTGCCTTTGCTCTCACTGTGCTGTAACAGTGCTTCAGTCGCGCCGCTGAATTGGACTGGGTTGGCCATGTTCGCGACCCAGTAGTCGGCGCCAACTTCCTGGCCATCTAGGAGCTTCTTGCTGACCGAAGAGAACATCAAAGTAGAGCTTTCCTTGGGCTGGCGTGGCTGTATGGAAGCCAGCGATTGTCTATAGTCCTCGGTGATGACTTGCATACGCGGCGAATGGTAAGCCGTTCCAGTGCGTAGCTTACGAGCGAACTTGCCATCCTCCTTGAGGATCGACTCAAGCTGTGTAAGAGCGTCGTCGTCCCCGGAGAGGGTGACACTGGAAGGACTGTTGATGCAAGCAACGACAACTGAGCCTGGGGCGACAAAGTCGATGTAAGGCTGTGCCTCCTCCTCGGACAGGCCAGCTGCCATCATCGACCCGACTTTGCCCTGCAGCCGACGATTGACGTCGGCGGAGTACACTCCTCTCCAAAACGCGATCTTGATCGCATCCTCATGCGTGAGGAATCCTGCTGCGTATGCAGCACCGATCTCACCGGAGCTGTGTCCCACGACTGCTTTGAACTGGATGCCCCAGTGTCCAAGCAAGTCCACCAATGCAAGCTGCAGCGCCGTGCAAACTGGCTGGCTGAAATCAGGCTGACTGATGCGCTTGTCCTCGGTGCCTAGAACTTCCAGGACATTCCATTCGCAGCCCATTCCTTCCAGATAGGATTGCGTTTGTTCCAGGTTGGTGCGAACAATTGGGTTAGACAAAAGGGCACCTCCCATTCGCGGCCACTGTGCACCCTGTCCTGTGAAAACACCAATGATCGCTTCGACCTTCGTGGCTCGCTTGTGCTTCGCGAGACCTTTCTGCAGCTGTTGCTGCAGGCTCTCAAGGCCGTCGGCGACTAGGTAGCTTCGAAAGTCGAACATAGAGCGGCGCTCGCTAAGTGTGTAGGCGAGATCCCGAAGCCATGACTCGTCGAGCTTCGTTTTGTCTGCTTTGTCGAGAAAGTCGGCGTACGCTTGGGAGAGTCGGCTGAGGCCCTGCTGATCCTGAGAGGCGAAGCTGAAGATCATCTTTTGCGAGCCGTCCTCAGTGCTCGCGATTTGAAGACCAGACTCTCCAACTGTCTTGTGGTTGCCAGTGATCGAACGAGCTTTCATGTAGTGCAAAGCATCGTCAATGACAACGTGAGCGTTAGAGCCGCCAAAGCCAAACGAATTGACGCTCACCCTTCGCAGGCCTTGATCCGGCCACTGCATTACCTCCTTGGGGAACCGGATGCCCCATTCATCGAGTTTGATCTTCGGGTTGAGATTTTCAAATCCAGCATTTGGGACCAGCACTCCCTTCTCTAAGCAATGTACGGCCTTCAGGACTCCAGCGATACCAGCGGTCCCCTCGGTGTGTCCGATGTTCGACTTCACAGACCCAACATAGAGGGGTGGGAGGTCCTTAGATCTTTGCTGCCCAAGGGCTGATCCAATACCAGACAGCTCTGTGGGATCTCCAAGTCCAGTGCCTGTGCCATGGGCCTCGAAGTACGATGTATCATCTGGCGAGAGGCCAGCTTCGGTGTAGACGGTGCGAATGAGATCGGCTTGAGCCTCGGCGGAAGGTTGAGTGATCCCTTGCGTCTTTCCGTCAATGTTGGCTCCAGATCCGCGAATGACAGCACGGATAGTGTCCCCATCTTCAAGAGCGGCGCTCAACGGCTTGACGACGACAGCCCCGAAGCCTTCGCCTCTGCCATATCCATTGGCCCGCTCATCGAAGCTATGTGATACGCCATCTTTGCTGAGCATGTGCATGTCGGTGAGCCGAGACGGGAAGTTTGGGTAGAGAAGCAGGTTTGCTCCTAGTACCAGTGCCTGTCTGGATTCATTGAGGCGCAAAGATTGACAGGCTAGGTGTAGAGCTGTCAAACTTGAAGAGCAAGCTGTGTCAAGCTGCATGCTGGGGCCTCTAAGATCGAAGAACCAGCTGACACGGTTTGCGAGCATTGTGCGTCCATTCCCGCTGGCCGCGTTTGGGCCCATGTCGTATGGGTCCCGGGTGGAAAGAAGTTCGTAGTCGTTCGTCATGCATCCTGCATATACGGATGTCTTGGATTTGGGGAGGTCTCCCGTCGGGATGCCAGCGTTTTCGAAGCATTCGTAGGAGACTTCAAGAAGCAGGCGCTGCGCTGGGTCCATACCAGCTGCTTCTTTGCCAGTGAGCGAGAAGAACGGGGCATCGAACAACGAAACGTCTTCTTCAAGGTAGAAGCCTCGTGTGTTGTTGATCTTGACATTGTTAGCTTGGAAGGGGCGTGTCACTGTATCGCCATCTGCTTACCGTTCCCTTCCGATCACTGTTGGGGTGATAGAACTTTTCTGCGTTCCAGCGTGATTTTGGAACTTCTCCATCGACTCTTCGCGCATTCTCAAGCATTGATTGGAAGCCTTCAAGAGTCGAGGCTTCTCCTGGCAGGCGGCATGATGTGCCAACGATTGCAATCGGCTCGACCGAATCGCCGAACGACTGATCGATTGTTCTCGCAGGCATAGTGATGGTGATGGTGGCAAGTGATAGTGTTATTGAGAGGTTCTTTGAATGAGTCTTTTGGGGATTGGAGCAATTGTGCAGATGATGTTCTCGACATTGAAAGGCAAGGACAATGTTTTATACCTCTGTCCAGGTCATCATACGTAGCCCGCAGGCCATATCCACCGAGATTGACCATCGTCATGATGCCAGCGCCGACAGATCGGGCGGCGTTGGTCTTCGTCTCAATGTTCGGCGTAGAAGTCTCGATGAGTTGTTGACGCGTGTGAGCTTCACTCGCATGGCAGCAAGCAAAACAGCTGGCCCGAGCGCAGACAGTGGCATGCATCGTTAGGCGAGTTCGACTTCACAAGTCACCGACATAACAATACGCCGCTCGCTCAAATATCTGTGGCAACCCCCATGATATCGTCATTGCCGGCCTGGCTCATTCAACATGAGACCAAAAGCAAGATCTCAAGACTCTTCGAACTTTGTTTTCGAAACTCCCTGGCTGGGCTTACAACGTGATGGACGGTGACACCACATTATGGGGGCTTCTTGTGAGCTCCTTTCTATTGATACTGGCATACAAAGGCTACGACCTACTCTGGGGTGTTCCACGCCGTGATGGGTCTCTCAAAGCGATCGTGGAAGTCAAACGCAACAAGCGATTTCCAAACGGCAATGCTCTGACGGCGAAATACACCGGCAGCGAGACGCTTGACCAGTGGATGATAACGCCGGTCATCCTCTATGAAGGCTTGCTGGACGGGTCGAATCTGCCATATTTCCTGATGTTGCTGGATGTGCATGCTTCAATGCAAGCCACTTCGACTGTGATGCTCGTTCGACTGGCAGCGGTGCATGCACTGCCCACTTCTCTTACTGCTCTGTAGGTCTATTCTGCATGTTAGTTATCCCGAGGCTGATTAAATTGCAGTACCATCGCAGGCTTGGGGATGTTGAATCAAGCATATGGGGCTGCCTTTGTCTACCCTCTATATTGCATGGCAGAGATCATGCTCGATGCTATAGCTCCCACGAAGCTAGCGTTCCGATTTCCCATCACAGTCAGGCAGACACAGGCCATATGGATTGCATCGATGATAGGATTCGCTTTCCCACTAATCTTCGCTTATCCATGGCTCTTGAGCTTGCAAAGACCACTACGGCAGAAGATAGTGGCTTACTACCGCTTTGCACCGCTGGCATTTGCGGCAGCATATTTCGTGGCTGATCGAGTCGGTGACTCATTGGCCTTTATGCACACCGTTTCAGCACATCAGACTCTGGTTACAGTTCTGGACATTGCCACCGTCTACGCCACTATCGGACATTTCGCTGCTCTCGTGCTGCCGCTGTTTCAGCCGAAACCATGGCACGCCTTACGCAGAGTCTTCCTACCGACGAGCTCTCACATTCGGCCTGGTAGTCAGAGGATGATAAGCGATGCAGCTCACCGCTTTCTGCAATACGACATCTATGTCATCGGAGCAGCCTTTTTTGTGTGGCAGTTCTGGGTTGAAAAGGGCTGGAAGTCTAACGATGTAACGTTGAAAGTGGTTGACAGCGTTCTGGGCCTTGTACTGATGGGACCGGGAGCAACTTTGGCTCGAACAGTGAAAAGGGCTTTGTAGTATGTAATATAATCGTTCGGCACGAAGCTTTGCATCAGCAATGTTACACTTCGTTCACCCTCAACTTGAAAGTCTCACGCCAATGAAGCTCAATGTATCAGTGCCTCTGACAGGTGCTATCTTTCTTGGGAAGGCCTATCTGACCATATCTCGCTGTGAAAACTTCTTGGAGTACATCGTTTCATGACCCGGCAATGTCAGCAGACACCGTGCATATAAGACAACAAAGGAGCACGGACAGAGGACAGGTATGATTGTTCACGTTGAAGTTTCCAATACATTTTCAGAAGATATGAACATCAGCCTCAGCGTTCAACCCAGTCAGTCCTTCGCTAACCATATCAACCATAGCATCGGGGCCGCAAACAAGATACTTCGTATCATCGTCAAGGGCACCCAGCCTCTCAGCCAAGTAATCACCAGAGAAACGGGCAGGCTCCAGACCACTTCCATAGGCAGGCCGGCTAACAAGATACTCGACCTCCAGTTTGCTCGGTCTTACCATCTTCAGTCGTTCCAGCTCCCGCTTCATCATAGTATCATCTTCACTTCGACTCGCATACAGCAATATAACCTCTGTATGATCCCTCTCGTCCAGGCAGATCTCCTGAATGACGTTGAACATGGGCGTGATTCCTGAACCTCCAGCAATACAGACAAGCTTCTTGCTTGCATTACGGCGGTAGTGGAATCTACCGTGAGGCCCACGAACATGTATCGGTTCGCCGAGAGAGCGATCCTGCAAGTGATTGCCCATGACTCCGTCTTCATAGACTTTGATCGTGAGATCCAGACTACCAGCATGTGTTGGCCTCGACGTCGGCGTATAGCTTCGGATCACGGTTTTGCCAGCGATCGAAGCTCTCAAGCTGATGTGCTGACCTACAGCAAGGCCCGATCTACTGCGTTGATCCGGAAATGCCATGCGCAGCCTCCAAGCATTCTTGCCGACCTTGTCCTTCTCAATGAGGGTCAGGGGCCGGTATTTGTTTCGATCCAATGCAGTCTCCGATCTTGTCTCGACGGCTTTCCTCTCGGTCTTGCTATCGATCAGAATTGGAAAGTCGTGCAGCTCTGGATGTGACAATAAGGTTCTTTGCAGCCATCGAACAACGCTGAAGATACAGATGGATCCCGTCCCAAGTATACCAACAAGTCCAGACTTGTAGGAAATCAGGGGCTGAAATATACTCGGTGTGATCGGCCAGTCGAACGGCCGTAGAACCGAAACAGCCAAAGTAAAGCAGATGGCAGCAAAGCTATGCAACGTGGTCCACGGCTTAGGGGAATCAGTTGGGCTGTTGACCTGGTCGATACCAGGTATAGCCTCTGAGACGAAACTTGCGGCGTTTTTGATCTCATCGGCAGCGACCTATAGCAAGTTTAGCTTTGTTCAAGATAAAAGACTTGATTCGCACTCACCCATCCACTCAGACTCCCAACCTTCATTCCCTCCATGGTCTCTTCGGCATCCTCAGAGTGACCCACATCATCGAATGCCTCAGTCGCATCGCTGCCACCAGCTGCAATGAGGAGTCTGTCGCCTCCTGGGTGGTCTGAAAGGTAAGATGTTACGTCGTAAACTGCGTCTCTATAAGTCATGCAACATTCATGATAACAGAAGAGGCCATACCGTTCCCGTTTACAGCAATCCAGACATCGTTCGTCGTGTTGTGCTTGGCAAGCTCGTGGATTGAGATCTTTTCTGAAGACATGGTGTGTATCATGGACGTGCAGGTATGAAAACAGACAATTGTCAACGTGGACCCAAAGATCACAAACCTCAGTCTGAAATGTTTGTTCGGCCTCACAGAGTCTGCAAGGCGTTTGACACACGACACTGGAAATCGACCTTCCGCCGTTGTGCTGGGTCGGTCCATTGTTGGCGCATCATGCCCATGCCGTCAGGCTCTGTTGAGTGTATCTGGATACTGCTTGGTCTCGGCGTTGAGGCTCTCCAGGCTCGGCCTATTTTCTTGTCAACTCATACGTCACAAAGCATGTGAAGACCGCCCCTAATCTAGTGATCGAGAGTGAATGATTTACACAAAACCAAGCTTTTGCCCGTGAGCAGTCTGCCAGCGTCAAGCTCTAGGATCTAGCTCACGATGAAGTTCCTTTGCTGTATGTAGCTCGTTTCCATGTTAACCCAGGTACACTGGACGAGGCTGACATACTCAACAGTGCATGGAATGGGAACAAGTGGTGCCATACTTCAAGCGCAAACTCGTATGGCAACTCTGTTACCTCGATGTCGTCCTTCAGCTGACCATGTTTGCCGCGTCCAGGCCACCTCCGCTCCAAACTTCCAGACGACTGGTTATTCGACTTCGTAGACGGAGAGGTCGACTGCAACGCGGCGAAAGAAGTGAAGAACCTCTTCCCAGCCCCATACTACTGCTATTATCGCCTGCCGACCTTCGAAAATGTCCAGGAAGCACACGAACTCCTCGACGACTTGATCGAAGACGAAGGATTCGACGCCCTGCTGGGCTTTTCGCAGGGTTCTGCGTTGGCTGCATCGTACTTGCTCCACCGCCAGGAAGCACATGCTGGCAGCGTGCCGCCGGTCAAGTTGGCTGTCTTCATCAGTGCAAGCCTGCCTTTCTCCATCGACAATCTACATGGCAAAGCGGTGCAGGAGCGGGACTTTCCCATTGCGCGCCCAGAGTCGTATCTGGAGAGACCTCCGTTGATGCAGGAGGATGAGGTCCTGGCGAGGCGTTGGACGCCTGATCGAGATTCAGCTCGCCTGCGATTACCCACTGTCCACGTCTTTGGCAAGCAGGACGATTATCACGCACAGAGCAAGAGTCTTGTTGATCTGTGTGACGGGGCTGGAAGGACTGTGATTGAGCATGAGCAGGGGCATTGGATTCCCCAAAGTGAGAACATGAGCCGGAAGGTAGCGAGTGCCATCTTCGGGAGTCTTTTGTGAGAGTAGATTTAGACGATCCAATGATAGATGAGATACATGTATAGATGGAGAACAGAAGAACTAGATCTTGTTCAGCTCTTGATGATGTTCACGAGACGAGGATACTGCCCAGGAGGCAGGTGTTGGTAATGGAGTATTTGAGTTTATGCAGATAAAATTTATGCAATCTTGCACAATGCAACTACAGCTCCTTCCTTCCTACTACTACTGCCACAAGAACATCATTCCTCTTTCCCTCTCCGTCTCACTCAACTTCACAACATTTTCGCAGCTAACACTTCCTGTGATCTCTACCCAGTAGGCTTCCCTCACGTCACGTCGACACGACTCGCAGGTTCCGCTCCCTCGAACGCCCAACGACAGACGTCATCCAGCGAAAACCAAAACACACCGAGACGACCTTCGATGTCGCCGAGAGATCGAGATGAATACATCATGAGGCTCTTGAGCGTCCCAAGGATCGACGTGTTGAACGCGCGATCTGAATGTTCGTGATCACGATTGTGAAGACGAGGCGCGTCACCAGCGAGAAAACAACGAGAAGACGGCCGAGAACCACACGCGAGAGGGTCTTCGGTATGTTTTTCGAAAGATTAGATGGTTCAACATCATAGTACTGCGTAGCGATGACAGAGGTGGTGTCATGAAGAGGTAGGATACATGAGCGTTGTAGGTTGATAAAAGAGGTCAATATGTGCTTCATTGCTCCTCATTCCATTCCAATTGTATTCAACGCAGCAAACATGGTCAAGATACTCTGCCTCCACGGCTATGGCACCTCAGCGCGGATTATGGAGAGCCAGCTCCAAACCATCAGATCAATGGCGGATCCTGAATGGGAGTTTGTCTTCGTAGACGGGGAAGTCGAGTGTAAAAAGGCGCCAGGTACTACACCACGAGGCTGTCACAGACTTCTTTCAGACACTAATTCGTTCCCAAAGGGCTTGGAACCTTCACCTCAGGGCCATTCCTCTGCTACAGCGACGACTTTGCCCCATCCAACACGCGGCATAGTCATGATCTGATCACTTCTATGATCGAGGATGAAGGGTGAGTCGCACGAAACACAATCCCTCATGATGGTTGCTAACATAGTACAGTCCATTCGACGGAGTAATAGGCTTTAGCCAAGGTGGCTCTCTAACCATGAGCTATCTCCTCGAACACGCCATGGCCGGCCTTCAACCACCATTCAAATGGGCCTGCATCTTCTCCTCCGTCATCGCCTTCTCCCCAGACGACGATTTCCGCCACGACCTCCTATCAGACCTCACGCCCAAGGAGAAGAAGACCTTATCTACATACCCCGACTGCGACTTCTCCGCCCTTCGCAAACCTCAGCGCCAACTAATCGAAACGACAGCCAAGGCCTTCGCCACCGCAAAGCAGGGCGGCTTCATCGCAGCGCACACAAACGAGAACTTCTGGCTTGAGGACGACCTCTCCCAAGTTCCACGAGCGATCCATCCAAGCCTGACGTCTGCGAAGATCCCGATTCCAACGGTCCACGTAACCGGGAAGAAGGATTCAAAGGGCATGGTCGAGCTCTCAAAGCTAATGGCAGGGCACTGCGACGAGCGCTGCAGGCAGGTGCTCACTCACGCTGGCGGACACGATGTGTCGAGGCAGCGGGACGATGCCAAGAAGGCTATCAGGGCAATGGAGTGGGCTCACCGGGAGAGCGCGCAGCAGTTCTGGTAAATCCCATGCGGTTCGTGCGATGAGAAGGCCATGCTGATGGGAAATCAGTGGCAAACCTATTACGCCCAATCTGTAGACTAGACATGTACAATACATTGTAACAACATTCAAACATGTAAAGTGGAAGGGAGACATCATCAAGGCGCTGGAAATTTCCTTTCCATTCATTTCAATCTTGCCCAGTGGGTGCTCTTTCGCAAGCTTTTTCTATCCATCTAAATAACCTCCCAACTCCACAGCTCAGAAGTAGTTCTAGGAGACGTTTTGCCATTCTGAACACCAACGCCAACCACAGATAGGAACGACTCACCCCCTCAAGCCGTCGCCGAATCCACCCTCTCATGCATCGCCTTAATCGGCAACTCCTTAACCTCCAGTCCCTCCAACCCATTCGCAGGCTTCGTCTCGGGCAACCTTGTATGCATCGAATCCAGCACGGGCTCCGGCGTGACCTGCCTCGTGAGCTCCGGGCGCGGCGCCGACAGATTCGTAGTAGACTCCGGTTCGGCGCTTTGGGGCTCGGTGGTGATCTGGCGAGTGAGGTCTGGCTTGGGGCCCGCGAGGAAGGATTTGGAGGTGGGAGATTTGGGGCTGTCGAGTTTGATGCGGACGGAGTCGCGCTTTTTGAGGATGGTTTGTGCCGAGGCGAGGGCTTGGCCGAAGCCTTGGGAGGTGGCGACTTGTTCGATGGATTTGAAGTACTAAGGAGGAATGTGTTAGTTGGTCTCCGAAGGGGGGTTGGAAAGGGGTGGAAGTACCTTTACGGTCTTTACTTGGAGCTCTAGTGTTGCGTCCTCGTCGACGACGATCATGGCGTGTGGGTGGAGTTGCAGGCTGGAGAGTGTCCACATGTGGTTTACGCCGCCTTCGACACATCTTTGCAGGGCGAGGGACTTGTGGGGTCCGGTGATGATGATCACTACTTCACGTGCCTGGGAAAGTCAGTCCAGAGCCATTCCACAGATGTGTACTACACTTACGTCCAACACAGTCTGAATGCCCACGGTGAGCGCCATCTTAGGCACCTTGTTGATGTCATTGTCGAAGAACCTCGAATTGGCCAAGATGGTGTCGTATGCCAGTGTCTTGACTCTAGTTCTGCTCTTCAAGCTTGAGCCAGGCTCGTTGAATGCGATATGGCCATCAGGTCCAATACCACCAAGGAAGAGCTCAATGCCTCCCGCTCGCTGGACCTTCTCCTCATACGCAATGCACTCTTCCTCAAGATCCTCGGCATTGCCGTTCAAGATATTGATATGCGCCGGATCGACATCGACATGGCTGAAGAAGTGCTTGTACATGAACGAGTGGTAGGACTCGGGGTGTTCGCGCGGGATGCCGACGTACTCATCCTGTGCACGGCGTGAGCGGATCGTCCAGCAAGCCTCCTGATTGAGCGTTGCGAACGAACCATGTTGAACGTGATGACATCCTTGAAGGAAATCTCGCCATTCTTGTGCGCCTTGACGAGGTTCTTGTAGATCCCTTCTGGCGACGAACCTGTTGGGAGACCGAGCACGAAGGGTTTCTCAGGCGTAGGCGCGAAAGACTTGATTCGGTCTGGAGTACGAAGGTGATGAGCTTTTATCGATTTGGTAACAAGGCGGAAGGTGTAACTGACGAATGATGTAATCAGAGATGTACTTGGAGGCCGTTGCCTTGTCGTCTCGAATGATAAGTCTCCTTGCAGCTGTTCAGTCGTGGATCTGACGTGGGAATGTAGCACAGCACGTCGGAAGCTTACATTGTGTCGGGTCCTGCAATCCGGGAGAGGGTGTGCAAGGAGTGGAGTCGAGAGAATATGAAACTCTGATAAAAGCAGGTGGTCTTTTGCGGTGAGAGGAAGGAAATCAAGGCAAGGAAATCAACTGACCTTCTCTGCTGCGGTGTCAATACGGTTGCTAGGAAGATGCTACCACATGTGCGCCAGGCCTTTTCCATGGACGACGTCACACTGAAACTTTTACCAGAATGGAGCTTCGTGGCAGGAGCTCATGCTACCTCGTGGCCAGTCGCGGAAAGCCTACTCGCAGGATGGAAGCGTGAGGCAGCTGGCATATCCGACCTTGCCTACTCCGTCCTTGCTCCATACACCTGGGCACAAGACGGATCCATGCTTCATAGCGAGTCGGTAGGAATGCCGGCGGTGGAAAGTAGGATGGTGGGTGTTTGGGAGCGTAAGCTATTGATAACGAAATGGCACCTTCTCCTCAGTGGTATTCGGTTCATGTATCCATGTAGTGTCGCGTGGCCAGCACGTCGTACCTGTTGGCGTCTTCGAGCGCTGGCGGAATTGGGAGGTTGATAGCTGGGTTACATTGAACTCGCGCTCTTGCCCGAAGACTTGGCCCGTCGGGCCGCACTGCTCGGGATTGGTAAGAAGCCAGTACCGGATCGTTAAAGAGCCTCCATGTGTTTGTTGTCTTTACTCATTATGCTCTCGCAGCTTTTGCATGCGAAGTATTCTTTGACACTAATAGGATCAAATGGCCTGGATCCATTGAGTCGCCGTTTTAGCCGGCTCAAAAGTTGCAAGGCAGAGAGATTTCTTGCGAAATGTGGTGCTGTGATTCTTTAACTTTCTTGTGAGGTTTCGGAAAAGGCACGGAAACATCTGAGAAGTCCGTTAGAATAGCATACGTCGATGTAGTCAGGCTTGAAGATTCTGTTGGTGTGAATGAGTCTTTTGCTTGGTTTGCTAGAGAGCCGTTAACTTCATCTTTGGAGAATCTTAAACAGCTGGATAGCACAAACCCGACTGCTTGATACCAAGCCTGGTACTACTTTACCCGAAGCTGACAAAAAAGCAGATGCTCCCAGATAGGCGGAAGGGTTGCACGACAACCTTGCACATGGAGGAGCATGTCGTGAGCGCCACGAACGCAGACAGACGCCCTGGCCAGGGTCTGTACATCCTTATCATGCAGAAAGGTAGTGGTATGGATTCATTTCAAGATAATGGATGGTTGTGTAGGAGCAACACGCGATGTCTCAGCGAAGGTGGCCAGAGATAAGGTTTAGGTCGGCGCTAGCGGACCAGAACATGCACTAGCAGGGGTCACTTCCGCCTCCACCTCCACGTTGAAGGGAGATACTATATTGTCTCTCTTTCTTAACACCACCAGCTCGAGGGAGAAGAGCACCGCATCGCATCGTCGTACTTGATGCTATCGCGCGCACCACCGCGCATTTCCCACCCTCATTCTACGCTTGCTTCTTCTTCATCCGCCTTCAACCTCTCCTCGACCCCTCAGCAACTCTAGACCCCACCGGCACAACCTTCGCTGACGATCAATCAATCTCACGCGACACCTTCAGCAATGGCGGACGTCTCTGAAAAGGGCACGCCGACGCCTGATGTGTCTGTCCAGGACACTGCCAGCGACACTCGCCATGGCGATGTCACGCCAACGGGCTGGAAATACAAGAGCTGGAACATTGGCCCAGTGCGCTTGCCGTACTACGCCTCGCCAAAAGCCCAGCTTCTGCTGGTAGCTTTCGTGTGTTTCTTATGTCCTGGTAAGCTCAAAGACATCGCATTGGAACTCGCCCACGTGGAGCGCACGCTAATGATGGCCAGGAATGTTCAACGCCGTCAATGGACTCGGCGGTGGTGGACAGCTTAATGCGACCGCCAGCAACGACTCCAACACCGCTCTCTACTCGACTTTCGCCGTCGTCGGCTTCTTCGCCGGCACCATCACCAACACCATCGGCATCCGCTGGGCCTTGTCATTCGGCGGCATTGGCTACTCGGTCTACATCTCTGCCTATCTCTGCTACAACCACACCCAGAACCTCGGCTACATCATCTTCTCTGGTGCTCTCCTCGGTGTCTGCGCAGGTGTTCTGTGGTCCGCTCAAGGCGCGATCATGATGTCCTACCCGACTGAGAGGGAGAAGGGTCGCTTCATATCCTGGTTCTGGATGATCTTTAACCTGGGCGCTGTGATAGGTAGCCTGGTAAGTCATCATTCTTCACGGTTTGGACGGGACGATCACTAATTCAAATCGCCTAGGTTCCTCTTGGTCAGAACATCCACCAGACCAATGCGAGCGCTGTCAATGATGGCACCTACATTGGCTTCTTGGTGCTTTCGCTCGTCGGTCTTGTGCTCGCGTGGACCTTGGTGGACGCCAAGTCTGTCGTTCGCAGTGACGGATCCAAGGTGATTCTCATGAAGCACCCATCGTGGAAGTCCGAGTTGGTGGGACTTTATGAGACTCTCATCTCCGACCCGCTCGTCATCCTGCTCTTCCCGATGTTCTTCGCCTCCAACTGGTTCTACACCTACCAGTTCAACGCCGTCAACCTCGCCAAGTTCAACACCAGAACTCGCGCTCTCAACAGCGTGCTTTACTGGTCCAGCCAGATTGTCGGTGCTTGGGTCTTCGGCAATGCGCTCGATATCCAGAAACTCAAGCGTACCACTCGGGCTTACGCCGCATGGGCTGCGCTCTTTGTGTTGACCTTTGCCATCTGGGGTGGCGGATACGCCTTCCAAGAGGGCTACACGCGCGCTGAGTGGCTTACCGAGAAGGAGATTGAGGGAAGCAAGTTCTTCATCGACTGGACGGAAGGCCGCTACATCGGCCCAATGTTCCTCTACATCTTCTACGGCTTCTACGATGCGGCCTGGCAGACGTGTGTGTACTGGTTCATGGGTGCCATCACCAACAACGGCCGCAAGCTTGCCAACTTTGCAGGCTTCTACAAGGGCATCCAGTCGGCTGGTGCTGCTATCATGTGGCGCCTTGACGGCATTGGAATTCCGTTCATCAACATGTTTGCATCGTGCTGGGGCCTCCTCGCAGGTAGTCTGATCATTGCCCTGCCAGTGATGATCCTCCAGATCAAGGACACGGTCCCGCTCGAGCAGGATCTCCAGTTCACCGACGAGACCATCGACGACGTGATTGGAGATAAGCCGATCGGATCCTTGGCCACGGATGCCGAGAAGGTCTGAGTGCAACGTTGGACTTGCACGTGTCTGGAGGGACGATGGGTCACCAGGTCAGGCACCATTTTCCACAATTGTACGAGGTGCATGCGCGGTTGTGCGAATTCGGCTGTTGGCGGCTATGGATGAGTATCACGGCATCATCGAGCATGGCGTTCTTGGAGGGGTCTGTTGTTTTGTGATAACCCCGTGTGAGATGAATTGAGACCACGACAGAAGTGCGCTGTTGTAGACGGCCGCAGGAACGAAATGCAAAGGATTCACTTTAAGCTCTGCTTCACGATTGCTGCATTCAGTAATTGTCAGATCCTTCTGGATAGCGCCGAGGTGTCTCAGATGGTGCAGAGTCGTATTTCCGCACTAGCAGAAGCAGTAGCAGTAGTGGTGCCCTAGATGTAGCTGATCCTCGACAAGAACGGTACACGAGTACGTATACGCTTGACTGACGACTTTCTGTCGGTCTATCTGACCTCTTTTGCCCTTGCTCCACGGACAGAGATAAAGGATCAGTGGCTGCCACGCAGCTCGCTGGCGCCACGGCGTAGCGGGGCCCAGTCACGGCGACAGTAGCAGACGGCAGAGGCGTACATGCGGTAGGATTGAGATCGAGCACCTCCTCGCCGCGCTGCAACCAGAGGGATGCGTCGTCTGATACAGCGGAGGGTCTCGCGACTGTCTCGGAGGGCGGCACAGCGTCGTTGCTCACACACCGGATATTGCGTGCGGTACAGAGTTTCAATGGTTTTCGTCCATATGTGGCCGGCAACCTAGGCGAGTCGGCGGATGACGCATTCGTGGACGGGTAGAGCCTTGGAGACGCTGCAAGTTGTGTCGCTCGATACTACGTTACACCAGCCCATTCACTCACCACCAGCAACACCCTCCGCCGCTCCACGCCGCTCGTGATTGTCGGCGGCCCTTTTTCGCTTTTTCCCAGGCGATCGTGCCCGTCTTATTCGCGCCGCGGTGGTTGGCTGGCGGGCTGGCTGGTTGAACGTCCCCTCGTGCCGCACCATGCTCGATCGGCCGCTCCCATTGCATCCACGATGGAACCTTGAAGCCGCCCCCAGCATACCTTACTGCTACCACCAGACCACCACCAGCAGCAGCACACTACCACCCTTTGCGGCTCTCACGCCATTTCCATCCTGCCACTCCTCGCTGCAATCCTCGCTCCTCACCACTCCCAACCCTCGCCGGACCCGCCCCGCCTGAAGCACATGCCTCTCACCACTGCTACTGTTATGCCTGCCTGCGCGTCCTCATCCATCCGCTCCCTGGCCCACTTGCAATACGACTCCTAGCGTCCAGCAGTGTACCACCTCGCCTGCAACAAGGCTCTCACTGTCACTCCCTCGATCCATTGGCCTGGCCCGTCGCTGCATGCTTATAGGCAGTCCGCCTATCTATACATCTCCCGCCCGCTTCTGCCACATGACATCCGTGTAGACCTCACCTCCTTGGGCCTATCTACAGTCGCGCATTTACCCATTATTCCTTACTGCCCTCCGTCCCTGGACTCCGCCACTGCGACTCAGCTGATCTCACCGATCCGCGACTAGACGATCCTCCAATAACCGCCCTGGCAGCTTCATGACCTCAGTCGGGCTCGGTCTTGGCCGCTATTGTTTGTGTGCTTTGCTCGACTTTTGGTTCACCAGCAAACTGGGCAAAGCAATGAGCGTGATGATTCAATCGGTGGTGCGAGTGGTGCAACCGGCCTATTCTTCAAAACGGGCACGGGTGCACCATGTAGTAGAGAAGGAGGTTGACAAGAGCATGGAAGACTTCGCTGCAGAGGTACGGGGTCTGTTTGAGGCGTCGTTGGAGACAGACCGCCTACTGGCAATATCACAACAACTGCAGAAGGAATGCCGGGAAAGGCTGCTCAAGTCGGAGATATCTATGCTGCCCTCGTACCAACACACCCTCCCTACTGGACACGAGCGGGGCGACTTCCTGGCATTGGATGTTGGTGGATCGACATTTCGAATTGCACTGATACGACTTTTTGGAAAGACAAAGCCTGGAAACGATGGCTTGCAAATACGAAGGATACGGAGCTTCGCGATCGATGAGCAGATTCGCGCTCTCAAAGGACAAGCATTCTTCGACTGGATGGCAGAGAGGATAGGCGATATGCTGGTGGAGTACAACCACATCAACGGCACCACGAACGCAAACTTACCCATGGGTCTTGCGTGGTCTTTCCCTATATGCCAAACATCACCGAGGACGGGAAACCTGCTAGCAATGGGCAAGGGCTTCAACGCGACGCATGGTGTAGAAGGACAGGATCTCAGCGAGCTCATCATGAAGTCGTGTCGGCGGAAAGACCTCAACGTGGAGATGCGAGCTATTGTCAATGATGGCGCAGCCACCTTGATATCGCAGGCTTACCGAGACCCCACCACACGGATGTCCTTGATCTTGGGTACTGGCACGAACGCAGGAGTCTACCTACCTGTTGCTGCCCTTGGATCTGACAAGTTTGGGGACCGACCGGCAAGCTGGTTCGAGGCGGCGGAACACGTCCTCGTGAACACTGAGATGAGCATGATCGGCAAACAGCACTTACCCGTAACTCGTTGGGACGATCTACTGAACGCAAGACACATACTACCGGACTTCCAACCTCTTGAATACCTGATCACTGGTCGATATCTTGGAGAGATAGTCCGATTGATACTTCTGGAAGCCATTGACACTGCTGGCCTATTTGGTGGACAGACACCTGAACGACTTGACGAGGCATATGCATTGGATTCTCGAATTCTTGCAGAGTTCGAGGCCGACACGACGACCGGGCTGGACAAGGCAAGAGCAGCATTCCATCAAGCGCATCCTCTTCGCACGTCGCCGCGCGTCAGTGAACTCCAATTTGTTCGCGACGTGTCAAGACTGGTCTCACGGCGAGCGGCCGCATACCTCGCCACAGCGCTGCATGCCATTTGGACGACCCGCACAGAGTCCGAGGGACTTGCCCCGGGCGAAGCCACGCATGTTACCATCGCATGCAACGGTACAATCGTGGAGAAGTATCCTGGCTACCGCGAGCTGTGCCAGACACGCCTAGACGAGCTGTGCGTGGCGTCGGGTGCATCACGAGGCGCCGTCACGTTGAAGATGGCTCCTGAGAGCTCCATCTACGGGGCCGCGGTTGCGGTCGCGTGCATGCAAGACCAAGATCAATGACGACGAATGAAGCTTTAGAGACATGACACTATCTACTGCCCATCAGCGTGGGCACAACGAGCTCGCATCTGATGAAGAAGAGACTTTTACTCTCGAAACTACTGCATGCCTGAAAGCAACAAGGAGCGATTCGGCGCAAACATTGGCGTTTTTTTGCACACACGATACCCGCTTGGCGAACCATTTACGCCTTTGCGAAATGAATTGGAATGTTACATGAAATATGAGAGAAAGCGCAGCGCAAAGAGGGCAGGCGCTGTCGCTACTACAGGATAGAACAACGCCGTACGAAACGAAACATGTTGGATGAAGACAGACAATCAATCGGCGATTTGGGGGATAAAGCAACGCCAACAAATCTACCACTGCTACCTACACTACCTACATTCCGCTATCTCCATTGAGTATGCTCAACGAGGACGAAGACAGACACGGGATGCCTCATCGTGTTGACGTGCGAGCATCCTCCGCGGCTGGCTGACGACGCCTTCAAGTGCCATGTGCCGTGGACCGATACCGGTATACGCTCGACGCAAGAGACGAGGTTTGTTGCTGCTTGCTTGCTTGCTGTGAGGAAGGCTCGCGACGCGAGGCGCCCAAGCAAGCTGTTACGGTAACATCGCAGCAAGCAGTAGTCACTAGTGGATGGTAGCATTCATCGATCGTACTGTAGTAGCAGCAGCAAGTAGTAGATTTAATCTCATCACAACAAGCAAATTTTAGCCCCCAAACCAAACGCTCATGGATTACTTCTTTCAGTTAATCGGGAAAGGATGAATGCACGCTTTGGGAAGTGTATCTCCGCGTTGGGTGGTTGTTTTGTATGTGATTGAATTTGTCCGGCGGCGGGCGGTTGGTGGCGGCCATGTGTGATTTTTTGGCGGGAAAGGTTGCTTTGAGAGTGGATACGGACGGACGGGTATGTGTGGTTTTGAGATGTGCCGTTTAGGCGAGTGAAGTGAGATGAGAAGGAGCGTTCGTTCGTCAACTCGTGTTTGCACGGTGTTTCAATGTTGCAGGAGATGAGGTGAGCCTCACGTGGTGTTTCGGTTTCATGTCGCTGATACGGGAAGGTGTGAGAGAGGGAGGTAGTGAGTTGAAACCTCCTCCCTTCCTCCCTTCCTCCCTCCCTCCCTTTCTTCCTCCCTTGCCTACTATTGATGACGGGTTGCAATGCATCGGACAGGACTTGTGAGACGAGTAGGTAGGCTAGAAGATTACATGGCATGAACTCCTCGGAGCCGATGCTACATGCATACACATTGTGGATGAGAACGAGGTTTGATTGCGGTGGCTGGACTCGATATGCCTTGCTTTCCGCCGAGGGCCGTGGTTTTGGAGGGGTGTTGTGTGTGGTCTAGATGTCTGCTTGCACTGTTGCACAGCATGACTCCTCTCGGGCCAGAATCATGGGGAAGAACGTATGGGTGGTGGTGGTGTTCGACTCCTGGCGAGAGGCATGCTCATCAGCGCTCGTTGATGCGAGTGATGAAACAGCCCGTCGGGAATACGTAACAAGTCCTCGTATCGATGGAGTGCAATAAGCAGGAGCACGAGGATACGAGAAATCACACGGAAAGCGATCTCGATCGTATGCAACCCTTCGGACTACGTTGGGGAAAGAACTCTTCGTGATCAAGTGGTACTCCTTCAAAAAATCTCTTTCATTATGCATTAAAATGGCTCTCTGTCGTTCAAATTCAACATTTCGGCAGGAGATGTCTCATAACACCTTTCGATCTCACATTCGTCCATCGTCGTCGTGTCCCTGGGTATGTCCTTCCGGCTAGGTATACAGTCGAGCTCCTCTTTAGGCTATGCTGGACGACCTGCTCTGCGAAGATCTGCTCTCGTGCGACGACTAGTTCCGGACTGCTGGTGATCATGACGATTTTTAAATTGTAGTCATCACCAAAGACATGAGCCGCTGGACCGAGAGTGCTCGTCGCGACTTTGGAAGGCAATGCCGATCGAGTCCGCCCCAGGCACGGATGTTGTTCTGTGACCGGAGTGCTTGAGTCCAGGATCATATAGGGGATACTGTGCGGCAGAATCCGTTTTGAGCCGCATATCATGCTTCCTCTGAAAAGAGCGTGCCCGGACGCCAGGAGGTCCGTCCCATCGGCGGTTGCTCGAACCACGGTTGGCAGGCGTCTCCGACCGTTGTGTAGAGCATGCCCAGACATACGACTTCGAGTCGCTTGGCCTGTCTCCTTATCAATCGCGGAGCAGGGCATTTTAGAACTGCTGTGAACAAAAGCCACGGCAAAGGTAAACCTCGAAATCCGCGTCTTCGTCCATGGGGACCCCTTTCGAAAGCCGAAAAAACCAAAGGCTCTACTTCTCAATGCGCGTCCCCCAAATTCACTCAGCTAACGTAAAGTCGTTTGCTCCTGGACTTAGCACTCATAGTCGGGTCCCTAGGATCCGAAGGAAGCTTCGTATGATGCACCACGTGAGGTCTATACACCGCGTCCACCGGAGGCATCCAGTCATCTAATCCAAGAGGAAAGTATTCATACAAAAGATCCGCGCTCTCATCCGGACTGTTGATCGTATTGATCGAGAAGGAAGGAGGTCGAGGGGGTATGTGGAGCTTCTTCGCGGCACGGCCATCTGGTGGTGTTGCGCTGCTTCCAGCTCTGGGTGAGTCGTCTTCGACTAGGGATAAGTTGATGGGCGCGATTGATGGGCGTGGAGCCTGGGGAGGTCGCATTTGACCTGGTGAGGATCTGGCGTATGCATAGGCGGCATTTGGTGGTGTTGTTCTGGGCTCTTGCGCTGCTGTGTCGTCCGCTTGAGCTCCCGCATTGGCTTGTGCCCAATCGAAGGTATCGTTGTTCGCACCTACGTCGTTGTTATCGTAGAAGCCGGCCATTGACAATGCTGGCGCTGGTGCCTCTGTCTTCACTGGAGCAGATGTTGGAGCTTCGTTCCTGATCTTTTCTCCAGCTACCGTTGCAGCTCGAGTGGGCTGCTGTCCTGCCAACGTTGAAGACTTCCTCACATGCCCACCGCCGTTCAATGGCAAATCTTTCCTTGATTGGAAGTTGCGCGGACTTCGCCCACGAACGATAATCGCCCCAGATTGCACTTCGCAGATTGGAATCTTGCCGCCAGTCGCGAGCGTGGCCAGCACTTTCAGTCTCACAACGAAGTGCTGCTGTAGCTCCTTTCTCCTTCCATTGTTCGCTGTAGCGATTCTGAATTGCAATCGCTTCCATTGAAATGGGAAGCTAGCAAAGTCGGTGCTCATCTCTTGTACGTTCATGAGATCCAGGGGTATTGATGGTGGCTCTCGCTCCACCTTATCCTCTGGCACCGGCGCATTGGGATTCGCTGGCGTCTTCCACGGCACTGATATGATCTTGACCGAGTTGCCCTCTGTTGATTCTGTCGCGCTTATCACCAGCTCTTGCCCAATGATCGGTATCTGTTCTCCCTGGTCGGTCATGATATATCGGAGTGTCCTCGGTAATGTGATTTCTCCAGTGATCTGAAACAGATTTCGTCGATAGCAAGTGAGCTCTGACGGCGGTGGATTTGCATCTCCCGCAGACGCCCAAGGCGACTCGGCCAAGAAGAACATGCCATGGAGCTGAGCTGATAGCGATATCGTGGTTCGGCGGTAGGTGTAATCGAGGAGTGTGTAGTCGAAGCTGGGTAACGAGAAGCTGAGGAGCTTGTTGTCTCGATCGATTGAGGGCGTCTCTGGGTCCTGGGGCTCATTGTGTACTGGGTTGTCGAATGCGCTGACAACATCTGAGAATGGGTCTTCGTAGGCGCTCGCTGCGAATCGCTTGAGGTTGTGCTGCTGCTGCGGGGCTTGCAAGCCATGCAGATTGAGGTCGTCGCTCCTGTGCGCTCCCAAGTCAGTATACATGCTTCCACTGTAAGGTCACATCTCAATACAACGCAAGACATTGGGGGAGCATACCCTGCATAGCCGCCATACGTAGACTGGTGGTCGCCAAACTCAGTGGGTAGCAGCATCTCCTGGAAGGGATCCTGGCTGCCGCCGACATTGGGGTGCTGCTGCAGCGTGGCCAGGTAGGTCATGGACTGGGTATCGAAGCCGGAGAGGTCCATGATGGCAACGTCGCATTGATGCGCGCCGCGGTGTAGGATCGCAGACGGGAGCTTCGCATGAGACGTCGACCTGGATGCGAGCTTCGACCACTTCCAGTCCCTCCAGCCTCTGCCTTCCCTATTCCGGGCCTCGGCGACGGCGCACGCGGTGGTGACGAGAGAGTGGCAGCCGGTGGTGTGAGAGGGTCGAGTCGAGTGTTTGCGCACGTCGTCCGGTCTGTCTGTCTGTCTTGTCCTCCCACGTCTGCGACAGCCCAGCCTCAAGCACTATCGGCCGTCTGACCTCGACCAGTCAATGCGCTGCACGCTGGAGCGATTGCAGCTCTTGTGCGACACCTTCACTGCGCGCCGTGGTGCGAACGCATGGAGAATCCCGCCCAATGCCGGAGGTCGTTTGCTGTGTCGTTTCAGGTCGATGTCGCTTGTTGTTGTTGGAGGGGGAGGTGGTGGTCGCTCTGCCAGCGCCTGTGATCGATCCACACTTCGTCAAGTGCTGCAGGTGGAAGATCATTGCGGACGTCGTCCACAAGCACCCGGTGCCCGACCGTCGACCTGCCCTTCAGCCGCTATCATAGGCCTGCTTGAGCCGCTGCCGGCCGTCAGGCGGTCCAGGCCTCGACAAGAGGTGGAGAGGCTTTCCGGTATCAGGCACGTGAGCGGAATAAACTTGTGGGACATCGATAACGGCTCGTATCGTGGATGTATTGAAGATAGCATGTCTCATGGCAACACCATCATACTGAAGACAGAGACATGAAGCGTGATTGCAAGGAGTGTTTCCAACATCAGGCCGTTTCATTCACAATCTCTGTACACTGTCGATATGCTTTTGTTCGTTTCAAGCCTCCAAGGTAGAGCCACTAGTACTACCCTTCAACTTCTCCTTCGCAATCCTTTCCCTCTCCAAGAAAGCAGCCTGCTCAACACGACTCTTCTTGACATCAACGAAGAATAGCAAGAACAAAAAGCTGGCCAAACTCAAGGCGAACAAGAAGTAGAACGGCGACGAGTTGTTGCCGGTGTCGTCGATAATGGCACTTGAGATGAAGGGACCGATGAACGACGATGTCTTGCCGATGATGGAGAAGAGGCTGAAGAAGAGGAACTCCTTGCCGCGGGGTGTGACTTCGGAGATCATCTTGAATTATGTCAGTCGAGGGTCTTTACATGGCGTGGAGAGGTGGCTTACGGTCTGAGAGTAACTATACCAGGGGCAAACGAACAAGCCATAAAAGACCTGATACACCCAGACTTCCCATACATGATGGAAACCGAACCGGTTCGTCCAGATACCAATCATGCCCCAACCGTCCAGGAGAATGATTCCCACAGCAACAGCGTTGAACATGGTCTTGGTCGGTAGTTGAAAGCGCTTCTGGATGTGCCAGAAAGCGAAAATCCCAACAGCCTGAGCAGCAATTCCGACGATGAGGATGTATGTCAGTTCTAACGTATTGTAGGCTACGATCGAGTTCTGTAGCGTGCCGATAACGGTGACTGTTGTATTGAGGGAGTCGCCGAGGAGGAAGTAGCCTGAGTTCTCTCAGTATAACGGCAAACCTTCAACAAATCATTAGACTCACCAATGAGATAGAACAAGCTTTGCTTGAGTTGCCAGATCTCCTTGAAGGCACGCCAGAGCTGCCAGAAACCTGCAAGCACAATGTTCATGCCAGGATCCTGACCAGGACGTCTCTTCTCCATGAAGAACCAAGGTATCGCTACCAAGATCCACACTCCCGATGCAAACGCAATGAGTACACTCAGACCCCAGTTGTTGTTCGCCGTGCTGGCATTCACGTTCAACCCAAACATGATCCCAACGATGATAGCGAGGATGAAGATCTCGCCGACACTTTGAGTGACGAAAGCGTTGTTGCTAAGCTCGTTTCGCTTCATACTGTCGGCATGGTCGTACTCTTCGCGGCTGATATCTCCATTCTCATATTGACCTGCCTTTTCTCGCATCTCTTTGGTGTTTCTGGCCAGTCCCGGGAAAGCTGCCGTCCAGTATGTGAGGCACAGCTGGTAGGCGATCAGTCCAACGATGTACAGCCCAAGCCCGGTTTGCCAGTCGTCCGCAGTATGGACCCCCAGCCAACCGAACCCGATCCCCCACGCGATCAAAGAGAGTACGATCAAAATGTTGGGCCTGAACGTTCCAAAATCGGCATATGATCCAAGGATGAGAAACACGACAATCTGGATCGCGAAGCTGATTCCGTTGCAGAGCAGGATGATACTGTTGATCGTTCTGTTCGAGCCCGCAAAGTACAGGATTTCATTGTCAGGCCCTCCAATGGCCTCAGCCTTTTGGTACAGCAGATTCTGGGCAGCGGTAGGACCGAAGTTGAACAGACTCAGGCCATTGTTGCCGATGTAGTACGAGTAGTATGCCCAGATCTCAAACCTCCCGGTTTCGTATCTTTCATCGAACTGGTCTGGCGCGACAGGTCTGTCCTCTTCGATGAAGCTACCATCTGCAGTCTCTTTCACTCCTCCTTTGGTTGGATCTTCACCAAGCGCGGCGACTTGGGCCAATCCGGGATCATTGGCAGCCATGGCTGGCTAGGGGTCTCCAGAAGTAGAGATGCTTGTGACTGAGCATGGACCGGCTGCCTACGCCTTTTGAAGTATCCAAGCTCTTTCTACGATAGTCGAAATACGGTAATTCGATGCACGCGATAAACAATGACGACGCGGGCGATATCGTTGTGAGATGCGATTGGGAGGAAGATGCTGTGGACGGAGAGGGACGGTATGCTTGAAAGGTATATAGAGAAGGACCGCGAGTACCTACCTGATAGCGAAGGCGTGCTTGCCGACGAGGCCGGAGTAGTGGTAGATCGTCTTGCTGGTCGTGCTGTGAGAGGAGGACGAGCTGCGAGACGCTGCAAGTCCATCTCTGCTCGCCTGCGCCGCGCTTGTGGGCGAAAACTCTAATCTTATCTCGCCGTCTGCCCACTGGCTCCCGTCGCCGGGCTCTCCACGTGGGACTTCCAGCCTCTTGTTCTGTCGTCTTGAGAACAGAACCATCTTCATCAGAAAGACCATTCAATTCCGCTTGAATGTTGGCTTGACGTTGGCGACAATGGCACCAAAACTCTTCGATGCATTGGCAAAGGCTTGACCGAGCTTGTGGCCACCTGATCTTATCAAGCCTTGCGGACCCTTGGACGGCACGTCCACGCACACTCGGCGGCGACGGCAAATCTAGAACCCTTGGCCACGATCACTGTGCAGATAGCCGAGTACTCGTCTGATGACAGATTACGGGACCGGATCGGACGACAAGTCAAGAACATTGAGCGAAGGCTATATCAAGAATCTGGGAGACAGAATGTCTTGCGGCAACTACTGGAAATAAAACGTCACTGACGGCTTCTGACGGCCGCCGAACTGCATGCGACACGCCGCTTGGGATGTTCTGATATCTCGTTCGGTTGTTGGAGAGCGAAGTGATGTAAAACATTGCCTCTATGCTGCTACCTCATCCATCATCAGCCTGCACTGCACATCGAGTAGAGTGTCCAAAATGACGGATCACTTCGTGCCTTATACACCGGATGACATCTCCATGGAGTATCACCAATTGCTGGGCAGCTTCCTACCCCAAGGAGAGAGCGATAAAGGCCCTACGTTATGTGCGGCCGAAAGTAAGGACCCTTCAGCCTGGTTGACCATCTTGCAGAGATCATTGGGCCTGTCGAAGCGGGACCAGTCCGATTTTGTCCTCGACTTTGCATATGGAGAAGATATGGCATCGCAGATGTGGGACACACCTTTGCTGCGAGCCATCGTGTCCAAAAACATGGAGAATGTCCATCTCCTCCTTGAGCATGGAGCGAATCCCAATGGTGTGGATTGTGATTCTCAGGCTTCCTACGCAAGACGTTTTAGACGAGTTAAGTCGGCGACAGTAGACGTGCGCGATCGAATTGTTCAAATATCACAAGAGGACGTAGGTGACTCTACTACACAACTTCTTACATTGTCGAACGATGAGCTCGCTAGGAGAACTTCCACCATCTCACCTTTCTGGGCGTTTCCAGACGCACTGCCTTTGGGCTACTCCGAGAATGGTGATCTACTACATTCAGTGCTCATGGCAGCACGGACGACGACTGAGATCCTCGAGGTGATACTTCGCGCAGGCGCCGACGGGAGTGCATGGACGACTAGCCAGCCTGATGAGCTCCCGAGCGAAGACCTTCTGAGACCTTCAGCACTCTGTGTCTCGACTCCCTTGCATGCTGCTATCGACTCAGGAAATGCACTGGTTCTCGATGCTCTTCCGGATCGAGGCTTCAACTCCAATGCAAGAGCTCTGATTGCCGGATGTCAAGCACTGACTCCTTTGCAGCACGCCGTTGTACATGACAAGCCTGAGCTGTATCAAAGACTTGCTGTGCATCCACTGGCAGATTCAAGCATTGTCACCCCAGTCCTCAAGGTCCACGTGTTGCACTTCGCAATCGCTCAACTTGATCTTAACCTAATCGATGTTATAGGTCTGCCACTCTCTGCCGCTATGCCCACAGCACTTGGACACACTCTTCTGCATGTAGCCTGCATGCCTCGAGACGAGTCCCAACTCCAGATGTTCGCGCCAAAGGTGCGTCAGTCTGTCCACGATATGAGAACGCTACACGTCCAGCAGCAAAGTTGGCCAGCAGCGATATATCAATTGGCACTTCCGCGCGCTGGTCAGACAGAACTACCAGCTGAAGATGGCCCTGCAGACTACCCTACACGTTTGCCTCGAATGAACTGGTTACCACTGGAAGAACGAGTCGAAAGATCTGAGACCGACCGACTTCTTGGCATGCCAGCCGTGGACGACTTCAATCGCCAGCTCGCGGTTATACAGACGCTGGTGATGGAGCCTGGCCCTGCAGAGACCCTCAAGATAGACATTTACGGCAACACGGCCTTGCATTACTTGGCATCATCCCGCATAGTGAATGACGATGCTGTAGCATGGCTCAGAAAGCAGGAGCACGGCGATCAAGTCTGGCGAACAGCAGCCAATCGCTGGGGATGGACTCCGAGCGACGTATGGAAAGACAATGTCACAACCATCGAACCAGCGCAGGAAAGCCTCAGGTATGTCAATACGAGAGGCGGACGGTCTCGGAGAGGCATTGCAGGTACACTCACCCGCGGCAGGCGGTGATCAGGCTGCGTGAGGCCAGACTACTGCCCTCGGGTCTTTGTCAAGATACCATTGTCCTCGCCTATCCCCCAATGCCTTGATATGCGTCATTCAACTATCAACAAAGGCATTGTCAGTCAGAGCATCTTGCAACAAAAGAGGACTTGTGACACTCGCCGCCTAGTTAATGAGATTGTTGTCCTGGTCGAGTGTCGTTAGTACAAATACCGGCGAGTAACTTGCTTCGCGGCTCCAGACTTTACTAACGTTAGAACCACCTCCCCCCTCGTTGACGAACATTCGCTCAGGTAGCAAATCGACATCAACAACCAGACATCATGCAGACCACCGACCAGCTCACTCAGGCCCTGGGCAATCTTGCTCTCAACTCTGCTCACCAGCCTGACCCTGACGAGAACGGCAATGCGACAAGCAACCCTCACCACTTACTGACCTTCGATTACCCGGCGATCGATCTCCTGAACGATGTTCTCGAGGTCTACCTTCCCGAGCCTCACCTCGTGATTTGGAGACCACGACCACAAGCTCTGATGTTCCATCTCGCCATGTGGAGCCCAATGAGTCTCTTCTACACGATGGACCCCACTGCCCCCAACTACGACATCAGCCAAGTCGACAACGAGAAGGCTGCGTCTTTCGTGAGGACGGTGGATGCCCTGCGCAAATCGAGTGGAAGTACCACCATGTCGATCGTCGTCCACGTCCAGAAGACCGTTCCCGAGATCCTCATCCGACTTTCTACGACGTTTGATAAGTCGAGCACGACCAAGACGACATTCTGGGACCTCAACTTGACGGATTGGCAGGCCATCATGGCGATTTCACACCCTTGGATCGAGGTCCTCGGAGACGTGGTATACCGCAAGACAACTCGATCTTTCCTGGCGGCCGAGGAGAAGCTAGAGCAGCACTGTCCCATCCTGCACCGCGAGGACAATCGACAATGGGCTGATCAATGGGGTAGCGGCTCAGCGAACCCAGCTAAGAAGCTGCTCATCAAGTACCTCCGATACCTCCACTCCGACAGAGTCCTGCCCTTTGACCAACTCGAGCAGGACGGCGGCACCATCCAGCTTCCTTGCGGGCACGACCTCTCCATCACGAAGGAGCAGATCGAGAACTCCACCGAAGCAGAGTGCATGAACGCCACCTGCACCTTCTGCCACACTCGCATTCTCCCGACAGAACAATACGAGGAGGCGAAGATGTGCGAGCAGTCCTACAACATCCTTGAAGCCGCAACCCTAGCCGACGCATGGACCGGGCTGGATCGCGAGGTCGTCGACAGCCGCACGAGAACCCTCAGCAAGACCGCCGTCATGCAAGCCCTCCCCGTCGCCATCGCCAGCCTCAAGCTCCCCGAGATCATCGAGTCCACGCACATGTCGCCCGCCTCGTTCCCGCAAACCTCGATCGCGCTGCGAGCGTTCCAGAAGTGGTTCGAGGAGGACAACGACTGGTTCGAGGAGGAGCCACAACAGCAGGAGGACACCATCCAGCAGAGCCCGTGGGGTCTTGCTTTTGACCTGCAGGGCGATGTTGAGCGCTTGATTGTGGCGGAGGGATTGGGGTTCCCGCCGACTTGGCGCAAGTTCATCAGGGTCGCGATCAATCGCGCGGTCAATCTCGCTACTTTGAGGAGATGTTCGAAGTTGGGTGGGGGACATGAGGGTGTGCATATGCATGGTCGGAAGGTGTTTGTGAGCGTGCCCTATGAGCTGAGTGGGGATTCTACTTTTGAGATGGGCGAGATGCGCGAGGCTTTGGATGTGGAGATGGATGATGATTGAGTCTTTCTTTAGGAGGGGGGTCAGCTTGATACAGTGTGCTTAGGATTGGAGATTCGGTCTTTTGGGATAATGTAGACTACGGCAAATCAAAAGGAGGGCTTGTGCTTGTTTGACATCTGCGGTTTTCACTTTGGCCTCATTTCATACATTTTCCTTCGTGAGTTGCGGTTTTGTTGACACTTCGTGCCTGAGCGACTCTCGGAATCGTCTCATCAAGTCCAGAAAATGGCTACACTCTTGATTCATCGGGCAGCGGTTTGGTGATCATGCTCGCCCCCAGGGACGTCAGAAACTTCTGATACTGCCCAAATTTTCGAATTTCTTCGACTAGCTTTTGCATAGGATCAAACGCCGGGCTACAAGTCTCCTCCTCCGTCATCGTAGTCCAGTCAATGTCTTGGATTTAGAGACCTTGGTCAAGAAGGCTCTTTCAAGCTATCCGTGGCTATCAAAAGGTCAGTACACGTCGCCTGTCGAAATTCAAACTTTACAGACCTTCAAGATGAAAAAGCACATTCGACTGGTAATTCTTGAACATCTGGGCGACGAGCTCGACGTTCATGTTTTGGACGTTGATCTCCTGCGGTGGCTGTCAGTCCATGGGCTCTGTGGGCTTTTCGTGAAGTCTGACTGACTTGTAAACTCTTGTTCAAGACCATGACAGCTTCGTTGAGTTTCTCCTATATGGAGTTAGCATGTAATGTGCTAGTGGGTTGATTCGCGCGTACGACATTGGTGATGATGCGGGAGAGCAGCAGGCTCTGTTGATGTTCGTGTGGGCTCTCCTGCGGTCGTGTGAGTATTTAACACTGAAAGGATGTCTCGATAAGTCAAGCGTACCATTTTGTTGTACAAGTGCTCCTGTTCCGATGTTGTTGACGACCCAGAAGTTCGAATGAGGTTCAAACGCGACCCGATAGAGTTTGGGCTAGTAAGACGCTAAACCTTAATTATGTCGACCTTCGATGAATCACCGCCTGCAAACACCAACTCTTCACGAACACCACACATTGTCAGGAACGGGCTACGGCATTCGATATGTCTCCATCAGCAGATACAGCTGCTGCGCAATGGCTTGAGCAATTAGCGGCCATGCGCGCTGCTATTGCAGATTTGAAACTACCTCAAACGAACGGCGATGCCACCAAGACTCCAGATCTCGACGTGGACGAGGATGACCTTTCTGCGTTTTCCGGAAGCGACGATATATGGGACTTGATCAGTGACGAGGATGATGATGGCTTCAGTGAAGAGAGTGCGGAAGTTCCAGCTGCGATTGCTGCACAGGCAAAAGAAGGCTCAAGAGACTGGTTGAAAGAGAAGTGTCAGATTGTGGCAAGCAAAGGCAGCGCACTGGATGCCAGCGCTCTGGAAGAACAAATCACGGCAGTTTTGGCGAGCGACAGCAGTGATGTGGAACTCCAGATGACCCTGGCAGATATACTTGGCTTCGAAGAGCTCGATCTTGTAGGAGACGTAATCAGGTATCGCAAAGACATCCTTTCTTCGCCCGCTAGCCGTGCGCCTGCTCCTTCTGGTATCCTCTCCAAGGCTGAAAGAGAGGCTCGCCTTCGCCAGGCCGACTTGGACCATAAAAACGCAACTCTTGGCCCCGCTCAGAATCGCAACCAGGCAGAGTACCCACATATATACCGTGCTCACGGAGCCGGAAACACACTTTCCTCCCATGGCTCCAAATACACTCTCCCAGTCGGTAGCGAGCGCCTCGAACGAGAAAAGTACGAAGAGTATGCGATTCCAGCCGCTGCCGTGGACGTACGCGCAAAGCACCAGAAGCTTGTTCAGATCAAAGACATGGATGGACTCTGTCAGCGCACATTCAAGGGCTACAAGAGCCTGAACCGCATGCAAAGCTTGGTATATCCAGTAGCCTATAGCACCAGCGAGAACATGCTCATCTGTGCTCCAACTGGTGCTGGTAAGACGGATGCTGCGATGCTCACCATCCTCAATACTGTGGCGAAGAACATCCATCCGAATCCTATCGAAGAACCCGATGCTACGGACTTCGCCGTTCATACAGAAGATTTCAAGATTGTGTATGTGGCTCCGATGAAGGCACTTGCTGCTGAGATTACAGAGAAGCTGGGCAAGCGACTCGCATGGCTGGGCATCCAAGTCCGTGAATTGACTGGAGATATGCAACTTACCAAGGCCGAGATCGTACAGACTCAGATCATTGTTACGACGCCGGAGAAATGGGATGTCGTCACTCGCAAGTCTACTGGAGACACAGAACTTGTGCAGAAAGTTCGCTTGCTCATCATTGATGAAGTTCACATGCTTCACGATGAGAGAGGTGCTGTTCTCGAATCCTTGGTTGCGCGGACTGAGCGGCAGGTCGAGAGTACTCAATCTTTGATTCGCATTGTTGGCTTGAGCGCTACGCTTCCAAACTACGTGGATGTGGCAGACTTCCTGAAAGTCAACAGGATGGCTGGACTATTCTTCTTCGATCAGTCGTTCCGTCCGGTGCCACTTGAACAGCACTTCATTGGCGTCAAAGGCAAGCCAGGCACCAAGGGAAGCCGTGAAAACATTGACAACACAGCTTTCGAGAAGGTCAAGGATATGCTTGAGCTGGGTCACCAAGTCATGGTTTTCGTGCACAGCCGTAAAGACACTGTCAAGACCGCGAGGCAGTTGTATGAAATGGCGACTGAGCAGGGAGTGTCGGACCTCCTGGACCCCACTTCACACGAGGGCTACACGCAAGCACTAAAAGACGTCAAACAGTCAAAGGGACGAGAGATCCGCGAGCTGGTAGCCAAGGGCATGGGTACTCACCACGCAGGCATGCCCCGTACAGACCGCAATCTGATCGAGCGCCTCTTCGGTGAAGGCGTACTGAAAGTGCTATGCTGTACTGCAACGCTGGCATGGGGTGTGAATTTACCTGCTGCAGCCGTCATCATCAAAGGGACCCAGCTTTACAGTGCTGAAGCTGGTAAATTCGTTGACTTGGGAATTTTGGATGTCCTTCAGATCTTTGGTCGTGCTGGACGTCCACAATTCCAGGATACCGGTATTGGCATGATCATCACGACCCACGATAAGCTACAGCACTTCCTCACCGCGGTCACTCAGCAGCAACCGATCGAATCGCAGTTCAGCAAGAAGATGGTGGACAATCTCAACGCTGAGATCGCTCTCGGTACGGTGACCAGCGTGCCTGAGGCTGTCACTTGGCTGGGATACTCCTACCTGTTTGTGAGGATGAAGCGAAATCCCATTGCGTATGGTATCGAGTGGTCTGAGATCCACAACGACCCGAACCTGGTACAACGAAGACGTGATCTCATTGTGCGAGCGGCGAGGGTACTGCAGACCAGCCAGATGATCATCTTCAACGAAACGACAGAGGAACTACGAGCGAAGGACGTTGGCCGTATTGCCAGTCAGTTCTACGTGCTACAGACCAGCATTGAGATCTTCAACACTATGATGCGACCACGAGCGACTGAGGCAGACGTGCTCAAGATGATCAGCATGAGCGGAGAGTTTGACAACATCACCAGTCGTGAGACTGAAGAGAAGGAACTTATGCGATTAAAGGAAGAGGCTGCGCCTTGCGATATCGAAGGCGGAATTGGCACGCAACAGGGAAAGACGAATGTCTTGTTGCAATCCTACATCAGCAAGGCGAATTTGGAAGACTTCACTCTCGTATCGGACACTGCGTACGTTGCCCAGAACGCAGCACGAATCTGTCGTGCTCTCTTCATGATTGCGCTTAACAGGCGCTGGGGCTATCAATGCCTGGTACTGCTCAGCATGTGCAAGAGTATTGAGAAACGAGTCTGGCCTTACAAGCATCCCTTCCACCAGTTTGAGCTTCCTCAGGCTGTGCTTCGAAACTTGGACGAGAAGGGCGGGACTGCTTCGATCGAGTCGCTCCGAGACATGGAAGAAGCTGAGATTGGCAGCCTTGTGCACAATCAGAAGGCCGGTAACACAATTGGCAAGCTCCTCGACAACTTCCCAACAGTCGCTGTCGACGCTGAGATCGCTCCACTCAACCGCGATGTCCTTCGTGTCAAGCTGTACATCACGCCAGAGTTCAGGTGGAACGACCGCCATCATGGTAAGAGTGAGAGCTATTGGATCTGGGTGGAAAACTCAGAGACCAGCGAGATCTACCATCATGAGTACTTCATCCTGAGCCGGAAGAAGCTCTACGATGACCATGAGCTCAACTTTACCATCCCCTTGTCGGATCCTCTACCGAGTCAGATCTATGTCCGGGCTGTCAGTGACAGGTGGCTTGGAGCAGAGACTGTCACGCCTGTCTCGTTCCAGCACCTGATCCGGCCAGACACGGAGAGCGTCTACACAGATCTGCTCAACCTGCAACCGCTGCCGATCAAGGCCCTCAAGAATCCACTGCTCGAGGAGATCTATGGTCAGAGGTTCCAATTCTTCAACCCGATGCAGACGCAACTGTTCCATTGCATGTACTACACTTCGGCGAATGTCCTCCTCGGTTCGCCCACAGGATCTGGCAAGACCATCGCCGCAGAACTTGCGATGTGGTGGGCCTTCCGCGAGAAGCCTGGAAGCAAAGTCGTCTACATTGCACCCATGAAAGCGCTCGTTCGTGAGCGAGTACAAGACTGGAGCAAGCGTTTGACCAGACAGATGGGCTTGAAGCTTGTCGAGTTGACGGGAGACAATACTCCAGATACTAGGACAATCCGTGATGCGGACATCATCGTTACAACACCCGAGAAGTGGGACGGTATCAGTCGTAGCTGGCAGACGAGAAGCTACGTTCAGCAAGTCAGCCTGGTCATCATCGATGAGATTCACCTACTCGGTGGAGATCGTGGTCCCATTCTGGAGATCATTGTCAGCCGTATGAACTACATCGCTTCCCAGAAGAAGGGTTCAGTACGATTGGTCGGTATGTCGACCGCTTGCGCCAACGCGATGGATCTGGCAAATTGGCTCGGTGTGAAAGAAGGTCTCTTCAACTTCCGGCACTCGGTCCGTCCTGTGCCTTTGGAGATCTACATTGATGGCTTCCCTGAGCAGCGTGGATTCTGTCCACTGATGCAGAGCATGAATAGGCCGACCTTCCTGGCTATCAAGGCCCACTCGCCTGATAAGCCTGTGATTGTGTTTGTTGCTTCTCGAAGACAGACGAGGCTGACTGCAAGGGATCTGATCAACTTTTGCGGCATGGAAGACAACCCCAGGCGATTCGTTCGCATGTCTGAAGATGACTTGGCTCTCAATCTAGCTCGTGTCAAGGATGACGCGCTGAGAGAAGCCATGAGCTTTGGCATCGGTTTGCATCACGCTGGTCTTGTTGAATCTGACAGACAGTTGGCTGAGGAACTGTTCGCCAACAACAAAATCCAGATCCTCGTCGCCACGAGTACCCTCGCCTGGGGTGTCAACTTGCCAGCTCATCTTGTGGTTGTCAAGGGTACACAGTTCTTCGACGCCAAGATTGAAGGCTACAAGGACATGGACCTTACCGACGTGCTGCAGATGCTTGGTCGAGCGGGCCGACCGCAGTTCGATACTTCAGGTATTGCTCGAATCTTCACTCAAGACTCGAAGAAGGCCTTCTACAAGCACTTCTTGCATACTGGCTTTCCCGTGGAATCGTCCTTGCACAATGTGTTGGATAATCATCTGGGAGCTGAAGTGTCGGCAGAGACGATTGCTACCAAGCAAGATGCGTTGGATTACTTGACGTGGACATTCTTCTTCCGACGACTGCATAAGAATCCATCTTACTATGGTCTTGAGATCTCAGCGGAAGAGAACAACACCATCGCAGCGCAGCAAGCAGCCAACGACTACATGATCGAGATGGTCGACAAGTCACTCTCAGAGCTGGCAGAATCCCAATGCTGCATCGTCGAACCCAACGGCAACGTCGACTCAACTCCCCTAGGCAAGATCATGAGCTACTACTACCTCTCCCACAAAACGATCCGCGAACTGACAAAACACGCCACCCCCACCGCCTCCTTCGAAGACGTCCTCTCCTGGATGTGCCGCGCAACCGAATACGACGAACTCCCCGTTCGGCACAACGAAGACCTCATCAACGTCGAGCTCTCCAACAACCTCCCCCTCAAAGCCGACAAACTCGACCTCCCCATGTGGGACCCGCACGTCAAAGCCCACCTCCTCCTCCAAGCGCACTTCTCGCGCATCGACCTCCCCATCAGCGACTACGTCGGCGACCAGAACTCCGTCCTCGACCAAGCGATCCGTATCATCCAAGCGAGCATCGACGTCCTCACCGAGTTGGGCTACCTGCAAAGCTGCAAAATGATGATGACACTCCTCCAATGCGTCAAATCCGCCCGCTGGCCCGACGACGGACCCCTATCCATCTTCCCAGGCATCTTCCCCTCCAACGAGAAGAAACGCCTCCTCGCCAACAACCAACCTCCAACGACCCTCATCGAAGCCACAACATCCCCCAAACCCACCCTCGAAACCGCTTTGAAAACTCTCAACATCCCCGCCCCCTCCCACCCCCGCATCCTCAAATTCCTCTCCCAACTCCCCCAGTTACGTGTCAGCGTCACGGATATCAACGGCCTAGCCCTCTCCATCTCCCTCGCCCGCCTGAACCCCTCCACGGACCGCGAGCATAGGATCTACGCGCCGCGGTATCCGAAGCCGCAGACGGAGGGGTTCTTCGTCGTCGTGGTTGATACTGCGAATGGGGATATCCTTGCGATGAAGAGGGTGGGTTGGCCGGCGAATAAGGGTGGCAGTAGCGGGAGGGGTGGTGGTGGTGTGAGCACGAAGGTTAGTGTTAAGGTGCCGGAAGCTAGCGTCGAGAGGAAGGTGAGGGTGCTGGTTGTGAGTGATGGGTATATTGGGATGGAGTGGGTTGTGGACGGGGTGGAGGTTCCCGGGACGCCGAGGGTGGTGGATGATGGGTTGGGGAAGAAGGGGGTGGAGTGAGGTGTGTGCTCTATGATGGTTGAGGTACTGCTCAGAGGGGAGCGTTTATGTATGGATTCCTGTTTGTGAGTGAGGTGTCTAGGCAGCTAGGGAGCGCTTGGTCGTTTCTGAGCGCCGAGAGGTGTGACGGTATCTTGTTGTGCGTGAGTGGGACGATGAGGATAGAGTAGGACTTGGTAGCGTGAATATGACTTTTCTTCTGACGTGCACTTTGCGTCTCACCATTCATTTTGGTGTACAGTTCTCTATGTCGGTCAGAGACTGGTGCGTCCATGGTCGATACTTTTGTCGTTTCATCTAGATGCCGCTTGGTTATGTTGATACACATGTCTGTCGCTTGTGAGTATATCTTCTCCAATCTCGCGTACTAGACGCAAGAATTGATTAAGACGGAGCTGTCTGTAGCATCAACTGCTCATGACTGCCGTTTGTGTGTCCACGATGCCCAGCGACCGGCGCAAGTCAACATTGCAAATCATGGCAGTCCAAGTGCGAAATTCAACCCTCGCAGGCCGTGGGTCGGTGTCCATAGTATTCTTAACCGCGTAGTCGTACTCGTACTTCCTGCGAAATGCAGCCCGATCCGGTTCATGAAATTCCTGCTCTTCATAGGCACTTCGCGTCGTCAGAACCACTTTCCGCCACTCAAGGTCGACCTCCGACAGTGTCTCGTGACAGTGAGACAAAAACTCCGGTCGCCGCTGGTAGGCATCAGAAATTTCACGATGCCCAGCCTTTTCGCATGCCGATCACGTCCCGGGGAGGGTACGAGAAGCGCGCAATCCGCAGTCGTAACCTTTGCTCGCCTCCAGCGTTCCGCGCAGTAGTTGGGCGACGATATCGTGAGATGCGACCGGGGAGACCGGCGAAGGGAGGAAAGCCAGCGGAAAGACTACGAAATGGTGTCGTCAAATAGTATGCGGAGAAGCGCTAGCGCGGAAGGTGTCCAGCTTACATGTGACACCATCGACCCACTCGATGAGCGACGAAAAAGCATGGCTGAGAATCGAGCGACGGCTGGCGTGCCCAACCAACCAACCCGATGATGGTGCGCAACAGAGTACGATGAGAGCAGAAAAACTCTTCGCGCGACTCTGACGGCGAAATTTTCTCAGTTGGCGCGGGCGATGTGACCACTTGTCAGATTCCAGCATTTTGCGCCCGGGGAATGCCTGCGGTTGCGTGGCGATAAGCCTCGCGACGGAGTCAGCCCAGTCGCACATGCACGCTCTTTGTCCGCCAGAATTGCGCCTTCTCTGCGATTGTTCCGGCGGTGCAAGCGCAGTGCATGGCTGCATGCATGTATCAGAATGTATGCCGTCCTCTTCTGCGGCCAGGTGTGTTGGTGGTGGTGCTGGTGATTGCTGGGGCACAGGCTGGAGGGCGGCGGCTTATCGTTTGGCGTTTGCTCGACGTGCTGGGGCGGCCCGCTGTTCCAAGCTGCTGCTGCTGCGTTGACTCATAGTTGCTGCTCGTCACCGGTGAGGGATGGGCAGGCGTGGTGGCGGGGCGATAGGCGGTAGAATTACAATCATCAACATACTCTACAATGCAAGAGATGTTTGATGGGGGTATGGACGGTGCTGAGCGTGTTGGAGGGGATTTGGCGACTGGTCGCAAAGGACGACGACGACGATGAGGCGAAAGCGTCAACAAAAGGGGCTCGCCCGTCGAAAGCGGCATGGTGGACCCACCAGCCGAGCCGTGATTGGACGAGGCGGAATCAGGAGGTTTGGGGCGCGGTGGCAGGCGCAGGCATAAATAGCGGCAGGTGCCCTCGGTCGCGCGCTGGCTGCGTGTCTCGTCTCGCTGCTCGCTCTGAATCTTCACCCTCAGCGTCGCGGTCCGATCCTTCTGCTGCTGCTGCTGCTGCTGCCGCCCAGTGCCCACCCACGGCCACCACGCGCACGCCCACGACCGTCCTACGTAGAGTCTCTCAATCAGAAATCAATCCTCACAAACCACTCGCTCACTTTTCCTCAGTTGCTCGACGGCAGGTGACCGCGCGAACGCGACAAAGCCGAGCGAGCAGAATTTCTCTGAGCATCTGCGACCGAGGTGGCCCGTGCGCCGAGAGACAAACGACCTGCTCGTCGCTCTTCCGCCGCCGACCGCCCTCCTGCAATCCGCTCCGCTCCGCCACCCTCATCCTCACTGTCGCGCGCGCAAGGGAAGACTGCTGGCCAGCGACACTCTTGCCTTCCCCGAGATCCTCGCCCGTCTCCCTCATCGCCGACGTCACCAGCGTGCGGACTCTTTAAATAGCGGATCCGCATCTGCACCTTCATCCACCTCCTCCACCCTCACCGCGCACCAGCGACTGCCGCACCCTCACCGACCACATCATCGGCCAGCGCACGCGACACAACCGCAATCATGGAGTCGGCCTACATGACCCACCCCAACAATGCGCAAGAGGCAAAGGCTTTCACTGCACCTGGGTCCCTCAGTTCTGGCATCCCAGCAGGACACCTCACTCCTCCATCTGACGGCGCATCACAAACGCAGAAGAATGGCGTGCCCAATAGCCAGCAACAGGCCGGCGCAGTCCAGCCTGCGACTCCAGCAGCCACACCTGCAGGTCAAGCAAACACTGGCGTGAGTGGGATAGTCCCCACTCTGCAGAACATCGTCGCAACGGTCAACCTCGACTGTCGGGTAAGTCATTGGAAGGAACCACATGTGAGTGTTATCATTGCATGTGACTGACCGCACTTCAGCTCGACCTGAAGACCATTGCACTTCACGCGCGTAACGCTGAGTACAATCCCAAGCGTTTCGCAGCCGTCATCATGCGTATCCGAGAGCCAAAGACGACCGCCCTGATCTTCGCATCGGGCAAAATGGTCGTGACTGGTGCCAAGTCGGAGGATGACAGCAAGCTTGCCAGTCGCAAGTACGCTCGTATCATTCAGAAGTTGGGCTTGTAAGTTGGGCATCATCTGCTTGCATGTGCTTGTGCTGATACTGTTTACAGCAATGCCAAGTTCACGGTATGCCGACCAGGGTCGCGACTCTGGTTGAGCTCATGCTGACAGCGTTTGCAGGACTTCAAGATTCAGAACATCGTCGGCTCCTGCGACATCAAGTTTCCCATCCGTTTGGAGGGTCTTGCTAGCCGCCATCACATGTTCAGCTCTTACGAGGTAGGTCTTATGTCACCACACATCATCGAGATATGCTAACATCCTCCAGCCTGAACTCTTCCCTGGTCTCATCTACCGTATGATGAAGCCAAAGATCGTCCTCCTCATCTTCGTCTCCGGCAAGATTGTCCTTACTGGAGCAAAAGTGAGAGAGGAGATCTACCAGGCCTTCGAACTCATCTACCCTGTAAGTCATGCATCTTCATTGATTGATGAATGTGCAGTGTCTGACTCTCACCTCACCAGGTCTTGAGCGACTTCCGCAAGACTTGAGCAACCCACCCTTGGCATCTGTACACTATCACGACCAGCTTGTACCAACAGAGGTCTGATGCCGACCTCACACTGGAGCACACCCGAACATCTCGACGCACACTGGCTTCATACTTTTACTACTCCCCAGTTGATGCACGGATAACGGCCTGCGACTCCTTCATTTTTGTGTTTTGATGTGCATTAGCGACGGCGTTTCAAATTTCCGGACTCGTAATCGACCTTTCCTCCAACAACACCCACACCACTTCCACCGGACTGGCAGAAAAGTCCAAATCATTAGAAGGGCACGCTTACCCGGCATTGGAGCGTGAGCGATTATTGAGCTCGATCAAAAGGACAAATTGGAGCTCTCAAGATTGACGAGAAAACTAGGGAAAGGGAGACTTTCGTGTGACACGAGTAGACTTCTGCGGCTCTCACACATGGGCATTACGGGGAACCATCAGCGAGAGCGAAGGAGAGACAAAAAGCTGATGTGGGAGTGAGAGCAAGCAGAACAGATGAAGCGAACTTCTGGATTGGGGATGATCCAATGGTTTCTTCAGGTAGTGCATTTTGAATAATGCCGAACCACAAACAAACCAGTTTGATCCTTCATCATCATCATCATGCACACACATGTCTTCTTGTGTTATCAATCCGTGCCTCTGCTGCCACCCAGATTGATGTTCTTCTTGCATCTGCTCCCCAAAGCCTTGTAGACGTGAAGTCTGCTCTTCCCAAAGGCTGGTCTTGCACCACTCTTCGCTTGTCCACATGCTCCTGCTCGCCTGTGTCTATGCCTCGACAACAGCAGCATTCTCTTGAAAGCGAGCCCAACGCCAGCCCGACCACAACACTCTTCGAACAGCCTACGCTGAGGCAATCCACTCAGCGGCAAGCCGATCCCTCAGCGCGCTGCTGTGAGTATATTCATCCGCCTTCATCATCTGCGTCTCGAATGTGCGAGACGCGTGGAGAAGGAGGATGTGTTCTGATGAGAGTTCAAGGTTTAGAGTTGTTATCCCACAGGGCGTTGCGAGAGGGAATGTTGAGAAGGGGGAACGAGGTTACGAGTTCCTTGAAGGCATGGAGATCCGTCACTGCTAGGAGGAGGCAGCGAGCTTGCTCTATGTCTTAGTAAAGATGGATAATGTATGCGGTATGATTGCAGATGAAATGGATAGGCTTGAAAAAGATCGTGGCATGTGTGAAAGGCTGGGGAGTAGAAGAAGAAGAGGAAGAAGAAGTGGAATCGGATGATGTAGAAGCGACCTGAAGTCGTCTGCCTTATTATCTTTGACGCGTCCACCGGGTCTAATCGCACACGGCAAAACCAATACCATCATTCCCATCCTTGCAAAAGATCAATCGTCTTCATGAGACATCGACATCATATTCTATTCCCGTCCCACCTACCCATCCATTCATTCGTTCCACTCATGCACCTCTCAGTATATACCCAAACAGGCAAGAGCTTCGACTTCAGCGGAGAATTCTCTCACCAATCACAACCCCTCAACTTCGACTTCTCGTCCGCAGGCCGGACAACTTCGCCGTCGACGCGATCGCAGTCCCATCTTGTGAAAGCTGCTCTACGTGGGTTTGGGCTCGATCTGAAGGTTGAAGGTCGATGGGGAAGGAAGGTGTCTTTATGTTTGTCATTGTAGGCGAGGGCTGGGTTACGGACGTGAGATTTATTTTTTGGCTGGTGAGTGGGTATGCATGACATTTTGTTCTGTGGATGCCTGGTGCCTTCGTGGTGTTTGCGGTATGTGGGATCGTTTCTGATGGTAGTCTGCCCTATTGTTGGTCGTGCGATGACGCTGTCGTGGTTTGGAGAGCGAGTTGATGGGAGGATAAGTAGTGTCCCATGCCCGGGTTGTGAGGATCTTTGAAGAACAGTACCAGTGGATTCTACTCACCTGAGAGAAGGACTTCGTTGTAATTCAGCACTGCGATCAGTCTCCCCCGGTCTCAGGCATCTCACCGGCTTGCGTTACCAGCTTAATCAACAACTGCGATGTCGATCCCCTATGGAGGCCTCGACTGCTCGAACGTCACCCCAGAATGCCCGGTTGAGTTCTCAGTCTTGGAATACAGGCCAAGCCTGGGAGGTGAGTTTCTCCCCGTGGATCCACGACAAGTCGTCATGAGGGGAGAATGGAAGCTGACGAGTCTTTGCTCTTTAGCAAACGCCTTCTTCTTGGCCATCTTCGCTCTGTGTGCGATACTCCAACTGATCTTCGGCATCAAATGGAAGACCTGGACGTTCTGCTTCGCACTCACCTGCGGATGTATCTTGGAGTTCGTTGGGTACATTGGTCGAGTTTTGTTGTGGAAGAACCCATACAACACGGAGGGCTTTGAGATTCAGATCATTTGTCTTATTATTGCTCCAGTAAGTCGTCCAAGTTGGGATCCGAGCGATGGTATGGCATGCTGACATCAATGCAGGCGTTCACCGCTGCTGGTGTCTACCTGACACTCAAGCACTTCGTCATCGCTTTCGGCCGCGAGTACTCCCTTATCAAGCCCCAACTGTACACCTGGATTTTCATCTCCGCCGACATCTTCTCGCTTCTGCTCCAAGCGCTGGGTGCGATTTTGTCTACGGTTGGAGCCTCGGATATAACCGTAGGAAGCGACATCGCTTTGGCTGGCATCTGTTTCCAAGTCGCATCGCTGGCCTTCTTCGGTGTGACGGCTACCGTCTACTTCACTCGAGTCTGGCAGAACCGCTCGACGGTGTCCGACGAAGCGAAGAAGTTGGCGCACTCTTTGAGGTTCCGTATGTTCGCTGGTGGCATCGTCCTGGCCTACTTGACCATTCTGACTCGATGCTGCTATCGAATTCCAGAGCTCGCGGGTGGATGGGGAAACTCGGTCTACCGGACGGAAGTCCTCTTCATCGTGCTCGATGGTGTGATGATTACCATGGCGACTCTGGCTCTGACGTTGCTTCACCCTGGATTCTTCTTCCCACGGCTATCGGCTCCCTTCCGCATGCGGAAGAAGAAGGAAAGGCGTGCTCAGAGCTCTGAATCCCCTGAGTCGTCTGGATCGGATCTAGAGGAGGCGAAGGTTGTTGAAGATAGCGAGTAAGGGAGAAGGAACTGCGGTCATCGAGCATGTCAAGCATGGAACAGGAGGCGTTGTGGGAACTGCTTGGGTCGGAAGATAGTCCGGAGTGTACTGTGGTGAGAGTTAGGATTAGAAATGAGCGATCTGAATGAGAGCATCCTGAATCAAGGTACAGAACCAAAAAGTAAATATTTATTGCAATGACGGAGGTATCGACGATAGTGCTGCACGCGAGTCGTAGGTGAGTGGATGATGAGGGAGAGGAAGAAGAAGAGGGGCACTGGAGGCGTCGGCAGCGAATTTAAAGTTCAGCCACGTGCTGTGCCCTGAACTTTAATCTTCTTGAAAGTTGATTTTTCGTCGACTCTCCCCAAACAGTCTCCCTCTTAACATACACCTCTGCTCCCTCCGAATTTCCTGCCACTCCAAACACACATTCAAGATGGCAGACTCCGCATCAGCACAGCCAAAGCTCAATGCTGAGGACCCAATGGCCGGCATGGCGCACAGCGAAGCGCATTACTTCAACAGGTACGATTCAACAACCGCACGCACGCGACACTGGACGGACTGCTGACTTGATCCATAGCTACAACCACCACGGTCAGTCAGAACGGTTGTATGCCTCAGGATGAACTGGACGTTGACATGTAGAACTGTAAAGGCATCCACGAGGAAATGTTGGTCGGTTATATCGAGTTGCCTGTAAAATACCTCACCATACTAATAGACGGCCACAGAAAGACGAAGTCCGCACCAAGTCCTACCGCGATGCCATCTACAACAACCGCCACATCTTCAAAGACAAGGTTGTCCTCGACGTCGGATGCGGTACCTCCATCCTGAGCATGTACGTACCGAATCCTCGTTCGAGCTCCCACAATACGATAAGAGCAACATTCTGATAAGGGGGATAATACAGGTTCGCAGTCAAGGCTGGCGCAAAGCACGTAATTGGTGTCGACATGTCGACCATCATCTACAAGGCGAGGGAGATTGTTGCGGCAAACGGCATGTCGGACAAGATTACCCTGCTGCAAGGCAAGATGGAAGAGGTGGAGTTGCCGTTCCCAGAAGTCGACATCATCATTTCTGAGTGGATGGGATACTTCTTGCTGTACGAGAGCATGCTGGACACTGTGCTTTGGGCACGAGACCGATACTTGAGGAAGGATGGCCAGGGTCTGATCTTCCCAGACAAGGCCACCATCTTCATGGCTGGTATCGAGGATGGCGAGTACAAGGACGAGAAAATTGGATGTGAGTTTGATCATCAAACGGGCATGTTGGTTTGACTAATTTCTTCCAGTCTGGGATAACGTCTACGGATTCGACTACACCCCTCTCAAGCTGACCGCCCTGACCGAGCCGCTCGTTGACACCGTGGAACTCAAGGCTGTGGTCACCGATCCTTCCGCAGTCCTCACTCTCGATCTCTACAAGTGCACCACCGACGACCTCAACTTCTCCCTTCCCTTCAACCTTTCAGTCCGCCGAACTGACTACATCCACGCCCTTATCGCTTGGTTCGACATTGAGTTCTCCGCCTGCCACAAGCCTGTGCGATTCAGCACCGGCCCACACACAAAGTACACGCACTGGAAGCAGACTGTCTTCTACCTCGGTGACGTCCTGACTGTAGAGGCTGGAGAGAACGTGACGGGTAAGCTGAGCTGCAGACCGAACAACAGGAACCGGAGAGATCTGGACATTGCCATCGACTACAAGCTCGAGACGGAGGATAACAACAGAATAGCGGACGGGCATTGCGAGTACAAGATGTGCTAGCCGTTGCAGCACTAAGGCGTTAGACGGCGTATTGGGAAGGACATGAAGATGGGATGATGGAACGAGAGCATAGCGAGTTCTCTACGTTTTGCCTGGGTCGCAGCTTTAGCTTCGCTGACCGTTTGTATAGTATGTACACTCACGCGTGTAAACCGCGTGGAGGTGGTCACGAACGATCGCAGAAATGAGATGATGTGATCGTGCTTGCCTATCACTTTGACACTTGGAGGAAGTGACAACAGTACTGACTTACTAGGACTTCGGTGACGAGTTACTTTCTTCTTCGACACCCAACGATCAATATTCATCTTCACCCAGAGTTATATCATTACGCAGCGTTCCACCCACGATGCAGACTGAAGACGAACCCTTGAGTCCCGACACGGACACGTTATCCTTTCCCAGCGAAGACTCCAGCGACGACGATGTACCACTAGGCATCCAACAACAACTCAGTTTCCGTATCTTCACTCTCCTCAACGCGACCGTATTCTATGTCGGCGCGCACAGTGCCGGCGCGACTATCGACCTATACTCAGAGCACTGGAGGTATTGGGCCGAGCGGAGGCTGGTCACTCCTGACGGCCAAGACCAGATGCAGCTTCGCAAGCGAACGAAAGTCAACCGCGTCCTAGGGGAGTGGCAACCACAGGCGCACATTATGGTCACGCGGAACAGCCGGTGGGTGAATGGGGGCGAGACTATGACTGTGGCGGAGATGGCGGATGAGGCTATACCAGATGAGGAATATCAGCCTGGGTCTGCGGAGAGGTTCTGCAGAGAAGTGAATCGATCGCTGAAGAGGTTGAAGGTGGAAATCGCTAAAGAGTGCTGGGGGTGGGAGAGGCCGGTGGTTCTGAGACAGCGAGGGGTGCAGATTGTGACGGTGACGTTTGGGCGGACGCTCCTCTTGGGACATTTGAGGGCGGCGGGAGAGTGGACCGACCATGTCAACAAGATGACCTACAAGCCGCCGGAGAGACTTATTGGTTATGAGGCTTCTATTGCAGCATGGAAAGCGCAGTGGCAAAGCAAAGAGGCGTTTGTGTCGTGGTGGTCGCAGGGGGAGCAGAAGAGTAAGAAGGAGAGGGTGCAGAGATGGGGCGAAGTGGCGTGTCCTCTTACGGTGACTTGCGGAGCGTGTGGGGAGAAAGGGACAAGGTATGAGGTCTGCGAGTTCTGTGAGATGACCTGGTTCTTGTGTGAGAAGTGTGGATAGGATGCATGCTGGGAGAGGCATGAGGGGATGTGTGCTGCTGAGGATGAAGAGGATGTGAAGGTTGGGTTTGGAAATCCGGTACGGCAAGAGGAGGCTGCATGAGCTCTTTGGGGAGATGTTGGTGAGTACTCTTTAGTTCTTCTTCCGAATCGCTGACACGTAGAAGTGCTAGGTGACTGCTGCATCGCTCAGGTGGATCTTACCGCCTTCCTCGAGTCAACGTCAGGGAGAAAACACATGGGTAACATGATGTCTTGGCGAACAGTCATTCACATACATTCAACAATCGCTGGTCATTACGCAAAAAGCACAACACAAAACGCCCTCGTCACTCGCACCCAATCAACCCACAGTCCCCCCAAAATCCTTGTTCTGCTGACCCATCATACTCCCAAAACCCCACTGCCCCTCCGTCTCCTTCTCCTTCTTCCACGTATCCTCATTCGGCCAATGCGGATTCTTCTGCAACACCTCCTTCCCCTGCTTCGGATCAAACGCGAACACATACGGCCCGGAGTCGGAGATCGACTCACGCTTGCCTTCCTTGCCATCCGTGCCAGGCTCCAAGGTACCTTTCGAATGGCCGCCCCCGGGGAGTTTCGACTTCAGCCGCCCGAGCAGGCTTTCCTTGTGCTGGTGCTGTGCGGAGCCGTGCTCCCTGTCGTGCAGCAGGTCGTTGTGGTCTTGGGGCGGTTTGGCGTCGTTGGCGGGGATGGTGGCTTCCATTGCTTCGAAGCCGCCGAAGGTGGAGGGTTCGATTTTGGAGTAGGCTTTGGAGGCGGCGGAGCTGACTTTGTGGTCGTTGGTGGTGTTGGTGTTGGTGTTGGATGCCATTGTGTTCAATTCCACTGCTGATGTGGGGCGAACAAGACGATGAAGGGTGAGGTTACTTATCTATATAACAATCCCTATTCGGCGCCGACAAATGCGCCACATACGGAATGCAGCGGATTAAGCTTCTTCTCGATAGAGCACGCGCGGCAAAAGCTTGTGTAAGCACGCACCATGAGGTGTGTGCAGTGCCTTAGGGACCTTCCCAAAGCAGGACGAGCGTGCGTGTCATTTAGCCCTTGATCGCAGCGTAGAACAAACGATACCATTCAGGTTCTGTTGTTCGCGAAAAGCAAGTTTTCGAGGGAGGCACAGCAATTCTAGCATGGCGCAGGCCGGTTCAGACGGGACAGCTCGTGGCCCACCTCGGTATGAAGTACGAAGGTCGGGACTTAGTCAGGGTGTCGTGGGGAGTGTCAGCTATGTAGAGGGATTATCTTCACAGGAGGATTGACAGTATTGCTTTTTGCTGCCATGGCCACGTTGTCGCACGACTGATGTTCATTTGTGGTATTCTTGGCAATGTATCGAGGCTGTGTTTGAGGGGATCTTCGAATGCTGCCTGCCGCTTTTCCCGGGGCAAGGCTGTGTTTCTCGCGCGTGCGCAGGTGATTTTGCAGATCTGGTCGGGTTTTTCAGAAGATATGACGTAGTGTCGTTTGGAGGGAATGAGGGGACTTGATGCATGTGATAGATGAGTCCGTGCACAACTATTCTTGGCGCTTGTGCTTGCTGGATGTGAATGAAGGAATCTCAAGCAACGTCCTTCAAGCAGGCTTTTCCTTGGTCCCCCCATGACCTTCGCCGCTGCTGCTCTCGCCCTTCTTCTCCCACTCGTTATCGTCGGCATATGTCCAGAAAGTTCGAAGTTTTCACCACATCTGGACTCAGCATCGTAACAAGACTGTCAATATCCACTTGCGTTATCACGCTATATCACTCTGCCCACTGCCAGTAGATGGACTTTCTCGGCGGTCCTCCACAGAACCTATCCCACGTTGATGTCAAATCGCTCTCACCGCGAAAGCTGCGGAGATGGGCGAACGCCACAAGGCTCTTCAACTCCAGCCAAGATATGAGTTCCTCGACAGGGAGGCCACGGCGTTTCATCTGCTGAACTGCACCATACACCGGGAAAAGAGTGTAGCACATGCATTTGGGAAAGCGCCTTGCTTCCATGCACTGTTCCCAGCACGAGAGTACCTGCTGAACAAGGTCCGCTTGTTCCCTCACAATCATGTCGTTGTCAGGGGTTACATATCCGGCGAGCCAGTGCTGCAACGCCAGACAAAGTGTGATGATCGTGAGACGGGCGCGGCAGTAGTCCAAAAACGCATCCAACACTCCAAGGTCTGCAAAGCGCAGAGACATCGGCGCGTGAATGCGATCGACTTCCGACAATGTCTCGCGCTGCTCGCAATTTCTCGAGGACTGAGTAGAATGCCGACATACTCCGGATACTCAAGATTCGATGTGCTAGACCAATCGTTTCGCACGCATCGAAGAAGTCGTACTTGCCGGACCTGATCTTCCGGATATAGATTACAAGCTTAGGTATTTTGAACAAGATCCGGTGTGCGACCTGGGATAGAGTAGCAGCGCCGAAGCTCGAGTCGTTCGGGATCTCATACTGGAACCAGATATCTTCTTCAAAGGGTGACGGTTTTCCAGCAGCAATGCATCCTTCGATAGCAGCAGGCCTCGTCCCGAACATGACATCCTGGCATACTACACTCCGTCTCCATCTTTCGGGGTCCGCTGCTAGAATCGAATGGAGGCCCCACGCATGGGTTTTCATCGCAGGGACGTTGAAGCTGTATCTCTCGACGTAGTACAGCAAGTTGATGGCGTAGAGAAGGGGCTCTGCAACCGTCTTGCTTGAGTTGATCTCGCAGACAGCCTCAGTGTATTTTTGGTTCGCCAGATGACGACCTTGTGCTATCGGCATGGATCGGAGTCGACTCTGTGACATGGAGACGGCAGCGCTAGCGGCGTGTATGAGTGCAGGTGAGCCATCCATCCTTCGGAGAATTTCAGCAAGTTTGTCACCTGTAAAGCATGTGGAGGCTCGTTGGTAAAGATCAAGCAGTTGCCCGGCGGCCAATGTGGCTGGTCGATGCACACTTCGCATTAGGGGTCCTGCTACTGCATTGATCTTCTTTCTACTTGCTCCCGAGCGTGCCTGCTGCTTCCGCCGGTCCGGCTTTGGCTTGCGGCGTCGTTGGCACGAAGCCCAAATACTGATAAAGGGGGCCACAGGTAGTACCAGGCTGCCATGGCTCTGGTGTGGGTGGTCATTCGAAATGCAACTCGTTCGGGAGCTTGTGGTGCTGTTGTACATTGGTAAAACCACGAACCCGTTGATCGGTAACGGACCGTCTTCGCGTAATTCGTACTCCAAGGTGTCGGGCTCAGGTATAGTTTCCTAGTTCGCTCCTAATGACATATTTCGCCGGAGGCTTGCATCTCACGCACTATGGCGAGAAGTCAGCAGATGTTCTGCAGGTGAGATTGGCAGAGTAGGACCATACCGTACTGGGGAGGTCGCATTGATTACTATTATAGTGGCATGGAGTTGACAGCCTTATCGACGTGATCTTGGCTGGCGGTATAATTATTAATACGCAGGCTGCAACCTGTACGAAGATGGTAGAAGGTCTTTGTCTGGCACATACGCCAGTCACTTCGGCTGGCTCGGATGCTGCATCGATTACCCTTCGAGCTGATCAGTCAGCCCATTCCGAACGAGACCCTTCAAGGCTCCATCGAAACGCATCGCAAGCTGAATGCATGCCAAGATGAAAGCGCTGGTCGGTGTGTGCACTTGCGAAGTAAATATGAGAATGTAGTAAGAATCAGCAGAAGATACCTACTCGACAAAGGATAGATGTGTTTCAGCTGAGCTCCTCAGCCGCGTTACTAAGCGCCTCGTTAATGCCTCAGGCCGAGCCCCTTTCCCTATGGGTTTCTCGGTCGGTTGGTAAGAACATTGCATTGTGCATTGGCATCTTGATCGTATCTCGAGATCAGATAAGTCGATGGACCTTCCGGTACTCTATCGTGGTCCGTTCAACACGGCACTCCTTAATCGACGTCACCTGCCGACGGAAATAAGTCCCACAACTTCAAAGCGGAAAGCATTGGGCTTTGAGAACTCGATGAGAATGTTGACAGCCTAGAGGAGTTCACGCCGGCGCAGCAGCGTAGAATCAAACGAATCATCGATTGGCGACTGATTCCCGCGCTTGAAATTATGTACGGCGCCTCGCTAATGGACCGAAAGAACATATCGAACGCGTACATGCTGGCATGGCCAAGGACCTGGACCTGCAGATTGGGTACCGATACAGCTTCATCACACTGTCGTTCTTGTACGTCCCCGTCTTGAAGGAACGGCGCCGAGTCACTGACGCTCGCAGCATCACGTACACTCTATTCTCACTCCCAATGCCAATCCTATGCCGGAAGATGGGCTCGCCACGCCTCCTTCCTGGACTCTGTTTCATGTGGGGCTGCGTAATCATCGGTTTCGGCTTTGCAAAGCATTGGTCTGATCTCGTAGGCCTTCGAATTGTTCTGGGCTTCATAGAGGACGGGTTCTTTCCCGGCTGTATCTACCTCCTGTCGACCTGGTTCACCCGCTACGAAGTGGCCAAGCGCTATGCGGTCTTTTATGCCATCGGCGGCATCGGCACTGCCTTGACTGGAATTCTTGCGTACGGTATGATGCAGCTGGATGGTTTGGGCGGACTCGCGGGTTGGCAGTGGATCTTAGTGCTTCAGGGGCTGCTGACCTGCGTCTGCGCAGTCATTGGCGGTCTTGCCATCGTGCAGTTTCCATATGTCGAGAAGAAAAAGCCGTCCCGCTGGTTTCTCAAGCCCGAGGAGATCGACTTTGTGGTGAGGAGATTGGAACAAGATCGCTCGGACGTGGACGCCGAGCCATTCTCGTTCAGAAAGTACTTCCAGGCTGCAAAAGACATCAAGGTCTGGGGCTTCGCTCTCGTCTTCTTGTAGCTGGTGTCCTTCGACTCGAAGGCCTGAGATTCTCCCTGACGATACTACAGCTGCACGACTACCGTCGCATATCCGTTTGCGTTCTTCCTTCCTATAATCCTTCACGATACGCTCGGTTTCGGCTTAGCATTGTCGCAGTCACTAGTCGCGCCTCCGTATGTGATGGCGGTTCTCATAATGTATGCGACTGCTTGGTATAGCGACAGGTATCGCAGTCGCGCGCCCGCCATAGTCTTCAACTGCGCCGTGGCTCTGACCGGTTTGCTCATCCTGGGTTTCGCATCGAGAGGGTCGGCACGGTACTTTGGGGCCTTCCTGGCCGCGGCGGGGGCGAGTGCGAACATGACAGCAACGTTAGCGTACCAGGTGAGTGCTATATATCACTCCGTCCTGCTGTTCGTCCAGCTAACGATCTCATAGGCAAACCGCGTGCGTGGGCAGTGGAAGCGGGCCTTCTCTAGCGCTACCTTGAGCAGTCTGGGTGGAATTGGCGGCGTCTGTGGTAGTTTGAAATTTCGGTCACAAGATGCTGTGGGTTACAACAGGCGATCCCTCCAGAATGATAGTCGTACTGACGTCTTGCACAGCCGCAGTATATTCCCGGCATCATCGGCACTATTGTGTAGGTCACCAGTCCTGCAACTCTTCTGCTGCGCTGACAAGACTTGTAGGGCCACCGTCGTCATAGTATCACCTGTGCAACATTGTCGCTGTACTTCTGGCTGCAGAACAAACGAGCGGATCGTGGGGAGATCGTTATCAATAAGTTGCCAGGGTTCCGATACACTCTTTGAGGAGTTTTTTTTTCCAAGGCTGCTTACAGTTTGCTTTTAGTGGAAGTTGACTTGTAGCTCCGCGTCTTGAATTAATGCCCACTGTGCCATTTGAGATGTTCAGGTTGATTGTCAAGAGTCCGTCTCTGAACTGCCAACTGATCCATCAACGACTCATCGGAGTTCAATCAGATGCAGCGCACGAAGGATCCCGGCCTTCTCGGGCCCGAATTTTTGACGCAACCTACATAGTACAAAAGTTGACGTCTCGGAACATCCCGTTGGCACCGTGGCGTAAGTTCTCCACGTCAGATCGTTCACGTCTGGCTCAAATGCTAACAACAAAATAGCTAATGGTAAGGCGTTGCTTTCCGGCCTCAGTTGAGGTGATTGGCAAAGATTGTGGGTTCGAGTCCGTATGTATACGCTTTTAACAAGATTGTACTGTTGGACTGTTGTTCTGACATCGTCGTAGCATCGGTGTCGAGTGAAAGACTTTTTTTGAAGTTTGGGAGGGAGTTTGGGATATTTGACGTCGCACGTTGATATTTTTTACGACCTTTGTTTTGTTCGATACCTTGCTATCCCATCTATCTGTGTTTCCAATTGCATGCAAAACGAACAAGTATTGCCTTCGCAATATCGTTTTGAAGTCGAGCCTCTGGCTTTTCGTGAAAATTCACTTGCAAAGCGCTGCCAAGCTGACTAGTCCCAATGTGGCAATAAGTTCCGGGCTAGTCAACGGCGATTCCAACGTCTTCTGCTGAGAAGATATCGAACAGATTACATATATGGAGATCATGAGAATAACAAGTGAATGTGATAATGCGTCCCCTCCTTTGAATAGTAGACAGCAAGCGGAGACTCAACGCACGCCGACGAGAAAATGAGTTCGGTCGAGGCTGATGGAGGAGACGGTAGAGTGACGGTCTGAACCACATCATCTCCACGAAATGGAGTCTGACCGCGCCGTCGCGAGGCTCATCCAGTCGCGAGTCTGCCGTCCTCAAACGGAGAGACATGCTACAGACACGAGGCACTTTCCCTTTCAGCTCTCGCAAGTGCGAAGTCGTTGCAGGCGAAGAATGAGCGACAGGCCAGCATTGGTATGGAGGCAGATGATAGCATATAGCCATGGAGACCAAGCTCCGCCAGCCACTCACTGACTCTACCAATCTTCTTCGATCACGTTTACTATCAACGACGATGATGACAACGACGTCGAAGACCCCTGCGACAAGTCACCGCAGCATGAGGCTGACGATGAGTCCCACGGCGAGCCAGACGACTGAGAGAACCTCCCAGAGGCACTCACGATCCAGACCGGTACCGACGGCCCCGATACAGTTGTTCAAGAGGCCCGCCTCAAGTTCCTCAAGGAGTTCATTGCCTTGGATTCGTATGCTTCGTCGGATTTGACGTGCCTTGTCTACCATCTCAATATCACCATGGACGATTGGGCGAAGACGAAGAAGTATTTCCAACAAGTTTCGACTTTCGCTGCCACAATGTACCAAGAGCATTGGCAGACCTGTTTGTTCTAAGCTGACTTCACCCTAGGAAGGGACCTCAACAAGCACCTCCGCACCGCAACCCACACCCGCAAGGAGCAGTTTCGTCGTGCGTTCGACGCTGCTGTTGGCAAGGATGCGAGCCTCACGTATGCCGACTTCAAGAGATATTGGAAGGGCTTGGAACAGGATCACTCGGTTGCTCTCGAGTAGCCTCTAAGATCCATCTCAACGGCACCAACATCTGTGCACTTGCTTTGCATACGGGATAAGGTTTTGGGATCTTGTTGGGATTTATCGGGCTGTTGAAGAGATTGGAGAGATTCAGACGCATCACCGGCATACTTATAAGACAGTAGAGCCGACGTCGTGCTCACCGTCAAGACTGGGCTTTAGTTCTTCAACGTGGCTTCACAGATCTTACGATGATCGTTCTACCTTGGTTCTCCCTAACTTTGAACCTTCACATATACTTTGGTTCGATGGAAGAATATGCAGAAATGATGCCTGGTGGCATCGCAGTGGTTCAATAGTGGATCTTGCCATGGCTTACTGCTTACTGCTTTCTGGAACCTGAGTGACTTGCTATTGCCACTTCTGATCGCGAGCAAAACTACCCCGTCTAAAGTGTTGTCATTTGATCTGTATTGCTGCGACGTAGGTGCTGGAAGCGCCAGCTCTTCAACATTCATTGACTGCTCAATGGGACGGAAGTATAAAGATGGGCATGTTTGAACGAGTATTGAAAATATAAAAACAACTGACTTGATAAGAGTTAGAGCAATTTCATGGCTAAATCACTTCCTTTAGAGCTGAGTCGATTCAAAAGGATGTGAATTACCTCTCGATGTGCAGCCAGGGGAGAGCTACTCCATCTACCACCCATGAGGCGATGGCAACGTACAGCAGTTTATCCACCGAAGCTTGGCGCTTCCCGCCAGAATATCCAATCTGCCTGTCCACTTTTGTTACCTGCCCAGACCTCCTGTCCTCTTCCAGATCTTTCCCTGGCCGTTGCTTAGACGACGGCTTGGAAAGTTGAATATAATGTCCACTTCCTCGTATACGCTGATCATAGGTCTATCAAAAGCTATGGGCCACAGCCCGATCAAATGTTAGATATCAGGCTTTCGGTTGAGTTGTGCTTGTACTATTTGTGCTGCATTTGATGATAGTCCATGTGACGAGCGATGCGATCAGTCGAGTCGATAATCCGGTCGATCCAGTCAATCACGTTGGTGAGAGATGTATAACATAGGTCCTGAAAGTCTCTCTCTATAACTGAAAAGGTGCACGAGTTACTAAGAGGGGTTGGTGAACATAAAGCGTATTCGGTGTTCCATAATTTTGTCGACATCAGGTGAAGTCGGCTCATGGGGTCAAACGCCAACCCCGCCCCCGCCCCCTCGCCCGGTTTTGTGGAGTCAGATTCGCGAGGCGCCTGGAAGTCACGAATACCACCTTCCATGCCCAGCATTTTCAACAATGTCATGATTCACAGACTTGGTACGCGTCTGCCTTCGCTTACTCAGATTGCCCTTGGATTCCGCAGATCTCTGCTCGTACGCTACGCCACGCGATCGTGTACAGTAGTACGGCCACTGTCTATGTCCGCGCACCGGCAATATGAACTGATCGAGGGACCGACCCTGCTCGAGGAAGAGAGCGTTCGTGGCTACAGGGCAGACGATTACTATCCTGTTCACATTGGGCAGATCTTTCAAGGACAATATCGAGTGGTAGGCAAACTTGGATATGGCTCCGCTTCGACAGTGTGGCTATGCCGGGACCTGGAAGTGGACGAACGCTATGTCGCACTGAAGGTGTACATCAACAACTCAAAGGAACACCGAGAACTTTCGATATGTCAGCATATTAATGCTATATCATCTGAGCACCCTGGCCGAGAGCATGTTAGGAAGCTGCTCGATACGTTCGAAATCGAAGGACCACATGGCAAACACATATGCCTAGTTTTTGAGCCGCTCGGCAACAGCCTTGGTCAACTCAGTCTTCTGGCCGACGGAGCTCTTGAAGCCCACATCATCAGGCAGACAATGCGTCCGATATTGAACGCGCTGCAATTCTTGCATACGGAAGCTCGCGTCATTCACACAGGTTAGCGAAGAGGCACCATCAATTTGAGACAATAGCGCTGATGGTCCAAAGACCTGCAGCCAAACAACATCCTTCTAGGCATCCACGACAACTCCATCCTGACCAGATTTGAGGAGGAGGAACTTCGAGAGCCGAGTCCTCGAAAGGAGCTAGAAGATCGCACAATTTATCTCTCGCGACCAATGCCTCTGGCGAAGGGATGGCCATCCTTGAGTGACTTCAGCGAGGCCAGATTCGGTGGGCCTGAGCACACAGATCTTGTCATGCCGGACGTGTATAGGGCACCAGAGGTTATTTTAGGCATGCCTTGGAGTTATCCGATCGACGTTTGGGCTTTTGCCATTGTGGTAAGTCCGAAGCCATTTGAATGCTACGCCGGAGTCAATTGACACAATGGTGGCCAGATCTGGGACCTTTTCGAGCCACAGCGGCTGTTTTCAGCGCGAGACGAAAATGGCCGCTATTCAGAAGCGCATCATCTCGCCCAAATGGTCTCCATCCTGGGTCAGCCACCTCTAGACTTCCTAGAAAGGTCAAGCAAGTGCGATCAATACTGGGATCAAAATGGTACCGCAATGTTTGCCCGCGATGTTCAGTCTCAATACTAAAGGATAAAATAACAGGCAACTGGATTGGAGACGTTGCCATACCTGACAGGTCCATCGCCACGGCTGAGAAGCGACTGGCAGCTGACGACAAAGCTGACTTTTTGGACTTCATGCGAAAAATGTTGCAATGGAGGCCCGAAGACAGAGGCAACTGGGACGATGTCTTCTTCTCGGAGTGGCTGGTAGCAGATCTGATCGAATCTGGACAGATTGTTCGGGACGATGAGTGAGATGCTTGGTCGCGAAAGGATCATGTTGCCCGCCGTCTGCACGTCAATCCCAAGGAGGACGCATCAGATGTCTCGGCTTCTACTTTCGATACTTGAGAGCGAATTAGTTACCGACTATTGCGGCACGTATCAACCGCTTCGAAGAGGCGCTTACACACTGGCTGTCACCGGCATTCAGCAACATCAATCCACAACAGAGTCAGGCCGGCGCTTACAACGGCTGCATATGTATACAGGAACGCTGCACATATTCTGCTCTATCAGTTGTCTCCTCTGTATCTTTCTGCGTCGAGTGCCGGGTTTGACGCCCATCTTCCTCGAGCTTCATGAGTTCTTCCACCTCCCGTGCGTTCAATTCTTCTGGTAAGGCTGCTTTGAAATGGGTCGGGGCTACGAAAAACGATGTCCTCCAGAAGAACCCCGGCAGCAAGGGACAGAAAGTCCTCGCCGGCATCGAAAACGTTGAATCACAGGCTGAGAAGAAAGTGAGACTCCCTCAAACTCGCGTTGCCTTAAGCCTCTAGCTGACAATGATCCAGTACGGCAGCAAGGCTTCCTACATCCAGATCCAGTATCAAAAATGCAGTATTTCAATTTCAATGTGGTGCTGATACTGCAACAGGGGCAGCAAGTTGCATAAATCGTCGAAAGACCCCAATGAGAAGCTAGACGTCGTTACTGTTTCGATCCATACTGAGAAGGGGACTCGTTTGGAGTCTGACCATGTTCGAGAGGACGGCACAAGTACCCAAAAGACGACTCGAAGTGGTGGCAAGTAATTTTCAAGGGGAGTGGCCAGTCGCGGGATCAGTCTTGATAGACCTGTGGAACCTAAGCTGGCGCCCTCCACCTGCACAGGTTTTGCTGAGCCACGCCTCACGATTCAAGAGCAATTCAAAGGGTGCTTGTACAGGATGGCGAAGTCGATTGTAGGAAAATACAGGCGGAGAGTAGCATTTGCACTTTGATCCTCACTTCCCCGTGAGCATTCAAGCACGGACGTTGTATGCCCAGAATGGAAGTTGTGTTCCCTTTCGGTCCAACGTGACTTTAGCATTCGTTCGGTCCAGGACGACACAGTGTTTGTAACCCAAATCCAAGCAGGCCAGTTCGCAAAACCCGTGTTGTGTCTCGAATTCATGTTGATTGCCTTGTACACCCTCGACTTCAACCTCCACCACGCTCTCTTCCAAAGGCCTTCCCACTATCCGCAGCCAAACAACTCCCATCCGGCATCTAAACTTGCTCTCAAACCTCGTCAAGATAAATGAGCAGATCACTAGCACCTCTGGGACCGACTTATACCCTCAAAAGACCCTCCTACTGTCAAACCATCCCGGTCCAGCGACCGGCCGCGCACAAGTTGAGAGGGTGTGACGACAGTATCATATATGCGTAACGAGAAGAACGTTGCAGATTGAGCATCGATGCTAGGACAATGTGCTCTCTCATCGCTTCCACAGATCATCGATTACGAAACGAAAGACTTCGTTACAGATTGACATAAATTGAAAGGGTTGCCCATGGTACAATGTCAATCGCAACTCCAGCCCACGAAAAGAAGTTCAGCTGGAGCAACGAATGTGATTAGGACCCAGGCTCCTTGCCTGTGATCTCGAGTTTGACGTCGAAGAAATGAACGTTACGTGGGAAGAGTCCAATTCGAGACAGTATTCTTGCCCCATCATGTCCTCTCGCTGCCATCTCGACTCACCCCCTTGGGTGCCGACATCAACGTTCAAGCTGAAGCCTGAGGTCGTACCGAGTTCGTACTCTTCCAGGCAACGAAGTTCAATGTCCTGTATCAGCACGATGTGAATTGACTATCGTATTGAGTCTTGTCCATCATTCTAGCCACAGGCATCGCACATGTTAATGAAGAACAAGGTCATGTTGATTCGCACTCTTCTAGGCAACGATACTGCCGTATCTGGATCGATACGAGATGGCTGATTTGTAGCGTTGAACGCCGTTCCTTTTATGGTCGCTTCGTAGGCGCTACTATTCGTGTCCATATGATTGGTGATATGCGAATCTCCATCATGTTACCTCTGATCTCAATCTTTAGAGTCTTTGGAACCAGAAATTCCACGGCCCCACAGAATCCAGATGCTGTGATGAACCGGTGGATGCCTCTCAGTCCCTGCAGTCGTATGTCAACGGACCGGCAGTCTATAACCGGTTGTGACAACCCTTCTGCGTATTCGCCTTTGAGCCTTGATGAGCGGCACAATACGAAGTCCACCGGTACGGTCAAAGGTACAATAGTATCCGTAGGCTACGGTCCGGTTGATCCGGCTTATCGACAACACGAGGCGGCGGCAACGAGATGTCTCACCTCGGATAGAGAGACCGGACTCCCCAACGACACGCACGAAGTGGCAAGCCAAGAGACATGGTAGGAATGAGAGCTCGAGAGCCACGGGGAGACGTACACCACGCAGCCATCCCACGCAACGACTCTTTTTCAGCTGCTCATGGCGTCCAATCGGACAGCCACTTCGCCTTTTGATGGTGGTCTCCGGTATATTCGTTCTGAAAGGATGGCTGCGGCCTGGCTATGATGTCTAGCATGTCAGCCTCATACAGATTGGTCAACGCGGGACATCGTCCATGAAGCGTCATTATTATTGTCGTCGGGTGTTGGTGCTTGCTGCAGGCAGCTGGAAATCAAGGCTAGGTTCTGCCGGAAGCTGACTCCTGCGAGTCAAACGCGGCTGGTATAGCAGTATACACGGTACGCTGCGAGTATGAGATGTGATAAACGCCGAAGGAGTTGTTGGGTGGTTGTGGTGGGTGGAGTTGTTTGACCTCGCCTCACGATTGTTCTGTGGTGCGGATGTGAGGAAAAGGGCGGGCAAGCGCAGGGCGCAGGGGAATATGCCGCCACGTGTGACAGCGCTGTCCTCCAACGTAGAAGCGCCTCGTCAAGGTGAAGATTTGCACCGGGCGACGACAACACAGAATAGCATCACCGGCATGTTGTTATCACGGATGCTGCGGTCGAAAGCATTGCTGCATGAACAGGCAAGGCGTTCGGGCGGGTACCTCAGGCAAACCAGACCAGCGCAGCTAAAATTAATAATAAACGGGACTTCTCGGAGCAACAACACGAGGCTTGTGTGGTCAGAAATTGCCAAACCGAGGCAGTCATGATGTCTGTCAGTCGGTACGTACAGGACATCCACGGCACATGAGAAGAAGGATTCGAATGTGGTGACGACTGACCAGAAGATGGGGCAAGTCAGCGTGCATGAGGATTGTTTGTCCCTTCGAGGGGCTGCCTAACGTAGCTGGGCGCCACAGTGATGCGGTGAGTGGTGGAAGGTTTGGGCCTGACGAAAGCGTGATCACGATGGAAGTCTCCGCAAACAATAATGCAGAGGAGAAGAAAGAAGGGCGCGTTGTTGGAGGTGAGCCGGCGGGTAGATGCGGTCGGCAGGTGGTGTGGACGCAGGCTCTGTTTGCAGCAGGCGATGAAGGCGGACGATGTGATGCGGAGGGAGGAGAGTTCTGTGCAGAAACTGGGTTGCTTGGCGGGCGAAAGGGAATTGTCACAGCGGAGGGTGGATGGGCCGCCGATTCGCTGAGGCGACGGCGGTGTTCTCATCGTCGCAGGGTCTTGGTGCTGGAGGCATCCGGCCGTCACATCGGCATGGCCATCATCGTCTGACACACACGCTTTCGTGTCGTTTGGTGCACGCCTCCGTTTTGCGCTGCTGGCCTGGCCCGGCTGCAGAGTCTGCGCTCCCCTTCTCCCTGCGCGCCGTGAGCTCCTGTAATACTGCCACATTCCGCCCTGCCGTCTGGTAGTAGTAGTATCAACTCGACAACAATAATCACAAAACCACAGCCCTTGCGCGCACGCGAGCGAGAGGGAGTCGCTGGTTGGGTCGCGCGAGATTCATCATTTCTGCCCCTTCGCTTTCCGGCACGCACTGTTCGGCGGTGGGTCTGCCCGCTGCCCCCTCGGCCAATCACGCGCGGGCATCGTCAGCGACCTCGTCGAAACAAACTCGAGCGCTCCGGTCGCTGCCCTGGTCGTTTTGCTGGCCGCTGCATCACTCACTCACGCACACCCTCTCCGTCTCCCTCCTCTCTCTCTTCCAACCCACTCCTCTCGGCCTCTGCACTGCACGGCAGGCACCAGTGCGTGTTCGACCACCACACCCGCGCCACTCCGGACCCGGACGCTGCGTGCCAGCAACGAGCTGCTCGTGCTCGAGTCGACAAACGGGGCTTCGACCACTCAGCCACCCGCGCTACCTCAAAGACGACCGCTGTCGTCTCGCCGCGCACCCCGTCCGCCGTCAGCACCACCAACCGCGCGCCGCGACGACGACGTCTTCATCGACTGACTGCTCTTCTCGCTGCCTCTCCCGCACGTCAACCTTCGGCCGCTGTGGTATCCTAACCATCCGACTCACCTCGACATCCGGCTTGCGACCGCACTCGGACAAAACCACACTCTCTCTGCGCCTGGGCGACCTATTCACTTAGTCTCGTCCACCTTTTGAGCCGCCAGCACCGCGCTCACATTCTTGCGACCGCGAAACACGCCACGAGCCGACCGTCACATCATTCACAGGCCTGTGACCGAAACTTCAAAGCGCGCTGCAAACGTCACACTTCACCACATCACAAACACCGCCAAACTCGAGTGTGCGCACACCTGCGAGATCCTCACAAACACGACATCGCACATCACCAACCTCATCTAGAAGCATCATCTGCATCGCACATTCATCGCATGGTCAAGAGTCAGTAGATCCTCGCACCTTGTCCAGCGGTGCTTGGTCTTTGTCGGTGCGCAGAAGACAAGAAACGGTTGGCTACCCCCAGAACATTCGCACGTGCGGTACTGATATCTTACAACAGGTCGTGTTGGTTGCACACCGTTTCTTCGGCTTCAGCTGTTCAGTGCAAACATGCCAGGCTACTACTCGCGCCCCATGGCGGGCCAACTCCCTCTCACTCCACCAGACTCGGGCTCAGGATACGGATACAGCAGTATGCATTACTCGCAAGATCCGTATGCTCAGCACCAGACGGTGAGCCAGTGCCGCCAAGACAGCGCCTACGACTACCAGCAGGGCTACATGCAACCTGCAGTCGCGCCAGCACCACCGACATACCAATACCCACAGAGCAGCTTCCAGTCTGCCAACAGTCTGCCGCCCATCTCATCCTACTACGAGCCCATCGGCGCCCCCATCCTCCCTCCGCTGCGAATCCACGACCAAGTCGCCTTCACCGACGACTACCAGCGCCGCTTGCAACAAGAACAGCAGAACGCTGCCGCACGTGAACAGCAGCGACAGGCTGCAAAGGAGGAGAAGGCCACTGGTGGCGTATCCGCCAAGCTGGACTATGAGATGGAGCGCATGACGGACTTCGTGACAGAAGCCACTCAGTCAATGTATGCCCTGCATTGTTCCCCCATCCGCGTTGCAGAGATTGACGTGACTCGAAGCTTTCAACATACGATGCAGAGCCATCCGTCGTTTCGAAAGTGGATCCACCAGGTCCTCTCCGCGACTCGACTGCCATCGGCCACGATCCTGCTGAGCTTGCACTACCTGAACGACCGACTCGCCAACTGGCCCGAGTCAGTGCCTCAAGGCGAGAACCAGATCTACCGTCTGCTCGCAGTCTCCCTCATCCTCGGCAGCAAGTTCCTCGACGACAACACCTTCATCAACCGATCGTGGTCTGATGTCACGGCGATCAAGGTCTCGGAGCTGAACATGTTGGAGATGAAGTGGCTGCACCTCATCAACTACGAGCTGCACATCGAGCCATCGACCTCGAACGGCCTGCAGGCATGGTTTGACGCGTGGAAGAAGTACGACGCAGAGTACCTCGCCAAGACTCAACCAGCCAGGCTTTCGCCACTCGACACGAATGTGCACCGTCACACGAGCACTAGCCGGGACCGCTTCTCGCCTTACCCAACGCCGTACACTGCGTCTGCGCGGTCATTCGATGGATCGCTGTCCTCCCGCTCCTCGCAGTACTCGACGCCATACGCTGCTGCCGACCCATGGGCACCCAGCCAGCGCCACGTCGACGAGTACTACAAGCAGCGTCAGGACCGCTACCCATCCGCATACGAGCTTGAGGAGGCCAGCCGTAGGGCATCAGAGGAGCGTGCTCGCCAGTCAGCGTACCAATACGCCCAGAGCGCTCATGCTTCGTACTACCAGACTCCCAGCTACGGCTCGACGTGGGACCAGAGCAACACCTGGAACGTTCACCGATACGACTGCAACTGCTCATCGTGTGCATATCAGCAGCACTACCGGCCATACCCCATGACCTCCAGCTACACCGCTCAGACTGTCATGGGTTAGGCTTCGTCTCTTTTCGACTCGACTTCAGCATCACCGGCGCGTTGATGCGCCGTATCTTGGAGCCTCACCTGCAGCGTTCTCGCCTCTTCAAAAAGTTTTCCGGACAGGACATTCGAAAGCATGCGGCGTTTTCTCCTCTTCCTTCACAGAACATCACCTTTTAGTACTCTGGACTTTTCTTCATTCACGCGTTACGATACGACCTGCGCCCTCGGCATGGCTGGCCTCTGCTTGCTGGCTCAAGGGACTCGACACGGGACGGACGTTTGCGATAGACACTACTTGTTTCTAGACATTTTCGGGAGCCCGTTCACATCAAGAGCGTCAAGCCTGGTTCGCAACGGCTCCCAGTCCTACTCGTTTTTTGGCACAGCGATGGTTTTTCACACCTGCTCTCGGCGGTTTGCTCTTCGACTCCTTTTCATGCGGCATGGGCACTGGGGAGCTGTTTTCACTACAGAGCATGGCGTTTCAAAAAGGGGATCTGGCTTCACTACTGCTAAAATGGAACGGACGGGGGACACGAGGATGGGAAATGGAAATTGAGGGTTTGCTTTTTGCCTTTTTTTGCGATTCATGCATATGAGAATTGGGGAGCTGCGTTGCCTGCAGTACCACGCTTTACCCTGGCGACACCTCGAGATAGCCCTGGTTCAGCGGGAGATGGAAAAGTCTATACTGCGAGAACAGATGGGTTTATCGGTGGCTGGAGAAAGAAAGGGAAAAGCATCTGAACAGGCAGGCAACTTTTTGGCCTAATGTGGCATTTCTGAGAGGTCGCTACTAGAGAGAAAGAAAGAGAGAAGAAAAAAAGGAAACACTTTTCCCGGTCAGCTCTTCACAACATCAGCGCGGGCGGTTGGAACGATCGTTTTTTGCTTGGACCAAGAGTCGCGGGAATACCGCTGGACTCGATTTTGCTATCAGTGTTAAAAGAAGAGGATAGGCTTGTAATGAAGTTTATGCCGCCGTGGGCAGAAGAGCCGGCCTCTGTTCTTGAACGAACAAGGCACGGGTTCGAAAAAAAGACTCGAACGATTTCCCATTTCTTTTTGAAATTTGCTGTCAACGTCCCGTGGTAAGACATGTGCTGTCGAGGTCTCAGTCGATTTGCTGTCCTCTGTCCACGAATCGGCACCCGTTGTTGCATACTTGGAGGTGGGAGGAACGTGGGATGCTGATGTGGGAGCGAGGATTGTGCTTGGAGGAGCCGAGTGTGAGTGCGCAATTTATCTCGTCAGCAGCGTATCTTGTCAGACTGGGAAAGATAGCAATCACATGCGAGAGCAGAGCTGAGGGATTCGTGTCATGTGACTTCCTCGACGTTTGTAGGAGCCGAGGATTTGCCGGCTTGTGAGCTTTGAACAAGGGAAGTCGCGCCCAGCTTCGCGTCGCCTGCCCGCTCACCCCAGCGCAAGTAGCACCGACCGACTAGGAAATCGCACAGACAGCAATCTTCCGTTCTCACACTACACCGACGACCTTTTGACGATGCCGTTCAAGAAAGGCCATCGCGGCCGGAAGAGCGCGCGCATTTCGCTGACTGTCACACGTGAGTTCAATCCCAGCAGGATATCCTGTTACATACCAGGCGCATGCAAGGAAGGATGTGAATGCTGAGTTTGATGTTTTGCTTTAGGCACACCCACGCCTCGAGTCGATCCGGACGCTTCAGACGAGGAAATGGCCGACGGCGATGCAGATGGTGATGTTGACGGGACCCGCGATGCGACGCCGCAAGAACAGGATGATGGGGATGAGGAAGCTGAAGCTGCGACGCCTGCTGCGGATGAAGATGAGGACGAGGACGATGAGGCGCCGAGGATCACGAGTATGCCGCGGCGGAGAGGGAGAGGCGGGAGGCCGAGGACGAGACCGGGGTATTCGAGGACACCTGAGCCTGGGATGGAGGATGGGAGTGAGTCTGGGACGCCGATGAAGAGGAGACGGGGAAGGCCGCCGGGTAGTGGTGTTGGGAGGGGAAGAGGTGGGTTCAGAGGGAGGAGGAAGGGACAGGTTTCTGAGGGGCCAAAGCAGGTTATGGATAAGGAGGGAAATACGTATGATGTGGTGGATGATGAGGCAGTGGTTGATGATGATCCTGAGGGCAGTGAGAAGGTCGACGAGCTTGGACAGCTGCAAGGAAGCAGAGAGTACCGCGTGCGGACCTTCACCATCATGGGCAAGGGTGAGAGGCTCTACATGCTGTCCACCGAGCCGGCGAGATGTTGCGGCTTCAGGGACAGCTACCTGTTCTTCACGAAGCACCCGAAACTCTACAAAGTCCTGGTGGGCGAGGAAGAGAAGAAAGACCTGATCGATCGCGATATCCTACCAAACAGCTACAAGGGCAGAAACATAGGAGTTGTCACCGCACGCTCAGTGTTCCGCGAGTTCGGCGCACGGATCATTGTGGGTGGCCGCAAAGTCATCGACGACTACAAAGTCGCAGAGGCGCGTGCGAACGGTGAGCCCGAGGGCGAGCTGGCGGATCCGGACGATCATGTGCCGGACAATCGAGCAGAGTATAATCGGAATCGATACGTTGCGTGGTTTGGCGCGAGTGAGGTGTATCGCTCGCAGGGGACGGTGACGGTGCCGGGTGGGAAGCAGGGTGCTGTCAGGAAGCATAGGAATAATATTACTTTGCAGAACTGGCAGTTCATGCATGCCCGGGAGGCGAGGTGAGTAATTATCTTCATGGTTGATGGACTTGGCTAACATATGACAGCCGCTTCAACTCGACTCTGACTACTGCACGACACGCGAACCAGAACGGCGTCTACGATCCCAACACGAACATGATGTTCTACCCTAAGATCATGCAACCTACACATGCGAAGTGGGAGTACATCCCACCAGGATCTGATGGTGCTGAGAAGAAGCCAACGACCAACAGCCTGCCAAACGGCCACCAACCGAACGGCACATCAGACGACACGCACAAGACAATGGACGTCGACACCTCCCAAGACCCCACAATCTTCACCAAAGTCCCCCCAGTCATCTCCCGCAACTTCACCATCATAGACACCGTCTACACCGCACCCATCTCCAACGCCGGCTACCCAGGCCCCGATGGGCACGTCGAAGACCCCACCTCCGGCCCCAACGGCCTCAGCACCGTATCCCAAGAACTCATCGACGAGCTCCCCGCCGACTGTCGAGCGGCGTTTGAGGAAGCCCGCGCGACCGAGCTCCGCTGGAAGGGACGGTGGGGCACGGAGGTCAGCAGTGGACAGCGCGGGTGTTTGAAGATTGGTTTTAATGGGTATCCTGTTTGACGTAATTAGGGCGTTAGGCGAATGAGGCGTTTGGGAGTTGGGGAGGGCATGCATTTTAGCCAGATAACAGGACTGGTTCTGAGCATGATGATAGAGCCTGCTACGGTATGAGGATGGTGGGCATTGAGTCTTGGAATGGGTCTGCTGCGTATGGGTGGGTCTGAGAGTTCATGGGATGGGGGGAAGAATCTTGGACTGACTGCGTGGCGATAGTTTCGCGCGCCGTCGCACGGAGCATGTGAGTAGAGCTCTATGAAAGAAAAGATGACCATAATTTTCCATTGTTCTCACGTCCAGTAGATGGTAGTGCTGGCTCGAACCCAACTGAGTTGCATTCAGGACAAAGGAAATGAAGCATGCGCGTGGGCATTGCACATTCCACACTGCTTGCGACCCTGGCGACGAAGCACACAACCACCTCGTCGGTTACCAGACTACCGGAATCCTTCTGCGAGCGGGTGTGTGAGATACTGAACCTCGTCGGCGTCACTCCATCTACACCTACACCACCGACGGGCCATCCAGCCAGCCAGCCTACCCAGAGGCCTGCGCTACCACGACAAGAACACGCGCCATGGCGGATCTAGAAAGCTTAAGCGCCCTTGGGTGCCCGATGCCGTTCGTTTCGGATACGCAGGTTCCTTATACTGTTGGTGGTGAGTCCATGACCAAAGACACAGAGTCATATGAGAGAGAGGGAACAGGAAGAGCTAACGTGGAGATTTTGTTCTTGTGTAGAACTCGCCGGCCGCTTCTGCGGCAACATCACCCAAGGCCTCGCGTGTTGTCTGCCGTGTCCGATTGAGGATTGGATTTATTCTGATAGTACGTACCTTGCACATCACGCCTCACCTCACCCCGTATCCAAAGAAGGAAAGGGAAAAGAAGCAGAAGAATGAAGGGAAGGGCTGATATGCAGTAGATTTCTCCCACAACCTCTCCATCGCGTACTGGTTCAACGTCCCCGCCTTGGTCCTACAAGTGTTCCTCCTCGTCACCTTTGCGGTCCTGCCGAAGGAAGTCAGTCATCGGCATCATTTGAGCGTGGGGTTGTGTGTTGTTTTGATTATGGCGGAGGTGAGTATACACACATACACATATATACATGTCCAGGGGTCGGTGTTTGGAGGGTTGGGACTTGGGATGGGTTTTGCTGACATGTGATGTGCTGGTTTAGCTTTCGTTTATCATCCCTCTAGGCACGAAACCCTCCCTCTGCTACGATGAAATCACGCCGGGGGATATGTACACGAGCATGTCCTGCGCCTGGTCCGGAGCCCTCCTCGTGACAGGCGCGATGGGTTGTGCGGTTTGGAGTACGTCTTCTTCCCTCCCTTCCCTCTGCATCCCAACACAACCAACTAACGCCCCTAAAAGTCATGCTCCGCTCCCTCTGGACCCACCTCCGCGTCTGCTGGGACGTCAAACAAACCACAACCCTCTTCCTCCTAACCCAAGCCACCGGCTGGGGCCTCCCGGGGCTCTTCCTCGCCCTCTGCATCCCCATCACGGGCGTCTCCTACCGCATCGGCGCGACCTGCGTGCCGAACCAGAAAAACGCCTTCGTGACCTGGTTCGGCTGGCTCATCGCGTTCGCGTGCATCGCGGCCCTTCTCCAATTCGTCACGACGTTTTTCTGTCTGTGGTTGTATCTTAAGGATGTGCTTTGGGGGAAAGGAGGTTCTCCGCTCGGCACGAACGATACGACGACCACGACGTCCCAACAAGACCGCACGCTCGCCTGGCGCCGCGTGCGCAAGGTCCTCTCGCTGCAATGGCGCAGCATCGTGCTCACGACCCTCGTCATCATCGAGTCCGTCTACTTCGGCGTCGTCTTCATCCACGAGACGTCCACGGCCGACCGCCTCTCGAGCAACTCCCAGGCCGACGAGATCCTCGAGTGGGCGTTTTGTCTCGTGCGGAATGAGGGGCGGAAGGATCGGTGTTTGAATATCACCAAGGTGCTCGGGTTGAGCGAGGAGTCGATTTTGGCGAGTTTCTTTTTGGCGGCGGTATGTTCACAACCCTCAACCCCCATCCCATCCACAACCCTCCACCCCTTTCCCCTCCAACCCCCTTCCCTCTCAAACCCATACTGATAGACGTTGGTCCAGCTCATCGGCCTCCTAACCTTCACCCTCATGCTCCGCCGCTCTATGCTGCAAGGCTGGTCGACCCTCCTCTTCCACCCACGCCAACGCCGCCCCTCCATCGGCGAGCAAGACTTCATCATCCTGTCCCCGAAACGCAGATCTTTCGGGAGACAGCTCGAGTCCGAAAAATCACCACCACAACACCAACACCAACAACAACCACACCAACCATACTTTTCTGCTCATCCTTCTCACTCAAATCTTGACAGTAGAGCGACTCCCTTCCGTCGTGACGGGCCTTTACTTCATTCGCCTGTGAGTCCTATTACGCCGACGGGGGTTTTGCCGGATGATGTGGCGACGCCCGTGGGGGAGCAGCAGAGGACGTTGAGTGTGCCGCAGGCGGGGGAGGTGGATCGGAGGCATGAGACGACGAATTGGTTTGATGATGAGGAGGATGAGGAGGATGGACGAAGGAGAGGGGATAGGAGCGTAAGTAAGCTGGATGATTTCGCTTGAAGGGGTTATGCGTTTTTGGATGAAGGGACTGCTGGGTTGTTGGATTTCTTGTCGAACGGTATGAGCCCTTGAGTGTTAAGACATCAGATCGATCTACGAGAAAGACGAGAAAAGCAAGTCACTCAGCAGCACACCAAGACTATTCGCATTCTCATTCATCTCCTGATAACCCAGCGCTACCCGAACGCATGTAAACATCCCTGCGCTGCGCTGCGCTGCGCTACCAAAATGCCCTTTGATCGACTATCATCCTATCCTCATTCTCTGCCTTGCCCTGCCCTGTCCATAGCGCGCAACCGTGGTTGGCGTTCTCTGCCGCTCCTGATTCTCAAGTTCCCGAAAAGGACCATCCCCGAAAAAAACGCCTTCGCCCAATGCATTTAAAAAAGTGCTTCGAATATGCCTCCCTTGCGTATACGCTGTGCAGTCGAAAGTCATGGGGTAGAGGAATTTTGCATTCGCAATGTCCGTCTCTTAGGGTGAAAGGATGGTGGAGAAGACTGCGTAGTCTTCATTCGCTTCGCGTTCTGTACATGCTGTACAGGTGGGCGCCAAAGTAACAGCTCCCGAGAGCGCTCTCCACGGATGCCAGGGCAGCACTTCAATCGTACCACCCATCGATGGGGGTAGCAGTATCGTAACCGCCGCGGATCCTTTCCTGTGCATTCATTCGATCATTATGGCCGCTCTTCAAATATCGTCGAGCATGCCGTGGTTGAAATCGGCATCGGCACTTGTAGCACTTGTCGGCTCAAGGCCGCTCATCCTATCACCGGCCCGGTTGCTGAAAGTTCTCGAAGCAGCACCACCATCAGGGCTATCCAAGCCTCCAACATCCCTGTCCGCATACTGTTGCTCAAGGGTGCTCTCATCCACAAAGGTAAAGCCCTTGAATTGGTTCTGCATGGTAGGGCTCAATGGTGTGCTATCCGTGTTAATGCCGCTTGCAAGGGCAGCTGCTCTGGCGTTTAGTGATGACGAATCCGCCCCAGCATTGAGAGCGTTGGTGAATTCGGGATCGAAGTTGCTGGTATCCAGCTCGCCCTTCAATTTTGGCTTGAATGGTGGTGCGGTCTCCTTCTTGCTGAGGGCGTTCCAGTCGACGTCGTTGAAGAATGGATGGGCCATCAACTCCTCAGCATCACCCTTTGCTCCCAATCGGTGAGCTGGATTGCGGTTGAGCAAGCCCTTGACGAAGCTACGTCCTTCTGCTGACAGAGCGTCTCGCGGGAAGCGCACCTTGCCAAAGGCAATGTTCTTGTACATCTGCTGCGTATCCTCGGCATAGAAAGGTGACCAGCCACAGCACATCTCAAAGACGAGTACGCCCAGAGACCAGAAGTCGACCATCTTGGTGTATCCTTGCTCGTCGAGGAGCACTTCTGGTGCCAGGTATTCAGTGGTGCCGCAGAAGGTATTCGTAGTGTCATTCTTTGAAAGGTTTGCTTTGGAAAGTCCAAAATCGCAGAGAGCGATGTGGCCATTTGCATCAAGGAGGATGTTCTCTGGCTTCAAATCTCGATATACGATGTCGTGCTGGTGGAGATGTCGTAGCGCAAGGATGAGTTCTGCAATATAAAACTTGGCCCGCTCTTCGACAAATCGGCCCTCCTTCTGGAGATGCCAGAAAAGCTCACCTCCAGACATGTAGTCAGTGACGAGATAAAGATCCGCCGCAGTTTGGAATGAGAACTTCAATCCCACGATGAATGGCGATTCGGTGGTTGCCGTCCGCACAAGGATGTTACGTTCGCCAATGGTGTGTTGAATCTCCTTCTTCTGCACGATGACCTTCTTCGACAGCACCTTCATGGCGTATATCCGCTTTGTGTCCCTCTTCCGCACCTGGAAGACTTGTCCAAATGTGCCCTTGCCGATCAACTTCAAGATCTCGAAGTCATCGGGCCCGAATGTCTTCTTGCCCGCGGCGTGGTATGCAATGCTGAGATGTATCTCTCCAGTCACAGTTTCTGACTGTCCCTCTCTTGGCTTCAGCTTGTACCAATCCTCATGCTGGTGCTCGTAGTCGCCGAGATCGATGGGCAAACGAACGTGGCCGATGAAAGATTCGTTGTTTGCACGATCGTAGACGGAAATGTCCAGCTGATTGTTCGAACCCACCACATCGAATATGGTTTTGTGTCGCCAAATGGGATCTGTCGTCTCTTGATGGCCTTTGTGCGAACCTCGCCGCAGATCTGCAATGTTGGTCTGGCTGGTCTGTCGACTTCTCAAGCCTGGAATCGCCATGGGTGTGCCTGATCCGCTTCCTATCCGCTTCATCGCCACGCCCTTGGCCAGATTGTCGTCTGCCGGGCCGTTCTCTACCGCAGTGTCCATTTCATCTTCCTTTGGCCCGCCTGAAATGTCTTCATTCAGCTGGAAGATGCAAACCACGTATGGATCAACCGAAGGCCTGATTCCTCTCGCCTCTTCAACACTAATCTCCAACTGTCCCCTCACCTGCCCGATCGTCGCACCAGTTGAGCCACCTGAGCTCGATCGACTCGACTTCGCTGGGTGTGGGGCTATGGCGACATCGTCGTCTCTTCGGCTCGCGTGCGAGCCGGTGCGGGGAGTTTGGGGAGGAGTGTGGTTCTGAGAATCGCCCTGGGTCAGCACCTGGCTTTCCTTTTCCTGCGGTGAAGGAGAGTGTGAACGCGCAACAGAAGGACTGGCTGGGGCAGTCTGGGAAGGGTCTGAAGCAGAAGGGTTGGAGATGTGTGCAGCGACCGCGGGTTTCGTGACGACGAGATTGGAGAGCGCGGTGGACAAGGTGTTTCGGCGTAGCGGCTGTGGAACGCTGGGCTGGCTCTGCTCCTTTCGCTGCTCCCAAGAGCGCTTGCGAGGGGAGGAGGGCGCTGCTGCGGACGTGCCACTGGCGCCGGCCTCACTGTCCTTCATCGCGAGAAAGGAAGAGGAGTTGGAGAGCGGTGGCGTGGGGTATGAAGCCTGTTGCTGTGGCAGAGGTTCGGGGTGCTTCTTCTCGTGTGGCAGCAGCGGTGGCGACTCGACCTGCGCACTGGACGCGCCGCTACGGGGTGAGCTGGGCGCAGTGGGCATCTGAGCTGGGCCACCGGCGAGGGCTTGGGAAAGAGCAGCCACGGCGGGACTTTCCTGTTGCTGCTGCTGCGGCGGCGGGTTGCTGGACGAGTCGTCCTGGGGCTGCTCTTTCTCTGACGATGAAGGCGTAGGTGCGGGGTTTGCAGAATTTGCGGTGCTTTTGCTTCGCGAGCGCAAGGAGTCACATACTTGAGCGAAATAACTGTTCACCAGACTGGGTAGTCTCTTGTCGGCATGAAGGTCTGGCCGGGGTGTCGCTGTCCCGCCGTTGGGCGGCGTCGAGGCGCCGGAGCCGATGTGGTCATGGTCCTCGTCATGCATCTTGCTGTGAGGTTGAGCTAGGTCAGCACTCGCCATGTGAAGATAGTGTCAAGGACATGCGCAAGAACGTGGGCAGCAGAGAACGAGTAGAGATCGACATGTTAAGGCAGGGTGCAGTAAGGGACGGGAGCAGAGGGCAGGTATCGAAGTACTTTTCTGCGATCGTTGAACAAGCGACGCAAATGACAAAATTGGGGATCCGGCGATCCGTTCTCTGGTGCAATGGCGGACCGACCGCTCCCGATGTAGCGCCACACAGGTCAGAGGTGACGATTCGTTCAATTCGTTGGGTGCAGCAGAAGCCCCACGTTCTGAACTTTGCCGTGCAAGTGGAGCGATGTGCAGCGTGGTCGACGAATGCAGAGCGGGCAGCCTCGGGGTACTCGGCAAGTTGGGCAGGTCGAGTCGCCCGGTCGAATAATCATATGAAAGAGGCGACGGGGCATTCCAGAAGGGCCCTAGAAGGCGAGGCCAAGGCGAGGGACCAGCGTCGAGTGCGTGGTGTGGTGTGGCGGTGCTGCGGGCGGTGGTGGTGAGAGGCCAGCCGGGCAATCCCCGCCGGCGAGGAGGGATGCTTACCAAAGCAGGGCCGGCGAGAGGTGGATTGGGCGGGTTTGAGGGAAATTGGCGAAAATGATAATGAAACGATACGAGACAGAACAGGGACGGCTTACCCATGCGAGCCCATGTGGTGGGTGAGAGATTGTCGCAGCAGGTCGGTGGCGCTGGGCTGGCCGAGATGGTGGTGGTGCTGCTGGCCGTGGTGGCCGTCGTGCTGCGGCGAGGCCATGAAGGTGAGGATGCTGCTGCTGCTGCTCGCCGGGCGGCCGGAGAGCAGCGCGGTCGGCGGAGGTAGGGGCGAGTGCGATTTGGTGGGGCTGGAGGCGGTGGTGGTCGAGAGGGTGGGGACGGCGCTGGTCGACTTGGTCGAGATGTGGCCAGGGCGGCGTCGCGCAGGGCGGTCGGAGCGCGACGAGTCCTTGGAGCGGGCGCGGAGGGGGAGGAGGTGGTGGATGAGGGAGTGGTGATTATGGTGAGGATTGTTGCGCTGGTCGTGCTGTCTCCCGCGGCCCAGCAGCAGCAGGTCTGGAGCTTCGCCTGCCTTGACGTCCTCCACCTTGTTGATTTAGGCAATCCGGGCTTGCTGCGAGGCGGGCAGCAGCTCACTCCGGTCGGCTGGGTGGCGGTGGGAGGGGAGTGGTCGCGCTGGAGGTGGTGGTGAATGCCGCGCGATGTTTGATTGCGGTGCAGGGAGAGGTGAGAAAAGGTAGATGAAAGCAGGTGGGAGAAGTCGGAGTGAGTCGCGAGAAGTGAGTGACGACTTGCACACAGAATCCAGACAGACCGGCGGCAGACTCTCAAGTCAATCAGATCTCCAGCCACGTGTGTGCCAGCCACTGCGCATCAGCAGCCGTTGAAAAGTCTATTTCTTCGTCGAGCACCGAGAGCCAGATGACGCCTTGGAAGTATATCAATCAATCGTCCATCCGTCCACCATCGCGCGATCCGCCGCTGCTATCCTCCGGCGCTGATAAGTCAATTGTCTCAAGCAAGGAAGTCCAGCCCTCCATCCAATTCTCGCCGCCCAAAGATTGCCGCCAGCACCGACGTCGTGGGTTGCATCAATCAAATCTCAATCAATCTCACCCTGCAAATCAATCTCAACCTGCAGCCGCGCCGTGCGTACTGTAATCCCGGCGACACCTCCTTCGTTCGACATGCCAACCGCTATCAGCTGCCCAATATATCTCCGCGCTGAAGTCCTGCTGAGGTCCGGTCGTCAGCTGGCATAGCGGTCCTGTCGCACATACAGTCAGAGAGACGGGACTGGATGCGAGAAGCCTGGATCATGGGAGGCCCAGCTTCAACTTTTCAACAAAGGAATCCCTCCTCTCCTCTCCACGCCCAGCTCCCTTCGTGCGACAACACACTGCGTTTGCACGGCCAGTCGCCGCGCCGCGATGCAGAGGAGCGGCTCGCCACAGGGATGCAGCTCCTTGAATAGACGCTCCCTACCCACTCGATCGGGTCCTGAACGTGACAATCTGGCTCACTGTGTTACAGACAAAGAATTCCAGAACGCCGACAGAAAGACTCAAAGACGCAGCCACCCGGCGCTCTGGCCCAATTTGAAATGACCCTCCGCACGTGGTACGAGAAGACCATTGTGGCCTGAAGAGATCGGCTGTGCTCTTTCCCTATCGTCGAGCATCCCCACGGGACGAATGTTACGCATGATGGAGTGTTGCGAGTGATATGTGAGACACGAACAGACATCCCACTTCCCCGTTTGCAGTCCCTATGCCTGTGCGACCTGACATGAACTCGCGACTGCGAAATCGATCAGTCTTGATGTTCTGGAAAGTGAAATTGGTCATCACCTCCATATGCATCCGACAAATGAGCTCAATGTTGAGGAGAAGGGCCAGTTGAGCAAGAATGTTCAACATCTAGAGGCGTACGCCCAGACGTAAGTTCACAGTTGACAACCAGGCTCTCAGGACTCAGAACAGACCGCAGACATTCGCTGAGCGCAGAAGACCAGAGCGTGAACGCACAATCTGCTTGCAAATATCCTCATATCTCTCTACTTGGATAGAAGTTGTCCAATAAGTATGATATCTTGCAGTGATCGTCCCTCTCCAATTCATTCACTGCACTTTCAACCCCCGGACGAAATCTCGTCCGAGGCCGCCATATAACTTCACCTAGCAGCCTTCAAGTCTTTGCAATTCCAACGATGATCTCTCTCAACAGGAAATCGTGTCCGCAACGGACGCCTTCTACTCCAAAGAGAATGAACGTACTTATAAAGAGAGATTTGGCCTTCCAATTTCGGATGATTCCTGAAGCTTGTGCCTGTGATCTTTCCGCATCTCTACATCCTTTGCGGCTCTGAAACCCCTGAACTTCAATGCTCATCAATCGTTCAACATTCAATACATTGCCAAAATGCAGAAACGAGATAGCGTATTTCAGCACCCTCAAAAAGACTTCCAAAAACCAACTCACACATCTCCCAGGTCCACCTGCCCCCAGGCGCCCAGGTCGGCCTCCAACCCACTATCGACAACGACATCGCACCCTCCGCCTTCTTCCTCGTCCTCTACCTCCTCGGCGCCATCATCAACGAACTCCGCTTCCAACTCAACCGCCGTAAAGGCCACAAATTCCTCATGTCCTGGGCCATGTTCGGCTTCGCCATGACCCGCGTCGTCACCCTCACCCTCCGCATAACCTACGCCATCTACCCCAACAACATCCACCTCGGCGTCGCCTCCGTAATCTTCACACACGCAGGACTCCTAGTCGTATACATCGTCCTCTTCATCCTCAGCATGCGCATCCTACGAGCATTACAACCTCCCATCGGATGGAGTCGAGAACTCAGAACAACCCTCCTCCCAGCTTGCATCGTCTTAACGATAGCCATCTTCACAACCATCACCCTCGTCATCATCGATTTCTACTCCACCAACAAAACATACCTCTCCATATCCTCCTGGACGACCCGCGCCTGCGCCACGTACATCCTCGCCTTCAACGCCCTCGGCATCGTCCTCTTCCTCCTCGCCACCCTCCTCCCTCCCCACCCCCAAGCCGAGGACTTCGGCGCAGGCTCCATGGCCGCGAAACTCGTCATTCTCGCCCTCGCGCTCTTCCTGATAAACTTCATCGCCGCGTTCCGCACGGCGGTGGCGTGGGTCGATGCGCCGCCTGTTCACGAACCGGCTTGGTTCGATTCGAGGGGCGTTTTCTATGGCTGGGAGTTGGCGCCGGAGATTCTTGTCATTTATCTTTTTGTTTTTACGAGGTTTGAGAGGAGGTTTTGGGTGCCGGATGGGAGTTGGAGGGCGGGGATTACTCTGCGAGGAGTTCGCCTTTGGAAGGCGATGGTGCTGTGAGTGTAGATGTTGGGCGAGGGAAGGCGTGAGATGGGCGAGGGGAGGCGAGAGAGATGGGTATGAGGACAGGGAGTTCTCTGCTGATAATTCCTGTTCGTTGATCAAGCTCATAGTGGTTCCTCTGCTAGAGTTACGCCCTCCTCTTCTACGATTACTAATAAAGACACAAGAAACTGCCTGGCCCGTCCTCTTCAGATCTCCTTCCTCACGGATCAATCCACCCCAGTGTCCACTTTCCCGTCAATTCCGTCTCGACATCAAACAACTGTCCCGGCACCGCCAACGCAACGTCCTCCCACCTCCGCCTCTCAGCCGGGATCACTTCTCTTGAATACCAAAGCTGCCACAACCCCCCCATCCGTGCTACAGAACCGTTCACTGCCAAACTCATTCGCCGTAACGATATGCCAAGACGCCCAGCACCTCCTTTGTTATTGTCGGCAGCTTCAAAGAGAAGCGTCCGAGCAACTCGCAGTGGCATCTCGAGTCTCCGCACGAATTGTAACTTGTCCTTGAAAACGTCGGAGAACTCGTTCATAGCCGGGATGGAGGAGCGGGAGTCGCAGACAGCGAAGTCGAGACGCATGTCCTCGAAAAGGAGACGAGAGGATTCGTTATGGATCTGGCGGCTGGTCGAGGGAAGCGCGAGACGGCGTGGCCGAGTAATGTCCCCTTTGCGTCCCGGGAGTCGGAGCAAGTCCGTGAGAATCGCCAGTGTAGTCTTACGCTTGAGGACCATCCTGTAAGGTCTTGCAGCGTCGTAGACGATCCTGACCGTGTCCTTGAGTGCGATCTCCGACGTAGACGTGTAGTTTCTATTCCGCAACTCGGGGGGAAGGTCGAGGAATCGGAAAGGGCTCGGGGTACTAGCCGCAGTAGTAGCAGTAGTAGTAGCGCTCTCCTGCACCGACGTCCCACGACGACAGATCGACCTCAGCACCTTCCTCACCATCCAAGCCAGCAGAAAAAACGGCGCACAATACACCAACCCAGCAATCCACACCAAATGCACCCAAACCCAAACCTCCACCACCAAAACCCCCCTCACCCACCCCAAAGGCGCTCCCAGCCCCGGCGCAACACGCTCCGCCAGAACGCCATACGGCGCCAGCGCGACAACAACCCGACTGTGGACCGGCGCAAGCAGGGCACTAATCCTCAACCAGACGGGCAGAAGCAGCGGCTCCAGCGTTGCGGGAAGAGACCGCAGCCTCGTCCGGAGAGCTCGGCCCGCGCGAGTCGAGGAGAGGAGGTGTCGTGCTAGGTGGTACAGAAGAAACAGTTTGTGCACGACCTCGCACAGCGCGAAGCATAAACAGGCTCTGTCGATAATTGCCTCTGCGCGGGTTCGTGTGGCGTCTCGAGGAGGTGGGTAGAGCATGATTGTCACCACATGCGGGATGAAAGTCATGTTTTGTCGGGAGCTCTGAATGGTGCGTGCTGTACGGAAAGAAATTCTGGGTTTTGATTTCGAGGGTCGTAGTGTAGGAGTGTTTGTTAGAAGGCGCCAGGGAGGAAATTGCCGAAGTGTGCGCGGCGCTGGCCAAGAATCACATGTTGGGATGCGGCGGGCTTTGAGTGAAGGGTGGAGATTTGATCCGGGCTAAGCACTTGCTACGAGGATGCATACTGAGTGGAAGGTTTGAAAGGATGGATTGGAGCGATTTGTGTTACTCGTTGCATCTAGATCATATTGCCTGAACAAATGCTGCAAGGAGAGCCTAATAGTATCCTCGTTCGAAATTCTCGAGTCTACAACCCATATCATTCGTCTGCCATGTCTCACCGCCTTAATAAACATGATAAACCATCGTCGTCCAGCCGCCACTTAGTCCACCAGCAACTAAATATCCAAGCAGCAAATGTCTTCGCCCATCAGCCAGGCATGCCAAAGCCAAGGTCCTGAGATCAGGCGACTGACCCTAATCATTGCCGTCGTCGCCATCGCCGTCGTCGTCCCTGCGCAAGACCGTCGGCAAGGATGGCTATCTCAGCGGTACTGCACCTTCACCTGGTGAAGTGTCTGTTAAATCCTCCACCCGCATGTTATTATCAGATCTGCCGTACATTACGGCCTCTGGGTCCCTGACGGTCAAAGCATCAGCAGGTGCTTCTGGCCGCTCAGCTAGCGGAACGCCAATCCTCGTAGGAGGCAACTTGTCAGCCGCGACAGGAGAAGCCGGTGGATGTAGGAGGTCGGGCTGCTTGTATTCCGTATCCTGCGTGTTGTCAGGCGACGTCTGATCCGCAGCAGCTCAGATGTGGGTACATTTGAGATCAGCCTTCCAAGCTGGGAAGACAGCCTGGAGGTCCTGGACGATGGTCGTTGGCTGCTCGTTGGTTTTGGGTCGTTTGACAGTCAACATCATACCATCCGCCGTTGAGGTCTCGCAATCGCCTAGAGTCCAGCCCTTTTCTTGGAGATGTTCCTTGACTTTGGCGCATTTGACATCGTGGCTGGCTGCCTTTCCGAGTTGGAGTTTGCAGATTGTGTGTGAGGATCCATCGGCCTTCGTGATGTCTTTGCAATTGCAAGATGCGGGTTTCTCCCGCTTTGCATGCCTGGTGTCGAGGTCACGGCTATGAAGTCGTGGCCTCGTCCCGGTACGACCTTCTTTATCCTGGCTCGGAACCGGAATTCTCTCCATATCCATAGCGACAGATCGCTCGTGTTGTCCCGCATGCTCCTCAGTCTTCATTGCACGCGCCAGGACTTGTTCGCTTGCGCCGACAATCTCCTTGAGACCTGCAACATGATCATTGTGGGTCTCCGGGTCGGGAGTGCTTGAGGTCCCCAAGTCGTGCGAAGCCATTTCATCAGGGGCCAGGGAGATCACAACGCTCGAGACTTTCTTCCAGATGTAGCCTGTCCAAACGTGAATTTGACCAAGGATCTCTTTGAACCTGACAAGAGTTGCCTGCTTCGATCGAAATCCATAGGGCTTGTGTACCTCGGAGGTATTGGTAGTTTCGTTGAGGGTAAAATCAGTACAGTTCGGGACCGGAGGACGCATCTCTTTCTTGATTGAAGCACCTTGTGCGGCCGGGCCCCGAACGGATGATTGGCCTCTGAAATCAACGCCGTGATCTTCATGATAACCAGGTCCGAGCGCTGCAATAGAATTGCATTCGTGAGTCTGGATCCATCGCATGGCTGGGAACACCTGATCGATAGCCTCCATTATGGCGACAGGGTCAAACCAAGCAAACATGCTGAATTCGATCCACGTCAGTCCGGCTGAGTCAGGGCGACAATTCCAGTCGATCAAAGGCGAGACCTTTGCGAGTTGCACAAAGGCATTTTGACAACCTGTTGACACAGATTGTTAATCATATTCGACCAAAAGCATGTAACTTGGCTTACTTTGTGGCGAGCGAGCCATACCCACGTCGATGTGATACTGTGTGAGTCCATCGGTGGTTTTCTGGGCCACGAGACAACCGTAGCCTGCCGTGACGCGCTGGCGCGGTGCGTCCACAAAGGGCGGTCGCGGGATTGCAGAAGCTAAGGGCGCCAATGCCCAGGTCGTAAGGGCGAGGGCGTATGCTTTTGCTTGGACCATGATTGGAGAGCTATCAAGCTCTTCAGGTTCGGTTGCCCAGACTAGCTTGCAGCAAGAGGGTCTGATGTCTGTCAGAGGCTTGTTCTAGCTAGCCGGGAACAACGTGGAGTTGTGGGTGAGGTACAGAAGATGTGGAGAGTATGATAGCAGAATAATGTAGGATATGAGGGTTCTTAAGTAGCGCATTTACGAAACCTCGCCTGATAAGCCAGCGGAGCAAGGCTGGCAGAGGGCATGACAAGAACTGCTGAGCGTAACCGAATTTGAGAGACGGCAGAAATCAAATGACAACGAAGACCATCTTCGAACGCCTGAGTATGTTGTCCACGTCGTGATCGACCCAATCGAAGGTGGCCCTAAGCACAACGCCACGAGGATGGGTTGAACAGACCGCCACTCTAGCTCATCACCGGCTGCGTTTCTCCCACGGGTTTTCCATTCGGATCAGGCGCGCTGATATTAGCAGCAACATTCTTGATCTCCTTGTACCAGGCGTCGGCCATCAGCTGGTAGCCAGCGTCAGTTGGATGTGTGCTGTCATTCGTATGGATTTCGCTCTTTGGGACCACGTTGTACATGTCCACCCAGCCTGTCTTCTGACCTGCTGAGCTGGCATTTTGCACCGCTTCGTAGAGACCCGGGTTGAGCTTCTGTATACATTCATCCGTGGAGTCCTTGAGGTTCGGGACCAGCGATGAGGCAATGACCACGGCGTCAGGTGCGTGCTGACGGATGTTGGCAAGAAGTGTTGAGTATCTTTGCGGAGCAGTCTCGGGGTCCTTACCGGGGATGTTGCAGTCGTTTGTTCCTGCGTTGAGCAGTATTACGTTCGGCAGGTAGTCGTAGCAGCCGTCCGTCAGGGTGACATTGTCTACCTCTTCGATCACATAACCTGGGTGGCCTTCATTCCAGTTGTTAGACATGTTGCCAAAAGAGACAGTGCCGACGTATGTGACCGAGTTGCCGTCTGCTTGGAGGAGGTTGCGAAGATCGAGTCGGTATCCGTTCTCATCGGAGGATGCGACCCCTCGAGTGATAGAAGCCCCCATGGGCATGATCCGAAGGTCTGCCACGGCTCGTGACGGCAAGACCGCAGCAGATACTGTTGGGCCCATGAAGGCGAGTGTGAGTGCATTGTTCAAAGTATACATCTTGTGGGTGAGAAAGAAAGTGTTCGATTGTTTGATACTCGGGTGAGCAGTGCCCCAAGCAAATGGCAGAGCATCTTTTTCTTTCTTATAGACCAACGCATCTTGCCTTCGACATCCTTAGTTAGCATTATACTCATCTCATCAGCGTCATAGCTGCTCTGTACACGGTCGACAGAGAAACTGTGCGTTTTTCGCAATGCCTCTTTCAGCTAGGCATCCGAAGGAAGTACGACCTTCCATCCTTCGCCAAGGTCATCCCTAAAAAGTCATTCTATTATAGTGACAACGTGCATGCTGTGAGGTAAGTGGCCAAGTGGTAGCCGGTCTGAGGTGAAGTTGGGTGTCACATGCTGGTATGGGTGAAGTGAAGGGAAGTTGCTGCTGGAAGGTGAAGTGAGCCTGAGGCAATCGGACACCAGCAGCTATACCTGATCCGAATGAGTGGGCTGAGAGTCTGAGACAACATCTCCTCGGCAACGTCATCCCTGTTTCCTCTCTCCATCGTTTCACCACAACACTGACAACACATCCTCACCTGTAGCGTGCATCAACACCGCCATTTGAAGCCGGTGCGTGTTATCTGCCAAGTTGCGCCGTATACCATTCGTTATCTGGTAGGTCGACTGTGCTGCGAGGGTATTGCGGATCCAATGCGCTCTGCTTGCTAATGCCAGCTCATCAAACTTCCGCAAAACGTCATTTATTATTTCCGTTCACAAGGAACAGGTCATGGCTTATTTCATTCTATCACCCTGACTAATTCTGGACACTCCAGACTTCACACTCTCAGGAGCAAACACAGACACAATGGAGACCATCAAGAACATTGCTGCAAAGCTCGCGGGCAAGGAGTTGGCATTGCCCAAGGATTCCCTCATTCTTGTGACTGGAGCTTCTGGCTACATCGGGTCACATGTCGTGAACGAAGCTCTCTTGGCTGGCTACAAGGTCCGCGGCACTGCTCGTTCGCAGGAGAAATGCGACAACACCAAGAAGATCTTCAACAACCACCCCAACTACTCGACTGCCATCGTCGCAGACTTCCAACATGAGGGCACGTTTGACGAGGCTGTCCAAGGCTGCGATGCGGTGATCCACGTTGCCAGCGACACCACGTTCGGTACCGATCCCAACGTCGTGGTGAAGCCGACAGTCGCTGGTGTATTGTCCATTGTTCGCTCGGCCGCCAAGACTCCAAGCGTGAAGCGCTTCGTTCTGACTTCATCTTCTACCGCCGTTACTCTGCCAAAGCCGGGCAAGGAGTTCTCTGTTGGTGTTGATGATTGGGACCAGGAGGCCATCGATATCGCATGGGCTCCGCCACCATACACCAACGAACGGGCCTTCCCGGTCTACGCTGCGTCCAAGACCGAAGCCGAGAAGGCGTTCTGGAAGTTCGTTAAAGAGGAGAAGCCAGGATTTGTTGCCAACTCGATCTTGCCGAACTACAATATGGGTCGTATCCTGCCAGGCGGTTCGCCAGGCGCGACAGGCGGTGGCTGCATCTCCGTCCTGAAGGGCGAGACCCCATCAGCGCCTCCACGTAAGTCTGTTCTATAGTGGCACAGTCAGTAATCAACTGAGATTTCGCAGAATACATGATCGATGTCATTGACGATGCACGCCTCCACGTCATTGCTGCTGCGCTCGACCCATCCATCAAGGATCAGCGCATCTTCGCCTTCCACTGCCCTTTCAATTGGACCGATATCATCAACATCGTGAAGGAACTTCGTCCCAATGCGAAGAGCATTCCCAAGGCCCCAGAAGGCGAGCAGAGAGACCTCAGTAAGGTACGTATCAAGTCATACCTACTCACCAAACATTTCGAAGAATGAAACTGATTGATGTAGGTGCCGAACGAGGTTGGTGCAGAGCTTCTCAAGAAGTGGTACGGTCAGAATGGCTACAAGTCTCTCAAGGAGAGTGTCAAGGAGAACCTCGAAGGCGTTGAAGAATAGACTTCATCCGAGGTGATGCAATGAGCTAGAATTGCAGCGAGCATGGTAACCTTTCAGGACTTGCGATACGGCTGCGGATCAACATGCGTTCGCTGTGTCGAGCATGAGAGTCATAGACAAGACAAAATGCATATCTTACCCTCACCTCTATGATAAGGCGCTTATCACTGAGTTGAGCCACATTGGTGCCGCTAATTCTGTTGAGACTGACTAGAAACTCCGAGCAAATGTCAAGCTTCATTTGCTCTTCTCAGACGTATTCGATCAGATCAATTCGGACCCGCGAACGAGACAGTTCCATATGCTCTTCCTACTCGCCTACAGCTCGGCAAATTTGGCCAACTCGGCTTTGGCCTGGCGTAAGGTTGAAGTAAATCACCCAGCTGCCATTTCGAGGTATGGTTGAGTAACATGCGCTAGAGACAAATAGGTGCTGATTCTCTCAAATGGCGATGCAACAGCATAACACGTGTTTGTTGACGAACAGCTATAAGAGGATGGCATTGCTCAGATTTCGCATGTGTTGTCGTCGTCACTGCAACATGAAGTTTCTGCACAGCATCTCGACACTTGCCTTCGCGCTCTTAGCTCAAGCCCAGAGCGATACCGAGAACTACGCTATATCACTGGCTGAAGCAGCATTTAGAACGCTGCAACAGTGGTACAACCCTTCCAATGGACTGTACGGTACTTGTCCGTCATGCTGGTGGGAGACAGCCAACGCCATTACGACTATAACGAATCTGATGATTCTGGATCCGGGGACTACGCAATACGTTCAGCCAGTCTTCGAGAACACCTATGCCGTGTCTTCAAATCAACAGGGCAACAGCAATTGGCTTGGCTACAACTATGACGATGATGGTTGGTGGGCACTCGCATGGATCGCAGCCTACGACGCTACGGGCGATACGAAGTACTTGAGCACAGCCGAGAATATTTTCGATGCAATGCAACAAACGTGGGGCACATCTTGCTACAATGGAGGGATTTACTGGAACCAAGCTCGCAACTATGTCAATGCCATCACCAACGAGCTGTTCATGTCTGTTGCTGCACATCTATCCAATCGACCTACCTCCAGAGGAGCAGGATACTACTCAAACTGGGCTCAAGTGACATGGTCATGGTTCCAGCAGACAGGCATGATCAATGGACAAGGCCTCATCAACGACGGGCTCGATGGCAACTGCAACAACAACCAAGGCGCAGTCTTCACCTACAATCAAGGCGTCGTCCTGGGCGCTCTCGCAGAACTCTACGCGCAGACCGGAAACCAGGCTTTCCTCGGCTCTGCTGAAGCCTTAGCAGGAGCCTCCATCGGCGCTCTGACGAATGGTGACCAGATCCTGACCGAGCCTTGCGGTGCGAGTTGCGACTCGGATCAGACGCAGTTCAAGGGCATCTACATTCGAAACCTCGTTCTGCTGAACAGCGTGGATCCACATGACGAGTACGGCGAGGTGATTTCGGCTTCAGCGAACAGTATCTGGGCGAACCATCAGGATTCGAATGACGTTCTGGGTGTCTTGTGGGAGGACCCTTTTGTAGATGGGGCGGACTTCTCGACGCAAAGCTCGGCTATGGATGCGTTGAATGCTTTTGTTGAGATCAATCAACAGAGGATACACTCAACTTTATAGGGCAGTGCAGTAGCCATCATGAGAAGCAGAAGTCCAGCCACACACTGCAAATGGTAGCATGGAAGAATGGAACGCCAAGTAACACCATAAACGCAACTCGAACCTAATTAGCACAGGCTTGCGAAAGGATCCGAACTTGAACGACATCTGGCATACTGCTCCTACAGTATGTAGCGCGGATCAATAAGCTAGCATCACTGCATCACAAGGTCCGAACTGCGCCGCAGAGCACAAGAGAGCTCCAAGAACTTGCTGAGAGCTGAAAGTGAGACCGCTCTGAAGTACCTGCTCTACGACGATGGCCAACATGGACCACGAAAATCTGAGGCATCTGCAGGCTGCTTTCAATGCCTCTATCGACGACTTCATCAAGACAGCTTCTGAGGATGGGGACAACAAAGGACGAATTGCTGAGCTGCAGGAGAGTATCACCAACCAAGCTACTATGATACAGGCAGAGCTTGTTCCCCCTATCACAAGGATTCTTCAAATGTCTTGGGGAGTGAGTAGGACCTGGACGTCGGCTATGAATGCCTTGCGTTGACGATATAAAGGCATCCATCAACCTGGCTGCAAGAGTCGCTATTGATCTAGATCTATTCAACAAGATTCCAGAGAGTGGGATTGGACTCGATGAGCTGGTGGAGAAGACAGGGGCTAGCAGGAACATTGTTCGTGAGTAGCCTCTTCCTGACTACGATATTCTTACGAGCATTGAAGCTGACAATGTGGTTTGCAGTACGAATTCTGCGGATGCTCACAGCCTCTCACATCGTCGCTGAGATGGCACAAGACACATACGCCGCTACGCCAGTGTCTAAGCTCCTCACAGTCCCCGAGCTCAGAGATCTGATTAAAATGACGTTGGTATCCTACTATCACTTGGCACGAAGAACGTACAGCTGACCAGACATTTAGCCACGATAACATGCACCCAATCCTTTCGGCCACACCAGCTTATTTGAGAAAGACTGGCTTCAAAGACATGAGTTCAACGGCCAATGCCTGCGTGGACCTATACGGCGTACCGTTCTGGGAAGCCATCGCACGGGATCCAGAGCAAATGGCAGCCTTTCAATCCGCCATGGCGACCCAGGAGAACCTCCCGCCGGAAACGGTCCCTCAGTACCCTTTCTCCGAAGACTTCAGTGACATTGCCCCTGACTCTGTCCACCTCGTCGACGTAGGCGGCGGACGAGGCTTCGCTTTGCGAGATCTCCTAGATAAGTACCCCGACTTCCCCGGTCGACTCGTCCTACAAGAATACCCTTCCGTCATCGAAGACGCAAAGAAAGCAAACCTCTCCTCACGAATCGACCTCATGCCCCACGACGCAACGCATCCCCAGCCCATCAAAGGCGCGAAATACTACTACTTCCGCCGCGTCTTCCATACCTGGCCAGACGTCACCGCCATCGCAGCCCTCAAAGCGCTGCACGGGGCGTTCAAGAAGGGCTATTCGAAGGTTCTGATCCAGGACGAGGTTATTAGGGATGTTGGGTGCGAGCCGCAGAAGGCTTCGCAGGATATCAGTATGATGATGCTGGGGGCTATGGAGAGGAGCGAGGGGCAGTGGAGGGAGGTTTTGAGGGAAGGTGGGTTTGAGATTGTGAGGATTGTTAGGGCGGACGTTGGGGGGTTGGGGGTTATTGAGGCTGAGTTGGTGGAGTGAGGATGGAAATTGGAGCATTTGTTTTCCGCTGAAGAATGAGAAACGAGTTCTATACAAGTGACTGGCGACTCCCAGAATGAAACCGACCTTCTGTGTCTCCACCCTCCCGCCCCTTTCGCACCATCGACCCATTAGATTCCAAAAAACCCGCCCAGTCCAGAAGCACTCGAACTCTCACCCGCCGCCGCCTCCGAAGTCGTCGAACCCGCCCCACTCGCCGTCGCACTCCCAATCTTCTCCTCCAGAAAACTCGCCGCCTCAGGAACATCCGTCGTATAAGTCAAATGCCCCGCCGTAACCATCAACGTCCCGCTACAAACCCCATCACTAGCATTACAGAAGACCTTCGTCTGCTCTTCCGGATAATCCGGGATCGCGCCGCCGTTCTGCAGGTTCTTCGTGTAGCCGTAGAGCACCACGCCTTTGACTTGCGCTTTCACGGCGGTGTCGAGGGTGCCGATTGAGCCGGCCATCACGGCGGCGCCTTGGCTGTAGCCGCCGGCGACGACTTTGGAGTTGGGGCATTGGGAGGAAGCGAGGTTGAACATTTTGGTGGATTCGTCGAGGGCGGCTTGCGTTGTGCCGTCTGGGAGGGCGTTGGAACCCAGATCGCCTAAGTAGGCTCCTCCTACGCCCTGGCAGGCTACGGCGTCGTCGCCGAGGGAGTCTTTGAGGGCGGAGCAGGTTGAGGGGCCGACTGTGATGCCCTGGTGAGAGCCGTTAGTGAGCGTCGTCATTGATGTGAGTTTGAATGCTTACCATGTTGCCAGGCTCAGTCGAACCACGGGCGAAGATGAAGATCACGTCGCGGCAGTCTCCATCTTGTAGCTCGTCAGATGTGGACGAAGAGCCACCGAGCTGGCGTTGGCTGATGGGAGAGCAGGAGACAGTGGCTGCCAGCAGCCCAAGCATGATTGCTGAGAGCATATTGAATGAATGTGAAATGCGAGGTAAAGCGAATGACTTGAAACTGTACAAGACTGATGCTCTCTCGAAACCGATCTTGCTCCAACCGCTTCATCTTATATGTGCTGCTTCTTGCCTACTGTTTAGAGCCGAGGAAGTTCGACGTCGACCGGATGTGGTAATCGCATCGACTCTGCTGTGATCACGGGAGAGGAAGGTCGACAGGTGACGGCAGCTTTGAAGTTGAAACACGAGACCGAGCAACATGGCAGCAATCCAGCGAATGTGCACGTCTACCAGATTTCTCTTTCCTCGGAGGACCAGCTAGTCATCTGTACTACCAGCCGGATCAGAGCAGATGACCGAAAGGTCAAGATTGAACGCGCGAAAGTGGTGTCACCACAGCATCTTCCGTACGTGGTATGAAACAACCATCGAACGGGAAGTCCTCGACGTCGAAGAAATCAAGAACGCCATGCGTCGGCGATATATATATGCCACGAGGTATACCCTGTCGGGAGACAATGCTTCTTCTTCGGGTGATCGGATCTGAAACGCAGCCGGAGAAATGGCTTAACGTTGTGTTACTATTCACTTGAGCCGCGGGAGTCAAGGATCTGAAACGCGATTTCCTGAATTGGAAGGAGTGCAAGCGGTCGACAGAATGATATGTGGCCATGGTACAGTTGCCTTGAGAAGTTCGGCGACTGTGTGATGTTGTAGTATCTTGAGGCAAAGGTCGCAACATCCACGGTTCACGACATGCGTGGTACGTTGGCGAGCCTGCGACTTGTCAGCTTCGTCTACGTCGCTTTATCAGAGAAGAAGGGCCAGCAGTTGCTTGAATTGATTCTGTGCCATCTTTCACTGACTCGTCCCAGAACTCAGCAAGATCAGGGCATGGCTTTAGTTGAACTTGGCAATGAGGCATTTCTGATCTTTTCTGAAGGCCCCATAAATGCTTCGCACGATGAAGGATTCCAAGTAGTGGACATTGTCCTCAGCAGAATAGGAAATCTTTGCGGTTGATGACTTCGTGCCGGTGGCATCGTCGACTTCACCTTGCTCTCGCTTGCCATCTCCAGTTCTCTTCACATCCTCAATTTTCTGTCAAGCGCAAGTATGAGTTAGTGTCCAGGCAAATGTCGATGCATATGGTACAGTAGCCGGAGGACAAGGGTATCTGTGAGGTGCCAAGTTGAGTATTAGACTCTATTGAATCTTGAGTTTAGGCTCCAAGTTTGTATTTCATCCAGCTCACTCGCATCCAGGATGTTCGACCCTTCTTCCTTTGCCGCCCTCTCGAAAAATGCTGAAAGATTGACGTCTGAAGAGTCAACACAGAGACCACGAAGAAGCCTCGGGGCTGCGTTGCCATTCAGCTGAGCCTGAGGAGCTGGCTGTTCCAACGCTTGCCTGCACTGTCACGACTTTCCATCCCAATCGAATTTCTCACCGAGTACGACTGCCGCCGTGGTGGAATTGCAAGAGCATTGGAGACGAACGCGATGGCTGTACGAGTCGTCGGAGCCCTGACGCGCTGCGGCTCCGTGGCCGTACGCCGCGTGAGGTCCAAAAGCCGCTCAATGCACGACGCCACGCTGCTTGAAGCATCGATCCTGAACCATACCGGCCGTAACGCAGCCACCGACGATGGAATTGTTCATCAATTCGATGATGTTGATGAAGACAAGGCAGCAACAAAAGTTGATGCTGTTCATTCGATGCCGGGGTTCAATCCCGCCGGCTTGGCGCTTTGATACCTTCCATTCGGTACAGTAGTAAGTCCGTTGCAGAAGAACAGGAGCTTCTCTTCGTCCTAAGCCCGGCGAGGCTTGCATGAGGCACGCGGCCGATTGATGCATTCATCATTGGGTCCGGTGTGGGTGTTCTGGGTGCTGTTTGGTTAACATGAGATTCCTCTTCTTCCCTTCGCTCATTCCAAAGCCTGCCTCCAGTTTGCAGCAATACATCCGTATTCAGAAGCAGCTCCCTGCGATTCAGTCACCACTGCGAAGCATCTGCCGAAGACGATACGCGACTACGATGGCCTCGGTCAGCATATCATCGCCCTCGAAGCCGTCACCCACGCCCGAAGACGCCGCGGCGAAGAAGCACCACAATAAGGAAGGCAAAGGCTTCATCAATCCGTGGGAGTCGTACCACGACATCAAGCCATGGCAGTTCATGAGATACGTCTTCCTCGGCAAGATGTTGGGAGAGCGGAGAGATCCAGATATCACACCTCCGACTGTGCCAGTCCACAAGCCGGACTTTCTGCCTTCGCGAGAAACGAAAACGCTGCGCGCAACTTGGCTAGGGCACGCGTGCTTCTATGTTGAGTTTCCAGGAGGCTTGAGGGTCCTGTTTGATCCGGTCTTCACCCAGAGATGCTCGCCTATCAGCTTCATGGGTCCCAAGCGATATACAGACATGCCATGTCAGATTGAGGATATCCCATACATCGATGCAGTAGTGATCTCGCACAATCACTACGACCACCTGTCGCATCCGACCTTGGTCAAGATCTTGGAGAAACACAAGAATGTTCAATTCTTCGTGCCCTTGGGAAACAAGCCATGGTTCGACAAGTTGGGATTCAAGAACGCAACAGAACTGGACTGGTGGGAGGAGCGAGAGCTGCGGATCTCAGCCGCAGAAGGAGCCGAGAAGGAACTCTCGGCGACCATCTCTTGTCTTCCTTGTCAGCACACCTCAGCTCGCGGTGCGTTCGATCGGGCACACACTCTTTGGGCGTCGTGGTCGATTGCTTCTGGTGGAAAGAAGGTCTGGTTTGGCGGCGATACCGGCTACCGCGCTGTCCCAAAGATTGACAATGGCGAGTTCGATTATGGAGGGCAGCATGCTGAACTGCCTCATTGTCCTGCGTTCAAACAAATTGGCGAACTGAGAGGTCCATTCGATCTTGGCTTGATTCCAATTGGAGCGTATGACCCACGATACCTCATGTCACCGATGCACGCCAATCCATACGATTCAGTCAACATCTTCGTCGACACAAAATGCAAGCGAGCGCTTGGTATCCACTGGGGAACTTGGGTCCTGACGCAGGAAGACGTGCTGGAGCCTCCACAGATGCTGAGGAAAGCTCTGAAGTGGAAGGGCCTGGACGAAGACGGTGTCTTTGAGGTCTGCGATATTGGAGATTCTAGGGAGTACTGAACGGGAACCTTCGAACCGCATTTGCATCCTGATTCGAGCGAGGCGTTGGTGGTCCTGGATGTATTGAGCGAGCGTTTGCTGTACGATTAGCGTCGACAGTCTGTACAATACAGAGAGAAGAGCGAAGATGGGCTTTAAAGAGGACCGTAAGCTCCATTTTCGATCTCGTACCCGACTGCTCTTACGGTGCAGAGTGCGAGATTACTGAGCTTTGACTTCTCTGGATCCTCCACTTCCCTCATTACTCCCTATCGGTGCCATGAAGAGGATTCAATCTGACTGAATTTCCACTCAGATCGAATCGACCAGACACAGCGCTGCTGCTGCCTAGGCTCATATCACCCGCTAGCTGTGCTCACGCTTCTTGACTATTTTCATGTCTCTGCAGCTTGCTGCCATAGAAACTCCTCGCTATGTCGATGGATGCGCTGGACGCTGCTGTAGAGACCGGGATAGATCCAAGCAAATGAAGTGAAATCGGCACAAGGCGGCGGGCTGGGTGAAAGCTCTTTGCGGGCTTCTTTTAAGACATAGCTTTGTCGATGAACAGGGCTGTTTCACCTGCCATGGGTACGTGGTATCAAGCTGAGATTACAACAAACTCCTAAAGTCACGTCCACACCCTTCGACGCGTCCCACGTCCACACTCCTCGCCTTCGCCACTGCCACCCAACGCCACGAACACCACAGAAGCCCATACTCACCACCACCCCCTCCTCTCCTTCTTCTCCTTCCCCTCCCTCCAAACCCGCTCACAGTCCGCCTTGACCGCCTTCCCCAACAACTTGCCCTCCTTCTTCAACACCTTCGCCTGCTCCTTGCTCCACGCGCCATTCTTCTTCTCCGCCTTGACGTCCTTCAACAACTCCGTCAGCGTCAACGCCACCGTGTCGATGGAGCATTTCGTGCAGTGGGGCTCTTCTGCGTCGGCGAGGTCCGCGAGGGCTTCGCTGATGGTGAGGAGGTATTCGCGGTACTTTGGTGAGTGGAGTTGGGCGTCGAGTTGAGGGGTTGGGGAGGGGGTGTGGATTGTGCAGGTGCTGGAAGGGGTGGTTAGTTTGTGGTTTGAGTCTGGAGGAGGGGGAGGTATACGATGTTGTCTTCTCATCCGTGACTGTCTGAGGAGTTGAGGTCTCGGGTGAGTAGGCAGGGAGGACTGTCGCCGACATCTTTGAAGATAAATGCTTGAGTTTGACAGGAATGTTTCACTGAATCGTTGATCGACTTGTCAGACCTCATAACAAGGAGCTGCTTTAAGTCCTACTCATCCCTCAACAACCTCACATATATACTCCCCTTCCCCCATCGCTCGCCACCTCCAACGTATTGTGCCGCCTCCATAACGCAAGGCTGCTGAATTACCCCTTCAGTGCATCAATCTCCTGCGGCCGAGCTCGGATATAGCTGCCTATCGCTCGTACGAGGTCTTTCCTGCCAGCTTTTCTTTGAGATGAGAATGCGAGGTCGCTTGCGAGTGGTTGAGTAGGCAGATGCACGGAGTCGGATGGATATTGAGGTGGGTAGGATGCGGATGCGAAGATGTTGGAGGATAGGTGGTGTCGTTGGAAGAGGGTCACGTGGGAGGTAGAAGGTTTTTGGTGGTCAGTGAAAAGGGTTTAGCGGATTTTGGACGATGGACCTCACCTTTCACTTCTGTATCTTTGTTCGACCAGCATCGTGCCTTTTGCTTCTTCTGAAGTCCAATTTGCCGCCTCTCGCTGCTTTGAAAAAGGATCACAAAGGCGCTTCCAGAAGATTGAAAGATGCTCCATTGAAGCTTGAAGGCTTTGATGGTCTTGAGAGGCCTCCAGCTCTCGGCAACACTGCCAAGCGACTGATGGCCTGCCAGATGTTAGCGGACCGGGGGAGGGCCACCGAAGTGGCCCTCAAATGGACGGGGCGGGAGTGATACTTAATTTTTGCTTACAGTCGCTGCGGTATTACTCTCTCAGGTTGACTGCCTTGGGGTACTACCAGAGACGTTTTGCAAGCGGGGGGCACCCAATCAAGCCGGTCATCTGGGCAGCCCAAGGCAGGTTCAGGACCGACTCTGGTGATACCTTTGGTCGAGTGGAGCTCATGAGGATGACCAAAGGTCAGCCAAAGTTCTGCGACATGATAATTCCAGGCCGGAAGTGCCAATGACCTGGATGTGCGTGAAGTTGGGGGCACCAACGACGACGCAAGCATCACTGGCACTCCATCCTGGTCTGTCATGCTGTTCGCTTGAGTCCAACGGCAAGTGGTCTGGTTTCGCGTTTCCTAAATGCCGTACCGTGCCGATGCACTCGAGAACTTGCGAGACTTTGCGAAGTGCGGCGGGAGAGCGGAGTAATACCTGCAGCGACTGCAGAGTCGTCCATCGGATGCCGTGATCGTGGGATGAAGAGGAGATGCCAGCACCGATGTCTCGGATTTAGTGAGTCGGACACCCTTAGAAGGCTTTCCGCGAGTGTGTGAAATACCGACCGCAGTGGTATTGTAGCAAACGCCGGCCAACCACAGCACCCGAAACACCGTATAGGGCCGGCCAAATGATCCTTGCGTGTCGAATGACATATGCACAAGTCGATTTGATCGAGCCCAACGACAAAGTTACCCTCGTGCCACAATTGCCGTACCGCCGCCGCACTGTAACGCAGACGAGCTTTGCGCAATAGGTGCGGCGGTTGAGCCCATCGGTTCTAGCATCTCCTCTGTAAAAAGAAAAAAAGAAGCACCATCAACCACTTGTTCGGAGGTTCGCTGCAATGAGGACATAATGGCGTAAGCGTCATGTGAAGTTCACAAATCGCAAAGGCTAACAGGGGAGCCCAAGGCAGATTCCAGGACTTCTCGAGGCGGTACCTGACTGGATTGGATCCTGCAGGGCGCACAAGAGCGGTGTCCAACGACGATTTGGCCTGACCTGCGCTTTCAATGCCGTACCATTGCTGCCACACTCGAACACGTACAGGTATAGTGCAATAGTGTGTAGCGGCTGAACAAGGGGATGGTGGTGGGTGGTGGTGGTGGTGGTGAGAAGGAAGGAAAGTTCGAGGTGAAGAGCTGGGTACTTAAAGGGCGGCGGAGGGTTCGAGCGCCGGTGAAGGGCTGTCAGTGCGCGCGACCGTGCGTCGCTGCCGGGATTCATTCACTTGCTCCAAGCATGTGACGGCCAATCAGATGGCGCATTTCGGCGGCATCCTGCAACATGACGCATCACTTCCCTTCGAAATCTTCACCTTTTCTCGAGGAGAGGGCCAGTCCACGCACTGCAAACTTGACGTGCATGTCTATTTAAAGCCTACGCATTCTGTCACTCCTGCACACCAACCGGGTCTGTCTGCGCCAGCTTCTCTGCATTTCTACCACCGCTGCCGTACAACATCGTCGGTCAAATTCACCAAGCTTCGGCACACGTCCGCCATGCAACGCAAGACGCCCGCCCTCGAGCACGCCAAGCACGGCAGCACGTACGCAACTATTCAACAGGACCGACGAGAGAAGGAGGCGATTCAGCAACGCATCAAGGACCAGCAGCGACAAGAACTGATGGCAGCACAAGAACCGGCGAACGAGCAACTAGACGATGAGGAGCAGGTCTACGAGCAAGACGACAGTGGCGACGAGTCCTTCGTGTCTTCCGAGTCCAGCTCAGATGTGCCGGCGAAGGCCGGCGCCAAGCGCAAGTCCGATGTAAGTCCAATCATGCCTTTTAAGACAAAGCAAATGATGCAGTAGTAGCTAACTTGTATACAGACCGTCGAAGACAAGGCACAAACCGACGCTGAGGATCTCAAGCATGTTTCCCAAGAGATGAGGTCTCGTGCCTTTCGGATGGCTTCTCAGGCGACGCCAGGCGGTTCTGTGACCACGCAACCTGGCAAGCTGGATGTCTACGAGGAGCTTGTCACGATGAAATATCTGAAGTACATTCTTCTCAACAAGAGAGACTATCCTGCCAAGTTCAAGGAATCTGATTATGTGGCCGACATCGACGGTTACATTATTCGCCTCGAGAGCTTGCGCGACTTCTTCATGAACCACGCAGGCCCAGAGCCTGCGAAGCGGGCTCGTGTCTCTTCAAGCGCAAGCAAGAAGAAGGATTCTAGGGATGAACTTCCAGCAGAACCCATGACGGTCGACGATGTGGTCCGTGCAGCCAAGCCGCACCTCACATTCATGATGAAAATCAAGACGGAAGACATTGCGGATATCAATCAGGCCCATTCATTTGTCTCGCAACTGAGGTCACGCTTGAAGCAAGACGACACACACAGCTCGAATGGAGGCTATTACGTCTCCTCCTTTTTGGAGTCAGTCGAGGAGTATCACAAGATGTTGACCAGTCTCCAGGCCTATCACCATAAGGTTGACTCGGATTCTGCCTATGACGAGCGCTTGAAGGTGACGGTCAAGAGAGACGACGAAGACGCAGCCCAGTACAAGACGTCAGGTCCACTTGCCAAGGTTGATGAGGTGTTCCGGGAGGTCTCGAAGACGAGGGATCTACGGCGCCTTGAAGTGATACAGGAGCTGGTCTACGAGCATGTCTATGATCATGGAGGGGTCGAGTAGAAGCTGCGAGAGGACAATGCCAGACTGTCGTCTGCAAAGTCAAAGAAAGACAAGACGGTCCTCTCCAGAGACATATTTGCCCTCCAGTCCACTCGTGGTGTTCTCGTCGCCCTCGCAAACACTGCGACTGCTAGAAAGAAGGCCATTGCAGAAGCTTCATGAGCGAGGTCTCGATTCAGACACCTCACACAGCAGGCATTCATCCTGGTTCTGCCTGAACAACGCTGCGAACTGTCCTTGACGCCAACCAAACTGCACGATTTCTCTTACCGGTCACAGACCGACGATACATGCTACGACTTTCACAACGCATCACCCACTTCATCCGACTTCACGCATTCCCTCAGACCGGACAGAACCGAACAGGCTGCACACCTCGCGGCTAGTATGGACCCACTGGTCACGTACGAAAGAGCGAAAAACCACGAGCGCATTGATTTCGACGATACCCCCAAAGCACGGCGTTTTCTTCCTTTCTGAATTTCTGCCCCAACCGCGAATGCCAGGCGAGGTTGTTTGCTCTTCGGCGCAGGTCGACAAGGACTATCAGCTCTCCACGCTGAGGGTCTGTCGTTGACTTGCCTGAGCTAAACACCTCGCTGCTGCGCGACCCCTTTTCTCACCGAACTTGTTTTTGCTTTGCTATGATAATACCCCCTGATGTTAGTCACGAGGCTTGGAAAGTGCTGCTGAGGCGCTTGCGCGACGAGTTTGCTTTTTTTTGTGTATTGCGTTCGAAATTTAAACATCAAAAACCCCAACCTCCTCTCCTTTCTTTTTTTTACAGGTCATTCAAGGTTTGATGAAGTGGGAATTGTTGTCGAAAGTTCTTGTAAGGTCTCGTACTACAAGTGAAGTCTACGCAATCCAGCCCTGAGGAAATACCGCCCGCACTATGCCGTTGTCAAGCTTATGCCATCCTGTCAGATGAAACTTGCCTCCCCTCCACTCCACCAACAAAACCTCTTCCACATTATCGTCATCATCGTCCTCAACCTGCCTCTCAAATCGGGCCTCCTCATCCGTCAAAGGCGCAAAATGCGCACCCCGACGCACAACATCCATTCCCGCAAGTTGCAGCCAATGTCTATACTCCGAGTCACGCCCCTTCTGCAGCGCAAGCTTCTTCGCCATAGCACCAGTCTCACGCATAGCCTTCTCGCGAAGCGAAAGAGTATTCAGCGTGCCACTGAGAAACTCCTTATTCCATCCACTCGCGACGTCCTTCTCAAACGCGGCAGCGATATCGCCGGGAATGATTTCGACGTCACGACCACTGGTCTCTGTCGTTATCACGCGATTTGCGTTGGTGACAGGCCACGCGTCTCGAATTCTTCTGCGCGTGCTTTGTTCGCTTGGATAGTTCTTTCATCTTGTTGAGCTTGTCTGGGTGGAGTAGGATAGCAAGGGCGTGGTACGGCGATCGTATCTTAGAAGTGGTAGGCGCTGTGAAGTGGGCTATGCCGAGGACGTCGTAATGGGTGGCTCCATGGCCGACTTATACGCAGATGGCGGAGATGGAACAGTTGTTCATATTAGCTGTGTTCGTTCAGCGGTCTGTAAGGTGTTGCGAGAAGATCTTGATTGAGTATAACGAGTCTGTTGCGGAAGGGGAACCGAGGAGTATAGATGTCGCTACGGCTGCAGCATGGTATGGACAGCATTTGAACCTGGACGAGCTCACCGGCAGCAGAGCAGTCGGAAGTAGCATTCGATAACATCTCGTTTCTTCGGTCTGTTCTTTGTCAAGAGTGAAGGAAACATTGGAGCCACAGGTGATCATGACAACAATTTTGATGCATTCAATGGATCTTCTGACCCAAGCAGATGTAAGCAATGCACCGTGTGGGGACGGGAGAGAGTAACCGGTAAATATGAGGCATTCTTGTGTTGAATATTGTTGACTGAATGAAATGCCTGAAGGCCGGCTTGCTACATATCGCTAGCCTGCGCGCTGTTTTCTCATGGGCCTGCCGAGGTAGAGGCGAGCTCATTGATCTTGTTTCTTGGTGCGCACCATGTGTTTTGCTACATGGCCGAATGCAATGTCGAAGCGGGCCCCAAGCACTGGAGTTGCCACGTTAGTCCAGTTCCATAGTGCAGATGTCTTCATTGACTGGCTGGGGCGGCTCGACTGTTATAATTTGGTGTAGTGGACACCCCGGCGGAAGCATTCATGGTCCACTGCAGGATCCTAATTGATAGCAAAGGCCTTTGTTAAGCAGCAGAAAGGCTGAAGGACAAGGCGCCGAGGGGAGAGCAGTAAATCTCTTGGCAGACTGCCGTAGAAGCCGCCGCTGACTCCTTGAGCAGGTGACGTGGACTTTGTGCCTCAGCGACGTCAGTGCAGGAAGCTGATACAGGCAAGTAGAGCCATCGAGGCAAACTTGCCGCTGGACTCGTTGGAGGATCAGGTTCGTGGTGTTATGGTCATTGGGACCTGTAAAGGACTGCTGTACACTGGCTGATACGCTAGAGACGATAATAGTGTTTGAAATGCCCCCTAACTCAAGCGACGGGAGCCTTGGTCATGGCATCCATTCTTCCAGTGCCACGGCTTGAAAAGACTGCCATGATTCCAAACCCGACATAGAAAAGAGCGAGCGGGTATGCCACTAAGCCTCGCATATTCGTCATCCGGCCGACAACAATGAACATGGCCGAGCTTGAGTAAGTACACCATGCAATGGCCAGGCTGACCAGGCAGTATCCAATGAAAGTGTCCAGCGGCAAGATAACGCCAAGCAAGCTGGCAAAGACCAGCGGCAACAGGCAGTAGCCCAGGACAGAGCTCGATCGACCGAGTGTGAGTGATGAGGAGAAGTGTGATGATCCGTGGTAGCTGCCATTGGAGTTTTGTGCAGCGTTCATCTCTTCTTGGGAGAGTGGAGGTGACATCATGCTGAAAACGAAATGAAGGCTGATCGCTCCAAGGGCAGCAAGGCCGCAGACATATCCGAACCATAGCTTGCCTGTCTATACACGGTCAGTCACATGTCGCGGAGGTTCAGGGCTGTCATCGACTTACCAAGAGAAGGAACGTTCCAAACAATGCACAGAAGAGAAATGGTCCTGCCAGATCCGCGTCGTCCATGAGGTGCTGGTCTATCCGCGCCATGGGATTGAGAACAGTGAGTGTCTGTTCGCCGAATGTATCAGTCTATGCGATCCCCAGACACCCCGTATCTTGACATGTTTCCGCCTGAACATACCTTGCTCTGAATATGTTGAAAGTTGACACCCAGCTCTTCTAATAGTGGCGGTTCACCATCGTATCCTTCTGTGCCAAAAGCTGCCAACCAGCCAGTCCTCAAACCACTCTGTCCTGTGCCCATCTGCCCGCTTGCTCCTGGCTGTCCTGGAAATGCGCCAAAGCCATAATTGGCTGACGAGGCGCCATATGCATTCGCTTGACCATAAGCTTGACCCTGAGCACCGCTGCCGTACGCTTGAAACGGTGTGCTTTGCCCCGATACGGGTTGTGTTGAGTATGAGGATTGGTAGAAGTTGAGGTTGTTCTGGGCGGAATAGGGTTGGTTGGGAGGAGATTGGTAGCCGTAGTTGGCCATTTTCGAGGTCTCGGCTGTTTCGAATGGAATGCTTTATGACTTCGTATACTCTGACGCGGCGTGAGGGAATGGCGTGGTTCGAAAGTCGCGAATGTGTCTTCAATGAAAGTGGGTACGTTGTTGGCGTCAGCAGGTGAGGTGCAAGCTGTCGGGTTCGACTGCACGTGATCGGCCTTGGCGTCATCTAACTCTACTTGAGGACGTCTCCTGTCCTTCCTCATCACTACAATCATCTCGGGCAGCAATAATGGAGTCTTCCCTGCCCGTTTGCACTCGCATTCAATGCGCCCAAACATCTGGTCAAGCCAAGCTCTTGTGAAGTGATGTGTCGCAGAGCCGAAATGCACGTCCGGACGAACAACCCTCCTGACTGACCGGTAACTCGACAACCGCTCTGAAACACCTGGCAGCACCTCCTCTTCGGATAGCAGCAGTATCAGCTGCGGACAGAGCGGCCGTGGGACAACGGAGCTAATCAATGGACCAGATTGCGCCATATGCTCAGCTCTTGTACCACCTCCCACACTGGTTTCGAAGACGTACCCTAGGTATTCCGGCCAGAGTGGAGGATTCGTCCCTATTTCTCGCAAGCCACCTAATCGAACTAATGGGCGGACGGTGGCGTGGTCCCTAAACAACACTTCTATACGTTTCACTCTGAGCGGAACGACGAGGGTTCAACAAGACAAACAGCTCTGGGATGCACTTAGTCGCACACATGCCGACACGCCCATCACGCCGCCAAGTGCCACTGAGATCTGCGGAAAGGCGCACGAGAGCGTCCAGGTCAGTCATACCAAAGTATGCAGTGTGCTATCTCTTAGCAGAACTGTCTGCATGTGTAAGGCTAGGTTTCTATAAATTGTCCATTGTACGTACTGTGGTCTTTTGTGGCGTTTTGACTTGCATACAGATGCGAATCTCGACCAATGGACGTTTTGCAGCCCGGTCGGCGATTGTTCAGCTATGCTGCCAAGATCAGACGCCTCGCTGCCTTTGCGCTGCGAAGGGTGAGCTCCCGTGTTTGGCGACATACTGACCCTCCACAATGGCGGCCGAGCTCTGGATGCGAGTGTGTTGCACGAAGGGCTGTGCATCAAGCAGTGGTTACAACGAAGCCTTAAAGTGAATCCAAATCTTTCACTTCTGTTGCAGGCGCTTTTCCCGGCCCCAGTCTATGCGCAGAGCTTGAACGCGCCAATGCCAGTCTAGTCTTGCGAGACCTCTCTACACAATGGCTCCCGTCGACGACGTCAGTCGGCGCAGTGGCTCCATCGATATTTCAAATGCCATCGAACTTGCGCAAGTTGACTCGGCTCTCTGGACGCCTTCTGCGGCCAGTGTTCAAGACACCGGATATGCTCCCATCCAGCAAGAGCGCGAAAGCGATTCTGATACCGAGCCTTTGAAACCAAACCAGCATACACTTCATCACTGGGAGTCAGTCAAGCCCCGATTCTGGAAGACACTCTTGATCCAGCTTTTCGCGTTTCTGTGGCTGGTCCCTGTCACCCTTCTCCTCATATTGAACATCAAAGGTCACATTATTGGTGCCAGCGCTTGGTGTCCTGGCGGGCGCTGCTATCCAGCTCTTTATGCAGGCAGCACACTCAAGGCCGAACGGCAGGCCGCAGAACTTCCGGCAAAGTACGACCGCCAAACCCACAATCTTGTTGGAGCACTCCAATTTACGGCGAAAGCATTGGAAGTGTGGTTCATCATGATTGCGACTTGGCTGGTCTATCTGGTCACAGCCAAGCTGGCTGCGGCGAGCAGCGGGTTACCTATTGCTTACTTGACGAGACCGAGCGAGTTCGACAAAATACCAAGTCTATTAGATCCACTCCTATGGTCGACTTTGAGACGTTTGCCATCATCAAGGTCCAATGCAAGACAGGGGAGGCGGCGCATTTGGGTGTTTGTCGGCCTCACTATTGCCTTGTGTGCAATATGTAACTTGATGGGCCCGGCAGTGGCGGTGCTCCTGATACCGACTCTCCAGTGGAAGAACACCCGCAGGCATGCGGAAGCAAAGTTTTCGAGCTTCAATTCGAACAGCACCCCAAGCGTTGACGGTTTCGCATTTTCGGATGAGCCGTCCTGCACCGCTGCCAACTTCAGTGCGCTGGAATACTCATGTGCAAATCACTGGGCAGCAAGTCTCGATTCCTGGGTCGAAGGATATGGAGCAGCGCGCAGCAATGGAGGCTTAGTAGTCTCCCTTCAGGACAGCTTATCTTTCACATACAACACGACCATAGGCACCGTCACTGAGCCGGGCACCACGTTCAGCAGCGGAACCTTTGAGATGGTCACTTGGAGTCCCAGCCGTCAAATCCTTCACGACCTCTACCTTGACTTGAACAACACCGTCACTTTGTCCTCCAACGGTTATGAAGCGAACGACACGGAGCTTGTAGATCGGCTTCAGACTTACATGGAAGTGAACAACACAGTCCAGACTTTCCTCAATCGAAATGGCCCAATCATCGGCTCGCTGACCAATATATGGCTCGACTTCGATAATCAAAATCACTGGACATTAGATGTGGACACAGACCGGGGAGTCAGATGTTACGAGGGCTACAACCTCAGCAATTCACCCCTATGTTGGGGCGAGTGTGGTTATGACGATATGGAACCGGTCTTTGGTATCTACACCAAATGCATTCCCGTGGGTGTTGGCTGGCGCAATGGTTTCAAGACGAGGAAATTCACCATCGATCGTCAGTGGTACAAGAATGAATACTACTCTCCAGAGGTTGAGGTGACCGTGATTGCTACTGGTAAAGCGGGTTACGTTGGCAGCGATGGGCGAGCGCCCGTTCTCCCGGACAGGTGTTTCGACAGGAACGCGTATCCGTCGACTTGCGACTGGGACCTTTTCTGGAAATCAGAGCCCGACCCGAATGTCAAATATCGCTCAGACTTCATCAACACCATCGAGATGTCGTGGAACACTACTGGTATTTCTGGCTCTAGATCTTCATTCATCACCCTCGTGATCGACTTCGTGGCCTTGCAGAGCTTTGCCACGTACACCTTAGACCCGTCTGTTCTCACAAACCCCTTCTTTACGGCTGATTGGGCCCTTAAACTCCCAGAGAACGCGACGCTGAGCAATACCACTGTTGTGCCCGTCGCACCAGCCTGGACTCTTGCCGCTTGGGCCGCGGATGCGGGCGGTCTTGTTCCAAGTACGCGAAGCGTAGCTTCAGAGCTCCGGGACGTTCTCAGGTCAATGCGCGAGCTGTACGACAAACAGTTGTCGCCGGCGGAAATCGTTTGGGGAACAAGGGGAAGGCTCAGCAAGATGGCTCTGATGCCAATCGTGCAAACACTGAGTTTGGTCGACTTCAACACGACGGATTCTAGCGCAACACTCCCCGACGATGATCCTGAGCACCCGCTGCTTTACAGGTACAGCCGAATCTACGTCTACGCCTACGGACTCGCATCGCGGACCTCGTGGGTTGGTGTCATCGTCACAAGCATCGGTTGCGTCGTGGTACTGGCCGAAGTTGTGCTGGGCCTTCAGGACCGACGGAGATTTCGCTCCTTGACCCAACTGCTTGTGGCGGCCTTGGAGCATACATACAACGACGAGTTTCCCAAGCACATGCATCACGATGAGAAGAATATCGCGAGAATTTCATTCAAGCTGGATAATGTGCCGTATGGTGCTGGCAAGTTCAAATTCGAGAAGAGGGTGTAGTCTCTTCTCACGGCTGTTGACGATCATTGATGATGTGTAATGATGTAGATCACATACTAGAGTGTTTCCATTTCAGTTTGTCCTACGTGGACAAAGCGACTCAAGACTAGAGTGAAGCATTCACTCTCCCATACCTCTCCAACCTCATCAATCCGTGATACCCAACTCCACAACCTTCCAAGGAAAGTCATAGTAGTTCACAGCATCGCCCAACACAATCGTGCCCAAATCCATCATCACACCCGTCGGCAGAAACAAACTCCCATCCCTCAGCTCCCTCTTCCACCCACCCTTCTCCTTCCAAATCCACCTCTCCAACGCATAGTCCTCCCGCACCCGCAACATCCCCTGAACCACCTGCCCAACCCTAACAATCATGCCCCTCGCGCCAACCTCATCCTCCATCAACTGCAACACCGCCGTCTCCAACTTCCCATCCTTCCGCTGACTCACAACCGGCACATCCACCCATCCCTCCTCGTAGCTCTGCTCGCCCGCCGCTGGGTTGTAGGGGTTTTCCATCTTACCTTTCTCGAGCGACCGGCCGTTTTCCACGGGAATCATCTCGCCTGAGTCCTTGACCATTTCGGCTTTCATAGTACGTGAGTCGATGAGGTGTTCCCAGGTGCAGTGCGTCGTGGCGTCGCCGTCGCTGTTGTGTTTGATCTCGCTGCTTGCGAGGCCGGCGAATGCCCACTCCGTGCCTTCGGCGGATTGGATGCCGGGTGGCAACCGGGCTGGGTGGTAAGTGTAAATCTTGAAGGCGGCGCATGAGGGGGGGAAGGGGGGAATAGCTTTGTTCTTACCTCTGGAGTCTGCATCGTAGATACGCGCTCGAATGTCGACAAAGCGTCCGCCGGCCGAGGTGACGACGATGGTGTTGGTGTTTTCGTACGCGTCTGCTGGTGGCCAACGTATGTATTCCCGTGTAGAGATGTGGGGTTGATTCTTCATAGCCATGTTGACGGATAGCAGCAGTGCGGAAAAGGGAATGCGGCAAGAAGTGGCGATGCTGAGAAGGAGAAACTACCCAGGTAGTGTTGGGGAAGGTCAGAAAGAGAGGACAGACTGGAGTTGAAGGTCCAGCTCCAGCTGTTGCCAGGGTCAAAGCTTCAAGCAAACGGTGTCAAAACATTGACATGTGATAAGATAAGGAAGGCACGGAAGATTTGTCTTCATCATTATGTACATGTGTATGTCTATATACTCATTATATACAGTGGTTCGTCGCTTTGTACAGTATATTATAAGCAAGTATTGAATCCTCGTCGCCCAAAAGATATCCAAGCGTTCTCATTCTGTACCCCTTACATCACAGCCTGGCTCATTCTGCTCTGCTCAATCGGCAAGGCCGGCACTGGTGGGACAGCCGTGTCGAATGGGTCCATCTCTTCTTCGTAAGCCGGAGTCGGCGGGATGGTGCTCAATGTGTGACACTGGAACTTGTTGAAACTGTGAGCGTTGAAGTTGCTGTTCATGTTGGGGATGTTGCTGGGCATGCTCGTTGGACAGCCGGCCGACACGCTGTTGCGCACAAAATTGGGCGTGCGATACACTGGAATCGAGCCGCTGATGGAGCCTCTGGGCGCAGAGCCGTCACTCGCAACGCTTGCGCTGCGAGTCGATGGTGGAGACTGGAAAGCATTTGACATGCGGCGGAAGAGAACACTCGTAGCGCTTGAGATGCTCAGGTTGCGTGTGCTCTTCTCCTCTTGAGGGTCTGTTGGATCCAACATGTAGAACACGCCCTTCAAGCCGGCAGTTGCAGCGAGGACCGATGCCTTGACAGTGTTGCAAGACTCCTCGAGCCGAATGAAGTCGTCCATCTTCTGCTCGATAGTTTCAAACTGCTTGAACACCACCTCAGCACAGTCTGCGACCAGAGTGATGCCGGTAATGTAGACGTTGGCGGCTTCGTCTTGTGCGTGGACGGGCGTTTGGTTGATGAGTGCAATGGCCGAGTTCGAAAGCTTGTCAATGGCCATCTCTGCCTTATTCTTCTGCATAGTGATGTCCACGTACAACTTCGAGCGATCTGCTTGCTTGTCCTCGTCACGCATTGAGTTCTTCAGGCCGTCGTAAACGTTCTGGAAAGCATCTTGATGCATGAAAGCCAAGGCAGCATTGAGGTTGTCAAGTGCACACAACACCGTGTCGGCCTCGTCTCCAAGGATGGAAGTAAGCGATGCGAAGTGATTTGTGCCTTCGATCAAGCCGGTCGCCTGTAGCGATTTGAAAAAGCCGAAGTCACCACTGCGGCTAGCTGCATGCAGATTGTGTCTGACGAGCGCAATGCGTTGCGTCCAATGTAGTTGTTTGACGTTTGGAGTCGACATGATGGGGGTTAGCTCTTTCTGTTTCAATTCCAAGTCTAGAACCCGAAGTGGCGATGGGCTAGATGTCGAACGGGATATGTACAACGAAGATTGAAAGCAATGTTGGATGGCGAGATGGAGCGAGACTGGGAGAACGGCCACACCTACTCAAAGTATATGCTGCGCACACCCATTGTTGCTTGATGGTGGTGCCAGCGTTCTAGACATTAGGCGGCGACGCCGCCAAAGGCTTTTGTCGAAGGAGACCACGAGAGAGCGCCAAATCGGCTGCTGTTATCCATGCATTAGAGCAGCACACGATCGTTGCACCGAGTGAGACAGATGCGTTCGGTCGGTAGCGAGGAATGTGTGTGTGAACCAGACGGCTGGAGTTGCTTTTTCTTTGTAGAGGAACTGCTCGCGGAAAGCCTTCGATCGAGCAACAAGGCTGCGGCAACTCTTGTCGACATCTTCACAAAGGCAATGTAGTCGTTCTTTCAGCGGGGCGACACTCTTTACCAGACCTTCGGTACGTCGACTCAGAGAGACTGAGACATAAGATGATCCGATCGAGGCAGTACGTCAGTCTGAGGGCTGCAGCAGCATTTCTGTCCGAGCATCACCGTATGGGAGTTAAACAGTGCCCACGAGCAGCCATGGGTCGCGGCATGGTTGTCATGCTCGTTGTTCTTGTTGGTGGGTTTGCTGGGCTTGTCGTGTACGCCAGTGGCGCCGTTCTAAGAGCGAGCCAGAAAGTTGGATCGCGTCAAAGATATATTCCGTAGACGGATGATGATGGCGGTTAGACGGGTTGATCATGTTGATAGCATGTTGATGGCGAAGACACGATGATGGAACCCGACGCGAGAAAGGAAGTGGCTGGCAGAGCACGGGCCAACTCCGGACGACTTCACCTCCTGAGTGCAACTCTCACAATCCAACATTATCGGGCGACAACCCTCTCAAGGAGAGCTCAATCTCCATGAAAGAAGTTGGCCAACTACGCATAGCCTTTTCTGGCCCCATAATGCCTCGCAAAGCTCTTAGCCGTCTCACAAAAGGCGCATCTTTTCGAATCATGCGAAATGCGACATCTGACGGTGACTGTCAGCTCAGACAGATAATGTCTGCCTATCAGCAGACTTCTCAACTAACAGCACTCTATAAAAATGCTGCTGTGTATACGACAGAGTTCAAAGCCGTCTGTTCAAGGCGTACTCGACATCCTTAGCATGGCGCAAGAGGGGCTCTTCGCTAATCCCTGTCTTTGTGAGTCGTGACAAAGACCAAGATTGGGTTCTAACATCTCCAGGACGCTCATTAGCCAAACAAAGGCAGGTTGCCGATGGTTCTCATAACCAAATTCCACGCCTGACGATTTCTAATTCTCTGCCTCGTGAACATGCTCTTGCTACAAAACCATATGCTGCAGGTCAGCCTTCAAGACACACTTTCATTGGCAGCTACCTGAGGTTCCACTCGACACTCGAGTCGCTTGGCTTTCATCAAACCACATTTTGTGACCATGGAGCCCGGAACAGAATCTTGTCCCTGCCTTAAATATTGCTGCTCTGCATTTCACACTTACCAGGACGTAGAGCTTGCGAAAGCGTCCGACCTTACGAACGACATCATCCCGCTTTTTGCTCGAGACCGCTACCGATCGAAGATCGACTACTCTGTATTGGAGCCGTCATTACGCCTGGCGTCACAGCTGTTGAGCTCTGGGGGTGCTGCATCATGGCTTGTCACCATGGTAGATGGCGACATTCATTTCGTGCGAGGAACAGCGAAGGGAGCGAGAGTGCAATGGTCGGAGATTGACAGCATGCGTGACTCCGTGGGAATCGCTATCTTCCCGCAGCTTGCCCGACATCTCAAGGAAGGGTACTTTCAAGACGTTGAGAAGACAGGAGAAAGAGCGGCTCATATCCTGCAGAACCTGAGCAATATGATCGACATCGACTTCGCCAACCTGCCGCCAGACGTACGAGGATATAGCAAAGCTGTTGAGGGTCCTCTAGGCCCCGATCTGATGACACACTGGCCAAGAGGAGTTCGCAGCCAGGTCTTTGTCGCAGCTGAAAAGTACTTCGAGTTGTTCAAGTTGACCACACGGCAGAAGGAGGGCTTGCTGTCGAACAAAGAACTCGAACGGCTGCTCCTCACTCAGTTTTCCTACGCCATGACTTTAGTCCACGAAGTCGGTCACTCCGTTCACTGTGCGGCGGAAGGCTCAGTCCATCGAGGCGAACCCTTCTTCGGGGATTGTGCACTTGCAGAAGGTGGTTATGATCTTGAAGCAGCCATCTTTGGTGGTCTCCTTGACGGCAACATTACCATGACGACTAGACATTACGCCAAGGACTCTGGACTGTGTCGGCAAGCGAAAGAGCGTGTTCGCCAAGGTCAATATGTCAAGAATGCCCTCACACTGACGAAATGGCCCTCAGGGATATATCAACATTCCTATCATGCCGGGCATTCCATCATGGGGTCGAGAAAGGACCTTTCGCTCGTGGACGAAGTGGCCAGGGTGCCACTTTCATTCATCGGAGACCTGTTCTCGATGCGATACTGGGAGATTCAGAAGTCTGCAGATACTTTGGATTCTCTTCGAGTGCCAACTAGGGGCCAATGGCTAGTTGGTGCAAACAAGAAGACCGGGAGACAGTCCGTGTGTGATATCGATGATCCATCGACTGAACAGGCTTCGCAGTTGCGATTGATCAGTATTGTGCATGCAAATCGGTCGAACAGCAAGCCCAACGTCTCAGACGACATGTCCCTGCCCAAGGATTCAAAGAATGCATGGCTGGTAGCAGCGCTTCCCGAAGCAAGGTCAAATCACAGGCGTCTTCTTCGTTCAAGAAGAATTGTGGCAATGTTTGGACACGAACTGCGTCAAGTCGGCGGACTAGTTGTCCAGAGCAAGTGACCAGCATCGTGTGTGGAATCCGTAATCTGGGCTAACCCACTGCATAGTGGAGAGATTGGAGACATCTGTCGTCCACATTGATTTCCGGTAGAACTACATTACAGACCAACTGTCAGGCCAGGTGCTGCTCCAGAGACTGCTCACGTCTGGATTGGTAATATCGTACAGCAAATTATCAAGGTCAGGAAGGTCCAGATCAAACATGCCGAACTGATGCGGATTGCCTTCCAAGAAGCCGACTTCTTCTTGTGGCGTGTGCGGCAATGTATTGGCTGGAAGGCTCTGTCCACTGCCACCTGCCCGAGAAAGTGTGCGGCTTTCGTCTTGTATTTGTCCCTCGGCAGCTTCAGTCCTTTCTGTGGTACATGGTCGCAGAGAGCGTAGAAGTCTGGGATTGTGCGTCAGCTTCGTAAACCCCCATTCATTTGTGTCTACATACTCAGGAGTCTCGGATGGATCACTCAGAACAACCTGCTTCAGCAATTTCCTCAAATCAGGATTGGGCCCTGGAGGAGTTTCATCGTCCTCGTTTCCAAAGAAACAGTTCGCGAGTTCGTCATAGAGGTGCAAGAAAGGCGTGACTGCTGGCAGTGCTCGGCTGTATACCGTCAATGAACTCAGGCAAGAACTGATTGCCTGATGAGTACGTCTTCTAGGAAGCGCCTTCGGATCAACAGCCAAACACTGAAGGAGCGTGACACCGCAGAAAAAACAATGAAACACCGTGATACGATCCGGGAATGTCTGGCTGTCGAGGCTCAAAGTGCGTCCGCTCTGGGGGTTCAGTCAGCTGAGGTGGCAAACGATGACACAATGGATCGAACAGACCTCGCATGCTTCAGCAGCAAAGCTTGCACAAAGAGATAGAAGGGGCGGATCGAGGTCTGCTTGCAGCAAGACAGGCCGGATGAGAACAAGTACGGCTTGCAGATAAGTAGCTTGAACGCGATCTGGAGGCTGTTGTGGGGACCACGGTGATTCCCCTCTCTTCGGAAACTGATCTTTCCACTCATTTAACTCAGCAAGAAATGTTTGCACATCGCTGTATGACGGAACTTCGGCTGAGGGTCCCATGAATCTTGAGCTGTCTCTCATTAGCTGGAATAGCCTTGTGTTGCCGCGCGACGACCTACGTTATAGCGGAGCGAATGCGATAGATCTTTAAATGCTGCAGGGCCGAACTCATCTTCATATTGTCAGTGAAGGCCCAGTTCAGGCAAGAGGCCTACCAACCGTCGTCACACTAGTAGCTGCTGCTGAACCGCCGTTCGCCTGCCGTTGTTGCATGTCTTGTATCAGAACGTGATCCGTGCATGCATCATCAATGTTGACGGGCTCTTCTACATCTATGTCTGTATCTCTAATGCTGAACGGAAGCTTGGAGAGCATGGAGACACATCTTCAGTATTATTAGCACCCATGAAAATGCCTATGGAGTCTCTTCACATACCGATCGAAGCAATATGCACACCACCAGAATCTTTTGCGAAGTTCGATCGCTAGCGGATCGAGCTTTTCCATGCTCTTCATGTTCCTCAAGGAACGATGATATCGTAATTTAATGCAGAGATTCATCACCGTTCTAGTCAGGTCCCAGAGTGAAGGTCCCTTGGGTGCTCGGAAGCAGTACTGTATCATGCACAGCAGTGCTTGCACTGTGAATATGTCTTGTAGTCCAATCACGATCGGAAGGTATTTGCTTGCTCTGGCGAAGTACGCTTCGGAGCTCTCTTGGCCCAGCTCAGGGACAAATCGGGCACCAATTGCATAGATCATCCAGATGAAAAAGGCGGCAGTCTGCGACTGAACATCGCTCTCTTGAGTAGAGTTTAGGTAAGAGTCGCGTTGCCGGTGCCATTCGCGAAGCTGTACCCAGTCGATAATGCAATATCGAGCTTGAACGTAAGAGTATGCTGTCTCGACTATTCTCTCAGCCAGTCCTTCCTCAGGCGGATGTATGAGGGAGAGCGTCGGTGCATGAGCTCCGTAGATCAATATAGGCGAAGAAGTCCCCACTTCAGGCTCAAGAACGGGGAATTTGTGCGACTGGGAGTGCTGTACGTTGACAATGATCGAGATGGCACTTGGCGGTGATCTCATTCTTTCCCGAGAAACATGTTGGTTGGTCGCAAGCTCTCGCTCTGAGAAGTGGTTGGTGGTGTTGAACGACGCAGTCGATGTATTGCGTTCTTGCGAGGCATTATTTGGCGGGTGCTCGATCAAACCATGGTCACCAGATCTAGTTCTTAGAAGCTCCTGCTCAAGGTGGCGGATTCGATTCTCCAGACTGGATACATGCCTGCATTTGCATAAGCACATGCAACTTCTTTCGGAGTTGACCTTCTCACTCGTTCTGGATCGTTGGACCCACAGCTCGAACAGGAGGTTCCTCAATGTGACAATCTGTGGAGAAACTCATCAGCTACTGAGCACGAAAGCCTTATTGACAATACGGAACATTACCTTTGTTGGCGTGACAGCAGGCCACGCATCGACTATCAAATGCTTAGCGAACTCATCAGAATGTAATGAACCGGGCAGGTCGCCGCCATTATGGGTCGATGATTCCAGCGGAGAATATCGAACACAGGATCTGATCTGATCCGCCAAGTCGTGCCCACCATTCATCTGATAATTTTCGACTGCACACTACGTTTGAGCACGAAAAGGGAAACTAACATTTGGCCGTCAACTTGCAGGTAAGAACACTTTAATTTCATTCGCTTGCATCTCCTGCCTACAACTCATGGTCAGTATCAGCATCAAGGCAGCCGGTCCCTGTCTACATACAGGCATTTGTGCACCTTCTCTGGCCGCTCTCTTCATGTCGGCTTCTCTTCCGCTTCTTCGGCTTCGGCTGGGCAGATTCAGTCGGCTGCTCTTCCGACTGCTCTGGCATCGGCATTTTCGTGTACGTGATAAGATGTAGGATCACGCATCGCGCAGTAGTCAGGACGAGACGGGCATAAAGCAGGAGGTCGGAATCATCTTTCCGAAGGACCCCGGGAAGTGCGGGGCGGATTGAGTTGGCGCTATTTTAGCGCGCCGATGTAGGTGGATTGATAAGAGCGACCGGAATTCCCAAGAACCTTCCCGGCCATCGCCATGGATCGTCTGCCTCAAACTCACATCATCAGACTGAACACAATGCGAGCTGCGACGCCTTACGCAACAAGACGCGAACCATTACGAGCCAAGCTCTACATATTTGGCACAAAGTACAACGGCTCACATCTCACCTCAGTACTTCTGAAGCAACGCTGGGACGCCTTTTACATTGACAGGCTGTGCAGCAATTGGACATAAAGCGGTACATAGCTCAATTTCCATCCTCAGCAAGAGCTTCGAAATCAAGCGACAGATCCGTAAATGCATCGGCAATTCCGTGCCTTGCCTTCCATTCCTTCTAACTACTCATCTTTTATCTCGTTCGTCTGACAGAAGCTCGCGCGGTAACGAACTCATTGCTCTATAGTAGCTCAACCATCTCGACCATGACTACACCCGAGTCCAAGATCATCATCGTTGGTGAGTCAGCTTCCTCGTACGTCCAACCAACAACTCACACGCAATGTAGGTGCCGGAGTCTTTGGACTCAGCACAGGTCTACACCTGGCCAAATCTGGGTACAAAGACGTGACAATCTTTGATCGCTGCGCATACGACCAGAAGTTCTACAACCCGGCGAACGAAGGTTGCGATGGTGCGTCGTGCGATATCAACAAGATCTTCCGGGCTACATACGAGACCAAGAAGCAGTGAGTAGTCTGCGGAATCCCGACATGACTGGAACCTAATTATCTGCTATCTCCAAAGCTCGCAAGACCTCGCCCTAGAGGCTCGCAAGATATGGCTGCAATGGAACGAGCAGATACGAACTAGCAAGCCTAGCGATCTCCCAGCGCCCCTAACCCCTGACGATGAGGTTCTTGTGAACTGCGGTGTCTTCCATCTTGCCGACAAGCGTGAGATGTTTCCACGTTATCAGACGAATCTTAAGGCTACTGCAGAGACTGCGCCTGAGTTTCGCGATTTGATGTACATCAAAGTATGTTTGTAAATTGGGAATTTCGCTTGGCAGGTCGTAAAGCTAACCAACAATCTTCCTGAAGGACAACGCGGAAGATGAGGATCGAATCAGAGAACGTGGCGGTCAGTGGCATAACAAGTACCATCGATTCGATCACATGAGAAGGGGCGCCACCAATGGATTTCTTGACACTGGCGCTGGGATTACTCTTGCGGACAAGGTGAGCATCAGGGAAAAGCTCGGAGCGGCCTATCTATTTGCTGACAAAGGCCATTCGTCAGGCCTGCGTTTACGCTCGCCATCTCTGTGAAAAAGCAGGAGTCAAGTTTGTCCTAGGCGAACCACAAGGCTACCTCGAGTCTCTCATCATTGAAACTTTAGACAAGCAAAAACGAGTCGCCGGAATCAGAACCAGAGATGGCTCCTGTCATTTGGCAGACGTCGTGGTTGTTGCCTGTGGTCCCTGGTCAGCATCCGTCATCCCAGAAGCACATCGCACAGTCGAAGCCACAATGGGAACCGTCATGTTTATGGACATCCCAGAAGACCGACAAGACCTTCGCAAGAAGTTCCACTCAGACAACATTCCCGTATGGAGATTCATTGAAGAAGACGCAGACGGTGGCTATGAAGGCGGAGGCTTCCCTATCACTGCAGAGGGTAGGCTGAAGTTCGGCTTTCGAGCAAGAAAGTTCACAAACTTCCAGCCTCATCGAACTCAAGCCGACTTGAAGATCTCTACGCCACGAACGAAATGGAGCGCCAATCCAATTCACACAGTGCCTTCGTATGGTCTCGAACGCATGAAGAAAGTCATTGGCGAGCTCTTTCCAGAGTTGACCGAGATTGGATTCACGGATAGTCGACTCTGTTGGTACACAGACAGTATCGACAACGAGTTCGTTATCGATTACGTCCCCAACTATGGCGACTCTCTATTCATTTGCACTGGAGGCTCTGGTCATGGCTTTAAGTTCTTACCAATTCTTGGGAAATACGTCCGGCAGCAGTTAGAGAAGACGCCAGGTGCATTCACAAAAATCTGGAAGTGGCGAGCTGTCGAGGAGGGCAAGGCTGCCAATGGGCTGGAGGAGGGCGAAGCTGGACCAAGAGAGATGTCGAAGCTCAGGTTGGCGAGCCGTAAGTCAACTATTGTGTCCATGATCTGTTCTGTGACTGATTATCTTTGCAGCTGAGGATTTCAAGTTCGCAGTCGTTCAGGCTGCCAATGTACCCGAAAGCCTGGCCAAATTGACGCTGGACGGTACGAAGTCTTCACACAGGATTATAGGGGCAGCCTAGCTTGGGCTGCTGCTGCTGCACATATACATTCTAAAGAGTGTAAACCCTCATGACAGACTTCGTTCCATGTTTGCCTCTGAGTACGATGAGAAACCAAGGTTATGATCAGACACAGTAATGTCTCTGAAGGTTTGGCATGCATTGTTCAGAACAACGCAAAGACTTCATATTATAGATGGTTCATACTTCAGCTTCACCCAACCTAATGTTGCAGCCGATCATACCCATCTCGAAACTCCCTTCCAGTAACCACAAAATCCCCTCTTCCAAACACCTTCCCAAACAAAAACTCATGCACATCATCCTTCGCATCCGCACACCCATCCCGAGTGATCGTGACCACAAACTCATTCTCAGCAGCATCCAACGCAGTTCTAAGCACACAACCCCCTGTGCTCAATCCCATAAGCAGCAGCGACTTGATCCCCTTCTCCTGAAGAAACTTCTTGATTCCATCAGATTGCAATGCAGAGATATACCCAGGCCGTCGATTGAACTCAACATCCCCATCTCCTTGGAGCAGTTCTGCTGGTTCCTCGCCGCCCCCTTCTCGCTTGACTTGGGTTGTGAGTTCTGATAGTCGGTCGAACTCTTTGGTGGTGTCGAATGGTGGAGTTCCGGTGAAGTCGACCAGAGCGTGAAGGACGACGATGCCTTTTGATCTTGCCCAGTCTCGCATTTTCGCCGCTTCTTTGACTGCTGCTTCGGCTTTGGGGCCTATTCGGCCGATGACCAATGCCTTGTAATCGAGCAGCAGCAGAGCTGTTTGAGACGGACTGTAGTGACCTGGAGCATTTTGGCGTGATATGTCAAAGATTTCGGGAACGGCCATCATTGGAGCAGGCTTTTGGCAACTGTTTGAATGATATTGACTGGATGGTATCGATTGAGGCTTTCAGTAGGACCATCATATAACAGATTTGGGGACAAGAAGGTTGTCTGGACGGGAATTCCGTCCAATATGCATTGCCTGGAGCAATGCTAGCTAGTCCAGTATCATCTCTAACTGCATTCAATTCCTTCGTGGCAAATGTCGGGAATTCCGTCTGCGAGGCCATGAGCTCGGCGATACTTCAGCCCTGCCCATCCTCGCCTTATCTGCGATTGTGTGGACTCGCTCCTGTAACGGGGGCCTGTAGGTTGGATACCGCCAGACGACACTCTCAGACTGGAGTTGGCGTAGGTACAGATCAATGATTACGTTCTGGACTTGAGATTTCTGCGAGAGAGAAATGAGAGCTGGTGTTCATGCTCGTTCGTCTGCTGCTCGTAGAAGCGAACACCGGGAATGCTTGCCAAATGCACTTATCCACCTGATTGTGGCTTGTAGACGCTGCTGACTTTCATCCGCCGTCGTTACATCGATCGTGTCATCATCGAGGGACATGTTGAGGCCCTTCATCGTTGCAACTAAGCAGCTCAACGCACTCCACGCTTATCTTTCAAATCACCAGCAGTCATGTTGGAAGCGATGCATTCGAGCTCAAGCCCATCCAAGACCTGGCTCTCTTCACTTGTCGTTTTGGGATTGCCTTTGTAGCGTCTGCCGAGCATGAAATGTGGATTCTGGTAGATATGATCAATCTATAGCAGGGGTCAGATTGTGTCTCTCTATTAAGCCTTCGACATGACGCGCGCAGCACTCACCTCTTCCATGGTCAAATTTGCAACCTCTGGCACCATGAGATAGACGTACAGGAGCGCGATTACGCACCAGACGGCGAAGAAAATAAAACCGCCCCCTGTTTGAGAGCAAGTCAGTAAGAGCTAGTCTCAAGTCGGTCTTATGAGTGCTTACAGTTGTGCGTGCGTGCAAGTAGAGAGGGTACCGCATAGGTCATTGAGAAGTGAAAAAGCCAGTGGAAAGTCTGAGACAAAGCGGCACCCAGGGATCGAACACGGTTGGGCCAGATTTCGCTGCCCAAGACGTATGGAAGCGTTAACAAACCTGGATAGTGGACCCGTCAGCTTCGATACACGCCAAGCAGATGCGTTCCCACTCACCAGTTGTATAGCCGAAAGCCTGTATGAATACAAATGCTAGAGCACCGTCGCTTGCGCCTTTTGAGGCCCCGCCGTCTTCATTCACTTTCGTGTACACAGCCAGATATATGTTAGCTATCAGCTGTATGGTGACGCCCAGGAACAGCGAGCCTCTACGCCCGATCACGTCGATGAGCAGGAACGAAGCTGCCCACGAAATTAGTGGCTGGAGTCTGATTTTGTTCATAGATCCATACCAATGAGACTGAAACCGAACTTTGCGGTCCCGTACAAGGCATTGAGAAAAATCCCATGAGTTGCGTTGTGCCAAGCTCCCACGATTTTCACGATCGGTATGAAGTAGTTGGTGAAAGAGTTTCCGCCTGAGAGCTGAGGGAGCATGTACAGGATCAACACCTGTTGGAGCCGGCGTAGATTCGCTTTGACCGTGAACATCTCCTTGACTACCATCTTTACGCCATGGAGAGAGCGGGCACCAGATCCAGAGAGTTCGGTCTCGGCACGAAGTGATCGAACAATCTCTTCTAGCTCAGCTTGCAGTCGAGGATCAGCCTCGGGAAGCCGGCGGAACTTTACAAGCGCGTTTCTTCCCTCATCGTAACGGTCAACCTGAAATGGAAACGTCAGTGAGTAGGATGTGGGTTACAGTTTTGTTGAGACACACCATTAGCAGCCAGCGAGGTGACTCGGGTATGAAAAAGCTTGCTAGGGCTAGCAGAGCCATGAAGACCATGGGCACAATGTAGACGACCTGATACTGCAGTCGACTTGTGTCGATGTGGAGCTGAACGCCATAAATGCAGAATGTCGAGGTCATGAGGGCGAGAAGCTGCACAGCGTCAACGAAGCTCAGATTCGTGGCCGGAATCACAGACCTGGCAAACAGTATACCATGCTCCTAACACCCCTCGAATTTGCGGTGGTGCGATTTCGATGCTACAGACTGTTAGCAGATGTTCAAAACCGATTGGTGGGTTCGTCTCACATAGCCAGAGGGCCTACCACACTTAGTGCTCCAATACCAAGACCTGATATGACTCTCGATGCGTATAGTCCAGCCACATTTGGGGAAGTGATGAGGACAATGTAGCCAAGTGCCCAAATGGCAAGGTAGATGCGATACGCACAACGTCGGCCGACTTGATCGTTGATGAGGAAGCTCAGTGCTGCGCCTACAGCATCTCCGATGTACACCAACGAAACGAAGTTCTTGATCGCTCCTGCGTTGGATCCAGAGCTGATCCCGAAGTGCTGTTGAAAGCCTGCGAGAGATGGTACTGCGGACCCAGCGCCTTGGTCCCAAGCTGCAGCGTGTTCGCATTAGTCTATGCCCATGTGTTGAACTGTCTGGTCACGTCCAATCCACATACTCAGGGGAATGGCGGCGGCGGCATATATGAACGCAGCACCCAACAATACTGGACTCCAGATCACTTCTCGAGGAGCAGAACGTAAGGCTTCGCTATACTTAGCAAGAGACGTTCGTGCAATGATGCTCTTCAACCCCATAGTGTCTTTGAGCCAAGCTTTCTGGGGAAACAATGAAACTTGAGTGAGAGACGACGCCGTTTCTCATGAAGGTTTTGGCGAACATCCATAAGGTTTTACGCATCTCGGAATTCCCGGTCAACGATCCGGTTGTATACCAAGAAGGCTGCCTGACCCAGAGCTTGCTGATTGCTACCCGCGAGGCAGGAACGGTGGCTTCGCATAGAGAATCAGATAGGACACAACCCCTCAGATGGGAGATATCGGCCTAGGTGTAAATTTGTAATGGCTCCTTCTCACGCAGGAGAGATAGTCGATGTTCGAGGCTGTGAAATACTGGAATCCAGTCGAAGGGCCACTTTCACATCCGAAAAGAGTTACCAAAGACAGCCCATCTGCATACGAGGCACTCATCAATGCCTCCATAGACCCAACTTGCCCTCGGTACCCCGGCGTAGCAGCTCCTGAGGGTCGGTGTGCTGAAGCTTTTGTAGCTGCCACGCCTGCTGGGCTCAGAGCCTCAGTTGCACCTCCTCGTCATTGATGTCTTCACAAGACAGCGAGCATGAATGCTGTGTTTCGAGAATATCAAAAGTATATATTCGTGTTGAAGATAGATAGTCAAGATGGATTTTGGAGTGAGGTGACATCGGAGCGGACCTGGCTCCGCGCATGTGGGTTTCGCCCCGGCACAAAATCTTGAACTTCACTTGGAGATCCGATGTATTCACATGACAGCCTTTCCCAACTCTCGCGCCGCCAATTTGACATGAATGCTGCTACGAGCCTCGCTGCGATCTACTGTGTGCCTGAGACGCCTCCGACCGACCGATAACATCTCCAATCCTGTCCTCCGCAGCCAACACCTTCGCCTTTGCCAATTTCAGTCAAGTATGGCTTCTCGAACTGGCGTCCCGATCACATCTCCGCCTCTTGCGGGGCAGTCGATTGAGCATGAGGGGAAGACATATGAGACAGTCAGAGAAGGCCACGCATACATTCTCATTCCGCCAAACACTCAGAAGTCTGTCGATCCTCGAGCCAAAGCGAAGGCAGGTGAGCACCTAGACAACTATGTAAATCCTGAGTTTGGCAAGGTATTGACGTGACTTGAAACAGATGATGTCTCCTTGAAACCTCAGAACGTCTTCTACAATCCTATCCAACAGTTTAATCGAGACCTGAGCGTACTATCCATCAAAGCTTTCGGCGAAGACTATGTGCAGCGCAGGAGGCAACGAAATGAGAAGAACAAGGAGAAGAATAACAGTAAGCGCAACAACAAGAAGAGGAAGATAACGGAGGTCACGGAGGACAATAATGACCAAGAAGGTGGTGTCAAGCTACTGAAAGGTGAGGACGGAGTTCCAGTGCAACCTGTGAATGGCTCTACCGCAGTGGAATCGGAGGCACAAGCAGGCGCTTCAGAGAACTCTTCAGCGGATGTTAATGGAGCTGGTACGTCGAAAGCGCCAGGGGCAGAGGACGGTGAAGTGGTCAAAGACGAAAAGAACGGCGAAGCTGCGAACGGCGAAGATACGAACAGTCACCCACCTCAACCAGCCGGGCCACGATTTCGCATCTTGGATGCGTTGTCGGCGACAGGCCTGAGAGCGCTACGGTATGCGAAAGAGATACGGTTTGCCACTGGTGTCGTCGCGAACGATATGAACCCGAACGCGACCAAGAGCATGGCTCTGAACATCCAGCACAACGACTTGGCGGCTTCAATCACGCCAAATACAGGGGACGCGATAGGACACATGTACAGCGTTGCATACCCACCGACCAACTCACACGGCCCGCATCACGTCAATGCAAAGTACGACGTAATCGACCTGGACCCATACGGCACTGCCGCTCCTTTTATCGATGCCGCGCTACAAGCACTAAATGATGGCGGGCTGCTCTGTGTGACGTGCACGGACTCGGGAGTGTTTGCTTCCACTGGTTACTGCGAGAAGACATACGCCCTCTATGGCGGGATGCCTGTGAAAGGACCATTCATGCACGAGGGCGGTCTCCGCCTGATCATCAACTCGATTGCCTCCGCTGCTGCGAGGTACGGCTTGGCCATCGAGCCGCTTCTGTCCCTGAATATCGACTTCTATGCGAGAGTATTCATTCGAGTACGGAAGAGCGCAGCAGATGTCAAATTCTACGCCGGCAAGACCATGCTCGTTTACTGTTGTGATTCAGGATGTGGAGCATGGTCCACGAACCTGATTGGTCGCAACAGCAAGCAGACTGGCAAGGGAGGAAATGAGTGGTACAAGCATTCGATCGAGCAAGCCCCAAAGGCAGATCGCTTGTGCGAGCATTGTGGAAACAAGACTCACCTAGGTGGCCCCATGTGGGCAGGGCCTCTGCACAACGCTGCATTCATCGAGAAGATTCTTGAAGATCTCGACTCGCTCGACGACAAAGTCTACGAGACCAAGCCTCGCATTGAAGGGATGCTGACGACCGCCTTGGACGAACTTCTGGTCAATGACGAAGCGACACAGTACGCACCCGCGAAGCAGAAAGATGGGACTGCTGAGATGATATCAAAAGTGTCTCCCGAAGTGGTGGACCGACACCCTTTCTTCTTCAACGCATCGGCGTTGTCCAAGATTCTTCACTGCATTGCGCCATCAGACACTGCCATCAAGGGTGCGCTTCGACATGCCGGGTATCGAGTGACTAGAAGTCATTGCGCGGCCGGCAGCATCAAGACAAATGCACCGTGGACCGTCATCTGGGAGGTCATGCGGGAGTGGGTGCGCCAGAAACAGCCCATCAAAGAAGGTGCGCTCAGAGAAGGACAAGCTGGCTGGAGGATCATGCAAATGGCTCGTAAGCCAGAGGAAGAGACAAACGGCACGTCAGACGGAGACACGCCTGAGATTGTGACAGAGCACACCTCGACTGCTATGAAAGATGCCAACGCCGAGCCGAAGAGAATAAAGGTTGTCTTTGACGAAGTGCTCGGAAAAGACAAACCCAGCGCGAAGCGTATCGTGCGGTATCAGCAGAATCCTCGGGAGAACTGGGGTCCCATGACCAAAGCAAAAGGAAGCGCCTAGGAAAACTGTGGTGAAGCAATGGCATGTGCTCATAAACTGACACGTGATGCTCTCTCTAGATCTGGCAAATTACAATACAAATTAGTTGTTGGATGAGATCCATTAGCCCTCCGAAGTCCCTCCAAACTCCGCGCTTTGACTTTCTTCCATCAATACTTCGCGATGCTTGCTGTCTGGGTAGGTCTATCGATCTCCTTGCGCGTGGTGACTTATGCGCTAGCAAGGACGCTCTCGATTTCCGCGACGGCGCTCTGAACGGCTGAGGTATCGAGCGACGAGCCAGCCAGGGCATTCTCAACCTCGTCCACAAGCTTCTCGACGGCGGAGATGTCAAGCGTCGATGGGTCGGCTGCCAGGGCGCTTTCGAGCTCAGCAAGCGCACTGTCGACAGCGGAAACATCGAGCGCAGAGGTGTCGAGGTTCAGCTCGTCTTCGACCGCGAGGATTTCGGCTTGGATTTCGGCGACTGCGTCTTCGACGGCGGTGGCGTCGAGGGATGGGGAGGCGAGGGCCGATTCGACACTTGTCAGGGAGAGCGAGGTGGTGTCGAGGAGTCTAGTGTATCAATCAATATGCGAAATACACGCGTTGGTGGGTTTGCGAAGAACGTACTGTCCAGAAACACCATCCTCACACCACAGAGTGTAGCCATCATCGGGACCGCCATGGTCCAGCGCACTGCAGCACCACGAGCTCACGGCGCGGTCATTCTCCTTGGTCGGGCAAACATAAGCACCCGCAACACCCGCGACAGCAGTTCCAGTAGCGCAGCGCAGTAGAAGTTGGTGTAATCCGGGTTCTCGTTGGTCACGCAGCAGGCGCCGACGAGCTTGTTGCTGTTCAGGCAGGTGAAAGGGTTCACTGGGAGGGCCGCGTCCTGGCGCTTGAGAGGAGTGGTTCGGGTCGGGGAGGGACGGGCGAGGGACAGGGTCGCAAGCGCGAAGACGGCGAAGATCTTGGTCGACATTATTTCTTTGGTACTGGTCTGTTCGTAAGGACTGTGGGTTGCCGGAAGGCGGTTCTAAAGAGCGTGTGTGTGTATTGCCTGAAACGACTGACTGAGAACGAGAAACGAGGAAACGAGACTGCGTGTGCTGGATTTTGGGTATCTGACGAAGAGAGCAGGAAGCAAGCAGGACGAGCAGCAGGTCGGGGACGTTCGTGTATATCTCGCACTGTGCTGCGAGGCTGTTGTGGCGGCCAAGAAACGCATGGCTGCGAGAAGGGGGTTCGACCTATCATGAGACTGTGTGCTGTTCATCTTGTGTCTATTCGGGTAAGTCGAGACGTTGTTGTTAGACCTCGTTGAGCAAGGGCGGCGAGAGCACGAGGTGACCAGGCAATTTCTGGACGAACAGGGCGTTGGTGTCCATGAAGATCGACGAAGGCCAGGCGACCGTTGGAGGCTGCCGAGAAGTCCGAGGGTTTCTCTCCGTGGAGCGTGGGAGAGACTGAAGACGTGGGAGCGTCGACGTCCGAATCATTTTCTTGCTGCCATTGAGCGCACAGGGAGAACGTAGCCTCATTGCAACAATAACGATGCACGGCGAACGTCGAAGGGTGAGATGAAGGAGGTGTCGTCGGATAAGGAAGACAGACTCGGAAAATAGACTTCCCGAGCCGAAAGCAACGGCTATCTTGGGCAGGCGACGGCAGACAGGAGATAGCAACGACGACCTCTTCTCGACAACTTCTTCTCCTCTGCGTTGCATTGCTTCATCTCGAGGGCAATGGCTTGATTATACAATAAGATCTCGCGACCCTGAAAATGCTCCTGTGAAGCATGGTAGATTGCACCCTCGCGGGAAAGATGGAACAAACGACCGGCACCGGGTAAGGACCGGCTATCCGGTCGAGAAGTCGGCCTGCATTTTTGCAAAAGATCGGCCAGCGACATCTTCTGCATGAACATGGTTCCAGATAACCAAGTGACGGACAAGTAGGGCATTCCAAGAGGCGAGACCATGGGCCGAGATAGTCATTCGTACGCTTTCTTATCCGGCGGAGTTGATCGAGGATGACATTGGACCCGAGCAGGACACATGTTGGAGATGATTCGCGGCAAAGCCAGACTGCAGCGTAACAACACCATTGCAATGGAGCACCGAAGTTCTGGAAAGACGGTTTCGAATGTTAAAGACGAGGAGCACGGGATTGACGTCGGCGATATCGATATATCAAACTCGATTGACCGGCATGGGTCCATGACCACCAAACGCCTACAACGCTTTTGGCAGAAGTTGACCGTACGAGCAGCCATTGAGGTCAATGGCATTCAACCAGTACCAATAGAGGAAAGGAATGAACATCGAGTGTTCAACGTCTTCACTGTATGGTTTACTTTGAGCACAAATCTTCTACCGTGAGTAAGAGCCTCTGTGGTCCCCCATCAACACACTCAACTGACTATGCTCCAGCATTGTAACCGGCATGGTTGGCACACTCAGCTATGGGCTCAGTCTCCGTGATGCTGCTCTGGTCATCTTGTTCTTCTGCATTCTTTGCTGCGTTCCTACTGCTTATCTCGCTACGCTGGGTCCGAAGACTGGCATGCGGCAAATGGTTCAGGCGAGATTCAGTTTTGGGTATGATATGACCTTTTGGCAGGCTTAGAGTCATGACGCTGACACGTACAGTTACTACCTGGTCTCCATACCTGTCATCTTGAACCTAGCGACGCTCACCGGTTTCGTCGTGATCGACAGTGTCATCGGCGGTTTGACACTTTCCTCAGTCACATCAGGTCAACTCACGCCGACTATCTGAATCGTAATTGTCGACATACTGGCCTTGCTAGTAGCGTTCTGCGGCTTCAAGGTCCTGCACCAGTATGAGCGATATGCTTGGATACCAGCCTTGATTGCCCTTGTAGTGGCCACGGGTTGCGGTGGGACACACCTCAGAGATCAAGCACCTACCCAGCCAGCAACTGCCCAAACGATCCTGTCTTTTGGCGGCTTAGTAGCAGGATTTCTCATCCCGTGGGCTGTATTGGCATCTGACTTTGCTACTTACATGCCTCCTAATACGCCCAGGTAAATGACTCCACGAAAGAGTGAGGGGCTACCACCGTGCTAATGACTTCCAGCATCAAGATCTTTGCATACACATACAGCGGACTCTTCCTGCCAACAGTACTTCTGATGACCCTGGGAGCAGCAATCGGCGGTGCCGTGCCCCAGTACCCATCCTGGCAAGCAGGCTACGACGCTACCTCCGCAGGCGGCATTCTAGCTGCAATGCTCGAGCCTGCCGGTGGCTTTGGCAAGTTTCTGGTCGTACTTTTGTCCCTTTCGATCCTCGGAAACATCTCAGCGACGATGTACAGCATATCGCTCAACTTCCAGCTGCTCGTGCCTTGGCTGGTACGGACTCCGCGGGCTGTCTTTTGCGTTGTGGTCACAGCTATCGCAATTCCTGTGTCCATCCGAGCTGCGGTGTCCTTCTTCAATTCGCTGGAGAATTTCATTGGGATCATCGGTTACTGGTCTGCGGCTTTCGTCGCCGTCGTCACTTGCGAGCATATCATCTTCCGCGGATCCGATTCTCGGAACTACGACCATCTGGCTTGGAATGAGAGCTCGCTGCTGCCGAGTGGTGTACCTGCTATACTCGCGGCAGTTCTGTCCTTTGGCTTGGTCATTCCTTGCATGAATCAAGTCTGGTACACGGGCCCTATAGCTGTACACACTGGAGATATTGGATTCGAGATGGCTCTAGTCGTCACGGCGGTCCTTTACGTACCGCTGAGACATGTTGAGGTCAAGATGAAGGGAAAGGCATGATACATATATCTTATGATCTATTCTCTAGCTATGAGACTTTTAGCATGGTCGCTCCTAGGCACGATGCAGCACTTGAAGCTCTTGGGATGGGACGTCAATCCATTCGTCAGCTCGACTTCAGGAATGATCTCCTTTCCTTCAGCATCAACAGCCTGTCCGATGCTCATGGTCGCCAGCAGTGTTGCCACCACGATCCAGACACTAGCCTCTGCTAGATGTCTTCCCACACACACTCTTCGGCCGAATCCAAATTGACCGATAGGAAACGGTTCACCGGCGCCGCCGTCCGATTTGGGACTGTAACGATCTGGGTTGAAGGTATCTGGATCAGAGTATGTGCTCCTGTCATGGGTCATCGCTCGGGCGTTTGCGTATACGAAGGACCCTTTTGGTATAAACATGTCGTTGTACACGTCGTCCTCCAGAGATCGATGAGGGACTCCAATCGGTGAAACTGGGCCCCATCGAAGGGTTTCCTGGACAATGTATTCGATGTATGGGAGGTGTTTCCGGTCTTCGAGAGTTGGTAATCTATCCGTACCTACAATCTCATCGACTTGGCGCTGCGCCTTTTCCTGGATCTCGGGGTGGAGAACCATATTCAAGATGAAGACTACCAGGGTCGACCACGTGGTATCTTGTCCGGCGGCAAAGACTGCACCAGCAGCCCCTTTGATGTCTTCGAGATTAAGAGCATTGGCATCTTTATCTTTCCCCGTCGCTTGCTGGCGAAGAAGGCTGTTCAAGAACGATGGCTGCGCACATCCCTTGCTGATGTCTTTCTGCACAGCGGCGAACGGCACATCGTGGATGGCTCGTATACTCCATTCCCAATCTCGCGCGAACTTGAGAGACCGAGAGCGGGCGAGGAAGTTGGGAATGTGCTTCAAAATCGGGAAGAAATCGACAGGTGTCCCGGCCGGTGCTCCTCCATGGCCAAGGGCATATGATGCATCTGTGGCGATCTGGATGTAAGGGTCGTTTTCCGCTTTCACGTCCACGCCGAAACCAATGCCTAGCACAACAGCCGTTGCGAACCTCCTCAAGATCAACTCCCAATTCTGCGGATTGGCCAATATCCCACGAAGCAAAGTCTTCGCCTCTCGTTCCTGCAAGCCCCGATACGCAACGCAGCTAGTCAGACTGAACGCCCTCTGCAATACTCTTCTGTGCAGCTTGAAACGAGGACCCCATCTCAAGAACGTCAACGTCGCTCGCCATCCCATCACCTCGAAGAGAACAAATCGTGGACGATCGCAGTAATTTGAACCTCGTTTGTCGAGCAAGTCGACCGCCGCCTGAACGCTGTTGAGCACAACGACAGGCTGTCCGAGAATGTTGACATAGATGACATCTGAGTCGTATTCTTCTGACCATTTCGCATACGCATATTCGGGATTGTCGGTCGGAACGACTCTCAAATGGCCCAGTATCGGTTCACCTGGTGGACCTGGAGGAAGAGGGAACTCTGATCGTCTTTTCAAACTGAAGCGACCAATGAACACAGCCGCCAGAAGGATCACGCTCAGAACAGACAGCGTGACGAACGCCATGACGGACGTATTCAAATGGGATGAGGATCATCGCACGAAAGCTTGTCCGGCGACCTTTGAAACAGCATCGACAGGCATGGTCACAACGCAATCTAGGCGAGGCGCGAATTGCTGATATGAGGTCACGAGGAGGATTGCAGCTGGAGCTCTTGATAGCAAGGATACCTTGGCCGCGGCCGAGCTGCCGCGATCGGCAGTTGGGAGTCTAGATTGCTTGTCAGGAGGGCGAAGAATGTGCGATGTGATGTTGTTCACACCGAAAAAGAGAGGACTTGATTACTTGTCGGTCGACTAAAGCGACTTCGACCTCTGAAGAGCAATTGAAGATGAACGCATGTTCGGGGACCACGGCCCAGAGTGCTCTCCTGACGGAGCCGACTCCGGGAGATCCTTACCGCTACCAACCGGGATTTGGGAATCGATTTGCTTCTGAGGCGATGTGAGTGAATGAACTTCGAACTTGAGATCGGGCAGATGCTCACGTAAGTACAGACCTGGAGTGTTGCCACACGCGCAAAATGCTCCTCAAAAAGTCAAGTATGACTTGTATTCCGAACAAGTACGGCCATAATAGCAAGCATTGGGTAAGGCCTTTCTCACAGAGTCGCTATAGTTGAACGGCTCGGCATTCATATCACCTCGAGCCAGCATTCAGAATACGTAAGAGCGACCTTTACGACAACAACTCGACCATGACCTAACAGTTGCTTGAGTTGGATGTATCGAATCTTCCCATCCGTCGCTCATGGATCATTCAAGAAATCACGAAAATGCGATCACAACGTAAGGCCATACCTCTTCTTCTCAGGCAACTGTCGTTAACGGAGCCATTCAGATCGAATCCAATTTCCTCCCCCAAAACCCAGACGTCTCTCCCTCCGCAAGCCACCTCGCGTGGGATCCCTTCCCCCTCCCATCAACCTCGAACTCAACAGACTTCATCCATGGCCTCAAAACCATCAGCGGCAACGGTGACCCCTCCCTCAAATCCGGCATCGCAATGCACATCTACACCGTCGACGCCTCCATGCCCAACTCCGCCTTCTGCAACACCGACGGCGACTTCCTCATCCTCCCGCAGATCGGCCTCCTCGACATCCAAACCGAACTCGGCCGCCTCATGGTCCGCCCGGGCGAACTCGTCGTCATCCAAGCAGGCATAAAATTCCGCGTTTCCTTACCTTACGGTCCCTCGCGAGGCTACGTGCAAGAGATCTTCGGCGCGCATTACGAGTTGCCTGAACTAGGTCCCTTCGGCTCCAACGGCATGGCATACCCTCGGGACTTCGAGACTCCTGTGGCGAGCTTCGATGTCGATGCGAGTAGCGAGTGGACGATAACGTATAAACTCTCTGGCGAACTGCACACCTGCACGCAAACGCATACGCCCTTCGACGTCGTCGCTTGGCATGGGAATTATGCGCCGTATAAATACGCGTTGGAGAAGTTTGTCAACGTGGCTTGTGTGGAGCGGGATCAGGCTGATCCGACCGTGTATACCGTCCTCACCGCTAGATCTTCCACGCCTGGAGTCTCACTTACGGACTTCCTTGCTTTCACGCCGAGGTGGAATACCACGACAAACACATTCCGGCCGCCGTATTATCACCGTAACATGTCCTCCGAAATCATGGGGCTGATCTACGGCGCCCACGGCGAAGCCCTGCAACCCGGCGGATTGACGTACGAAGGCAGCTATATGCCCCACGGGGAGAGCTACACCACCTGGAAGGACGCGACGGAAAGGGACTTGAAGGTTGAGAGGGTGGGTGAGGGGACGTTGGCGTTTATGTTCCATGTGGGGAGGCCGGTTATGGTCACGAGGTGGGCGCTGGAGAGTAGTGGGTGTTTAAGGGTGGGGGATCCGACGAAGGGGGCGGAGTTTAAGGGGGCGTTTTTGGAGAGGTTGGAGGAGGTGGATGCGGATTTGAAGAGGGCTGGGTTGCCTGGGTTGGGGGAGGGGGGTGAGAGAGGGGGTTAGGTGATGTTGAGGGTACTGGGACGTGTAAAATCTGGAATCGCTGCAGGAATATAAGTTTAAGCCTCGATGACTCGGGTGCGTCAACTCCAACGCGGGCTTTATAGGAATGTGTGAGGATGCATGTTCGGTTCTATCGTCTTGTCCCTGCCTCCCGCGTTGTGTATCGTACATCTGGACCGAAATCTTGCCCTCCGTGTCTCTTTGGTGACATCAGCTACTCAAGTTGAACACGGTTCCTGGCCGCCATCCGCAAGAGCTACTTCTCACGGCTCGTCGCTGGAGAAAAGCCCTCGTCCTCTGCGGCCCATGCAAGTATGAACGAAGACTGTTTGAGAGCTTCAGGCAGAGATTCCACCGCATTGTATACTCTTCATCATTCATTCGCCCCGTGAAGTTCGATCTCGACTTCCTCGATCTGAGGTTGTTTGGTTCATCTCGTCCACTCATGATTCCACCCCTTCCTCGGCGGCGTCTCCGTCTGGATCCTCCCATACTCAATTGGCACCTTATCCCAAACTCCCGTCTTCAACATAGCAATTCGATACAGCCTCCCTTCGTCTTTAGTCTCCGTCTCTCCAATCTTGGTCCTCTCATCGGCGGTCAGGCCATGCGCATCGATGAGCCGGAGTGCTTCGCAGGCCGCAGCCATAGAGTTGTATTGCTTTTCTAGGGCGAGTTCTTTCTGTCGACGCTGCATGTCGAGGTAGCGTTGCCAAGCGCGGTGGATGGTCCAGTGACGGAGGGCGCGCGTGCGGGAGAAGCGAAGGGGACGGGGGGTTAGAGGGTGGTAGAGGTGGTAGCGGATTTGGGCTGGTATAAGGCATTAGCTTGAGAGTAGACAAGATGTTTTTAGCATAACATACTAATTCTAGGATCTTTCTTGGGTCCAGCATTCTTCGATCTTGCTTGTCGTTGCTCCGTGGTTGAAAAGTTGGTCTTTTGCGGTAGGGCTGGGCATCCTCGTGCTGTCCAAGGTAGAGCTTCTGAGCGCGCGATTGGCGAGAAGGCTCTGAGGAGAGCCATTGATGGTGCTTTCATGGTTGATGTGTCGGTTTGTTTGTGGTTGTTGGATTCGCTCACGTCTCGACTGTGACTTCTCATTGGGGGAGCGTTCTCCGCGGACACGTGACGCGGCAGGACGGAGCGAGGCGCGAGCCGATGCAGGGCGGGCGGGCGGTAGCGTCATCCCGCTTCTAAATTGTTGGAGGGGACAACGTGGGGGCCTTTTGAGTCGTGAACGATCGCGAAAGACGCAGCTGAGCACCCAATCTCACCTCCGCCCTTCACCTTCTCCCCCTTCATATACCTGCATCCTCACACTGCAGACTACCACCGCTTGCATACTTGGAGTCTGAGCGACGACGTGGTGCGACACCCGCTGTAACAGCCAGCCCGCCAGCCCGCCAGACCAAGCTCCACCGCAGTGCTGGTATTTTTGGCCGATACGAGCAGCACTCCTTGACTTGTCCGCTCGCTCTTGCCAAAAACCCAGCTCCTGCCACACCAGCGACTGCCTGCCCTTCTCTCCACGTCACACACCCATCACCACCACCACCGACCCCACCACCGCCGCCCGACGCAATGGCACCAGGCGCCTTCGACCCCAAGGGCAAGCTGGAGACGGCCATCGCCGAGAGCGTCGTCAATTTCCCCCGCCCTGCTGAAGTCGACAAGTTCACCTATGGCACGGCGGGCTTCCGCACCAAGGGCGACTGGCTCGACCATGTCATGTTCGGCATGGGCCTTCTCGCCGGCCTCCGCTCGCGAAAGCTCAAGGGCCAGACCATCGGCGTCATGATCACCGCGTCGCACAACAAGGCCGAGGACAATGGCGTCAAGCTGGTCGATCCCATGGGTGAGATGCTGGAGCAAGATTGGGAGTCGTGGGCCACGACCATAGTCAATGGCCAGAACCCGGAAGAGACAGTCAAGGCGTATGGGGAGGTCATTCAGAAATACAACATCGACCAGGACAAGCCCGCCAATGTCATCTACGCCCGCGACACTCGTCCATCTGGGGCTCGCCTTGTCAAAGCTCTCGAGGCCGGCTTGAAGGCGACCAATGTCACCTACAAGGACTTTGGTATCCTGACCACCCCTCAGCTGCACTACCTTGTCCGTGCAACCAACACCCAAAACGACAAGAACCCGTATGGCGAAGTCTCGGAGGCCGGATACTACAAGAAAATTGGTGCTGCCTTCAGAACCGCCATGAAGAATGTCAAGGCCACCAGCCCCGTCACGGTGGATTGTGCTAACGGTGTTGGTGCGCCCAAGCTGAAGGAGATGATCAAGTACTTGCCAACCGAGGAGGAATGCGGCCTCAAGATCAACGTGGTCAACGACCGAGTCGAGCAGGCCGAGGTGCTCAACAAAGACTGCGGTGCCGACTATGTCAAGACCCAGCAGAAGGTACCCCAGGGGTTCGATGGCAAGGCTTACGACCGCTGGTGCTCCTTCGACGGTGACGCCGACCGCATCGTGTACTACTTCAACGAGGAAGGTCCGGTCTTCAGACTGTTGGACGGCGACCGCATTGCCACTCTGGCCGCCTCTTTCCTCGGAGATCTTGTTGCAAAGTGCGATTTCTCCGAGAACCTCAAGCTGGGTGTCGTTCAGACTGCCTACGCCAACGGCGCCAGCTCCAAATACGTTACGGAGCGCCTTCAGCTCCAGTCGGAGTTCACCCCAACCGGCGTCAAGCACTTGCATCATGCCGCCGCCCGCTACGACATTGGTGTTTACTTCGAAGCTAATGGCCATGGCACAGTCCTGTTCTCTAACAAAGCACTCAACACTATTTGGAGTAAAGAGCCAGAATCGCCTGCCCAGCTCGAGAACCTCGAAGTCCTCCGCGCCGCCACCGAACTAATCAACCAAACTGTGGGGGATGCGATTTCTGACTTTCTTCTAGTGGAGGCCATCTTGGCACACAAGGAGTACACCGTTCAGGAGTGGATCACGACTTACACCGACAAGCCCAACAAGCTCGCCAAGCAAGTCGTCAAGCGTCGCGACGAGTACAAGACAGTCCCAGGCACTGCTGAGCAAAAGCTCGAGTCACCGAAAGGCCTCCAGGAGCAGATCGACACCGAAGTCGCCAAGTATAGGGAGGGTCGCTGCTTCGTTCGAGCTTCTGGTACTGAGGATGCCGTACGAATCTACGGCGAGGCGCTTTCATCATACGACGTCGATCACATGGTCCAGACTGTGGCCGATCTCATTAACATGAGGAGCGGCAGCAGCGGCTAGATTCTGCGTTCGCCAAACCTGATGCCTGAGGTTGACCCTAGAAAGGTCAAGCAGCCAGTTGTTCGCGTTCAGCAGGTGGATCCCAACGATATCGACGATCTTGCAGGCACCGAGGGCGGTGTCTTTTAGGAAAAGAAGCACCAGGAAATGGAATAAAAGGACACGACACATTCTTGCATGAGCGACGGCCGTTTTGGGCGTAAGACGGCGCGAAAAACGTTTTTGTCGGTTTACATGGAGGTGCATTTGACTTGGGAAGCACGGGTTCCACAGCGGCTCTTGTACTGGATGGGATGAGTTGATGAAGAAACCACAAAAGTTTTGAGAGCTGTCGCCCGTGTGCTTATGCCGGGCTGAGAAGAAGGGATCTCTGGGAGGTTTGACGATGAATGGGGCTAGGTACTGCTTCTTGTCTTATTGACAGTAGTACCGCTATGAGGTAGGAAATGGAATGAGAGCAGGAAGACTCCACTCTACAACTGATCTTTTTCATATGTGCCAAGCCGACTGTTCTGGTTGTGTTTGTCGAAGGCCAAGAAATCGAGACCTGTCGTTGTGATGTTGCCTGCAGCCACCAAAGTCAAAAGGCGCAGGTGGTGTGACAGAGCCTCATCAAGATGTACTACTCAACACAACATCAGAGTCACTTTCGTGGCGAGGAAATGTAACACCGCCCGCTGCTAACCCCAAAACACTACTAAATACGAGGACCTAAAAGTTCCTCATGGAAGTCCGATTCGTGTCGAGTTACGATCCTCAGACTGGGAGGCCGAATCGGAGGAGTAAGGATGAACGAGCGCATTCAGCTAGGATTGTAAGGCAGAGGAAGAAGAAGGAACAACAGCTGTTTGTGAGGGCGAAGGATGTTGTAGATGGGGGGTGCAGTGATTCGTTCTCGGAGGCGGTTGTGCTTAAGACGAATCCGGTGAAGGTTGAGGTTAGGGAGGTGGTTGAATTGGACGGGGATGGGGAGGAGGAAGAACTGGCTCTGAAAGATGATGAAGTGCATCACGAAGACCTGAACGACATGGCCCTCTGCTCAGCAACAGTCCCCTACAAACCCGTACCACCAACCCTCCACCTCCCAGCATCCCTCTCCCCTATCTTCGGCGCCCTCCCAACCACAACCTTCACGCCCCAAACCTCCTCCTCCGCAGCCACAGCAGCGCAATACTACCTCTCCGCCATCATGTCCAACACGATCCCTTTCGCCCACCAAAAAACCTGGTTCGAGGCCTTCTGCACCGACGACATGGTCTTCCACTGTCTGAACTACAGCTCGTATTTCTTCCAGGACGTCCGGCGGAAGAACACGGGGGCTGGACTGCGGGAGGTGACGCTGAGGCATCGCGGGAAGGCGCTGAGGTTGGTTGGGGAGAGGGTGAGGGGGTTGAAGGGGGAGGGTGGGGAGGGGTTGAAGGGGGAGGGTGGGGAGGGGTGGGGTGTGGAGGCGTTGGTGTTGACGATGACGACGTTGTGGATGTGGACGAGGGAGGTTCAGGCTGAGAGGAGGGGGGTGGTTGGGGGGTTGTTGTTGGGGAGTAGTCAGCGTATGCCGGATGCGTGGCTGAGGGAGGCTTTTGGGACGGTGGGTGTGGAGGAGTCGCATGGACGGGCGTTGGAGTGGGTTCTTGGGCGCGTTGGGGGGTTGGAGAGGGTGGGGATGTTGTTGCCTGGGTTGAGGACTGGGTTGGCGAGGTTTGTTCGATGCCCCTGTTCTATGACCTGAAGATGGCACTGATATGTGTGAAATAGCTGCGACATCCTCTCCGCCTCCGCACACGGCACCCATCCACGCTTCCCCTCAATCTGGGAGCCCTCCATTCCCTCCATCCTCCTCCCCCTGCAACCCCCTGCCAACGAACCCACCAACGCCTTCACAAACTCCATCCCCAACAACCTCCCCCTCCCCCTCTCAAAAACCCTCACCTCCCTCCGCCACCTAACCCACGCCCTCTCCCGCCCAACCACGCCCCCCTCAACCCTCATAACCGCCCGCAACGCCCTCCAACACCGTCTCCTCTCCCTTCCCTCCTGGAGCCATCTCAAGACCCTCGGCGAGACGGAAGGATCATTTCTCGCGACTTACGAGACTTGTCGGCTTACTGCGATTTTGTTCTCGAATGCGGTGTTTTTTCCGATCGATAGGGCTGTGGCGTGGAGGGTGAAGTTGTTGAGGCTGTTGAGAGAGGTGTTGGATCGGGCGAATTTGGGGGGTTGGAAGGGGACGGGGGGTTGGCGGTTGGCGGTTTGGTGAGTCTTTCTTTCTATATCTGGAAGTACTGTTGTGCGGTGATGGTTGACATTTGTTCCAGGAGTCTGGTCATCGCAAACTTGACTGCGTGTGGGACAGGGCTGGAGGAGTATTTCTTGAGGGCGCTGAGGAGGACGTTACGGGTGAAGGGGGTGGATGTGTTAGAGTGGGACGACCTGCAAGAGTTGTTGGAGGGTTATCTCTGGTGTGAGAGTGTTTGCAATCCGGGACTGGAGATTTTGTGGTTGTCTGGGGTGTAGAATGATGTCTGAGGTAGCTCGATCACAGCATCAGGTGTCAAATACGTTGCGAGTGGCAAGGGCATGGAGTTGAAAAGGAATGACAGACCGAAGGACCCACGACGACGAAGACAAAAACGACAACTTCACGGCAAATGATGAGAAAGACGATCAAATCCCTCCATTATCAAAATCAACTACAAATACATATATCCCATTTTCCACCCCATCAACGCAAAACCCACACTTTTCCCTCCAAGCCCTCACTACTCTAACTATCAGCTTACGCCACAGCAGTAGTCACATTCTGGCACCCCTGCGGCAGAATAATCTGCTGACCCTCCACCAACGTAGTCGGGTCCACACCAACGTTAAGAGCAAGGATCTGGCCAACGGTGGTATGGTACGTGCTGGCCAAATCATAGAAAAGATCGCCAGAGACAATGTTATAGGTCCCGACAATCTCGCACTGGGACGACGGGCAGACGGGGACGTTGATGATCTGGCCGACCTCGATGACATCGATATCGGCAATCTGGGGGTTGGCGTCCACGATGGCGGGCAGGGTGATGTTGAAGCTGGTCGCGATGGCGGAGAGGGTGTCGCCGCTGCGGACGTCGTAGGTGGATCCGAGGCCCTTGACGCAGGTCTCGGTGGGGTCGGCGGGGACGTCGAGGCACGAGTCGTTGTCGGGCGTGGTGCAGTTGGTGGGGATGAGGAGGTTCTGGCCCGGGGTGACGAGATTGGGGTTGGAGATGTTGTTGAGGGTCGCGATGTCGCAGATGCCGGAGCTGTAGCGCTCGGCGACGGTCGTGAGGGTGTCGCCGGCGATGATGGTGTAGTTTGTGGTCGAGGTGGAGCCGCAGGTGGTCTGGCCTGGAAGTGTGGTGGTTAGTTTTGTTGGGTGGACTGTGAGGGGGGTCTGGGTACAATCGGTATTACGGGGTAGAACGTAGCCGGAGACGGCGCTGCTCAGGAGAGCGGCGGTGAAGACGATAACCTGCATTTTTGCAAAGGAGTGACTGGTGAGTCGGATTGAAAACGAGTGTATGAGTTTGTCAAAATAATGAACGTGGTTCTGCAAATGAGCGTCAGAAAAGCGAAAGAGAATGAAGACAGTAGTAGCTTTGCAAGGAGAAGGTGGCAGCCAAGGAGATTGTCCTAAATACTTATATCGTAGCCTGCTTTGAATGTCTCCTGGCGCTCTTTCTGCGGTACCTGGGTGATTGTGCTATTGTTGTTCGTCAGTATGCTCAACCAGGCTACGGCTTTCTATGACTGCCGGGCTTCCGTTTCGACTGGTCTCGGGGTAATGACGGTGTTGTCGTTGCTAGTATGGTCGATGTGCTAGGCTACCGATTTTGAGGATTGGCGGTGATATGCTGTCTTTCGAGTTCGGGCCACTCCTCTTCGTCTTGTCGCCTGCGCCAACTCAGTCCATTTGATCAAGGGTAAGTTGTCGTCGTGCAATCTGGTCGTCGACGACTACCGCTGCAAGGGTGTTCAAATGAGATTGTCTTCTATCTCATCAGCCCATAATCTCGGCATTTCATGGCAAAGACAAGGCTCTGGCGTGGCGGGCAAGGAACACCCTGGAGCCGTGCCCCTGGGGAAAGTTCGCATCTTCACAGGGATCTTATGGATCGACGAATGGTAACAATGGAGTCTCGGCCTAGGACAATTAGCTGGCTTCGCTTTGCGATCCGAAGACATCCGCTGGATGAGTTATGATGACTAGGGGAGGCGTGCGTTGAAGTCGAACGACCACAGGAACCGAGCTGAAGCCTGAAGGATCTTCGGTTGGAGTCGAAAATGCTTGACACGATGAATCCCTTGCCTTGCATGTTGCCGCGTAATGAATGGAACAGGTCCAACAGCAGTGGACTATCGAGCGCCGCTATGAAGGCATGCGGGAATTAAATTGACAGTAGCCATATACTGTTCGTACTCGCATCTCGGGCACCGATGTTCAAATCATGTCTCAAAGAGCTGTGTTCCGTTTGTAATATTGCTACACCACATTCAAGGGCGTCTGCACTGCAACTTTCATTTGTTAGCCATGTCACTCAGCTGGACAAGAGCAGCTGAGACCGCTATTTTGCCCGCTACTCACCTCCGTTGGAAACATCGTGGATAGCGGACGCATCGATTTGCCTGTCACCCACCAGACAGACATTCGATCTTGCTTCGGCTGCTCCTAGCTGCTCAGCCCTTGCGACTCTCACGACCTTGACGCGTTATATGCTGAGCTCGATGTTGCGGACAGGCGCAGAGTCCAGTGGCCCCTATCGTGTTGCGAATGGAGTTGTTGGAATGTGTCTTGAGACACAGACACTGGTTTCCGCGTCAGAGGAGAAGGACGCCCCGGGGATGGTGCTGGTCGCTCTGGTGGGGGCGAAGGTGTCTCGGGTGCAGGAAGATGAGTGAACATCCAGAACCCCAAAAGACTCATGGCGACGAACTGGCTTTCAAAAGCAGGTAGTTGTTCACATGGAGGTGGAGAGATGCGAGACGGCGAGGCTGAGAGTTGACGGCAGGATCAGATAAGATTGATGTGATGATAGCATGCGTTGACGAGTAGTACAAGCTCTGTACATCCCACTCGACTCTGAGCTCCATCGAAACTGATGCATGTGCATCTACACCTGTAGCGAATCAGCGTGGAGCGTAGCCAACTTTCACACCTACAAGTTAGTAATTGTAGAAGCCCTTGCCAGACTTCTTGCCGAGCCAGCCGGCATCCACCATCTGCCTCAGTCTGACAGCAGGTCGGTACTTGGAGTCGCCGAGTTGCGTGTGCAAGACTTCCATGATGGCCAAGCAAGTATCAAGGCCGATAAAGTCAGCAAGTTGCAAAGGACCCATGGGGACGTTTGTTCCGTTCTTCATGATGTCGTCGATGTCTTTCTCGCCGCCGATACCGGTCTCGAGACATATAATGGCTTCGTTGATGTAAGGCATCAGGATACGATTCGCGAGGAAGCCAGGTGAGTCTGCAGACGTGGAGGGAACCTTGCCCATTCGCTTGCAGAATTCCAAGGCGGTGGCCAGGGTTTCGGGGGATGTCTGAAGGCCCGAGATGATCTCAACACCTTTCTGAACGGGCACGGGATTCATGAAGTGGGTTGATACCACCCGAGAAGAGTTGCTGAGGTCGGTAGGATCCTATCAGAGAGCAGAACATTAGTATGACCTTGCATAAGCTTCGCCAGGGAGATTTGCGGGTGTGTGAACGAAGTGGGTGGCTTGCAGGAGCTGGATGCAGCTTGCACGTGGAGGCAACACTTCACCTCGTGTACGTACCTTTGTTGTGGCAGCAGCGATGCGGGTAATCGAAATGGAACTCGTGTTAGTGGCCAGAATGGCATGCTTGGGAAGGGTCTGTGCGAGCTGAGCGAAGATCTTGGTCTTCAGGTCGAGTATCTCGGGAACAGCCTCAATGACCATGTCTACGTCGCCCAAATCGTCCATTTTGGTGGAAGGAGTAAGTCGTTCTCGAATGGCAGTAGCATCGGACTGGCTGATCTTCTCCTTGGAGACATCTTTGGCAAGGAGCTTGTCAGCGAAGGCCAGGCCCTTGTCGAGGGATTGTTGAGAGGTATCGACCAGTGTGACAGGGACGCCAGCCGCGCGAGCAGCTACGAGGGCAATGCCCAGACCCTACATTCACTTCTATCAGCGGTCAGCTTCATTAACATGAAGGCGATTGGCCCAGGAGGATGTATATCGAGCATACCATCTGACCGGCCTGCGAGGCGTTAGCGTGTGATGCGGCAGCGCAAGGCTGGAAGGAATACTGACGCCGACAACACCCAGTTTCTTGACAGTCGCGGCTTGCGCCTCAGCCAATGCCGGCCTCGAGGAGAAGGGGCGGGAGTGGAGGCATGCCGGTAAGACGGCCGGCTTACCCAAGGCACGGGATAGGACTCGTGTGGGCAGCATGGTGGGAGCAAAAGCCGCGGCCAGGCAGAGTCAGGCGTGGGAGGAGGCTGGAAGTGTGAGTGAATGATCAAGATGTTGTTGTCGGCTGCAGCTCGGCAGGATGAGGGACGACCCGGCCAGAGCTTATTGCTCAAAGGAGATGTCTCCGCCTGCTGATGAATGGCAATTGTAGCGTCTTCTATTGGTTGGAACGGCGCTGTGGAGACCACAGGAGACGTCGTGGATATATGGATATGGGGGCAGGGAGCTAGATCTGCGCGATGAATCAATGATGATTTCACCTCGTCACTTCGTTTTATCAGATGGAATGTTGTCAAACGCGCATATGCCGCAAGCTTGTCAACAGTGGGATTCTCGATCAAGAAAGTAGTGGTATTACTTGGCCATGCGTAATATGAATTGCATTGCACTTGATTGGATGTAGAGTACTATCTTGGATACGGCTTCCAGTCGGTGTAGAGCTGTATCGAGAGACAATGGAAGGTGAAAGGGAACGTGAATGACGCGTTGTCGAGATGCACATTGAGAAGGCAGTGGTTCGGTGAAGTCACGTGATATTTCGCCAGACCTTCCGAATTCGCGCCACGCGTCAAATCGCGTCCCCCGCGTCGCTCAAATCCATGGACGGCTTCGACTACATGTCCTGTCTGGAAACAACACACCGCCACGATGGATCCTTGGGAAAAGTCGACGACCATTGATCCCGAGGTTAGGGCGCATGTTACTTCCCTCGTCAATGCGGTCGGAGGAAGCTCGAGCGTCGACAACACCTATGCAATCGGAGACGACGCGGTTGCTGTACTTAAGGATCTCCAAAGATGGCTGCGACTCTACGACGAGAAGACGAATCGCCTGGACGTGAAAAGATGTCTGGCGGAAGCAGATCTGGTCAAGAAGGATCTTCTGGAGATTCTGGCTCTCTGGCCAGACGAGGCAACCCACAACAAACACAAGGCCAAAATCGCCCTGGCATGTCTGGAGCTCTTGGTACCTTTGACCTGGCCGCTCGCCCTGGAGGATGAGAAGGCGACCGTGAACCACCATCGGCATGTGCCATATCTCCAGCTGGCCCAAGTGGGCTACAAACGAGCAGTGCTGCACTTCGAGTTCGCAAAGATCCTGCGAACAATAGCCCGCGTTGGACTGCCTGCAATGGCAACTCCCAGTCGTGATCGTAGCCGAAGGGATGAGGGAATCATCAAACTGGTTTTGCACTTCTTCCGAAACATCGCAATGATCACACAACCGCAACTGTTGCCTTCGCAAGGCGATGAGAACGAGATCAGCCGATCCGCGACAATCGAAGTCTTTCATGAGCAGGACATTTTCAACGTTCTGCTTACTGTTGGTTCTGGCATGGGAGATGAGTTTCAAGAGCAGGACGTGATTCTCCTGGAGATTCTGTTCCATCTACTGAAAGGCGTGGACGGCAGAAAGCTGTTTATGAAGAAAGAGCAAGTTACAACAGAAGAAAACACAGAGCTGAAGAACTTGCTGCAGAAGGAGAAGGCGATGTTGAACAGTTACAACAAGCATGCGCCTACAAGACACAATCGGTTTGGAACGATGGTCTGGGTCAAGAGAGACGAGTTGAAGATGTCGACTGTGTCTGGACAGACCACCATCACGGACGAGACTTCCACCCTGCACCAAATGGACGCCAGCAAGAAATGGAACAAGCCCCAGTACCGTGGCAAGCTGAAGGAGGAGTTCGATGAAAACTCTGACTTTGGCGCACGAACAGAGCTTACTGAAAAGGCGAGAAAGCACCTGCGCCGGTTCGTGGAAGACTTCCTGGACTCTTCGTTCAACCCACTGTTCGCGAGCCTGCGAAAGGCTATAGAACGGGAGGCGGATCGTGTGCAGGAGAGCATGCACCATAAGCAATATTTCTATCTGATTTCTTGGTTCCTGAACGCAGAAGCAGCACGGCGTGATCAATCCCGAAGAGATAGCACCTGGAACGCCGACCGCCCAACGCAGACGAATCCCGAAGACAACACATATGCATATATCGCTGCAGTACTGGACCAGGAGACATTCGTCCTTCTCAACAGGCAAATGCAGAACGCTTTCGATAACAAGAACTGGCAGGATTTGCAAGCAACGCTGTTGTGCTTCACACAGATTTTGTTTACAGTCCAAAGCATGTCTCAAAGCAAGGACGAAGAAGACCAAGAAATCGCCGAGAACATCCAGAATCGCATCTTCTACGAGGAAGCTACACATGACCGCATTGTGCAGATCTTACGCGGTTATACTCATCAAGGCTTTGCCTATCTTGACGCTGTAACAGAATGCGTTCATGTCTTCGTACGAATGCTAGAGCAGTACAGCAAGCAGAATGTCGACCTGCAGATCCGGTCAAAGCGGCGAGCAAGAAAGAAGCAAAAGCAACAAGCAGAGAGTGGCAATGGTGACGACGCCGAGGATGCTGCCGAAGACGAGAGAGAGGCCCATCGAGCTGTGTCTGAACGCAAGTTTGACTTTGCGCGGTTCTCAGCAAAGTTCCTGTCACAGCCTTGCATCAACACCTTCATTTCGCTAACTCACTTCTACCACGATCTCACGCCAGTGCAGCTCAAGCGCACTCATCGATTTTTCTATCGTGCTGCGTTCAAGCATGAACTTGCCGTGCTGCTGTTCAGGGTCGATATCCTGCAGCTCTTTCACAAGATGATCAAAGGCCCTGAGGGCTTAGATCCAGCCATGGAAGGCTTCAGAGACTGGGAGCAACTGGTACAACAGATCTTCCGTCGTTGCATCAAGTGGATGGAGCGGGAAACGGACGGCGAAGGGTGGCGTGAGGCAGCAGTTGTCGAAATGCTGTTCAGCAAGATTCCAGGGTCTCTCTTTTACCTCCAGAACGGATACGAAAAGGTCATCGAGAAGCGGCCTCCACGTCCACCAGCCGAGCTGGAAGTGAAGTCAAGTATCCCGGAAGAGCAAAGAGTTGGTGTTGCAGTCTCGATTATGATCGAACAGGCGAAATCTGATGCACTGGAATGGGTGAAGAAGCAGTTGTCGAACGCAGCCGATGAACGGCAAGCATGGGAGGATGAGCAAAGCTCTCGGTTAGGGATCATGGATGAGACTGAAGACGGTGCTGCACCAGAGCCAGTCTCGGCCCCATCAATCTCCATCACACCTGACTCTGATGAGAGAAAGTTGGCATTGTTCAAAGACAAGCACCTTCGTCTGCTTTTAACCACTCTAGGAATCCAACGACTAGGCCTCGCAGAAGATACGGATGCTTCATGGATCATACCATCAGAACTGTCCGCTGCGAAGTTGAATGACGCCCTGGATCAGATGAAAAAAGCTGAATTCGACCCGCCTACATTTGACGACGACAAGAAAGCAGAGGACTTCATACGCTCCAGGGCTGGGACACGACGTGATGCCACCTTTGACGATAACGACTCCGAGTCTGACGCTGGCAGTGGAAGTGAGTTGGATGAAGGGATGTTCCCACCAAACCTGCGCGAGAAGCGGCGGAAACGGGACGAAGACGATGACCGACCGAAGAAGCGCAGAAAGAGAAACGCCCCTGAGCTCACTGAGGAATATCTCGATGAGCGCAGAAAGGCCAAGAAGAAGAGAGAAAAGGAGAAGAACGCCAAGATCAAGTCGAAACTGTTCATCACGGACTCTGATGATGAGGACGATGAAGAGAAGGATGCCGAGTTCTTCAAATTGGAAGCCGAGAGGCGGAGGAACATGGACGGCATCATTCGCAATACTCTGCTCAAGCAAATGGAAGATGCGGAGACTGAGCAGACTGGGGCGAAGGGTAAGAAGAAGAAAGCCGCCAAAGAGAAGCTGGAGAATGCGAAGGAGAGCCTGAAGAGCGTCGAGGGAGATGGGAAGAAAGCCTCGGGGAAGAAGAGGCGAGCGACTATCGACAGCGATGACGACGATGATGTTGATATGAGCGACGCTGTCAGCAGCAGACGAGGGAAGGAAAAGTCACCCATCGAGCTATCTGACAATGACCCATCGTCTTCAGAGCTCTCAGACGACGAGGACGACGGAAAAGACGCAGAGAGCGACGCAGAGCAGGAAGGAGAAGCAGAAAAGGAGACCCCTTCAACATCGCCAACGCCACAGGAAAATGCATCATCGCCGCCAGCGCTAAAAGAGGTCTCGGCGAACCCTGCGAAAACAAATCCTGTGGATAGCGAAGATGAAGACGATATGCCCATCACTAAGCCAGCGGCGAGAAGGAGGAACATGCGAGCGGGATTCATTATTGATGATAGTGATTCTGATGCATAAGGTAGCGCTCTCGAAGACAACATGGAATCCTAACGTTGGATATCATAATGAAGAAGAAAAATCATATGCACGTCCATTCGCCACCGCAATGCTCCGGTCCCAATCGAATTTCAAACACCATCACTCTCCCCAAGCTCCGACGACGACGACGAAGACGACACCACCGGCCCCTCCCTCTCCCTCTCCCTCAACCCCACCTCCCCATTTCCACCCATTCCCTTCCCCTCCCCCTCCCAAACCACCACCTCCAACTCCTCCTCCGCCTCCGCCTCCCTCTCCTCCTCCCTCCTCCTCGCCAACAACCGCCCATAATACCCCCCGTCCACCGGATGCTTCACCGGCCTCACCCCGGCACTGCCCCAATCCACCTCACACCCCTTCGCATACACCCTCTCCATCATGGCCCCCATCGTATCGACGTCCTGGCATAACTCGTCGTTGTCGTGGCGGTCTTCGAACCAGAACATCACGTCGCCTTTGCCCGTCGAGGGCGGGGGTTGGGTGAGGAGCATGTTCTTCCAGGACGGGACGACTCGGGAGGGAGTTTGAATTTGCGAGGGTTGTGCATACCCAACAGACCTAAGCCGCCACTCCCGACTCGTATCAAACAGCAAATCATTCAGCACAACCACCTGCTGCAGCCACTTGCACCTATTCGACGTAGCGTCGAGGATGTTGAACTTGGCCGAGTCCGCCGGGTGCAGGAGGTGGAGGGTGTGCAGGTCCGTGAAGGTGGTGGTGGGGAGGAAGAAGAGCTTGCGTTGGAGGGGTTTGGAGGTTGCGATGAAGGTGCGCCAGTGCGTGGAGGTGCGTTGGGCGAGGAGGAGGGTTTTGGTGTCGAGGTTGAGGAGGATTAGTTCGAAGAGTTCGGGGGTTTGGAAGAGGGGCGGGAGGGGAGGAGTGGACATGGCTGCGTTTGGTGGTGGTGGTGGTGGTGTTGTTTGAGGGTCGTGATGTTGGTGGCGATCGTTGGATATCGTCGTCGTCTGCCTCTGTCTCTTGATGTCGAGTGAAGTCGGATCGATCAACAGCGTTGCTTCAGATATACTTCCAAAACAACCAGACGGCTCTTCACAGCCTCACGCCCATCATCGACCAATAACCTCTCTCCTCAATGCAATACCACCCATCTGCCTGGTCGTCACGAGAACACGCAGTGCATAACCGAGAAGAAGCCTGCTCGTGGGTAGTTGCACGCACGCATCCCTCTCACCCTCCACTCCACGATGGCGACGCTATAGTAGTGTGGTGTAGTCCAAGTCGTGCCCACCTACCTGCCCACCTATACTACTACTGTTTCTTCCGCGTGGTCACGTCCATATGTCTAGCGCACCAACGAGATGCCGAGGATATCCGCTTACCTCGCCACGGGCTTATGCAGAGTCCATCCTTTGAACACGCCCCCACGTTGAGTTCACTACTCGCGCTTGCTTCGCTTCGCAGACGCTTGGAGTCGGAAGAGAGAGATCCGATCTGTGTTCAATACAGTGAGGCGGAATCCTTTATGTGTGGTCAGCTGTTTGAGGGAGATGTCGTTGGTCAGGGATTTGGGCAACCTTGCCATATGGTATCGGAGATTTGTCTCAATGGGCGTTCGGCTATCGTGTCAGTGTGCTCATCTCGATTGACTGCAGGCTTACCGTTTGTCACATGTCTCGTTGAATGAACTGGTTTTGCAGGGTATGCGGGGGGCAGGAAGTTTGGTTGCTTGCATGGGACAAAATCGTTCGTTTCCGTCTTTCTGATGGCTATTTCGTTTTCCTGACTGGCGTTGGGAAAACCCTCCGGGTGCCGTTTCGAGTACGAAATGACCAACTTGCAGGGGATCACTGTTCAACAGCCATTCGTCCTCCACCCGCGAATGCAATCATATCCTTTGCCGTCTCTCGTGTCTTCATTCCGCCAGCTTCGTAATCCCTCTACTCTCTATTCCTCCTTTTGATACTTCTTCACTCCACTCGCCACAGGAATGACCGTTCCATTGAACTTGGCCATGGTCAGGCCATATCGATCCAGAACGCGAGGCTCCCACTTCTCAGAGAACCGCTCTTCAGTCAACATCGGTGTCAGATCGTCCACTCGTCCGCCGAAGATCGTGAGCATTGTGCTCGAACTGTAGATCGATCACGGTGTTAGCATCTTCATCCCAGACTGGACCTATCAAACCGGTACGTACTTGGCACTTCCAAACGTATTGTGGAAGAATGATTCAGAGTACTCCTTATTCGTCCTCTTCGCATCCGTCCTCCTCTTCGCCAAAGCCCTCGACAGATCCGGAATCGTCAGCTTGGGAGATCCATCAGGCATCTTGCCGGTCGCCTCTTTCAACAATCCATGAACCAGCTCCAAGTCTGGCTTGCCCTGGTCCGCGACCAACGCCTTATCCTGCCTCGTGAGGCTAGCATCGTGCTCGATGGCGTTATCGGCGTGCAGACTGAGGTCTTCGAGATCAAACTTGTCTTTCGCATACGACTTGTTGAGGAAGCGGGCGGAGAAGTTGGGCACGAAGAAGCAGAAGGAGGAGGCGAAGTTGAAGGTCTCGCGGACTTTGGTGTTGAGCTCTTTGAAGGTGATGTTCTTGCCGTCGTGGGGGAGGATGCCGTGATTCGCTGTGCAAGACTGTCAGTCGTCCTCTTCGCTCCCTAAAAGCTTCTCGGACCCACCCATGGCATTCAACATCGGACATGCTGATCTCGAGTCACCCTCTTTGGGTGGAACGTACTCTGGCCATCTGCCATTGTGACCAGGACAGCCCTCTGGAACGACCTGACCAGGCTTGAGCTTCGGCGTGAGCAGATTCAAGATAGCAATGCCATTGTCCCACAAGATGACCGAGAGGTCCACGAAAGTATCTCCAAGCTTGCCAAAGACACCCATCCTGACTTACTGGTCGTCGAGCGAAATGATGTCCTTCTAGCAGTCAAGTTTGTAGAAGAAAGACACCCACCCTCTGAAGGTTTTCACACCACCTCATCAACGCACTGCTGGGCGAGCTACGGTGGTGGAGGAGGGGCGCACATTGGTGCTGCAGTGTAAATGCATCGTCGCGAGAGTAAGTGGTTTTGGTTGGCAATGGCGCGGCACTGATTGGCTTGGGGTGCTGCAGGTCGATGATCGTAGCTTTGCTAGGCGGTAGTAGGTGTAACTAAATTGGCAAATGCAAAGATTTACGTCGCTGCCGGATGCAGAGGGAGTCTTTCCGCTCCGTCACGCTGCTATTTGTGCTGTGCGATATGTGTGTCGTCCTTGGTGCTACGAAACCTTGGGGTTGTTTGGTGGAGAGATACGAGTGGAGGCTGGATGGTGCATCGATTGTGGCGTGGAGCTATCGAAGAGCGTGCCGACAGTGGGACTGGTATACCAGTCAGACATTGAAAACAGGCATGAAGCGTCTCTTCGAAGGCTGATGCTCTACTTGTTGATATCTTGAGCAAGACTACCGCCCAGTCCGACAGATGAGGTCTTGAAATGCCTGACGTCTGTGCGCTCATTTGACTTTGGCAACGACGACGGGCAAACCACGTCCTCGGATCCCAGACTTCAACCTCACCTGTACTCGACGCAATACAACAAGTACGGCATCCCGGCAGTGTGCTGTCCTCCCATAGCTCTTCGTGAGAGTCGACACGTGGCCCTGCTAGGACATCAGCACAACATCTTCGCGCGACGCATCCGCATGGACGGACAACATCCCCGTGCTCGAGCACAAGACACGACTCCACCACAGACCGTCGGCATATCTGGCAACGAGAGCAAGAGCATCAATATGAACATGGAATGAGAGCAGAGGAGAATCAGCGCTCGCTCACCGGCAGACACCACCACCACCACCGGGAAATGACGTGGTCATCAGCGACGATCTTATCTCGAGGCGGATCTGCTTCTGCTCCATTCACCAACAGCTCTTGTTCCCACGTACCCGGTAGGAGGCGGTTCTTCAGATCTACTGAAGCCCTCTGGCCAGATGCGAATATGCACCAAGCTCTACTCTACAAGAAGCGAGCTCTCATGCGCCATGGCCTCTTGTTTCGAGAAGCGTCGTCAGTGGCGTCTTATGAAGCGAGGGTGTTTGCATTTCACAACTTTACTGTTTCGTGCGGCAGGCGGTAATAGAGAGTCAAGAGAGATCGTCCACTACAACGCAAATAAGGTAAGAAGTCTGTAAAATGGATGCGACTCAACATCGAAGGTCATATTGGAGAAACCACGCCGAAATCACGCCTACTAACATGCGGCCGATTGCTGCCAGCTAACATCTAAAACGCTACTTCAAATCTTTGAGAATTCCCAAAAACGCCTCCATACACCAAACGACTCAGTCCGCTCACCTCCACTCGAAGTTGGACTCTGCAGATTTCTGGTTGTGCACCGCATCAGGAGAAATGCCAAAGATATTCTCGACCATCTCACCACCTCGCACTGCCAGGATCGAGAGAAGGGTATCAGACAGACCGTGCGTCTTCTCATTGCATCCCTGCAACCAGACGCCAGCATCTGGCTCAACCGCTCCAGGCTCGAAGTCGACAGCGTAGTCGCGCTGCACGGTCCAGTTCTTGCCCTCAGCGTTACCACCTGGCATGAGGTCTCGCAGCCCGCAGAGCATCTCCTCGTGGGCGTTTCGCACGTATCCGCTTGCCACGATGACCAGATCGACTGTTAGGGTCTCGTTGCTGATGTCCTTGTTGGCGTGGTATTTGCCAGAGTTATTCTGGATCTGGAGTTCGACGGCTGGACGGCCGTTGAGTTGCACGTCACGCATGCCGGTGACTTCTCTGTAGTTCAGCAGCCTGTGTGGCCACTCCTCCTCGGATTGGTGTTGGATCTGGTACGAGTACATCTCGTTGTAGATCTGTTCCAAGAGTTCAACACGAACAACGCCATAGTTCGTGGCTTTGTCGAGGCGGAGAGCCTCTGCCCTGATGCGTGGATCTTGGGCGAAAACGTCGTCTACACGGTCCGGGTTGAAAACCTCGTTGACACTGCAGTTCGATTAGCAATGCCTTACAAAGTCTGCATCGTTGTAACTTACAAGGGCGAATCATCACTTGGCTTCAGCGCAGCATTTCTGATGCACAAAACTGACTGAGCACCAGGGAATCGCGAGGGGATATCGTGCCAGCACTCTGCAGCACTCTGGCCGCCACCGATGACTGCAACCCTCTTCGGCGCCGTGCCTTCAGGAAAGATTTTGTGGATGTTGGTGGCATATTGCGAAGAGTGGATGATTCGTGGATGATACTCTGGCAAGGTTCGTGGGATATACGGCCTGCCACCAGCTGCAATAACGACATGTTTGGCTTTGAGAGTCGTTCGTTCTCCAGTTTCGTGGTTGACGGATGCAACATTGAAGTACTCGACGGCACCAGACTTCTGGCTGAAGTGACCAGCGGTGACGGTTTCAACGGTCTGGCTGTAGTCGACGACATTCGAGAAGTGGTCTGCACACCAGCGCATGTAGTCTTCATACTCGATACGCTGCGGCAGGAAAGTACCCAAGTTGGTGAAAGAGACCAGCCTGTCCTTCTCGTGGAGGTAGTTGAGGAAAGTAAACTCGCTTTGGGGGTTGCGAAGGGTGGCCATATCTTTGATGAAGGTAATCTGCATCTTGGCTCCTGGTAGGAGCATGCCTGCGTGCCACGCGAACTTCTCCTGGCGCTCTAGGAAACGGACCCTGGGCGATCTCGTCGACAGTCTTGCGTTCTTCGACTCCAGGGAATCATGAAGGGCGACTGCTATGGCCAAAGAGGCTGGTCCGAAGCCAACGCATACCAGGTCCTGGACCTCATCGCCGCCATATCGATGGAGATTCGATCCTCTGGAGTGGACAAGACCAGGAATGTCATCTGCCAGGGAGTTTGGTGAAGTGTAAGGTGACATCTCCGACGACGATAGAGCGTGCGGTGACATGATGGGGAAGTAAGGTCTTGATTGTCAGAATGAACGGAGAACAAAGAATGTTGGCCAAACTTTGGCGCCTGTCCGGGAAGTTGAAGGATTCAAATAAAGTAGAGTGAGTAGTTGTGGGACCACTGCAAACTGTACTGCTGCAGGGCAACCGAGCTCGGCCAATGCAACGCTGGTTGAGGTTTGTTTCTCCAAGGATGCAAACAGTCGACTAGCAGAAGAGGCGTGGTGGACGTGGCATACAGTTGGTGCAAGAGTCAATGGCGTCAGCTAAAGACCACCCACGCGGCCGAGCTAAAGCGCTCGAGACAAACGGTTCGTCCTTGGAGCAGGGAATGCAAGTTGGTCTAATCTAATCAGATCATCTCCTCCGTCCAACTTGTGCCCGTGGACTTTGTGGAAGGCGAGGAAATATCTCGGCATCGTGACGTATGGGCTGAGATCTCAGGCGAATGAGCTCCATTTGCAGCTGCATCCCGCTGAGCGTTTGGGCAAGGGTCAGGCGCAGTGTGGTCGAAAGAAACTTATCAGATCCGCTCCGACCGCAAATTTTTGCATGGACCCGACGCATGGTGAGCTTGGATGGCACGTCGATCGGGCGCTAGAGGGAGCTGCCAGTATCAAGCGATGCAAGCCGAGGCGATGACCGTGGTGCTCCGTAGCACCCTCTTGGATGGAAACGTAATAGCATTTGGAGCACTTCACGTGTTCTTGATCACGATGGGATACTGCCAGACTTCGTATTCAACGAGGTCTGCATTGTTTGCTGGCTGCGGCCTTCCTCCCGGTGCAATCTGAGGCTAGAAGTGATGTAGGAAGTACGCACGATATCCACCTCAGTACAGCTTTCGTAAAGCAATGGTGGTTTGCGCGAGCAGCAGACAATTCGCTCCTGCAAATTTGGAGAGACCCTCGCCAGGCTGGTGCCACGGGGGAAGAAGCCGCTTTGCAAAAGTAAGTTCACCTGCCAGGAGTATGGCCGCATGGTCATATCAAGGTCTTGCTGACTTCGAACTTGGCGGCTGCCCATGGTCTTGATGAGATGCAACTTGATCAACTTCTTCCATGTGTTTCGAAGTATCCCTCGCTTGACCATCTCGAATGTTGGCATCCTCATCTGCCGCCGAGCATGGAGTACAACATCGTTAAATTGTCAAGCCTTGGCACAGAAGGATGCCGATTCCAGGAAGCTTCTGCATGGTGACGAAGGCAAATTTTCCATTCTGCCGTGGCTGTAGCGGCTCTTGCGACTCGGCAACCCTGCAGTAGCGGTGGTGAGGCGTGAGACTCGTGCAAGCCATCTGCGCGGTGATGCTGCACTTTGATCAGATAAGATCAAGCGATAATCGAACTTCAGCTCGCGGAAATGGTCAGCAAGATTTTCGGCTTCATGTCCTTCGAAGATTGCCATCACGCAGAGGGTTTGTTTCATTGTTTTCCGTTTGATAGTACGGGCCTGGTTCCTTCAGAGTAGGCGTAGCCGGTATCGGCTATGCACCCAGGCCCTGGTAGAATTGGTAGCTGCTATTAGTTGGTCGCTCATTATCGCCACGCTTTACGCGCTTGAACTCTGTTCTGCATGCGTGAGGCGCCTTAGTCTCTGGAAATGGTCCACTGTTCAGTGTTCGTTGCGCTGGATAGTGTGTTGTGAAGAAATTGTTGTTGTTTCGCGTGGGGGAAAGGAAGGGGCGGATGTCCACAAGAGAGCTGTGGACTAGCGCTGTCCCACAGGTTGTTGGCGTCCATGTGCTTCAACGTCCACTTGCCATCGACATCAAATCCTGTGACTTCGCATCACAGTGTTGCTCGCATCAGCCGACGGCGTTGGGTGCATTTGCTATACGACTCTTCTGGCGTGGCTTATCTGGGTTTTCACCTCCACGCGCGTGCCCATCACCGCCAGCTGCAATATGTCAAACTGCCCTTCTCGGTGTTGTGGCGTCCACCCTCGTGCGAGGAGCAAGTCCAGATCCGATTAGACAGAAGGCCTCCAAACGGCAAGAAAAGACACTGCATTTGACTCCTGGTGTCACTCAGGCCAGGACTACCTCGTTCTGTGGTCACGATGAAACCAGAACTTTCCATATCGAATCCAAATCCGCGGAAGCTGCCTGGACCTGAACTGCTACATGAGCTGGTTCCGCGAGAGCAGAGGCTGGGTATTGCGGCAATCGAGCATGCAGCAGAAGATGGATCGATTGTCAGCCTGAATTATGGCGAACTCCATCAAAACGCGGAAGCCTTGGCACGACGGATTGTCGAAGCTGCCAAACACGGTCCACATCAAGGTGATCGATTCATCGTTCCGATACTGATACCGCAGTCTCTGGATCTGTACATATCACAGTTGGCCTCACTCCAGGCAGGTGGTGCCTTTTGCCCCATCGTTCTGGACGCTCCTGAAGAGAGACTTCGATTCATTCTGCAGGACACGGGGGCAAGTGTCCTACTCACGACTGCATTCTACCAACAACAATTACCGACTTTCGATGGCATCGAAGTCATTGCCGTCGATGATGGCCACCGAACGACAGACACCGAACCACTTAATCTGCATACTACACCGCAAGATGCAGCGTATGTAATGTATACCAGTGGCAGCACTGGACAACCAAAGGGGGTCATCATTTCACATTCAGCAGTGACGCAGGCGTTACTGGCACACGATGAGCACATACCTAAATTCTCAAGATTCTTGCAATTCGCTAGCCCAACGTTTGACGTCTCAGTCTTTGAGATCTTCTTTCCTTGGTACCGACAATGCACACTGGTCAGCTGCGATCGGAAACGATTGCTCAACGACTTGCCCGCAGCAATCAGCGCCCTTCGCATCGACGCTTGCGAACTGACGCCTTCCGTCGTGAGCAGCCTCCTCAGGGGACGTGCCAGCGTTCCTTCGCTGAAGGTTCTTCTGACAATTGGGGAAATGCTAAAACCATCTGTCGTAGAAGAGTTCGGCGGAAGCAGCTCAGAACCGTCTCTACTACAAGGCATGTATGGTCCAACTGAGGCCACTATTCATTGCACACTCCAGACGAACTTCCCCAAAGATATGGCTTGTGGAATGATAGGCGTGCCACTGGAAACAGTGTCGGCTTTTGTAGTCAAGATTCCGGACGAGAGCTCGAGCCAGCCCCAACACTTAGAGATCGTCGACCTGGGCGAAGAAGGCGAGCTTGCTGTGGGAGGTTATCAGCTGGCAGATGGCTACCTCAATCGCGAAGAGCAGACCAGAGCTGCTTTTGTCGAGCATCCCCAGCATGGCTTGCTGTATCGCACAGGTGATCGAGCTCGGATGCTGTCAAATGGAAAGTTTGAATGCTTGGGACGCATCTCGAATGGTCAAGTGAAGCTGCGTGGACAGGTGAGTCGATAATGTTGAAGCAATGTGTCCATTCCACTCACGACCATATAGCGGATCGAATTGGGCGAAGTCGAACATGCTGCGTCAAGGGCGCCTGGCTGTCGAGACGTGGTCGCCGAGGTCATTCAAGGCATCTTGGTGGTCTTTTGTGTCTCTGAGAACGCTTCAGCTACCAGGTCGTCCGTGTTGACGACTTGTCGAAAGTGGCTGCCCTCGTTCATGGTGCCAGGTGAAGTTATCATCTTGGATGCCTTGCCGTACCTGCCATCGGGAAAATGCGACCGCAAAGCCTTGCGGCAACAATTCATGGAGGATCAAGATCATGGCGAAGAGGAGGTCACCCAGTATGGCGAGGTTGCAAGGCGGGTGATTGATGTTATCGCTGACGTACTCAACGCTGAAGTCAACGCAAAATCGTCTCTGTCCGGGCTTGGGGTTGACTCACTATCGTCAATTCGGATCACAGCAGCACTGCGCAAGGCAGGGTTGCGACAGCTTGACGCAACCGACATACTGTCTGCGAACACGCCCCTCGAGATCGCACAGAAGCTCGATAGCGACGAACAAGACCACATCGGGGCCACGAACGGAAGCCCTCATCGACGTGCAGTTCAAGAAGCCCTTTCTCAGGCAATTGGCCCTGAACTGCTCACAGAAGTCGAGGACTTCTTCCCCTGTACTCCGGTGCAGATCGCCATGCTGACCGAAACCCACAAGCAACCCGATGCATATTGCAACTGGGCCGAATTCCAAGTGACCGGTTCTTCCAACTGCTCGGATGTCATGGAGGCGCTTCATGAAGTCGTTCGCATTCATCCAATGCTGCGATCGGGCTTTGTACCTATCAGTAGCACTCAGTGGAGCTTTGCAACAGTCATTTGGACACATTTGAGTCCGCATCAAGTCATCGAGACAACCGCTTTCAACTATGACTTCAACTTGAAGAATGATGCCGACTTTCTCCATACCAACAGCTTTCAAGTGATGCAAACCCAAGACGGCATTCATGTCCTGCTCAAAGCTCATCATGCCGCCTTTGACCAATGGTCACTCGATCTTCTGAAAACTCATTTCGAGGCTATATTGGCAAATCAGCAGCTCCCGACTCTACACTCCTTCGGTCTAGTCGTCGACTACCACGCTGAAGCACTGCGAGACGGCGTGCCACCCTCAACAATGGACTTCTGGCAACAAGTGGTTCGAGATTCAAGCCCGACCACTCTACCACTGCTGCAAGCGCAGGAAGTGCCTCCCTCACTCTCTCGAACAAAGTGGCGGAACCTCGACCAAGATGCCTCATCATTGAGACAACTTTCGCAGCAGCTCAACTGCAGCCTGCCCGCCATTTTGCAGGCGGCTTGGGCACTGCTTCTTGGATCCTACACCGGATCGTCTGACATCACGTTCGGCTGTGTGTTTTCAGGCAGGAACCTCCCAGTCAGCGGCATCGACGAGGTCTTTGGACCATGCCTTGCGACTTTACCTCTACGAGTCGATACTGACACCGCGGATACCTGTACCGACCTTGTCGGAGCCTTGACTGAGCGTACTCGAGCAATGCAGAAGCACATCTGGACACCTACAACTGCCATTCGACAAGCTGCGGGAGTCACGCCAGGGATGACGCTTTTCGATACTCTATTCATTTGGCAGGAGAGTATTTTCAATGATGATATACAGGGCAGCAGGGTCAAGCTGGTTGACTCTCGAGATCAACTGGAGTTCAACTTAATTCTCGAGTTCGAGCCAACGCCCGAAAAGATCAAGATGCGAGCGACTTACCAACAGAGCTTGATCAGCTCGGAGCAGGTTGATATACTGCTGCGCCAGCTCAACGCACTTGCTTCGGCCATAGCTACCTCACCACAACGTTCTTTGAAGGACATGTGGTCTGCTGTCAGTTCAGGGGTGCTGTCGATCGCGAACCCAAATCCCAGCAAATACAGCGACAAGTTTGACTTGACTTCTGTCATCCAGCGACATGCAACGGACGATCCATCCGCAACGGCCATCTTGTTTGCAGAATCGATCACCGAGGATGGCTTCAATACGACATCCATCTCGTACCGAGAGTTAGATGCAAAGGCAAATCGCATGGCTCATGTCTTCATCGAGGCAGGCTTGAAACCAGAGGGGTTAGTGTGTATATGCATGGCAAAGTGCATCGACCTTTACGTCGCTATGCTGGCATCTTTCAAGGCTGGCGCTGGATACCTCCCGCTTGTGCCCGACACTCCAGCAGCAAGGGCGAAATCTGTGCTTGCGCAAACCACGATCGACATGTGCGTATGCGATGCCGATACTACCCAGAATTTCGAGAGGTTGACGACAGCTCCGGTCTTAGACATGTCCAGAACCAACTTGACAAAGTACCCTAGAAGCCCTCCCGCAGTTACTCAATCTGGTTCCCGAATTTCGTATGCTGTCTTCACTAGTGGCTCAACCGGCGAGCCAAAGGGCGTCGCTGTGACCATGAACAATCTGAAAGGAAATTTAGGCGTCCTCGGCGAGCTCTACGAAGTGCGACCAGGTGACCGTCTACTCCAAGCATGCTCTCAGGCCTTCGACGTGAGCGTATTTGAGATCTTCTTCGCTTTCTACAGCGGCATGTGCTTGTGTACTGCTACAAAAGAGATCATGTTCAGCGATTTCAAACGCAGTATACGAGAATTTGGAGCCACTCATCTGTCTCTCACGCCCACTGTTGCTGCTCTGGTTCGACCTGAAGACGTTCCAAGTGTCAAATTCCTGGTCACTGCTGGCGAAGGGATTACAGAGAAAGTACACAGGCTGTGGTCCGGCCGAGGCTTACACCAAGGATATGGTCCCTCTGAAACGACAAATATCTGCTCTGTAAAGATGCATCATTCTCCCCAAGATATCCTGGGCAACATCGGACCGCCGTTTCGCAACACTTCTGCCTTCGTGCTATCTCCTTCAGAGGGGTTCAACATTCTGCCAGCTGGTGCATACGGCGAGTTTGCGTTTGGAGGCGAACAGGTGTTTCGAGGATACATCGGCCGCGAAGACCTCAACTCTATCAAAATCATCGACCACCCTCAGTACGGTCGGGTTTACAAGAGTGGTGACATGGGCCGCATACTTCCAGATGGTACACTGCTGATCTCAGGTCGGCTGGACGACCAAGTCAAAATCAGGGGTAACCGTGTGGAACTCGGCGAAATCAACGCGATCGTGTCTGATCATCCGGAGGTCCTTGATTGCACCACCATCGTGCTCGGCGAGGGCAGTTCAGCACAGGCTTTGGTAACATTCTTTGTGCCTGCTTCTTGTCGACGTGACTCAGCATCTAGCCTTTCCGTTGCTGATGTTCCTTCAGCTACCATCTCTGAGATCTTTGGTCGACTTGAAAGCGCTCTTCCCGCATACATGCTGCCAAGCACACTCGTTCCCGTCGACGAGTTGCCCATCACATCTCAGGGCAAGCTTGACAAGAGGCTTCTGCAACAGGCACTGAACAGTCTTGACAGGTCAAACCGCGACAGATACTCACGCTCACACGAAGTGAGCTCCGGAGACCAACCTGCATCATCGATGGAGGTTTCGATGGCTGAGACCCTGGCACAAGCTCTAGAAGTGCCACCAGCAGACATATCCAGAGACACGTCATTCTTCGCTCTGGGCTTGAACTCCCTCAACGCGATGCAGTTCGCTCGGTTGCTTCAGAAACGCCTAGATGCCGTAGTGGGAGTGACGGCAGTCATGAAGTACCCAAGCATTGCAAGATTATCGCAAGCCCTCTCGATCTCATCACCGGACGACTCAAGCCAGAGCACCAGCAATGCTCTGAACGTGTTTTCGAAAGACGTTGTTCAGGAGGTCCGATCAATACTGGCTAAACGTGAGCTGGAGATCGAAGCCATCCTACCGTCCACGCCTTTGCAACAGGCAATGCTGTCAGCGAGCATCTCTAAAGGGGGCGAGGCCTACTGCAACACCACCAAGTTGAGTATGTCTGGTGACTTGGAGAAGCTTCGAGACATATGGGATGATATGATGGAACGACATGCAATTCTCAGGACTGTCTTCGTGGAAACGACCTCTGTTGCGCATCCCTATGCCCAAGTTGTTTTGAGAACACCACCTCAAGTTTGGCACAGCCTTCGTAAAGATTCTACCCAACCAAATGGCAAATCAAATGGGCATACGAATGGACACGCCAACGGGCATGTCGCTCTTATGCCCAAGCTACCTCTTGCCACTCCAGAATCGCCCCTATCCATATACCAAGACGGCACCCAACTGTATCTGCAGATGCATCACGCCATTTACGATGGCATTTCCGTGGCAAACCTCTTCAATGAGATGAGTCAACTTTACGATGGGCAAGCCTTACCTCCACCGGTTTCGTTCGAGCCATTCTTGGGTGAAGTAATGCGCCAGAATGGAGACGCAGCACGCCAATTCTGGTCACAGAAGTTCCGAGGCTTTCGGCCAAGTCCATTGCCGCACCAAAAAGACGATGTTGAAGAGCAGGAAGACGTCCTCGACAGAACAATCGCAATTGAGGCACAGTACCTACAGGCCTTTTGTGCGCGACACAGCTGTACAACACTCAGCGTCTTCCAGGCTGCGTGGGTGAAGACACTGGTCTGTGCCCAACAAGAACCAGATCTCTGCTTCGGCAATGTAGTCAGTGGAAGGTCTGTCCCCGTGGCAGACGTCGACCGGCTTGTCGCGCCCTGCTTCAACACGATACCACTCAGAAGTCAAGTCCAGCATGTCCGTACAAACCTTGGCCTTGTCCAAGACCTTCATCGAACCAACATCGACACGCTGCCATTCCAGCTTACTGGTCCTCGTCAAGTCCAGGCACTCTCACAGATACCGTCGCAGCATCTCTTTGACTCGCTGTTACTCCTCCAGCCTTACCAAGAGGAGTCTGACTTATGGAGTGTCGAAGAGGATAGAATGGATATGGGGATCCCACTTGCGCTCGAGATCATCCCTCGAGACAAGACGCACGAGCTGTATCTACACTACATGCCAAGTGCAGTCTCACATGCCTTGGCATCGTCCCTGGTGGATGGGTTTGTGGCTGCTCTGATGTCGTGTGTCCGGTATCCATCGAGTGCGCCGGATCATTTTCTGGATTTCGACAAGAGCCGCATCGAAAGCAAGTTGCAGTCCGAGAAAGAGTCGGCAGCTGTCAACGGAGAGCTTGGTGGTTCTACAGAGAACGACGACAAATGGAGTGAGACCGAAGAAGCGATTCGCAAGGCGTTCTCCAAGCTGGCAGGTGTCGACCGCGAACGGATATCGAAGCAGACCTCACTCTACCAAATCGGGCTGGATAGTCTCAATGCGGTACAGGTCGCATCTGCGCTACGGCAGCAAGGCTTCAAGTTGGACGCTGCCGATGTCATGCAATATCAAACCCCTGTTGCACTTGCCAGCTTCCTCAGTTCAAAGCAACCCGATGCGACTCCCCAGCAAGCAGCCGTGGACCTGTCAGCGTTCGACCGAAAGCACAGAAAAGTTATTGCCAATAACTCAAGGCTTGACGAAGACATCGTAGAAGCTGTGCGGCCTTGCACTCCTACTCAGAGTGGCATGCTGGCTCAATTCATCCAGGCTCAGGGTGCTCTGTACATGAGCCATAGCGTCTACGTCGTTCCAGAGTCTGTCAGCTTTGAGCAGATCAAAGCAGCTTGGGCGGCCGTGGAGCGTAAGCACAAGGTCTTGCGTATGGGATTCTACCAGATGGACGATGCAAATACTCCATTCGCCATGGTCATATTCAGGCCTGGTGAGTTCTTCGAGAAGGTCAATCTATCGGAAAGCCTTCAGGAGGAAGCTTCGTTTGAGCAATTTGCTCGAGACGACGTGTTCAGGGCTATGTACATGCCTGCTTGGAGACTGCACCTTGACGCTTCGAAAGAAGAGCGCAGGATGAGCTTGTCTCTTCATCATGCTCTATACGACGCCGATTCTCTCCACATCCTGTTGACAGACTTCGCGAGAGCAGTCCAGGGTCAAAACCTCGGTCCTGCCGCTGAGATCGATCAGGCTATTATAAGCCAGATATCTGGAGCCAGCGAGAACAAATCGATCGCAGAGAAGTTCTGGAAGGAGACACTTGAGTCCTCCAGAGCTTTGAAATTGCCAAATCTGACGCCTACTATCGTTACTGAAAGCAGCGCGAAGACGGCCCGTCACCCCTCGTCCATTACAGTGACGACAGTGGACAGCTTCTGCCGGGCCAAAGGCGTGACCATTCAAGCACTTGGACAGAGCGTCTGGGCAATGCTACTGGCGCAGTATCTCGGCGAGGCAGAAGTGACCTTCGGTACTGTGTTATCCGGCTCCTTCAGCACGTCTCAGCCTGTGGCATTTCCGGCAATCTCAACACTGCCAGTGCATTGTAACACGAGCAAAGACACGACTGATCTCGTACACGACATGGTGACATACAATGCTTCCCTCCAGAGACATCGTTTCACGCCACTGGCAGACATCCAACGATACGCTGGATCGGCGGGCCAGGCTCTCTTTGACACTATCTTCGTCTATCAGAAGTCTGCAGAGGACACAGAGGACCGCTTTGACTGGACAGCTGTCACCGATGATCTCGGCATTGACTATATTGCGTCGATGGAGATGGAGACACCAGATGCAAGCAACGTCCAGCTTCGATTGACATACGACACGCAATCGATTCCGACAGATCATGCTTCTCTAATGATCAGACAGTTCGACGCAACTTTACGGAGCGTGGTGGAAGACGGTCAACAAAGCACATCTCAGGACATGGATCTTATGTCATTTGTGCCGGCGAAAGACCCAACAATACCGTGTTCCGTCAGCCTGCTGCATCAATTCGTCGAGCGAGGAGCAAGGACCCATCCTGATCGACCGGCCCTCGAGTTCATTCATGCTCTTGACGGTGGTGAGAAGACGCGGAAGAAGTGGACCTATAAGCAGCTGGACGAGCGAAGTAACCAAGTCGCCCATGTAATTCAGCAGTGGGGAGTCAAGCCAGGAGGTATTGTGGCAGTGTGCATGTCAAAGTGTGCAGAAGCGACCTTTGCCTTTGTGGGAATCTTGAAGGCAGGCTGTGCGTTCCTTGCGATGGATCCGGATCTGCCACCCGCGAGGAGATATTTCATCATGGAGGACTCTAAGTCCCAGCTTCTCTTCGTCGATGATGGAAAATTGGATGAGCAGCTGGACGCAATCGTGCCCAACATTGGGCTAAATGAGGACGTGCTGACGAATTTGCCATCATCGCCTGTCCCTCTGCCGACCATTCAACCAAATGCAACAAGCTATTGCCTATATACGAGTGGAACGACCGGCACACCCAAGGGATGCGAACTCACCCACGAAAATGCCGTCCAAGCCATGATGTCCTTCCAGAGACTATTCGCTGGCCATTGGGACGAGAATTCGAGATGGCTTCAGTTCGCCAGCTACTGGTTCGATGTATCAGTCCTCGAGCAGTTCTGGAGCTGGAGTGTCGGCATCACAGTAGTCGGAGCACCCAGAGATCTTGTACTTGAAGATCTGGCCGGCTTCATCCAACAAGCCAACATCACGCACATCGACCTCACACCGTCACTGGCCAGGTTGCTCACGCCGGATCAAGTGCCCAGCCTACATAACTACGTCTTCATCACAGGAGGCGAAGCTTTGAAGCAAGAGATCATCGATCGTTGGGGTCCGTACGAGACCATCTGCAATGGTTATGGTCCAACTGAGGCGACCATTGGCGTGACGATGAATCCTTTCATTGGCAAAGATGCCAAGCCCTCAAACATCGGACCGCCCTTCGACAATGTCGGAGCGTACGTGTTCGCTCCTGGAACTGACGAGATCGTCTTGCGCGGTGCCGTCGGCGAGCTTTGCGTGGCAGGGAAGCTCGTTGGCAAGGGCTATTTGAACAGACCCGACCTTACTGCCACGGCCTTCCCTTTCCTGGAGCGGCATGGTGAACGGGTCTACAGGACGGGAGATCTTGTTCGCCTTTTGGCTGATGGTTCGGTGTCGTTCATTGGCCGCGCGGATACCCAGGCGAAGCTCAGAGGCCAGAGACTTGAGATCGACGAAATCGACTCTGTGATCAAGTCGTCTGCGAACACAATTTCGGATGTTGCATCCCTCGTTGTCAAGTCAAAGGAGGGCAACCGAGAAATGCTGGTATCTTTCATCGTCAGTGAGTCGGTCCGGAGCAAGGAGCTGCAAGTCTCAACCTCTGGTGATAGCCTCGACATTGTCCAACGAGCAGATCAGGCTTGCCGAGATCGACTGCCAGGCTACATGGTGCCCACACACATAATTCCGCTGACACACCTGCCATTGACTGTCAACAACAAGGTCGACACGAAGCGGCTCGTCGCTCTGTTCGAATCCATGACAACTCAAGACTTGCAACAGCTGAAGGGCAGCAATGCAACCCGTCGAGACCTACAACCAACGGAGCAAAAGATCGCCGAAGTTCTCGCCCGTCTCTTGTCCGTGGATGCCGGCGATATGACACCAGACTCGAACTTCTTCTCGCTCGGCCTATCCTCCGTATCTGCTATCAACTTCGCCACAGCGCTCAAGCGGAATGGTCTCAACGACGCCTCGGTGGCAATGATAATGAAGCATTCCACGGTCCAAGGTCTTTCCAGAGCCCTTTCGAGAGACAGTGAAGAAGGCCAGGCGGAGCGCAATGCAATCAAGCAAGCCCAGCTTACGATTTCTGCTTTTGCGAGGAGACATCGTGGGCTAGCAGCGAAGACCATTGAAGTTGAGGCCTCTCAGATAGAGGCAATCGCACCATGTACGCCACTCCAAGAAGGACTTTTGGTGGAATCAATGAAGAGCGAGCGTCGCCCTTACTTCAACAAGTTCTGGTATGATGCGACGATGTCAGATATTGATCGCTTGGTCGCTGCGCTGGAGCGAATCCAGGAGCTCGTACCTATGCTCAGAACGGTCTTCTTGAACACCGATGAAGGCTTCGCTCAAGCAGTGCTTCGCGAGATGTGCTCAGCTGTGGAAATCTTGACAGTCGATGATGGCAGTCTCGAAGAAATCCTACATCAGCGAAGGAAGGACTGGGTCGAAAACGCCACGCAAGATTTGCTACGACCGTTCGAGATGTCTGTTGTGAAGACGGCCGAAAAGGCAGTGCTGGCTTTCCACGCGCATCACGCCTTGTACGATGGTATCTCGTGGGACCTGATGATGGACCGAATCGGACAGCTCTATCGGGGGACGACCTCCGTTGACTGCGGACCAAGCTTCATAGATGCTTTGCCATACGGGCCACTCTGCCATCGATCAGACGCAAAAGACTTTTGGCAGCAGAGTTTGCAGGACACACAGTTCGTTCCAATCACCGCAGCAACCTACGACGCCAACGATGGAAGTATCTTTGCCACGAAGACGCTGCAATTCGAGCCAAGACTGGAAGCCATAAGACGGCACCTGGCTGTATCTCACCAAGCAGTGATGCAAGCGGCGTTCGCTGTGGCTCTGCATCAACTTTGGCCACAAACACAATCATATGGTGTCGTCCTTTCGGGCAGGTCCATGAGCTTTGATCGTGCAGAAGAAGTCGTTGGGCCAATGTTCAATACCGTACCGTACACCGTTGGTGTACAGGACACTGATGACTGGAAGGAGCTGCTTCTTCGATGCCATCAATCGAATGCGGCTGTGGTACCATTCCAGCATACGCCTCTGAGGGATATCAGGAAGTTCTGTGGCCGACATCCATCCGATCCAATGTTCGATGTCTTGTTCGTGTTTCAGCGACCCAACAATACAGACGAGTCATCACACCAAGGGGATATATTCAAGCCCATAGAGATACAGCCATCCGCAGAGTACCCACTTGCTGTCGAAGTCGAGCTTGACAGATCGGACAACATCGCCATCACAATCGCAGCGCAGAAGCAATATGCTTCCGAAGATTCCTTGGACAAGCTTATGCGAGACATCGAGACAGCGCTGGGCTGCATAGCTGGAGACATCGACCAGAAGATCTCGAAAAACTTCAACGTCGAAATTCAACGCTCGAGTGGCGTGATCACAAAAGAGACCACCCAGATACCACAAGTTGACGGGACCTCAGACTTTGAATGGAACTCGGAGGCCAAATATATCAGGGATTCTATCGCCCAGCTAGCTGGCTGTGAGGCGAACGAAGTGTCAGAGAACACAGGCATCTTCACCCTTGGCCTTGACAGCATCGATGCGGTAAAGCTGGGCTCGCGGCTGAAGAAGGCTGGACTCTCCATACCTGTCAGCCAGATTCTGAAGGCTCAAACAATCCCGAACATGCTTGAAGTACTGGGAAGCAGCAACGCCGAAGGTTTAGCCAGCCCTACGGACACCAGGCTTGCAAATCTCGAGAGGCAACTGCAGGGCTTTCGAGAGGGTTTCGACGAAGATGTCCAAGATGGTATCGAGCGGATCCTGCCGGCAACACCTGGACAGGAGGCTCTCATCGCCGACATGATACGTTCAGAGTTTCGACAGTACTTCAATTCGGATGTCTTGCGGCTCAGTGATGATGTGGATGTCGACAGGCTGAGAGCGGCGTGGCAAGCTGTGGTTGACTCCTCACCAATCTTGCGGACATCCTTCGTCGAGGTCGCTAACCCAGACATCGACGCCGTGTTTGCTCAGGTCGTGCGTCGCACTAGAAAGATCGAAATGGGAGAATTATGGCCAGGTACTATCGAAGAGCTGGATGATTACATCGGCCAGACACGAGTCGACGTGATGGCCACTCTGGCGACTGAGCCACCTTTCAGGTTGGCATTTGCGCACGCACAAGACCAGCGCTTCCTCATAATTGCCATGGCGCATGCTCAATATGACGGTCACAGTCTCGCGCTGCTTCACGAAGATGTTGCGAAGGCTTACTCGGGGGAATTGAAGCCTCGACCCATCTATGACGGGATCATCGATTTGGCTCTGGACGCTACGACGAACAAGGCTCTGCAGTTCTGGAGAGATACACTGAATGGAGCGCAACTCACTCGCATTAGTAGCGTGGAAGAGCCGGCCACCGCAAAAACCCATCGCGCTGAACGTGTGATCTCAACAACAGCCCCTGAAGCTCGTAGATTCTGCAAGACACATGGTGTATCATTACAGGCACTTACACAAGCTGCTTGGGCTCTTCTCCTGGCCAGCCGCACCAAGCATCTCGAAGTCGTATTTGGCATCGTGCTTGCTTGCAGAGACAGCGAGGAGGCCGAGGCTGTCATGTTCCCGACCATGAACACGATCCCAATGCGAGCTTCCCTACATGGGACGGGCGCGGATATGGTTCGCCATGTTCAGGGAATCAACAACGATGCACGACCTTATCAGCGAACACCTCTTCGTGCGATCCAGTCTGCTTGTAGTAACGTTGTGGACTTTCCAAACTTGCCGGGTCCTCAGAGCAGCCTGTTCGACTCTTTGTTCATCTATCAGCAGAGACCTGAAGATGAGGCTCAAGCCCAGCCGTCTCTCTACGAGTCTGTCAACACCAACTCGAACGTCGAATATCCTGTGGCGATCGAAGCTGAAGCCGTGGGTGACGAACTCATCGTTCGAGTTGCATGCAAGAGCCATGTCTTCGATGAGCATGGGACTCGTGGCCTGCTTCAGAAGTTTGATCACGTCCTTGAACACCTCGTCAAGTCTCCTGAGAAATCTACAATTAGCTTCTCGAATGAGTCTGTGTCCATCTGTGGGCTTCCTGGCTTCAGATTAAAAGACAACATCCTGGAAGGGCAGACGAAGGACATTCCACCTATCGATGACAACAGTCACGACGAAGTCGAACTCTCAGACGAGAGTGCCATCCGCGCTGCTCTGGCTCAAGTAGCCAGGGTCCCAGAAGGCGAAGTCTCTTCTCACACGAAGATGGAAGCCATCGGCATCGATTCCATTTCCGCCATCAAAGTCACGGCGCTGTTGCGAAAGCAGTCAATCAAACTACCAGTGAGCAGTATCCTGAAGGCTCAGACTCCACGGCGAATGGCGGAGCTGGTGGAATCAAACAGTGCTACACCTGCCTCGACGACAACTTCGAGCGAGATCATTCAGAAACACCTCAACGGCATCGATGTCGTTCGAGTAGCAGAAGCCAGTGGCATTAACCCTGACAATGTGGAGTCTGTTCTGCCAGCAACCGCTGGACAACTCTACATGCTCTCAATGTGGCGCAAGACGGACGGCGAGTTGTTCTACCCAACGTTCAGCTATCACCTCCGGACGTCTAGACACGACCACGAGATCAAAGCCGCATGGGATCAAGTGGTCTCACGCAACGCGATCCTCAGGACTGTGCTGATCCCAGTAGAGGGAAAAGTACCTCTGCTCCAGATCGTGTTGAAGCAGCTGCATCAAGAAGCCTCCTCATCCCAGCCAATGGCCGATTTTCAGCTCAAGAAGACAGATGATGGGTTCATGGTCTCGTTAACGATCCACCATGCACTTTACGATGCTGTTTCCCTTCCGCTCCTCATGGAAGAGCTCGAGTCAGCGATCGATGGCACTCTACCTCCAGAACCTCGCCTCAAGTTCCCAGGGTATCTGGCAAGCGCGCTCAGTGCTGAAGCTCAGGCCGCGAAGAAAGAGTTCTGGACCAAATATCTGCGAGATGTGCAGCCGGCAGCCCTCACTCATCCCAAACCTGCCGCTACTCGCAAAGTGCAGATCTTCAAGCCACACGCATTCACTTCGTGCGCAGACCTGGAGAAGTATTGCAGAGCATCTAGCATCTCCGTGCAGGCTCTCCTCTTCGCCATCTATGCCAAGACCTATACCAGCCACGCAAGCCAGGCGAAGGACGTCGTCTTTGGCATCTACCTCGCCAACCGCTCTCATCTGCCCGACTTGGACCAACTTGCGGCGCCTACTCTCAATCTCCTGCCGTTGCTCGTCCGATCACCCCGAACAGCAGACCTGGCCGATATGGCAAAGAAAATCGACAAGGATCTAAGAGACATCGGCTCACCAGCAGCGTCAGCTGCCTCACTGGCAGAGATCGCAGACTGGACAGGCGTCAAGGTCGACTCGTTCGTCAATTTTCTCAAGCTACCCGAGCAGAACGAGAAGGCAGTCTCTAAGAACAACGGAACAACCATCGAAACCATTGATGAATGGACCGAGACCACTTCTCGTGTCGTCGAGCCTCAAAGACCAGGCAGAGAATCTATGCCTACCGAGCTGCGCGACTTCAAGCCGTCAGATGCATATCAGGTAAGTGCCAACGATCTCAACACCTGTGTCGAGACAATAATGCTAACACGCACACAGCACGCCGTCGACGTCGAAATCTCCATGGCAAACGGGAAACTGAGCATTGGGCTCTTCTGCCTCGAGGAGATGCTTGGGCTTGAGGAGGCGGAGGAATTTGTAGCTGAGATGGTGAGGGAGCTTGAGGGGTGGTTGGAGGAAAGGACTGACAGGGTGTTTTGAATGGCGTTCGAGGGAGAAAATACTTCAAGTGTTGCATGGCTAAGGAGTATGCGAAAGGGGAAAGGGTTGCTTTACTTTTTTCTGTCAAGGTACGTAGATAGGAGTTAGGGGGCCGAATTTGTTTGTTCTCTTTCGTCTTGGTCCCTATCCTGCCGTCGTCAAGACGTTCAAGCTATGTGATGTACGCACACCCTTCGACGGCATCTCACTGTAGAAGGGAGCGTGATTAAACAGAAGTCGTTGATGGATCAATGGCTGCTGCATTGTCGACTCAACAAGTCGAAGCGATACAGTCGATTTTCATCTCATGCTGTTGATATCTTGACATCTCACGAAAAGCAAAAAAATGGTTTACGCCTTGCTCGCTCGCCCGTCTGCTGACACGCGTCCGTCCCATTAACCGCATTCCATCAAACTCCCCACACCCAGTCATGCACATGTTCGCCCGCTTGTGTGAGCAACAAGCCATTACAACCCACCCTGCCGCCCGCGCCGCGCTGAAAACCGCAAAAGCACAAGTAAATAGAAAATACTTACCACAGCATACACCCGCCAACTTCAACCCGAATTCATCGTCGTCCAACGCCATCACCCTCCCCCGCTCAGACTTCTACCAGAAACTACACCACCCGATGTAGTGCTGGCAAAGATTCTCAAGGTTCGTAGCCTCGCTGAGCAAGCGCTCCACCTGATCCTGGATATTGAGTTCGGTCTCTTTCTTGAAGTCTCTGCCCGTCAGCTTCTCCTTCACTCTCGACAGCACTTGCAGCGCTCGGGCATTCTGAACCTCCTTATCCGCCGCGTCGAGATGGCCATTGACAAGGGTAGAGGCGCGGTTGCGAGGTCGGAAGGAATTGCTAGGACGCTCGCCCGCTGGGCCGTTCGGATCACCTCCCATAACAGAAGGCCGGCGCCCTCCAGCTGGTCCATCGGTGGGGCCCATGATGGATGTGCGACGCTCAGATTGGAATGAGGGTTCTGGTGGACTCTCACGAGTACCCAGGCGCCAGGTTAGGAGTGGATCGTGAACGAAGGCTTCAAGTACGGCCATCAGGGACTCTTTGTTGTCGCGAATGAGACGCATGACGTGCTCGCAGGTCGTGCGGAATGATCCCTCGATGTTACTGACTTCCATTGCGAATGTCAACATCCTCGTCAACCGGAATGGCACACGCTCAGGGTATTTCTCCCGATGCATGGCAACTTCGAAACAATCGCCGAAATCGATGTGAATGATCTTGCCAGTGACGCGATCCAGCATAAGATTGCTTGGATGTCGGTCTCCCAGACCAAGAATGTAGCCCACCATGGACATGACGCCCAGTGATCGCGTGTAGTTCGTACGGCGATCAAGCCATGCCTCAGACGACTTACTCTTTAGCCAGAGCACGCGATACAAGTCCTGGCCAGTAGTATTGTCGAGAGCATAGCCGAAAACTTCAACCTTCTGCATGAGAGTCAGGTTGTCGTAGTCAGGAGCCATCTGCAACATGATACGATGCTCGATGTTGAGCAGAATCTTGCGACTCTCGCGGTATTCGCGAATGAGGACGTGTAGCGTGTCCGAGTTTGGCACCCATCCCATGATACCGGCTTGAGTCGATAGAGGGGTGGCAGAGTAGCGCTGAATGTTGAGATGACGCTTGAGACACTCTGGATCCGTGGCGAGCAGAGTGTTGACCAGGCCGAACAGCTGCATGACTCGCTCGTCTTGACGAATGTCTTCATGACCCTTGATGATGAAGTCATACTTGTTGCCGTCGCTGCCTCGCATGCTCAATTTGCGTGGTCGTTGTTTCGATGAGATGACAGTCGCCACCGGGTCGAAGCTTTGAATACGCACAATAGGTTTGCCACTCTGGTAGGTACCAGGTACTGCAAGCTCGAGATCGTGCGCATTCTTGAGCTCTGGCGACACGTACTGCAGCTCGAGGCTCATGAGTTGAGGCAATTGCCTCCCGATGCGCTTGAACACGCCATAGTACAAGTCCCAGGCTTGGTTGAGATCGCCAATCTCCTGGGTCGACTTGTAGGCTTCGCACCAATCACGAGCTTCATTAAGGTCGCGTCCGAAAGATTGTATGAACGAGATCTCGCGCAGAGTCTCCGGTCCTTTCCTCAACGTCTCGTGGAGTGGCTCTAGAGTTGCAAGCATGCCCGAGATGTTATGATCGCCAAAATACAGCCGTGATGCTTCCTCCAAGGCTTCATGCCATTGCTCATGCCAAAGGACCGCGATGCGGATGAGTTCGTGACTGACAAGACTAGCTTGCTCCACAAGCTTCGGTGAATGCTGTCTCATGGCTTCCATGATCATTGAAGCTGTGATCGACCGACTTGGGACGTCGCTCTTCATACTGACGGTGAGAGGATAGACCAAAGCCTGTGGGTGGGTGCGACCGATGTCGACCAACAGATTGTGAATGCCTTCGCGAACAAGCTTGTTGGTTTGACTGATTCGTGCGATTAATTGTGGGATAACCTCCAACCAAGTGTCGACGCTGACAGATGCAATGCCTTTGATGACAGAATGCGTGACTTCAGGATTCGCGCCGTGTGCGAACCACAGTGTCAACAGTCGAAGTGTGTCTTGCAACGAGCTGGTCGAAGATAACGCAATGCTCTTGAAGAAGCCGTTTATGGCAGGAACGACATGTTCGCTGACCACATGTGGCGGAACGTCTGCTTGCTCGCGATCTCCGGCCGTCATGGAAGTAACGACTTCGAAGTTGGCAAGCGCCCAGGAGTGCCACGCCTTGTACCAGTTCTCGTTGTACCTCGTTGCGGAGTAGTACGCAGTAAGAACCTCTTGAACGTGGCCGGACTGGTGCCAGTCGGTGTCGTGAAGTCTCGTCAGCCAGTCTCCTTGCTTCAAGTAACAGCGCGCAAGAAGCATTTTCCATTCATCCAGTTCGGCCTTCTCTTTCAACGACAGCTGCTGAGCGTGAGGCGCACCGAATGGGCCGTTGCTATGGATGCCGTTGACTCCGTTGACGCCGTTCGTGCCATTCGAACCATTCAAGAAGCTGACGTTGTTGAGGCCGTTCATACCAGGTCCTGCAGCGGTGAGAGCGGCGGCATTTTTCTCGTCGAAGTCGCCACGCAATCTGACGGTGAAGTCTCGGAGAGCCGCAAGTGCGGTGTCCTGCTGGTCAATGCTCCACAAGAACTTGAAAGTGGCATACTGGACCGGATATGGCGCAGCTTTGACCTTGTTCCACCCGTCTGGTTCTGACAGTAGCATGTTAATGCTTCCAGCGGTTCCCAGAAGGCTGTTCAAACTCTTTTCAGCCAACCCCATCCGCTGGGCCTTGCGGCAAATAGAAGCGAACTTGATATACATCTCCGTGTTCTCCTGGGGCGTGATAACCAGAGCTCGGACTTTCAGCATGCGTTGCCAGATATCGACTTGGCGCTGGCAACCCTTCAGTCGCTTAGTCCAAGTGGCACGCATTCGCTCCTGCTTCTCAGGATCATTGAAATGCTGCTTGTATGTAATGATCTCCTCCAGCTCGGACAACATCTGGACTCTGACAATCACGCTGTATGCCCGCGTATAGCTCTCGCCAAGCAGCGCAGACAGTTCAGTGTCCAGTCCATCGCGAGCTCTGGCAATATTTGCGTGAGCTTCCTCAAAGTGGTTCCGATGGATAGCCAGGATGGCGCCGAAGAAACTTCGATCAGGAGTGTTCGGCTTCATGACGCTCAGGTAATCATCCATGATGTCCCACTGTCCCATTCCCCAGGCGGCGGCTGCTGCCAAAGGAGCAAGATGTCGCTTGTTCTCGGGTGTAGAGCTCTGCCACTTGTCTTGGGCCATGGAGGACAATGTGTCCCACTCACCCAAAGCGTGCAGACACCGCATCTTGCCCATAACCACCTCGAAGGAGGCGCTTTGTGGGCCGCCTTCTTGCTCCTCGCGTTGTTGGTACGCAATCAAAGCATCCTCCCATCGCTGCAGCTTCTCAAACCATGTCTCCTTGAGTTCAACGTCGTTGTACCCTTGGGCCTTCCTAAGAATTCCGAAGGCGGCATCAGTCTGCTGAAGTTGATTGTTGATGGAGATCAGCGCCTCCACTGCGCTCGCGTTCTGCTCGGCATTGAACTCCAGTTCTTTGTAGTGTAATGCTTTTGCAAAGGCGTGGCATTTGCCAGCATACATTCCCAGAGTGCGGACGTCTATCGGCAAAGCTTTGTCGTCATGCTCCATAAACTCGGCCAGGTTGAGCAAGACTTGGAGAATCTCAGGAGGAATTGTGTTGCTCGTCAAAGCAACCTCGATAGATCGCACGAGCTCCTCTTGGTACTGATCATAGAGCTCTGTCCAGCAACTCACAAAAGCACTGTTGAACAGGCTACGTGCGAGTGGCGCGTAGACGCTTGCCAAGTTAGTGCAAGCTCTGAGCGCCTGCTGAGGGCTTTCTCTGAGCAATTCGACGGAAAATCGACGCATCCACTCCTGCCAGTCTTCTCTGGTCGACTTTTGGCTTGCCTCCCATGCGTTCTTGAGATGCTGTTGGTTGACGGCCAGCTTCTTGGTGGCGATCTCCGATGTGTACTGGTCATCGCCGTCATCGTTGTACCTCTCTTCTGGGCTGAGGTCTTGGGGTAATGCTTCGTGCTTCTTCAATTTACTGACAATCAGGTTGTATGCGGTGAAGTTGATGCGTTGCTGTTGCAGTATCTTGTCAATGGTGGGAACAAAATGCAAGAAGTCCTGGCCCAGCTGGAAGATCAGTGCACAGAGCGTCTCCATTGCTGCTGGTTTGAGAGCGCTGTCGTTGCCTTGAAGAACGCGGGCGAGGGGGTGAATGATCTTTGCTGCAAATTCGGAGATGTTGACCTGCTTGCTGAGCCGACCGATCGTCTCGATCGCAGACCTCCGTACCTCGCGGTGTCGAAAACGCCCATCGGCAATGTCAAACATGCGGACGATGACGGGTATGATCAAATGCATGTACTCCTCGGCGCTGGCACCAAATATCAGGAAAGCGTGCAATACCCGCTGGCAGGCTGCACGGCCAGCCTCTGTGCGGCTGTCGGCGTCAAGGACTCCCAGCATGAGTGGCAGAACATTGGCGAGGTAGATCTTGAATTCGCCTTCTAGGCTTCGGGCGATACTCTCGATGAGTCCCAAGATTGTAGCCTGGAGCTGAACACTCTTGTACCAATGATCACTCACTGCATCCAGAATCACATGCAAGTGTGGTCGAATGTGCTGCTTGACAATCTTGACTAACAGACTCAGCTGGCTGAAGTAGCCTTCGAGACGGACATCTGATGTTGCATCCTTCAGGACGCCGACAATGCCAGGTACCACGGTATTTAGAAATGGAACACACTTCATGCCCATCGTGGCATAGATGTTCATCACTGCCTCGACCACTCCGGAGTGGTACTGCTTCAAAGTGTCTTCTTTGAGCATACCCATCAAGGTGTTGATGACGACTGTCGGATAGTAGTCTTCATTGCTTGGCGTGATGCCCTTCATGATCAGTGTCACATCGGACTCAGCTTCAGCCTCCGCCTTCAGGGTTGACTCAGGGGACTCTTCGATAACCTGCTGGTGCTTATAGGGGTCAAGCGCTCCCAGGATACCGATGAGGCGAATGGTCTCGCGCCGTAGTTCTCCCGGAGCCTCATTTTTGACAATGTTGACGAGTATCGAGAGCAATTCCGGATGGTCAGTATACGGCTGGATGACATAGCCGCTGTTGCTGGCGAGTTGACCAAGAGTGCACAGGGCAGCTTCCCGCTTCTTCGGTGATGATAGATCTTGCAGGCTGCGAATGATGATTCTCATGAGATCTGGGATGTACTTCACCATTCCCTCTCCACCAACGCTAGCAAGGTCCCCAATGGCCCGCAACGTTGTCGCTGCGACCTCGAAGTTTGGGTCTTCTGTCTTGGGCAGCAATACTGTCACCATTGGGTCGACGTAGGGCTTGATGAGCTTGCTGCTGGCACTGACAAGGTGACTGATGAGTTGCGCAGACTCCCGCTTGTTGTTGGCACTATTCGAATACTCAATCTCCGTCAGCAGCTGAATGAGTACCTTGCGTAGTGACGGGAAGACATAAGCAGGGTTCACTGCTGTCAATCTGCCGATGATTGTCATGGCCCCTTCTCGGATGGCGAATCGCTCGTCGTTGAGGGCGAGGAACAAAGTTCGCACGTTCTCAGCCTTAGCCAAGTGTCGATCAAAACGAGCGTCAAGAGATCGAAGTACTGTTTCTCTGATGTCCGGGACTGGGTCCGCCACACCAACCGTGAGTAGCTTCTCTATGACATCCGAAACGACCTGAATCGCGTGGTGACTGGTCTGGTGCACAATCGGATCCTTGACGAACAGCTGACAAGATGTTAATGCTGCAGCCTTGCGTATGTTGGCGTCGTCATCTTCGACATATCGAATCGCGACATCCCGGACGAACTCGTTCAAAACATGTCCGCTGAAATCGAATGAGCCAAGCGTGTGCAACGCCAACGCAATCTCCTGATCCTTGTGCTCTAGGTGCTGTGGATCCCGCTGGTCTCTATACTCTTTGGTGTAGATTGGAGGTGGACCTTTCCCTTGAGTTGGGTGTCCGAGCATCTGAAACTGTTGACCACAGAGCGTCCGGCTGAGCAGGTCAAGCAGTTTCTCCTGGATAGTCGATTTGATAGGTGGGATGTAGTGAGCCATGTCCACCAGGGCTTGAGTAAGTGCATCGGACAGGCCACAGGCGAATATGGGGTCGAGAAGAGCCTCCATGTACTTGCTGAGTGTTTGATTGAGCGCGATCGATAGCATGCTAATGCACTCAAAGATCGGTGCCTCGTCCGAATGCTTCGATCTGTTTTTCACCGAAAGTGCGTCTCGGACTTGCAATAGGATGGTGTCCAGAAAGGGAGTAATCGACCCTCCCACTGCATTCGCAATCTTGCCAATAGCGACAAAGGCCATGTTCCTCTGCTTTGGGTCCTTCAACAGAGCTTGCAGGTGCTGCATCGACCGATTGAGGTAGTGAGAGCAGAAGTCCTTGGGTGCATACGCCGCCAGAAGAGGAATAATTTCGACAACAGTCCGTCGAATCGTGGGGTCTCGATGTTCGCGATATTGCTGGGTCAAGACTCGCTCACATGCGTCTTTGTATTTGGAACCTTGCATGAACATGGCGCCTTGTGCCAGAAGTTCTTTGTACACCAAAAGTGATCCATGTATACATTCAGGGGTTCCTCGTCTGAAGCCGTCCTGTGCGCCCTCGAACATGCGGGTGAGGCACGTCAATCGCTGTTGCGCATCGCGCAGGGCAAGAATCTTGAAGCATTGGAAAGCGACTTCGGCAGCGGTCTCCCGTATAACGACCTTCTGATCTCTGAGGCCCTCCCACAGACTGACCAAGATGCCAGGGACGTACATATACAGCAGTGTCGAGCTGTTCCGTGCAAGCTCGCGAAGTATCAGGACTGCAGCGAACCGTCTGTTCTCGTTGCGCTCTGAGGTAAGCCACTCCAGAGCGTGCTTGACCTCAGCCTCCACCAGCTCTGCTGTCCATGCTCCGCCCGGGGTCGCCAGTCTTCCCAAGCACTTTGCAGCGACAATCATGGCGCTCGTATCATTGCCCTCCAACGTCCGCTTGATGTAGTTGCTGAACTTTGTGACCTTCTGTCCAACATCATCCCCCTTGAAGTCGATCAAGGCATTAAGTGCGTATAGGCCGCCGGTGCGTTCGTGGGTGTCGTTGCCGCTGAGGATCATGGCGACCATGCGGGAGTTGACATCGTTGTAGTAGCCGGCAAACTGGCCTGGTGGCAGCTCACGGAAGGCCGCATTGACCTGGTGCAGCAATCGCTGGGCGGCGTCTTGTCGGGTGCGTTCATTGCGAGACTTGAGCTCGGCGAAGAGGGAGTCGAGCGTGTCCTTGTAGGCTGCCGACATGGTCGATGCGGATGGCGACAGGTGCCGCCTCTACGTGGATGCTATTGCGGGCGCCTTCACATGGTCCAGTGCCACTCCCATCGCCCGGTGAGGAAATTGCGTTCGGCGGCGGCGGCTGGTGAGTGAATGGCTTTGTGCTGGGGCAGAGAGGTGTTGATGGGCTGTTTCTGTTTGCACATGCAGCTTCCGTCTGGAGGTCATCTGCTCGGTTTGGGTCCACGCTAGCCCCGCGCTAACGACAGAGCCGCAAAGCTTGGCGCCTCGGCAGCTAACCTTAAATCCGAGAGCTTCACGTCGAAGCTCACCTGGACGTGTGAAAGTGTTGCTTCAACAGTCCACACACTTCCACGCCATGGCAGGCGACGACGATCCCAAAGAATTTCCGGATGTATCTCACAAGCTCTCCGCCCCAAAGAAATTATCAGCATTCGAAAGAGAACGTCAAGCTGCTGAGCGAAAGAGACGACGCGCAGAGGCCGAGGACCAGGCCGAGTTGAAGAGGTTCGAAGAAGAGTTCGGAAACGATGGCGGCAACAGCAACAATGATGATTATGACGGATTTCCTCGATTTCCGAATGCTCCCTCTGGACCTCGAAACTCTGGCATGGGATTCGGGGGGCCTCCCAGCAGATATGGAGGGCCACCGGGCAGGTTTGGAGGGCCTTCCAGGGGCGGGCCTGGCAGTCTTGGGCCTGTGGCCGGACCGCCGCCCAGTCTGAAGAAAAAGAGAGCCCTTGAGGAGCGACGAGAGGAGCAAGAGGCGAGAAGGGAGCATGAAGACTTCACGGCCCAGTACTTGGGACGCAACAAAGGGCATGGGCAATATGCTTCGACACGCGACGATGAGATGCAAGACGAGCTCTTTTCTCGCCCGACGGTCCAGATGTCCAACTTACCGCCGTCCAGTAACGAGCACACCATCAGATCGTTGTTGAGAGGCCATTTGCAGGTCCACTCGGTGCAACTGCAACCACCTTCCGGCCCTCTCTCGAAAGGAAGGCGATCGGTAGCAGCCAGTGCTCAGCTCGCAGCAGACACTTCAACGGCCAAGATCGAGAGCGCCGTCAGCGCCTTAAGGAGAAAATATCTGGGTTGTGGTTACAGTCTAGAGATATCTCGTCACCTGTCGTCAACATCGCTCAACGTTCCGTCTGCTATGGCGGTGTCATCTGCAGAGCCCTTTGGTGCACAGAAAATCGATAGAGAACAGACAGGGATATCGAATCGCAACGCGCCTCCACCCCATCAATTCGCGCCACCCGAATACTACGAACCTCATGCTCAACATACGATACCTGCCAATGCCTACGTCGCCGTCGAGCCGCCTGCAGATCTAAAAATAACACGCGCCATCCATACCCTTGCCGATCGATTGTTATCAGAGCCTGATTCGGGCCATGCTCTTCAACTCGAGGCGATGCTAATGGCTCTTCCAGAAATCCAGAAGGATGAGCGCTTTGCGTTCCTATACGATTCGCGAAGTCCAGCCGGAGTCTATTATCGCTTTCTACTGTGGAGCAACAATGCATTGCAGATGATTCAGGCACGCAACGATTCTGCGGAAGGGCCTGAGCGAGTGCTGGACGACGTAGTCCTCGATTGGGTGCCACCGGCCGGCAAGGTACCGTTCGCTGACTTGACGAGCCTGGGGGAGGTGCTCGATCATGAAAATTATCCTTCAGATGATGAAAGTGACCTCGACGACCCCGGCGACGGTGGCGAAAGGGGTGGCGAAAAGCGATCTGAGTCAAACGACAGTACATGCCTGACCCCATTACAAGTTGCCAAGCTATCATGGCTATTAGCTCGGATGCCGACCGAAACCAAAGATCTGCAAAAATGGCAGGTTGCTGGGATCACGTCCTTCGCAGTTCGTCACGCACGGGTTGGCGCCGAGCAGATTGTAGATATGCTCGTTCTCAACATCGAGAAGCCCTATGCTCGTTCCTCGTGCGCAAGGTTCGGCAAAGAAGGCGATATGCAGAACGATGATGACGATTATGAGCCGGGTCAAGAATTGCCCAACATAACACCTCCAGTCGTGGAAGCTGGGGTTGGCAAACCCGACCCCGAGGATCCTTCTGAGACCACTTTTGTGGCTCTGTACCTCATCAACGACATCTTGCAGAGCTGCGCAACGGCGAAAAATGCCTGGAGGTATCGTACGCTGTTCGAGAACGTGTTCAAGCAGCGCAAGATTTTCGAGCGCCTCGGGCAAGTACCCAAGGATGCGGGCTGGGGTCGGATGAAAGACGAGAGGTGGAGGAGAAGGATTCAGGCCTTGATTGACATTTGGAAGCTGAAGAACATCTTCGCGGATGACTCGTTCAAGACGTTTGAGGACGCCGTAAAGGATTCGTCGGATGGGAAGGATGCTTCGAAGACGACAGAAGAACCGAAGAAGAAGACCGAGGAAAAGTTGCTGGGTCGTTTCAAACGCATTGATGGCGTTGGTGCCTCATCTTCGGGTTCTGCGTCTCCTGCTCCAGCCGCGCAAGAGTCAAACCCCCAGGATCTAACTGCTCAGCCTTCAGATCTTGATGGCGTGCCGATGGATGACTTGGACGGTGAGCCAATGGAAGACTTGGATGGCGAGCCAATGGAGGACCTCGATGGCGAGCCAATGGATGATCTTGACGGTGTACCTACGGACGATGTGGACGAAGGACATCCTAACGACCAGCCCATGGAAGATGCGCCAGCGCCAACGGATCCACCCAAGAGCGAGGCGTCAACGACAGCATCGAAGTCAGGATTCTCGATCAAAGGCTCCAAAAACTCGCAGCCCGCAGCAGTCGAGCCGCCAAAGCGTAGGAAGCTGGCGGAGGATAGTACGTATACCGAAGGGCAGAAGGTACCCAATCCCATGTCTGAGACATTTGCTAACCTTCCGCCCTTCGCTTTTAGTGTTTGCGGACAGCGACGAAGAATAGTCACGTGTCTGCTGTTGCGATCCCCAATTATGAACATTCGATATTGATACCCCGATTTCAGCTCTGCGTCGAAGCTGGAACTCCTTCAGACGTTTGCGTAGACGAGGAAACTGGAATCTTCGCACGGAATTGCAAGCAGTCCATCGATGCGTCGAAGCCTACTACTATTGCACGTGGAACTGTTTTCCCAAACATTTCCATCATACTGAGGTCAGCTTTGTTTCGGGAGGTTCTCTGAAGTTCCTAAAGACGGTGAGAGTTTGGTTGCGTTGGACGTCACTCCTGCAGCTGCTTCCCTCCTCGTCTCCCTTTTTACACATCCCCAGCACGATCCATTCTTTTGACCGCCATCATTCCGCGATGTCTCCCACATCAGAGCAAAAAACTTCCACTCTAGTAGCCACAGTGACACGGCGCCTCGGCACACATTTCCCGGATGATGTGGACAGAACAGGACAGCAACCAATCACATGCGCTCTCTCGTGACGTCGCACTACTCTTTGCCCGCGGATCGACAAGGAATACAGCTGATACCATATCCACTTTTCATGCCGACTTCACCTTTCCATCATTTAAAGCTTACTGATATCTCATTCCTTCGACTACCCGCTGCTGCTTGTTGTTGACGAGGGATGGAGACCAGGTGCCGCCACAGCTACGCACGACGCCCCCAGAAAAGAAGAAAGGTACATGTGCCTTGACTTCAGCGATCTTGAACCTTCACGAAGGTACAATTCGACAAGCTTTGGTTCTCAGTCTTGACCTCACTCGTTCTGCACATTGAGCCATCGATAAGGGCAGGACCGATCGACTCCGACAGCAGCATCACGATGCGAGTGAATGCTGACGATCCCAGTGAGTGGCACTCTTACAATGTCGTTGACAACGCATTGAATTGCAAGGGTGTACGAGAGACTGAAACGTTGTCTGCTGCAGTGTCGTCTCCTGACCGGCAACGCCCGCCTATATCAGGCGATCCTGAGAAAGGCTCACCAGACCTCCTTCGACCACCACAGGCGATGAGGAGACCCGGATACCACAGGAACTGGAGTGCTCAGAGCATCAGCCGGAGGGTGTTTGAGCATTACGATCACGTCCATCATCTTCATTTCAAGGAGAGGATAAGACACTTTACGTGGACATGGTTCACGATGACGGTACTGTTTGAATGTCTCCCTGATTGCACGTGGCTAATAAGTTGATAGATGGCGACTGGTGGCGTGGCCAATGTTCTCTACCACGGTCTGTACTATCTCAATCTTCCATCTTCGAGAACAAGGCTGACTCCTATCGAGTTCCATACCGATTCAGCGGTCTATACGCTATCGGTTGCATATTCTTCATCCTTAACATCTGTCTCTTCATCTTCAATGTCACCATGATCTCCCTCCGGTTCTACTTCCACCCGTCGACGTTCCTACACTCGCTACTCCACCCGACCGAGTCGCTCTTCATACCGGCCAGCGTTATCAGCATCGGCACAATACTTCTCAACGTCTCTCAGTATGGTCTCACGGAGGGCAAGACAGGCGCTTGGCTGCTCACGACGATGAACGTGCTGTTTTGGGTCTACTGTGGTCTGGCAGTCGTCTTTAGTTGCGGCATCTACCTGATCATGTAAGCAATGCCACAACTTGTTGCAAGATATCGACTAATTCAACCACAGGTGGTCCACTCAAACTTTCACGATTGCATCCATGACCCCTGTCTGGATTTTCCCATGCTATCCACTGCTGGTCATAGGACCACACGCTGGTGCAATCGCAAAGCATCTGGTACATCGGCGTGGCGAGGCTCTCGACGTTCTCATCGGAGGCTTTGTGTTCCAGGGTATCGGGTTTATGCTCTCATTAATGATCTACGCGGCCTTCATCTATCGACTGATGACCCAAAAGCTTCCCCAGGAGAACCTTCGACCCGGCATGTTCGTTAGCGTCGGACCTTCTGGCTTTACAATCTCTGGAATTGTGACGATGGGCATGGTCATACCGGAAGTGGCATCGAAAGACTTCCTGCTTCCTGGCAACGGCGAGCTGGCGGCGAATATCTCCAGGGTCATGTCGGTCTGGGCTGGACTTTGGCTGTGGGGTCTTGCGTTCTGGTTCTTCATTGTGTCCGTTGGAGCACACTGGTCTTGTGTGCAGAAACGCCGCATGACCTTTGCGATGACATTCTATTCATATGTCTTTCCGAACACGGCTTTGACGACTGCAACGTTTGCGATTGCCAAAGCCCTTGATAATAGGCCGATCGCGATCTTGGGATGTGTAATGACTTGCATCGTAAGTGTAACAAAAAGCATATGCCGTAACGTTGCTGACGATATTATCAGCTCATTGTCATCTGGATGTCAGTGTTCATGATGATGATACGAGCCGTGATCAAGAAAGACATCCTTTGGCCGCAGAAACAAGAAGATCGTGAAGAAGGCGGATGGACAAAGCAAGACTCAGAAGCCAAAGTCTGTGATTTACGACGGTGCTCTACCGTCTCGGTGGGACTCAGACTGCGGACCGACGACTCCCAAGCACCGAGTGCCGGTCTCGCCACGACTGGAACGGCGAGCAGCAGTCTTGATCGATGGGCCGATCGTGCAGGCTCTGGCAATGGAGTGATGGACGTTCCTGGGCACTTCGTCCTGCAGCCTGAAGCTGGAGATGTAGTGAGGAAAGATGATGATGTTCGAGATATGGTTTGATCTTAGTTGTGGCGTGTTGGTTGATTTGATTTATGTCTTTGGAGATACCCAAATTGAGCGATTTACTTCACCCCGACCCGGGCTCTGGAATCCTTGCAAATGTGGCTCCATCATTCGATGAGGAGCCAGCATGAAGCGGCTGTCAAGACAGCTCCAAGCGCGAATGCAACCGCCTTTCCAAAGGCCAATCTGGACTGAGGAAGCCATGTTTGACCTTGAGTTTGAAGAACTTCAAGCTCATCATCAACGACTGGATAAGGCATATCAGGCACTGTCTTTCCCAAGAAGTCGCAGAGATCATGCCAATCGGACTCCTGTCCAAATCTCATTATAAGCAGCTTTTCCTTGGGAATGATCTTGAGGCAATGCTGGACGTGATCGATGTACGCCTCCCTCAGTTCGTCTCCAAAGTCGGAACGGCAGAGCTGGTGTATCCAAGCCTGGATGAGTCGCCTGAGCGGGCTCGCATGCTGGCTATCGTACCAAGATCGGAAGTACCAAGACCACGAGCCAACCTCCACCAGACAAGTCGCCCTCATCGCACGCGCCCAAGAGTCGACATTCCGATCAGTCATGATAAATTGTGCCTGAGGATAGTACGCCACGAGTTCATCAACGAAAGCAAAGCCAGGAAGACCACCAACAGCATCATACTTTCCCCAGATCTTATCGAACTCCTGTGGTCCATACAGCTGTCTTTCGTCCTTATCGCCGTCACGCCTGTGTTTGAGTACCAAAGCCTCATGCAAGAGATCCATATCTCGCCTGCCGTTCCGCACGAGTTCGGAGAAATGATATACTCGATAGCCAAGTCTTGAGAGGGCGGTGTGGAGGCTTGCTGTGCCAGTTCTGTACGTATCATCCGAACCGTCAGTACACTGCTTTGCCGGCATATGATAAGAGGATCGACGGCTGCGCGTGGGGATGGCTTGCAGATTGCAGCTCGGAGTTGTTCGATGTTGCATGAAGGAACGTACCTTGGTAATCCGATGCAGCAAACCTTCAGAGTTCTTGTGGTGACTGCGTCGTCTTTGTCGACTAACCGAGACATTGCTTTCGGTGGAGTTGCTGTTGGATGCGCTCTCGCGTGCTGGGAGCTCCGTGAGGGTAGAGGCGCTTCTTGTGGAGGCTTCGGTGGCTTCTGATGCTCTTGAGAGGTCTTGCGACATAGATGTGCCGGTGCTTGGACGTTCGGTCATCTTCGCTGATAGTGGAGAGTAATCCTTTGTTGCTGCCTGATGGTGTGCAATGGGGGACCAAGTCCAAGACGAAGACGAGCGATTTGTTCAATGGACGATTTCATCGAGAGCCCGGTCAACGATCCCAAGAAGTGGGATGTATCGAAAGCCTACTTTTCTTGGAAATTACGCGGGCTCTCAAACCTGGACTGGATACCCCTGCCCACACTCAACCCTCCTGAAACTCTCCCGCTCCACCTCAAACAAGTCACGGACCACCGTTGACCTGTCGCCTCGCAACACCGCTCCCACTCCGCCGCAACTGCACGTCACGCACAATGTTCCAAATCCCCATCTTCTCCTTCCACATGGAATCTTCCGTCACACGTACTGATCCATCCGGCGCCAGCAGCCTGACTTCATACTCTGTCTCGGTTCCCCAGCCGAACAGCGCACTGATGTCGCCACGGATGAACCTGGCAAAGGGCCGCGTAAAGTTCAAGACATCTTCTTTGTCTCTTTCGCTGAAGCCCGTTCGCCAGCCGGAGTACCACCAGAGGGGAAAGTCCAGGGCATGACTGGTTCCGACCTCTAGGGGCATGGCGAGGGTTTTGGATTTCCAGGAGATGTGGTAGCGGAGGACTTCTTGTGCTGTCATGCCGCCTTTGAAGAGGCTGTGGGCGAAGCCGCGGACGGCGGAATGGCATTGGATGTCGGCCACGATCTGGGAGTAGATGAAGTTCCAGTTCACGTTTTGGCCTTCGTGGCGTACGATCAAGGCGTCGACGATGTCTTGGGGGTATTGCATGGTCAATTTCGTCCTGAGATCCTGCTGGCTCGAGATGGGCTTGCGGTTCAGATACTGATACAACCCAGCCTCGTTGCTCGCATCCCCTATCAGCACTTGGACTCCCAGCTCTTTCAGCCGCCGACCAAGCTCGCCATTTCGAATCGTCCTCATGAACCATATCGGAACAAATCCACCCTGACCATCTGTCACGGGTCGAAATCCAACGTCCAAGGTCTTCGAAAACTCCAGCAACTTCTCCGCGCTGACGCCCCTCAGCAACCTAATTTTATCCTCTGACGGCAGGTCTCCATCGATGTGAAACCTCCGACACAGATCGAAGAACAGTTTACGAGGTTTCTCCGATTGTGGAGTATCTGGCTGAACCGCGACTGCTCCACTGAACAGGAACGCTCGCCGAATGATGCGTCTGTTCGGTGGCTGAAAGCGTCGAAGTGCAGCTGATACGCAGTGAGCCGTCCCGAGCCCCCAGCCGTGATGTTGTTCACATTGCCTCCGAAAAGATGGACGTTAGCATGCGTCCACTCGAGTGCCATACGAAGATCCCAGAATCCGAAATTGCCGCAAACGGCATATCGGTCGTGGCATTTGGGAGTGCCTTTCGCGTCCTGTAGGAGCTCTTCACTGGCGAGAAAGCCAAAGACGCCTACGCGAAAGTTTGCTGAGACAATGATGCGGAGATTGTCTCGATTATCGCGATAGATGTCTATGGGGTCGAGGTAGTCTCGCTGCATACCGTGGCCAGAGGTATATTCACCTCCAGCTTCTCATATTTCAGCCTTGTGGTTGAGGTACTTGCTCTGACTGGATCTCACTCACGGAACTCGTAGTACATGAATTGTACGGACCAACCACCAGCTGGGCCTTCACCACCTGCCGGCACCCATATGTTCAGGAACAGACAGTCCTCGCTCATGTCATTTTGGACCTCTGTGGAGTTCCCTCCATTCAGCAAGTCATCTGGAGCATCCACTTGAGGACAAATCGCTCCGAACTTCCGGTAGTTGCGAGGATTGTTGTTGCCATCCGAGAATATCCAATCCGCGGGCAGTGGCTCTGGTTTTCTCCATCTGCGTTCTCCAACGGGTGGCAGTGCGTAACGAATTCGAGCATAACGTCTGTATATCGGCTTGTTGGTGCGGGTGTCTACGACCTCGGTGCCCGTAAGTGAGCCGCGGGCTGTCTGAAGGACGTATGTCCTCTCTGTGGAATTCGAGTCGACCATGGCGGGTTGTCAGGGGCTGTCGCCATCTCGATGTTCGGGTTGCGAGAGGCTTAAGAAGTGAAAAGAGTTCAGGCACGAATCTCTAAAACAACCCGGCCCCCTGAAACAGTAATTGTGGGATCCTGCGTTTGATCTGCCCATGCTCGAATCGCTCGTATCAGCGCATGGTGAAGTCCAAATGCGCCAAACATCGTATTGCTACAGCCCTTCTTGGAACATTTACAGGCGCTCCTGGGCACCTCTGGCCAGAGGAAAGCAGAGCGCGATCATGGGCCATGCTTGTCGTTAAAAGTTTACGTATCAACTCTGAAACGATGCCGAAGCCTTTCTCCCCAAATCTTGCAACAGATCGGTACGAGGATCGATACGCCCAGAATCCCTGCGAGTAGCGTGTTTCCCCAACCGACTCCAAGGCTGCGGTATATAACAAGGCCGCTCAGTGGCAGTAGGCCCGAGACTGAGGACCTCACGATACTGTTGGCCGCCATGACCCCCGCCTCATCCGATGGATATGCTTCTGTGAGATAGGACTGCACGCTGGTCGTCAGTGGAAGAAGGCCAAATCCAAACACGCCCAGGCCGATCAGTGGAACAATCCAGTGGAAGTCATGTCTGGCCGCCCATCCATAGAGAGCCAGTCCACCTCCTGCCAAGACAGTTCCGGCGAGTACTCCAAGCGCGGAAATGCGATCTTCGGCCTTGCTGATGTTTTTGTGCCGCTTGGACATGCAATTGATCAACAGTCCCGACACGAGAAGTCCCATGACCATCCCGACTCCAGGCGCAATGTAAACGAGTCCGGTCTCGAGTGCCGAGAATGCGTACCTTCTGCTATAAGTGAAGGGAATCGTCGTCGCGATCAGAATCAAGATTCCGGAAAGAGTCCCCGAATACAAAGCTGTCATGGCAACGAGAGGATTGAGGCACAGTATCTTGAGAGGTTGCAATATCGAATGGCAGATCAAACCGGAAGGCGAGATTGCAGAGTTAACGTATCCTTGCATGCTGAGCCTGCGCTTCTCGCTCGGGCTTTGATTCGCTCGTCGCTGCAGTAAAATCGGCGCATACGTCTCGCGAAGAGCTATGATGGCGATCAAAGCATTGGACCCGGCCGCCGCCGCCGAAATCCAGAATACCCAGCGCCAGTCCAGCAAGTGAACGATGATACCTCCGACGATAGGTCCAACGAACCAGCCTAGCAGTCTTCCAGCTTCCAGTGCAGCCATGGCCACGGCTCTATGGCCTGGATGAAACATTTCGGCTACTACTGCACCTCCCAGAGATAGACACGCTACTCCCAGACCGCCGGCGAAGAATCGAAGGACCAGAAGCTGGACCTGAGTCTGGCTGAACCCGCAGGCTACGGTGAAACCTACAAAGCACCAGTTGGATAGGTGTATGATCATGAGGCGGCCGTAAAGTTCGCTCAGTGGTGCCATGAGCAGTGGCCCTGTCGCGAAGCCCAGCACGTATATGCTCACGATGATAGTGAGCAGAAGAGGCGATTGTATCTGCAGCCTTTTAGCCACTTCTGGTGCTGCTGGAGCGAGTATCAGGGACTCCATCGAACTGCACGAACTATCAGCGGATTGTCATGTAGTGTGATGAGTCGAATGGGACTCACGCCACAAAAGAAAGAATGCTCAGCATAACAACATGCACCCACTTCTTCCAAGGCTTCCAATTGATTGGATTGTCCTCATCAGTCTGCCCCCAAACGACTTCCTCTGGCGCTTCACTGAATCGTCCAATCCGTCTTGGCAGCGCCGTCAACTTCGGACTGTTCGCACTATCACTCTCCCTATTCCGCTCCTACGCGTCCAAATCGATATACTTGTCCCCTCCACCGCGCATGCTCTGGCTATGTCTTGAATTTTCATCTTCTAGCCGAAACCAACTAAAGTCGCTAGACTGGATGCAGCCGATGGTCTGCCTGCTCCACTCGGAGATGGAGGAGAGGTTTGAGAGGCGGTACGTCTGGATCGTCTGAGTCGTAGAGGGCCGCAGAGAAGCCCGGCGCATGCCAAACTCTTGATACGCGCCGTTGAGTGTTGTCGATTCATTGTCGATTTCGTCGAAGCTTCGCGGGAAGGAATCGTGGATTCGAGGTGACGGCATAATGCACTTTCGAGCCGGCGGTCTTCTGGCCGTACGTCTGCCTGTGGTTGGACTTGGCCAACTTCCAGCGATTCTTCGAAGGCATTCTTGCAAGTTGCGGCGGCCACACGGTGAAACTTGTACGTTGGACGAGTCCTAAAGTTGGCCGTTTTAATTCAAGGATTCGCGTTTGGGAATAGCAAGCTGGTCTTATATGCCCGATCCATGCTAAAGTCTATTGTGCAGCCTGAGGCTCCATTGGCACTGAGTCCGCTGCAGATGTCACTGGAGTTGCGTCCGTCCGTCCGTGCCCGCCTATCATGATATTTGCCGGTGCGCAGTGTGGAGTGTCGAATTTGCCTTTCTTTTTCACCTGCGATCGGCACCATGACAGAAATCCTGCATGCGTGGCGGACAAACCGCTCTTACCGGTGATGATACCTTCTCTGCTGATGGTTCTTTGGGAATCCTCTGTCGTCGCTGGAATGTCTTTGCACTTGAAGGCTGCAAAGCGATCTCAGTTAGTACTCGCAATTGGAGGAGGCCTTTCTGCCACATTGCTATGTTCGTGGAAGACCCTGGCAAGGTACAGCTCCACATACGTGAACACGAGCTGTTTTCGAACGCTGGCGCGTAATCGGCACCGACAACGCAGCACTACGAAGTCGAGCACGAAGGCGCATGTCGCGCTCCACGTTCAACATGATCGCCGTGTCCGAAGTGCGAAACTCGGCAAGCAAAGTATACAATATCTGTGGTGCGGTCTCCAGTCGAAGAATGGCGTTCGGCATGTTAGTGGCATATGTCCGAGACGATCTTCCGGCCTGACGACGTGCACATACATAACACTTTTGCGTAATGTGCTTGTTTGTAGCTTGCCGTCTTCCATGTAGCGCGGCCAAAGGGTATTTTCCGGAATCTCCACGAAGCCGACGCCTTCAACTGAGTCGGAGAAAATTGCAATGGACACACACTTGGCTTGCTCCTAGTCGGGAGTCCCATGCCGCCATCGCCAGGAATACTTCTGTCAAGGGGACTGGGTGCACAATCAGCATGCCACAGTCCGGACATTCGATCCTGCTGAATACTGATCCGTCCTTTTAGTTGCGGCAGACGCCCTTTCGATGTAAATGGTGGCCATCCTGTGTTGGGCCTTGTCGAATGAGGCCAGAAAATCCTGAACGTATTCCGACTTCGTTACCTAGAGTATCCTTATGCGTAGGCTGGGAACGGCATCTTGGGCTGTAGGTACGGCGTGCCAATCTCTTGCTTTCGACGTGCTATACTTTGACGTTGCGAGTAGCCAGCGCATGAGCGTGATTAGAAACGGGTGTGGGTTGTCGCGTACATTCGGCACGAACTACCACACCTCACTGTGAACAATGTATCGAAGCCTAACGAGACTCATTCGAGGGCTGCAATTTGACATATAGTAGTTCAGGAGCGTTCAAGTGTGGATGTGGGAGAACAGAAGGAGGTGAAGTCAAGAACAACGCGAGATTCACGCGCTACTTCTATTTTCGGAAGTGGCACGTGCCTCACGGGCCGCGACCCGCTTAGTGCCGTGCGTCGACTTCTTTCGACCTTCCCCAACTCCTTCCTCCTGTCTGTCTCTGCCATCAACAATGCTGCAAACATATCGTCAAAAGTGTATGTACCAAAAATCATTGCAATAGCGTTATGCCATAGTCTTGTCTGGATCGTGAAGAGCCGAGTGTCTCTATTCCTTGATTTCACCAAGGTCCAAGGAGAACCCTAGGATCCAGACTTCTGGCCCAGTTAGGCACAAGTCAATGCATGCAAAGTAGCTGGTAGGTGCAATTGCTGATCGCAACGGAATCTGCACTCTTTGATCTACAAGTTTGCCCAAACGAGAAGTGGTCATGTTTGCTTCACCGCCAACTCTCAAGGATCCGAGGAGCGCGAATGCGAAAGTGGCATGTGTCGAAAAGCGCTGAGCAATAGCCTATACTATAGCGGACGGCCAGTCAGGATGGTTATCACTGATTTCGTGCTTAGTGAAATCAACTCGAACAGGAGGGAGCCAGGATGCCTTCCCAGATTCTCCTGTTCTCCCAGCCGAGGAGTGGCTGTCATCTTCTGGAACGAATGGTCATCTCCAAGCAGACCGGTGTACGGCAACTCAATCATCCATTTTGGAAGGACATGTTCCCACTGGTCGAGTATCTGAGCCAAGCCACCGAGGAATATGACCAGATCTCAGCTCGTGAGAAGTACATCGAGGAAGCAGACCTTGCCATCAAGACATGGAAAGAAGCACTGTCAAAAGCCGAAAGCGACGTATGACTCCCTCAACATTCTCACATTCTCTTGTCTAAACTCTTGAACAGGGCGAGATACTATACATGCACACACACTTATTGATGACAACTACTCCCGAGCGAGCACGCGAACATGTCCAGTCGCAGCAGCCGGCCCAGGACAATTTAATGAAGAGCAATTGTACCTTGATTCCGAGCGAGCTACTCCTCCATCCGGAAACGATACCGGTCTTCACAATCCGGGCCCCAAGATCCACGGTGCCGTCGACCTATCGCGCAATGAGGCCTCAGCCGCAGTACGCTCCCGAGATCGCAAAGCAGAGGGAGCTCTACATGCATGCGTAGGTAGTAATACATCCAATGGCACAGATGCACTGCGGATCACTCTGCATGCGAAATGCTAACATTCACACAGTACTAACCTAGGCTGGAACCGAGAGTTATACGACTGGTACACAGCCCAAGGCGTCGAACCCATCATCGTCGACGCAGACGACTACATGACGAACACCGACTACGTCCTCTCACTATGCCAAAAGCTAGGCCTGAATCCAGACGATGCACAACTGTCCTGGTCGAAACCCACTAAAGAGGAGGCGAACGCTTTCCATCCGGCTTGGGCGGCTGTTCAGCGCACACTGATCAATTCGGCAGGCATCCGTCCGGAGCGAGCATCGAGTAATGCTGATTTGGACGCCGAGATGGCAAAGTGGAAGGATGAATTTGGCGACGAAGTGACGGCGATACTCGAGGAGTGTACGGCCGCTTCGATGCCGCATTATGAGTATTTGCGGGCACAAAAGTTTCGTGGCTAGGAGATGAGTCGAGCTCCTCGGCATGGTCTTGAATTTTCAATCTAGGTGAAGTGATGGTATATCGTCGAGTTTGATCTTCGGCTCGCCGTCATATCCCCTCAGTCGCTCTCGAGCCGCTTCAGCTTCAGTCAGGATCATCTTCTCGATCTCGGCCGACCTGGGAATGAAACGAGCCTCGAATGGCTCCGGGCGCTGGTTTTCGCTCGCGGTATACGCGAAAATGTCGAGAGGAATCTCATCACCCTGGGTCCAAACGATCAGCTGGGTTGATCCCTCCATCAGCCACAGCATACTCACCTCTTCGTCCACCCCCGGCTTGATATCAAATGCCCACAACAACCTGGCCGTCACAAGCCAAAGTCCCTGCTCCGCCAACGGCTGCCCACTACACTGCCTCCTACCCCACCCAAAAGCACTATGCCCCTTCTTACTCGGATGCGGCCTCTCCAATCCCCTCAAGAACCTCTCCGGTCGAAACTCATCAGGCTCAGGATAATCGCGAGGGTTTCGATGGATCGCCCAGATGTTGCCTACAATCCACGTGTCCTTCGGGATGAAGTACCCTTGATACTCATCGTCTTGGATCGGAGCGTGAGGGAGGCCGCCCAGGACGGTTACGGTTCGCCAGCGGAGGACTTCTGACACGGTTGCGGTGAGGTAGGGGAGGGAGCCTTCGTCTTCCCAGGTTGGCATGCGGGTTTGTCCGACGACTCGGTCTAGTTCCTCTTGGGCATTGCGTTGTTTCTCTGGAAAACAGCACATGGCGAGAATGAGACTGACCATCGAACTACTCGTCGTATCCACGCCGCCTCCAATTAAATTCGACGTCAAATTTCCGACTTCCTTCCAAGTCAATCCGCTCTCCTCCTTCTCCCGCATCAACCTTTTCGAAAAAGATCCCTCAGCCCTCGTCTCCGCACTCTCCTTCGTCATCTCATAAAAATACCTCGTGTGCCTCGTCGCTTCCGCCAGAACCCTCCCCGGCAAAGGATTGACCCACGCGGGCAACCTCGTTAGCCACGGCATGATCTCCATCATCGCTTGTCCAGGGATGACGGCGTTAACAACTTCCATGAACGCCAGCGCCATCTGGGCGACTTGATCGTTGAGACGGTCGATTCGACGTCCCCAGCCAATGATGGAGACGACCGAGCAGGAGTAGCGTTCGATGGCGGGGACGTATGAAGAAGGCTGTAGCAGGATATCGCGGAGGAGGATGGTGGATTCATCGCTTTGGAAAGGGCGGTGCGGTTTGAGGGATTGGGTGCCGACGGCGGTGTGCTAGAAGGTATGCGTCAACCTTGAAAAGTGCAACTTCATTTGGTTTGTGGGTGGTACCGTCAACCGCCTATGCACCCTCCACCGTTCTCCATACTTCAAACACACCTGATTATTCTCGCTCGTGTTGGTCAAATCCCCCATGCACACCATCCGCGGTCGACTCGAGTAGATACTCGCTCTCTTCTCGAACAGCTCAGATATAACCCAAGCGTCGCTGCACACGATGACTGGGCGATGGCCGTTCCAGAGCGTCATCAAAGGAGCCTGGTATTGGCGGGCGAGTCGTTCCCAGTGGATCCAGGGGCGTTTCATTCGCATGTCAAAGTAGTTGCCGAGGAAGGGGAGGGGAAATGGACCTGATGGGAGGCGCCGTCGGAGGAGCAGGATGCGGGTGTAGGAGATTGTGAGCCATGCTGTGAGGAAGATGATGGGAAGGGCGAGGAGCTGGACCAGGAGGGTTGTGATGTTTTGATCTTGATAGGAGAGCATCTTCGAAGGACGCGAATTGTTAGAAAGTGTAGAAGAGACGAAGGATTACCTACAGGTATACTTGCTATGCTTTTTAGGTCATCAGCAGTCACAATGTGTTTCCCTCCAGACATGCATGTCATCTCGTATCTCGTTTCCTCGTGCAAACCAGGATCACAGCCTTGTCATCTGGTCTCCTAGCTGGTGAGTGCATGAATTCAACGTGCACAGCCCGGTAGTCGGTCCCAATCTCATGTTCAATCTCAACTACCGACCAAACACAACAACCCAGAACCCAGTCACAGGTCACCAGAGCACACCCTGTCGCCAAGCCCAGCAGACTACACATCCTCACGGCCTACGTATGCCATCCAACACCTCAAACATTCGATCCAGGCCCAACGCCAATTCTTCACGCGGGGTGGCGAAGGTGATTCGATAGTTTCCATGTTTCTCCGATCCGAATATCGCACCCATGGCGACCCAGACCTTGGCCTTGACGAGTCGCCACGCGAGTGCCAGTTCGGCTTCTTCGGAGTCATCTTCAAGGTATCGGCTCAGGTCTATCCACAGGCAAGGACTGAAGCAAGCTGCAGTGTAAGGGATGCCGTACTCTTTGAACCTGTTGGTTGTATAAGCATAAGAGTCTGCCATTCGTCTCCGTAGTTCTGGGAAGTAATCTTCTAGATATGGTCTGTCTTTGAGTAGGTTCAACCAGACTTGTTCGGCCAGCTGGCTGGGTCGAGTGAATCCAGTAATCGATTTGAATGCTGATATCATTTCGGGATTGAAAGGTGAGATGAGACATCCTATCCTGATGCCATTGGCACAGAAATCCTTGCTCATGGCGTATATAACATGGACCAGTGCTGGATTGATGTACTTCTCCAGATCCAAACTGAGGATGCTCGTGAACAGCGGTGGTTTAGGGAAGTCATCGCTTGGAAACCAGGACTGCGCATATACTTCGTCCGAGATCAGATGGATGTTATACTTGCTGCACAGCCTCAGAAATGCTATCCAAGCCTCCTCGTTATAAGGCCGACCGAGTGGATTGTGCGGATTGGGTATCAATATTGCCCGAATTCGAGTACCAGCTCGTTCACTTTCTAGCAGAGTCTCTTCAAACTTTTTTGCCGCTTCTGGGCTCGCTGGATCGACGCCTTCCATTGGAACTTGCACAACTTTGATCTTTGCCCCTGCTTCAATGTCCGAGAGGAAGCCCGTGTAAAGTGGCTTGGAGAGTAATATGCCGTCTCCAGGTTCGCCAACACAAAAGGCCAGGTTATGGACTGCATTGCCGGCGCCATTACACATGCAGATATGGTAGTCCTCCACGGGCATGTATGGTTTGAAGACCTGGTTGACATAGGAAGTGAGTTCCTTCCTTAAGGCTGCTGTCCCGACTGGGCCTTCACCGTACGTCAAGTGCCACGGTGTGATAAGAAAATTATCGTTGATGTGTTGCGTGATTTCATTTCTCATCAACTTGTTTTCCGCGATTGCAAGAGCGACAATTCCATCAGGGTTTGTATTGGGATCGTACTGTTTGTAATAACAGTAGGCTCGTATCTCACCTAGCTTGTCTGGTTGAAGATTGTCTTTGACTCTGCTAGAGAGGCTGGGCTCCGGTGATCGGCTGGCAGATGTATCTTGCTGTATGTCTCCCATTGCGTAGTCTGTGGTGTTGTGATATTACAAAGTCTCAGCTTTGGTTTCGATTAACCATTGGCGGTGTAAATGCTAGGAGGACCTTGGTGAGCACGTTTTCCGTCGGCAAAAAGGTGGTGGAGTATAATCCTTCATGTGATTGGCCAATGTCATTCTTTCCCTCCGGAAAACAACCACCCCAGGCTGCAGTCGTTGCTGGAGCCATAAAGGCAGCAAGTTGTGAGATCATCAATATAAGGAACAATGATGGAAGAAATTGGTCCGGAGCATCGGTCGGGTCTTACCTCTTCCTCTGACCACGATATGACACGGCGCAGATATATGAAGCTTCTACGTAGCTGAGGATATGGCAGTCGTCTGATGTCGATATTCTTTTCGCATGAGGGAGTGTGAGAAAGATATCTAGCATGCCGTCAATGGTTGGTCCAGCATATCGGTGGCGATTATTTGGCATAGCCAATCATGCAAATGGTCATTCCAGTCTTCACCATGTCATCCGGTTGAAGTGGGCGATGGACAGGCCTCGAAAGCAATCCCTTGCTAGCCATCATGGTGGCCGACTTGAAGTACCATGGGCGACTAGTGTTCATCGGCGGATTCGAACAGGCGCATTTCTCCAGGCTTACATAGGATGGGAGGTGCTGTTAGAGGTACCGGACCTTCATCTGTTTATGTTGAGTGGTATTTACAAAGCAGAAAGTGAGGTGAAAGATTCAAAGTTGTTGCCAGTGGTTGGCATTCATTCGTCTCGGAACGCCGGCACTTTTCTCCGACACCACCAACCTCAACGTCGTCTGCTCCTCTTTCCTCCTCCTTATCCTCTCGTCATTTCCAAATGTCTACGATCAATATGGAATCAAGGCTTCAATACTGCCAGCACACACGTACGCCCATCAGCGATGCGCCTGCAATGCCTCGAAGCAGCCATGCCGCCGAACATCAAAGACTTCAACATTAGCCGGGCGTTAGTTCGCCTTTAAACTTTCCACGCTGCGGCTCTTGGATTTTCACCGCGTCCGTCGGAGGCATTTCGACCATTACTCACTTCAGCTGGCCGGCAGCTGTCCCATTCGCCTGTCCTCGAGCGCTACTGGCCACAGCTGCATCCTGCAGCACCACCTCTTCCGCGTGGAACAGCTGGTTTAGGAATTTCGTATGCTTGGACGCGATCGCCAGGCACGCCGCGAGCCACATGCACCCGCCAACGTGGAAAGCTTCGCCTTCGAAACGCAGCATGTACGAGCTGAGTGGAGTCCACCGCACACACGCTTGCACCGGCAGTCCTTGTGCATAGTCTGGAATTCGGAACCTTGGAGTTGTGCTCTGTGCAGACTTCATCAGCACAGCTATGAAGCGAGGGCTCGCCGCGAAGGCTCGCATTTCCTACTAGCTTTCCCACCGCGTTCTTCAAGCCACCCGTCGTCATCAGCAGCAGCAGCAAAACGAGTGCGGACGGGTAAATCTCCGCTTGATTGAGAGAGCGCAGGTGGAATATATCGTTATTCTTATATGTAGTTTGTCGCCGTGCTGCCCAGAGAAGGACAGACTGGTCAGACTTGCCACAAATCCTCCAAAGATGCTGCAGCTCCGATCATACGCTCTGGCCTTGTTGGCCTCGATAGCCACACTGTCACAAGTCAACGCCCAGTGCGCCAACAATGTCGCCGTCTACAACCCTGATGTCAGGACACTGACCGCCAACAACAGTAAGCCACCCACCCATCAAACCCCCAAGATCTCCCATTAACATCTCACCAGCCTGGTTCGTCGTCCCAGTGCCGAAGGCCGCAGCCTTGACAGCCATCCAAGAAGCCTACCCACTCCTCAACGTCGCCCTCCTCGACGTTCCAAACGACCCAACCCTCTTCCCGAATGGCTTCCCCGCCGGCCAACAACCCGCAATAGTCAACATCGGCCTCAGCGACGACATCCGCATGTCCGCCTTCCAAATCGACGGCGGCCTCAAAGTCGGCCAAGTCTATATATCCTATGTCTCCCTCAACGGCTCCCCCTCCCCGCTGCAAGCCCAAACCTCCGGCTACATCGCGGGCGAAACCGGCCCCTTGCCCAACGGCCTCGTCCCAGCCTTGGCATCCACCCTCCTCTTCGGCGGAAACCCCACTCGTCTAGGAGAATTCACACCCGACGCCGCCCCCTACCAATCCGAAGGCGGACCCATCCTCTCCGCCCAAACGAAATGGGCCCTCCTCCCCAACCCCATCTCCGGCCCAGGGATCTACCCAGAAGCCTTCGATTTCGAATTCACGACCATCGCCTCTTCAGCATCGAGATACACCGCCAAAGGCTTCAAATACCTCATCAACCTCCCCACACTCCTCCCCACCGCGCAGTGCCAGCGCAACGCGTACTACTTTACCAACGCGACCGCGAACCCGGTTTTCCGGAATGGTAATGTGACGTTCGGGCCGGGGGCGGATGGTAGTTCTGCGACGAGCTCGGCGTTGATGGCGGCGAGTGCGGATGGGAGCGGAATTTTCGCTGATGTTGATGGGTATGGAGGGTGTGCGCAGAGCGTGGGGAATAGTGTTCAGGGGTGTGATGAGGCGAGTGCCCATACGGATCCTAATACGCTCAATTAGAAAGGCGGAATTCATGGGATGGTGTTCTGAGGCTGTTCCAGAGCGAGTCATATGATATTCGTCTTCTGTCTTTCATGCGAAGTTCGTTGACTGGCACTTCCCTACCCAGCGGCTCCTGCCTGTTCCGTCGTGTAAGCTCTGGTCCAGCGGTCTACACAATATCCAAATCATCATCATCCTCATCATCATCCACCTGCCCACCACCAGCAGCACCCGGCAAACTATCCCGCCCAGGCATCCTGATCCCCTTCGCCAAATCGAACCGCGCCTTCTTCTTAACCGGACTACTGCTCCCCTGGCTCCTCAGACTAGTATCCTGACTCCGATAACGCGGAGCCGTATCCAACCTCGTCTGTCCTCGCTCGGGGCTACCCACTTTACTCTCTTTAGGCTGAAGCAGACCAGGTTTCCTGGCCGCGCCCCAGCCCATGGGCTCAGAGGTCCTGGTTGCGCTGCTCCCGCCGTTTTGCAGTGACATGGCGCCGAGGCCGAAGTGTTTCTTGCGGTCTTTCGCGGGGCTGAGATGGGCGTCGCTCGCTTTCTTGCCTAGAAGGCCCAGCTCGGCGGCTGAGGGTTTGGAAAAGAGTGCGTTTCGAGCTTCTTCAGCGGCGCTGATGTCCTTTCTGTTGGATGAAGTGGTGGATGAGACTGTTGTTGTCGAGGTCGTATGTTGATGCTTCGAACGCATATACTCAGCCCCAACACCCCTTCCCATCTCGCCCAGTTTTTTGGCCAGATCTCTTTCTTTCTGCGCATTGGCAATCCGTTTGCGACTCGCCTCTTCTTGCGTCATGTTGTGCAATGCGTCGGTGTCGTCCTTGTCAAGCAGACTCGCTGCACTGTTTCCTCTTACGCCCGAGTTGACACTATACAGCTGGCCATACTCACGATGGTACGATGCGCCACCACCAGATTTCTTCGCCTGCTTATCCCTCGCGATTCGACTCTTAATCTTGTCGTCGGGGTTTCTAGCGCCTCGAAACATGGTGTTGACCTCCATCCTGCTCTTGCGGTTCTTCTCGATCTGCAAGGAGATGTGGAATTCGCAGGCTTCGGCCTTGCGCTTGTTGATCCATTCACCACATGGCTGACCGTCCTTTTTGACAGCGCTGCAGTACCCGAGATCTCGAGCTATACCGATCTCCATGACGGCGTCTTCGCTGCTGCCAAGCTTCAAACTGAAGCGCCCATTGTTTTGATTTCCCTTGGGTGGTAAGATGGCTGGATTGAGGATGGCCAAGAGAGTACCTGGTGTAAGTTTCCAGAACTGATTGAACGCTGTGCCAAAGAGGAAGCAGTCGATTTCCCATTCTAAATCTGTCAGATGTAAGACCATGAACTTGTTTCGAGGCGTTTGATAATCCTCTTTCGCTTGTTCCGCGGTCTTGTGACTTTCGGCGTGCGAGAAGGGCTGAGATTTGGAGGCGAGTACTGCGAACACAACATAGTCCGACTCGCAATCGGGTGGATCGTAATGCGGTGCTTTGACCTCTTTCAAGAGACGCCGCACTGTGTACACCTCTTTGCCTTCCATCTCACGCGCAATGACTGAATGCTCAATGTTACGCTTTTTCAGGTGGACTTTCGAGAAAGCATCGAAGCCCGCTTGATCATCTGCGTCTTCGATGTCGAGAGATGCGTCGCTGTCTCCTTCGTCGTGTCCGGTTCCAGACTCTTGGCCGTATGCTTCAGGATTGAACAGAGTTCTAGCGTGCGGTTTTGCTTGTTCCTTTTCACGTGGCACTCGAGCCGAAGCAGAACGGGATATCGAGGCGTCTTTTGCAGGCGTAGAGCTTTGTGCTTGGCCTGCTGAGGAGGGTCTCTTGCTGTCATCTGCCAACCTCGATACTCGTCCTTTGGACTCCGGGTCTCTTCGCAACGGTGTGTCCGCTTTGGTGTGGGTGAACCCGGAGCTGCGTATTCTGTCGAGATGGTCCTTCTTGGCTTGCTTTTCTTCAACAGCAGTCCTGCTTTGTGCCAGTCGCTCGCTGAAGCTTTTCACTTTGGGTACTTCCCGTTGCGACTGTTGCATGTTCTGTCGCGATTCGGACCTCTTGATTTGACTTCCATCCCTCGCCCTCTTAAGCGACACCTCTTCTGCACGAGGCACCGAAGTCAAGCCCAGCCTCCTTCTTGCTGGCGACATTTGTTCCTCAGGCGCCCTGGCATTTCGAACTGGCGAGACAGGGACCTCAATCGCAGCTTTATATAGCCGGGTGGGAGATATGTTGGGCTTCCTGGGGGAAGATGATCGCACGCTGTCCTGCCGTGATGCTCTTCCACCTGCACCTTCGGCCTTTCGCTCTTTTGCTTGAAGCTTCTTCAATCTCAGCTTCGCCTGAATCTCTTGCAATTTCAACTGCAGCGTCTCCTCATCTTCGTCCTCTTGGTCGTCATCGTCCATGTTCGCCAGCTCTTGCAGCTTCTGAGAGCTGTGCATCGACTTTCGCATAGGACTCGGACTTGGAGATCTCTGCTCTGCGCGACTCTGGTGATCCTGCCACCTCTTCCTCCCACTTGGTGAACTCAGCAGCGCCTGGAAAGGTGATTTGGGAGGCCATTGGACACCGGTCTTGTCGGGGGAGTGATGCGCTCGCGGAGACTCGCGGACGACGACCATGGCGCCGGATAGAATAGTGGCCGTATCATCGAACGGTTTCTGGCATTTTTGTTTTGTTGTTGTCGCTCGTTACACACACTTCCACCGCCAGACATGGATGCGTGGCTGCAGTGAAGCGGGAAGGATGCAGGGAGCTCGACGCGTGAGGGTTGAGCGAAGATAACTGGCAGCCAGTGAATGAATAAAGCTGGTCGACTTTTAATCAATTTTCGACGCTGCAACATCAAATTTAGTCAAATTTTAATGGCATGTGGGTTCGCGTTTATACGCACCTCGCACACGCGTTTGACATGAACTTTCCTTCCTCCTCTCCAGCGATTTAGCCAACACGACATTGGACGTTCTTGGAGAGTCAGGTAAAGCCAATTGGGAAGGCTTTACATAACTACCAACATCACATCATGGCAAAAACACGATCAACCAAGACGACCGCAGGCAAGAAGAAAGAAGACGCAGACTCGATACCGAAACCCACCCTCAAGAAGCTGGATGCGAGTGTGGACAACCCGCCTCAGCTATTTGTTCTGCCCAAAGACGCCTCTACAGAGGCTCGCATAGCGACGATCTCGAATCCTGCGACTTCAGCACCCAATCGATATTTTGTGTGTCCAGAGAAGGGATTCTACGAGTTCACGAAAGTCGCGGCACCTAAGAATCAGCAGAGGAGCTGGCTACTGGCGCCGGATCAAGAGAATGACCAGGATCATGGCAAGGCCGAGGGGAAAGAGTCTGGCTATGTACTGCAAACACCTGATATGTTCGTCGCAACTCCGGTCGACCCTCTCTTCCTTTTGTTGCCAGCATTAGCAGAAGACAGCGAGAGTGGTGGACAGGAATACCTTGCCGCCTCGGATTATCTGGCTAAGTTGACCAAGGCGTCACCGCATCTGTCGCAGATCCTGCAACAAAGCACACCTGTTAAACTGGAACAATGTCTGGAAGCAAGGGTTGAAGCAGTCTCCGACTGCATGGACATGGGCGACGAGAAGATGTACTCGTTGGCTTTGCCAAAACTGGTCAAGGAACTCGTGGCCAAGGCAAATCGAATAAAAGCAAAGGGGCTACCGGCTAGTATGGAAGACCGATTCGTCAAGCAGCCATTAGATGTGCCAGTCCTCAGCATCAAGAGAGAAGAAAGCAGTATCAGCATCGCCAATGATGGAGTCGAATCTGAGCCAGCATCAGAAGCCCAGTCGCAAGAGACAGATGCTTCTGGAACAACCATGGCGACAGTCTCGACCGCAGCTACTTCTGTCTCCATCAACGCCGAGGCGGACACCAACACCGCACCAGACGGCGTGATAGATCTGTTACGCACCAAAGTCGCCCTCGACTTCCTCATGTCCAGCTACATCTCGCCTTCATTGCGGACGAAGCTTCGGCCGCTACTTTCCAATGCAGGCGAATCTGGGGTTGATTTCTCATCTCTGGACAAACATCTCGCCCACATCGCCTCGCTCAAGAAGGAAGCACAAGCCCTTCGATCCCTGAGCGACAACATATCTCGCAAGCGTAGCGCCATGGAAGACGATGAGGCAGTTGAGAGAGCAGAGGCGAAGAAGCGTAAGAAGGAGGAAGAAGACCTAAAGAAGAAGAACACGAGCCAAGGTGTGAAGAAGCTGATGAAGGCCGACACGAGTGGTATGAAGAAACTCAGTTCTTTCTTCGCAAAGGCGCCGGCGAAGAGGTAATGGGAACTCGGAATGTAGTGGCTGGATTACCCTTTCAGAATTGGATAGGAAGCCTCCAAGATAACGCAGGACTACGGTCATTATTGTCTATGGAACAGAAGCTCAGTCAACATGCTTCATGATAGCACAGGCCGGATTAAAGTGATTACAGACGATAGCGTTAAGTCCGCGGCCATATTACGCTCTGATGCGATGTCGTGCTCGCCCCGCGGCCAGGCCCACCAGAACTCGGAGCTCTGCATTTCTAATAGCCGCATGACATAAAACGAACATATAGCTTCGTGCAGGCAATGCGAAGGTCCTCAACGAGGGAACAACCTTGAGAGTAGACGCTGGAACAAGACAAGATGGCGAATGAGAAGCAACTTCACCTGACGGCCTTCATGAGGCCCGTCTCTCTCCACACTGGAGCATGGCGTTATCCCGGAGCATACCCAGATGCCAACTTCAATTACAACCATCTGAAGTCATTCATCAAGAAACTCGAAGAAGCCAAGTTCGATGCCTTCTTCATGGCCGATCACCTTGCGGTGTTGAACATGCCAGTGGAAGCTCTCAAACGTAGTCACACTACGACATCCTTCGAGCCTTTCACGCTGCTCTCGGCCCTGTCCCAAGTCACAGAAAGGATTGGCTTGGCAGCAACGGCAAGCACGACGTATGACGAGCCATATCATATCGCTCGGCGGTTTGCTTCACTGGATCATCTGAGCAATGGACGAGCAGCTTGGAACATAGTCACCACAGGCAACCCGGAATCCTCGAAGAACTTTGGCCAAGATGAGCATATGCAGCATAGCGATCGATACAAGCGTGCGAGGGAGTTCTATGATGTTGTCACTGGTCTATGGGACTCCTTCGCTGACGATGCATTCGTACGGGACCCTGAGAGTGGCATTTATCTAGACCCAGAAAAGATGCACGTTCTGGACCACAAGGGCGACGAGTTGAGCGTGCGAGGACCACTCAACATCGCGAGACCTGTTCAAGGCTGGCCCGTGATTGTACAAGCTGGACAGAGCGAGCCTGGACGACAGCTAGCCGCCGAAACAGCGGAGTTGGTCTTCTGTTCTCCACGAGACCTCAAAGGCGCCAAAGAATTGTATGCTGACATTAAGGGTCGAGTGGAGAAGGCAGGCCGAAACCGGGATCACCTCAAGATCTTGCCAGCTGCGATGATCATCGTCGGCGACTCCCCTGAGGACGCTCAGAAGCGACGGCTGGAGCTGGACAGCAAAGTCCACTACGACAGCGCCATTGCCTCCTTGTCTATCGCCCTGGGTTGCGATGCGAGCAAGTTTGAGCCAGACGGACCTCTGCCAAAGGAAATCCCCGAGTCGAACGCCAGCCACACGGCAAGGCTGGGCGTGATCAATCTCGCTGAGCAGGAAGGCCTCACGGTCCGTCAACTCGCACAGCGATACGGAGGGTACTCTGGTCTGGCTTTCGTGGGTTCGCCCGAATCGATCGCGGACGACATGACCGTTTGGTTGAAGGAAGAGGCTTGCGATGGCTTCACGTGTACGATGCCATATCTCCCCGAGGGTCTCAACGCCATCTGCGAGAGACTGGTACCTGAGCTGCAACGCAGAGGGCTGTTCAGGAAAGATTACGAAGGCACTACGCTGAGAGAGCATCTGGGCTTGCCGAGACCGACTAATAGGTTCTTCGACGGCACGGCGACGAATGGAAATGGCGCTCTACCAGACACCGACCAGCTGTGAAGGGACCAGCGTTGTCTATCTTGAGGTATAGAGTGCCTCTTAGCTCGCTCAGCTCGCTAATTCACTTACTTTAAGCTTTGGATGAATAAGACTAGTCGAGGCTGACGCTTTGGCCACCTGCGTCCCTTCCGAGTTAGTGCCAGCCTTTTGGCGAGACATGAAGTTGACATACCAACACAGTCGCAGTGCTATACGCTCTCATCGTTAGGTCTCGCGGGAGTAGTGACAAGGGCGAAGTTGAGCCACTTGCAGCAAGGTGAGAATAGCAGTCTCGTTCACGAGCAGGATATAAAAGCAAGCGAAACCATTCGCAGCGGACATCGCACAGGAGCATCTCAGAACACCTCACTCTCCTCCCCTCTCCCACCATGTCCCCTCCTCAAACCCAAGATCCAAACACAGCCTTCTCCACCAACCCCTCCTCCCTCTTCACCCCCTTCACCCTCCGCCTCGCCAACAACGCCATCCTCACAGGAATAACTCACATCCCCTCTTCAGGACTCTTCCACACCTCCCCAACAAAACCCCTCCTAATCGCCATCCACGGCGCCACCTGCTCCGCCCACAACTACGACATAAACCCGCAATACAACGCCTCCACCTACTCCGCCCTAACAGGAATCACTTTCGTCGCATTCCACCGCCCCAACTACCTCGGTTCGAGCGGCTGGATTCGCAAAGCGGACACCTTCGACAAGCCGGCGCAGGGAGTCTCGGATTTCGAAGAAGAGGCACGGTGGTACCACGAGTACATCTTCCCTTTGCTCTGGGAGGAATTCGGCCTGAAGAACGGGTGCAGTGCGCTGGTGACGACGAGTCACAGCATGGCCGTTGCTACAACCATCATCGCGGCGGGATATTACTCGCAGACGGCGGTGGAAGCGAGGAAGTATCCCTGGGCGGGGATGGTGGGTTTCGGGCTGGGCGAGGAGCCTACGGCGGCGATGCTGCGGGGCAGCGAGAGGTTGGGGAGTGTGAAGTGGAAGGAAGGGGAGTTGCCTCTGGGGCAGGAGGAGGATGTGCATATCGGGCCTTTTGGGAAGGAGGATAAGCTCGCGTTGATGCTGGGGCCGGAGGGGTGTTGTGGGGAGGAATTGAGGGAGTTGTGTTGGAGGCAGAATACTCCTTTTTTGCTGAATGAGGTTGTGGATCTTAACGGAGTTTGGAGGGAGAGGAAAGAGGTGTTTAAGGGGAGGGTGGAGATTCCGGTTTTGTATGGGGTTGGGACGATGGAGTGGTTGTGGAAGCATGAGGGGAGGCATGTGGAGATGTTTACGAGGGGGTTTGTGAAGGCGCCGAGGGTGGAGGGGGCGGTTATTTCGGGGGCACCGCATGCGATTGAGTGGAGTCCTATGGCGGGTGGGTGGTGGTTGAGGGTTTTTGGGTGGGCGGCGGAGGTTACTGCTTCGAGGGAGGTGGAGGGTTGGGGGTTGGAGGAGTTTGAGTGAAGTGGATCTAGGAAGGGATTTTGTGCGGCCATTCTGGAGTGTCGTTAGTACTGTGCATGACATGAGAGGGACTGACTTACCAAACGCGGTCCTCTCATTGTTTTCCTTCACAATCAGCACCTCCTCACCTACGTCAATCCCCTTTCCATGCGAGTCCTTCTCGAGAAACCCATACCTTCCAAACACCGGACTCCACTTCGCATTTGGATCAACTCTCCTGTCCTTCGCCAAACCCGCCAGAACTTTGCCCTCCGGCCCATCTGCGAACTTGCCATTGTTGAAGTCAAGATTCAGACTCACGCAGCGGTTACAGTTCTGCGTCAAGAGTACTTTCTTGTTGTCCTCGCCGATGGAGAGCTCGGCCCAGAAGTCCTCGACGAATTCTTCGGAGGAACCGCCGATAACGATATTTGGGCGGAACTTGCGGATGTCTGGAGAGACATTTGAGGGGAGTAGGCGTTTGACGTGGTTTAGCGAAGTCTGGGAGACTACCAGGACGGCGGCAACGTCCGAGAGGGCGAGGCCTTGTTCGTGGTGATTCTCGGTGTGTTCGTTAGCATTCGAAGAGATGGACGATATGCCTGGGAGACTGTTCGTGATGGTCGACATCCATGAAGAAGTAGTCGATTCTTTCTGTTGTTCGTTGGGAGAGAGGTTTCCCAACACTGTTCGACGGTTCACGCCAACATAGATGAGCTCGACATCGAAGCCGAAACATTTTGTGAACCACTCGTTGTACTGCTCCCCAACTTCGTAGCCGGTGCAAGGACTTCCATGCATGGCAATCGTCGTCTCCTTTAGCTTACTCACGTCGGGCTCCAAAGGGATCAAGATCTCGGTCTGGTTCTCTGTATCCTGGGACGTTGGAGAGAAGGACACTCTAATGGCATCGTTGACCTTGCCATTTGAATCAAGAGAGGCGAATTCAGGGACGAAACGAGCCATCAAGGGGACATGATAACAGCCCATATTCTTTCGGCTACCATCTTCCTTGATCTCTCGCAGCATGAAGCGTCTGTCATATTGTAGCCCTTGCGGTGTAAGCGTTGCATGTTTGATGGAGATTTCTCGGAGGGACTTGATAGGATAGATGTAGAGCTGCAAGGATCCATCAGCTAGCGTTCGTGTATGATGAGCTTCTCCACGATATCTCTGTAGACTAAACGTGTAAACGTGCTTGCCACTGTCTTACAGGTGGGTTCTTGAGTGAGGGATCAGGCAACATACCGCAGACACGCTCAGGCTGGGTCGATCTCCAGAACTCATGGCCGACGTCTATGTAAGCGTAGGATCCAGGGGAGCAAGATCTCGATTGTGTTATGGCAGACGGATTAGCAATACTGCCAGCGGAGGATAGTACGTTTGAGGAAAGGGTCTCTCGCTTGTGAGGAGTATAATGCGCCTTCGGGCGAGCGGTACGCTTTCTTGATGCAAGAAACGGCCCGCCCTTAATGGATCGGTGAAATTCCCGCCCTAGGTAGTTACTTCAAATGTTCCTTCCGTTCTGAGCTCGGCAAAATGTTCCATCGACTGAGGAGTGAGCAGGGCGTGTCGTTGCCTCGTTGAAGATTAGCCTGGTGATTAGCAATGATCTTCATCCGGTACACTTTCACCGTTGAATTCCTTACTAAGGAGGAAATCAGGCTCGGGATGGGGCCAAAATGCTGCTGTGCCACGGTAGTTGGTACCTGAACCTTGTGCCATAAGGCTTAGGCGGGTGATAGTCGACCTGAACCCGAGACAAATGCAGCTATCCTCTCATCAGTTGCGTGCATGATTGGAAGTCTATCGTGAAGAAGGGCAAGGGGCCGCGAGACGATGAATCCTTCACCCCAATGACGTGCCGCCGCCAATACCACTACTTCTAGCGTGCCAAGTGCTTCCACGTGACATGAGCGAAGCATGGTCCAGGAGGAAACGAGCTGAGCAGCTGAAGAGGAAGGCGAACGACGCCAAAGCCTGGTCCTTGTGTTTTGCTCGCTATACCAACTCAAACAACATGGCTCCTTCACAAGGCCGTGGCAAACCAAGAACGTATCATACAAAATCAAGAGGAGGCTGCATCACTTGCAAGAAGCGACATATAAAGGTACGCACGTGAGAATTTAGTGTCCGTCGTCCAAGGCTATACGTTCCTTTACGCGGAAACTCCTGGAAAACAGGCCCCCAAGACTGACGACGAAGCCACAGTGCGACCAGAAGCGTCCGGCATGTACCAATTGCACCACTCGACGACTACACTGCCCTTTCCAAGACACGGCAGTCGTGAGGACAAGCACGTCGCCATCGGACCACAAGTCGCCTGCGCTGGTGCCGTCGCCTTCAGCGATCGAATCTAACGGCAACGATGCATCACCTACTATTCCACAAGGGGCGACGGACATATGCCTTATCCAGTTGGACCTCTACAATCATTTCGCCTTCCACGTGTGTCCCACGTTTACTGGCCAGGCCCGACATGACGAGAGCTATCGGAATTTGATGATCAAGACCGCGTTCAAGTACCATTTCGTTCTGCACGAGATGCTTGGACTTGCGGCTCTTTCGAAACATCTGTCATGTCCCAACGAGACGTACAAAGCACTAGCCGCATCGTTCCAGGAGAAGGCGATCGCCGGTCTAGACGATATCCTAACCAAGGTCGATTCCGAGAATTGCGTCGCGGTCATTACCTTCGCCCACCTGATCGGAGTCCATTCTTTCTGCGACACCTTCTCCATGGGTCCCAACGTCACATTTTCAGATTTCCTCGAGGCCTTGATCGGCAGTGCTCAACTACTCCGCGGCATCAACGCCGTGGTCCGCCCCTTTTGGAGCGATTTGGCAGCGACAGAAGTCGGTGAATTCATGAAAGATGCGATAGCACGGCGCGATTCCTACGCCGACCGGCCTGGAGACGAAACGGCGTCGCTGCTGATGTTGATCCAGAATGCAGACATCAGCGAGTCAAGCCGACAGACGTACGGAGACACGATCGTGTGGTTGCAACGGTGTTTCGATGAGGTTCGAGCTCTGGAGCCGGAACATCGTGCGACTACGAACACGGCTTTTGTGTGGCTTATCATGTCGTCGCCTGCGTATCTCCAGCTTCTGGATGAGGCACGACCGGAGGCGTTGGTGATTCTTGCGAATTTTGCTGTGGTATTACATTACCGGCGCGATTGTTGGGCGATTGGGAATTCGGGGTACACTCTGTTGAGATCGATCATGTCTCATCTGGGTCGGCAGTGGAAGCAGTGGCTTGTATGGCCGCAGTCGCAAATTGGCATCGACCATGTGGACGTGGCTATTACGCCGTGAGCGACTTGAGACGACTGAAGAGGACTTTTCGAAGTCATTATGGGATACTTTCCGAGAACTTGAACTAATTATGAGATATCATCTATGGACTGTCTGCTTACAGCCTTTCGAGAATGCCAATTCTCTTGCCAACGCCTATGTTACACTCTCATTAAACTCAAACCCCTTTGAACGCTCACTCACAATGCGCCTGTCTCCAATCCTGCTCATCATCATCCGCCATCCATACCTAGCCTGAAAATTGCTCACGATGCTCACGATCGGGTAGGCTTCAACTCCTCCGTGCTCGACACACTATCGTACCGAACGTTGAGCTTCGAACCACGGCCGATGTACCAAGCCAAAGAGACAATCAGGGCGATGACCATAAGCGCACCGTCAAAGACGAAACCAGGCCACTCGTTCTGCAGGAGGTATCCATCCGTGCCCATCCCGTACTCAATCGCGCGAAAGATGTTCCTCAAGCAGATCAGCCCGCTCACGACGTACAGCACGAGAAGTAGCCTCCTCCACGCAACCGTCTTCTCCTCAATGCCCTTCCTCGCCATGCGCATATGCACCATCACCGCGACGACGACGAAGACGCCGAAGAAGATGATCTGCAGGATTAATCCGACCAGGATGACGTACTCGGCGATGTACTGCTTGTCGGCGAGTTTCTTGACGGACTGCATCCCACCGCCGACGGCTTGGATGAAGAAGCAGAGGACGTCGCCGCAGACGAAGAGTTTGGTGAGGTAGCGAGTCGGGATCGGGGAGAGCGCGGTGGTGTTTGTGGCGATCATCAGGCGGCCGAGGTACATGTAGACGGAGGCGGCGAAGAGGATGGGCGCGAGGAGGATCAGGACGGATTGGGTTGCGTAGAGGGTGACGGTGCTGGTGTTGGAGTTGGCGTAGGCGCGGATGCCGTAGCCGACGATTTCGACTGTAGGATAAGTTAGAATGAAACGGAGGAGGAAATGGAGGAGATGAGCGTACGAATGCCTCCTACTACGAGGGGAACGCATATCCATATCCGGTTGAGAGCGAGGCCGATGAGGTGTGCGATTGAGAGGATGCAGAATAGGACGGCGAAGATGATGTTGCCGGCCATGGATGGGTAGTACCACCATAGCTGGTAGCCGCCGTCGGTTGGTGGTGGAATGGCCATTGTGTAGGAATGCTGTGTAAAGTTGCTCTTTTGGAAAAAATCGAACGGGTGTTTGTTTGCGTTGTGGAGGAGATTGTAGACGGAAGTGTTGTTGTTGATGTCAAAATCAACTTGGAGACAACTTACGACTTGTATTATAGTCTACAATGCCTTCGTCGCACAGCCATTGTTCACGTACTGTTTCCCAGCCGCAATGCTATCTTCAGAATGAAACAGGCAGAAAGAAGTCGATCCCGCGTAAAGCATGTGACAGCCCCCTGCCCTATCAAGGAAATCCGCGTATAAGTGGTCCGTGCGCTAGCGCTCTCGTTGTCCGCGTTGTTATGTATGCTGCCACCACCTCTTCCCCATCATTCTCTATGAATACCTTGTCGATCCCCTTAGCTGCTAGGCAGTTACTTTTCGTTTTCTTTCCGCGCTCGAACTACCCCATACGTCCCAGACACTCGCCAGCCATCGGAGATTCTCTTGGCTGGCAACGATCCCAATCGTAACCGAGCATTGATGCGGCACAGCGTCAATGGCACACTGCCTCAACGAACCGCCTGGGTAGACGTCATGATCTGCCATTATAAATATTCAGCTAGTCCGTACATGCTGAGAGAAGCGCGTAGCCAGCTCAGACGGTCCAGGATGTTGTCTTGGCCTGCCTCAAGGAGCCTTCGCCTCGCCGTTATGCCATGATCCATGACACAATTCGACGTCGACTGAAACGAGTTCTTCGCTTGCACTCCTTCTGCACTTGCAGGACGGGCTATGTATGGATCTGTATCGGCTCCCCCGATGTCGATTCGTATGAGATGTGTTCCCGAGCGTTCGCAAGGCCATGAAGGGGAACTCGAACGACTCGGGCATTGAGACTGGTCTTTTCATGACGTGGGTGGTTGCTTGTGGTTGAGTAGAATCGAGTAGGCGCCTCACCGCTGATGGCGCCCTGGCTTTGGATCGATGTCCGTAGGAGGCGGTGTCGATGTCCATGGACCTTGTCGTTCAACGCACCGAATGCCAACATTAATAGTGCCCGCTGGAGGACTGCTTTTAGTCCCGACAGTCGACACTCTTGGCGCATAGCATCTGCTGTCTGTTCATTGATAGACAAAGTAAGTTGAATGTCATTGGTGGTATGGTTGCATGCACTAAGCAATGTCAGTGAGCTTACGACGTCTTGCCCGATTGAGGAGGCCTTGAGACAATGTTTCCAGACTTGATCACTGCTCTTGAGCTTCCAATTGCTCTCAGAAAGCTGTATGCATGGAGGCCGTTCGACGTGAAGACTTTGCAGCTTCTTCCTGTCTGACTTGAAGGCTCGACAGTTGGGTCGACTCATCACCACCGACGTGAAGGATTGCCATTGATGGTGTGGGGCGGGTGGCCTTAAAGTGGCAATCCCCAAAATGGCTTCAAACGTGAGTATCCAGAAACAACCTCAAGGGCTGCTCTGAGGACCAACCTCCCAGGTTGAACGTTTTCGACAGACGTAAACCATTGAGTCGACTGACTGCAGGAGGACAGCGTCTCTGACTACAGCCATTCGCTCTCATTGAACGGAGCACTCAAGATCCATTACGTTCACTTTTGACCCCGAACAAAGCGTGGCAGCTCATCACGCTGTTGGGTGCTGGAGAGAACAATGCAGGCTTGCGGGTCTCTTCCACGTTGAGCAAATGCTGAAGCACTAGAGTCTGAGCCACAGAATGCGTATGATGGCCTCACTGAACTGCAACACCACACAGCTTTGGCGATGGCGCGGTTGGCGTGATTATGGGCTCGACTTCGGGGCCGCAAGGAGAGCGCGCTCCAAGGGACGGCCAGGACGAGGAGCATCATATGAGGATAGTGGCATGACTATCTTCTCGGAATGTGCCTTTTCACGATGCCGTTGCACAGATGATGGGAGCATTTGCGATGGTTGATACATTGGAGTATGTCTTTCTGCCGACGTGGGGTTTCTGCGAATGACGCTGTTGACAGGGTGGAACGGTGAAACTCGGAGATTCTGTCTCCATCAAGTTTCAGGAGTAAAACGTGCTTGAGCACAGACCCCAACTTGAGTTTCGCCTGCCAACCTTAATTGCGCGTCAGCGACTCTTGGCCAAAGTCTCCTGAACCTCTTGCTTCTTTTTCACCAGGCACCTGGATACTTACAATCCACCTTTTTTCTTCTATCGTTTGCTGCAAAGCCATCACACACAGCGCCATGGCATCGCAAGAGAAGCGCCCGTCCGCCGACGAGGAGCGCAAGCTCGAGGGCGGAGAGGCACAGGCCTCCGCGATCGCGCCTCCTCCGGCCAAGCCAGAGGCGCCAAAGTCGGATATCCACCCTGCCTTTTACATCGCGTAAGGCATCCTCTGGCGTCTCGGCAACAGTGAAGTGAATGTCGCTGACTGTGTTATAGGCTCTGGATAGGCCTGAGTGCCAGCGTCATTCTCTTCAACAAATGGGTCTTGCATACTGCCAAGTTTGGTGAGCATCTCGCGTCAAATACAATATAAAAACCACACATGCTAACGTGATATACAGAATTTCGTGCGTCCTGATGTGAAGAAAGCCCCATTACAATTGGTACTGACCATCGCCAGCTTTGTTCCTCACAACATGGCACATGGTGTTCGCCACAGCCATGACCCAAGGTCTGGCCAAGTTCACAAATGTCCTGGACTCCCGCCACAAGGTCCCCATGGACACAAACACCTACATGAAGGCCATCGTCCCAATCGGTCTGTTCTTCAGCTTCAGCTTGATCTGCGGAAATGTCGCCTACCTGTACCTCTCCGTCTCCTTCATCCAGATGTTGAAGGCTCTTAACGCCGTGGTCACACTCCTTGCCACCTGGGCTTTCGCCATCTCCCCACCCGACATGAAGAAGTTGGCCAACGTCTCCGCGATTGTCGTGGGTGTGGTTGTCGCCTCGTACGGAGAGATCCAATTCGTCATGACCGGATTCCTCATCCAACTTGCTGGCATTGTTTTTGAGGCCGTTCGTCTGGTCATGGTTCAGCGCATTCTCAGCGCTCCCGAGTTCAAGATGGACCCACTGGTCTCGCTTTACTACTACGCTCCGGCCTGCGCGGCCATCAATGGCGCCTTCACTCTCTTCATCGAGGTTCCAAAGATGCACATGACCGACATCTACAACGTGGGTGTCATCACCTTGCTTCTTAACGCTGTTGTCGCCTTCGGACTCAACGTGTCTGTGGTTTTCCTCGTAAGCATTGCAGATGTCCCCAATCACGGCTCACATACTGACTACTACAGATCGGCAAAACCTCCGCTGTTGTCCTCACTCTTTCGGGTGTGCTGAAGGACATCCTCCTGGTCGTCGCATCGATGCTCATTTTCCGGGATCCAGTCTCGCCCATTCAGTTCTTTGGCTACTCCATTGCTCTCGCTGGTCTCGTCTACTACAAACTTGGCGCTGATGGGGTCAAGACTTTCGCACGAGACGCTCAGCTCTCATTGGGCTCGGTTCGCCAGAACCACCCTGCACGTGCGAAGGCTCTCATCCTCGGTGGTGTCTTTGTGACATTGATGATTGTCACATGGTTTTTGTGGCCGTCTATCCCGACCGAATACAAGAAGGCACCATTCGGTACCACCAGCTGAATTCGAAACAGTCTCAGCTAGCTGGCACTTCCTGAAGCTGGCTTTGAAGTACTGTCCCATACTCTTTCGACAAGTACAAGACAAGCATTTCCTGGCGTTTGGCGGTGCTGAAAGCACACATAGATCCGCATATCGGTACTGGCGTTGAAAAAGAAAAGAATAACCCTAATATGTACATATATTGATCCACTGCCGACACGCAACCATTTTCAGTCTCTACAGCGCTTTCAACTTCTCTAGCAGGTCCTCCATGCTATTCGCATATAAATCGAACTGCCCGAACACAGCTGTGCATGGATCGTGCTCCTCGAAATCCAAGTATGCCGTCTTGAAGCCAGCCTTCCTCGCCGCGAGCAAATCCCACGCATGCGCAGCAATAAACCACCTCTCACCATCCGCCTCGCCCGCTCCTCGACTCGTCAAATGTCGGTGCGTATTCTCATACACTTTAGGATCCGGCTTCGCCACTCGAATTTCATCACAACTCAGCAAATGCTCCGCGTCCAGCTCAATCCCAGCAAGCTCGTAATACTTCAAACTCGTCTCCTTGCCGCCATTCGTCACACCGTAAATATCCCATCCAGCCTCCCTCAACCCATCATAGCATTTCTTCAGACCCGGCCGGGCTTGCAACTTGACCATCTCGGCCATGACGGCGCTGATGTCTTCGTCGCTGATGATGTCGGCGGGAATGTCGACCACGGCACACGCCCGTTTGAAAGTTCCCTTGAGGACCTGCGCGATGGGCGTGTACGTGCCGCAAAGCGAGGTGTAGGTGAAGTCTCTCTGGGCGGCGAAGAACCAGCCGAAGAAGAGCGCTGAAGGATCGAAAGATCGAGTACGGGATTTGGGGATCTTGGGTCCTAGGCGGGCTTGGATTGTGTTGATGGCGGTTTCGAAGCCGAAGCAGGTTCCTAGGACGTCGAAGGAGGCGGATTTGGGGGCCATTGTGGTGGTGGGTTGTCAATGGATGAGATTTGTATGTCTCTACTGTGTCATGTGTGAAGATGTTCAGGTTGATGGATGGCAATGCTCTAGATTTCGTTCTAGGATCTCATTATTATTAGTGTCCTTTTGGCCGACATTGTGGACTCCAGGACATGAAAGTCGGCCACCAATGACGCATCGAGGTGAAGCTTCTCACCTCGAAGCTTGGGATTGATTCCTCACTCGTACATCCCTTCTGCCACGCCGAAGCATAGCAAGCTCTCTCACAGTCAAAATTCACGAAGTACAGGACAGACTGCTGTTCTTGATGAGGAACTTCGCTATCTTAAAACCTAGCGAAACAGGAGACTCTGAACCAAGACTGTTCCATCCTCGAACCTAACTAGCTTTGCTCGCCGTTCTCGTCTGCAACGCCACAGCCTCCTCTGCAAATGCCTCTGGGATATATCCCTTCACACCATCGTGGCTATTGAATGACTGTACGAACGATGACAGTCAAGACCCAGCCTGGGGAATCACAGTCGCCACGGCAAACAACACGATCCGAACCTCGCTTTGGTACGATACAGCAGGCGAGAACTACAGCAATGACCTGGCTCTAGAATGCGACGTGTGCGCCTTTCCCATCTCCAAGTGAGTTCCTCTTGCTATCTTTCAGCCGCGATGGCCACCCCCTCTCAAAGAATCGTTTGGATTCTTAGTCGCTCCTCACCCGCCCGTACACCACATCGATGAGGTATTGTGTCTCACCACCATAAACCACCCGTCTTCTCCTCACCCGCCCATCAACCCTCACACCATGGAAGACCATGCTTCCGAGCCACCAGAACCATCCCTCCCGCAAAACCACAAGCAACCGCGATCGTCGTTCCCAAGCTCACCACCCTGACCAAATCGCTCTTGAAGCTGACCCGAGCGACTTCCGTGGTGAGGAAGAGGGTCCAGTATGTCGTGTACATGACGCTGAGAGCCTCCCAGAGGGACCATTCATCGCCGCAGGATTTCTGGAGGGCGAGGATGGGAGGCGCGAGGATGGGGAGGGTGAAAGCGATGAGGATGAGGTGCGTGGGGAGGGTGTAGTCGATGATGGTGCCTCGTGGTGGGGCGTCGGTGGTGGTGGTGTCTATGTTCTCTGAGGTCGTAGTTATGGGGTCGGTCTTATTTGTTTGGAGGTAATTGTTCGCTTCGAGGTCATGGTTCAGGCTTGTGCCTGGCGCTTTCTGGGTAGTATTAGCTAGTGATAATATATCATTCGACCGGTGCCGGTATTGACTTGCCTGTTCGCCCTTGAAGACGTACTTGAGCGGCATGACGAATAGTTGTTCGTCTTTCTCGACAGGCACCGGCATGTGCGAAGGCAGAGAAGTGTTGGGGGAAATAAGAAATTGCGAAGCGCAATATGAAGTTGTCAAGCTGCGCCATGTGATTCTTGGCGTCAACACCCAAGTGAGAAAGACATGTGAAGTGGCCATTCACTGCTTTTCATTGTATGATCTATCACTCTAGATCACATGCCACCAGATGCGAAGTTTAGCCACATCTACCGTTTTCCTTCCGCTGGATTGCTTCAGCATCGACCCTTTCCATACAATCACCCTCCACAGGACCTCACCAGCTCCCAACAAGCAAGGTCCCTCAACAACGAGCACAACCCTCTACTTCTCATTCGCAACAACAGCGCTCGTAACACCCAGCGAGACCAAAATAAGCACGATACTCATGACTCCCATGAGAGCCATCCTCGTAGCGTTCTTGTTGACGAAGAAAAACCTCAACATCTCGGTGAACGCTATGGTCATCCACATGTCTAGGTACAGCAGCAGCGGCATCGTCCAGATGGAGTGGTCGAGGACGAGGGCGCAGGTGAGGGCTGGGATACAGAGGAGGCTGAAGAAGGCCATGGTTGCCCAGTAGGAGGGTGTCGTGCCGACGAAGGGTTCGCGGATGAGCTCGAGGGGGGTCATGGGCGTGGGCTTGTCGGCTGCTTCGAGGTCGGAGGTGATGGATGAGGACTCGGTGGCCTGTAGATATGTCAGTGAAAGTCATCATCGAGTGTGAGATATCGATCAGTGCGTACCTTGATGCCGACCTCGACTTTTTCGTCTGCCATGGTGATTGCAAGGGGCCCGTCGATATCGTTGTGTCTGGGTGAAGAGGAGAGAAGAGAGGAGACGGAGCAGCAAGGCGAGCAGAAGATAGATAAGCCCTCCCCTCCCCTCCCAAATACTCTCCGAAGGTCTCCGTGCGGAGATACCATGAGGGGGGTGTAGTTACTAATGACATGTCGAGTCCTGAGTCTTTGGGAGGTAATCAATAAGCTTTCGACCCGGATGAACAGATTTGGATGGAGGAGACCATACGCCCGGTGCCGCTTGGACGTATCACTTGCGGAGCCGCTGTCGTCAAGTGCTCGTCATGTTGAAGTTTCGTAAGTGATGGCCTATATGGTGGTGGTTAGCTCTGTGAGCTGGGAGCCAAGAGATTAACAACCCTGTGTGACGTTGGCACGAGGTCTCTCTCGACTCGTTCTGACACTTGAGTTGACAATGTGCATCGCATGAGGTCTTCCTGATCATTGTGACCGTCCGGCAAGAAGCGCAACATTCAGATCTGTCGCACCTGTCAAGTGGGGTCGTATTGTTCTGGCTGAGACTGATATTGGAAGTTCCATAAACCGAGGCTTTGGCCTGGGTTGTCCATTTCTTCGTGTTCAAAACAATAGGGTATCATTCACATTCCACCAACGCCTCGCTTCTAAAGCAAAATGACATAGAGCCGACAGCCTCACTGTCGCCTATTCTGCTGCAGCATTGTACTTCTCGCCGGCGTTCTTGAACAGCTCCTCCTGCATTTTCAGCAGCTCATCGTGACCCATACCGCTCTGCTCGATCTTCGTCTGCTTCCGTTCTCGATGCTGTTGTAACTGTCAGCACACCATCTGTAATGCCTCCCATCTGCACTCACCGCTGCCGCGCTCTTGAACTCATCCGCCACTCTCAACAGTTCGGGGACGTACTCCCCAAATCCTAGCTCTTCAAGCGCTTTCGTAATGTGTTCGCATGCAATCGTCTTCTTCGCGTCTTTCTCCGCAATCTCGTTCGCCTCGCTCGTTAACATGGTGATGAACTCGACGCAGCACTCGATCAGCACGTCGCGCGTGTCTTTGGCGAAAGTCATGTTGTTGCCGCTGCCATCGTTCAGGGTGGGGTTGGTCGCGAGGACCTCGTTGATGATCTTTTGGACGGTTGCTGAAGAAGGCTGGTTAGCACCTTTCCCGTAATAGGTTGTGGCAGCTCCTCCTCGCGCCATGACTTTGTTGAAGAAGTCGATCGCGAAACCAGCTGCTGCTGTGTAGATGAAGGTCCAGGCATACCTTTTGGCAGAGAGAGGTCGTCGTTGCCTACGAGTGAATATCTTGTTAGCATGTGAAGGCATGTGAAGGGGAGTTGTGCTTGTGGTGAATCATTCGGTGCTGAGACTCACCTCCGAATTCCTTGTCTGACATGTTGAGCGATTATTGATGGATGTGTCCTTGAAAGTGCGAGTAACTGGAAAAGAGAGTGTGCAGTACTCGACTTCGAAGGTCTGTGGTGGTGGTAGGTGATGTGCATGGAGGGACGCGGAGGTTGCCGGCCGCCGCGGGAATGCCAGCAGCAAAAGCTCAATTTCGCACCCGACGAGACTCCTTCTTCTCTTCACCAACACACACCCCAAATGTATGTATCACTCTCACCCTCCACCCTCCCCATTCTTTACATGATGACCATTGTCGCCCCTATCATACCACAAATGTGGTGATTGACACGTGTAGCCAAAGCACCGGCTGATCTCCCCTCCTTCCACCACTTCTACATCTTGAGACATCTCTCAAGTATATACTGACTGATGGTCTCTCAGGTTCTTGGTCGAGCTCCACGCTCTCGTCAATACAATCTTTGCTCACGGGCTGACGCGGATGTGTGGAGTGGAAAGAGCTGTGACTAACGCCTCAGGTGCTGGAAACCTAGGACGAGGCCCGATTTCACACGTAAATTTGTGCGCTGTCGCTGCGACTGCTCTCTCTGGAGCTTTGAAAGGTATGCAAAGGCTTTGGACGAACACCGGCACCCCAAATACCATGATGAGCAACAAAGAGTACTATCAAATACCGACATTTCATGACGGAACAAACTTTGGTTCGATTACCTGATACCGCGACACACATTCACATTTCAAAGGCTCTCGTAGCGTGGACAGCGCTGACCGCCAACAGGTAAACACCTCTCGATCTCTCAATACTGGCCCTTCATGTTTTCTTTGGTAAGTCTATGCTCTACATTTATTCGTCTTCTCGCATGATGCAACAAAACATTCCATGCTAAAACTGATGGTCTTCGGACCTCTGTTGAACAAAATGTATGCTTTTCATCTTTCAACTGACCAGCACCATCTTCCTCGAGCAACCGTATCTGACCCTGGAGATCATGGCTGACGAGTCACAGTGTTTCTCTGCTTTTTGTCGCCCTTGATATCGCCATCTTGTCCATCGTTTATAGCCCATATCAATACATCATTTTCATCCTTGAAATACCTTCAGCTCTTCTGCGTTCCACGTCAAGAACTTTCCACTCAGGTCCTTCGGCGCATCCAGTACCAACTTCGCCATGACGTGCCCTGGTTGCTCCGGCTTCAGCAGTCCTCCTGTCTTCTTCAGCTCCGCAAACTTGGCAGCATCTGTCGGGTCCATCACTTGCTCATGCTTCTCTCGGATGTCCCGCTGCATCTCGGTGTCCACCACGCCGGGCCGTATCGAGATGCTTGTGATATCCTTCTCTTCATTTGCCAGAGTCATCGCCAAATGATTCAAAGCGACCTTGCTCGAACCGTACGCTCCCCAAGTCGGATACGCATTGGTCGCTGCGCCAGAAGATGTCAAGAGGATCTTCCCCTTGGATAACCGAAGTGGCGGAATAGCAGCTTTGACGAGAGAAACAGCCGAGAAGAGGTTGATCTCGTAGGTTGCTCTCCACTCTTCGGCAGTGGTGTCTGCGAGCTTCTTGACCGGGTCGAGGACGCCATGGTTTACAATGAGGCCATCAAGACTCTGCCATCTCTCAATGGCAAGATCGACAGCCTTTTGGCCCAGAGAAAGATCGGACAGATCGCCGGCCAGGACAGATACCTGGGATGGGTATTGCTTCTCGAGCTCTCGCAGTGGTCCCTCGCTCCGGGCGACCACGACAAGCTTGTGCGAACGCTGAAGCAGGTAATGCGCAATGGCCAGGCCGATCCCGCGAGAAGCACCCGTCAGCACAATGACTTTGGACATTGTTGCTCGTCTTGTCAAAAGTTTGAGAGTACAAGCTGCAGCTCTGGTGACGGCACGCGAGAAGGATCGAAGGAATTTCACGTCCCTGACCCCACTTTGGCTCGCGCCCCGCTTCTTGGGCAATGCAATCCTGTCCAACACAATACGCGGATGGATACAGTGGCATGGTGAGAGATGGAGTGAAGTAGTCACTGGTATTTGGGAGAGTAAGTCGTCGATCGCTCGTTCGTTGGAACCCCTTCAATCTGCTTTATTCAGTGCCCAGCCTATCTTCCCCATCAACCTGCTCTGAAGATATATCAAACATAATGAAACAGGATCCTACTACGACAGACGATGTATCCTCCAGCACCGCCGCAGACCTGGCGAGAGCGTTTACCAACTTTTCCAATCCTGCGGACAACAATAATCGCTGCAGCACAGTCATCATCGGCGCCGGTATCATAGGCTGTGCAACGGCATACTATCTCTCACGCTCCGAGAACACGCGACCCGATACGATCCACCTAGTCGAAGCCAGCACCGAGCTGTTCTCCTCTGCATCTGGGAAAAGCGGAGGCTTCGTCGCCGAAGACTGGTTCGGACCCGCGACGGCGAGTCTAGGAGAGTTGAGTTTTCGATTGCATAAAGAGCTGGCGGAAGAGTTTGGAGGTCGCGACCAATGGGGGTACAGCAGGAGCACAGGAACGAGTCTAGTTGACGGCGGCGACGGCGTTGAAGGAGGAGATTGGCTAGCAGAGGGGGGCAGTCGAGCACAAGCATCAGGGGTGCACGAATATACAGGGCACGACACAGGTCCCAGCTGGTTGAAGAGAAGAAAGGGAGACACTGTCGAGTCTCTGAGCGAGCCCGGTGGCGTAGCTCAAGTCGACCCTCTCCGCCTCTGCAGATTCCTCCTCAAGCAGTCGATCCTTCAAGGCGTCCGTCTTCACCACCCTGCTCGAGCCGTGAAGGTCGCTCGCGACACGGAGGGAAACCTCTCCGGCCTTCGCGTCAAGCACTCCAACGGCTCACAGTTCAAGATCCCATGTACTCGTCTCCTGATTACCGCGGGAGCATGGACGCCCCGCGTGTTTGATGACCTCTTCCCATACGCCAGTCTCTCGATCCCCGTCACTCCGCTCGCAGGACATAGTCTCGTCGTACGCTCGCCTCGATGGACGAGCCAGCACGAAGAGGAAGCGAAGGGATGCCATGCTGTTTTCACGACCATGTCAGAAGGGAGAGGGACTTTCAGCCCGGAAATCTTCTCACGGGTCGGTGGGGAGATTTATATTGCTGGACTGAATAGTGATTCCATCACGTTGCCGGAAAGCCCAGAGAAGGCAGTAGTTGATGAAGCGGCTGTTGAGGAGTTGAAGAGAGTCGCAGAGATATTCCTCGGCCAAGACGGGACGGATGTCAGTGATCTCGAAGTCGTTCGGGAAGGTCTATGTTTTCGGCCCGTGACGAGGAGAGGGGTGCCGATATTGACGAAGGTCAGTGATGAGTCTTTGAACGCGGCTGGAGTTGGAGATGGAGGGATCAGAACGTTGGGGTCGCCTGATGGGGGAGTGTACGTATGTGCAGGTCATGGGCCTTGGGGAATCAGTCTGGGACTGGGGACTGGGAAGGTTTTGAGTGAGTTGTTGGAGGGAGAGAAGTTGAGCGCTGATGTTAGGAGTTTGGGGATGGAGTAGTGACACTATACGACAGTTCTGTCCCTGGCACCCCTTTAACCGTCAATTCAACCTACAACACCCACATCTCCCTCAGCAAATCTTGATGGGCGACCTGGAAGGATCGCGCGCCAGCCTTTAGCTGCAGCTCACCTTCCCACGTGCTCGATCTTCAATCCACCAAAAGTCAACTTGCTATGATGAGCTTCCGGGCCCAGCTTTCTTTGGCAGCATTAACTGCTCGCTGTCGAGAGCAACACGAAGCAGCATGTCAACCAAAATCTCAATGGACTCGCTCTCCGTCTATACAGCCTTTCCAGCACGATGATACTGCACTGAGCAGGACCACGATCCCCAACACACCATTCCCTAGCCTCCGAAAGGGTACAGAAGCCCCTCAACATGCCCCTCGAAATCCACCCCGTAACGCAACCCGACATCCCCAAACTCATCGAAATCGAATTCGCCACCTACGCCAACTCCCCCTCGTCGCAAATCCTCCGGGGCCGAGACGCAACCAACGTCGAACACCACCTGCGAGCACACCGTCGCTACAACGATCTCCTATCCCAACCCCAGACGAACGTCTTCTACAAGATCGTCGACACAGAGCGTGTCGACCGTCCAGTAGCCAACGACCCTTTAGCCGCTGGTAGTGGCGAGCCATGTCCCCAAGGCGAGATCATCGGATGGTATCGCTACGAGGTCTTCCCACAGGGCGTGTCGTCCAGCTTACCTCGTGAGTATGGCTTTGAAGAGTACCCCTGGCCCGTCTCGCCCCCCTCCCACCTCGCCATCGTGAAGGACTACTGGTCCTCCATGGAACGCGACAAGCGCTCCTGCGTTGGGAGTCGTCCTCATATCCGTAAGTCTCCGCCTCCCCCACACTCCTCACGACTAACTAACCCCTCCCTCCCATCAAGACCTCTCCCTCATCGCCATCCACCCCTCCCACCAACGCCGGGGCGCGGGCACGCTGGTCCTGGAGCATTTCTGTCGGGAAGTCGATACAAGGTATGGGGGGTTGTTGGCGTTTTGTCAGGCTTCGAGGGAGGGGAGGGGGCTGTACGAGAGGTTTGGGTTTGGGGTTAGGGGGGTTAGTGAGTTTGAGACGGCGGGGATTGGGGTTGAGGGTGTGAGGGTTTTGTGGGGAATGGTTAGGGAGGGGGACGGGGGTGAGGGAGGTGATGTTTGGGGGTTTTGATGGGCTGAAGCGTCTCGGACTTCTTTCACGTCGAGAACATTCGAAGGGTATGCGATCATGCGCACCATGTATGGTGTCGCAAGGCGACGCGGATGTCCGACTGAGTGAGTCCATCAGCCCATGACCTGCCTGCTAGCGAGAACAGAGGAAGGATGTGCATTTACGTATTGAACTGCTTGAGTAAGTGAATGCCTATAAATCGACACGAGGTCATGCAGATGGCTGATATGACTAGCACAGCACCTTCCAAGCAAGCCACAGAAATATGACGCACACCCTTTCGCACGGAGAAGTGTATCATTCCTCAAAGATAAAAGTCTTTCCACAGCGTAAACTGCACCATATAAATCGCCTTCCAACGCCCTATTTCCTCCCAGGGATATCACTATCAATCCAACCAAAACACATAACCACACCGCCTCTCTCTCCCCCTCCATATCACTCCACCTCCCTCACCCTCACCCACTCACTTCCTCCCACCACTCCCCATCCTCCCCAACCCAACCCTCTCCATCACAGCATCCAACCGCCTGACACTCCCCTTCGACGACGACGACGACGAGCTCGACGACGCCGTGGACGTAGCAGACGCCTTGCGAGTCATTTCGTTGAGTTGTTGTTGTTGTTTTGGGTTCGGGATCGTGCGGTGCTGGCATCGCGAGAGTTCGAGGGTTTGGGGTTGGCTGTTGTTGTTGGCGGTGGTGGTGTTGCATTGGTGGTTGAGGTGCCGGTCGGCGTGTTGGCGGCAGTCGAGGGTGAATTTGTCGGAGGGGTTCATTTTTTTCTTCAGAGGGGAGGGGGTTTTGTTGAGGGTTGTTAAGGTTTGTCGAGGATTGTTAAGAATTGTTGGGTGGGTTGATTATTAGTGTTTGGTGTTTGGTGTTGCTTGGTCAATGTTGGTTGTTCAGAGTGACCTGTGTTGTATAGGTAGGTAGGCTTTCGTCAAATCCTCTTATCTCAAAAGAACCACCATCTCACCTCCCACACACGATCCCCTTCCCTTATATACATACGTCCGGGAGTACCCTCTCCAATATTCGTATAAGCCTCACACCACAACAGTCGCGATACCGCATTCAATCGAGCCTGCCGACCCTCGCATCGCCTGCTGCGGCCCTAGCGGCCGGTCCCCTCGGCGCAGGGCTGACGATACCTGGTACTCACCAACCCCCATCGACTGAGAGTTTAACACGATTCCACACCCAATGGCTACACCTCTGCGACGAAACCCTTTCCTCGGGAGGGCTGAGTGACCTTCAGAGTTTCTGCTCGTTCGGCCCGAAGGCTGAGCTTGCTTGTTCCGGGGAGAAGAGGATGTGCGTTCGGGTATGTCACGGGTAACGAACCACGCGTCCTTCACTTCCTGCGGACCACGTCATGTTCGGCGCCGATGGTATGGTGAGTGCTTTGGTTGCTGTTTATTTTATGGACGGGCTGCTCGGCCGATTTCGGGAGATTCCAGTTTCGCGGACATGACTGGATGGCGATGTCGTCTCATGGCTTTGGAAACTGCTCAGCAGGATGTTGGTTAGCTGTTGCGGTGGTTTTGCTGGTGACTGATGCGGGCAGATGGTCACGAACTGCAAGTTGATAGCAAATTCAGGGTTTGTGGGATCAATGCGCCTCAGTGCAATGGCGAATAGCGTGCGATCTTCAACAACACAGCATGACTGATCAGGAAAGCGTCACGCGAAGGGTGAGCAAAGAGGAAACTGGAGCGCTTGAGCTGCAAACAGTTGATACGCTTCTCGTCTTCGTCAGCTCACTCTCCTAGTGCTGTCGTAAGGCTGAATCTCCTCACCTCATTGGAAACAAATAGCACAAGAAACATATACGTATCTCTCAAAAATTTGACGGACCAGAAAGCCGAAGTCTCGAGTCCCTTCGACCCCTTCGATCACATCAGCCGTCTCCCGCAGAAGCTGCAAATCAGTCGTCGGAATCGCTTCATTCGCATCAATCATCAAAAACTTCATCGTTTGCACGTTCGGGAATCTGCCGCCTCGCCTGTCCGTCGTAGTAAGAAATCGCAGGGGGCCGGCTCGCGGTCCTGACCACGGTCTATCAACACTTGAAAGGGGGTATCGTTGCCGGACCCGTTTGCTCCCAGAACACCATCATACGCCTTGTCGTTGTCGTCAGAGCTGTGCCTGTCTTCGCTTCACTTGCGAAAGGCATGCCGTAATCGAAACGCCAGCAACATTGGTGTCTGCTGGAAGTTGTGGTAGTTTTGGGCTTGTGAGGGTACTGGTTCGCCCTTGAAAGCTGGTTCTCGCATGGCGTCAAGCACGAGTCCGTTTCGGAAGAATGGATCCATGAGTGACCAGAACGGTCGGTGGAAGAACCACTGCGACTGTCAGCTGGAATTCATCATCATGTGAAGGGTGCTCAGCTTACAAGTGGTTCTGGCTGTCCTCGAACAGCTTCGCTCTTGGTTGGTGGGATGTTGAGGTATTGTGGCACTTTGATGTATGTGCTCAGTTGCTGCTTGCCGGTCTTAGGGTCCTCAAAGATCTCCATGCCGCGATGGCCTGCGGGCTTTGAGAAGGCCGGGTGAAGGTCTACGATGACGATTCTATGAAAGTCAGTGAAAGCCATGTGTTAGGAGTTTGAACTTGCTCACCGTCCTTCAGGCTTCAGCATCAGTGGCAAAGCCTTGGCAAGCGGCTCGATATCTGGCAGAGACTTGACTGTCGTGCTGATCGTGATAATGTCGTATGGTCTTGATGGCTTGTTAGCGAGTACATGAAAGTGGCAAACGACGAACTCACTCCTTGTCCTTCATATACTTCTCCATCATTGGGTAGTCCATCAGGTCAATATAGTCGTACTCGATCTTGCCAGACAGCTTATCCCGCTTCGCTCGTTCCCTGCCCTGTTCGAGCATTGCCTGAGAGAAATCGAGACCGGTCACGTGCGCGCCTTGCTTTGCGAACATGCGCGCGAGAATACCACTGCCAGCGCCCAGGTCGAGAACCCGCTCACCGGGTTGCCACTGCGCGAGTTCTTTGACCTGGGGCTCGCCTTCAGTTGGCAGACCGGCGAGCTCAGCGACGACCGGCAGAAGACACTGGTTGAACATGTCATTGCCGTCGGCGCCCTCGTGGCTCTGGAAGGTCTCCCACTGCTCGGCCATGTGCTCCCATGCCTGCAGGTTGTCTTGGCTGTAGCCGGAGTGGTCCTCGCTGGCGAAGCCATTGAGGAGTTGCGGATTATGCGTTTCGTTGGAATTGCCCATGGTGTTGTGGTTTCTGGGAAAGTGTCCAGCGAGGAGTGAGATTCTGGAAACTTGGTCGTTCAAGAGCTGCATCGGGAGGTGAAGTTGCGACAAAGAGGCTTTAAATACCCCGCGTTCCGGAAGCGTTCACGGGAGCAAGTGTTTGGGCGATGTGGTGTCTCATTGTGTTTGTCGCGACATGCGACCGCTCTATTATCCTCTGGCAATGGCAGATGCAAGAGTCACTCAGGCACGCAGCGTGAACTGCGGTGATGCTCAGCCTCAGCGACTGATTGCTAGCGCATGCTGGCTGCAGGCAGCTCGTGAGCACCAGGAGCTTGATGCTTTGCCTGCAGATGACCACACGGCACACCACGAGTGAGTGGGCGGCCTCTCACACGCCGCTAAACGCGCGCCCCAGTCTGCCGGTGGCTGTGGGGGAAAAACCACATCTCGTGCAACACCGAGATACCAATCGAGAGGAGAGCGATTAGCTTCCTGTCACGGGCGGCTCCAACGAGGCGGAGGTCTCTCCTAGCACCATTTCACCCATTTCATTGACCCCCGAGCGGTAATTTTGATGAACGCCCCCCAACCTCTTCGCTGGCTAGGCGCAGCGCAAAGGCCGCCGGTGGGCGTTGGAGCTACAAGCGTCAAGCTCCTCAGGCCATTGCGCGCCCGTGCACCTGCAGTAGAACAACCTGAGCATGGCCTCCGGTGAGAAGACGCTCTCGCCCAGGTCGTTATAATTTCTCCACTACCCTTTTCCTCTTATTACTCAATCCTCCAGCAATGCCATCCTCAACGATCCCCCTATCGAGCACAACTCCCTAATCCAGAAGTTCGTCTTGTGCCTGGCGGGGATCCCTCCCAGCGCTAACGCCGAGCGCCAAATTCTCACACGGCCGGCCACCAACCATGGGTCAGTCTCAGTCCACCGACAATGCCACAGGCCAGGTTGAAAAGGATTGTGAGGCAGCGTCAGAGGGGAATCCCATTCCTGCGTCAGACCGCCCAAGATGTCTGCAAGATGAAATCGACGAGCTAGACAGCAAACAGCGCGAAGATTGGATCCGCTGGAAGGGCAACGAACACGCCATCATCCCGCATACCGATGCCGCCGGCGACCAGTATTGCATTGGCGATGCGTACGAGGGCATCAAGACCAAGGACCAGTGGGAGATCCTCAAGTATGTCATGAGCACCAAAGTCCGCAGAATAACGAACGCTGACAGTGGCAAACCGCAGCCCAGGCCCGTATCTTCAATACATCAAGCACCTCTCCAAAACATGGCCACATCTGGAGTATTTGGGTCATTGGATGGAAGTGAGTGCGGCGCCACCGAAGTGGAGATATCTCCAACATTTCCCCGTCGAGCGCGCCAACCGTGCTAAACGAGTCAACGTTTCCGTGATTGACTACACCAACAATGAGGCCAAGCTGCGTGACTTCGACGATGCGGCGCAGCTCAAGGAAGGCCTCGATGCCGCACCGCAGTCAACCGAACATGCGCAGGTACGACTCATAGTCGCAGAGGATCTAAGTCGCGACCTCGTGGATACGCTTGGATCGTATTATGACATTGACCCACTCTTCTTCCTCTCGCATATCGGCGACTATCTCTTCCACAACACTAGAGATCCTTGGGCGGAACTGCCCAGTCTCGATCTAGAGGCCCGACAACGGCCTCATTTCTGCCTGCAGTCTTTGCGCGGCCGCTACTTTGGCAATGAGACAGACTTCGAAAAGGCCGAATTCGAGAGCGGCACGTTCAACGTACTCCGTCGTCTCGACAGTGACCGAAGCCGCAAGAGGTTGCAGGATGGTCTGTTGGACCGCAAGAACGCGAGCGTTGTCCTCACGCGGTCCAAGACCTCGTTATGGGTCAAGCCTAGGAAACAGGGTGAGCCGGTGACTGGTGAGTTGCGCCGCCTGCATGTGATCTATCCGTACTGACTTGCATAGCCATTCTCCTTGTGGACCCAACCGTCAGCACAGGCAACGCTCTCTGGGGTGGCTATCGTCCTTTCGATCCCACACCATCGATGGCACAATGGAAGCAGGATCCCGAGAAAGAATTTGAAGCCCCAAAACGTGTCAAATTCTTCGACGACATCAAGTACTGGTGCGGAAGATTAAGCCCCCAAGACTTGGACCTCGTCAACCATGACCCTCGATGCATCGCCCTTCCAGTGTACAAGATGATCCTCGCCGACTGGCTCACCACCCTCAAGTACATGATCGCCCAGCTCGGTAAGATTGAATGGGAGTTCGAGAGACCTCACTGGGGCGAAAAGCCCAGCGACATCGACTCTTTGCTCAAAAAGCTGTCACCATGGAGACGCAATGTGGGCTACTATCAGACCATGATAGGAGAAGCCATCGCCCGCCTCTACCCACCAGAAGTACGAGCGCCTCTCCACGCTCTAGGCGCAACCAGCGTACCCAACGGAACCGACCCGGCAGCGGCACACTTTTACATACCCGATAACCACGACAACGGCGTCTCCGCCTTGTGGGTCGACTTCCGTAACGTCAAGCGCCAAATCGACGAGATCCAAGTTCGACTAAAGAGCATCGAGACCATGGCGACCAACGGAATCAACATCGAAGAGTCCCGCCGCGCCGTCAAACAAAACAAGAACCTCGCCCGCCTGACCTTTTTAGCCACCATCTTCATCCCCCTCAACTTCACCTCCAGCTTCCTCAGCATTTCCCCCGATTTTGCCTCAGCCCATCAATCGATCTGGCTGTTCTTCGCCATTGGTATCCCCGTTACCCTCCTATCGTTGGCTGTGGTTGATCTCACCCACCCACAAAAGAAAGGCTTCCTGCATCGACAGTACAGAAAACAAAAGAAACGATTCGGACCGAAGAAAGAGTCCGAGCGTGCCATAGACGAACGACGACGGGAACAGCGGCCCCCTTTGAAGAAGATGCTGACGACGGTGCCTTGGTTGAATAATACTGAGCGACAGGATACGAGGTTGGATTGATCTTTTCTTAACGAGTTTTCATGAGCACGAGCATGATGGGAAAATGGAAAATGCATGATGATGGACCCCTTACCGGAGCATTTTTGTTGCAAGCGATTTATCTCGGATGTTGTTGGGCATATCGAGCGGAACATGTACTTGGCACGACTTGGATGAAAGATTAGAATGTGTTCAACGAACTTTAACGACATGATGGAATGCGCGGATCTAGACCACAATAACAACACTGGGACTTTTACTTTTGACTTTACTTTCACTTCTTGACATCGCCGCGTCTCGCTCTCTTCAAACTCTCGCGTGAGTTGCGTGTCAGGCATTGAAGTGCGGTCATCGCATCTCGTACCGCGTGTCATGCAACTGCGCCTCATCAATAGCTGCTCGGCCTGATAGCAGGGGTACGCCTGATAGAAATGCCTGAGACTATGAGGTCGTCATGTCGAAAGGAAAGTATGACTTATGTCACGATGTTTGCGGAAAGTGTATCACGTTGACTGAGGCAGTGGAAGTGGTAGAAGTCAGGACTTTGCTCGAAGGAGGCGAGTATGATGGCGAGAGGAGAGGAGCACCGGGTCTTTCAGGCACACCTTCCTTTTATCTTCGACTGAGGTGCTTACACTGAGGCAAAGAACTGGATTCTAGGAATTCACCGGAACCAAACAGATATCGTGTGGCATTGGCTAACAAAAGAGAACCATACCGGTGTTCTGTCGTTCTCGTGATAATTACTCCTAAACACGTCCTCAAAGTCCAGGCAGGCCTCCCGTCTGACCCATCCACTCCACTCCATGCCCCGCAGTCAGTTTTCCTCCTTCAATACAGCCTCTCCATCATCATCGACCGCATCTACCCGTCATCCCTACTCTCCACTTCTTCATGTCCTAGCCCTACTCCTTCCAAGCCGCACAAACCTTCGGCTCCCTCTTAACCTTCGCATCCGTCGGGAGAATTTCGCACGCGAACGCCCAGCGCTTCCACGCGGGGCATGCCTGAGCGGGCTCGGCTTCTCTGAGCATGAGGGCCGCGGCGGTGCTGTTGCTGCTGCTGCTGCTGGTGTCGGTGGTTGCTGGGTGCGAGCAGGCGGGTTCGCCGATGCCGAGGAGGGGGAGGGCGATGGGGAAGGCGGTTGTGGAGGCCGCGAGGGTGAGGAGGATGGGGGCGAGGAGTTGCATTTTTGAGGGTGGACGGTTGGTTGGTTGGTAGGTGGGTTTGAAGAGAGGTTTTGGTTGTTGTTAACGAGTGGACGCCGTGGACTGGAGTCTCGTCAGCGAAGGCATACACGCAAGTCGAGATGTGTAGTCTACTCACACAGGCAAGACAATATCACAACGAAACTAGTAGAGAAAGATAAAAGATAGCAAGTCGTAGTGCCTTCACTAGTCGACACGAAAGTAGATAGTATAGTCGACGAAAAGAAACACAACCATCCCTACCTGCGTCCCTCCCTCTCTTATACGCAAAGCGCGTCCATCTCACTTGGCCGTTATAACGTCCACATGAGTTGTCTTAAGCCATGAGCCGCGACACGTGTTGAGCCTTTCCTGACTTTCTCTTTCGCTCTCTTCCGTCAAAGCGGTGCCTAATCATAATATGCATCGTGCCAACGGCTGGGAGGATCTGATTCATTCGGGGTTTTTGGAGTCATGGACTTAAGGCTTGAGGTGGTTGGCGAGTCTGGGGAATGGTCATTAAGACGGCGCGTCCTTGTCTTGTCGATGTAGTGGTTGGTATCGACTCGATCTCGATACTCTGCATGTTGGAGATGATGTCGTAGTGTGTTGACGAGATGAAGTCGTTGGCCCCTTTGGTGGCTTCTCGCAACGGCGCCGTTGCCGAGGCACCGCATGGGGGCTATTTCGACTTCACGTCTCGCTCCATCTTGAACATCGCATCGTATACATCGGCAGTCGTCTGGCGGACCAGTTGCAGCGGTCAGGATGGACATGACAGCAACTTTTACAAGGTCCGGCCTGCCGGCATTGACGAGCCCGCTAAAGACGGCATGAGATGCAAGATATCTGCAAGGATGTCATCTAGCTTGTTCGCCCGTGTCGGGCACCCCTCATGGCTCGTCCTTTGGAGTTCGCAATTCTTGCGACGATGAGAGTGTCAAGTCGGATTTCTTGCACTCGTTCGATCTGAGAAGATTGGTAGATCGTCAACTCCAGCCTTCTACTCGGTGCCGAGCATGGCACTTCTCACAACGACACTACAAGCTCGGCACTGGTAGCGCACTGCATCTCACGGAATCCAGCTGCGAACTAATGCAAACCATTGCTGCTTGACTGGACGACGAGCACTCGGACAGGATGTACGGCCCGCCAGGCATGGCGAGGCGAGACGGCCGGCAGCTACACGCACATGTCTCTGTTCCCAGAAGTCAACTCTCTAGCGTACCATGACCTCCCAGCCCTTCAAGTAGTATAACAGGTACGCCGTAGCCTTGTTTGACCTGCTGTGTAGGCTTCCACGCAATGGCTGGCATCAGCTACCTCACGGCGAACTGGACGACGACCGCCATCGTCGCCATCGGCGGCTGGACCCTCTACCTGCTCGGACTTGCGGTATATCGCCTCTACTTCAGCCCAATCTCCAAGATCCCTGGTCCCAAACTCGCGGCTCTGACACTCTGGTACGAGTTCTACTACGATGTAGTCAAGCAAGGCCGCTACACCTGGAAGATCGGGGAGATGCACACGACATACGGCCCAATCGTCCGGATCAACCCCTATGAAGTCCACATCAACGACCCAGACTATTACAACGAGATCTATACGGGTCCGAGTAAGCGGCGAGAGAAATGGGTCTGGTCCGCGAACATGTTTGGCACCTCGTCGAGCTTCTTCAGCGCCATCTCGCACGATCTGCATCGGCGACGCAGAGCGCCGTTCAATCCGTTCTTCTCCAGAGCGTCGGTTCAGAAACTCGAGTATATGATCAAGGATGTCGTCGGACAGCTTTGCTCGCGATTGGAAGGGTTTCGTGAGACCAAAGAGCCCGTCAATCTGCGTCATGCGTTTGCCGCTGTGACGATGGATGTCATTACTGACTATGCCTTTGGGACGAGCTATAAATGCCTCGAGGAGCCTGACTTTGCTCCAATCTGGCCTGACTCTGTGGATAGTGTCTCGGAGCAGAGTCATCTGAACAAGCAGATGCCTTGGATACTTTCGCTGATGCGGCAGACGCCGCTGTGGATCGTCGAGCGCATGAATCCGCATATCATGCGCCTGATAAGATTGCAAATGGTTAGTACCGACGTACTGGTACTAAGATGCTGGAGTTGCTGACCATGACTCAGGACCTGGCCACGCAAGTCTCGCAACATCTCAGCGGCAAGGCTGTCGACAACAAAGTTTCCAATCACCCTACCATCTTCAACGCGCTTCTCCAACCAGGTGTTCTGCCTCCAGAGGAGCAAACCGTCGCTCACCTCGTCGACGAAGCACAAGCCGTAGTGGCCGCCGGTCAAGTGACAACAACCCACTACCTCAACACAACAGCCTACCACATCATCGCCAACCGCTCCATCTCGACACGCCTCAAGCATGAACTCAAAACCGCCATGCCAGACGGAACTCTCCCCACCCTCCAACGCCTCGAACAACTCCCCTACCTAACAGCCGGCGTCCTCGAAGGCTACCGCATCTCCTACGGCGTCACCCACCGCCTCCAGCGAGTCTCCCCAGACGAACCCCTAACCTACAAAGAATACATCATCCCCGCTGGCACCCCCATGAGCATGACGTCCATCTTCATGCACGACAACGAACACCTCTTCCCCTCGCCCCGAGAATTCAAACCCGAGCGATGGCTAGAGCCGGGAGCACGGGAGAAACTCTCAAACTACCTCGTCAATTTCAGTAAAGGCACGAGGGGCTGTCTCGGACAGGAACTGGCGAGCGCGGAGATTTACTTCACGCTGGCGGCGGTGTTTAGTAGGTTTGATTTTGAGCTGTATAAGACGACGAGGGAGGATATTGATGTGGCGCATGATTTCTTCAATCCGCAGCCGAGGAAGGGGAGTGTTGGGTTGAGGGCTGTTGTGAATTAAGAAATGGGTGATGGGGTTTGCTTCTTGATCGATTTGATAGAAGTGCCTTACATTCATCGCTGACGTTCGTCTGTCAACAGGATCTTGCTTCGCTTTGCTGGGTGCTCACTATGCTGTCGTTGCTTGCAATGGCTTCTGGCCATACACGATGCTCCCACTCGTGTACGAATGGATTTTCCTATTCTTGAAGCCTAGAACATGGGATCAGTAAAAGATTGCATCAAGTCAACACCCCCATCTCCCAACTCACCTTCCCTAACCTTGGCCAAAAACACCTGCACCTCCTCATAACTCCACCCCAACACCCTCGTATAGAGGGCCATCGTCCACCCCTCAATCCCCTGATACGCCTCCAACAAATGCCACCGTCCAATCTCCTTCAACTTCCGATCCGCCGCCCAAGGCCCCAACGGCATCTTGAATTTGCTCTCCTCGGTCCTCACAAACCCCGCCGCATCAATCAACTCCTTCTGCATCTCCCAGATCCGGAACGTCCGACCCATCTTCTCCCCGGCGGCGATGTAGTTCGCAGAAGCTTCCCGGAAGATGTGGCCCGCGGGGATGGAGTCGTCGTCGGTGCGCCAGTCGACGCTGTACTCGACTTGTTCGAACCAGCCGCCCGGTTTGAGGTGTTTCCAAATGCGGGCGTAGAGCTCCGGCCAGTCGGATATGGAGCCGTAGAGGCAGCGGACGTGGATGAAGTCGAAGTGATTCTCCGGGAACGTCCAGGGCTGGGTGCAGTCGTCGATTTCGAAGCGGCAGTTCGGCGGCGTCCAGTGCGGCTGGATGGGCGTGAGGTCTGTGCCGACCACGCTGGCGGCCGGGTGTTCGTCTGCGAAGTCCATGGCCCAGATCCCGGTTCCGGTGCCTAGGTCGAGGACTTCGTGGCAGGTGTCTTTCTTGAGGGGGGCGAGGTGGAGTTTGCCGTCCAGGAGGAGATTCCAGATGTGGTGGGCGATATCGAGCTGGTCGTTTTGGTCTTCGTCGTTGGGGGCCCAGTATTCGCCGTCTTTGTAACCGGCGTAACGGCGGCCATTCTCGTATCTATGTGCTGCGATGGAGGATGTTATGGAGGTGGTTTCGCTTTGGCTGGGGGTTTGATGTTAACGGGTTGCTTGATTGACAGCTTTGGGTACACGACATACACATCTCCTTCGTATGCTGAGTCGACATCGCTGGGTTCGCTGCCCTAGGATAGACTGGTCAGACAGACGATATTCCACATACGGTGAACAACTCACGGCAGGCGTAATCTCATCACCTCTCAATGATCCTTCCATGGCAACCACAACGCAAAAAGCAAACCACTCATCAACTCGTCACACATCAACGCCTCACAATCCCCTCAAAACATATACACAAACGTCAAAAACACTTTCGAAATGTGTGACGATGGAGCGAGCCACCTGCCGGAAGGTCGTCATGGTCTCGGCGGATATAATAAGCCAGTGAGACGGCAGTCGCGATGGCCTGTTCCAAGGCATACCGTAGCGCATCCTTCCTTCATGTGCCTAGGAGGCGCACCGTGCCGCATGCCCCGTTGGTGGTTGGGGAAGATGTAGGTTTGGTGGAGTCGATGCTCTGGCTCGGTTGTTTGGCCCGGAAGTTCCTATGTGGAGGTGTTTGGAATGCTTCACAGGTCTGCGGATACTTAAGGTGACCCTAATGAATTGATGCTCAAGCCGTCGATAGACAACCGGTTTCACTGATGATGAAGTTTTTGTTCTCTTCGTCAACCCTAACCTCACGATCACCCCTCGGCGACAGAGCCCCCACATCTGCGTGGGGTTCATCCCCGGTACTGCTCGAGCACACCACACCACTACCGAACGCCACATGCAGTTCGACGGCCTCGGCAGCGAGCCGAAGTGCTCGAGTATGCAATGGAAAGGGCCGAATGGTCGAGGGTGGGTAGAGGACACACCTTGTCTTGTCAATAACTTTTCTTTTCGATGAACTGTCTCGCCTTCGAAGCGAAGCTCGGTTGCGTCTCCACCGTCGAATATCACATCAATGGTCGTTGAGAATCCGAACTGTTGTGAAAGCAATGATGAAAGATCAACGAGGGCAGATCCCTCGCAAGAATTACCTTTGCAGGTAATTTTCATTCCTAAAGCCATTACATAGAGAGTAACGATCCCGCTTTTTTGCTATAACCCCCCGTCTATCTGTATTGAGCGACTGTACATGCCCCAAGCCTGCCGTTTCTGCGGTTGGGCAACTGAAAAGAGTGGACGAGCCGTCGGACAAGCTCTGTTCTGCTGTGGTGGAGTCGTGGGTCGCTTCGTGAGTCTACAAGGGGTAGACGAACTTCAGATTCTCGCGATCGGTCTGGTCGAGATCCTCTTCGTCGATGGAGATCAGACCGTCACCCGTATCCAGAGCCTCGTCTTCGCTGTCACCAGCCTTCTGTTGCAGGATAGCCGCTCGCTTGTTGTTCTCGCTGTTGAGGTAGAAGCGAATGATGAGGCACAGTGCTGGTGAGATGAACCAGAAGGCCGTCATGAAACCCCAGGGGAGCATGTATCGTGGCTTGTACTTTTCTTTCCAGAACCTGAGAGCGACATGCGTCAGAACGAGGGATTAGGTAGTCACGTTGGGATAGAACACTTACTCAGGTGAGATCATGTTAGCAACGGCCGCGGCTACAACGCATGTCGACATGACGTAGAGCTTCTTAGTGTAGCCGATAGTAGTCGTGCCAGCCCACGACAAGCCCAGAAGATATGATGGTTTGAAGGTGGAGATCTGCGTGCCAACGATGAGCGCGATCTTGTTCGACCATGGAGCTGTAACCTGCAAGGTGTCACTGCGTTAGCATTGCGGACCAGATATGAAGCCAGATGAGAAGTTTCCTTCAATGACACCCACCATAATGAGACCGCCAACGAAGCATGGGATATAGGAGATGGCACAAGTGTACCCGACGCCCAGATCTGTAGCAAAAAGCATTGCAGCCGAGACGACAATCAGGAAAGAGCCCCAGAGTGGTTTTGCGATGTTGAACAGTGCGGATTGAGCGGGCGTGAACCCGAACCCGACAACAATCAAAGGCAATTGCTGGGAAGTGTTGTTTGGGAGCTCGTTGAAGAACATGTGAGTGCTAGAATTCGGGTTAGCATTGTTGATACGCCCCAAGGTATCGATTGTAGACTTACATGAACAGCCAGCTCTTAGGATCTGTGAATGCCTCCCTCACTTGGCTCCACTTGAAGGTCGAGTTCGAGATACCAGCGTGTGTCTCTCGAATCAAGTTGATGGTATGTACCTTCTCTTCGAGTGATAGCCATTTGGCGTCGACCGGTGAATTTGGGAGGAAAACGACGAGTACGCAGCAGACCAAGAACGTGAGGATGACGCAGATGATGTGCAACCACTTCCAAGAGGAAAGACCGCCAACCAGAGTGCCAGCATTGTCGTCTTTGATAAGCTTGTAGGCGACCATAGTGAGAAGGACGTTGGCAAAGCTGCCAGACGCCCACCACAGCAGCTGGACCCACGGGCTCTTCTTGGGCGGGAAGAAGGCTTGGTGCAGAACGGTCGTCGAGGGCACGATTTGTGATTCGGTCTACATGGTGTCAGTTGGCGCTTTGTACAGCGAGTGCATAACCACTCACCATGCCCAAGAGGAAACGCAATGCCATCATGTGCGCTCCAGTCTTTGCGAGAGGATGCATGGCAAGCAGCAGCGACCATAGGAAAAGCGACCCGGTGATGAAGTACTTGTGACCCACGCGCTGAGCGAGAGCAGCGCCAGGCCATAGCGCGACCAAGTAGCCGACGTAGAAGAGCACGAACAAGTCGTTGTACTCGTTCTTCGAGATCTTCACGTCTTTGAAGAGTCCCATTGTGCTGGCTTGCGAGAGCGTAGACTTGTCGAGATGTATCAAGAAGGCGATCCACCATGTCTGCATAAGTAAGAACCAGAAGTTCTTCCTGTTCAGACGCTTGATGCCGGCATCATCGAGTGGGGAGACCTCATCCTTATGTTGGTTGTAGAAGACCGCGGAGTCGTCGACATCTTGCTTGGTGACAATGTGAGCGCTGTTGCGTCGTGTAGTTTTCTCCTGAAGGTTCAGGTCCTTCTCGTTGCCGCTGGCGGATTCTGAGAGAGGCTGGACGGTCTCCTCGACAGATTTCTTGGTGTTAGCCATGACGGTCTGCTCACGTGGTCAGCACTTTGGTGACACAATGACAAAACCCAAGAAGGTCAAGAAGCATACCAAGGTGTTGCGGCCACGCTTGTCGTGCTTAGTTGTAATTCTTATGCGTTTGCCCTCCGGCTATCTGCGAGGCTTGTCTATGACCAAAGGGAACATCCCTCGTGAGCCAAGAGCAGCCAAGAACCCTAATGGCCTCTACGTGTCGCAAATTTTCGAGGTCTGCAGCGTGGTGGCGTAGACGGAGCTGGTAGTAGCCAGTGGCTGGACTTGCTTAGAGTGTCCAAGAAATGGTCGTCTCTTGGCGGGGAAGACATCAAGGTGATCACGCCGCGCTGGAGGCCTCACCTGCGCTTCTAGGCAATTCAATTGTAATGAGATGCGACATGGACCGGAGTTCCTTCCAAGGACGGCCTTTTGACTTTTCCTATGGATGGTCGACATGCCTATCACGCGTGGGATACATGCTAGGCTCGCCAAAAGGGTCAAACCGCATGTTGCCATCGGCAGCGTTCAGAGACACTGCATGCTCTATACGGGCTTCGGAGAGCGCGATGCCTTGGCATGCCTGCAATGTTTAATCCTTGTGGTCGAACGGGGACGCATATGCTGAGGCCACAGAGGTCGAGAGCGTCCATTTGCCAGACCCATCGTCTGAACGGCTGGGCCTATCAAGTAACATTCCTCGAGGCACAGCACGCGACATGTCTATGCAACGACAAAGGGAAGCCAAGGAAAGGAGAAGATGCTCCTTCGGGCTGTCGATCAAGCTGAGACATCTCTCTTTTCGTACTTGGACGGAGACTGGTGAAGCCCCATTCTCATGCCATCACGGTCGTTTCCTGGCTGTTCCCATGCCTACAGAGTCTTCGCAGATCCATCTCCGGGTGATATTGGGCGACACTGAACACGGAGGTGCGGTCTAGAGCAGTGTCGCTGTGGAAGACGGAAAAGACATCGTTGAGCTGAACAGGCGACGTCCAAAGTTTTGGCGACGACCGGCCCGAGCCAGATCCTCCCGAGCTCAAGCCACCGAGTGAGTGAGTTTTGTTTTACCATTTCAACAACAACATCTCGCTCCTCACAAACAACGATTGTGGCATTGAATTTCTGTTCCTGGCTCACTCCCCTATGCATCAAGACAATAAGACAATATCCACGAGATGTCTCAACCACTGGTGTCCCGTGACATCGCGTGCAAAAAGCGTCTAGAAGTAAGTCATGACTTCACCGTGATGCCATGACGGGGTCTGTCACTGGAAAGGGCTCCAATGTTGGACCTGTAATGTGAGGTGTCCTTCTTCAACAGACGATGCACTCTTTGCCACGGCTTGCTGTCAGACCTGCAAGATTACGGACGGTGACGTTAGACTGCAATTGGTCTATTTGTATACAGAGACTCTCCGATACTCCGGGCCGTCTTGTTCTCCCTCACAACACACAAGTAGCCATTGCACCGCCGGCCTCTAGACTGCAAGGGCTCAGCAGACACTTTACGACTTCCTCACCAAGACAAGAACACAACATGGCTTCCGACGACGCAAGAGCCCCCAACAATGAGCAGTTCAGGCTCTCGAACTTGTTCAATGTTAAGGATAAAATCGCCCTTGTGACCGGTGAGCTCTTTCCATCCTCCTCCTTTACAAACGCTAATACTTCCAAGGTGGGGCCAGCGGGATTGGCTTGATGGCAGTTCAAGCACTCGCCGTGAACGGAGCTAAGGTCTACGTCGCTGGCCGTACTGAGGAGAAGCTCGAGACTGTGGCGAAGACGTACAGCCAAGACATCTCAGGTCAAATCATCCCCATCGCTGCGGACATCACCAAAAAGGCCGATGTGGCCATGCTGTACGACGAAATATCGCAGAAGGAGAAACATCTCGATATCTTGATCAACAACGCTGGCATAAGCACCGCCACCTTCAATACCGAGGCCGGTAGCGCAGAGGAGCTCAAGAAGGCTCTCTTCGACAATGAAAAGGCAACATACGAAGACTGGGATGCCGTTTACAGAACGAACGTTTCGCAGATCTACTTCATGACGACCGCGTTCCTTCCGCTGCTGCAGCGTGCCTCAGAGAGCCAGCACGGATGGTCAGCAGCTGTCATCAACATCAGCTCCATCTCGGGACAGGTCAAGACGACGCAGCATCACCCGCAGTACAATGCGAGCAAAGCAGCTGCGATTCATCTCACGCGTATGCTGGCGAACGAGATTCAGACGAACGGGCTCAAGATCCGCGTCAATGATATCGCGCCTGGCGTATTCCCGTCCGAGATGACGACTGGAGGTGAGAGCGGTGCTAACCAGAAATCTCAGTAAGTAAAACAGCACGTTCTTTCAAAGGAGCACGGTATCGTGATTCTGGTGGAATCGATCACTGACAATCTTTCAGCATTCCCAAAGAGCAGCATGAGGGCAAGACTCCAGCTGCCCGTCCCGGCAACGATCGCGACATGGCGAGCACTGTCCTCTTCGTCGCCAGCAACAACTTCTTGAACGGACAGACCATTACCGTCGATGGAGGGTACACCTTGTCGTCCGGACGGTAATCTGTATGATCGCAGAAGCGAAGACTGGCAAATGATGGATCAAATGTGTATGTTGCAATGCGGTGCTTCCAGTCGCCAGTTGAAGTCTCACTTGCTTCGCCGGAGACGTCAGGCGAGTAGGTGTATGCATGTGCAAAACAGACAGACTGTACGTCCTCACGAAATCCTCAACAATTATCCTTCCGTTGGTTCTCAAACGCCCATCTTTCAACCACAACGCCCCTCAAAAGAACCCATCATTCCCAGGCATCCCCCGACTTCCCCAAAACCGATAAATCATCCACTTCCCGCCCTCCTTCCTCCAACACAACTCCGAAAACCCCTTCAACTCCACATTCGACACCCCCACCACATCCATATCCATATACACATTCGCCAACCCCTCCTCCTCATTCACATACGCCGAGCAATTCCGCATATTGAACTCCAGCCGCTCGTCGGCCTCGTACCACGCCCGCCACACGTCGTTGAGCTGTTTCCAGTTGAGCGGATGCGGGATGTTGTCGACTTTGCCGCTGAAGGACGAGGAGATGTGCGAGAGGATTTCGAGGCCGAGGGGGGTTTGGTGGGAGAAGTCCCGGATGTTCAAGACGTGCATGGAGTTGGAGGCGATGCGTTGGAGTTCGTGGGCGGTGTGTTTTGGGGTGGGGTTGGGTTTTGGTTGGAGGGCGTGGGGTTTGGCCATGGGAGGTGGTGGAGGCGGTGGTTTGGGGAGCGCGATTGAGGTTGAGACCTCAGGTGGGAAGTTCTCCTCTCTTCATGTTTTTCTTTCTTTCCGCGCCACGATCTCTTGTTCAGGGTCTTTTTGGCGCCAAATACAGTCAATGGTGGTGGCTCAATACCAACTGCCTTTTTCAGCCTCGGGTTTCACTTCCACTTACGCCCGCTGCTACGCCAAAATCTTAGGGCATGATGGCAGCTGCGGAGCGGAACTAGAGCTGAGTAGCTGAACGCGAACTAGAACGCGAGATGAGTATAGCAGTCAAGAGCGAGAAACGGAAATCGATTATGCTGTTGCTAGAACCCGAGGGCATGAAGCAGAATGACTTAGGGCGATATTCGACTGCTTTCAAAACGATGCCCAAGGATCATAATCATCCGCCTGGAAGATCTTCTCAATCTGTCGCCTTCTGATGCCTATGTTTCCTCCGTCGAACAATGGCAAGCACATTGCGTCGTTTAGCAGACGTGGGAAGGGCGAGGCTTTTCGATATGAAGTCCTAAGAATATCAGCGATTGGTCTCAGCGGATGGAGCATCGAAACTTACATTCCAACGGCGCTCATAGCATCCGTCACGCTCCTGACACAATTATCAGAGCAAAAGATCTTAGCCTCCAAACACAGCTCCTGGCGGGACTTGAAGTCTCCAGGCCCATTCTCAAGAGCATGGAGGGCTTTCCAGGTCAGGAGTCGACTTGAGTCGGTCCGCATTTTGATATCCGTCAAGAGGTCTGCGACGCTCTGGCGCTGGATGATGGGCACGCTGCCACCGCGAGTGTCGTTCTTGGCGAAGTCGAGAGCTGCCTCGAAGGCGGCTCGCATGACGCTTACAGAGAACGAGCCGACGAGCGCAGCGGATGCTGTGAAAGATTGCTCGATGAGTGCTGCTGCTGCCTCTCCGTCGGCGAGGACGTTGCTTGCTGGTACGCGGAGATTGTTGAAGCGGCTGTGCGGGCCTGTTGTTGCTGGGTGGCCCATCAACTCCGGCTCGTCGAGGATGGTGTATGCGTCTTTGGCGTTGGCGGCGATGATCTCGCGGGTGACGCAGAGGACGATGATAGACGCCGCTGGATTGACGCCTGGAGCATCGCCGTTGACTTGGCCGTCGACGACTTTGCGGCAAACCACACATTGCAAGTCCGCTCCTTCCCCGTCCCATCCACCGCTGTTCGTCGTCCAGACCTATCACCCGTCAACATCTCTCCCACAAGCTCTCTCACACTTTCATACCTTCTCCCCATTGATAACCCACTCCTCTCCCTCCTTCCTCGCCGTAGTCTGCAACCCCTTACCCCCAACCTCCAACCAATTCGCCGTCCCCCCAGGCTCAGAGTGCACCAAACTGGCCATCGGCTCTCCCTCCCCACTCAAAAACATCGGAAAAAACTCCTTCTGCAACCTCTCATTCCCGCTCATGATCAACGGCGTCAGCCCCAACCCCGTCGCCGCCACCGTCAACGTGACGCTGGGGTTCGTCGCATAGAGTTCCTCGAGCCCGATGGCCGCGTCGACGAGGGAGTCGCAGGTTCCGCCTAGGGGAGTGGGGATTTGGGATTTGAGCATGCCACCCTGGACCGCGATGCGGTAGAAGGGACGGATGGAGCGGAAGCGCTCGCTTTGCGTGGGGAGGGAGGCATAGCTTTCGTGGGCGGTGGTGAGGACTTTGGTGGCGAAGAGGCGGGCTTCGGCGCGTTGGGTTTGTTGGGAGGGGGAGAGGGTGAAGTCGAGCATGGTCGATAAGGAAATCGGGACTGATAGAATGAAGGAGAGGGAGAAGTGCGGCGTAAAGTATAGCAAGAGACAATGAGATAGACTTACAATTTTGTAGCTTGCCATGCGGAATGTACACCGTCGGATACCACTTGCGAGAGTCGCTACGCCTGCGTTCTCGCCGCGTCGATAGCAAGGAGCAAGCAGCTCTGCAGCTGAAGCTATTGGAGCTGTACCTACTCGTCAGCCGCTCAGAAGGCCCTAATCCTCGTCCGCATCCCGACATCCATGCAGGGCTGAAGGCTGATATGGGTCGAAGGATTCTGTCTCCCCATTCGGAAGGATGTCAGGTACAATGCGGAATGTGTGGTCTTGGAATGGAGTAGTTCCGCGAAAAGCTGGAAACCCGAGGAAATCGGTGTCATGTAGTCGGACAGGCTTAAGCATTGGCGACGACTGTGAAAATTGGACCTGGAGGCTGTCATCAATGCGTTGCTCTTAGCCTACACTTTGGTCGCTGTAAACCCAACAATTCGTGTCGTTCCAGCGCGCTATCCAAGCAATAACAATTGGGGTATTCGCGCAATTCCAACGCCGGGTGTCATCCAACATGCAATCGCTCAAACGCTCAAAAAGTGGTGTTCATATGAACTCATCATTCCACATGCTGCCCATCTCGTCGACAGCGTCCACCGCGCTCCTAACCACTCGTTTCGTCGCCCGTGCTGTAGCCGCCGCCGCAGCGAGTGTATGGGATGGAACGCTTCTACCGCCCGGCACTTCACCGTTTTCCAAATTAAAGATGGTATCCAGTACCCAGCCCAGGAATCGCCAGTATGGCTTTACATACGGCCGGAAAGGTTCAAGAATCACATAGTGTGTGACAAACGGCATCATAGGGCCATAAGTAGTGCTGCACCAAGTCAAGCAAAGGGAGCTTTCGATGATCAACCACATGAGAAAGGCGGCCGTTATCCAGCCCAGCCGGGTCATGTGTATGTGGAACCTGCTTTTGGGATCGTACGTGTAGAAGTTCTCGCGAAATTCGACCCAGAGCGCTCTCCAGACAGAAGCGTATCGACCACCACAATGCGTGCAGATTGTCTTGCCGTTGTGATCAAGGTTTGATGAGTCGACCGTAGGGATTGACACATCGACTTGAGGTGTGATCTTTTGTCGTGCGACAGTGTCGGGTGGTGGATTCTTCGTTTTAGACGCAATCTTTGGATCCGTGCGTCTTTCGAGATTTCGCTCAGTGGTCTTCTTCACAGCAGTCTCGGCCTTTGGTACATCCTTTGGCTGGGGGACAACCTCAACAGGAGGTTCATTCTTGATTGCAGCGGGCGGTTCCTCAACCCTGGGTGCGAGATCAGCCTTCGAAGGACTGGAGCCTTCAATCTTGTTGGAAATCCGACGTAACCCTCGGTTGGCATCTTTGATAGTGGATTGGGTCGTGTAAAGCTGCTTGCTCAGACTTGCCAGCACATCTTCGTGCACTATCTCTTCTGATCGATGCCTCCTCGAAGGAGCGGGTGTCGTCTCATTTGTGGCCGGGTCTTCAGTTCCTTGTGACTGCGGCGGCGTGTCCATGACCGGATGAATGATGTTTTCGAGAGAGGCAATGGTACTATCATTGTACTCCCGCCCTTCCTCATTCAACAGAGCTTCCAGGGCCGATTGAGGATGAGACGCCTTAGGCACTCTGCCCTCTTCATCAAGCTGGTCCACGAACTTGTCAAAAGTTGTGCGCTTATTCAGTTGCTCTTCGACGGACTCCACAGGCGGTATGTTCTCTTGTTGTTCCAGATGGCGCATCTCTTGGGCCCTTTGTATTTGCGCCAGCAACTCCTTTCGCGGGCGGGCTTTCGAGAATGGTCGCGCTCGAGGCGGAGGAGGTGGTAGTGGGTCCTCTGCTGCTATTGTGATGGCGACGTGCTCCTCTTGTACGGCCTGTCCCTCCATCTCGCGCATTCTCTGTGCCCTTTGTATCTGCGCGAGCAGTTCTTTGCGAGGTCTCGCTTTGGAGAACGGCCGCCGAGGTCGTGGCATTTCTGTGTTTGTCTCCATGTCCCAAGCATCGAGCAGGTAACCCGTGCGATTTTGTTAATGTCTTGTAAAGGATGTCGCGACGGGGAGTTCAACTTGGGTCAAAGAAGTGATCGCGACACGCGACGCGCTCAAGCGGGTGGTCCGAGCTTCACTGGCCAAGCCGGCCCCGCATCGCTACTGACGACAACCTCGAACTTCACAGGCAGCATGAATGCGAGCTTGAACAACACAGACGACTACAACACCTCACCATGGCGGAATTCAACTGGCGAACGATCAACATTGACGCACTGGATCCGGAGTCCTCCTACAACTTCGATCTCACCACGCTCACTCCCGCTGTTCAGCCCGTTTCAACTGCAGATGTCCAAACACTTACCGGCCAGGTACGGCAGCTACTACGAGGAGGCAACCCAGAGGGTGCGCTGAGAGGGGCACTGGAGAACCCACCATATGGTGCAGACGATCAAGGCAAGGTACGTTTGCTGGAAGAAGAAGGCCTCAGCGCATGGGTGAGATTCAGAACTAACACTACGGGACAACAGCAAGTACACCTCAACACCGTCACCGAGATCCTCCAATCAATACGGCAAGCCGAAATGACGCCTTTGATCCAACGGATATACCAGTCAGAAGGTGGTTCGGAGGTCTGCGATACGTTGATGAAGTACCTCTACAAGGGAATGGCACAAGGACCTCCAGCTGGAAGCAATTCGACACAGAGGAATATCACGCCGCAGGCAACGGGATTCTCGCAGATTGGTGGCAGGAACTTTGGCGGTGGTGAGGGTGGAGGACAGGCTATGAGTGTGCTGTTGAGCTGGCATGAGAAGGTGAGCATGAATACATCTGGGAATCAAAGGACACGACTAACGTTGGGTCAGCTTGTGGAAATTTGCGGCCCTGGTAGCATCGTGCGGGTCATGTCGGATCGAAGGACTGTATGAGATTACGGGACATTCAAGGACTGCAATGTACAGGCCGTACTAGGAGCCTGGCCCTCTCCATGCAGCGCTGCGGTTGGAGCGATCCAGCTGCCACAAAATGACGATCAAAGCCGACGGAAAGGCCACTTGAGCAATGAAGCTCAGCATGTGAGGCAGAAACGACGAACGTAGCTGACGAGTAAAAATGCATACGAACACTCCAGTTGGCCAGGCCTCGTCCTCGGTATGATTCCATGTGCCAGTTGCTTGTTTTGTCACATTTTACTTGTGCTTTGCCATGTGAATGCGGTGGCTCCGTCCTTGGAGGAGTATTGCAACGGCAAGCGCGCTCCATGCCGCACGGAGCTTTGCAACTGACAATCCAGCTACCCCCCTCACTCCAGACCCGATCAACTCTACTCGAAAAAACTAACACACAGGCGAATCGGCTAGGGACGCATTCATCATGACTCGAAGACAGGCCGCGAGAGTATGCAAAGATCATGACCCTCCTGGCGACGGAACGTTCTGCTGGAACCATAAGTAGGCGACCGAAGCTACATCCCAGTTGCACTCTTCCCCGGCCCACGGCGTTGAAGCTCTCAGAGCGCAGATGTCCACCAAGGACAAAGACCTATGCGAGGTGGGACGACGCCATCGACTACCGTCCGGCCTCCTTTTCTGGCTCTTGATTATCTTGATGCCAGTGTGGACTTTGCAGCTTGATTTCTTGGCAAAGATGTGACCTGAAGCGAGATTTAAGTTGCTGGCATTAGGAGCAATCATCATGGATATCGCCGTGAACATCACCATTTTCCTCATCAAGTTGAAGATCTTGGCGGCGATAGCGAGGTGGATGTGGACGTCGTGGTGGGACTGAGAGGTGATGAATGGGGAGTAACACGGCACGCTGAAGTGCTGCGCAAGATGATGAAGCAGAAAACGGTAGTCGGAAGAAAAGCTCAAAGCTAGTCACCTTGATCACATGCTGCAGCTTCAGTAAAGAGCGACATGGTTCAGCCTCATATTCTCCTTCTTCGAGCAAATCGCTGACCATATACAGCGCACTACAGGGCTTTGACTTCTTGCAATGCCAAAATCCCGGAATCAGTGTGGATGTCATCTGGTAGCGGGCGAGGCTTGGTGCAATAAGAATGCATACAACACAGATGGCACCCAAATTTTCCACAGCTGGTCAGCAACCACACTGGCAAAAAAAGAAAAATCGATCTTACGATGCATGAAAAATCCCCTCGCTCTCGAAAAATCTCGCACACAGTGCAAATAAAAGGCACTCGCACCAGCCTCATCCCTCTTTTCCCTTATCACTCTCCCTAGACAACATTTTCAGCACGACAACGGACTAACTACCGAGTCCTACGACAAAATGCCTCGCTACCTCTTGGCTGCCGCCGGCCTGGCCTCCGTGGCCATGGCCATCCCCGTCACCACCTTCAAGACCGTCACGACGACCATCGAGGTCACTGAGACTGCCACGCCAATGGCTACCGTCGTGGAGCGCCCTGAGATTGCCTCGTATGTGTCCCCTATCCTATCCTTGTTGTTCGACTCAACACTACTTGTGAGCCGTATATGTGGCTCACAGTGTGATCGTCGACATGGGGCCCTTGAGTCTGGATTCTTTCTCTTCTTCAGCATCGCTAACGTATCTCAGGGCGTTGGTGTCCAAGACCCACATCGTCGACAACGTCTCCAAGTTCAGGAAGTACCAGGTTCCGAGGAACAACATGGTCTCTGCGATCATGGAGCCCGTCAAGACTGCTGCGTATGTACTAACCCAGACTCTACCTCATCGAATTGAAGACGCTGATGGATCACAGGCCGACGGACGTCGACGAGACCAACGACGAGGATGACGAGACCGACGACGAGGATGACGGGAGCGTCGTCGATCTCCTGCACAACAAGACTATGATGCTGGACTTGGCAAACCGCATGCCGAATTCCACTCAAAAGGAGTTGTTCTTGGACAGCCTGATGAATTCCACTGTCTTCACCAACGAGACTGCCTCGCCCGAGGATGCTGAGACCGTCGACGAGGGCGATGAGACCGACGAGGAGGACGATAAGGCTGATGAGGAGAACGATGAGGCTGACGAGGAGGATGACCAGAGCTTCATCGATCTCATGCACAACAAGACAATGTGGCTGAACATGGTGAACAACATGACGAATTCCACTCAAAAGGATTTGTTCTTGAACAGCCTGATGAATTCCACTGTCTTCAACAACGAGACTACCTCGTACGTACCCATCTACATGAGCCTGCATTTGCAGAGTTGAAGTTGCTAACGAATCACAGGCCATCGCCATCGCTATCCGACGAAATTGTGTTCGTTCTCGCCAACAAGTTCGTGGCCAACGAGGCCCAGTCCCACGGCATCACTGTCAACGAGTCCGACTGGAGAGTGAAGCGCCAACTCGTGTACGACTCTCACAACCTGACGGATGCCCAGGCCAAACCAACCTTCGACAAGCTGACCGTGATGCTCGAGGACTACACCAAGCTCCGCGAGACTGAAGTAGCCATGTACGAGGCGTACGCCAAGCTGGCTGACACGGCTGAGCTCGAAGAGGGCCACGGCTTCGGGAACCAGAATCCAGACCCTCTCCTGAGCACCGCTGAGGGCCGCCAGCTCAGGATCAAGCTTGCCGACCAGCGGGTGGAGATGTCCAAGTTGATCGCGAAGCTGCAGCGTGGTGCGGGTGTCGAGGAGGCGGAGATTCAGAAGATGATGGAGGACGTGATGGAGTCGAATGAGTTCTACTTGGGCAAGAATGAGGAGCAGGTCAAGCACGATCTTGAGGAGCTCGAGAAGCAGCAGACTCAGGAGCAGATCGAGGCTCTCCCAGAAGGTGACTGGGAGTGATGAGCGTCTGTTCGTGAGTGGATTCCTTTGCACGTTGGTTTGGAGAGAGCTCGGTGAGTGCTGGCAGGAGTGTTGACACGCTGTAGTGTTTTGGGCCTTCGGCAATCACAGTGCGGGAGCCATTGCGATTTTGAATTCTGAAGAGACAGATTGTGTTGGTACATAGTCTCATCGACGAGCTTCAGACTAGAAGCCTCGTCTCGTAATACAAAGACCTTCTTTTGGTAACCAGAACGCCAGAACGCCACGCTTGTGAAAAGAGTCGTAAGGGTGATGTAGTTATGTCCTGTTCTGCCTGAGGATGTCGCGCTCGGCCGGGTTGTACCTGTCCATGTAATCAGTCTTGGTGACATCGCGTTTAGCAAGGCGGTCATCAGGCGCATACCGCAGCAGCTTCTCGATCAAGTCGACGTGGGTGAGCATCATGCGGCGGCAGCAGTACCTGTTCAGGCCGAGCTGATCCATCGCATCACTGTCGGATAGCCATGTCAGTAACCATATCCTGCAAGGGCCTTCTTCATTCGAGTTCCTTTGTCCTCCATCTCCTCCTCCATGTCGTCGCTGAATCCTTTTGTGTTGTTCATCTTGCTCTTTCTGTTTATACCATGCATCTCTCCACATACCCATCAGATGTAGTCTCTCCGTCCTCCTTCACCGTTCCGATCAACTCGACGTAGCGCTCGTAGAGATCTGCGATGACCTGTCACATGCCAGTCAGTGGACAGTCTGTCTTGGGTGGAAGATCGAGGCCGTACCTTGCCGCAGGAGAAGCAGCGGATTGGGATGATCATCTTTGCGGTCGCGTAGTGTGTGTGAAGTGTTGACAGAGTGTGGAGGTTGAGAGTGGTTTGGTCTGTCGTGTTCAAAGAAATGTCGTTCGCTCGCGGTCTTTGAAGTTTGGCGTCGATCGGAGACTGGTCCGTGCTCAAATTTTTTCGTCTTCACATTCGGCGGCGCACACGAGCATCTTCCGTCTATTCACACCAACGCCTGACACGGCCTCCAATTAATGAATACCATGGCTAAAGATGCTGAGAGAAAGAGGAAGCTGGAGCAAGATCAGGAAATTGCAACGCCCAAACGTCTGAAGCAATCGAAAGGCGATCCGGCGAAGAAAGCTGGGTCGAAGATCAATGGCGAATCTACTGGCAGCCCGATGGTGGTGATTTCGAGGACAGAAAGCAAGGAGTCGTCTAAGCAGACTCCTCGACCCGGCAGCGCTGCTGGAAACAAATCCTCTGGAAGCGCTAAACGAAGCAATTCGACCTCCGCGGCGAAGCCGGCCATCGACAACAGTACTTCTTCCACCTCGAAGAAGCACAGTCAAGATGTCAAGCAGGAGGAGGGTGTGAAAAGCGAAGTCGAAGAATCTGCAAACACACCCTCGTCGGCCAAATCTTCGAAGAAGAAAAAGAAGAGAAAGTCGGCTCAACAGAGCGATCTGAATGCTTCGGAGGTTGGTGATAATGCTGCAGATGCTTCAGCTGGAGCAGAGGACCATATCGACATCAAGAAGGAGAGCACTGAGACACCAAGGAAGGCACAGGCGGAGAAAGAGGACGACGAAGCTATGGACATTGATGGGAATACCAAGAAAGAGACTTCATCCGCTACGTCAGTAATGGCCCAAGAAGCTGTGACCAAGAGCAAAGAGCAACGCAAAAGGGATAAAAAGGCGAGGAGAAGCGCACAACGTATGGTCGACGTCGGTCTTGCGGAGAATGAGCAGCTCACAGCACCCAACCAACACGGCTGGTGGTTATCAGCACCTGGAGCGGGACATTACCTCGACCATGATCCCATCTTTGTCGAAGACGACTTTCGAGACAAATATCTCATCGCGGCGACTAATCGTGAGATCCAGCTTTTGTCGCTAGACTCGTCACTGGTCGTTCGCAAGCATGTTGTGCCCGATGGGAGAAGCATTGTCTGCTATTCGCTTAGCCCGGGCAGTGATGACTGTGTCGATGTTGCCTACGACAATGGCACAAAGGTGCAGTGGAACTGGATGACCTCGGAGTTGGTGAAAGGCACATTCCCAGGTCAAGAGACGACTGTTGCGATGACTGTTACGGAAATGGATGACGGCCGCGAGGAGCTTTTCTACATCGCTCGATCCAGAGGAGACTACACTGTCATTGGCGAGCGAAAATCACTCTATACCACAGAGAGGAGGCTGAAGAGCATCCAAGTTCTGCAAAATGGCTGGTACATTATTTGTGTCAGTGCTACGGCCCTGACCATTGGTGCGCGGAAGGCCTTCGACAAATGCGACTACATTTGGGTTGACATCCCGGTGGAGAAGCCAATTCGTTGTGCAGACGCCAGGCTGCTTGACACGGACAAGAAGCAAGGCCGTCGACCAGATCTTGCTGTCGCAGTCGGAGATACTGAGGGGCAAGTCCACCTCTACTCCAATGTGTCATCTGTCTTCGCAACGCCTTCCCAGGCTAAGCTTCCTCCGCCACGATATCTTCACTGGCATCGTGAGCCAGTGTCTGCCATCAAATTCTCAAAAGACGGCAACTACATCCTCTCAGGGGGTAAGGAGACAGTCCTTGTCATTTGGCAACTTGAAACCGGGCGTCAACAGTTCCTGCCTCATTTGACAGCAGAAATCGAGCGCATTGTGGTCAGTGCTGATGGAACCCGATATGCCTTGCAGATGGGAGACAACTCGATCATGGTCCTCAGTTCCAGCGAGTTGAAACCCGTGGCCAATGTTGCAGGGCTGCAGCTTCCGATTTCGACTGAAAAAATGGAAGCCGAAGGCATTTACTTGCCAGGGACTACGGCAGTGCTCCATCCGAAGGATCCCCACCAACTGCTTCTGTCTGTGCCAGCGACACAACCGAAGACGGCGTTGGACGTTGCAGCAAGACCCTTTTTGCAGTCCTTCGACATCCGCAATGCACGCCACATCAGCAGGCAGGCTCTCGGCCGGAACAATGTCACAGACTTGAGCGTTGGGCCTGAAAAAACGCCCGTCATTCCACCAGATGTCAACCTGCTAGCTGTCAGCGCAGATGGCAAGTGGCTCACGACTGTCGACGAGTGGTTTCCTCCAGCCAGCGATCTTGAGCATATCGTTGCCAAGACGACGGGGCTTGATGCGCACGATGTGCAGGAACTCCGTGAAAGACAGCAGCACAAGCGAGAGATTCACGTCAAATTCTGGCGCTGGAATGAGGCGTCTAACACGTGGACCCTCAGCACAAGGGCAGATTCACCACACATGCGGTTCAAGGACGCGGATCCAGGCAAAGGCGGCGGCACTATCCTGAAGTTGGTTTCTGACCCTGCCTCGAACTGCTTCGCCACTATTGGGGCGGACAGTAATGTCAAGATCTGGGTACCGAAATTGAGAACGAAGTTTGGGCAGCCGTTGAAGGAACAGGACGGCACAGATTCAGTCAACTGGGTCTGCCAACGAACCATCCCAATCCCTGCTTCTGCGAATGCTTTCGATAGAGCCGACTCTCCCATGGACGGATCCGGAGAGAAGACGGCAGACGTGACGGATGCAGCATTGGTCTTCTCGCCAGATGGGTCGATGCTGGCTTGCGCGAATGGCTCTGCAGATGAAAATGCTCTACCCCTCGTCCACTTTGTCTCGCCCACCACGGGTGCTCTGATCGCCACCAAGACTGGACTTGTGGCCGCTGAGCAGGCCATCGTTGACTTTGGCTTCAGTGACCACTACTTCGTCAGCCTATCAACCGGCGCAGTCCGTGTATGGAATCTCATCGACGACAGCCATCAGTACACCATCGCCCTGTCTGGACGTGATGAAGACCAAGAAGACGCCATGCTGGCCATCAATCACTTTGACGAGACTTTCGCTGTCATCTCGCACAAGCCTTCGCCAAACACAGATGCGTTGACGCCGAAGGTGGAAGTGTACAGCCCGAAGCAGACTGTGTGCCTGTTCGAGACGGACTTCGTGGCAGAGCCGGCGAAGATTCTGGCTGGAAATGGAGTCAAGGGTTATACGATTCTATTTGAGGACGGGACTATTCGTACGCTATACTCTGCGACTCCTACTGCTCGTCCGAAACAGGACGTCCAGCCACCCCCCGAGCAGTCTTCTGCATTGGCAGTGGCCCAACAACAAGATGAGGATGTCGAGATGGCGGATAGCGACACCTTCGGGCTGTCCCTAGGTGAATACACCTCCACGGCGGCAATCGAAGATGATCGCCCCGTGGTGCGTCCCGAGCATCTAGCGGAGATTTTCGACACGGGCAACAGCTTGGGTTTGCCTCCTGTCAGGGACATGTTCCAGGCTGTTGTTGGACTTTATGCACGCAAGCCACGGCATGTGGATAGCGATGCGATGGAGGTGGAAGTTGTATAGTAGACGAGTCGCGATTGGCTGGTGAATGGATTTCCACGTGTGCGCCACAAGCATGTCCTTCATTTCGGTAGATGTGAGCCTGGTGCCGGATTTTTTGTAGAGAGAGATCCCAATGGCGTTCGACATTGTCGTGCTCGTTCAGTATGTGGATACCGTTCACCTCTTCTTCTTCCCCACCACCTTCGTAAACCCATCCTCATCAACCTCAGGTATAGCCTTCTCCTTGGGCTGCACAGGAACCAACGCCGGCGCCTCCGCCTCGCCCATCTCCTCATCCCCATCCCCATCCACAAACTCATCCCCCTCCCCCAGCTCATCCACGTCCTGATTGACACTCTGCACATTCACACTCCCCTTCATGCTCCCCCTCCCATTCCACCTCCTCTCCACCTCCACCGCCGCCTCCAGCGTCCCCTCGTCCCCCAACCGCCTCCTCACCCCCAGAATCTGCATCGCCACCTCGCACTCACTCTCGTCCTCGACGTTGCAATCAAACTCATCCTGCATGATCTGCAAGAGGAACATCTCCAGGTCTTCCTGGTCTGTTTCCGGCCGGGTGGTGAGGAGGTCGGAGATGGCGCCGGCCATCCAGTCGCGTTTGTCGCTGGAGTCTGGGCCGCCCCAGGTGTTGGTCACGGCGATGTGGAGGGGTTGCCAGAGGGCGAGGAGGTACCAGATGGAGTTGTCGAGGGCGGTTTGCAGTTGTGAGGGGGTTGGATGGGAGGGGTTGTTGGTGGTGGGGGCGGTGGGTTGGGGGCCTGAGGGGGCGGTGGTTGTTGACATTGTGGGTGTGGTGAGCGGTGTAGGTTCGTTCAGTAGTGAGAGAGTGAAGGTTGCGCGCTATCTCGTACGTTCGGGTTGATAGAGCAGCGGGACAGTAGTATCAAACAATCAAAGCTTTTCCGGCTCTCTGAAACCGCCAAGCCAAACTTTTTTCACCGGGTCAAGATTGACACCAAGACACGATCGCCGCCAAGCTTTCAGGCCAATGCAAGATTCGGGAGGCCGGGCCTGTCACGAACGGGCGTGCAGGGATATGGGCGTCAGATTCGTGGAGAGAATTGATTGACGGCCAGCTGGAATTGATTGGGTTTTGGCTGGCCCCTGCGTCATCGTGCGGGTGCGTGTGATGAGGTTCATCGCATCCGGGTCGGTCTCCTTTTGAATGCGGCTGCTAGTGCTGGGAGGAGGTCTGTGTCGTCGTTTTGCTATGCTGCCCGCCCCAGGGACATTTTGCTGGACGTCGTGTTTCATCTTCTGCAGGAACCGCGCAAGGGCCTTTTGGTCGCATTGAACAGGACTCGTTGTTGTCGTACATTGCACTTTTGGATCTTCTGTACTGCTGTACTCCTGGACTTGTGGTCGCAGAAGACGCCGGCTTGACACGGACTCGTCAGACGAAAGACCGCGCGCAAAGACATAGCACGATGCCGACGACACGACATTCCAGCTGACCCAGACGATCGAATGCGAACATGGATCTGTAATGCGAACACCTTCCTCCGAACCAGATCTTGAGGCGTGCAACAATCATGCCCTTTAACACCTTCAGCGTCGCGACGGCCGTCACGCCCTCCGTCATCGAGACCTACTTCTCCCACTACCTGAACCGACGACCCCTCAAACAGAAACCCACCGCCCACATCTCCTACCATGAGGGTCTGCGCCTGATCCGGCAGTTTCTCGACTACAGCTCCAAACACTCCATCGAAGACCTCCAAGCCTTCACCTCGCAATGGGTCCCAGCGCCAACCTGGGTCCGCCTCCAGGACTGCGAGGTCCCACCGCAATTTCTCCAGCGCTCCGCCAATGTCCTGCGCAAGCAGCTCGGAAGCAACGGTCTCGAAAAGGTGGGAGGTTCGAAATGGTGGACGTGGAGACGCAGCGAGAGTCCGCTGCATGCCGAGTGGATTGAGATGAAGAAGGACTACAACGAGCGGAAACGGGCTGGCACGAAATGCGATCGTGTCATTCTTTATATCCATGGCGGCGCGTACTACTTTGGGTCCGTGGACGAGCATCGATATCAGATGCAGCGACACGCGCGGAAGCTCAAGGCCAGACTCCTCGCTCCGCGATACAGGCTTGCGCCGCAGTTTCCTTTTCCTTGTGGACTTTACGATTGCATAGCGACGTACTTTTATCTGCTTGAGCACTTTGAGCCGAATCAGATCCTGTTTGCGGGAGATTCTGCTGGTGGTGGTATGGTGCTGGGTATGCTCGTGGTTTTGCGAGATCAAGGATGTCCTCTCCCAGCTGGGACGATTCTTCTTTCGCCTTGGGTCGATCTAACGCATTCCTTCCCGTCAACATCGGGAGATGGTGTTGGAGACTATATCCCTCCGCATGGCTTTCACCACAAACCTTCAATGGCTTGGCCTCCACCGGCATCGACAGAGGAGAAGATGAAGAAGGTGGAGCGGAAGTTCACACAACCCATTGATCAGCCGTTCGAAGTTGTCGAGTTGCCAGCTACAGTAGAGTCTGGAGCTGTGAGCACAAAAGCGAGTCGAGACAACCTTCGCGAAGCTGCAGAAGCCTCACAAGAGAAGTCCAAGGATCTCAATCAGCTTCCCGGATTCGGCGAGAAACTCGAAATCGAGTTTGACAACAAGCTGGTCCAGATTCGGGAGCAGATTCAGATGTACTCAACAAACGAGCTCTTGACACATCCACTGGTCTCGCCAGTCCAGCAACCATCACTCGGTGGGCTTCCACCGATGTTGATTCAAGTGGGTGGAGCGGAGTTGCTGCGAGACGAACAGATCTACCTTGCGCATAAAGCGGCGAACCCGAGGCAGTACGTGCCCAGCGAGGCGGTCATGAATGAATACGATCCTCAGCGGATTGTCTTGAACCAATATCCTCCAACGGATGTCCAACTTCAAGTCTGGGAAGATCTGTGCCACGTCCCGCATACTCTGTCATTCACCCGGCCAGCCAAATACATGTATCGGGCTGTGGCTCAATTCGGCGCATGGGCTCTTGCAAGGGCTCAAAATAAGGGGATTGAAATCCTCGACGATGATGCCATCTCTGTCATTAGCAATGGCTCTGAGAATGAAGAAGAGCAAGAACAGAATGGCAGCAACAAACCAGGTTCAGAGCGAAAAAGCGCTTACGGTGCAATTGGCATGGACGGTGTAACCTCCACGCAATTCAAGTTGACTCCAGTGGGTACAGTGGGCAAGGCCGGGGATGAGCTGCCACCTTTCAAGGAGCACATGATTCGACAACGTGTGAATCGACACGGCTCAATCTTCCCTCTACCGCACACGTCTGAGATTGCTTGTTTGAAGATTGATCGCAGCACTATCGGAACGATAAAGCCCGGTCCGGTGAGAAAGTGGTTGGCGAAAAGATCAGACAACGAACAGAAGTTTGCGAGCGAATACAAAAGGATCATCAAGAAGCGGCAGAAGGAGATGGGAAATGGGTACGATCCGATGGAGGAAGGCGAGTATCCACCACCGACGGCCTTGATCAACCGCAGACGCAAGGGTGTCGCACCCGAAGAGAAGAAGAAGGGCAAGAGTTGGGGTCTGGCAATGTGGAGTGGCTGGGGTAGTTCTCATGATGAGAGTACAATCCAAAGAGAAGAGAAGGCTCTCAATGACAAGGCTGATGAAGCTAGCGTGGCGGATCGCAACGGAAGTCTGGCTACCACCGCCACGACGAAGGCTGATACTGGAGGTAGTGTGAAGACGAGTATAGAGCGTGAAGGGCCTGCTGCGAACAAGAATCTGGCAGTTCCAGGACATGAGATGGACGCTGAGGGAAAGGGAAAGAGGAGAAGATCCAGTGCGTCGATGTGGTCGCGGAAAGAGAGAGAGGATTCCAGACCTCGAAGTCCGTACCGCCAGGTCAGAGACGTTGGACAAGCTGAAAGTGAACGGAATTCGGTGGTGTCTCCGATTTTAGGAGGCAGCGATGGTGGCAGTCCTCAACAACCACCCAGCCGTGGTGGACTCTGGGATGTCAGTCGCCGTTCAAGCCAAACTTCGGGGAAGCTGGCCTCCGCAACGCGTCCAGTGAGTGTTGCTGCTGCGTCCAGCCTTGCACATCAGGCACAGCAAACCCCGCAGTCGCCGACTCTGGCTGTGGTTCCGACGATATCGGATACTGGAAAAGACGCGGTAAAGGTTCCTGGTACAGATGCAACGTACTTGAACCCCGAAAGCAGTCGGCCGCACAATGGAACCGTCGCCTATCCTTTCAAATTGAAAGATCCTCAAGGCGTTTCGGGAAGAGCATCGCCTAACCCTTCCACGATGACACTGGACAGCAACGAGCAGAGCGACAAAGAATCCGCTCGCGAATCTATGTTGCTCCAAGCGGGTAAAAACGACGGCGTCTCGGTGGAGCCTCGAGCAGCGGAGAAACAGGGACTTGAAACAGCTCCACTCGGCACGACCCCGGTGGTGCCGCTGCAGACTGCACTTGGGCAGCCAGAAACAAATATCTTGGGTCGTCCTGTGAGCATGCTCTCTGATTCTCCCGCTCTTCGACATTTGAAGTCTCCTGACGAAGATCCTGTCAGTCCGATCTCTGATACCGCCAGCTCGTCGTTTGAGCACAGTGCCGCCGCGACAGCGACAACGACAAATCCGTCGCAAAAGCAGAGGCACAACAAGTTTGAATCTAGAGATTCGAGATTGGGATTCTTGGGCGCTGACGGCATGCCTACCTCTGCTTTTCCCGAGATGCGGTCGCAACAGCCAGAGAACGGGGCAGATGCACCAAAAGCCATGCCGTTCAAGATCCGCAACCCAGTCTTTGATCCTAGAGTTGCACCACAGCCACAAGCTCCTGCTGCACCTGTATCAGCACCAGCACCAGAGCCACAGCAACAGCCTGGCACGACGACAGAAACCGCCAAAGCGGCACCTTTCAAAATGAGGCACACCATCTACGATCCAAAGATTGCTCCACCAGGTACACAGCCACCTGGCGAGCAAGTGTCTGCAAGCAACGGTGTCAATGGCCATGCTGCCGGTGAAAGAGAGGTAACGCCGCCGTCATCCATTACTCCTCCGCTGCCTGCAACCGCAGCACATTCTCAAGCACCGATCACACCACCCGCCAGCGACACAGCTGGCGTCTCGCCAATCGAGGGGACGACATTGTCAAGCTTTCCACAGCCAGCTAACTTTTCTCATCCGACAGTCCAACCCGCCCGCCCAATAGCGGTTCGTCTCGACTCGAATGGTCCCCCTCCGCCCCCTCCTCCCAAAGACGATCCCCCAGCACCCCCGGTCGTGAAAGCTTCTCCTAGCACCGACAACCTGAACGGCAGTGTCAAGCGCAAGCCCGTCATCCCCACGAGCAAATTCGCCAGCGACGCGACTTCCAGCACGAACCCCGCAACCGCCCTCGCGAGCAAAGTCTCCACGACGACGGGCGACCCAGATCGAGCGCCGATGATAGGCGATTTGAGCTTTGAGAGGAAGGGCAGCGTTGGGTTTGAAGAGGTGGTGGATGCGAAGACTGCTCTTCCTCCGGATAATGAAGGCGACAGAATATGAATTGAAAAAGTGAAATACGAAATAAAACAGAAGATTCGACGGAGCTTCTTGGGGAGGCAATTGATGTTGGCAAGAAGGCATGGGGTGTTTGTCTTTCTTTGACCAGGACAGGATACCAGCGAGGGCGTTTGCCTGCTGTTGGAATTGAACATCTATACCATTGCGCCTGTCATTTATTAAGAGCGGAGGATCTCATTGCCATGTAAGAGAGAGTCAGCAAGCATTCCTCAGCAGTCTGCATTACTTTGTGTATATTAGCGAAACACATTGTGCATATCAACCGCGAGAGTCTCAAGAAAGGAAACCGACTTCGTCCTCATTCAATCTGCCTGAACGTATCACCGAGCCAGACCGTCCCTTTCCTTTCCTTGCCTATCCTAACCCCGAACAAACACCAAATACCGTGACACTTTCACACAAAAAGCGGCTATTGCGGTCGCCTCTCACATCCGCAGCTACCCTGTTCGAGCGGAAGTTCCAAATGGCCACCAATTGCGGCGCGGTGATTGGGTGGAGGTGGATTGTGGGGAAAGGTCTGTGTGTGATTCTCTCTCGGGCTAGAGGAGAGCGAGGGTGACGATGTCTGCATCTGCCGCGGGACGGGCACATGAGGCTGGATCTTCGAGGAAAGTGGAAGCATTGATGATCGGATGTGTGTGAGGTAACTTAGCTATAGTGCGTGTGGCGGAAGAAGTCCTTTCTCTCTTGAATCTTCTACTTCTCTTCTGCTTTTCGAACTCTTCTTATTGTTACGGTCGATATACGAGGTTGGCTCTTGTGCTGGACGAAGACGATAGAGAAGATTGCTAGAGGTTGAAGACATCTCAGTGACGTCTGGATATTGAGGACGAAAGAAGAAGGAAAGAAGCAGACGTCAAGATGAACCACGCAGGCTCCAAGCAGCCTACGGGCGAAAAGCTCGCGGGTGAAGAGATCGCAAAGCATAACAGTCGCGAGAGCTGCTGGGTGATTATCCACGGCAAGGCGTACGATGTTACTGAGTGTACGTCCCCAACCATCCCCAGGAACGTCCAAAGTACTAACATTATATCATCCAGTCCTCCCCGAACACCCCGGCGGCCCCAGAATCATCCTCAAATACGCCGGCAAAGACGCCACGGAAGAGTACGAGCCCATCCACCCGCCAGACACCCTCGACAAGTTCCTCGACAAGAGCAAGCATTTGGGCGAGGTGAACATGGAGACGGTGGAGAAGGAGGAGAAGGAGGAGGACCCCGAGGAGGCGGACCGGCAGGAAAGGATCAGGACGATGCCGATTTTGGAGCAGTGTTATAATTTGATGGATTTTGAGGCGGTCGCGAGGAGGGTTATGAAGAAGACGGCGTGGGCGTATTATAGTAGTGGGGCGGATGATGAGATTGTAAGTGATCAAACAGGGTGTCGTGGATGGGCATGGGATGGGGATGGGATGCTGATATATGTACTTGACAGACGATGCGAGAAAACCACAGCGCCTTCCACAAGATCTGGTTCCGGCCGCGGATCCTCCAAAACGTCGAGAACATCGACCTCTCGACGACGATGCTGGGCACCAAAGTCTCCATCCCCTTCTACGTGACCGCCACCGCCTTGGGGAAACTCGGCAACCCGGAGGGAGAAATCGTCCTCACGCGCGGAGCCCGCAAACACAATGTCATCCAGATGATCCCCACGCTCGCCTCGTGCTCCTTCGACGAAATCGTCGACGCCCGCGAAGGCAACCAGGTGCAATGGCTGCAGCTGTACGTCAACAAGAACCGCGACATCACGAAACGCATCGTCGAGCACGCCGAGAAGCGCGGCTGCAAAGGCCTCTTCATCACCGTCGACGCGCCGCAGCTCGGGCGTAGAGAAAAGGACATGCGCTCGAAATTCTCCGACGTCGGCTCGAACGTCCAGTCCTCCGGCGGCGACGACGTCGACCGCTCCCAGGGCGCCGCCCGCGCCATCTCGTCTTTCATCGATCCCGCCCTGCAGTGGACCGACATCCCCTGGTTCCTCTCCATCACCAAGATGCCCATCATCCTCAAGGGCGTGCAGCGCGTCGAGGACGTCGTGCGCGCCATCGCCGCGGGCGTGCACGGCGTCGTCCTCTCGAACCACGGCGGGCGGCAGCTCGACTTCGCCCGCAGCGGCGTCGAGGTCCTCGCGGAGGTCATGCCGGAACTCCGCCGTCTGGGCCTGGAGAACCGCATCGAAATCTTCGTCGACGGCGGGATCCGTCGCGCCACGGATATCATCAAGGCGCTGTGTCTCGGCGCGACGGGCGTCGGGATCGGGCGTCCGTTCTTGTACGCCATGAGTGCGTATGGCCTGCCCGGCGTGGACCGCGCGATGCAGTTGTTGAAGGATGAGATGGAGATGAATATGCGTCTGATCGGGTGTAGTAGTGTCGATCAGCTGGGCCCGGAGTTTTTGGATACGAGGGCGTTGAGTATGCATGTCAATGGGACGCCGAGCGATACGTTGAGTTTGAATGTTTATGATGCGTTGAGGGGGCCGCATAGTGCGGCTTGGGCGAAGGCGAAGTTGTAGATTTGGGGAAAGGGGATGGGGAATGTTTGTACATACTTGATGGAATACTTTCGTGAGTGACGGCGGGGAAATTATTAGGGGTTTGCTGCATATTGGTCTTCCATGAGGATATGAAGAGAAAGATACATTTACTACTACCATGGCGACCGGCTCTTTTCTTTCCAGGGGCGGACTTTTCTTGACTCGTCCTGCGTCTACGCCAGCATATTTAAGACAAAAGGGGTTCTGAGATGGAAGTTCCTCCGCCGGGTACGGAAGAAGGTCTCCTTGCTAGCCCTAGGCAGCCTCAACTCCCATAACGATTCTGTGATAAGGTATAAGAAGAAGCGAAAAGGAGTAATGCGGTGGTCAAATATTAAAGTGTATGATTCGCATCTCTCTCACCAGTGGACTCTGCCTGCCGGCAATGAACATCTTGCTGGTCTACATGTACCTTGCTCTACTGATGCGAGCCAGGCACGTTTGGGCGGCGATGCAGTATGTATGTATGTCTAGGTTTCTGTTCCAGTTCCTGGCTAGATGTCTGGTGACGTGGTGTGAACTGATTCGAGGGCAGGAGATGGACTGAGATTTTAGTGTACAGCTAGCGTGCATTCACATGCTCGATTGACGTGGGGCAAGTCAAGTCCACAATGCTAAAGAAGGAGAAGAAGAAAAGATGTATGATACAAGGTTGACGCTCTCAAGCAGACGAAGAAGAACAAAAGCTCAACATGCACGGAATATGCTCACAAACCGTCTGTCTCATATCATGCACATGCACACACACACACAGCCAACCCAAAAAACTGACCATCCCACAACCCCCCTCCCCTCCCCCATCCGCTCCCCTCTCAAACCTCCTGCACCCAAACCTCCATCTTCCCCATCCCCCCCCCCCCCCCAGCCGCCACAACCCGACAAGCCCCCACCGCCATCTCCCAATCCTCCGCATCCGCCATCGTAACCATATCGCCCTCCTCATCCCGCATTTTCACCTTAAACGCCCCCTGAAACCCAAACTTATTCCGGATCTGCTCGACGACTTCCTCGAATTTGACGTCCGGGTACGTCATGACGTAGCGCATGTCTTCGGCGTGGACCTTGAGGCGGATTTTGCGGAGGGATGGGGGTCGGGAGGGGTTGTTGGGGTGGTTGCGGGGGGAGGTTGTTGTTGTGTGGGTTTTGGGGGGTAGGATTTCGAAGGCTAGAGGGGCGTTGGAGGAGGATGTGGTGGGGGAGAATTCGATGTAGTGTTCTTCTTCCGACTCTTCGATCGGGACGGGTTGGCTTCGGTGCGCGCTGGATCTCGAGCGTTGATGATGGGGCGCATGACCGGTTGCATTCTGCTGTTGTTGTTGTTGCTGCTGCAGCTGCATCTGGTGTTGTGCTTGCTCGCTGTAAGCCTCAATCGGGTCCTCCTGAATCCGCACTTCCGGCACCTCTCTCGCCGCCACGTTCGCCCTTTGGAGATGCGCCGCGTGCTCGCGCTCCCGTCTTCGATATCCATCACTACTCCTAGTCGAGCCACCGGAGTACTCTCGTCGGATGGCAGGGCGTTCCGATTCTGATCGTTTCGTGACTACTCGGGGTCTCTCGGAGGGCGCATGCGAAGAAGCTTTGTGATCGAACGCTGCCACCCCCAATTCGAGTCGTAGAGGTTTTGCACCTGGACGGGCATGTTGGAGATTTGACTTTTCCGAGCTCGTGCTTTCGGTGGACTTCCGTCGGCCGTGGGCGGAGTCTGGCCGCTCGAGTTCGGGTGGTGGTGTGGGCGGGAAGACGTTTCTGTGCATAGGCGGTTCGGATTGTAGGCGGTTTCTGCTTTGAAGGTCCGGTCTGACCAGATTCAATGCCGCATAGGACAGCTTCTCCCCAGGTCTATCGTCGATGCCCATCGCCGCCAGCGCCGCCTGTCGTCTCGGATCCGCCGCCCTCTGATCATGCGCCTCCGCGACCAGCCTCGCCTTGCCCAGGTAAGCCCTCGTCTTCAAATTCTTGACCTTGGCCTCGTTCGGCCGATATACCACTCCCACGGGGATCGAAAACACCGTATACCCCTCCGCCTGTTCTCTGATCGCCTCATCAATCACATCATGATCCGGCACCATCTTCTCCCGTGTCGCATAGATCAAATCCTGCATGCCCGCCTCTTTCTGCTGCAGGTATATATAGCACAGCCCACGGTTGAAGAGCACCTCACAAGAATACAGCTTGAACTTCAAGCCCAGCTGCTCGTAATCGATGTTGTTGTTGCCGCGCAGGTAGAGGAGGGTGTCGTTGAAGTTGGCCAGCGCTTCCTCAAAGTCGCCCATGAGGAAGTTGCTCACGCCTTGCTGGAAGTATGCAATGGCGAGGTACTGGTCCAGCTGGACCGCGCGCTGGTAGCATTCGACTGCCTTGAGGTGCTCTCCCAAGGTGGCATGGATGACGCCGCAGTTGAAGAGGATCTTGGAGGTGTCGGCGATCTGCTCGAAGCACTTGATAGCATTGTCGAATTCGTTGTTGTCGTAGGCGGCGAGGGCGGTGACCCATGTTTCGATCTCTTGCTTGAGAGACATGGTGCAGTTCTACCACCAAGCTCTCGAAGCTGTACTGTCCTGTCTCTTTCCCGGAGCAGATCCGTCCTGTGGATGCTGCAATGCACGTAAGACCTCACTGCACACTCACTCGGGGGTGAAAGTGGAGCGAGGTTACGTTACACTGGGGCAGAGGAGAGTTGTTTGGCGCGGCATTGAACGACGATCAGGCAAAGAAAACAGGACGGTGGTCAGTAAGGAAGCACATGAAACTCACCAGGCGGGCGGCAAGCAAGACGAGAACCTGCGACGACGACGACGACCATATAGATAGAAACAGACGCGGCGCACGCTACCCAAGCAGTATAGACATTCGAAGCAGAAGAAACGGGCTGTTGGCAAATGTCTGCAGCGCGTAACGAATCGTCCTGCCTCCCGCCAGTAGTCTGGGCTCGTCCCTCGCAGCCAAGGCGGCGCTGGCCTGGAGGGTGGATCCTGAGGCGCCCATTTCGGCGCCTACACGTCCAATCCGAGCCGAACGAGCACCGCCCATCACCGCCTCTCGCGCAAAGAGCCTCTTTGTCTGCAAACCATCCACCTCTTGACGCTGCTTAAGCGAACACACGCACACCTCTTCTATGTATACCACATGGTCTCCGTGCCGTCTGCCACGTTGTCGTCTCGTCTCGTCTTGGCTGCACCCAACACCCAACCACTCTCGCTGCTCCCGAGACATCGCCAACTGCAGGGCAGCACGCCCATATGTACGCCCGGCGCACGCAACGTCCACCGTCACACGCAATAACCTTTGTGACACGAGTGAACGATGAAGCCCCGTCTCCATTCAACCCGGCCGAGACTCTTCTCCATCATCACACCTCTTATCCCTATCTCTTGGTCCTGCATGTGTGGTCTTACTCCGTGTTGCTAAAAGTGGACAGCGCTGGCTGATGTGATATTGAGGAGAAGGGGGGCAAGCAGAAGCAGCAGCAGTAAAAGATTGTTTTTTCGATTCCCTCGTCGTCCGCATTCTATGCATCTTGGATATCATTCCTTCAACCTCAGTCCCTCGTCCACCGCAACAGCAATCAAAAACAGCGCCATTCATAATGCATTCTTTCCCATGAAATCATGTTCCCCGACAACTGCTAAATGCTCCTTGCTTGCGCCGGCGCCGTGCTTTCCTCCCAATGTACACTTCTCTCCATGTACACTAGATGAACACCTCCAACATCGTCATCTTCATCATCATAGATCATTCCCTCCCCGACCGCACCCAGTGCAAAACCATCGCAAGCAGTATGAATACAGTCGGTCCAAGATAATGCACGGCGGCTAGTCATAGGATTCGACAAGAATTGGATTGATACCTGACGCCCATTGTCAGTACGCATGAGCTGCGACCCTTGATGTGGAGATCTCCCGTCAGCAAGTACACCCGTGCGAAGGCTGGCCCCGCCGTACTTCCTGCACGGAGGGAAGGTCGACTTACCATCTCTGCGTCTCGATCCGGCGAATCCACGTCGCCGTGATCTTGAGCCGCTCGCGTACCGTTCTTGTCCCTAGCAACTTGTACTTTTCCTCTTCTGAGATCGGCAGCACGCTTGCGAACCAGTATGGGAACAGTGCGGCATCTTCAGAAGGTTGGCCGTGGATGTCGAGTACTCGCTGTTGTAGCCAGTTTGCGCTTCTCCCTCGCATACGAACGATGAATTCTTGGCCCAGTGATAGCAGTTCCTGAGTCGACATGCGATTGATCTGACCAGTGATATCGCCTTCTTCCGTAGGTGGTGGAAGAGACGTCTCTTCAGCTTCAATCCTTTCTTCCTCAGCAAGGTTGACGTCATCAATCCTCTCGACATCCCCTACAGAGTACCCATCCAGGACGGCATGAGATGTGACTCGGAAGCGATATAGTCCTCGTGTTTCGATGAGGCTGGTGCCGTCCGCCAGCATCTGCGCGTGAACGATCTGCAGCATGGTCCCGTATTGGTAGAAGTGAACATGTCCAAGGTCTCCTTGAGGTTCGCCATATCGGTTGTACATGAGCATACCAAATTGGCGACTACCTTCCAGGCACCTCCTCAGCATCAATCGATATCTCGGCTCGAAGATCCGCAAGAATGTCGGCTGGTTTGGGAAGCCAAGCGTGCAGACGAAGAGTGCCACGCTTGAGTTTCCGGTAGTCCCTCGTTCCTCCAGCTCCACCGCTTCAGCTCGTGCGGCGACCACCTCTGGGCAGAGTCCGTTGAGTAGGTTGACAAGAGTCTTGTTGCTCGGCTGCCTCAGCAGTGAAGGTGGAATGGCCAGACCGCGCCTGCAGACGGGGCAGTGTAATGAATGGTCCAAGACTCGGGCAAGACATTTGCGGCATAGTGTATGCCCGCAAAATGTTGTCACTGGATCCAGCATCAGATTATAGCACACCTGGCAATCCACTTCTCTTTGCGTAGTCTCCAGAACTTCCTGCAACACTGCAATGTCCATTGCTTTGTCTTGCTCGGCGGTTTCTGGATACGTTACGTCCACCTTGTGATTGAGTGAACCCTGGGCGGCCAGAGTGTACGTCGCAATCAATCTCCCACCAGCCAGGTGGTGAATGTGCGGCTTTTCAGACGAAGGTTGCGAACTCATAACCTCATCCCACATGACAATCTCTTCCAGCTTCGTTGGCAGTGATTCGACCACTGAACTATGCTTTGCGACCACCTCGGCGATGGACTCCATGAGTTTGGCCAAGGTGACATCGATATTGCAGTCCGAAGCAGGATGTTCCACCCCACAGTCCTCAAAAGGACACTGAAAGCCTTGTTTTCGTCCAGGCAGGTCCGGATATGTGATGTGTTCGCGCTCGTGTGCTTCGGGCAAGCATTCTTTACATATTGAATTCCCGCATGGTAGAGTGACCGGATTTCGGAAAGGCCTCGAGCACTGGGTACATTGCAGCAAGCGGATAAGTTCCCTCGCGTCTTCGTGTGCTGCTAATGCGGTGGGAAGAGCGCTCTTCTCCGATGCGTCCCCATCTTGGCTCATCAAGGCTGCTGGCTCTTGCGCCAGGCTGAACGACCTGCCTACTGGCGTCGTTTGTGTACGGACGATATATCTCTTCCTGCCTCTAGCAGAATCATGTGGCAGCACAATAGCGACCGCACGCCTCCATCTATCCCAACACTAACAAGAATGAGTGGGGTTGTTATCGTTGTCGTAGGGCGAGGGTCGAGAAGTCCGAATGACGTAGTCGACGCAGGCGTAGGTTGGGTGAATGACGGGTTGGGGGAAAGTAGTACCAGTGCACTTTCGTTGGGTGATATGAGGCTGCATGCAGCGTGTGAGGGCCAAGTTCAAACGGCGAAATGTGGTGATAATGGTGGTGGATGTAGTCAGAATCGAAGGCGAAGAGAGGAAGAGACCGAGAGGTGATGGACGAAGCGTACCAATCCCGGCTCTTGTCCTGCAACCGCACGGGTCAACAAGGATCAGCGAGGGTTGCGCCAGGCCATGTACAAATCATCGATGCGGCCACGCTCAAGCACACTCGCTCGCCTCTCTGCAGCTGATCAGGATGGCGAAAGACAGGCGTGGTGTCGTTCGGCAGAGTAACGCGCGCCGCGCCCTGATTGGCCGCGCTGTCTGCATACGTCGATGAAGAGCAGTCTGGATCGGAGGCTGCAATAACGAAATCGCCCGCTTCTGGGCCATATCTCGTGGTCATGGACTGTGAAGGGAAGTATTTCAAACAGTCGCCGATTTCTGCAATTCCCACTCTTCGAATTCACGGAACTACCGCCGCTGTGGTCACGAATGAGAGCCTCGATGTTGTTGACCTTTGCAGACGTCGAGACGTCGAGATCGTGGCAAGGGTCGGCATCTCCAACTTCCGATGCTTGGCAACGTCTCCACACTCTTCACGAACAACACCTCCAACAACGCCATCCACAATCTGTCCCACCTACGGCTCTCCCCTTCCCGAGGACGGATACGACGACTTCCAGTATATCCACATAACGGGTCGACGTCGCTCGTATATTAATCTGCAACAGACGACTCAGCTTAAAGATATACATGGCAAGGCACCCACCGGATGCACTGGCTTTCGCAAGATTGACATCGTCATGACTTGTCTCAACCGATAATCTAGCGAACCACCTAGACCTTCACCTCACCAGCCGTGACAGACCGGCGATTTATCGCCTGAGGCACCTCAAAATCCGCAGTGTGATGGAAGCAGCAGCAGCAGCTCGCGCCGCACTACCACCACTAGAACAATATTCGACTAATGCAGCAAGACAACCATCTCGAAAAGTCTAGCCAAGGCAAAAGTATCCCAACGCAGACCTGAGGCCAACAACAGCGTCCCGATCACCAACAAACATTCTACATCGCGATGTACCAGCAATGGACCCGTCTAAATCGAAAGTCCGGCCAAAATTGACCGTCTTGCAAGGCCCCATTTGTCCGGAGGGTAAGATGCAACCACAGGGCTCATCATCCAATGCGATCATGACGACGTTTTTACCTCCTAGGTGCCTCGCATTTTGTGGGAGAGGGCATACTGCAGATCTGGCCCGTCTTCACGTCGAATCCTTACACGTCGAGAGGTGCCATGTTCGTACACAGCGCGTGGTGTGCCAAGGAGCAGGGACAGGCCCGTGGAAGTCGCCCTTTTGTCGATCGTTTCCGCCCGTCGTATAGAGTATGTTCTGCGATGCGATGGGGGTGTTTCTTTTGTTGATGACGCTCTTGTCATCTCTTGTCTCCTGTCGACTGAACAGGTGCTAGTGGCTGCGACTCCTTTATCTGCTCTTGAGTAAGTCACCTTTGCTGAAGATGGAGAAAGACGTGGATAGAACGCTGTGGAAATATTGTTACAAGTAGGTTCTGCCTTTCCCCTTCCACTTCTTTCGTTCTTACTACTCTCTTGCTTCATCTCAGTTTACTCCACCTCTCACTTCAGCCACTTTCGTCCTTCACTGGAATGTATCATCCATCTCAAGCACCATCTCCAGCCGTCCCCATCGTATCCTCACTCTCCACAAGAATCTCATCCATAGTCGGCAGTCCTAAACCCGCATCATAGCCATGGGCGACGTACACCTGCGTGAAATTCTTCATATGCGCAAGATACCCGACATCCTGCGTCTCGAACGTCGCGTTGATCCGCAGATGACGATTCTCCACATGCTTCAGCCGCTCGGTCTCGAGTCTCGGCATGATGATGAAGAAATACGCCACGTCGCAGTTGAATGCGAACTGGATGATGATCTTCCGCGCCCAGCGCGGGGAGGTCGTCGAGTTCATCTGGCCGATTTGGATGTGGGCGGCATGGGCGCGGCAGTAGGAGTTGATGACCTTCCTGGTGGCTTTGGAGCGCCAGAAAGCACTGCGGAGGGTCGGCGAGCGCATGCCAATGGCGAGGCGCTCCTCCGGTAGCTGGTCCTCTGAGGTCACTCCTGCTGCTGGGAGCTCGAACTCCTTCTGGGGCCAGTCCGTCAACTCGTCGACCACGGCGTGCAGGCGGGTGCACTCTTCCTCGACGAACGTCTTGCGCAGAGTGGCATTGCTGCGGCGTTCCTTGAAGCGGAAGGGAGATTTGCCTTCGCTGCGGAGGGCGACGATCTCGTTCGTGTACATGGCGAGGGCGTTGGCGACGAGGCGGGTCGCTAGCTTGTGGCACTCGGTGGCCTGCGCACAAGCTTCGGCGTAGTCGGCGTCGGTCTGGTGGGCAGTCCGGATCTTCAGGAGATGCCCCTCTCTCCACAGGTTGAAGGTATGAACCTTCATGTTCTCGAGTTGGGCTTCGCTCGAGATGAAGCACATGAGCCACGACGAGGCGCCCGTGCCCCACATGGTGTTCTGCAGGTTGGATCTGTAGCGGGTGAAATAGCCGGATTTGACGGCTCGGAAGTTGACGTTGGGGAGTTGGCCCGTCAGAAGACGGAGGTCGTTGTCGTCAACTCTGCCGTTCAGGAAGAAGAGCAGGTTGACGCCTTTGGCCACGCTTGGATCGTCCCACGTCTTCGGGGTCTGAGGAGCTTGCGTGGGGAAGATGAGGCTGGCGGGCTTGACGGCTGGCACTGGTGCGTCCGAGTCGTTGATGGGGATGCGCAGGTGTCCGACGGTGATGAGTGGTGTTGGTATGAACTGGAATTTGCTGCGAAGCACACGAGGGCGATCGGCGTTCGCAGCTGGCATCAGGTTGGATGCCATCGCTGTGTTGTTGAGGTCCGTCAAAGGACGTCTTTGTCGGAGATGTTGAGAGGTGTCGAACTCGATGTGTCGATGAAGAGGAGCAGAAAGGGAAGAGAAGTGAGTAGATAAAGGGCTGAAGCCTGCCGCTGTTCACATGCGTCCGCGTCAGTATTGACAGTCTTGGCAATCACATGAATGCAAAGGGGGTCCGTGCGTCAAAGCAAAAGGTGAATGGGTTGTATCTTCACGTGAGCCCTGCAAGTCAACTGCTGCTCCTGGCTACCACCGATAATCTTCACCAATGACGTGTTCATATGATAGAGTCACTAATTCATAGGTGCTGGTCTCCGGTCACATGCTCCCTTGAATCTTCACTTGCTTGTCAAGCCCGTACTTCCGCTCTCTACGCCACTTCTTGATCTACTATAGAGCAATGTGGTAGGATTGCACCTAGGTGCTGTAGCGCACTGATTCATAAGTGAAGGGGATTCCACGCTCGTGGCCAAGAGCGCTTCCACCGAGCGAAGACGACTCACTTAGTCCAAGCGCTCACATAGCGCACGTAGAGTGCTTCCCTTAAGTGAGGACGACTCACCTATTCCGAGCGCTCACATAGCGCAAGCAGAGCGCTTCTCCGGAGGGAAGAAAACTCACCTGTTCGGAGCGCTCACATAGCGCACGTAGAGCGCCTTCCAGCGCGATGTCCTCGTACGCCGCGCCAATCTCCTTTTCGCCATCTCCTCCGATACGGTAAGGAACCTATCATCGGTGGTCATGCAGAGCTTTGGCGTGGAGTCGACGGTGTATGCATCTTCTATGTTAGTAACATTTGTAGAAGACTTAAGGGCTTAAATATTGGCTCTAATGTAGCCACGTGCCCAGTTTTCCTGGCCGTAGAGTCCGTCCAACCAACCGATATGCTCGTTCACATCCGCGGCGCTACAAGGCCTTGCGCATGGGTTGAGGGCTGTGGTGAAGCTTCTTTAGTCCCCCGAGAAGAAGAGCGGACTCTTATATGTTCTATGTGTTGGTTAGCATGGTCTATTGCGGTTCAGCTGGGATAGGGGCATATGTACCTGCGTGGAGTACAACAGCGCTCAAAGTTGCGCTATCAGTAGCACACTCTCACTCGCACAGCGGTATCTCAGCGCGAGGAACGTTCACGAGATCTCACACTCGAGGAAGTCCATCGCATAGAACTTCACTCCGCTGTAGAAAGTTCTCACCTACGTCTTTCGATCGGCCCTGCTGGGGCCGTCGGCAGCCATGGGAATACCGAGATCCTTTATCTTCTTGTCTGTCATGATATCGTCGTATGCACCACCGATCTCTGCGTCCGAATCGCTCTTCGCCTTGTCCTCTTCTGGTAGAGGAAGGAACCTATCATCGGTAGTCAAGCAGAGCTTGACAAACTTCCGCTTGTATATCGCCTGCCAGAGGCGGTGCTTCGGCGTGGTATCGGAGGCAAAGATGCCCTCGATGTCCACCGCTCTGTACTCGCCCTTGAAGGCATATCTCAGCACGGCGACAGGACCTGCCGCAAGCAATCGCGCGTAGACAGCTTTGCGCACTATGCGCGCGATCTGTCGGAAGCGAGTGACTCCTCCCAGGAGTCGGGCGAGCTCGTAGACGTTCTGAGAATAAGTTAGCAAAATTTCGCGAGGATTTCTACAGGTCTGACATACCTGTTTGAAGTAACCGGTGGTGTGGAACTTGACGCTGCGATATAAATCGCCGACCCACTTCTTGTACTGCTGTACGTTGGAGGTGTCGCAGTGCGAGTTGATAATGGAGTCGACACTGTTGGGATCTGGCTTGCCGACGGACTTCAATACGGCGCCGCTGCGCTGTCTGGTTCACGTGCTAAGCCCTCTCATTCATGTGCTCGGCCGCTTTGATAGGTTCATCTCAGCGCTTCTTCATCGGTCCATGCCGCCGGCGACCACTTCTAATCTTGCTCCTGGGATGTGTACCAGGGAATCTCTAGCAAGAAAGGAATTTGGCGCTTCAGCTGCTTCTTCACTTGGTCTCCAGCTCGCAGCGCATGCTGGGGCGCTTGTAAGTGACGGCAGGCTCACCCGGTCGAGTTTTCCCCACCAGCGCCACGTAGTAGTCGAGAACTCGTTTCATCTCTTCGTCGATGTGGCGCGTGGTGCTGTGCCGTAGTTTCAGAATCGCCTCTCCGGCTTGGTACAGCCTTGGTCCATGAACCCTAAACGATTTCTCGTTTACCGTCTTGATGTACTCCGAGACTTGACTCGCCTGCTTGTATTCGGCTGCCGACCATGGGGTCGGCTTCCAGCGGAGGCCAGAGGATTGTGATGTGTCGTCCTTGTCGAACTTGCGAAAGAACGGATTCTTGCCGCGCAATTGTGTCATGATACGCTTGAGTTGCTGCTCCATCGGCGTGGATTCAGGCCGCGTAGTTGGTGCGCTGTTCTCCCGCTCTCTAGTGATGGCTTGCCGAAGCGAAAGGCGGAAGCGGTCCAGTGGAGATGCGATGTTGTGGCGGCTGTTGTTGGATCGGCGGGCCATCTTCGAGGGTAGTGTTTGGGTTGTTTTCGTGTGTTGTGAGTTGGCGGTTGTTCTCGTGTGTTGTTTTGAAAGAGAAGAGAGCGTCCGAGAGTTCACGAATCGTTGACGGCCTGACCGTAATGAAACCTCACCTACACGACCAATCTATTCTTCAGAGACTAGGTCCGCTCATTTGCAGCGCTATACCGTGTGACCCACGAGCTCTAGAGACGCAGGTGAAGTTTGTTACGAGCGCCATGCGCTCTTGCCTCACCTTTGGCGTACTTTACTCGTGGCAGTGCTTACCGCGTTCCGGGAATCATCTCAACACAGCGCGAAGTTGGTTGGCACCAACGTTGTCGAGCTGGATCATGTCCATGCAGAGATCGTTGTAGGCGTGCTCGCCGATGGCCACAAAGGTGGGCTCAATGTAGGCTTACCTGGCTGAGCTACCATGCATTCTTGCTTGGTTTTGAAAGGGAGGCCGAGCATGATTTCTCGATCGAATGGCCGGAGAGAAGCCCAGCAGAAGGTCTTCTCCATAGATGCAAAGGCGACTAAAAGCAACAGTCACTCGAAGGCCGCTCGGTACGTTAGCGAGGAGCGGAGAGGACATCTGGAGTGCTTGCTCTTCACTAGAGTGTAAGCACATCCCTTCACATGGCAGCATGGCAGCGGCGTGAATGTGGTCTCTGGAGACCACAGCCTGGCGTGAGGAGCGTGTCGTACGAATATTCATCGTACGAACCGCAACACGCTCTCCATCCATATCTCCGTTTCAACGCGGCGATACCAATCCAGAACGCCGGGCATACAGGTGATCTTCCTCCTCGCCGGTACTGCTACATCCATCCAGAGAGAGGAGCGTATTCGAGGAGCGTACTTTATGCACGCCGGTGAAGTGGCCTCTCCAAAGCCCGGCTAATCCTCGAGATCTCCATGGATCGACGACCGTCCACCATCGTAAAGATGCGACTCCGGGACTAGGGTGTTGCAAGCATCCGCAGAGCTTGCCTATCCAGATCCGACGCTGTACGAGATCATACATCACGTGTCCAAGGAATGGAGGGAAAGTAAGCAAGGCATCGGAACATAATTGTCGAGCCGCTTCGGAGGGGAATGGAACACTTTCTGTTGCTTCGAAATGCAAGGCCAAGGCCAGGTATTGTTGTTGGCGAGACCGGGGTGGAGATCTAGAACACTAGGCTTTCCATCAGCTGAGAAATTCATCTCCTGGTCGAGCGCATGTGTGAAGTTGATGATTTTCCTGTCCTTGTCGCGTTGTGATATTATTTCCAATCAGATTACTGAAGGAGCGAGGCAGGAAGCGCAAGGGAGGAAACTCCGCGTGGCTTTCTCGCATCCTGTCAACCTGTTCGGGTCGGAGAGATCTCTCACCTCGCTTTCCGAGAGAGGGAATTGGTTCGTTGAGGCGTGACAATTTCCTCATCTCATCCCATCATGAGCTCGCATTATTCTCACGCACCTGCAACGGCCTGACCGAAGCATTACTGTGCGGCCTCCTCACATGGATGTGTTTCTTTTGGTTTGTGAGGCAGCCACACAGTCAGTGCAAAGGTTCTGGCAAGCCACCATATGCATGACAGGTGCTGAGGAAGAAAAAGCAACAAGCCACGACGGCGCCCTCGAAGTAACGTCGCACAGGCGTATACCAGTGTGGATGCTTCTCAACACCAGTCGAACGCATCAACGCGACTCACTCACGACACTGTCATGCATCGCATCGCGATGCGGTAGCTTTGACTGCTACGCGTTGAGAGCTTGCTCGGCCGTCTGCATGCAGCAAAACGTACCAGACGCGCAGAAAAGGTAGACTAGTAGTAGGTGTACTTCCGCGTGCGAGAAGTGACCGAAGCGGAAAGTAGTCGCTGGGAACTCTCCATGCAAACGTTCCCATACCACACGTGGAGATTCCCAGCGCATGTGATATCCACGGGAGGCAAGTGATGTTCTTTGACCCGCGATGCAAGCGCTCAGCAGGTGGTATGAGTCTGCGAACCCTGTGTGGGGTGTACCAGGCTGACCGCTCCCATGTGAGCGAATGTCGCTGTTGGTAAGAGCAGTGGTAGGAGACGGGCGGATTCGGCTGCAGTCCTTGCCTGCTGTTTGTCGTGCCAGCACAGCTTGGCACAGCAGCATGCCGGTCAGAGGAGGGCAGTCAGGTGTCACAGTCAGTAGTCAAAGGAAAAAAGCGGTCCTCCGTAACGGACGAAAGCACAAACTCCATGCTCACCACGCGCGGGTATACCACTCCAGAAAAACTCAAAAAACGACAAAGAACGAGACAAAAAGTCATCAACGTCATATGGGCACATCTTTCGGCCGACGGAAGTGCTTTGCAAGCGACCGCTGCTGAATCACCGGAGCTTGATGGAAGAGCGTGGTACCTTTCGCGTTGTCACTCCCTGCAGCGAATCCTGTCGCTGAACCATCCCCAGGGCACGGCTTGCGGATTATGCAGCAAGCCTAGGGCTGCACAAAGCGGCAAGGCAGATCTCTTCTTCTGCGCGGGTCGCTCGGTCGGAGCGGACTTGTGCTTTGTGTGCGGGCGGTCCGCCGTTGCGCCGCTGCTGGAAATTGTTCATCGTACGACGGCTCGAACGCGGCTTGGTATGCATCGCGTTGTTGAGATGAGATTCGCGAAAGGAAATTTGTTTGCAAGATAGAGATGAAAAGAGTGAGAGAGAGGCAAGTGTAGAGTGATTGTTTTCAATTTTGTTTGGTTTGTAGATTATTTTCCGTTGTAGTACTGTTCCACCTCTGAGGCGTTCTCGACCTCGCTCCCAAACTGTGGAGGGAGAACTGCCTCTACCATCGTACATAGCCATGATCATGAGATGAGATAAATGCTCAAAATGCCTGTTTCCTTTCCAAAACGCCTTCGCTCAAATGCTGCAATGAACACGCTCGCTGAAACGCTGGACAACGACGCTGATGAATTGAAGACTTCCGCTCAGCAGGTCGCGATGATCGGCTGCTGATTTTGTTGTTGCATGAGGTAGTCTTCAATGCCTTGTTCCGACTTGCGATCGTAGAAGGCGGTCGTTGTGATTGCTTCCCGTTCCTTTTCGCTGAGCTCAAACATTGGTGTATCGGGTGATGAGGGTATTGACTCGTCCTCTGATTCGGAGTCGGAGTCGTCGAGAGTGAGTTCGGGTGGAGAATGTTGCGACTCTACTCGGGTGAGAGCGAGGTCCTCGTCGTACTCGTCGTCGTACTCTGCGTCCTCATCCTCATCAACCTCTTGTGAAGTGACCTCGACTGGAGGTGACTTGATCTTGCGGAGTGGGATGTTGAACATCTCTGCGTCCTCGTCGTAGATGTCTGAGCCGTCATCGGACTCCATGTCTGAGTCCTCATCCTCCTCCTCTGCGATGGTGTCGATCCACTGCACGTGTCGGGGCTCCTCTGGCTTGGAGGCCTTCTTGACGGACTGGTTGAACCAGGCCTCTTGTTCCCGCTCGGCATCGGCGAGCTCGACCATGAGGGTGTCGAGGAGGTTGGCGTGGCCGACCAGCAACCTCAGGTTGTGGTCTGCTCGTTGAGCTTCCTGACCAAGCTTGGTCCTTGCGGTGGAAGCAACGTAGTAAGTCTGAGTGAGAGACATCTTTTGCTTCTTGGCTGGTGGAAGCGTTGGCGAGGTTTGGTGGTAGGTAGCCTTAGCGGCGATGGGCTCGAATGAGGATTGAAGCCTCAGATGGGAAGTCATCTTGGATATATGGCTCTCGTGAGTCAGATATGGGTGAGTCTGCTATGGCGAAATAGTTCTGCCTGAGTCACCCCGGCCGGTAAGGTTGAATGTGTGGCTTTAGGTTAGACGAAAGCCGAAGTGGATTGTTGTTGTTGAGTGTTGTTGTCGTCGTTGTAGAAGATTGTTCTTGATCTTCTTGTTGCTTGTTGTTGTAGTAGAGTTGTGATGCTGAGAGGATCTGACAATGGGGAGCAGGAGGTCATATTTGTGTCCAGCATCTCTCAGCAGGTCTGAGTCTCCGTTTACTCCGTGCTCTCGGGGCTTGAAAGCCAGCAAGGTTTGGCAGGGGTCCGCCGTCTAAAGGCCGTTACCTGCTGAACGCTGATTACATTCGGAGGTACGGTCTGCTGTATGCGATTGGCTAGTGATCCTTTGTCTGACGCATTGTTCCAAGGCCAGGGCTTATTCAACACCGCCCTGCCGTGCTGCGGGTCGCTGGTTGTGCGAGCAGACCGAGTCCGCTTTGCAAGCCAGCCAGCTCGGATTACACAGCCGTCTACCATGCATGGCTCCATGGAGACTTTCGTTCCCTCGCTGCCTGTGCTGGCGGATTCGGATTCTTCGTACGCTGATTTGACTCACTACACCCACTGCCCAATCCGGTATACAGCGCTCTGCAATACTGGAATCGTTCTTGCTGGACTCTCCGTGGGCTGTGCAGCCCTCTGCTACAGTATGGCTCATTGTTCCTCAGCGCAATGATTCACTCCAAGCGTGTTGATTGCTTGGCTCGCTTGAAACACCGCCCAAACCTCAAGGCCTGGCATTGGCGCACGCGCGGAATGCGCAATCTCTGGTGTCAGGCAACGGAATTTCTTGTGGTTGCTGTCGAAACGCGTGCGCTGCGGCTTGGGACTCGTCCGCGTCCACGCACGTAAAACTAGCGAGGCTTGACGCTAGCTCTCAGGCATCACAATTGAGCAGCGATCGTATTCGCTCCTTCGCATAACAGACTGCTTAATTCATTTTTTGTGATACATGGCAGCCTTGCAAGAAGGCGGTGCGCCTGGTCGAAACGACGGCCACACCGTCTCATCTGTGATGAGTGGCTTGACAAGTTTCCAGCTGGCCACAATAGCATTGGACCGACGGACAGTTCTCAGCAGCCGGGCTGACTGTTCACCGATCGCACGTTGTGCTCGGCTAGCAAATTGTCGTGCGATCCATGCCTGTGACTCGTACTGCAGCGAGGAGCATGCTGATTTCTGAACGGCGACTATTGCATTTGCACTTCCGTTTCCAGTATCTGTGGAGGACGTTGGAATCATCCATGGCAACTGCGACCGGCACACACGTGACGCAGACTTTGGATTATCCCAGGCCCAAAGTCAACCGCAAAGGATGCCCTTGGCGTCGGGTGGTGTTCACGTTGCGGCCGAGAGCAGAGCCCGCTCGAAAGGGCTCGCTACAGCGAACGAGTCGGCAACATCTGTCTGTTTAGATCCGTTCGCATCTACCAGCATACACTTCAGGCATCTTCATTCGAGGGCCCGTAAAAACGACTGTGCTGCATGTCGTCCTGCTTCTGCACTGCTTAACACCGCGTTCCTAATCGAGCATCAGCCGTCTGCTCGCAGTCTTCTGTATTCGTTCCTGCGGTCGCAAATTGGCGAGGACTGCCCTAACGCTACCTGAGGCAACACCGTCTTGACCTGGGTGCCTGCATAACAGCGTTCAGTAGTTCCACAACCGGCGGGCATAGCGATCCTTCTCGCAGTCTGCGCAAGTGGTATAGACGCATACCACTGATCCTGCCCTCGAGCGACCGGGCAAAAGAGATCCTTCGGGGAGGGCTGAATGCTGGTGGGTGGTGAGGCATCGGATAACTCTCAGCCCGCGTACAGCGTGGAAGCCGGTGACGCTTGGACCAGCTCCAGCGGTAGGGCTGCCCCTTCCGCTGACACACACGCTGCAAGCACGCGCTGCAGGATTCGCATCTCTCCAAAACCAGAACCCTGAACTCCGCACGACAATGATTCAGATCTCTTGGGCTGACAAACTGCTCGTGAACGCCGAAGTCTCACCCCCTGCTGGCCTCTACCAGTGGATCACATCGCGCGTCGCTTCCAAACCGTCCAAAATATATTTGCTGATGAATCCACGTGCTAGGGCCTTCCATTTTTTTCTCTGCGTTCAGAAAAAGTCAGTTCGCACCCTCAGCACTTGACGAGTTTGTTCCGATGGCGCCATGTCCGCCAAAAGCTATTCCACGGCGATTATTGGACGAGGTTGCCTGACTGAGGTGAGCTGCTTTCCAACGTATTTCTCAGCTGAATTTGTTATCCCAGACTGTCAACCGTCGAACCGAGGGACGACATACATGGCTCGGGTCAGGGCTCGCTGACAATTGTTGGAGAACAAACGTCTTACCCGCACGTGGAAGATCTTGTCAGATCCAACACTTTGGGAATCTCTACCCAGTCAAAACGTGTCCCAAGTTCATAACAGTCAGCTTGCCCTCTCAGCCGAACCCTGCTGGCCCTATCAAATGTCCCAAAACGACTCCGACTCGCAGAAACGTGGGAGATCGGCATTGGGACAACACAGTAAGACTGTTATGGAGAACATGGAGACCGACTTTCTGCTTGTGGGAAACCCTCACCGAACGATGTTGATCAATCCTTTTGCTCACCCACACACCACATCTCAATCAGTATCTGGCGAACCGGAAAGCGAAACGTCTCATGTCGGAGGATTCATGGCTGACAATATAACAAGCCGCCTCCACCTCAACCCTCCTGCTTGCCTCGCCGAGCGAAGAAGTGCCACCAACACGTTGACTATCTATCTCCGCAATCCTGCTCGCCAACTCTCGTTACGGGGATCTCGCGAGCATAGATATGATCAAGCAGCGAATCAGTCCCATTCAGGCCCTCTATCTGCCCCAGGTCGCGCTATAGCAGGATGCCACCCTCTTCGAGCGGAGTTTGTGATCATCCTCTCTAAACGCTATACGCCGCCAGCGCATAAGATGGAGTTAAGTGATCGACCGCAGGATCTTATGCCCTCTCAGATGATTGATTGATTACTGGGAGTTTGTAACATGCACTTGATGCACTACCTACAACCGAGAACGTGGCCCTTGATATATGCCCTTGGCACACAAGTCGCCCCCACCAGGATCTCAGGATCTCACTCTCTGGCTTCGCACTCTCAAGAGGTCTGCTCGCAGGGCTTACCGAATGCTTTGCAAAGAAGGAATCTACCCTAGATCACCTCTCACTCCATCCGTCTCGCCAGGTATCCCCAACACAGTAGGTGCATTGCACATCAGTGGAGATTGACATGCGTGGACGAATGCATGTTTCGCAACAAGACTTCACCAACAGTATACTGTACGAGACAGACTTGCGATGGGAATGTCTCCGCCTTCGGTGCGATTCGCGATCTTGCTCGGAGAGAATTTCATTAGCAGGACCCGGTCGTGCGGTCAGATCACGCGACGAATCGCATATGCAACCTGATCATGTTGTTGGTGAGGATTTACTTGTCTCGGCCGTGTGCTCACATGCAAGTGTCTACGTGCCAAGCGGGGCCGAAGGAAGTCCGTGAGGAAGGCGCGACACTTGCGCCTGCCCTATACCGGTCGCTGCACCAACATTGTCGCAAGCTTGTGTCTTCCGGATATCGCGAAGGAACGATGTGATCTTGTTCACGGCCATTTGAAAACATGCACACTACGTGCCGAGCGGATTACATTCCCGCTGGTCGGGAACCTCGTGATTGCCAAAGTAGACGGGAGTGTTGATGGTAGATCTGAGGTTGCGATTGCCTACAAGGTTGGTATCGCTTCTTTCGTTGTCCAGTGGAAGGTGTACCTTTCAGGCAAGTGTAACAGCGGGCGTCGCCTTACGTCCTACACTGCAGCTGTATTCCAACACGATGGTTCCGTTCCACGACACCTCCACCAGTGAGTCTGGCAGACCGCAGCTCTAGACTTGACCGCTCATTCTGATACAGGAACACGCCTTGAGACTGTGCAACATCTTCATACCGGTCGTTTGCGCAACCCTCAATCAAGGATACTGCCCCCAAGTGAACGCTTGACCTCCCTTCTCCTTTTCATCCACCGCCTCCTCGAAATCGCTCAAGAACAACCATTTCAATCGCTTACCGGCTCCTTTCTCGTGCCAGTCATTCAATGATTTCGGGAAGAAATCAAATTGCGGCGGGTCTACAGCAGCATCGTCGTGCGCCATCAACATGAGCACGTTCTCATGACCGTCAAACTCACCCAGACCGTCAATGGTCCAGTCGGCTATTTTCTTATTGTGGGCAAAGCTCTCCGTCACGTAGTAGAAGGGTTTGTCCGCCCTGCCGTGTGGATGGATATCCAGCGCCAAGTGACCCGGACACGAACCAACCCTTCGCTTCAGTGGTGAAGGCTTGAGCTCCTTGGGGATAGTGGTATACTCGGTAGGTCGGAATTCGCCCCCGTGATGAGCAGCATCACCCCCCATGAACACGAACGAGTCGGGGTTTGAAGTCGTTCTTGCCAAGCCGCAGATATGGCCGATCGAGTGACCCGGCGTGTCGAGCAGATAGAAGCTGCCATCGCCGAAATAGTCATACGCATGGAACCTTCCGATCTTCAGGCCTTTCCCTTCGCCCTGGACATCCACCTCTCGGACCTCACGACCCTCAAAGTCAGTCTCCATGAGCGTGGAGTCCTGATTCTTCGGATACCCGGGCAAATGAGCCGCCTTGAACCCCGGCCCTACGACAAGATCCGTCGAGCCAGGAAACGTCGCAGGATCGCCTACATGGTCCCAATGGTGATGGCTCCAAATGATCGCACCGATGGCACCCCCATCCACATCGACGCCATTCTCCTTCAAGATCGTCGCCGTGTCCTTCTCGACATTAATGACCCACTTCAAACGCACCCACTTGGGGTACGACGGCAGGACATGCCAGTCCTTGCGGATGCCCAGGTCGAAGAGCACGGGCTTGGAGGACGGGTGCTCGATCAGGAACGAGAAGGAGGGTCCGACTAGATGTTCGTGGCCGACGTAATCGGGTTGCAGGAAGGGGGCCATGGGGATCTTGAAACGTGACGTGCTTTTTCATTATTGTCGGCACGACGAGACACGTGGCGGGGGGATTTTGGGGTTGCTCCTTACCTGTCGATGCATGAGGCTTTGACTGTGTTTGGTGAGGGCGGGATGTTGAGCTCTGGCGGAGGCTTCGGCGTGACGAGGAAGTCTTCCGCCATGGTGATTGCTTTCGCCACGCTTCCTGCTGGTCGATATTCTCGCTGTAAGGGTTGGCCGAGTATACGGCCTCGTCGCTGTCTCGGCGTGAAACGTGTAATAATCTGGGGATGATGAAATTGGGGAGAGAGATTCAATGCTGAGTCTCGAACACCTACCCACAGCACCTCATCGTCGCAGAGAGGCGAGCTCGATGACGCAGCTGGACGGACCTCTCCTCTCCACTTCGCACGACCTTGGTCCCTGAGCACGTCGTCACTGCAAATCTACTTGATGGCGACGAGGACGAGAACATCGTCGATATCGAGAGAGATAACACGTTCGCCTCGTCAATGTCAAGAATCTCCAGGTGAAGTCCTTGCGCGTGGAGGAGGTGGGCGTTGACCGCTCTGCCCACCTTGCTGGCCCATCGGGAAAGCACGTGCCTGCCCAGCGCGACGACGTCAAACTCCACGCACGCACGCCAAATTTCTCTCCGCTGCCAACAACAACACACGCGAATAACAACCTTGGCTCTACCTTCTCTCCACGTCACCGCCCAGTCTGGCCAGCACACACAACCAGGTCTCCCAGCGCCGGGCTCAAACTTCGACCGTCTCCATCACTGCCAACTGCCCATCCTAGGAACTGTGCATAACTCGGCCATGACGTCGCTCCGCAGAAGCTGAAATTCAGCGACTGCTTGCTTGCTCCGCCTCGTCCGCGGAAAGCGAAATCTCGGCGAAAGAACGAACCAAAGGATCACAACTTTACGCGCGCGCCGACGGGCGTGAAGACTACCATTTCGGAGCAAGCGTGCGCCATGCAATCCAACCGAGATCTCTCTCATCCAGAAGGAAGGGAATCTGGGGACAGGATTGAGGCTTGGACAAGGCACCTGCATTTTTTCCTTTTCGACGCTACTTGCGCCCGGCCATTGGACTGCTGCTACCTATTTCAGGCACACAGCCATTGTGCCACGCGATCTGCCATTGACGTAGGTACATACGACGAGCGCGACGTGGGGTACGAATGCGAAATATCCGACGACAATCTCTGTCTGCTAGGTAAGTGTTGCGACGATCCATCATGAGCGACACCGCCTCGACTCACAGCGTTCTTGCGTCTTCGGATGCATGGCTGTAACTGTTCTGCTACTTCTTCCATGAGCGTTACGGTACTTGTCACAGGCGGAGAACAACTTTGTTTCAGCGATCACAAATAAGCCGGGGCGTTATTCTTGAGCCTCTGTGGGAATGCCTGTGCATAGATGGTCTGACAATTGTTAACACTCACGGTTTCTGAACGTCTATCTGATGAAGACGGACGGTTCACGCGTGGGAGAACGAGTTTGTGAACGAATTTCTTCAGCGGACAGCTTTCATATCATACATACCGTTCGTGCTATCGAACTAGCAATGTCGACATCAAAGTTTCGAGCTGATCTATCAAGACTAGATGCCAGGGATTTCCAACTCTCACAGACTCCATCGAGCCATTTATCTCTTCCCACTCCTCGCCCCCGTTGATTTCAATGGGCACCCGAGCATCATTCACCCCAAGAAATCGTCTTCAGCCTCCTCTTGTCCTTCATCACTACTGCTGGTTCTGATGGCTCGCCGAGCTGTGCCCACCAGATCTTTTCTCCGGTCTCGAATCTGTAAGTCTTTTTCAGGTGTCTGAAGAGATCGGACATGGCTTAAGCGGTTTTCTTCACTATTCATGATTCGTCCTCACTCTCGGGAACATCACCTTCGAAGGACACCACCGCTGAAGATCCACCATACCAGAATCACATGCTAGTGTCCAAGAACCTAACAGTCCCCGCCTCGAACCTCGCCTTAGCCCCCAAACTCCTCTCCAGCTTCTCGACAACCCCCAAAACTTTCTTTCCACAACCACGCATGAACTCGTCTTCTTGGCCCACGGCAAACCAACTGGCTTCCGCATCGAGCCTCCCCCGCTCATCACGAAGCGTCGCATGCAGCATCTTGCCGATCGTGAACCCTTCCGGATCGTAGATTGGTCGCACACCACTATAATGACCAAGCCCCCAAGCGCCATCCTCCCCAGCGACTTTCCAGCACAGACCCGCCCAGATCTCTTTGACGGGTGGGTTGGTGAGGTATAATCTGCTCCACGACGATGTGAGGTCTCCACCATCCGTAGGAGGCTTGATCGAGCAAATGACCTCGGGCTCTTGGGGCAGGTGTTTGAAGATGTCTTTTCGGCGTCGGTTGGGGCGTCTTTGCAGGGCTGGACAGATTTGAAGGCCTGAAGATGGTGCTGGGGAGACAGGTAGAAGGAACATCTTTTGCTGAATCAACGTTGACCCCATGACCGCGTCGCGGAATTGGCGACTGACGGATTGGCATACGAAGAGGTCTTTCCAGGGGAGTTGGAGGAGGATGTGTTCCATGAGCTCTGTGGCTTGGAAGACTTGTTGTCGTGCGCTATAGCTGGTGTTTGTCTGGGTGGTCATGGTGAGTGAAGCCGCAGACTCTGAACCGCATGGGCCTGCTTGTGCTCGCATTGATTGATCTCGAACTTAGCTGTGCTGACAAAAGGGTATACTCGCTCGACGTGCCATCATCGACTCAGAAATGCTCTCACGTATTTCTTCGAGATTCCTTCCACTGGCGGTGAAAATGCGCGGCGGCCCGCCGCCAACATGTACGATGCCGCCCAGCATTCCATCACATGCGGAAGCTGGTCGCACCTGATCCTTCAGCTCTCCGTTTTACTGTCACGGAGGGCCAAAGACAACATAACTCTTGTCGCTCCGCAGCTCCGCCTTCCCACCCAATCTCCCCTCAAGCCACCGAATGGTCTCCGCCGGCGTATCGCCCGGCACATTCCTATTCGCATTACCAACCTGATGCGTATACCCCATAAACGTCCAACATTTCTTAGATTCTCCCAACACCAAATCCAATAGTCTCCCAAACGTCAACCCGTCCTCATCCCGAACAATCCCATTGAACCTCAGCGCCCCGACGCCTTCAATGCTCCACACCATGCGCACGTGGGCTGTTTTAACAGGAGGATCTGTGAGATAGACCCGACGCCAGGAGCCAAGCATGGTCCAGTTTTGTCCAGAAGCTATCTTGAAAGTAAAAGGGATGGAACTTGGGGGCCGCCCAAGAGAGCTCTTCCAGTTGAAGTAGCGAGGCCACTGCTCCAGGAGAGGACAGACTCTCTGCCCCTGGACCAAGCCGAAGTCCCTGGCGAACATCTTCCTCGTGCCTGTGGCTAGTGGGCGGAGCATAGCGGGATCTAGTCGGTTGGGTGGTTCGTCGTGGAGATGTGATGGTAGTGAATTGGGACGAAACAGGGTCATCTTTTGGCGCAGCAGGTGTGAGTCCGAGATGAGGTCGTGGAATCGACGGCATACTCTCTGACAGAGGTGGAGATCTTTCCAGGAAAGGTACTCGAGGATTTGTTCGAGGAGTTCGGTGATTTGGAAGACGGCATCGCGGGAGACTTTGCTGCCTGGGGTGGCGATGCCGGTTTGTGTAGCTTTCTTCTTGCGAGGGGGCAGTAGCATTCTGTGAGGACAAGATTGTATTGTAATAATGAGAGTGGTTAATATCAGTCGAGTCGCTGAAGATACTCAGATATACTCAGGCAGCTAGCTGTAGGCAACGACGCTAGCGGAAGTGGGGTCATCCTGCCAATCATGTGAACGCCAAGTGCCGGTGTGAAAGTGCTGCTATACTACACATAATCTGCACAGATCGAACTGGTGGCATGAAGAAGTAGGGGACTATATCAGTATAGCTTTCCTTGATTGCAGCCATCCAGCGAAGGAAGTCAAGTTTTTGAGCAGACTTCATGCCGAAGCATGTCAGCCCTTGCAGCTCCGCATGACCAGACACCCTCCCTCCTCATGGCCAGCCTCCCACCTTAATCGGCCCCTGAGAGATGATGGCAAGAGCCGGCTTCCCGGTCAATTGCCAATCCTGCCCGATGAACGTCCCGGGGAAGCCAATATCGAAGTTCTTCTGACTCTCCAAGAACTCAATCTCCTCTGCCGACAGCTTGATCTCAAGACCCTTGATATTGTCCCTGAGATGCTCGATTTTCCTGCCGCCAACTAGAGGCAGCACATTCGGTGCCTTGGAACGCACGTACGCGAGCGCAATTGCCGTGGGGCTCTTGACACCATGCGCATCGGCAACTTTCGCCAAAGCCGCCGACATCTTGCGCTCCTCTTCCGTCTGCTCCATGCCGAAACGGTGGACCTCTCCCTTGGAGTTCTTCTCGGCGATCTCTTCCGGTCGCTTGAACTTGCCTGACCCAAGGACATCCCACGGAGCAATGGCCATGCCGAAGTACGTAGCCATAGGCAAGATCTCGCGTTCCAGGTCGCGGAGCATGACATTCCATCGGCCTTGGTAGATGCTAAAGGGCGTCTTGCCGTGGGCTTTGGCGTAGTTGTTGGCGGCGGCTACGACCCAGGCGGGCGTGTCACTGATGCCGAGATAGAGGACCTTGCCTTGTTGGACGAGGAGGTGCAGGGAGTCCATGACTTCTTCGATCGAGGTTGTATAATCCCAGAAGTGAACGTACAAAATATCGATCCAGTCAGTCTGGAGCTTTGCCAGAGAGTCTCTCAGCGATACGTTCATGCTTCGCTTGTGGTTGCCCCAGTAGTTGTTGTTCGCAGGAGTCTTCTCTGGTCCGGTGTCCGCCTTGTAGTGGAAGGAGAACTTGGTCGCCAAAACCACCTGGTCTCGATTCTTGCCTGATAGGATCGTTAGGAACGCTTTCATTGATTCAAATGGATTCAACTGCTCGTACGCTCTTTCATCCACTCTCCAATCCAGCCCTCCGATTGCCCGCTCTGATATGCGTTCGCAGTATCGATGAAGTTGCCACCCGCATCGACATACGCATCAAGTAACTCAAACGCTTGCTTCTTGTTCAAAGAACCCATGAACGAGCTCCACGCATCGCCAATGGACATGCCTCCTAGAATGAGAGGAGACACTCTGATGCCAGCGGTCGAAGAGAGGGGACGATGTTGCCCAAGAGCCGTCTTGGGCGCTGGTGCCGGCTGCATGAAGTCTCCCATGATGCCTTGATGTCGAAGGAATCGTGTAAATCGTTGTTTTTGTGATTAGTCCTCGAGCGGACGAACTTGAACAGCTTTATAACCTTTCCAAACAAACTCATCCTTCTCTTAACTCCATCCATGGTCCTTGCACGCCGGTCAGTTTTCCCCGTGGTGGGAAACATGTTATCAATGGCTCCCAAGTTGAAGGTCTCATCTGCTCTGTTTCGAGGCAAATGGGTCTTGGCGTATTCCCAAAGCGGAAGGAAGGGACTTTTGTGTAGTCATCAGCTAGCGGAAGCTTGATTCGCGGGGCCGGACATTAGCTTGCCTTCGAAGTCCAGACCTGAGACCTGGCAATGCTTCAGCGATGGCATATTGAACAGGCCCTTCCATGATCTACGGCAATCGATACCTCCATGGCTCAAGCGCTTCTCTGGGTGCAAGACACTGCATCGACATACGAAGCGTCGCGCACCTCAGGACGGCGGCAGGAGGCTCGAGTTCGGCGTCACGTGCAAGAAAATCGACGCAAGCCCGTGGCGGGATCGAACGAGAGCAAAGGCCTAGAAGATGATCAGGCCTCAAGAGTGCAGCCCCTGAAAGGCGTTGATGGAGTACCTGCGTCTGCGCTCCGACCGAACAGATCATTGGGTCGGTTGGCCCTTAGGCCTGCGGGAACTCCTTCGACTCGCAAGCAGAAGACCACTCTGACCAGGAGCAAGGAGAAGAGCCTCGATGCAGGCAAAGCAGTCCCAGCAGGGCTTAACGTCGCGCTGACTAAGAGCCTGCCGTGGTGTTTGACCGGTCTGTCTTCGAGCGAAAGACGAAGCCTTGCGTTCTTTCAACTTCGCACATCGCGAGAATGGTCCGGGTGGGACGACTCACATTTCTGGAAGATTCTCACTCTCCAAGCGTCTCAGCAGAGCCAGGCCGTCGCTCGCAGCCTCATCGCTGTCTCTGCCCTCCATGAACGCATGGAGGTAGTCGGTAGCGTCGAGCGATTTCGACTACAATATCTCAGCTGCGAACAGAGCAGCAAAGCGACATTGCAGCTCCTGGCAAAATCGGAGTTGTCCTACTTCGAAGCACTGGTGTCGTGTCTCATCATGATCTGCTTCCATGGACTTCAGCGCAATCCGGCGTCGGCGTTCGTACTGCTTCGATCTGGCACGAGATTGCTTGACGAGTCCAATAGTCCTGGAAATGCAACCCCGGAAGAGCGACAAATCATCGACAGACAGCTCCGTCCCCTCTTCAGTCGTCTTATATCCAGGCACTGTGGGATGGGCGACCCATGTGGAACTTTTGCCATCTCAGCAGAGCGGCATCGGGTAAAGGGTCTTCAAGTTGCTGAGGAGAAGCCGGTGGTGACACCTGTTTTCAGCACTCTCTCAGAAGCTAGGCATTGGCTGCAATTGATCTTGAACTGGGCCCATGACGATATGCCCTCGCGGTCAAGCCCCAGCTCATCACAGGAATCCTTTCTGGCCGTCTTCCGTCGGCTGAGAGACACGTGGAAAGCATCCTTGCTCCGATCCGACTTCTCCCAAACCACCGATTCTTCGAGATCGTTGAAGCTCCTCAAAGCAGCTGGCATCATCAACACGATCATTATCGAAATGGCTCAATGCTCCAACGAGGTTGCCTATGATCAGTACCTTTCAGGTTTTGAAGAGACCATAGCTCTTGTTGAGGAAGCCAAATTGTCTGGCCACTGCTTCGGCATCGATGCTGGATTGCTCGATATTGTAGCATTTGTCGGAACGAAATGTCGAGATCCTCAAATCCGACGACGTGCGCTCAAGCTTCTCAAATCCCAAGCTCGTCTCGAAGGAGACCGCATCGCGTCAAACCCTGCAACGATTCTAGAGACCCTCATTTCTTTGGAAGAGCGTGACCTGAATGTTACTTCCTGCCATGACGTTCCAGAGTCGAGCCGACGCCACCTGGTCAGTGGCCAACAACACCTCGCCCATGGTCGGATCGATCTCTTCTATGTTTCAGTCGACGGCTCAACCAAAGAGAGATGCAGTGTCACGATGGCAGGGGTTACAGGCCGAAAGCCAAGCGGTAAGTGCGATGCTGAAGCAAGTATACCTGATGCCGTCTTCGGCGCAGGACATGCATCGTACCTGGAGAACCGTCAGACGAGAAGCTACTTCAATCTCGAGCTGGATCGCTTCTACTTCTTCATCCCCAAGATGTGAATATGGCCGGCGAGAACAACGTCTTTCGGCACAATGAAGGCATGTCCGCGATCTTGTATCGCAGAGGACGATCAGTGGGAAAGATCTTTCCAAACTTCGCTCAAGGGCTTGGTTTCGCTGGATCCATCCGACTTCCACATCACCTCCTTTCTCCCATTGCTGCCAGACACTCGCAAAACGACATCGCTGCTGTCTTGTTGGACCTCGAACTTGAAAACCTCTTTCTCGGACACTTCTCGCGTCCGTGTCAGTGTTCCTTCTCTTCGATCCAGAACCCACTCCTCGCCTACAAGCTCTTTGAGGAGCTGGGAGAGTGCCACAGCCAAGAAGTCGTTTGCAGCTAGGAACAGCTCCTCGAGGCTGAGGAGGCTTATTGTCTGGCCACTGGGTGGATGGATAGTGAAGGTCGAACCTGGCGTGCTCCACACAAATGACTCGGCAGTGAGTCTCATCTCGAGCGTCAAGGCATCTGACACGATCAGCCAGAGAGTCCCTTCCGCTTTGAAAGGTCTTGCGAGCGAAGTGACTAGGTCTTGTACGTCGATCGACCCGTTGACTGCAAGAGGAAGAGAAAGCCGGCCTGGCTGACTTTCGGCTGAGACTCCAGCGATCCGTAAGAGATTGCACGTCTTGTCCAAATACGCATTCAGCTGTTGTACCTGTGCATAGTGGTTCAGGACGAGCGTCAAGGGTCGTAGTATGGCTGTTTGCTGACGAGTGTCGTCTCCTTCCTTGGAAAGGGGCGGAGGGATATCTTTCTTCCTATTTAGCTTGTTGCGATGCTCTTGACCAAGTAATGATCTGGCAGTCAGAATGATCGCATGAGCCAGTGTATCGAGATCGTGTGATGCCTCCAGGCCCAACGAATTGTCCTCATCCAGTGACACCAGCTGCAGCTCTACTTCAAGGTCCTGTAGGAGCTCGGTCGTGAAGTGTACTGCGGCTTCTTTCGTTGTGACGCCCATGGATATGAGTGATCGAGACTCACGAAGCATCTCATGGAAGAGCTCCTCATCAAACACGCTGTCTCTAGCATGACGTATTCGAGCCTCAAGAGTAGTCTCGCTCTCATCTGGCACACGAGGCAATGAGGAACTTCCAACCACTTGGCCATGTCTCTTGAGAACCGCACGAACAGCTTTGGGTTGCGTTCCAATGCCTCTCTCTAGCATGACGGTGCCCTCCGAATCGCTAGTGATGGCAGCAACTTGACTTCTGGCAAACGCTGCATCGCTGCCTTGGAATCCGTAATGAACACCCAAGAGATGAGTTCCTGGTATCTTGCTTATCCTCCACCCTCGCTCCGAGACGGACAAGACCTCATCCCAGAAAAGCGTCTCCTGGCGCACGTTCTCTTTCAGCCGCGTGGCAGCAGCTAGTAGTCCATCCGCACTCTCCTGCAATTCACGCATCCGCATGTTGGTAGCCACTAGATCATCCTGCTTCTCACGAGCCGCATCTTTGGGCATGGCGCGCTCAGGATCCCAGATATCGGCAGACACAGATCCAAAGGGTACCTTGTCCTTGATATCGATTAAGCTCGATCCAGCCACTCTGGGTTGGAACTTGGATAGTAGCATTGCGACGAAATGTAGAGAATTTTTGGTATTCCGAATCGCCTCACCGACGTATACCCTCATCTCGTGCTTGGCTGCGTAAAGAGCTTCGCGGTCCTTTGCTGGTTGGCGTTTTGTGACTGTTGAGTCGCCTTCATCGTCCTCGTCATCCTCGTCATCGCTAGAGCTCAGCTCTAACGCTCCTTCTGCTGCAATCTCTTCCTGTAATGAGGCTTCAGTGATGTTGCGAAAGTGCCCTCGTTCGGCGTTGATCCGCGCGAGAGTCGCTCCGATGCCTGATTCTTCTCCATTTCCGGTGGCCCAAGGTTTGAATGTGAGAGATGTTGTGGTCGAGGTCGAGCTCATGGTTGCGTTTCAGTGCGGTGCGTCAACATTGATGTGTTGGTGTTGTCGAGGTTTGTTTGTTGAACCAAAGTGCATTCTTGAGGTCGCGCGACACGTGAAGCTCGAACGTGTGGGTTCGGCTGGGACGGCCCGATGCACGTAATCGATAACCTTATTCGATGTGCACATGGCGTTGACCGCAGTCATCGGACACCGCCGCCTCTTCATGTTTGCCAGCATGACACAATTCTTCTTTTCACACGGCACAACGCCGACTGCACATAGCCATCATGACGACGAGATACCGCGTGGAATGTAAGCACATTCTCCTGACCTCTTCACGAATCAATCCATGCTGACAATCTGCAGATGCGTTGAAGGTTCGTTTGCTGAGATCAAGATATGCTATATATGCTCATGATCAATACGTAGACACATAGGAGAGACCAGTTCGTAAGTACATATACTTCCAAGTCATGGCTTTCGCTGACACCGAGTTGATCGAATGGATCAAAGGCTTGCTGGCCGTGCCTTTCGTGCTTCTCTCCCAACCAACCAACATTCACGAAGATGACAAACCTACGGTCGCCCAGATGGCGCAAAGTGCCCACGATCGATACTCCCAGATCATGAAAGACGTTGAGGACCTCATCATAGATCACATCGCCCATCAGAAACGCGGTGGTCTGTGGTCCACTGACACGAAGTCCAAACTGAAACTGCTTGTCCCCTCCGTTGGCAACTTCTTCACGCACTTGCCCCTCAAGGACGCCTTCGAGTTCCAAGATCGAAGGCGGTTCATTTCCAATAGGCGATTCGTGGCTCCCAGTTTTAACGACATCCGGCTCATTCTTAACACTGCTCAGGCTATGTCTCTGGTTCGAACGAGTCGGTTAGAGTTGGTGACTTTTGACGGAGATGTGACGCTGTATGATGACGGGCAATCGCTCACGCCGGACAATCCTTGCATCCCTCGGATCTTGCATCTCCTGAAGAAGGGTGTTCGCATTGGTATTGTCACAGCAGCTGGCTACACCGAGGTATGACTTCTGTTCATAATCCATCTGGGAGAGGTCTAATCGTATCGATGCAGGAGTCGAAGTACTACGGCAGACTTTATGGACTTCTAGACGCTCTAGCCGAAAACGATATACCTGCACACCAGCTTGTGGTCATGGGCGGCGAAGCCAATTTTCTTTTTGCCTACACGCCACATGCAGAGCACAGGCTAGAGCGAATCGCGCCAGAGGTCTGGCAACTACCTGAGATGAGCACATGGACCGAAGAAAACATCAAGAATCTGCTAGACGTCGCTGAGTCTGCACTGAAGCAGTGCGTATCAGCCTTGAACATGCCAGTCTCTGTACTTCGAAAGTCAAGAGCAGTGGGCATATACCCTCCTGCGGGCGTCAAGCTGGCACGTGAGCAGCTCGAAGAGACTGTGCTTGTGGTTCAGCGGATCCTCGAGATGTCTCCTGCCGCCAAGAAAATACCCTTCTGCGCATTCAATGGTGGGAATGACGTCTTCGTTGACATTGGAGACAAGTCGTGGGGTGTGATGGCATGTCAGCGGTATTTTGGAGGCATCGAGGGAGGGAGAAGCTTGCACGTGGGTGACCAATTCTTGAGTGCAGGGGCCAATGACTTCAAGGTAGGTGTCACATTCACCTGGCGAAACTTTATAATACTCATTTGTCTAGGCTCGGCTTGCATGTACAACAGCCTGGATTGCCAGTCCAGCAGAGACAGTTGCCCTCCTCGACGAAGTTCAAGACCTCAGTGCAGCGAGAGGGAGGAGTCACAGCCTCAGTGGTGGTGCTTAAGTGTCGTCAAGCTATCTGTCTCTTTCACTTCCATCCCGTTTGCGCAGCCTATGTTACTTCAGCTTGCTGACTGTCAAAGTCTTCACAACTCTAGCTCGTGTCCCATCAAGAAGTCTGTCCATCCCTACTACTCTGCACCGAGGCACTCAATTGTCTGGCCACCACATCCGCCGAAACCGTCTTTCCCTTCGAATGTTCATAGCGACACTCCCCCTCATACAACCCTCCATTCTTGTAACAGTCCAAACACAATCCCCAAAGCCGCTCCTGATGCATGTGCTTCACCATTGCAACAGCCGTCGCAAACTTGGCATCGATCTGGACACACCAAGGGCAACACTCACCCGGCTCAAGTTTTGGAATGCGGAAGTTCTCGAAGAGTTTGATGATGCCGGAGATGGTGTTCGGCCAACGAGTGGCGGGCCAGATATTGGCGTTGCGGAGGGCGGAGAGGTATTGTGTGGCGCCGTCCTTGTCGACTTCGCAGATTTCGATCTCGTCGTCTTTGTCCTCCATGTCTTCTGGTGTTGGGTCGGCGCCGGGTGCGCAGTCGACGTAGTGCTTATTTTCTTCGGCTAGTGCTTCGGCGCAGGCATCGGCTATGAGGTCAAGATCGGCTTTGAGAGTGTTGATGATGTCTTTCTGCCGGGCTATCAGTTCGGCCGCGAGGCGTTTGCGGCCTGGGTAGCCTTCTGCGATTCTGTCGACTGTTTGACCGAGGGTTTGTTGCTGGACCCAGCGCGTGCTGAAGCGAGCGAAGTAGATGGGGTCGTCTAGGAGGAAAGATGCCTCGAGCATCTTGAAGATCAGGATGGGGTCGGAGTATTGCAGGGTCTTGCTGTTGAAGATCGAGTCGAGCCAGGGAGTTGTAGAGCGGGAGGCAGCGATGATGGCGTTGTATTTGATTGCGGTGCGGACGAAGGCAAGCAGGGCGGTCGGTTGGAGGCGCGCTGGTAGAGCATCATTGCGCAGGTGAAGGATGTTGCATAGGAGAAACAGCGAGTCACCATCGTCGTCAAGGAGGTGCAGCCTCTTGGGCGACTCGAAAGAAGGTGGTGGCGGCGTCTCTCCGAGCAGGCGCTTGAACACTGTGCTACCGATACTCAGGGCGTGGCTCGAGACGCGAATGCTGATGCTGAGATAGAAGTCAATAGCCATCTCACGGGTTGCACGCGGCTCTGCGATCACTTGCGGCTTGTCGATGCCCGCGACACCCTTGACGACGAGGAGAGTGTCGCCTTCAGCGTGAACATCGATGACGGCGTCCGTCTCCATGGTGCTACTCTTCAATCGCTTCGAGGCTGGTTCTTCTCCGTCCGACATGTCTGTGTCTGAGGTACTGAGGAGTCGTTTGCGAGTTGCCATGCTTTTGAGGTACGGGGAAAGAAGCGTGGTTGCCAAGGGTTGGCGTTGCCACGGAGACGGAATTTGCCGGCGAGTGAATGAAGTTGAACTGCACGCCAAGCCCACGACATGGACATTCACCTGCAAGACACATCTATGACGATCATCTCCCCGAAAGCGTGAGGCACCGAGTTCGCGACAAGCAATACCTGCGCTCAGTCCATCTATGTGTGATAGAGATGCTATCCAATCTCGAACCTTCTCCTCTTGCTGGACGCTGGCGACGAAGATAGGAGGATACTGTGAATTGCGGGAGTTCCAGAAGGCCCCAGTCTCAGCTACAGGGTCGGCAAGAACTTTCGAGCGGCACGATAAAGCATTTCAAAGACAGCTTTACTTCCTGGAGTTCTTCATAAATGGACGAGAAGCAGCACTGGCTGATGATCCACAAGCCCCATTTTGTATCGCATGGCTGCTTCCAAACGGATTGAAGCAGAGCTCTCAGACGGTCTCTTCAAGACCCATGGCGAACTCATCAACCTACTCGACGCAGCATATACCGTTCGCAATGCAAAGCTATTCAACCAAGTCGGTAAAAGGCTCATCTTGGATGCAACATCAGCGATACCATCCGCACACCCAAGGATATCCCACGTCTTGCGTACGCCAGTTGAGTTCTGTTGAGCTTCATCTGACCACTTACTGACCGACCAACAGGTACCATCGAACAAGTCCGTCTCGACGTTCTCAATCACGTCGCCAACTTCATAGAACGCACGTACCAGTCGAACGCCCACCTCCACCAGCCAGATAGGCCGAACCAGTGCAGACCCTTCTGTCGATACCACCAGTGGTACGAGCAAGCCTTCCGGAACTACCTCACCACCTGCGGCCTCTGGCCCGTCGATAACCCGGTGCCCTGTAGTCTGCGGACGGTCCTGAATCGCATGACCAGAGTAGAGTTCGACAGTCTGGACGTTGACAAGAGGTGGATATGTGAGAGGAACGAGGGGGACGTGTGGAAGAGCAAATGCTGTGTTGGGTCTCGCACGAAACCAACGCGTCTCAATGCTTTGTTCACACACGGGGCCCATTTGGCCACGACGCGGATCCCGCAGCTGTGTTTGGATTGTGCATTGAAGGGAGAGAAGGTGATCAAGACGGCGAATTGTGGTCATTGAAGTATTGAAATCGATGGTAATATGAGAGCCTCTGGGCTTGAAGTCTTGCGACATCCCCATCGGCTTTCACCTCTGCGGCTTCATTCTTGTGGTGCCTTCATCGGTCGTCATCCATGGCTGATCCGACAGACTCCGTTCAGAGGTGGAGCTCCACCATTCTTCACGCAATTCAAGCATAGAGAAGCTGAGCATTTGTTCGCTTCCTCCCTCATCTCCACAATGCTTTCACGCATGCTACCAATGGCATTCTGGCAGAGGCAGAACCGACAGACATGGCTCCCGGAGTCTTCGATGCTGTTGAGAGTATTGATTGCTTCGATCAGAGCTTCCAGACTTCCCGCTCGCGATGTGCGCGGCCAGATTCTTGCCGAATCTAAGGCACGAAGGTGGAGCCGCACAAGACTCTCAAGGTAATGGCACGGCTTGTTGTCGCCTGTTGTTTGGTTGAATATCCTCAAATTTCCGTCGTCTTCGTCTGGGTAGCCCGGCACGCCGTCTACATGGTGGTCCCATTGCGACATCATGTACTCGGATATGTCTTCCACGCACCATGAGATGGCTTTCTCAAGTCTCATGGTTACCTCAGCAAGGTGTGTCGCCACAGCATCTGAATCAATTAGCTGGAATATATACAGGAATGGATCGAGAAGCTCACCGATTGCTTTCGTGTTTGCCTCTGGTGCTTCATTTGCTTGCTCAATTACAACAGCAATGTCCTCCGGCCGGAGACGTATCATCTCCTCTGTCAAACGATGAAAAGCCTTTGCGTCATCCAGCTTATACACAGCGCTCAGAAGGAAAGCCTCAATCTGGCTCGAGTCTTGATATCCCCCCAGCCATGCTTGTGAGTGGCTCCAGACTGATGAAGAGCATTGGTACTTGTCGACCACAGTAGCAAATCGTAGTAGCTCTGCGGTTGGCATGCTCTGTGGCAGGTCTTTGTTGGCCTGGTGTAGCGCTAGGCACAAGAGGCGCATACCCTGCAACGACAAATTAGCATCTGCCACATCGGCCGCTCGATATCTTGTCAGGTAGGCACATACTTCCGCATTGTCTTCTGGCAGAGGGAGCATCTGAGGCGCCGAGGCGGTTCCTCGAGCTTGGCCTTCAGCAAAGTCAGGGCTGAGCATCGCCTTGAAGACCGGCGAAGTGAGGCGGAGGACGCAGGAGTAGACTCGCAGCTCGAGCTTGTCGTTCACCACGAGGATGAGGTCGCCATCCGGAGCGACGTCGAGTCGGTCCATGACGGGGTGGTAGTGTTGAGGTTGTTGAGCTGTGGTCGCAGCACTTGCGAAGTTGCGAAAGGCGGCTTCTTTCGCGCGGCGCAGCTTGTTTACTCCTAGCGCGGAAGCCTAAATCGCTCCTGCCTGCCAGACGCCGTTTGCATGTGAAGCCAAGCCGAGACCAAACATCGCTTGTCGCTTCACTTTTCTCGAAATCATCCCCACCACACCATCCCCGACAACTTGCCGCGACACGTCCTCGTCGGCATGGCCAGTCAATCAATCGTGGAGATAGCACCGCGAGGTGATGTCGTCCTCGTGTGTGGAAGCGCCGCCTGCACCAAGCTGCGCGTGGAGTCGAAAGTGCTCGCTCTCGCCTCTCCGGTCTTCCAAGCCATGTTCGATGAGAAGAAGTTTCACGAAGGCACCACGCTCGCCTCATACGGCTTCGTTGAGATCGCGCTCCCAGACGACGATCCCCTTCCCACCAAGACGATCTGCCAGGTCCTACACATGCGCTTCAACGTCCTCGGCGAGCATCTCAGGCCCAAGGACCTTGTGGACATCGGCATTGTCGCAGACAAGTACGATTGCAGCCGCGCACTGAGTGGTCCCGCATACTTCTGGTTCAGCCGACTGGTCGATGCGGTGGATGACAGTGGTCGGACTCAGCTCTTCATTGCAGCGTATTTGCTCAAGCAAGACCAACTCTTCCGTCAGATAAGCCATGATATGGTGATGAAGACGTCAAACAATGTGCTGCCCATTGCCTACCATGCTGAATACCCCATGCCCCTGCAAGAGGCCGTCGGTGAGTGACCAGCTCCTGAGAGGCCGACACTGGAGACAGACTGACAGTCAGAAGGTGCTCTCAACCGTCAGCGCTCAACTCTCGGCGTGAAGATCGTGCGGTTCATCGAGGATGCCGTTCTCGACGTATGCGATGACGGAGGTCCCGGCCAGTGCACACCCGAGTGTCCCACGGTGATGCGTGGGACAAAGTTCGTGCTTCAACTACGAGCTTGTAACCTGTGTCCCCCTTCTAAAATTCTCATTCGGCCTCTTGAGCAGACTTGTATGGCTTTGGAGTGCTTCCAGCCATTCGAGGAGAGTCTCTCAGGCTGTTCGGGCGGGTCAGTCTACTGGTGCAAAGGCGCCTTTTTGAAGCGCTCCGCCACAATCAAACAGGAGTTCTCTGATATGGTGAAGGAGACGGAACAGAACGCACTGCGCTTGTGCCTCAAATGTGTCCAGAGTGGCGAAATCCAGCAGGGCAAGTGCGAGAAGGATCATTCGAAGTGAGAGCCTGAGAAAGAGCCGGAATCTCCAGGGGCGGCTTGCCGTCTAGGCCCCCGAGCAGACTGCAGGTGGAATGGTCGGAGCTGTCACTGATGGGGATGCCGGGATCTTGTGATCCAGACGATACGCCAGAGTCAGAGTCAGGGAGACGGAATGAGGACACTCTGGCTACAATTTCAGCAAATCAGGCCAAGAAGGGTACTGAGCACGGGGAAAGAGCTTTACAATACGAGAAATTCAGACTGTACTGTGATCCAGACCTCCTTTTCCAAAACAACGCTTAACTTCCCAAACCCTCACTGAAAAAGACACAAGCAGCATCTCTCCTCAAAGACCATCATCCAAGCCCATCCCAGAGCCATCCCACTTCCTCGTCTTCAACACCCTCATCTTCTTGCTCGGACTCCTTAGCCCCTTTTCCCGTTCCACATTCGCCAGCTTCTCCCTCAACTGCGCATTCTCATCCTCCAGCTCCTCTAATCGCGAATTTCTCAATCCCAGCTTGCTCACGCCATCGCTCAAGGCCTCAACATTGACGTTCTCCTTGTCTTCATCGCCGTCCTCGTAGATCTCGATACCACGAGCCATGATTTCTAGCTTGCGATCGAGATGTTCATCTTGACGGTCCAGCTCCTCGTCTCTCGCGGCTCGCCATCGTCGCTGTTCTTGCTCGAGCCTGGCTTCCATCTCGTTGAAGACTTCGTCCCGGATCTCGGCTTCGACTTCGTCGATACGCATCTCGGCGGTCGTCCAAGAGGCTTCTGCATCGATACGGCGTTGAGTCTCTTCTTCCAGGCGCACTTGTGTGATTTCGAGTTCTTCGCGAAGGCGAGCGACTTCGGCGAGAGCGTTTTCGAGTTCCTCGACGACTGCACTTGGTGTTGCCGGCCGGCTCATTGGGTTGGCGGACTTATTGCCAGCCAATGCGCCTGAAAGTATGGTGCTGGTCACACTTGGGATGCGTGGTACTGTGACTTCTCTGGCCAAGGCGCTGTAACGGAGAATCTGGCTCGTGGCGTTAAAGTCACCCAACGGGTCTGCTGTGACGATCATCACGGCCTTCTGCGGTGGCTTTTGTTGGTGATGGTTGGTGAAGCTGTTACTGAAGAGCAGTTCTGTGAGCTTGCATTGGCGGAAGGGTACGAGGTTTGGTGTCGTCGAATGTGCGTTGTCGGATTGCATTTGCATGCACTGGCCAAGGTACATGAGGGATTCGTTGATCTTGCCGGCTTCTGCAAGTGTTGAGCCTGCAGTCTTAGCTGCTCGTGCACGCTCAGAACCTGTGCATGTGTTAGCTGCATTCGTTTAGATGGCTGAAAAGACTCACCAGCAAGGTCAACAATCGTCATGGTGCTGCTGGTCCAAGGTCCAGGAACTCCTCTACCCTTATGCCTCTTCTTGACATGCAAGCAGAAGAAGCCATGACTTCTTGAACTCACCGCGTTGCTGCCAGTCCCAGCAACTCTTCGCTCTTGAAGCCCAGTCTCCAGCACCAAAAGAGCCTCCTCCAAACTCGAACAAACAACCTTCCTCAAGCCAGCTACCACCTTTCGGTCAGGACTGGCCTCCGTGCTCTTGAACAGCAAAGCCCGTCTCTTCTGAGGATTCTTCCCCGAAGTTACGCTCGCGGTCAGCAAATCGAAGATTCGGTCGTTGTAGACTTCGTACATGCTGACAACAATAGCGTATTCGGCGTTTGAGTCGGTGGGAATCGCAATGTCATCGATAGAAGGGGACTGCGGAAAGGTAGACACTCGGGGCATGTATCGCTTCGAAGATGCAGGGGCTGAAAGGAACGACGATTCCTGATGTGCGGGATGTGTGAGTTTGGCGATGCTGCGAGTCATATGTGCGAAACGTGCAAGGGGGTTGAGTGATGACTTTGAGGGGGAATAAGTGAGGTGATTGTGGGAAGGGGTTGTATCTGCATCATATTGCGGCAGAGGTGGGTAGAGGCGGTCATAGACAGAGATTGAGGTAGGCTCTGCTGACGCATTTGAAGGAAAAGCACCAGGAATGTCCGTCGGTGTCTCTCGTACCATTGCTGGAGTTGTAGCTCTGGACATGCGTGTGGTATCCACATTGCCGTAGAGATTGTCCAGGAAGTTTGAAGCCGTGTAGATCTGCGACTCAGCGACATCTGATGCGCAAAGAGACGAGAAGACGGCTTCACTCGAGTCGACGTTGGCGAGGTGAGGCTCGGTATGTTGAAAGAGCGTATCGAGTGTCAACTGGGTCAGGCCGCGTTGAGTCTTGGAGCCAAGGATTGTGTGACTCTGTATTGACATCAGCATCGTGTCTTACAAATATTTCTGTGACTACTGTACCTTTCCAGAGCCTGTGACACCCAGTGTAGCCAGCAGTCCATCGCTTCCCTCTCTTCCAGGTGCTCCAAGGACGCCTTGGAGGAGTCTGACTGCACCGCTCGTCTCGAAGATGTCCCGCTGTCCTGCATTCTCCTCGAACACTCTTGTAAAGGCGAACCTTTCCACTGCTCTCTTTCTCTTGTCGTTTGCTGGTGGCTTGATCGTGATATGGGTCGGCGCATCTTGAGAAGTCTCCTCGACATCGAGAAATCGCTCGCGTTCGGCCTGACCTGGTCGCAGGCGTAGGAAGACGTCGAACAACGCCGTGGAGGGCTTTTGGTGCTCCATGCTCAGCATTGAATTTGGCGATTATGCGAGATATGAAGCCACAGAGTGCTTGCAGGGAAGGGTATTCTTCACTGAGCCGGCGGATCGACGTCTGAGAACCAAGGGTGGCCGACGCCAAACAAACGTTGCGAGGGGCAACGAGCACTTTACGCGAGTCACGGGCCGGAAAAGTCAACGCATGTGAAATCGTGAAGGTCAAGTAGACTTCACCAAAAGAATGTTGGAATGCCGGGCATGCGTTCAACGCTGCATACGAGCACTTACTGGCGATGAAGTGCTCTTGCGAAGACCGCTGCTTCTTACACCACACCTCGCCAACCAACAACGACGACGAAGAGTTGCTACGGCAGCTCCAATACGAATTGATGAATCGCAAGACGCGCTCTCCTCTCATTTCGGGAAACCAAACTCCAAATCGCCAAACAAGCTGAGCGTAGCTACGACTCCAAGAGGTAGCGATGATAAGGCGCTCAAAAAGGAGCTGGAATGGTTGAAAGACCCGGTCAAACTCGCCGACCATGTACACTACACTCTGCGCGACAAGAACGTGGAAAAGGCGATCAACCTGTGCCGACTTGCGAGCAAGTCCATGAGCTGCATTGTTGCGTGGAATAATGTTATCGACTGGCATGTCAAGAACCAAAAAGTCAACGCAGCAATTGACATCTACAACGAGATGAAGAAGCGTGGGCAATTTCCTGACAGCTACACGTACATGCTACTCTTTCGTGCGGTCCCCATCGAGAAATCACATGAGTTAAAGGACTTCCACGGGCAGATGGCGAACAAGGCAGTGGCAATCTACAACAGCATGAGCAGTCCCACCAGCAGGGTCAAGCCCAGCATCATGCATACGAATGCGGTTTTGCGATTGTGCAGCTTGGCGAGGAATATGGACCTGCTGTGGTCTGTGGCTAGTCAGATCCCCGAATCAGGCCCTGGAAGTGCCGACCACATCACCTACAACATTCTGCTCGCAGCCATCAGGTATGGAGCGATGGGACCAGGGACTGGGGAGCTGGTATATGTGGAGCAGGTTGCGGAGAACAGAAACCAGGCTGTCAATGAGGGGCGGAGGATATGGCAAGAAGTTATACCAAGGTGGCGGTCAGGAGAAGTCATCATCGATGCCGCTCTGGTGAGATCCATGGCGAAGTTACTGACTTTCAGCAAACGTATGGAAGACTGGGACGACGTCTTGAACCTGGTACAACAGACTACAAACATACAACGTCTTATACCGCCTCTTGGGTCACCTGAGCGTAACACAGATCATGTTCCCCTACCTGCAGATGGAGAACAGGACGTGGAAGAGCAGACATCTAATTCCGAGGATAGCGAAGGCTGGGTGCCCACGCCCGCGTCCAATGCCTTCAAGCCTGTCCAATTATCCGCTGGCGAACGGACGGACGGGAAGAAGCGGCACAACATCGCCTACGTCAAGCCAGAGAACGGCATTCTTAATGTCCTTCTCGAAGCATGTACCAACATGCGTGTCCCCAAAGCCGCTCATGCCTATTGGGATCTCTTCACCAGAGAGCACGATGTTCACCCAGACCTTGACAACTACGAGTGCTTGCTGCGCCTGCTTCGAATCAACCGCAGTTCACGACGTGTATCTCAGCTGATGACAGAAATGAAAGACGAAGGCATCAAACCTACGCCTCGAACCTACCGCATCGCCATGGGAGCCTGCGCGCGCGACAGGAATAACGCGAATGTTGTCGAAAACATGACGATCATTGTCGATCAGATGATGAAGGCGACAAAACAGCCAGACCTTTACACACTAGACGAGTACCTGAACATTGCATTCTTGACGGACGATCAGCCTGCGATTACGAAGGCTCTAGACAAGGCGCATGCAGTCATGCATCGTCTTCAACGTCAACTTCTTTCCAAGGGTCCGGAAGTGCCTCAGGGGTACAAAGAGCGGATTGTGCAGTTCTACAGGCACATGACTGGCTGTGTCGATACTTTCTCCAAGAGGAAGGATGTTCCAAAAGAAGAGCGGGAGAAATGGCTCGAGCGACGGTCGGAGTACGATTCACTCACGTCTGAGTACTGGAAGCAGGGACGGACTTCAAAACGAGAAGATGTGAGGGCTGTATCAAGCGACGACGCTCAGATGAGATCAAGAAGGCCACGGAGGAACGCAAGCGATGGGCCAGGCCTGCAGAAGCAGAAGCGAGCAGGTGGCGGGAGCGACAGCTACAAGGAAGTGCGAGAGCAAAAGAGGGATGTGAAGATGGAGAAGCGACGGATGAGACGAGCATGAGAGCTATCCGCAGCGAATATAGGTCATCTCGCACGATCAACAGCACTGTCCACTCGTACGGATCTCTTCTCCAAATCGTTCCTCTGAACTTCCACGTTGGCCCGGTGGAAGAGGAACCGGCGAGATGATGGGGGCTAGTTCAGACAGATTCGATGCACTGGAACAGCGACGAGATTCTGAAAGCAGCTTCAAATCACATTTCGTTCCAGACCAAGGTGACCATTACTGTGTTTCACATGCTTCCACGTGTTTTTAGTGGGTTGTCGTGACGCACTCAAGGCGCGAAGTGGCAGCTGAGACATGTCTTCACATATAATTATGAGCATGGCTCGGTGAAATTGATCTTTGTCTCCCGCATGCATGCATGTTCGATCCAGCGCATGTCTTGCGGAGGTCGTCAAAGGCCGGCAGAAGTTCGGTATATCTGACCACGCGACTTGTTCGCCGCGCTTGCTAAATCTGATCCGTCGGCCTAGCGCCGCTGCCTTGAAAGTTCTTTCAGAAATTCGACGCCTTCTGTTTGTTCTTCACACCACCCTCCACCTCTCCAACATCACCCACCTCGACCGCAGACAGCATCACGTCGCACGACGCTGAATCTGCGCTACACTCACACCACAATCATTCCACTCACTTTCGACCACACTCACCCGACAGTCTCTACCGCGCATCATCACAAGATGTCGTACGGCGGTGGCTATGGCGGAGGCCGCGGCGGCGGCGGTGGTTACGGAGGCGGACACTCCAACGGGTACGATGCCTACGGAGGCTACGACTACGGTTCTCAAGGTCGCTACGATGATCATTCCTACTCAGCTGGGTAAGCACGTACATCAGAGCCACCTGAGGGCCGTCGTAACATCCCAACATTCTTATTACACCGTTCACTACACTTCACTCGAGCCTTCGCTAACTTCAATTCACAGATACGGCGGCGGACATGGCCATTCCAACGGCGGAGGCGGTTACTCGAACGGCTACTCGGGCTCGAACGGCTACAGTGGAGGAGGAGGCGGCGGCTTTGGAGGCGGCGACCGCATGAGCAACCTCGGCGCAGGTCTGAAGCAACAGAACTGGGACATGAATACACTTCCAAAGTTCGAGAAGTCGTTCTACAAGGAGGCACCCACGGTCGCTGCCCGCTCGCAGGCTGAAGTCGATGCGTTTCGCAAGGAGAATCAGATCGCCATTCAAGGTCGCGACGTCCCAAAGCCAGTCGAGACCTTCGACGAGGCCGGCTTCCCCAACTATGTCATGACTGAGGTCAAGGCTCAGGGCTTCGCCAAGCCCACCGCCATTCAGTCGCAGGGCTGGCCGATGGCTCTTTCTGGTCGCGACGTCGTCGGTATTGCCGAGACCGGATCTGGAAAGACCCTCACCTACACCCTCCCTGCCATCGTCCACATCAACGCGCAGCCACTCCTCTCCCCAGGCGATGGCCCCATCGTCCTCATCCTGGCACCAACCCGTGAGTTGGCGGTCCAAATTCAAGAAGAAGTCAGCAAGTTTGGAAAGTCTTCGCGCATCCGCAACACTTGCGTCTACGGCGGTGTTCCAAAGGGTGGCCAGATTCGTGATCTCTCTCGTGGTGTCGAGGTCTGCATTGCCACCCCAGGCCGTCTCATCGACATGCTGGAGTCCGGAAAGACCAACCTCCGCCGCGTCACTTACCTGGTTCTGGACGAGGCCGACCGCATGCTCGATATGGGTTTCGAGCCTCAGATCCGCAAGATCATCGGCCAGATTCGCCCTGACCGTCAGACCTGCATGTGGTCTGCCACCTGGCCGAAGGAAGTCCGCCAGCTTGCCTCCGATTACCAGCAGAACTTCATCCAGGTCAACGTCGGTTCGCACGATCTAGCTGCTAACCATCGTATCACGCAGGTTGTCGAAGTCGTCTCCGACTTTGAGAAGCGTGAGAAGATGTCCAAGCACCTGGAGCGTATCATGGAGGAGCCCAGCCACAAGATCCTCGTCTTCACCGGAACCAAGCGCACGGCCGACGACATCACCCGCTTCCTCCGCCAGGACGGCTGGCCAGCACTTTCCATCCACGGCGACAAGCAGCAGAACGAGCGCGACTGGGTGCTCAATGAGTTCAAGACGGGCAAGAGCCCAATCATGGTCGCCACCGACGTGGCTTCCCGTGGTATCGGTATGATTGCATCCCACAACAACCCTCCCTTTCCCCCTCCCTCCCCTCCCGCTGGTAAGCGCGGGATCTGTCACTTCGAAGCTTCACTCTGTGCGCTCAGCGTGCACGCATAACCATCACGTTCTAGGGCTGTCAGTGTTCCTTTGTTCTTCAAAGGGTCCTTGGAGACTTTATCGGTGAAGCTTCGCTTTGCCGTACCTTTCCGTTTCTCTGCCGTTGCGCTTCGTTCAGTGGAGAAAACGGATCATGAGTCTGTCAAATGTTGCGTTGGTTTAACAGCTGCGCGCGTCCAAGGATCTACTCGAGGAATGTTCACGGCCCGTGACCATCGTGTTGTAATGTGCCCGCCGCAGCGCGAAGCGTCTTGTTCGTCCTGCACGACAAGGCTGCCACCTGAGTGTCGCAATGTTGCACACCCGACAGATCTCGCATCCGCCAAAGGATTGCTATTGCTCGTTCCCACTTACCTTGCGCTCAGCCGCATCTTACTAACATTCTCTGCGTCAAAAGACGTCAAGGACATCACTCATGTGTTCAACTACGACTACCCCAACAACTCGGAAGACTACGTTCATCGTATCGGCCGTACCGCTCGTGCTGGTCGCATGGGCACTGCCATCACCCTCTTCACTGCTGACAGTAAGTCCCATCATCCACCCCTTGTCTTGAAGCGCTCACTGACTTCATTCCAGACTCCAAGCAAGCTCGTGACCTCCTGAACATCCTCAAGGAGGCAAACCAGACCATCGACCCACGCCTTGCCGAGATGGCTCGCTACGGCGGCGGTGGAGGTGGCGGTGGTCGCGGCTGGGGCGGTGGCCGTGGCCGTGGAGGAGGCCGAGGCGGAGGTGGAGGAGGCTGGACCGGCAGCAACAACGCTCCGATCGGTGGCAACCGCCGCTGGTAAATGTCTGCCGATGACATCCTCTTCCTACTTCATGCATTTGCGTTGACGGCCTGGCGTTATGGGTAGACTGGGTGTGGATGATTTGAGACTGGCGACTGTTTCGCCACGGCTGTGTCTACTAGACACATTACGGCGTTTCAAGAGGGCGACTTGAGTTCTTTGCTGATGACCGAAAGCACAGTATGGGATTGCATTGTACTACTGCATTCGCTCCGGCGTGAGGCTTTGGGGATTTCTCCTTGACCAAAAAGCTGCACGCGCAGCGCGAGAAATAGACTGTGCTTTCTTTGCGTTAGACTACGGAAATGAGAAATTGCTTTGAATGATGTGGTCCTTTTCTTATCTCGTTTTGGGTCTAAGTCGAAGATACTTGATATCGAATGTTGCTTTTCTCAATCTCCTTCCCCGTTTCGTTCGATTGCAAGAGTGAAACACTTCGAGTTGTCAACAACATGAACTTCAAGACCTCACTGCTTTCCTACGTTCCCATTCATCCGATTCCTGTATCATCCTGACCAACACCATCTTCTTACAGTCTCCCAAACCTCACGGAGGACGAAGCACAAGGGGCAAGGAGGAAGAAGGACGTGGATGCGAATGACAGGACGACACTTACCTTTCGACATACGAAAGCTCTTTCACTTGCTCCTGCGAGTGAACCGCCAGCATCGTTTGCGTGCCTTGGGAGTATGGAATCTGCTCTCTTACTCCTTCTTTTCCGGCGGAAGTTCTCCCTCTGTCGCACGCACGGAAAGCACGAGCGAGCCATGGCGGGTTCTGTCCATGAGGGTCGACTCTTCGGGAGCGGATGGTTGATGAGCTGGTAGCTGCGGAGGGTGCGCTGTCAGTAGGGTCGATTTTGAATGGAGTTGGGAGTTGACCTGAACTCGCTGGTCGGCTACGTGAGGCTGGGCTGGTCGATTTGGAGGGCCGATATCGTGCCTGGACAAAGACGACAGGGGGACAAGTTGGGTGTCAGAGGCGAGAGAGTGACAGTTCGACGCCGTGTTCGACGCCTCAAGTCATCATGGTCGTCATCGTCGCTACGATGCGATATGGAAGGGTATGCGATCTTTCGTAGTCGTTCTTTCTGGTCGACTTACTTGATCCTCCCGGTTGGCATATTGGAATGGACGAGTCGTTGCTTCGTATTTTCGTCTGGCATGGGGACAGGCTCTTGGCTTTTTGGCTGGGGATGGTCGCTCGCTCGCCTGTGTATTCTGGGGCGACGGCTTCGTCGTGTCGTTTGTCTTGACAGGGTGGTTGCAATATTGGAGGCGATGGCTGGGTGAGAGAGAGCACCTGGATCGTTCGGGTTTGATCTATGGACGAGCACCCAGGGCAGGATAGGTGTCTTGTCTGGCCGTGTTGGGAGCGTTTGGAAGCATTTGATGCAACGAGGTAGGTTTCTGCGACGTGTTCAATGGTGTCGTCGTCTTTGACGGTAAGAAGAGAGAGTTCTCATGTATCTTTGGTCGGGTAGAATGCCATTGTTCGCTGTTCTTCTCTTCATCGACAGATTTCCCCTTTCCCGAAATCATCACGAGTCTGATACTTTCGTTGTGCAAGAACTGCTGTCTTCAGCGGGTCGATGTGTTCACTTTGGTGTTCTTCTCGACGACGGAGGCAAGGGATCAATGAGGTCTATCGCGTGTTGTGTTCATATGTTCTCTTCGACGCCCTCTCTTCCGTCTGATCTGGCCTAATGGAAAAGGCGCCTGCGAGTCTGTCTCCTGGGCTGTTCCCAGCGATATACGGAACTTGGGGGAGATGCGAGTTCGATTCACGCGGTCGGAACGAATGCCCATCACGCGACCCTTTTTGGGGGTCTGTACGCGAGTGTTTTTGGAACAGTCTAGTCCATACTCTCAAGTGGCATGGCCCACTGCATATTGTTTTGCCGGACGGATGAAAAGCGTGTCTGTTTCTTCTTGAGTCCTGGGAGGGTGTGGACGTCGGCCAAGGGTATCAAAGAGCATGGAACAACTGGGCATGCTCGAACAAAACGGCTGCAAGGAAGTAGGGCGTCCTGTGGAGGTCGCGTTGGACGGTGTCTGGTGCTAAGATCTGGTCTGCTGGGGTTGACGGTTTGGCCAACGCGTGCAAGCGCTGGCTCTATGTTAGGGTGGACAGGCAGGTGGGTTAGGACACGACCCGCGATGACCGGCCTCTGATGGGTGCTATGGGCTCTCTATGGGTATAGGAGTTTGATGGTACTTGCCTTGTCTCTTCTTGCTTGTCTCCTCGAGCAGCAGCTGGGCAAGAGTCCCAAGACGAGGAGGGACTCCACGAGCCCGACCACCATCTAATTCCCTGAAGGCCTCAGCATAGGCAGTCCTCATCTGTACTTCATGCAGTCTTCTTGCTGGCAACTTGAGTAAACGATAGGGAGGGCGACGGGAGTTGCAGTTCAGTCAACGAGGCTTGCCTCTGTACTCCCACCAGCCTCATCACGTTGACCCAACAACTCTCAGTCACGCCCGTCTCCTCTTCTCTCGGAATACCAACTTACCAAGGCGACACCCACCTCTGCTATCAGGCCGATGACACCCATCCAACATGTAAACACTACACACCGGCTCTCTACGCGTCGTTCTCGTCTCCAAAGGCAGTACTCTCTACTGCCAACCCCCCTCTACCCCATCGAACCGAGGACACCGACGCTGACTCCTCAGCAGGACAGACCAACAAGAGCCCACTTCGACGAAATTACATCCTTCTCCACGGCATTGACAAATTCTCCGGCAGAGACGCAAGTGGTCGACTGACGTAGACATGAGTGGCACGGTCGTATTGATCCAATTTCTGGGCGATCATTGGCATTATTGCCCCCTCTCGTGAGTAGTCGAGAGAGATGGATAGGTATGGAGAGTCTACTACTACCACTACCGCAAGTTCTTCCACCAAGCAACGAACGCTCCCGAGACAGTAGTCTAGAATCTCAAACGGCTTTGTTTGGGTTGTGATCTCATTACCTCGATGTACCTCTCACAGGACGCCCCTTTCCCTTCCGTCATCTTTAGCCGACCGGAAGAAGTATTCGGTTGGCAGTCCGACCCTCGTTTCCGTCGTAGTGTCGTGCGGAGAATTTTTGTTTTAGTAAGGGGGTTAACGAGAGTGGTGTCGCGTGGGACAGAAAACCGACGGCGTCGAGGACGTTCTCTGGGTAGGGTTTCGACGAGTCGAGGCTGGGCAACAACCAAGGTCCTGTCGTCGTGTCCTCCTTTCGGATCAAGTGGACTCTTGCTCTCGTTCCTCGTCAATACCTACCTTGTCTACGGATGACGACGAGGGTGTTGAGATGAGGAGAATCAATAGTAGGAGAGAGCCTTGTTCTCCTCATCTTGGGAGAGTGGAGGTACGAGACTGGGGACGCGTCACAATTGCGCCGAAGAAGACGACCGAGACGTTCACGACCTTCACGGCGCTCTGTGCGCTTGCGATGATCAGAGGAGAAAGAGCATATGATGATGGCCGAGCCGAGCTTACGATGGACCACTGCAGCGAAGGTGCGCGCGCCCATGCACGTATCCGCTGGGTCATTGAAGGCTATAGCAGAGGGACGCATTGGCATTGACGGTCTTGGTGAAGGAGATGGAAGAGAGGCCACGGCACCTTCGGCACGAAGTCAAGGCAGAGGAAAATCGAGACTTGAGGCTTCATGCACATGCATGGACACCTGTTGGTTCGACGAGGGTCACAGTGACGAAACTCGCGAGTCTCTTCTTGGTTCAATACTCTCGCCCTCGAATCTGAGGACAGGCAACGATACGAGCGTACCACCTTGGCACTACGTCGCATGTGATAGTTTGGTTGAGGTGAAGGGCAGTGAAGGGCTTCGCTGGCGGTTGCTCTCCCTCTTTCCGTAGAACAAACAACTGGAAGCATTCGTTCTCGCCATGGCACTTCATCGGTGAACACCTGTTCTTATCACAATGTGTTCCCATTTTGCCGATGACTGGTTCCGCATTCACCCGCGCCAACCTCCCTCACACATGCCTGACTTTCGATGCGTTACGCCGTGAGACATGCATGGCGTGGCAGTTCTATCTCACGACCGCATGAGGTATTCAGAAATACAGTCAAACCTGGATAAGAACATAACTTATTCCTGAGTTCATTCTATGTTGCTAA